GTTGAATAGAATGGGCAGATGATGATCCTAGTCCTACTGAACACTCATGCCTTCACCATACCCCTGGTTCACACATTTTGGCAGTTTGATCGGTGTATCAGGTCGCAGATGAAGAGCTGGAGCATGTTCATTCGAGAGGCTGCAAAAAGCAAAACTGATAGAGGGAAAGTTGCGAATCGCCAGTTGTGGCGAGCTTGTTCTCCGCATTTCCTAGCCCGCTACGTCTTTTCTACTTCGGTCTAACCTGGCCTCGTTGGGCAAAGCCACTCTGTCCTATTTGGGCTCCTCTGCTGCAGACGAGAGTCATTTGCGCTTCCACACCGTTGCGCTATACATTGAGAGAGAGTGGGACGTCTTGCACGTGCATGCTTATGACTCAACTGTCGGGCTCAAGGCATTTCAACATGCATCAGGGCCAGCCTCGGCGGCGTACATCAACGGGGTGCAGCTCTTGCGCATCGCCCAAGAGCAAGGATGCTAGGGCACCATATTTGGCCATGGTCTCCTGTCCGAGTCACCGGTTTTGGCGAGTGCGATGGAAGACGCTCAGCAGGCAGGTAAGGCAGGAATGCCGATCTGGGTAGGTCCACCTTCGTCGCAGCTGGAGCTGTTCGGCAACAAGCAAGCAGCTCGCAAGATAATATGGGCTGTCGCTTATTTCCGGTACAGAGGTAACACAGTCGAGCGCGGCACAAGTGCTGGCATTAGTCAAAAGCTTGAAAACGGTTGAAAAGCGATTTTCAAAGCTGTGGCCAGCGGCGGTGGGCGTGCCGGTGTCCTTGAGAAAAATATAGAGGAAGCATATGCATCCTGTGCGCGCGAGGCGCATTCCTCTTTTTCCAAACCCAGGATCTCTACCGAACGCTACCCCTGTGGTTCCAAGCACTTCGAGATGCAAGTTCTCGGAGGTGTCACGGGAGGGGTTGTGCCTCTCCAGGATCGCGATTGATCCGTGCAAGGGAGAAACTGGGAGTTCATCGAGTTTGCTCCTATGCCTGCGCTCAATACAAAAACGATGGAGCGGGTACTTAGCCACGCGGCCAGGATGATTCAAAGAGGAAAACACAAGAATCTCGGCACGTGGGAACTCTTGGTCATGCCAAAGAGAGGGGAAGCGTTTCTGCTCGAAGTGAACCCGCGGATTCAGGTCGACCACTCTGTGAACATTCGCATTCGATTTTACCAATTCAAAGAGAAATAGGCTGGCAAAGCTCTAAACACGGGTGAATAGGGGTTCCGTGCCTAACTTTCGACTTTCCTGCTTCCCTTCAGGAGGCGGTCTTCGTGACTTGGCTGTATTTTGCATGTATGCTTTCGCTCGAGCTGTTCTTTTGGCATCGTATCATGGATAAGAACACGCAATTGCAAGGCAGTGGCAAGAGTTAATCAGGCATGGAAGACACAGCTCCTTGCAAGTGATACAGGATCATGACAGTACCCAGACAAGCGGACAAGGTCACTACTCATCGCTGAGCTCGGAGTCCTCGTCTTTCGGCTCAGCCTTGGCCTTTCGCTTTCTCCCCTTGGCGGGCGACGGCTTGGCAGGCGACTTCTTTGGGCTGGCGGCCTTCGCCTTGGGTGCACCCCGCTGCTTCTTTTGTGGCATGACCTCCTCATCGGATGTGCTGCCATTGTCACCATCCTCGTCATCTGAGACTTCCCATTTCGATTTTCGACCACCTTTTACCTTGCCCCTTTTGTTCTTGGGACTTGGATCGGACCCATCGTTCGAAAACTCGGCTTCCTCCTCTTCATCACATTCGGACATGGCTGTATCTTCTTCCTCACTCTCCTCCTTCTTTGATTTCTTTCCACCCTTTGGATTCGGTTTGGACGTAGCAGCTTTCTTTGCTGGAGCCCTCTTCGTACTGCCCTTTTTCGCTGGATTGCTTGAACTCGGCTCTGCAGCATCCTCGGCGCCAACTTCATCCTTCTTTGCTTTCTTCGGCGCTCGCTTCTTCATCCCCGAATTTTTCTTCGTCTTTCCGCCTCCGTCTTCCCCATCCGCTTTCTCTTCTTCGGGCGACTTGCGCGCGCTCTCAGGCACATCATCTGGGTCCACGTGACCTTCTCGCCACGCCTTGCGGATCTTCTCCTGATCTTCTTCCCTCATGTCCTCGAATCCATCCTGTGATCACGAGATGAAGAGAATCAGTTGCTGGACGCGGCTGCGGGGGAGAATGCTAATTGGCAACGCACGAGTTCTTCGGGCTCTTCCAGATTTTTCTTCATGTTCTCGAATTGCCTTTCGGTCACGCATCCCCCTGCGCGTGGACGAGCAAAAGCAAAGGGGTCAGTTTGTGATGCAAAACAGTGGAATTTCGAGGAAATGGGGGAATAGTCAAGTAGGCCAAAGACTCACAATGACGCCAAGCAAAGGTGCTGTTGCCTTGGAACTCAACCACAGTTCCAACGCGTAACTGGCCTGAGATGCAAGCCGTGCAGCAGATCGTGTGTTAGCTTGCGGAGGGAATGGGGATAGAACCGTGACAGGATGGAAGGCGGGCGCACCTTTTTCGATCTTGGTCCCACCACAAGGCTTGGGCCCCTGTACAGAAGGAACAGCAAAGGAAGTCGCGAAGCGCTCAGTTCCCTTGGCCTTGCTTGGTTTGCTTCGCATACCCAAACGCAACGCAACGCAGAAGACCGCTAGCTTCATGGGACACCCTCAAGCGAGTAGCCAGTACAGGCCCGCGGCTTCTGTGCTAAATTTTCGTTCTTTTTCGACTGACCTTGCAGCCGGCCCTGGAGAGCGGATGAAAAGCAACAGATGCATCAGCTTGGCGATGGCAAGCAGCGAATGGAGGGCGGGGAGAGTCATTGCGCTCACCTGTTTGACGGGCTATACTCGAGTCGGTACGCCATTTCGCTCGCGATTTTCCGACTCTCGAAGGCAGCTCTGCTATTACACTGCAGGATTTTTCTTCGCGCGAAGCTAGCGGTCAGAGCAATCCGTTTGATGAAAGCAAGTTGGAGTAGCAGCTTCAACAGGAAGCTGGAAGCCAAGACGGAGCGATCGGGTTGGCTGGTTGGGTGTCGCACGAGACGGCTCTATCATCGCATCTGAGAGAGACTTGACATGACAGTGACGCGACTTTACGCGTTCTCGGAAAATAGGGTTATTAACCAACACTCACATCTCTCTCTCCCTCGCTTCTTACGGACTTCTCAGTACTCTCACGTTGACTGGCCATCACGACGATTGACGTGATACGCTGACGCACATCATTCATCCGGGATGGTCCCCTCTGCAACCGCAAAACGTTGGCACCGTCGCAATACGTTTGCGAAATGGTGAGGTCGAGTTGCTTGTGCTCATGGAAGTCGAACCCACGGAAGCGGCCAAGCGGATCTTGTCCGACTTTCAGTCCCTCCCGTTCCACGTCCAAGATGAAGCAATTACGCGCGCCAAGTGTACAAACCAGCGCCTGCTGTGGTACTTGATTCCACACGACCGCAAGCGTGCCTAAAACGTCAGAGGCACCCTCAAAATACTAGCGGACGATAACAGATTGCTCGAGCTCGGAGCGTCCTGAGGCCAGAGTCTCGCTACAGTCTTGATCCGTGCGGATGGGCAAGCACTCGGCGTTTTCGCTTATTCTGACGTCTCCCCCCTCAGCGACGTGATCGATGTGCCGTCCGCGCTGAAATCGACGCGCTTCTCGCAGCTCCTGACTGACACGGAGGCGCTACACCTGCTTGTGCTGTGCGACACGCCCGGGTTCATGGCCTGGCTCGAAGCGGAGAAACAAGTTGACCTACGTGTCTTTGCTGAGTGTTTTGCCTCGCTTCGCTTGCTCGAGGCGAGAGGTGGTAGAATGCTCGGCGTCATGCTGCGTAAGCGTACGGTCTCGGTGCACAGGCGCTGCTCGCCGGTATGGCCCTCTCCAACTTCTTCGGCGTTGCTTGGGCTCGGGTCGAAATCGCCGGGATGAGGATTGAAGGTGTTTTCATCCTGGCCGATTTGATTTTTGACAGCTTGCAGCCACTAATACGTCTGCTTTCGTAGGCGCTGTCCGTCCCGGTTTGCGCAAGGAACTCGAAGCGATCAAAGATGAAAGAGAGCGCGAGCCGCTCTTCAAAGCACTTGTGGACGAGATTTATGAGTGCGGCAAGGCGGACAGCGCCACGAGGGTGCTCGAGATTGGCACAATCATTGATCCGGTAGATATGCGAGAGTAAGTCAAAAATAGGTCTCGCCAGTGACCAGGTCTGGACTCGGGTCTGGCTTGAAAAGCCTCCAACAGTGGCAGCGCAAAGTTGTGAAAAGAGCCCTGATGGCTGTACGTAATTAATGGTGTCTAGAACACATAGGTATATTGGTCTTCATGTTGTGAGCGAGTGCCAAAAGTCAACGCTCTTTGGGAAGCAACAGCCATGCTGCCAAGGCAGTCAAAAAGCCTGTCGCCTTTTCAAAGGTGGTGTGGAAGTACACCTGCGTTGTGAGCAGCATGAAGCTCCACAAGCCAATAAGAGCGAGGACGGAGAGCGCAGCAGCGAGGCTGAGCGCCTGCATGGGCGTCGGCTTTTTCGCACCTTTCGAATGCCCAGTGCTAACGGCGGCTGGCGCAGGTCCTCTGAACGGATTGGTCGGCCACCAGACACTCTTGGGGTAGAAGTCTGCCAAGGCGGGTACGAGATACGGGACGAATGGCGATAGCTCTTCGAGCAGGTATAAGATCGAGAGGGTCAAGATGAAGGTGTGGCCCGAGACGTCGTGTCCTCCTTTCCCTGTGCAGGCACACGCGTCAAAAGGCGAGCGATGTGAATAGCTGAGGTTGAAGGCCTGGAGACATTGAAGACTCACACTGCACTTTGACACCGCCGTGCGAGGCCACTCTCGATGCAAAGGCATCACCAGCAGGGAAGAGGTGTGGATGGGACGAGCGAGTGAGGCTCTTGCGCCTGTAGCAGTACACCGTGTCCACTTTTGCAGGCAGCGAAAATAGAGAGGTCGTCGGAGCTGTGTTGACGGGCACGCATTCACCACCGGTAGCGATGAGCACGCGCAGCATGAGCGGCGGGCCAAAGAACCATCCGGCGAAGAGCACTACACACAAGATTGGGAGTTGAAATCGTCAGAGCAGCCTGGAATCTGATGGGAATTGCTCTCAGCTAGGGGTGTTTGTGACTGACCCCAACACAGCGTCGCAGTCGCAAATCTGAACAAAGAGATGGACAAGGGCGATCCAATAGTGGACTTCCTTGTAGCTGCCGTCTTTTGGGCGGCCGCGACTGCAGGCCCGGTGGGGACCACTGCAACATCATCGTCTTTCTTTCTCTGCGCAGCCTCCCTCCCCGATCCGGAGATGGCGGACTTTAAGAAGAGAGCTTGAATTATGAATGCAAGGATATTCCACCCCCAAGCACGCTTGACGAAGAGCTGGTTGAGAACGTTGCGCTTGTCCGCAAAGTAGCTTGTGGGGGGTAGGAAAGCGGTGTGCGTAGTGGGACTAGAGGAAGTTGCTGCGTTGAGAACGTGCAACCGATCGAATCCTTCGGCGACATTGTAGAGATGCGAGCCCGTTGCAATTGCGTACAAACTGCCGCCAACAACGATGGAGCCTACAATGCAGAGGTAGAGGAGATGGAAAGGTTGCAACCCCAAGGGTAGGCCAGCACGAGCGGCAGGACGGGCGCCTGGTTGTGCAGCCATCATGGACCGTGCTTTCGAGCCTGGCGAAGATGCAGAGCAGCTCTTTTCCAGGCCTGAAGGACGTCAGATCCGCGCTTCGTAGCCGGCGCAAGGCGCTAAAGATTGGTAGACAAGCGTCACGGCTGCCTTGTCTCTTATTTGCTGGCAACGAAGAAAGCGGTGTGCTTCCATAAGAGTTCAAACTGCGTCATGAAGCGTGAGGCATGGAGCGTCGTGCTCAATGTCGGTCGGTTCCGCCCCGCGAATGCTTTGCATGTAGAATAACTATGTATGCCTTGCTTCTATACGACCAGAAGAACAAGATGACTCCACAAAGGAAGACTTGCCTTGCGATGAACATACAGGAAAATAATACAGCATGCCCTGCCGGTGGGGGGAAGAGGCAGGCAGATAGATGATGTGCAAGAAGGAACGACAAAAGGGTTGAGACTCTAATAAGCGCAGGGCTGGTCGTGGATGTGTCGTGTGAGGCTGATGTGGCCGATGTTGGATACTGGTGATGGTGATCATGCTCGAAGACGCGTCCCGAGACAGAGAAAGAACTCAATGTATGGAAACAAAGCTGGTCCAGGTAGCATACTATAAAAGCCAGCAATGGCCAAGTAGTGTCCATCGGATAGGATCGGCTCTATCGCTCTAGCTCTCGCTCTGACCCTGACCTTCAGGCCGGGGCATGCTCCCCTGCCGTGCAACCCAGCCGCCATACTGCGGCGGCAGCTCCTCGACCTGCTCCGCCTCAGGCGGCTGGAGCGCAGGTGCAGGCACAGGCCCGGCGTCGCGGTGCTGTACGAGCCTGCTGCTCCCCGCGACGGGTAGCCCGTCCTGGTCCGACTCGTCGCCAGGCAGCGGCAGCTTCTGCGGCAACGCAGGCGCCTCGGTCCCGCTCGCGCCCCACGTTCCTGCCACTGCCTCAGCAGCAGCAATCATGTCCGTACCCGTATCCGCATTGATGGCGCGCAGCGGCCCGCGCAGCGCGGCAGAGCTCTGGCTATTCGTCCGCGAATGCAACGCTGCTGCGCCGCCCTGAAACGGCGAGCGTGGCGGCAAGGGCGGCGAGGCAGAGCGGCCAGCAAGCGAGGCTGACGCGGCGGACGTGCCAGCCGCAGCTCCTACTCCTGCACCCATCGCCGCGCCAGCAAAGGCGGCGAACTGCGTGCTGTGCGTGTGCTGCGACGTGGGCCGCAGCAGTGTGGCTGCCGTGCCGTCGGGACTGCCCGGTGCCGATGCCTCAGCCGTATTGGTATTTGACTGCGAGTGTTGCGGGTCGTAAGGGAAAGGCGAGACGCCACTGTGCAGAAAGGAATACGAAAATGCAAAGAGAAATCATCAGCACAGCGTTCGCGGCGCCTCCAAAGAACGACTTACTATGACTGTCTGACACCAGCACTCTGCCTCCTTGTGGCACGAAGCAGGCCGCCTCCGCCGGGCGCCTCAACCATATCTTCGTCGCCGTCGAGGTCGACAAAGTGATCCTCCTCCTTGCGTGCAGCATCGCGCAGCTTGCGCTGCCGCCGCTTCCACAGAAAGTACGCTACGCCGAGCGCACAGACGATGCCGAGCGCGATGATGGCGCCGACGATACCACCGACAATAGCCCCTGTGTTGCTGCCGCCACCGCCGCTGCTGCTGCCACCTGTTGAGCCTGATGCAGTCTCGTTCCCGCTCGTTCCCATGCCCGTGCCTGTCGAGTCTGCGACCGCGCCGGATAGGTTCTGAAAGCTGGCGGTGATGCCGTTGAGCGGGAGAGCGTTGCCCGCGACGCGGTTCGGCAGCTGGTAACTGTTCGCCAGACAGTCCTGGTCCGAGGAGGCGCCGACCCTGTACAGCTGCGACGTCCCGCCCGTCGCGCCACCCGTGCCGTCGCCGAGGACGATGAAAAAGTCTGTGCCTTGAGCGTAGGGCAGGATGGTGGTGTAGTTGAAGAACGTCTGATTTTGCGTCGCGGAGGCGGGCACGTTTACAGTTTGTGGGACACCTTGTAAGGGGAGGTACTGCCGGAGAAATCGTGATTAAGTGTCAGCGCGTCTTGGCTTTCCAATGGCGCATGGATGAACCGTACTGATCCACTCACAGTCAGAGTGAAAGGCCTCGTTCCCCTGCTGTCAAGCGTGTAAAACTTGATGTTGCCACACTGGACCATGTTGTTGGTCGAGCCGACGAGGCTATCGGACGCCCACAGGAAGGAATTGCTCGCCGTGTACGGGTCACATGACGCCGTGCTGCCGGCAGGGACGTACGGCGCAAGGGGTCTGCTGGTGTTGCCGTTACCTTGGGCGTCCGCGACGGTCACGGTGAACGTCGAGAATGTGGATGACTTTGGCGGGATGGTGTACTGGAAGGTGATGTCACCGTTGGCATCGCGCTGGTAGTCTTTGTTGATGCGATAGGACTGGGTTGCGCTGAACAGCGACGAGACCCAGACGACGTACGGAAAGCCCGAGCTGGTCGGTGTGAACGTGACATTTAGTGGGGCGCAGACTGCAGGCGAAGAGAGGTTGAAGGTCAAGGCAGCGGCGGCGCCTGGTGAGAGGGTAGCGGCGCTTGCGGCCAGAGATGCAAGCAGTGACAGTGGGCCACCATGTTTCCCTATTCTTCGTCTGACTGAAGCGGGGATCATGCTGATGACAGCGAAATACACGACGAGACAGCGAGAGGCTAAAAGGACCAAAAGAACACTGGAACTCAGCATCGGGAGATCTGAACAGTGGGAAAAAGATCAAATAGCGGCCTGGCCTCGAAGGAATGGCCGTATAGCATTATTCAGGAAGAAGCCAACGCCCACGAGGTTCAGCAGTTGTGCGGCAACGACAAGCGCTCACCTTGGATAATTGCCAGCGCTGCCTGGTGCAAAAGAGCGAGACTTGCACCCCTCCAATTTCCGAGACACAGAAATTATCTCGCTCGTCCGTCGTTCTTCTACTTGTCAGGTAGATTGATGGATAGGTCACGCCACGCCGTGCTGGCAAGAGGTGTCTGGTATCTATCCTTAATGTGACTAGGTGTATCGTCGCAGAAGCCCACGGCGCGTGGGGAGAGAGGCGTCGGGGTGTGCCGGGAGGATGAGCAACGGCTCCAGCCCGGCTCTCTTCGTCTACTTCCTGCGTGTCGATGCCGACGAGGAGAAGGAATGCTGATGCCGTTGCTGATGGGTCCCACGCGCAGATGACAGATCTGCGGGCTGGGTGGGTGGGCGACAATGGGCGGCGGCGGGGGATGTTGGTGGTTATGACCCCATACGATCCGATGGTATGCCAGACAGATAGGATAAGAGGGAGCGTTTAGTGGCATCGGATAAATTTCAGGTTGGGGGAAAACGGCACGCGAGTCCCCGGAAAACCCTCACACGCGTACTGCGCCACTGCTGCGACCCGCTCTCTCGATGTACCGGCTGCCCACCTAGCTGCTGCAAACGCCGTACTGAGAGTGTCATTTCGGGGGAAACGAGCTGCCCACCCCGCTGATACGGCGGTTCTACAGGCAATGGTTGCGAAACTGCCCGGTTTTGGCCCTTGCGCGTCTCACTTTCCTTGGCTTGGCGAAGGACAGAGGTAGTAGTGTGGATAGGGTAGTGACAAGTGGGGTTATGTCGCCGGTACTCCGCCATCATGGGCCATCACCACCACCCATAAGGCACAGAAAAGCATTCGTGGCTGACGAGTGGTGACACTGTTTTGAATGGAGCGAAACAAGCTCTTGGGATCCCTTCTCTGTGGTCGTGGTCATACGGGACGGCACCTTGCCATTGTTGGCGCAAGCGAAGATGCGTCTATCATGACTGCAGCCCAGCGATCGGTCGCCGGAGAGAAGCGATTGGCAATTGCACGAGGCCATTGGAGATGAGCGAATATATTCGGGTGGATCTCAAGGCGCAGCACAAGAAATGATGGAGAGCGTGCAGTGGCACTACAAGGAGAGCAGGCCCTGCTGGAGCCGATCACAAGAGCCGCATTACATAGCATACATTCGCGGAGATGCCTTCCTTCCCGCAGAACAGACCACGTTCTTCTTATAACCCAGCCCGTCTCCCGCGCGGCCGTGGCGTCGCACCAGGCTGCGCGATCTTCGGTGTGGACAGTACGGCCGCGTCGAGCGTCCTCCAGTCGTGCGCCGCTGTCTGACTCCGCATGCTCGCCTCATGGTCCCTGGCGAACTGAATCTCCAAATCGGCCTTCTTGCTGAACTCGGCGTCGTGCGCGTGGCGAGCGTGCGAGCCGATCGCGCCGCGCTGCTTGACCGAGTAGAATACGGAGCCCAGGTCGGCCAGCCAGAACGGGTCGACGGCGGTGACAGTGCCCATGTACTCCTTGGATGTCAGCGTCAGCTCGTGGTACACAACATAGTCCGGTGTATAGCCCAGGCCGTACAGCGCGCTCGTCGGGTGCAGGTGCATCGGGATACCCGTGCGGCAGTGCACATATTCGCCGATGCCCTTGACGCGCGCGGCCTGGTGGAAGTAGCCCGACGTGATGCACTTGCGCACCACATCCCAGTCCGTCCCGCAGCTGACCACCTCCAGCTTCTGCATCTTCATGATGTCCTCCAGCTGCGCCCGTACTTCCCTGGCTTTGCGCAGCAGCTTCGCGTGCAGAAAGTGCTTGGCGCACCACGAGTCCTTGTAGCCGTTCGAGCGCCATAGCGTGTAGACGTGCAGCAGCGTCAGATGGTCGCTCTCCGCTACAAAGAACTTCTCCCGCGCCGAGTCGCTCTCCTCCTGCCGCTCTTTCGGTCGGTAGAAGACAGAGGGCACGCTGAGCATGCTCACGATCGTGAGCACCTCGGCCGAGCATCCGTACTGCTGCGCGCTCATGATCAGGATCTTGGATAGCGACGGCTCCATCGGGAACTCGGACATCTTCTTCCCCAGCGGTGTCAGGTTGCCGACATTGTCCAACGCGCCAAGCACCCAGAGTTGGTACATTGAAGTTAAGATGTTCTCCTGCGGCGGCGGGTCCATAAAATCGAATTCTAGCAGATTCTTAACGCCGAGCGACTTGAGCAGCAATACTGTGTTGGCCAGGTTCGTGCGCTGGATCTCGGGGATGTTGTTGGGAAACAGTTCGTTGCGGAACGCCATCTCGGTGTAGAGACGATACGCTGTGCCTGCACCAGTACGGCCGGCACGACCGGAACGCTGATTGGCGTTGGCCTGCGAGATGGGCGTAATCTGCAACGAGTCCATGCCGACGCGCGGATTGTACACCTTGAGCTTGCTGTACCCGGCGTCGACGACAAACATGATCCCGTCAACAGTGAGAGATGTCTCAGCGATATTCGTTGCGACAATGACTTTGCGCTCGCCGTTTGGTGAGGGCTCAAAAATCTTTGCTTGCAGATCGGCAGGCATCTGGGAGTAAATGGGTAGTGCAAGCAGCGGGGGCGCGTCGTCCAACTGTTCCAAGCGCTCATTGACAACTCGACATGTGATCTCAATGTCCTCTTGGCCTGTCATGAACACAAGCACGTCCCCACTTCCACCTGATAGGTGGATCGACAAGACTTGCTTCACCGCGCTCTCCACATAGTCTTCGCAAGGCGCTCGGCTGAACATGACGTCGACAGGGAACGTCCGGCCTGGGATGGTAAAGCTGGGAGCGCCTCCAAAAAAGTTGGAGAACTGGCGCAACAGAGTGAGATCGCTTTGATCAGTATCAATATCGAGTTCTTTCTCCTTTCTGCAAACTCACCTTTTCGGCATTCATGGTGGCGGACGTTACAATGAGCTTGAGGTCCCGACGGCGCGTGAGAACTGCAGGTAAAAACGTACTCAGTTAGCTACCATGCCAAGCGCATACTCCTCAAAGCAAACCTCACTTTTCTTGAGCAGACCCATGAGAATGTCCGTGCTCAAGCTCCTCTCGTGCGCTTCGTCCAAGATAATGCAAGTGTACCGATCGAGATCGCCCTCATTGAGGCTCTCACGCAGAAGCACACCATCGGTCATGTACTTAATGCGCGTCTGCGGACTAGTGCAGTCCTCAAACCGAATGCTGTATCCGACCGTCCCACCGAGCTCGCACTCCATCTCTTCGCTCACCCGCTTTGCGACGCTCATCGCGGCCACGCGCCGTGGCTGGGTACACGCGATCATGCTACCCGAGCCCGAAGCGTAGCCCTCCTCGTAGAGGAATTGAGCAACTTGAGTCGTTTTCCCCGAGCCCGTCTCACCGATGACGACGACGACTTGGTTTTCTCGGATGATCTTCATGAGATCCTCGCGGCAGGCAAAAGCTGGGAGGTACTGCCGCTGTTCTTTGAGTGTCTTCCCACGGCTAAAGGCCGATGCGCCCTCGCTCTTCTTGAGATGGCTCGCGAACTGCGAGTCGCTTCTTGGATTATCCGCCTCCGCCCTGTCTTTCTTAGCTTGCACGGAAGCATTGCTGCCCGTACCAATGCCTGGTGCGCCCGCTTTGCCCTGCTGCTCGTCCTCGTCTTCCTTGATGCCCATGATGTTTCCGAGCGCAGTCCCACCGAGAGCCGCTGCTCTAGCCGTCGCCTTCTCCCTCTCGCTCTGCTCTCGCTTCTCCTTGACGAGGCGACTGCCTTTCTTGGAGAACATGGCCATGTCGCTCGTCGGGTCCTTGATCGGGTTGACCGGTTCAATTTGCTTCGTGAAGACCGTCTTGCCGTCCAAGAAGGGTGGTCTCAGGTCGTGCACGAGCAGATGCACACGCGCCTCCTCCTCCGCATCAGCCGCTACGCCATCCAAGTCGACAAACCGCCGCGGCCCGACGCCACCAGTCTGCATCCGGTTCACCTCCCAGTCGTCGCGATCGGCGTTGTACTGCGCCTGCTTGGCCGTCACTCGCGCAGTCTGCTGCCTGCTCGCCAAGGAACCGCCAGCGAGAAGCTGCCCATGCATGTCCTCGAACTGCGAGAACGGGTTGTGGTCCTCGTCACCCGCCAGCCCCTCTCGCTCTTCCATCGAATACCACTCGCGGTCCATCGCGACCTGTGCAGCGGGATCGCCGTCAGGGTCGTCGCCCCATTGCCAACCAGCAAGTGTCATCCGCCCATCCTCTGCGCCACGACGCTCAGATCCCCGCTCCGTAGGGTATCGGTCTGTATACGCGCCTCCGCGCCGTGCGCTGCTGTCAGAATAGCCGACACGCATCGAGCGTGAAGCACTAGAAGGCGTCGCGTCCCAGGCACGACCACGAAGGGAGCTGGTTGTCGATGGGATGTCCCCGTCTCTGTCCCTGCTGTGTGAAAGCTGTGGTGTGGAGTCCCAGCTTCGCTCGGGGAGCGATGCAGCCGAGCGTTGGCTGGCATCTGCCCATCCGTCCCGGGCACTGCCTCCTGTATGTTGCGCCTGACCACGAGGGTCGTCAAAGGAGCGTTGCCTGCCTTCCCGCTGCTCTCGATCACGTGCTTGGCGCTCCTGCCACGCGTCTCTCCTCTCCTGCCTCTGCTCCATGTCCCGGTTGAGCCGCTGCCTGAACTCTGAGAAGCCTCCTCTCGCATCCTCATCAGCTTGCCTTCCCCCACTTCCACCACGGTCCCTCCCGCCATCCTGCGCAGCAAAACTTCCCACCGCTAGTCTCGCCCCTCTTCGCTGGGCTAAACGCTGTCGGGCCACTTCTGAGAGCCCTCCGCCAACTGGTCCGGGAGTCTCATCTCCTCGCTGACGACGCTGCAAGCAGCTCGAGGATGCAGACGAACGATCATTAGCGCCTTCCGCGGAGGAAGAGTACGAGTGCTCATGTTCGTCTCGGCGAGCGGGGGGTCGGGCGGGTACTTTGAAGAGCGGCTGCTCGTCTCCGTTAGGTTGACCACCATTTTGACGAGGCGTTGGGGGTGGCAAAGCCTCGACCTTGGATTTCTTCCTGGCCGGTTCCACCTCGCCGCGTTCTTGCCGCCTTTGCTCTGCGAGTGCTTGCAGGCCTAGGCTCGAGCCTGCGCTTGAGGAGCGAAAGACGTGTTTCTGACGGCAGACAAGAAACTTTAGCAAGTCCATCGAGAGAAGCAGTAGCGTACCGACTACCGACTCACCTGTCCTTCTGCAGTTTGCAGTCCTGCTCGCTTTAACGTTGGTACATCGAGCCTGTCCGAACCATGCGCCCCTACTGCATCCACATCCTTTGAATCAGCTGCGCCTCCATTCTGTAGCGAAGCTGATGATGGAATATCCTTGCTACTGAGAACAATATTCCTGATGGCTTTCAGGAATTCGTGATCGAATTTGCCAAAGCCACTGGCGGCACGAATAAATGTTGCCTCACCGGGCTGACTGCGCGCGATGGTGATTATGTTGTTTGCAAGGATATGGGCATTCGTCTCCGGCAGGCCGAGCGCTCCGGCCAAACGCGTAGCGATGTCGGATTGGAGGTTGCTCGCCATGATGGAGACGTAGAGGGGAAACTGTATCCTGTCCTTATCCTCGATAGTTGATCGCAACAAGTGATGATAGATGGGCTTGCTTCCAGCGCGGCACGATGATGCTATCGTGTATCGCGTCAGAAATCCTGGACTCCGTAACGTCGCATCCGCGCCTCTTACTCCAACCAACAGCCCAAAAAGCCGCGCAGGAAGACTCGACGCGGCTTTCGAAAGCTAGTGATCTGCTGCAGAAAGGGACTTTGTGCGGATGGCATCGACCCCTTCACACCTTTTCTCCTTCAGATGCTCGATCCCACGCGATCCAAAGCAAAGCAAAGCATTCAATTCTCCACTCCGTAGTAGAGATGAGATCCATGGGAGACTATAGACCCAGGTTCCGTGACACGGAATTCGTAAATCCAAAAATATAGAAAGCGTAGAATGTTGCTGAGCTAAACTGATATCGTTCGAGTAGGGGTTCGACCGCCAACCATCTCACTCTCCGAGTCGCCGCTCGAGAGTCCGCAGTAGAACGAGGCCGTGTTGGTTGGGGCGCGCTGGTTTATTCTCTCATGCATGGTGATGCAACAATAGAGGATGTGCCGTGTGCACGTTATAGCCGCTTTTTGGACGCCCGCTGAGGCGCAAGCGGGCTCCAAAGGCTGGGGGTTTCTCATCCAGGTCAATCCTGGCGGGGGCCTAGTAATCTGGATGTAGAACGAGTCGACGACGCCTTAGAGCCACCTTCCCGCACAAGAGTCAGGGGTGGTGATTATACTTTTTTGCCCCATCGCGGATAGACTTTTGGATAACCAGAGTGACGCGCGGGTCCGGCCCTGCCGGAAGCGAGCGAAAGGGAGATACAAAGAAACGATTTCCGCTCGCTCACATTCTACGCTGACGCAGCGGTGAGTCGCACAGCCACAGCCTTGTATTCTCGAAACCATCTCCATCCAGCATCGAGCAGCGATCGTAGGCCCGATCACCAACTCATCCTCTAATCTCCCATTGACCCCTAGCCAACTGCAGCGCGACAAACTCAAGAAGAAGGGGCCGTTTCTCAATTACGGCACATTGAAAATCATACCACAGAAAGGAAAAGCGGAGAAAGGTGAATGATTCCATCCCTCCATTCCGTGCAGCTCTCGTCAACTTCTGTCATTCGCTTTGCTTCGACGTTTGGTCGAATCGCGGTTTCCCCTTGTCGGACAGTTTCACTCAAGGTCACACAGCGCGTGCTGCTCTCTACACTTGCACAGGCCGAATCACAACCGCACTCTTGCCAGCGCCTGTCGCGTCTCCAAGTTTCCGTACACGCAACCATGACGACGTCATCTATAGTACCATCATCATCGGCAGCGGCAGGAGTGGCAGCGACAGAGGCTTCCGGCTCTGGGGCTGGGAGACGCCAAAAATTACCGAAATTGGAGTCGATTGAAGCTGCTAAGCGCGCAGCGGCGTATGCTGCGGTAGACCGTCATGTCAAACCATCTCACAAGATCATTGGCATCGGGAGTGGTGAGTTCCTTGATCAAGTCACTCGAATGATTAGGAGTATATCTCGCAATTGTCACATCCATAGCGAAAACTGACGCGACTCGGGACTTTTCACAGGCTCAACAGTGCCCTATGTTGTCGAGCGCATCATCCAACAAGGCCCGGAGGTGAATGCCAAACGCTGGTTCGTACCAACCGGCTTTCAAAGCAAGGAGTTGATCGTCCAGGCTGGTAAGTTTTGGTGCACACGAAGCGCGCATGACCTCGGTCGACGAGTAACTTCAAAGCCGACTACTCACCTCTTACTTCTGCTTGTTGACAGGCCTTAACCTTGGCGACGTCGACTGCTTCCCGACGATCGATGTGACCATCGACGGCGCGGACGAGGTGGACAATTGCTTGAACGCAATCAAAGGCGGTGGTGCTTGCCATCTGCGGGAAAAAGTGCTAGCGGAAGCAGCGACGGAGTTTGTAATTGTTGCCGACTACCGCAAGAACTCCAATATCCTCGGTTCAGCGTGGACGCAAGGCGTGCCCATCGCCGTCATACCCTTTTCCTATGCCAAAGTCATGCGCGATCTCAAGAAGCTCGGTAGCACCAACGCGCAGCTGCGCATGGGAAAGATGAAAGCCGGCCCAGTCGTCACCGACGACTCATGTTTCATCATCGATGCAGTCTTCAGCCCGGCGGTGATGAAGGATCCGCAGGAGCTGTTTATTCGCATCAAGATGCTCGTCGGCGTCGCCGAGGTCGGTATTTTTGCGGGCATGGCAAAGGCTGCGTACTTTGGCAATGCTGACGGCACCATCACCACCAAGATGTCCGATGGCAAGGTCGAGGAGGGCGTCCGCTTTGATGTCGAGCAGCTTCCGCCCCTTGCCGATGCAGTCACGGAGACTTCATGATGCATGCAAAGACCTTAGATACGTGCACATTCATTTGGACATCTTCCGACCCGTTCTCCGAGGGCCTTAGACAATCTGTACCAATATAGCAAGCCAAACCAGATCCCGTGTTGAGATTCGACTCTGTACGTCCTTAGAATTGAGCATTGGGTGGATCAAGTCGTTGGGTAATGATAAGATACATAAAAGCGGACACGGGGAGGGGCTAGATGCAGCAAAACAATAGGCAAGGCACCGCTCCCATCGAGCTCAGCTCCTTAGAGGGTAGTCTGTCCAAGCAGGTACTGGACCAATTTGAACCCGGCCGGCGGGTCATACTCTGGCACCTCGTGGCCAGCCTTCTCGACGAGCGCGTACAACAAGCCGCGCTCCTTGGTGTACCAGCCGCTGGCATCGCCATCGCTGTTGATCAGCGTTGTCGCAAATGGCGACTTGGAGAATCCCTGTCCGCCGTTCCAAGTGAGATTCTGCAGCGCCAGACTCGTGCCGTTAGAGATGATCAGCCCGTCCTTCTGGCCATTGATGATGACCGTGCGCTGCGCCGGCGACTTCTCGATCACCTTCTGCAGCACACCGTTGGTGTCCGGCGCAGGGCTGTGGTCACCATTCGGGAAGACGCCCTGGTTGCAAACGTTCCACTTCTTGTGCGGCGCGTGGATATAGTTCTGCAGGTCGTAGTTGTCATAGAAGGTGCGGTTGAGGAACTGCGTGGGCGAATTGGCGTCTCCAAGCACGTTGGGAGGGTGCGCTGTATCATCCACCTTGTAGATGTTGAACGCGGGGTTTTTTGACGATGCAATGTTGTAGTAATCGTTGAAGGTGTTGCAGCCATCCTCGTTGTATGGCGGGAGCTTGCCTTTGGGTGGGTATTTGAGGTTGTCGTTGACGTAGTCGATGTAGCCACACGATTCTGCGTCCTTGCGGATCGTCTCGACGTCCGCGTCGGTGAACTTGAGAATCTCCTTGTTGGCCTCCACGAACTGGTACGTCACGACGTCCTCTTGCAAGAGGATGTCCGTGACGACACCGTCGACGACTAGCAGACCATGGAAGTTGTACTTGGACCCCTGATCGATCAGGTAGTTGGAGATGTACGGTCCGTACCGCCCGCCGTAGGACTCTGCAGCAATGTACAGTTTCTTGGCCTTCAGTTCAGGGAATATGCTGAAGAAACTGTCGAGGAAGGCACCGAAGGCCACTCCGACATCGTTCTCGTCGTACGCCGTCGGGATGCCGTTGTCGAATCCGACACCCAATGGCTGTTCTGGGAAGACCATGTCGGCCGCGAGAGTCCATGAGTAATTGTTCGGCGTGGGTGTGTCGCCTTTGTAGTTATACGTGATCGGACCAACCTCCTGAAGGAGGCCACTCAAGCTGCTGCCTGTCATCCACAAGCGTGGATTTGGAGAAACATGTCAGTCCATAGCAGTCTTGATGTAGGAGAGGTTGTCCAGTGTACTCACACCCTGGACCGCCTTGGATCCAGAAAACGATCGAATCGGAAGGAGTCTTGGCATCGCCACCCTCATAGCCGAACATCCAGAAGAAGTAGCTGTCGAGGCTCGCCCCTGCGACAGGGTTCAGCGGGACTTCGCCAGCCCATGACGTCCTTGTCTTGAATGGGATGCCAGGGAGCTGGTTTCCAACCTGGTACGTGGCAGCCTGTGCGCCGGCAAACGACAGTGTGGAGTTGCAGTCCGTTGTGCAGGCCGTTGGGCCAGCGAGAACAGATCCGGAGGTAGCGGCAGCGACGGTCTCGACGGTCTGTGGAGACCTGTACCCGATGGACTTGAGAACGCCCAGTGGTATCTTCTGGGCCTGATTGGATGCACGCTCCTCCAGAGGGGCAGCAAAGGTGGCGGCGGCAAGGAATGGAAGGAGATATGGGACAAGCATCTTGCACATTCAACCTACTTGTGCTTGCCACGAAAGGTGCAGGGAAGTGATGGATGGTGGCCAGAGGGCTTTAGAACGGGGGAGGACGAAAGCGGGAATATGGTGTGGGGGTTCGATATGCGGTTTATATATCCACAGAACACGCACAGACCTTGTTGTACTCGGACATGCACTTCTGCTGCGTGTTCGATTGCCGTTTTCCACCGTCGGCAAGCTGACCATCACGTATACAGGATAGGATCCAGGCCGGTTGGACGATAATAAATGAACTCGAGAGAGCACAGAATCTGCGACTCCTCTCACGAGGCTCTCGGTTGCGCATGATTGTGCCGCGTGCAGATTGACCTTGGTGCATACTCGTACATTGCAGTTCATGTTGCTTGTAGAAGACGATTGCCGGTTCGCGATATCACTGCTGGCTCCGCCATACCGCCCACAAGATATCTATGTATGTGTAGCTGACACTCGACTCGAGCAAAGAAGCAGTCTAGCGACAAGCTTTGGGGGGGTTGATGGGATCGGCGCTAAAACGAAAAAAGGAACATCCGTGGCTCATTCAATCCGGGCGCGCACCTGCACAGTGAATATATGCTTATAAGTACAAGGTGAATGCGCCCACGCGGGCCGACGGCGATCACCTTCCAATGAAATGAAACACTCTGGCGTTTTCCCCATAAAATTGACTTGAATCAGGCGTTGCACTCAGTGTATCCATAATCTTTTTTCCTACACCGGCACCTGCGAAGGCGACCGCGTGGAGGGAGGCACCGCAGGGCATTGCAGTGCACCCTAGCGTAATTCGATTGTGCAGCAAGGCGCAGCGCCGCAGTCAGCACTCAGCATTCAGCCGTCAGCACCTTGTCCGTAATAGGTAATGAGCAGGTCCGCGTGTCCCGACAGGTTCGACAGCGTTCCATGCTTGACACCCGACAATACATCGCCGGACATAGCTCTCCGCTCTCGATATGTAGCCGCTCCCCTCCCCAGCTGCAAGAAAGTCAGAAAAGCATGGTACGAACTGCGCAGTGATGATGTAGGAGGATGAAAGCAGTGAGAACGAATCCGAAGAAATATGCAGTGATGAAGTGGGGAAGAATGCTTTAAGGCTGCACTCGTCGGTCCACCAGTGAGCTACAGCGAGGCGCGTGCGCCGTGCGGCCATGTGGGATTCTTGCAGGACTCTCCGCCGCTAGACCTTCTTGCACGATGCATGACGCATTGCTGCGTCGGACATACTCAGCTGCTCGTCGCTCCTCCGGCGCCCAAGAGTCCAGGAGTCCATGTCTAAATAGCTAGCAGATAGTTCGAATCCAGCGCCAGCGTGGTCTAGCGCGGCCCCCTACAGCACACTGTTGAAGCTAGTGAAACCTTGTATAAAATGCGCGGTTGTGACCGATGAGCACTGGAAGAGGCACTGAATGCACCTTGTCAACCCTAATGAAAGTGGTTCAACCCTTGACCATGTCCTCCACCGAGTCAACGACTCAACGCTCAGCGCTCACAACTCTCAGTATCCTCTTAACATCGATCGGTCGTCTCTTCCTTCTCTGTGGGCCAAAGCATCTGTGTGTCTGCCTGCAAATAATTTGAAGGAGAAGTTCCCGCGCATATATAAAAATAAATACACGAATGTCGATGAGAAGGGGCGCACACCTATGAGAGGGTGCTCGCCTGGCTTATAAGATCCTCGCGCATCCTGAGTGCGCCAGCCCTGGCGTACTGCGGGATACCTGTGCACTGATCACAAATGCGGTGACGTTAGCAGCGATTGGAAGAGACTGCCATTCAATCAAGCCTCTGTTCACCGTGACCAGCATTGTAGAATTCGGGCGTAGGCCAGGTTCTTCTCCGCCACCCACTTACCTGCCACCTGACCGTCGGCTTCGACCAGGGACAATGTCGGAAGCGTTCTGAAGCTTTGATTGCCATTAGAGACCATGCTTTGTATCGTGAGCGCGGTTCCCTGCGGAATAGTAGAGCAGCATGTAGCAAAGGTTGAAATCATGGTAAAGCTGAGTCAGTATGTACCGTGCCTCTTTGCCGCTGATACAAGCATGGCCAAGGAAGTGTAACCTCGCGTTGGTATTAATGACAGCGTCCACGTCGCCGCTTGATATGACCATGAATGTGGAGGCCTCCACGATCTGCTGGAGCACTCCGTTACTGTCACAAGGGGCGGGCCCATCGCCATTCCAGAAGACACCTGAGTTGCAGAGATGCCACTTGCAACAGGCAAGCTAGCGCAAGAGTTCAAAAAGCCATACCGTCAGCCACAAATGCGCAAAGAAGAAACAGCAACAGATCGCTGCATTGCACGTAATAGCTCCTTACTACTCATTGGGGGAATGTATGTCTTTCTGCACCGTGCTGTTCTCAAAGAAAGTTGCCTGGCTTACCTGCTTGGGGTCTTTGGGATCTCCGAGCATATTGGCGGGCGTCGGGCACCAGTCCGGGATGTGGTAGAAGTTGAAACAGGAAATCCTGTGTGAAACATGATCAAATGGGGTGCGTATTAGCTGAATATGGCTAATAGTACGAGCCTCCAGCGACGCTAAGACTGAAATGTTGGCTGTCAGGATCTAAACCTCATTTCAAGGAGAATAGCTGCGCTCAACTCGGGTTCTTGAAGTATTTGTCCGTGAAGCCGAGGCTGCAGCATTGGCTGAGGTAGCGCTTGAGGGTGGACAAGTCCGAGCTTGTCAAACCTAACGTCTTAGCATACTTGACACCGTACTCGTTAGCGACAGCAACCTCTTCCAGGTTGCGAGCGGTAAATGTAGCATCAGCCATGCTTATGCCCTTGAGGTTGTGCGTTTTCCTATTCTAGATTTGGTATTGTGAAATGTACGGAATGTACATGTCTACCGAGCGACGCAAGAATGTCGACCACCCATTTTCACTGCAACACCATCACCACGTGTGTGAAAGTGAATGGCAACTCACCGGCGTAAAATTCTCCAGTAATATCCAGGTTCTTGTGCTCGACCTCAGAGAAGATGATAATGAAGTTGCCCAGGAAGCCAGCGAGCTGTGATGCGACATACGTCCCATCTTGAGTCGTCTCCGTGCCCTGCGTGAAATCCATGCCAAAGGGCTTTGCAATCTTGTGTCACTCTGTTACGCACTCGGGGTTTCACGACACTGTTCTCGAAAATTGCACACTCAACTGCTCAACGTAAAGAATGTTGACCGCTCTGGCCCAGCTGTGCGGATTCACCCTAGGCGTATCGCCCTTGTCTACATAACTCACTAGGCCATTTTCTTTGAGGAGACCATCGAGTGAGTTGCAAATTCACATGATGAAAGGGTTGATCAGGATCACTGTGCCAGCTATGCAGGAAACCAACGTGCCGCCACTCACGAGGCACCTGGTATGCTGTTCATCCAGACGACAAGGTCATCCGACGGCGTCTCGGCACGCCAAAGCCAGAAGTACAGCAATGGAAACGACGAGGAGCTGATCGGAACTTTACCAGGCCACTGGTTGCAGACTAGGAAGCTAGGCGAGTTTGTTCTGGACAGCATATTTCCGAGCGGCAGCGCCAGAGAACGAGAGGGTGATTTTGCACTGCGAGAAGCAGCATGCGGACACAAGCGTTTATGAGTGTCGCGTGTCAGCTAGCATCGGTAGCGGCGGCGGTCGCAGCGAACAAGTGACCGTACTTGGTACACAGCTCTTGCATCTTGGCGAACATGTTGAGCGCTTTCGTGCCATCGTCGCGGTGGGCCGGAGTGTCCGGCCGGCCGACATTCACGCTAGCCGACAGGAAACCGACACCACAAGGATACCATTACATAGTGCACATGTGTGTGCTTTCTCTCACCCTTTCAAAATACAACGAGTTCCAGCTTTTCTAACATGGACGGCGGACAATGGAAAGCCTGGAGCCAACCTCCTTTAACGCGTCTTCCAGTTTAACCTTCTTATCGATGACAGAAACAAGGCTGTCCTCTCTTTATTAGCCAGCTCTTCAATACGTACTTTCTACCCACACATGTGCCTCATACCTCCACAGATCACGAAGAAAGCATCCAGAGAGAGAGAGAGAGAGAGACGCACAGACGTGAAGGGAAGTGATGAAGGACGACGTGTGGCGCGTGAAGCATGGCGAACCATGTGGCCTCTCGACTCTCGAGGGCATGCCCATTACCGTATGTACTGTGATTCAGGCCACAACAAGCCCAAAGATGCTAGTCCAATTGCCAGACCATTTTCTGCAGGAATATGTGCAATTCTCGCCGGGCTGGCGACGGAAGGCTAGCAGGGCCGGCAAAGTTTGTCCCAGGCGGTCCTGGGGGCCATCCATAGGCCAGACAGAGCCGGCCAGAGCAGGTCATGCCGCCATATCCTGTCAAGTGCCAAAGAAACTTAAAAGCCCCGGTACACATGTATCCTAATCTTGTCAAAAACCACTAGACCAGAAGCGTCGTGGGTAAGCTGAGCACTACCGAACTGATTTCACAGGCTCGCCTTTTCGACCAGACCAGATGACATGTACCCATGTGACATGTGACCCATGACAATGGGATTGACGAATGGAGATGGATGGGTCTTCGATAGCTCCGGCGCTAAAGCCACCATCTCTACCTTTTTCCACATGCCGCACACCAGCACTCTCCTGTCGGCGAATACTTATGTATGTATTTCTTACAGAACATATGAATCAGGAACGGACCATTCCATGTTGCGCAAACCGCGTTGCTCCTGCCTCCCCTTACATAGTCAAATGTACGTAGGTACGTATCTATTTATTAACCCTACGACGATAGGACCCGACGAACGACCTGAGTCCATACGAGTGTGGCGTCTACTACATATAGTCGACATAGGATTGCTGAGTTTTAGCCCAACTCCAGGGATTCAGCCTGCATTATGGGCAACACTTCGCTCAAATCCCCGAGCCTTACAGGTGCATTGGCATTCTAATCCAGACCACTTTACACGCTACCACATGACTACCCCAGTACTGCATGTGCTTGCATTCACGAGTTACGTGTGTGTGCAGCCCTTCACAGGCCCAGTAGTGGGAATTACTTGACCGTAGACTCTGAGCAGCGGTGGCCTGATGAGGCAAGTTCGGAAACACACATTGACGCATGGCCATTCATCTCACGCATCACGGTTTAGACTTTCTTCCAGAACTGAACCCAAAGCAGGCCATACCAAGAACATCGTGGGCATTTGAAAAGACCTGACGGTCTGCATGTCATACTTTCTTTTTTGTCCGGCTGCCGGGGTACCGCGCGTCCGCCTGAAGAGTGAATCCTTTTGAACCTGGGCTCTGTTGGGATAATGCAGCACTCTGCAGCCTCAACTTGACAACTGGGCCCAGCTGGATGCTGTCGCTGTGAAAATGTTGGACTTTGGAACGCTGATCAGCACAGGAGAGTCCAAACTTGAACTGGAAACTCATACCATACAGCAAACACAGTTCTTCGGTTCTCGCGCTCATTGAGTTATTGCGCGAAGGCACGTGACCGCAACTCAACGGGTCAGCAAGAGCTGGTCGTACATAATTACACTTGCCACAGGGAGTCAAGGAATCAGTACAGGCTGTCCCTATCTCCGAGATTTGAAATATGGTAACTGACGGTGCTACTTTGTACCCGCTAAGCATGGCGTCATTATCTTTGAGGCTGACAATATGACATGCGATGGCGCTATCCACTTGTGCCCAGAAGCTGGGGCCCGCCTCCTGGTTCTTGTGGGTGGCCTTCCCGCCATTCGCTGAAAGATGGAAAACATGTTTATATCAGCACCGTTGTATGGTGATCAAAGTCACCCGCGTCACCAGCACTCGCTCAGACTACATCGCGAATAAGTAATAAGGGACCGTAATGTTGGTCGGACAATCGATGTGACGAGGTTACAGTAGATTTTCGTTCATTTCAAGAGACTAGAAGGTCAAGCGAGGATGCAAGGTCCCCCGCACGCCCGAAAAAAAACTCAACTCGGCATGAATTCGAGGTGACCGATGTATGGAAGGGTCAAAGTGAAAGAACGGATACTCAGAATGAAGGTGGGAAGAATTTTGGGATGGCGGAAGAATGATTGTTCTATGGTGCAGCTATGCGGAGCGGGTATGTGTTCTCTGCACCTACAGTGAGCAGCGAGTGGGAGGGCGGTGAAGGTTGCGGAATGTCAGAAACGAGCGAGGTCAAGTTGGGCAGGTTTGGGACAACGGCGTACTGATCAAGAGGGAACCAAAACACACCAGCAGAAAGCGAAGGAGACGGCTGATCGAACAACACCAAAATGAGAAGTGTGGCGAACGTGTATGTGGAGTGGAGACATTGCGAAATTAGGGCACCCGTGATCTAGACTGACTGTAGCAAATTTGGACACAAATCGCGAGCGGACCGACCGGGCAAATACCGGAGCTGAGTAGAGTATAATCGAACATATAGATTCCGTTGAAGCCCTGGTTGAGTATGGCCGGGTATATTAAAATTGGGAACGGTCCAATTGCAGCCGAGTGTGGACGTGGAAAAGTGAAAGGTGTTGCTAAGGGAGCAGTAGCGCCACAGACCATGTACCAGCGACATGATTCTCCATTAAATGTGGACCCTTGACTGCGCTTCAGCGCATCGCAATTTGCAGTACAATACGCTCCACGAGCATCAGGTGCTACGAAACGATGCAATCTTCGCGCACCTTGAAGCCATAGAGCTCCTTGTCAATCACACTCTCAATGCTCTTAAAGTCGCAGCGAGCCTTTGTATGAAGGAGTGTTAGTACTTATCGCGCTGATCCTTCACCTTGGATTCTGTCGCCTGCATGCTCACATGTAAAAATTCATACAAATCCTCTGGACTCAGCGTCCCGCTGAACATGTTCGCATCTCGAATGATCGTACCGAGCTCCTTGCCGCCGCTTTCCTTGCTGCAATCGATAATATAGATGTTGCCGAGCATCTTAAGGCCGTCAAATAGGACCACAACGCTGGGCTGCTTGAGGCTCGCGATGAATGCGTGATACGCATTAATGTCGGCTATCACCTTGAACCCACCTTCCAGGCTGATAATTTGCCGCTTGAGGTGCTTGGCGATGATCCTGAGCCAGTAAAAGCACCATGAACGCGAAACATTAGCGCAAGCCTTCTCAATAACCGATGTCCTGAGCTTCAACTCACGAATATAGGCGCAGGCCTACCTCCTGATAGAACACTTCTAGGACGTTCTTATCCGTGCTCCCTGCTAGCATCTTGCAATGCGTCCGCAAACACCGCACACACTCGGCGCACGCTCTCGTCGGACTGCCCAGATCCATGTCCGAGCCAGGCAGCGGATAGTAGTCGCGAGGATTCTGCATCGTCGTGATAATGTGTTCCACCTGTCCCATCAGCAGATCGACGCCGGCATTCAAGCCCGAGGCAACATTTTCATCCAGTGCTGCCTCGAAGCGCTTCTTCTCGCGTACGACCGGATTTAAGAAATCCGTCCGGTCAATGTGGCGGGAAAGCTCTTGGTCATAATAGACCTGCACCATCTGCTGGATCGTGTCACCGACATGCGTCAGCTCAAAGAAGTGCACAAGCGGCGCGACGTGTGTTTCGGGGTCTTGCTCGTGTTCGGCTGGCTTCCACTCTTCGATCTGCTTCTTCGCCTCTTGGAAGCCGGAGACGACGTGATGCTCGCCGAGGTACTGGAAGACGGACATGGAAATGTCATCAATTTCTTGTTTGACGCGGTGACCAAACTCGTCTGGATAATTGGCGAACGTCTCTATCCGCCGTAGGCAATCCCTGTTGATCTGGATCAGTTGCAGTGCCGTGTCCAGGGACAAAAGAAGCTGCATACGCGCGAATCGAGCCTTGCTTCCTCCACCTGGCTGGGGCGTTCCGACTCGTGATCCTCGATCGGAGCCGATGGTTGAGCTTCGCTTGCTGTAAGGCTCTAGCTTCGAAGGTGCTGTCGCCACCTTCCAACCATCACCTGAAACGTCAAACGCCGACGGACATTTCTCGTCCAGTCCATCCGCCTCCTCTTTGCCATTTGTCGTCATCGGCACACCATCGGCAGAGAAGGCCACATAGCCCTTTTCGCTGAGGCCGCTCCCGCTGACCCAATCTGTTTGGTGAGGGTTCGGCGTTGACGGCTGCGAGTCTGCAAGTGGCGTTCCTGTTCCTTTTGCAGAAGCACTGCCAGACTGCCAGCGCATTGGATTGAGCTGTGCAAGGCCTGTCCCTGCGCTCCTTATAGCTGCGCCGCCGACGTAGACTGCCGCTCTCGGAACGACAACGACCGGTGCGAGCAAAACGTCTTTGAAGCCCGTCAGGAAGTTGCGCTTGACAGCAGCGGGGTTATGTGAAGCCAGAAATGCGGCGTCGACTTGCGTTGCAACAGCCTCATTCTTCACGCTACATGTCCACGATTCGCATACTTCTGACATTTGGCTCTTGACCCACTGCCGCTCTTGCCTGAGGTACTCGTCCATATTCGGTTCCCAAACGCGATAGACGACGTCTTCGCAGCGATCTTTGCTAAGTTGTGGACTCGTAGGCTGCACTTCTTGCAGCGCGTCCGCCAGTCGCAAAGCTTGTGCAAAAGTTGCAGCACATGCCCGTACGTAAGTATGAACCGAATTCGATTTTGCTTGATCCAGCAATGGGGCGACGTAATCCGCGATCTGCACGTCACAACTCCGTCAGACGAGATCCATGCAGAACGAAATGATTGTACTCACCACCTCGCCTGCTACCCTGTCCGCAAAAGCAAGTACGACATCCTGCTCGGGCGGAAACACTCTAGCAATGAGAGACCCATCCGTGCGCACCGTCTCCAGCACGTCGCTCATGAATCGATCCATGGGCGTAAAATCGAGTCTGACATTCGGACCTTGGCCGACAAAGTTGTCTGATGGATTGTAGTTCATTCTCCCTTCGAATATGTCCCGCTTCTCAAGGAAAACCTGAGCAGCACTGATACTGATGTTTTCAAGGGGTGTCGATCGCGAACCTATACCCGCTCTCGGCGGCGAGCCGGAGATGACAAACATGTTACCTTCCGCTGAATGCGGTGCAGAGCCATCCAGGCGCGCTTCTAAGTCTAAAAACTGCTCGCCTGGGTTCCCAGCTTCGAGCGCTTGGCCGAGCTGCCAGATGGCACCAGCGTGCTGCTTCATGTCCTTCTCTGCACGCTCAACGGCACGCTTGGTGTGCTCTGCGCCGGAAAGCTTCCCTGCACGTACAGCATCTGCTCTTCGCGCCTCGGCACCTTCGAATGCGGGCAGCAGGATACCGTGGAGGTACGAGGCGGCGTCTGTGAGCTTCGGCCACAATTTGTCGGCTATTGGCAGCGATGTCCCCAGGCATGGTGCCGAGACAAACCGTAGGATGTTCCCAAGCAGTGCAGGTTGAGAAGTTAGTCCCATGACTGCTTCTGTGAAAAGTAAAGAATGGGTAGGAGAAGTATTGGACAGGAAAGAGACGATGTATGGCCGCATTTGCTTGACTCGGGCGCGAAACATGCGATAAGAGCGGCTTTCCAAGAATTGCGGAAGTTGAGACTCGGCGTTGAAAGAGAACACTGCTCTATTTGCGGGCGCCGTCTTCGGTTGAGAGCTGAATTTTGAATTTGGATTCGGTGTGAGCGGAGTGAAAGAGGGGACAAGCCGGGCGCTTCCAGGCGGATGAGCTAGTGTCTGAATATGCCCATTTTGCCCCGCTATTGAAACGCTGGAAAATCGGTTTGCCAACGAACTGCCACTACCCCCGCCGAAAGACTTTCCCATCGCACGGGAGGGGGTGTTCGCAGGCAAGAATTCACTAAAGGAGTCGTTGCCGGCAGCGTTGCCGACAGCTGCGGTGAAATCTCCAAAGTCATCGTCCGACGACGCCACTTGCACGCAAGCATACAGCGGCGTCTTCAAGCCTGAGGATTTTGCTTCGTTTTGCGGAATGTTAACCCCCTCCGTGTAAGCAGCTTCTTGTTCAGCTTGCACGTTTGCATGTTGCTCCCTCGCTTCTTCCGCCTGTGCTTCAGAAATCTCAAGTGGGTCTCGAAGTCCATCAACATGGTGCCAGTCCAATGCTTCTTGCCTCTCTTTCCACACACTCTCATCGGCTGCAACCCGACAAAAATTTCTACTCGCAGCTGCGCAGCTGACTAGCGTTGGAAGGGTGACGAAGGAGAGGATACGATGCGCAACGTTCGATGGTAGCCTGCCTACCGGGTAGGCATCGTTGATCAATGTCGTCGTACCTCTCTCGGCGCCCCTTCCATTTGAAGATCCTGGCTCATCATAGCGGCTGCTTGAATTTACCGAGCCAGGAGAGCCTAGATTCGCAAAGCCGAGGCTGCCAGACGATGCTGGGGCGTAGGAGCTGCGGCTTGCGGTGACGCTCGAGATGGCGCTGTTGAGCGAGAACCGCTTGTTCCCGCCCGGCGCCTTGACAGGCTCGAGGGGGGCCCATTTGTCCATCCCTCAGCGCTGCTCTGTCCCGTCCGCTCGGGCCACCAAGGCCGTTGCTTTGTCGCGTGAGCGGTCGCTGCAAGCACCTTGCGTTTGCCGAAAGGCTGTGATGCTTACACTTCACGCTCTTAACCTCGTGATCGTCGTCCTCAACCTAAGGTGCATATTCGATGGCGGAACTCATCAGTACCCAGACATGCGAATCACGTGACCTTGAATCGCACCGGCGTACGTGCCGCACCAGCATTATCCAGATCGCGTCTGGTCAGACCGATAATCACGCGTCTGGCAGGTAGGAGCTGCTCTGCGCTTCTTGATAGGCATCTAGACGTGGCCTCACTGATGCTTACTCCAGAATGATGTGATAGTCTCTACGCGTGGCTACCAGGTCAGGCGCTCCGCAATGGCAAGCCGCAGTGTACCGGGGTCGCGATTGCACTACCGCTTGACTGCCGGGGCGCTGCCAGCCAGCCAGGATCTCTGGCGTGGGATGAGCGACATTGACGAAACGGAGGTCGTACAGATTGATAAGTCCCTGCCATCCGTTTTCGAGAGACAACAGGCTGGTTCTTCGTCGGGACACTCGCGGACATCGAATGCGCGTTTGAAACGCCCGCATTCGTCCACTTCAGGATTGGCTACATCACCCCGGCAGAGGCTAGCAGATAAACGCCGCTCGCTCGCTGCATCGCTGTTCTCTTCTGATGAGGAAGACAAGCAGCTAAGAGTGCGGTCTCCGCGCCAAGCCCAAGGAGTCGCTGCGCTCAAGGGCAAGGCGAAAACACCTGCCAGGACCCCAATATCTGGCACGCGAGACATGCGCAAGGCAATGTTTGCCAATTTCGTTGACGACAGCGATGGAGAGAAGAGTGATGGCTCGAGCGGCAGCGCGGATGATCTGATTGCAGCTATGCCGACTCCGGCACCCTTCCAACCGGCCTCATATACTCAACTTGCAGGCGCCACTGAACGCATTGCACTAGCAAACGGTGCCCTGCAATCCACATCCCACTTCAGACCTGCACTTCACGAGCTGCTGTCTGCGCACAACGGAAGCCACAATACACCCATGGCTGGAGCAAGGGAAAGTGACGCGACAAGCACCGGCAAGAAGAGCGCAGCTGGAAACAGCTCACTGCTCGACGCATTGGACCACATTCTCGATGGAGGCGAACCGTCTCGCGGAGCGAATGACATGCCCACTCTCAGCCCTTCCGCTAAAGGCAAGGCTCGCGCTCATGATGCACCACCGAAGAGGAAAAGTAAGACGGCGCAAGAGAGGAAATATCACGCTTTGCGAAACAACACAACTTTGACCCAGATTGGTCTGGTGGTCTCAGAGGGAAAGGGGAAAGGGAAAGGGAAAGGAAACGCAAGGGAAAAGGAAATAGAGAGAGGGACAGGTTCTAGCATACGTGGAAGGCCTGCAGCTGCCATCGACATCATATCTGATGGGGATGATGATCAGCCACGGGCTGGCCCAAGTCGCCCACACGCAGCAGTGAAGAACATGCAGCAATGCAACCAATTTGACGACACGAGAGATCTGCTGGACGACATTGACTTTGACGATGTCGAACTCACACAAGAGATCAGGCAAGAAGCGCACATGCTACCGGATCCTTCCGGACCGTCTCCGCCTGTTGGCCTGGAGGACAATCAACTCATCAGATGGTTCGCTAGTCGATCGTGTCCGGGCAATGTCGCCAAGAAGCTCAACGACGTGTCGCTCTCGAAGAACCGCAAAAAGATTTATAACGAGCTATTTGTCAAGAACGGCGACGCGTCATCTTCTCCGTTGGAGCACCCCAAGACGTGGTTCACGAAGAACATGCCTGGCTTGGCCACGGCAGGGTCGAGAAGCAGGGCCAAGAGAGCACCCGCAAAGGCGCCGGCGAGGGTGTCGGGGAGTCAGCATTGTGGGATACAAGCGGCGCGGGGCGGTGGAACTGGCGGGTATCCAGGCCGGAAGAGGTCATATAATTGGCGGAAGAAAGCTGGGGGAAGTGCGATTCGGCCAGCCGGCCGCAGCGAGGTCAAGGCTGGGAATAGGAGGAAGTGGAATGGCTACACACGAAAACGGGATGGGCCCAAAGCAGAGATAAAATGAAAAAGCACACACTCTACTTTGCGTCACGATTGTATGCACTGCATGTTGCTCTGCTGCTTTCGTGCTACATTGAGTGAATGAGTGGGCTGCATCTGATACCCGAATACTTTTGATGAGATACTGCTGCTGCTGCTATTGTTATTGTTGTTGTTAATGACTTCTTGATTTACCTTCACAAATAAATCAATCCTCTGTGGGGTCTCCGTAAACAAAAATGCCAGAGCGCGTCTTTCTCGCCTCCGCCTCGGCATCAGCGAAAGCGGTGATCATGTTCGGTTGCGACTTGGCGTAAGGCACGCTGCGGTCGACGAGCGCCCAGCCCTCGCGGACGAGGTCCATGTTCATGCAGGATGCAGGGTTGCCGACATTGGGGTCCGCAGGGTCGTAGAGCGTCAAGTGTAAACGAGGTACTCCGCCGTTGGACATGGTCGCAGCCTCGCGCATCTCGATGTTGGCGATCAGCTTGCGTCCCTCAGCGGCTTCGCGGAAACGGTCCAGCGCATCAAGGGCGTATTCGGTGCTCTTGCCTTCGTACAACTTGACGAAGCTGAGCCGTGCTTCCTGCGCTTGTGGAGACAGCCTGCCTTTGCCGAAGCGGGTAATGTCGAGCGGACGCATGTCTTTCCAGCTGACCTCCTCCATGTTGCCATAGTCGATGTACACGATGCTCGCCGTCTTGGTGGACGGGTGCGAGCGGCGGATCTGAGCGCGGTACCAGCAGCCATCAGCGCTGAACTTGGCGCTGACAAGATCGCCAGAGCGCGGTGCGAAGCCGATCGGTGCTGATGGCGGCGCAGACCGATGCGCGAGCGCAAGGTCGTTCATGAGCGTTTCCAGCTGGGAGATCTTGTCGTCAAGGACCTGGACGGCAAAGCCGAAGGGAACGTCGGAACCATTACCACGCACATCTGAGATGATGACGTCGACATACTCCTTCCGAGCTGGCGCAGCGTGCGCGGAGCCCAAATCATTCTGGACGCTGCTGCTCGCTGCTGGCGCTTCGGCTTCGTTGACCGCTTCGACAAAGTCGTGCCACATGCCCTTCTTTTGCGATTTGGCTTGGGTCTCTGCTGCCATCAGCTGAGCGCCAAAGCTGACGTTCTCAGCACTGTACGCATGCACCTCCGCAAGCCCATTCTCGACGAGGCCAACTGCGATGTTCTCGGTCCGGTTTACAAAAACGGCGCCGATGAAGCCTCCGACCTTGTCGGTGCCATAAACCTCGATGTCCACGTCTCGCTGCAAAAGCCTTTCGGTGCTGTACGCAAGGCCCTCTCGCGAGAACGGCTCGTCCTTCTCATTCGCGTTGCGACCAGTTCTCGGCGCTTTAATGCCAGCAAGGACGAGGGTGATCTTGACGTTCTCGCGCGGGACGAAGAGCTTGAGTCTGCTCGCGCCTGCGACAAAGTCGACGATAGCCGCGACTTTACCGGAACGCTTGAGGCAAGGCAAGTAGCTGTTCGCTTTGCCTGCGTTCTCCGAGCAGTCCGGGACGCGCACGAGTGGGTTCTCCTTGCCGCTGTGCACACCCTTCTGCTCGCTGATCGCGGCAGCCTCGGCGTTGATGAGCTTGTCGAACTCGGACGAGCGGTCCTCATCATCCTTGCGGTGCCGCTGGACTGTCGCGAGGCCGCGGGAGATAAGCTGCTCGTTGATGCTGCCGGGTTCTTTGCTGCTCTGCCCACCGCCTGCGCGGATCGCCTGGATGGTCGCGCAGTGCTTCTCCTCAAATTCACCCTCCTTTGGCTTGACGTAGTCGACATGCACGCGAACATGCTTGCCGATGAGCTTCTTGCGCAGGAACTCGCGCGCCTCCTGGCCGTAGCCTGCAAGGTTAGCTTCGCGCGGCGCCGGCTGACGCACGGACGAGAGAAATATGCGCTGCTCGGCGCCTCCGCTGAGCGGTTTGATGATGAACGACTCGGGTGTGACGATGCGAGAGACGACGCCTTCGAACTGCTTGCCTGGCACCCGGGCACCCAACGCTGCATGCCCGTTCGCTCCGTTGGTCTGGCTGGAGCCCGTCGCCGCAGCGGCAGGCGGGGTCCAGTTGGACCAGATACCCGCGCGCTTCTCCTTGGCGCCACGCTCAGCGGCGCGGTATTTCTCCATCACTCCTGGGAAAGCAGAGTTGACGAAGCCTGCGTGCCAGTCGACAAGCTTCGCGAGGCCATGGGACAGTAGGAATTGCGCAATGTCACCTGCAGGGTGCTGTACCGAGCCGATCACGTAGCTTGTCGTCAGAGGTGCCGGGTTGCCAGAGAGGAGCGTACCGGGAGCAGCGCTGCTAGTCTGCGGCAGGGAGAGCAGGTGGACCTTGACGTTACGCTGGAGGAGTCTGCTCTCGACAAAGAAGAGCGACTCTGGTCCGAACGGCTCTCCGCCGGCACTGCTGCCGCGATCCGCTGCGCCGTTCACCCTTGGCGCCTTGACGCCAGCCAAGCTAAGATTGATGACTTGGTGGTTGCGCGAAGTAAGGAGGAGACGGACGCGAAGCATGCTTCCATCTTTGACCGACTCGACGATCCCGTCAATCGGGACACCCTTCCACTCGTTCAAGAAGGCGACCGAATCCTCCGGCATGGTATGTGACACCTTCCACAGGCTGTCGGGACCCCAGAGCCCTCTTCCTTCTTCCTGCGCTTCGTTCTGCACGCTGCGCTGCACAGCCTTCCAGCCGCCATCCTCGTCCTCCTCAGAGGTCGGAAGCGAAGGGTTGTTGCGGCGCGAGTTTGAGTCGTGCACTTTTGCCCAGCCGGCGCGCAGAATCTCGTGGGAGACGTTCATATCCGGCAGACCGGGACCGCGAGGTGGTAGGAAGGCATGCGCATACTCTCTCGACCCACCGCCTGGGACGGGCACGGTGTACTCGACCCGGTAGCGGACCTCTTTGCCGACAGTCAAGAGTCTCAAAAAGTCTCTGGATGAAAATGCTTGAGGCTTGGTTTCGCCCATCAAAGGAGAGAAGCATGTCAGATGAACCAAACCCTTGACGATGCATGCCTATGTAAAAAACCCATGCCACTCGTCCAACCCACCTCGTCGTCCCGTTCTCTGCTACCCAACCTCGGCGCAGCAATGCCCGCGACATGAATGGTCTTCTGCGCTGAGGGGTTCGTCGAGCCTTTGGGTCTCAGAACAAGCGTGTCGCCGCTGAGGATACTGCGCACGATGCCGCTTTGGAGTGGTTGTTGCTGCTGCTGCTGAGCAAGCGCTAGGGCTGGTGTTGCGGAAAAAGTCATGTTGGCGTAAGAGAAATGCGACGTGCTGCCTGTGATCCCCTGTTTTCCCCGTTTCCTGTTGGACAAAAGTGTTCGAATGCCAGGCGGATGCTCGGTTATGATACCGCAATTGATCGACCGGGTTGCTCAGTGCTGTTTAGACCAGATTGAGGCGATTCACGTGCTTGGAAGTATAAGAATGAGAAGTGATGTGGAAGAGAAGAACAACCTTGGACTATGGCGTTGTGGAGAGTCCCACTGTCCCCAGCGTATCAATGTGGGGGAACATAAAGAGAAACAAAATCCACCCATCATCAGCCAGCGCCCAACGCTTGACGTTCCCCTCTCACCACGTGTGCAGGTTTACATCGGCGTAAACCCAGGTCCCACAGCAAGGCTCAGCCTGCCGCTCACGTTACCGTCCTAAGTTCTCGCCGCGAGCAGCCGAGCTTCCAGCGTTCAGCGGCCGAGCGGGGGCGAGGGGCCTGGGAAGCGCAAGGTGAAACCGGTCACACGACCGCGTCGTCACCAGCACGACGGCCGGACGCACAGAGCAGAAGCAGAGCCTTCCACCACACGTCCCAGCATTGCTGTTAGATGGAAACTTTCAGATTCTAGTGGTACGTACAGGAAAGGGTGACAAGAGCGTACGATACAACAGTGACGTTTGTGTGCGTGTGTCTGTGTGCGTCGGGTCGTGAATGTATGTGAGAAAGGCGAGCGCATCACCTCTGCTCTCGTGGTGCATTCCTGAGTGAATGCTGGACTGCGGTAAGAGAAGCGACGCAGCCCCCGAGCGGCGAAAGAGACAAGCTTTACAGCTGTGCTAAGAGGGGTTCTTGGCGAGTCCCAAGCTTCTAGCAAACGCTTGTGAACCTTCAAGGCAGGAATACGGCAGTCTCTTTCCCTCGGCCTCCTTTAACTCAAGCTGTATCCATTTGCGAGCCGCCGCCAGCGGTCCCACCTCCGCTCCCTCCAAGCCGCTTACCATCGCTTGCGCTGTCATCTTCCTGTGGAGGCGCCCCTGAGCTGCTGCTGCCGCTGCCTGTCGCTAGACCCTGCATAGCAGCCGGTGCCGCGCGTGCCCCTGCGTCATCATCTTCCTGCCCCTCATCTTCATTCTCGACCTCGGCCTTCATGTCTTGCACGAGCGCCTCGTCGTCCATCCAACTTTCTTCGACCGTCGCCTTGACGCGGCGGACGTACTCCTTCATGTTCTCGCGATAGAGAGACGCTGCTTCTGCGTTTGCTGGGCTGTACGCAGGGACAAGCACCAGTGCGGGTCCGATTCAGCGCTCATTGTCATATTTTGGAGAGTCAGAGGGGCGAGCAAGAGCTGATGGGCTTACCTGTTCGGATTCGGATCGTGCAGCAGACTCTGGATACTCGTCAGGATCGCCGCGACATCGTATGTCGGGCTCCAGCGATTCTGGAGGATATCCAAGCACAGCTCCCCGTTGGCATAGACGTTCGGGTGGAACATGCGGCTGAGGAACTTGACCGTCGGCGGCTTATTCGGGTACGACTCATCGAATGTCAGCAGGAGTTTGAAGGTGCCGTCTTCGAATGGCGTGTCGGCTTTCGCGACGTAAGAGCATGCAGGGGCAAAATCAAATGTTAGGGACCATGCTGAAATCGGCATCGGTTAGAAATGAGTTCCGTACTAACCTGGCCCAAAGATGACCGCATTCCAGATCATCAGATTGTCCGGGCATGGCGCGCCACTGATGCCCCCAGGCGGGTCATTGCTGAGCCGCTTGAAATCTCGGATTAACCGGCGCTTGGATGGCGTTGACTAGGATAATCAGAAATGCATACGAAACAGGTAAGAATAGGTCGCCATCGAGCCTCCCACTTCCATGTCATACTAGCGATCCACCTTGAATGGTCCGGGCGGCAACAAATCAAAGCCGCTGCTTAGACTTGGATTCCCTCACCACTCACCATGCTGCCCCAGAGCCTGGCGGCACCTCGCTCGAATAAGTTCCGCTCGCGATTGATTTGTAACTGTTGGCGTGCTCGTCTTTGGCTTTTGGCGTATGGATGGTCTGACAAGGAGTGACCGCTTCAATTGATTTGAACTCGGAGACGATCCGTGCCAGATGAGTACGAGCGTTGACCTGGCGACGGAGAGTGAGTCGACTTGGTTGCACTGCGCTTTCGCTGGGGTTCTCCGCCCAGCAACCTTCCCCGCAATTTCGGATAGAGGTGTTGTCGATGAAGGGAAGGACAAGGTACTGATGGTTGGGGGTTGGGCAGTGGGAAGTGGGAAGTGGGTAGTGTTGGTTGTATACAAAATAGAATGCATGCTCTATCTGACGGGAGGCGCCGAGAGGAGGGGGGAGCTGGCTGGGGGCGCTTCGGACTCTACTGCCCCGGAGGCACCCTAGCAGTCACCGCCCACGCGCCCAGGCCAGCAAACCTATCAAGTCAATCAGGATGGCCTAGCAAGTGAATCAGAGTGGGATTGGATGGGAGGGAATATGGGATCGACAAGCTGCAAGCACAACCACACAAGAAGCCACGTGGGACAGAATCCAGAGGCGCAGGCATAGGCGTAGCTGGAAACTTCGCATTCGTCCGCCTTTGGTTTGGGAGAGGCGTCCTTTGATCGGGCCACCAGCGCCAGGGCGATCGTCCTTTGGCGCCAAACCTGGCTTGAGCAAGTTGCGAACGCGCAGTGGGGATTCGGGTCGCTCGCATCGATGGCTCGGCCGTCGCTCTGAAGGTGAGACGGTGCATCCCTCCCGTGTTTCTCTGGGGGCATCATGGCAGCCAATGGTGGCACAGGTCTGTCCTACACGCCTTACACGCGAAAGACGCACTCGCGAGGGCCATCAACGGCTAGCTTCACTTCTTCGGTACAGGACGTCGCGCCCGCTTCGAGTGCTGCCCCCGTTGCGCCTTCGCATGCAGGCGCAACATCTTCATCTCTCCTCGATGAATCTCCATCTCAACCACAACAGCAGCAGCAGAATGGGCGCTCAGCGCCGTCTTTGGGAGCAGGGCAAATTACAAGCCAGCCACTGACTGGCGGCGCGTTGCGTGTGGCCGTGCCGTTGGGGACAAGGGGGGCCCAAGTAAATGGAGCCCTCGCACTGGGGCGTGGCCCTTCTAGCGTTGCGTCAGGAAGTGCACCGCCGCCGCTTCGGAGGATCTCCGAGATACGCAAGGCAGCTGCGACGACAGCTCAGCCTCGGACACCCGCAAAGGCGAAAGCAAAGTCTTCAAAGAACGACATGCTCCCGCACGTGACCCCTGCATCGTCCTCTTCTTCGGCGTCCGCCTCCGAATCACAGCTATCGCCCAACTTGAAAGCGGCAGTGCAAGCCGTATATGCAAGCGCAAATGCATCGGTTTCGTTTTCGCGTTCTGGGTCGCCTCCACCAAGCGCGAGCGCGATGCGGCACGACCCGATGCGGCACCATCGCGCTACATCAAGCATCGGGAGCAGCGGCACAAACACTCCTTATCCGCTCTCGCTTCCGCCGACGAACATGAATGCACATTCCGCTTCGTCGTCGCTTTATACCTCGCTCGTGAACGACCCGATCCCGATCCCCTCTGGTCCAGCACTAGGACAGGTATCCACTTCAGCTTCCGCCGATCCGCCAGGACAGACCACCAGCCGCACAGACGCCTCTACAAGACAAACAGGCCTCACCGGCGCATATTCAGAAGCCAACGGCCGCTTAACGAGTTACCGCCCCGGCTTCCAGGCGCGCGGCGTCTACCGCGTGCTCACTGAGGAGTTCGAAGCGGCGCGCCGCCAGTCGCGCAGCGCACAGGAGCGGCGCAGGGCCGAGCTGGCTGAGGAGCGTTTGACGAGGCGGCTCGAGAAACTGCTCGCAATACATTTGCAAGCGAGCGATGCCGTGCGCGCGGAGGCGCTCGCAAAGACAAGGGCGCGCCGTGACGCGCGTGCGGCTGGTGCCGCCGGTGTCGCTGGCGACAACGGGGAGAAAGAAATCGCGAGTTCTGTGCGAGGCGTCGCCGGTAACGTCTGGTCTACGTTGCGCTTTCGTGCCAGCCAGCTCGCCTCATCGCTTGAGGACCCGGAAAAGGTCTACCTCCGCACCAAGGAGCAGGAGATCGTGCATTGGGAAGACGACAAGGCGGCCAAGCGCTGTCCGATCTGCAACACGCCCTTCAGCCTCGCTGTGCGCAAGCATCATTGCAGACTGTGTGGGAGGGTCGTCTGCGCGTCGCCGCAGCTGACGCGCTTTGCACCCATGGAAAGAGCTTCTGCGGTGGCAGGGCAGAAACAGGCCCAGCAGAACGGCTCAGGGCCGGGCGACGGCCACGGGGAGGACAAGGCCTTCAAGTGCTCCGGTCTGGTCCTCGCCGATCCGAAGAGCATGCGCGTGTCCTCTTTCTTCGTCAGTAGTCAACCAGGTGGCGGCAGCGACCCCGGCTCCGCTAGCCCAAGCCTCGACGTCGTATCAGAAAAAGCCCCCCAGCAGATGTCGACAGATTTTTTACGCATCCGCATCTGCCGCGAATGCAGGGATACTGTCTGTAAGCGGCAATACATGTTGGACGACGGGAACCGGGTTCCAATGTACCTCAAGCTGTACGAGGCGCTTATGCGCTTGCAGCGCGAGATTGAGGAGAGTCTGCCGGAGTTCCAGGAGATGGTGTTGGGCTTGCAGTGAGTGCCTCTTCGTGATGGTCGAAGAAGCGTGTATTTCCTCATGTCTCACGTGTTCTACCGCAGAAAGCAAGATGCGAACGCGACACTCGGCGTCGAAGAGGGCGTCCTGACGGTAGCGCAGGGTAACAGCAGTGGCGGCAGTGATGCAGCACAAATCAAACAGCAGCAAGTCAATGTACGCATGATGCTCGCTCTGCAGAAGGACGCAGCGGCGGCGCGCAAGCAGCTGCTGGCCAACTTTGCGAATTATGACGCGCTGGCAAGGCGAATACGCTCCTTGCCGCCTGAGGACTCAGGACCGTTTGGGGGCGCTAGCGGTCGGCCTGCGGCATCGACGGACCAGGCGCAGGAAAGGCTTCAGCAGGCAGTTTGGACGCGGGCGAACCTCTTCTTGCAGCAGAACGTGAGTGAGCGATATAGATATGCTCTGGAAAAGAAAGAGGCAGATATCTGATTTGAGGTGTTATGGTACACAGATGTTCCCGTTACAAGCGCTGCCCAAGTTTGTGGCATCCAAAAAGGAAGGCATCGGCAGTCCAACCTCGTCAGCGACCTCAACGCCTCCGCTTGGTGGTGCAGCAAAACTATCCGAGGGTGCTGTCGCTATCAACGGCGGCGGTGGCGGCAGCAACGACGCATCGCACACAGTCGGAGCCCTGCGACAGCAGCTGTCTGTTCTTTTGGAGCAAGAGGAGCTTGTCGCGTCGTACGTTGACAGCGCGAACAAGGCTCGCAAATTCGACGATGCGAGGAGCTTGCGGATGAGCTTGGATGAGCTGCGCAAGGAGATCGTGCAGATCAGACGCCAGCTCGGTATACCGCCTGCGGGTGCTTCGGGTGGCGCAAAGACTGGCAAAAAAGCTCGTCGATAGCTGTCCCTCTTTGGCGCTGTCTCGCCCCATGTATGTAGCAGGGGTGAGAATTTCGCATTGCCAGCAGCCATTTGCTTCGCTTGGGTCGTTCTACTCTCTGCGCTTTGAAGCGGCTCACACTTCGCCTGCCTGGGCCTGTGCTGCTGTTAGCGTCTGTATGCGCACGATTTCGTTTTTCTTGGTCTCCATTTTGCTTTCTGCTGCCTGGATTAGCTGGTCCGTCCGCTTCCTGGTCATCAAAGATTTAAGCATCACCTCGCTAGTCAGGGCCCCGGCATTGAAACGATCGCCCGAAAAATTGACGGGACTAAACTCACATATCGCCGCGGATCAGCTCAAGCCGCTTCTCGACATTCTGCTTCGCTTCGTTTTGCTCTTGCAGCAGCAGGGCCGTGCCTACCAGCTTGTAGATCTTCTCATTCAGTGACAGCTTTTGGAACTCTTTCGCAACGGCCTCATTCTCGTTTGATTGGGCTTCCAGCTTCTGCCTTGACTCGATCAGATTGGACAGCTCTGCAGTGAGCAAAAAAACAGGTTGTCAGCAACTTTCAAAACAAGTTGTGACGAGGCGTCACTAATAACCTCTTTGAAGAGTTTGGAACTCGTTGGACAGCTTGGCCAGCTGCTCTTGTTGTTGGGCTCTCATTTTTCCGTGAGCTCGAGTCTCTTTCGTTTGCGTATCAGCGCTTGAAAGATAGCACTACAATTCTCACGTGGACAAGGCTGATAGAGTGACGCCGTAAAGCTCGTCTATTCATCAGACGGAAGTATCAAGAAAGTGTGCATGTCGCGGCATTTCGTATTGGATCTTGGAAGTTGAAATGCGCTTCACGCATTCACACCCCCAGGCGGAAGTCTCGCATCTCCAGTATGTACTCTTTGTTATGCACGACCGCTATGTCACCGAGACACTAACCACAGCATTGAGTATGCGCGATCAGACTGCAAACATTAAGCCTGCCCGCTTTCATCAGAGGTTGACACTTGATAAGGGCATTGGTTTGTCGGAAGCTACACAGAGCAAAGCCCCGCATCCACGACATTTGAGGCGACCGCCCTTCATGGTGTAGACGCTTTGCAGTCATCTTGGAATTCTGAAAGGAAATCGCATGCACCTGCTAAATTCTCTTCAATCCTGACAGACAGCGAGAAGCGAGACAAATTTATGGCTGCCGCCTGCATTGAGTGAGAAGCTAGTCCCGCGCAGAGCCACGTGGACGACTCCTTCGCCCACCTGCTCTTCCTAGCACTCGATGGACGAGGCAAGCTGCTGGATCGTGCCGCTCTCTTGGACGCAAGAGACGACGCAGATACCTTATTGGAGCGATCCGGCGTCATCCAAGCCTGTGAACAGCCAGACCTTTTCGCCTAGTCCAGCTCCATGCGAAGAATGTCAAACTCTTCCAACCTAATGATAGATCGGTACATTTCCTTGCCCACTACGCTCGCGCTGCCTTGACTCTGCTCGTCTCCAGCATCCGTGGCGACGTGCTCACCGTCTCAGCCGTGGGCTTGATATTTGCAAGGCGCTGCGATTCAATTTGGAAGTTCTTCTGGGGCTTGCTCCTGTACGTCAGCTGGCCACCGAACAAGTCGATCGTCTTTGGGTCCGGCTCGGGTCCAAAGGCGGCATTGCTGACGTTGACAGCAGACGCCATGCGTTCGGTGATGTTATTGCGAGCAACACGATACAAAAGCAAAGAAAGAAGGCTATGACAGTTACAGACAAAACGGCAGATACTCCCGAATTCTGCCACTTACCCGCTCAACCACATGTGCACCGTGTCGGCAGGAGCAAAAATGAACTGTTCCGGCTCGAGGCCAGCGCAGTTTCATGAACAGAGGGGCATACAGCATGCCCACGTCTCCAGGGCACTGTCTATGGGAGTCCTTGACGAATTCAAAGCAAGTGCAGACGTGTTGATCGTCGCTTTCGCCTGCGCCTCTGCGCTGCGCTTTGTCCGAGCCTTCCACAACCCGAACAACACTCTCATTGACTAATGGCTTTTCAGCAACCACCAGTCGCGTGCTAAAGAAGGGCAATAAAGCTGTTCTATTTGTCTCTTTGCTTTTGAGACTGCTGCGCCTTGGGCAGGAACTCGTTCACGGGCTTGACAACATCCTCCCAGAGGTGCGTCGTATCCTTGTGCTGCAGCAGCAGCACCTCATTGAGCCTCGGGTTCCCCTCGCCGCCCTGCACGCTCTCGACCTGTCGTACATGGCTCCTCTCCGCCGCAGCCCACTTGACGAGGCGTTCCGCGCCGCCGTAAACGTGTGACATGGCAGCTAGGCGCTTCGCGATAAAGCACAGCTCACTGAAGCCGACAAAGCCAAGGGAAGTCGTTGATGACAAGGGCAATTTCCGGCTTGTGCACGCCGTCGAACAGCGTCACGTCCGCCGCTTCTACGCTGCCGTGCGCGCCTTTCTCCTGTTTTGCCATCTTGCGGCCGATTGCAGGGTGCACACACGCGCCATACGTCCCGTGCCTGTTCGTCTGCTACTGTTGCTACTGCAAAGTCCACGATGCATGCGTGTCGACGCCCTTGAGTCTGGCTACGCGCTCGGAGGGCGGGTGCGCCTGTAGCGGCAGCGCGTTGCTGGCGGAGAGCACTTTGAAAATGAATAGCATGCCGCCGTGCTCTCCATGTGCGAGGTATGGCATGCGCTCCAGCGTCGTAGGCCGATGTGCTTGGCAGTAGCGGTAGCGTCGGACCCAGAGGAAACCAGCAGATCGGACAAGAGGTTCCCGGCGGCTGCTGAGCCACTTTGAACTGGAAAGTTGGACAACAGTCGAGAAGTTCCTTTGGCATGCGTTGTGTCCATGCAAAGCTGTTGGCAACACCGCCATTATGGGCTGAGCTTACGATCCGACTGATTCTCGAACCTCGAACCGTACGTGCATACTTACCTCGGCGAACGGCTTGTCCTTGCAAACCGTATTCACACCGTCGCCTTGGTCGTTTCTCTTGTTCCGTCCCTCGTCCCAGCTCACTTCCCCCATTTACCTTCCATCGTAGCCGTTGAAACCTGCCGACACAGCAGCATGGTTCACCCTTCCTTGATCGCCGCCTATCTAGAGTTTCCCTATGAGCGAGGCGTCACCCTTGGGCCAAGACCATGTTCTGGACTGAAGAACGGACCCACAAAAGGCTGTGCGACTCAGATGCCTCACCGATCGCTGATGCTAGCATCGTGTCGTTCGTTCATTGAAAGCGTCACCCTGGAAGCCTGTGATGAAGAAACTACGAGTTCAAGCATTTTCGAAAGGAAAAATCCCATGGCACATCTGTACACCCTGTCACCCCTTATATTGCCAACGAGATTGTTTGCCACACTGCTAGGCTCATATCGCAGCTCCAAGACGTTCCATTCGCCATGTTGGGGAAAGAGGCACGCGCCTAGGGGAAGACTTGCCCTAGGAGAGTCGATAAATCCTGCATATCAGGGTCACGCTTCGCTTTGGTTCATGTCCCGCAGGGGTCCATCCCAGAGCGCGTCCTCATTGAACGACCTCTATAACCTTGAGAGCCCGAGGCTATAGGGATTGGGCTAAGAGAAAGGGTCCGGTGAGGTGAACGAGTAATTGCTGTCTCCGCCCGTGACCAGGCCCCCAATGTGAACGCTTGAAAATGGCCCAAGAGTCTTCTCACGTCGAGGAGCCTGATTCCTGATGAGAAATCGCAAGACCAGTTGACGCAGATAGCAGCGATAGATGGATCATTTCCTGCAGTATGGGTCCTTTTCCGGCGGCGCGAATAAATACGATGATAGGAAAACGAAAGCTAGAAAAAGAGAAGTGGAAGATCTAGATAAAGTGGGGAGGAGAGCGCGTGATCATTAATATAACCCCAGCCGGTGCAGACAAAGAAGAGAAGTCCTAATCAAGGCGCCCATGCAAACAGACCTATTTTATTGTTTTAGGGTTGTGCAGGGCAGACCAGGTGCCAAGATCTGCTCGCTCCCCTTTGCCCCTCTCTTCTTGCTCTTTCACGGTTAGTCTGCACACTGCGCTGCAATGCAGCAACCGGTCCCAGCGCCAGAGCAGTCGGTTTGTGACTACGTGTTCCTGAGTCTCGCCCAGAAAACCCCTGCCCCTTGCTACTCGCCGCTTGAGGCACTACAAAGCACCTTGCCAACGCACTGGCTAACAGCCCGGCAGTGCTCGCACCCTGGGACGGGTTTCACTCTCGACCGTTTGTCTGCTTAACAGTCCCCAGGCACTGACATTGACAGACTGACAGATCAAGTAGGCAACGCTCCGCTCTCCTATTGCTTTCTTTGGCACCCCTGCATGCTGCAGTTAAAATCAATGGGACTTCACTTGTGCAAGTCTCTGTCACAGCTGCTGGTGAGAAAACCGGAGATGTGTAGCGAGGCGCCCCACACTGAACTTTCGATCGTTGAGACCCCCACAGTGGACTTCGCCTGTCGCTCACCGGTCAACTCCTCCGTGCCACTGTCGCATCCTTTCTTGGTTCTCTGCCTGACAGATCTGCATCTATTGCACAGCACTTCCTGCCAACTCCCGTCAGCATCAACCATGTCCCTTGTTACTTCTCCTCCATCACCTTCTCTTGCGACACAGGTTCTTTTCAGCCTTCGACCTTGACATATCCTCTCCTTCGTTGTTGGTATCACGGTTCGGCGCTCACACTCTTTTACACCTCGTCAACCCCCCGTCGTCCTCGTCCGAACCCGCTGGTCTTCTTCCTCGCCACCTTATTGTCTCTGTCCAATATGAAGACCGCCACGTTCTCTTCCCTGCTCGCCCTACTCGCCGCCTCGGCATCCACTGTCGCCGCCACTGGCAACCCTCCAGATGTCTTTGCCGTCAACATCTTGAACCTGTGCGTGGAATGTGCGGGTTGCCCCTTGGTTTGTTGTGGCCTCTTCAGACTGACCTTTGCCCTCATCTAGCTACCCGGAGGACTGCCAGTGGGACACGACGCGCAAGCTGTATTACCAGTCCAACCTGTGGAAGGGCCGTGTCAGTGTGACGGACCCCAAAAACACCGATGCGCACTTCAACGTGCTCATCCCTGGCGTCAGCTCGAACGGCTACGGCGATCAACAGTTGGCCGGTCTTTCGCTCGACACGCGCACCGCCGCCAAGCGGCTCTACGCAGTCGCCAAGGACAGCAAGGCATTTGACTTCAGCAATCAGCGCACCGACGGTCCTTCGAGCTTCCACGCATTTAACCTGCCGGTCAATGCCAACTCGCAGCCGACCTGGTCGATCGACTTGAACACGGTCCAGGAGGAGTTCAAGACGCAGACGGGCACCCGTCCATTCGGGCCCGTCGACTCGGCTGTTGACAGCAAGGGAAACATTTACGTCGTGTTTGAGCTCGGCATCCCCGCGATTGCCAAGGTCTCGCCGGACGGAAAGACGGTGCAGGCGTGGTACTCGGAGGCGTCGAACGGGAGCCAGCGCCCGGGTTACACGGGCATCACGTACAGCGCGTCGGCCAACAAGCTTATCGCATACGGCGGCCCGCGAATCCTGACGACGTTCGACCTCTCCGCCAACGCAGTGTCCGGCCAGGCGAGCATGGCGCCCGTCAGCGTCAGTGGTAACTATGGCAGCCTGCTCGTCAGCGAGAAGCTCGTCACGGTGCCTTCGCTCGACAGCAGCGGAATCCGGTTGCTCGGCGTCAAGGCGCCGTACGTCTACTCGTTCAGCTCGCCGGACAACTGGGCCACCGCGTCGTACAAGCGCTACACCCGCCCCGAGTTCAACAACAACACGCTCCTCAACGTTTGCGAGGGTGAATTTGGTGGTGGACGCCAGATCTACGGCGTGGTGCGTATCTATCTTTCCACCACTTGTGCTGCTGGTGTGGCTGTGTGCCGAGCTTGGCCTGCTTGCCTAGCTGACTGACTGACATAACGTCCCGTCTCTTTGTGTTTCCTGCTTTCTCAGGGAGGATATCTGAACGAGGGACCCAAGGGCGGCCGCAAGGAGTTCCCGATGTATCACCTCCCCGACTCGCTGCTGCAAAAGTGAACCACGCGCAGCGCATCGCATTCGAGGCTGCATGGCTACCGCCATGCTTTCCCGCCTGCCTGCTGCTGCTTCGCATCATTGGTTTGATATTTTCACAGCCTTTGAGTATGCGATTACTTTTCATCACACGGACTTTTCATCCATCGTTCCCTTTATCCATGATCCACTCCCCTTCCATTCACCGCCACAGCTGTTGCTGCCGGACCAACAGGGATAGGAAGAAACAACATAGATCCAGTCGCAGATATACCATCTCCGGCTCTCGGCACACACAGCTATCCATTCACATTCTCCAGGGCCCATGGACCCTAATCCTCGCATCTCACCCGACCGTCTGATTCTCATGTCAGACTATTGCTCATGTATCAACTCAACGACAACCTTCGTTTTATCGGACTGCCGTACAAGTGCCGTTCCCTTTTAGCCCTCTCTCGCGCCCTGTGGATGATATCAGATGTGTGCGCTGACTGCCGGGGATCTCAGGATGAGGTGGACTCGCGATTATTGCGCATCTGACATTCTGCAATGTGCGGTTTATGCGCTGCAGCAGGGGGTTCTCCCATTCTCGTCCGAGCATGAAGGCCAACCCCGACGCTAGAGATGCTGGCCCCCGGGGGTTGTGGGGTGGGGTGAAGGGGGGGGATTCCATTCATTGTGCAAGTGTGTGATGCGAGATGCTTAAAGAAACGTTGGCGCCCATTGTACAAGCGGCGATGTAGCGATGAAGCTGCTAGGTTCTTTCAGCAGGGAACTATGACAAAGGGCTAATATGCACAAGCGATGCGGTGAGCGCATATGGGGGCTCCAACCCTACGTTCGTCTGGCCAGTTTGTTTACTTTTCTCCAGAAGGTATGTATGTGCTCGTGCCCCAGCGGAGGGAGAAGATGGGAGATCCATGCCGTCCTCCGACCCCGCACGCCCCAATCATATCGTATGCAGTCAGGCTCTGGACTCTCGGGCAGTATGTGACTGGGAGCCGGAGTGGCTCGCTCCCCCGTCGTTCACTATCTACTGCCTTCTTTTTTGGCGCCGCTCCCGTGCGCTGTGAACTGCTGGTCATCCCCTTTTGTCTTACAAGAAAGGTAGTGTATACTTTTATTTGAAGCCGACCATGCTGGATGCTCACTTGACTCTCGACTGTGACCTGTGGTGCGGTCTGTAGATGTGAACATGGAGTTGTCAAGTAGATGGTGACGTCGTGAGTGGCGTGAAAGTGTGTGTGCGTGAGTGTGAGTGTGCCATGGGACAATTTGTGAGACATCAGGAACCCAGGGGTCCGTGAGCGGCTGGCGGCCCTTTGCCAGCCAAGAAGCGGCAGGGCCCTCCCACTCCAACGTCCACAGAGGCCACCCGGCACGTGGCCGTTGACATGGTCCCAGCGACGAGACTTAGGTCGTACCAGGCGGGGAGGGCCTTTCTGTGTGGCTCTCCTGACCGGATTCCCCACACCCCATATTCTCTGCTGGAGATGGCACTAATTGATGCTTATCCACACTGGCCACTGCTAGTCCACCCCCACACTCATCGTATCTTTCCAATCGCGCTGCAGAGAACACCTGTGCCGCCAAGCTCGTCATCCATATTGGTCAGCTGTCGAGACGTAATAACCCAACCTCAACCCCACCCTTTCCTCTTTTCCTCTTCCTACAGACCAGCCACCCCGAAGCGCAAAAACACACCCCCACAGACGGGCCGCCATGGCTTTCACCATCACCACTACCACCGCCCCAGGCGAGCAGTCTCAAGCAGAAGGGGGGCACGACGCCCCGCGAGAAAGCCAATGCCGCAGGGCCCTTCATCCAACGCAACTATCGCGCCAACCGAGCCCGCCGCAAACTGGGCGGTCTGAATCTCGAGCGTCCGATGGGCAGCCGGAATTTCGACTACTTTCGTAAGGCTAAGAAAGCCCGTACTGAGCAAGCGGCGACCGATGGCAGCGAACAGTAGCAGCAACAAAGGAGGAACCCAGGCAAGCACGATGAAACAATGGACAGCTCGGCACGGTGGTCGGACACCGACTAGCGCATGCGCTAGGAAAAGCTAAACAAGGAAGCGCTCAAGGGCGACGAGATGAACGACGCAGGGAATTGCTGAAAGCTTAGGGTTTTCGTTGCTTAGCAGCTTACCAGCTATGCACCGCCTGTGGCAGAGCGGAATGGCGAAAGCGGGGGCGATGACGATAGGACCCATGAGCCAGTTGAAAGTGGGCTGTCGCTGGGGGATCAGGCGCAGTGAGTCCCGCAGCCTGAGTTGCAGGGATAATCTTCCAAAGACAAGCCTTCCAGGTCGAACGAGGTTGCATGGACCGAACCCGACAGCAGGGTTGGCGACTGTGAGCCTGATGCCAATACCGACGGACGTGTCAACAACATTTCGTTGATCTCTGCGTCGCAGCAGCGCGGACTGCGCATGATGGAGCGCTGGCCTGGAGGGGTGGAAGCGCAGGAGCTGCCCAAGACGATGGAGGCGCAGTGCTGGCTCGAATCGTCGATTCCAAGCACCAATACCGAGGCAACCTGAAGCAGTACCACACCGCGTGGAATGAGAGTGACGCCAAGGTCAATTTCTTCTGCTGGTTCGACCACGGCGACGGCTGACACCTCGACCCGCCGGACTACCCACACAAGCAACTGGACTCCGAGTGAATCACGTACCTCAGCGCCAACCAGCGGCGCAACTACGTCGACGATGTCGTTGCGCGCGATGGCAAGCTGAACTGGCGCAGGAGCGGCAGGGCCGCCGATAGGACCCGCGGGCGCTGGAAGAACTTCGGCGAAGGGTGCGGCATCGCGGAGGTCGGCGAGGAGAAGAATAGGGGCGAAAGCGCATCTACAACGAAAAGCGGCGCGCCGGAGCATCGTCTGCCACGTCCTGTGTGTCTTCTGGTGCGACGCCATTGCCGTTCACCTCTTCGTCTGCCAGCAGCAGCGACAGGGAAGGTGAGGGGCTGGGGGCCTATCGTCCGCTGAGGAAAAGGCGCAGGCCATGCAATACAGCGGGCCGTAATCTGCGCGCGCTTACGAGGGCTGGTCTGGTCGATCGACTGCTCGGGAAGGCGGTGCAGGCCAACACCTGGTGAGTTGCATTTGTCGTAGGCGCACGGCGCTGCCTGGGCTGCATGCTGACGAGAACGTCTTTTGACTCGGCCTGCGTGACCTGTCTACCTTTGGGCTGGCCTGGTGCAGGAACTACGTTTTCAATGTCCTCAAGGATCTGTACGTTGGCATCAAGCAGACCGGCAAGGTCTAGGGAGTGCAAGCTGCCTATTGCCCTCCCAGGCGCCAGATGCCTGACCTCTGGCCGTCATGTGAGCAATCGCCTTGTGCAACAGGCACTCATCGTTCTTCTTCCGCGGCGGCGTCCTCTCGGCAGGCCTGCTGCAAGTGAAGAATGGACAGCTGCTCTTGCTGTCCCCGCTTTCTGGGAACTACGGCGCCGGCACGGCGCAGTTCCGCCAGTTTGTTCGTATGCTACAAGCAAAAGGCATCGACCTAAGCCATGTCCAGCTGAGCAAGAATTTGACCATTCTCGGCGCGCTGGAGAAGAATAGGCGCTTGAAGAAGCGCATCAAGGTGGGCGGGAAGGAGAAGACCGAGCGCAGAGGGAAACATGTGGCAAAGGAGCAGGGCAGAGGGCACATAGAGGACGGAAGGAAGACTCCGTTGCATCTTCGCTTGATCTAGAAGGTCAAAGTGAGTGCCTGATGAACCGCAAGGAGCCGCAACATACTCCTTCGACCCACGGCCCTTCTCCGGCTCCCACATGCTTCATTAGCTACTCTGATCTCAACACAGCGGCTTCAGATTCCCCCACGCAAGTTTGTCGCTCGCACACGTCGCAGCCCTTGTACATATCCATCAGCTTCGCTCCCTATCTTTGTTTCGGTCTCTATCTCTGCATCCATAGATACTCCATATATGTCGCAGGGGTTTCCCCTTGTTCCTCGCGGGCACGACGATCTGCTCTGACTCATCATGCCTGCTAGCGAGCAGGTTTGCTTTCCTTATTTACACGACACTCCAACTCGAAGATACGTGCAGAGCGAGAAAGAGACGGACATTCGGTGCAATTACTGCCGGTGGCTGTGGACGGGGGGCAGTCGAGAGTTGTCACAGCATCTGGTGTCGCGTGTTATGCCGCCACCAACGAGCGAAGCGATATGAGCACCATCCACACCTCCCTGCCGAGACGCAAGTGTTCAAGACAGCTTGGTAGTGGAGAGGTCTGCGATGTCATTCTTCTCTTTCCACTCAGCTTACGAGCGCGTGGTCAGCCGCACCGGCAGTCTGCTAGCCACGGGCAACCCAGCAGCACGCACATATGGCCAGGTACCCCGTCATCGCCCCTTTCCGCGCTCAAGCCCAGCTCGCCCTCCTTGCCAACAGGCAAGATTCACCCCCAACAGCCTCGCAAGAATCGCAACGCAGGATTTCATATATAGCGCAGCACGGATGGCTGGCCTTCAATGAGCATGCCCGCTTGGTCGCTCGGTTATCATCCCGATACGCTACTACTGCCGCTGTCGTCGTCTTCGTCGTGCAAGGCATTTAACCACCGCCACGCTGGGCGAGGCCAAGCGTGCAGAAACACCAGACGGCGCCTTTTCCTTCTCGTCGCCACTATCGATGCGAGACTCTAGCGGGGCAAGGGTTAGGCCATAGCTCCTGACTATGGCCGCACATCCGCATCAGCCTCGTCCTCGTCTTCAGTATCAGCGTTAGCGCCGCAGCCAGCTGAGCACTCCTCGCCATCCGCAAATTACAAGCTCATGCCCATGCGCCATCCGCAGCTAGGTCTGACACCTGGCGATCCCGATTCCCGTCGCTCGTTCGATTCTCAGATCTCGTCAACTGGCTCACAACTTCACCTGTCGCAGCAACAGCGACCGGGTCACAATGGCCGCGTGCCGCTATCACATACCCACTCTGCCAGACCGCCCAGCAGCCTCATTGCAGGCAGAAGACCAGCATCTTTAGTGATTCCGAACACGCACAAACAGAGTATGTCCGGAAACGTATCTTTCCCTCCGCCGCAAAACGACACCTTATCGAATGGCCCACCGCAATGCCTGACGCCCTGCCAAAGGGGCACAGTGTCCTTGTCGTCGCCAGCAACTGGTGGCGGTGCGCCTTTCGCATCGTCGAGCTCGACACAAAGGCCTGCGCCGCTCTTGGGTCCCCTTTCGCAGCCTTATTTCTCTTCGGTGGGTGATGTCCCCGTCGCGCCTCCGTCGAACACGAGTTTCAGGTCGCCAGCGAGCGGCGCTGCCCGCGGTAACGTCAAAGGTAGTGGCACTGCCTTTGACCTGCCGAGGCCGCTATCGATGCAACAGCCTGGGTCCGGTGGCACGCCTCAGTCCTGGATGCATCCACAACAGTCGCCTTTTTCGTGGGGCCTCTCACCGCAAGCCAACAGCCCTTTCTTCCAACATCAGCAACGACAGCCACTCTTACCGCCGCCGCCACATCCACAGCCCGGGCCGTCCGCAAGCTGGTCTGGTGCGATGAATGCGCCGCACGGCGCTCCCGGCCATCTGGAGTGGGACTGTGCACAATGTGCGGCCCTGATAGAGAGCGTGTACGCTGCGTCGCGCGAGACTGCTGAGGAAGAAATGCGCCGACGGTCTGAGCTCGAGGCTAAGCGACAGCAGCAGGCGAGCCGAGAAGAGGAAGAGCTGCAGCGCGCTTTGCGCGAATCGTTGGCGCTTGATGCCGAGCAGCGCAGGCGCAAGGAGGAGGCTGGCGCAGAGCGCGTAGCGCTCGAGGAGAGCTTGCGCACCGCGTTGCAAGAGCAGGAGACCGAGTCGCTGCGGCGCGAGGCCGAGGTACAGACGACCGCTGCGGCGCTCGCGCGCAGCCGTGAGCAGGCGTCGGATGACGCGCGCAGACGGCGCTCGCGCGAGGAGCTCGAGCAGGCCATCGAGGCGCGCGTCATGGGGGAGAGCAAGCGCGAGCAGGAGCTCGAGTGGCACAGGCGCGAGGAAGAAGAGCGCATGTTTTTGCAAGCTCTTAAGGACGAGAGCCAAGGGCAGGCGAGCGTATGGGAACGTATGCAACGCGACGATGCGTTCAAACCGGCGTTCGATGCGCATCGCCGCCACTCCATGAAAATAGGAAGGAAGAGTGGCAGGCATGGAAACGCCACCGGCACTGACAGTGGAAGCCAAAGTGGCACCACAAGTGGGGGTGGGAGCAGCATAGGACAGCAGGGACATGGACCGCTGTCGCGTGAACCGGAAGTGGGAGCAGAGCCCCTGGATGAGCTGGCGTCGCCAAGTATGCCGAGCGCTTCTGACCTGACGCTTGGCAGCAGTGGCCCTGCGACGCCTGGAGACCTGGGAATCGCGCTGAACCCCTTCACGGACGCAGCCGAAGCGCCTCCGCTCTACGAAGACGTCACGCCTTCTCCGTCATCGCTGCACTCGGCGCTAGGTGTCGTTTCTGATTCTACAGCGGCCTCGATAGCCTTGGCTGCTCCTGAACGACCGCCGTTGAGCTCTAGGTCCTCGGAGCCTAGGCCCTTAGCTTCCATGTTTGCAGTGCTGAGTGTGAGCCCAGGGCCTTCGCTATCATCTTCACCATCAACGCTCCACAGACATTTGCCGCAATCTACGCCACACCCGCACTCGCAAGCGCAAGCGGAAATATCGCCATTACCCTCGTCGATGCCGCAAATCCCGCCGAAACTACCTGCAATGCGGCAAAGCTTGAATGGCATGCACAGTCGTCCGCTGCCGCGCATCCCGCAGAGTCTTGTCCCTGCATTGTCAGTGGCGCTCTCCCCTGCGGCTGTGTCGTTGCAACATGCCGAGCTCGACAGCTTCGAAAGAATCATCGGTGACAGAGACCCCTTGCCCACCCCACCACCGCCCGTGCCCCCGCCCCCGCCGCTCCCCCTTTCCATGCCGCGTTTGCGCTCGGAATCGATGCCGTCCGCTCCGGTGGCGCAGGCTGCGACCCTGCAAGCCCGCAATTTGTCGCCCCTGCCAAGCGTGCGAACAACTGCGATAGAAGATTTGGATTCGGACGAAGAGGAAAACAGGGCCCTGTCGTCGCGCCAGTCGCAGAGCACATGTAGCCGCAGCGCATCCATCGTCTCGGGCGCCAGTGGGCAGTACAATGGCAACGCGGGCGCGAGCCTCTTGAGCTTGGCGTCGAACATCGCCTTAGGCTCAGGATCGCATGGGCAAGAGCAAGGGTTGGAAGTGCAATCCCTCGACACGAAGTTCTATATTCCGCGAGCACATGTCGCGAGCCAGCAGAGTCTGCGCACCGTCGCCTCAGAGATATCGCACACTTCTATATCAAGGCCACAGAGCACGAGCTCCGCCGCCGGCATTAGTGGTGCATGTGCATCTATTCCTCGATTCGAGCAGAAGACTCCCGAGAGTGTGGACTGGGGCTATGCTAGCTCGCCCTTCGACACCAAACTTTACGCTTCACCGCAGTCGATGACAGTGAGCGAAAGCAAGCAATACTTCCCAACCGTTATCACGCTCCGCGCCCATGATGGCAATCCGGATGCGAGGGCCGCTCGCGCTGCTCCTGCGCAAACGTACTACTTTGTCATTCGCGCGCAGACTTGGAAGGCGCTTTTACGCGCTATGGCTTGGTTTGGCAATACGCGCATTGAAGCGGGTCCGGAGGAAGTGGTGGAGGCTGCTACTAGCGCAGCAACAGCAGAATCAAAAGCGGGACCAGGGGTGCAGGAAGCCCGGCCCCTCACTGATGCAGGGGCATGCAAGCTCATGATCGACCTCGAGTTCGTCACACCGCAGCGCTGGGACGTCTCTCTCGCTCCGATTGTACCCGAAGGGACTCACGGTGTCCAAGGCAGCAATGGAAACGACAAACCTGCCTTTGTGGCTGTATGCCTCTCGCTTGTCCAGCATCGCTCCGCCGAGGTGTCTAGCGTGCTCGCTTTCAATAACCGCAAGCTCGACACCATGTACCTGCAGCACGGCAGCGCACGCCGCGCCGTCATCTTGCCACAACGTCCCCCGCCGCTGCCTATCTCTGTTGTAGACCTCGCGCAGCGCATGCACGGCGCCCATGCATTCAGCGCCGCATGCCCGTCGATCTCTAGCAGTTCCAACATGGCTGCATCGCCGAGAGACTTGCACAATGCCATCGAAAAGCACGACGTCAAGTTCTTCGGGAAGCGGCGCAAGGAGGCGGGCAACAAGGGTCAAGGCGGCTCCCGAGCGCATCTGACGGTCAGCGACGATCCGACCGGGATGCACATTGCTGCAACGGGCGCCGTCTCAGAGCGCACGGCGCTGGAGAGGATGAAAGGAGCAGTGAAGAAGCTGGCGAAGAGGAGAGACGACCATGAATTGAACGAAGACCTGTCAACCTGGATCACTCCGTTCGGTGAGTTGCGCTCCTCGCTTTGCGCATTCGACCATTGCAGGATCAGGTCTGATGTTACTGACATCCACGGTTCAATCCTACTCTTTTAGATCTCTCAGAATATGGCTGAATTCTAGGACGATTTGCATCGCCGGCATTAGCGGCTTTGGCCGCCCCCATCATTGCCGTTGCGCTGCCCCCTCCGCTCCCTGTTCCTCTTTTCATTTGCTGTCGCTCTGTTCAGGATAAGTCATCACGGAAGCACTGTATCATGATGTTGTACAAATCAGGACGCGATCCGCTCTCATCATTCTTCCTCGCTGGCCCGATGCTCGGATGTGATTGCACGCACACTGATCACGCCTACCACGCGAGGACCGTAACGCTTGTACACGCTGCCGAGTGCCGACGATTCTCATATCTTATTTCTCACCTTTCATGATGCTGTCTGCTATCCCGTTGGCGGTTGTTGACATTGGCATGGCCCTATGGTGACAAGCGCTTCAGCTGCTCACAAGCACGTACCATTGCCTAAAAGGATGGTGGGCTTAGGTGACGCTAGAGTTGCTGAGGTTGGCTTCCTCTCTGCGAGACATCTGTGCTTCGCTGTACCGACTTTCGCGCCCACGCTTGGCACACACCAGCAACTCCTGATTAATGATGATCTTTCGTTGTGACCTCGTCGGCGCTCAATCCGAAGAGGTGTAGAGGTACTCTACGAAGGCAGAAATAATGGCTAGATTCATACAAGTCGGAAGAGAATACGGGTGCTTGTATCATAGTCGAGAATGACCGATAAGCGCAGAGAGGGAGACTTTGGTCGAGGTGCCGATGGTAGGGCCCCATGTCGTGGTCGAGCTAAAGGGATGGTCACGTGACCTTTCCTTCACACCACTCGAATTAATCTTAATCCTCGCTGCACATGAGATTGCCCATGGCGCTTCTGCCCGTGCGGCAAAGGTCAATCGATATACATTGCGTCCAGTAGTGCACCTTGGAGCATTCAACGAGTGGGGGACGCACCTGTTGCTGTGAACAATACCAGAATTTCTCCAATCCATCTTCGCTCTGCGGAGTCAGCGCAACATCCAAGATGCAAGAGAGAAAGCGACCCAAGCTCATCCCGCGGGACGCGACGTCCAAGACGCGGCTGATGCCTGTGGCAGGGGCCGTGCCGCCGATAGGTACACCGGGCCCTCTCAAGCAGCTCGAAATGACCGAAGCCCGTGAGTATGTGCCGGCATCGAGAAACACAAATGGTGGTAACGAAGGCCTGAACCATATGCGCAACTTGCAGAAAATGCACTTGAAGCTCGCGTGGCTGTCGACGAGCGACCGATGAAAAGATTGATCAAGAAGAGCTTTGCTGTGCTAGGGCTACCCGGGGAAGATAGGTGAGTGTTGCATCGGCGATATTTTGCATGACTGCTGCAAGGCAATCTACTTGCTGATCAGCCCTTCTTCTCACACCTATGGCAATCAGCGACATTGAGCTGGCTGGTCTGGCTACTGAGATCTCCGCCATGAAGGTCACGCTTGCGCGCCTCAGAACGGTTGCTCAAGTGACCTCGAAAGGAGAACAGGCAGAATATGAAAACGACTCGAGGAACTTTGGTACGTCTACTGCGGGGTACGCCTTTGTGACAGCTGGTGCTGATCAACACTCCTTAACTGATTTCACCTTCGCTCAGAGCAAACATTCAGAAACGGCGAGGAGGAGATTGCGAGACTGAAAGATCAGCTGAAAGAAGCACAACAAGAGAGGGCTAACAAGCTGGAATATGACGCCTTGGCAAAACAGATCGCCAAGTACCCGTCAAGAGCTGAGACGGAGGAGTGAGTGCAACTTGGCGTCCTTATCTCCCGAAGTGCTTTGATGTCGATGAGCTCCGACTCATCATGCCCTCAAATTCGTAGATCTATGCGGCGTGTCCGCTCACAAATTGAAGCCCTCCGCGAAGAATCAGAAGGCTACCGAGACATCGCATCACGCATCCGCGAAAAGTGGGTGTCGGCCATGGAGAATTTCGGCACGCTGCAAACCCAAATCAGCGTCGAGATTGCCGAGCGGGAGCGGGCGGCGGTTGAGAGGAACGAGCAGCTGGGAGACGATGACGATGACGAAGATGGAACTGTTGACCCCTCCGCGGAGGATGTGGATGAGACAGGAAAAGACGAGCACAGCAAGCGAACTGGGGCTGCACCGTCCGACGAACAGGAGCTGGAAGAAGGGGAAGAAGGAGCACATGGCAAAAAGGCCAGCAGCAGGGCTGCAGACGATGAAGAAGAAGAGGAAGGTGCCATGGCAGACGAACGATCACCACATCATCGCGCCAGTTCCGGCGCGCTGAGCGGCGGCAGCTCTCGCTTGAATCCAGGCGCTCAGCCCTTCGAGCCCGTCAGTCGCAGCTCCAGTAGCCTCGCTCACGCTGCCAGACGAGGAACGAAAAGAGATGACAATGAAGAAGGAGCCACCCGCCATACGCACCCTCTCCCTAAACGGCCCCGACGAAATTGAACGCGAGATTTTTTCGGTCAAGTCACTTTCTGTAGCATATTACATTAAAATGCGACATTGCTTGATCCCTACGAGAACCTTATCAGCGGCATCGAGATACTGCAAGTAGAAAAGGGAGCGCGTAAGCGCTGGGCAAAGCGTCAGCACCAGCTTCAACAATACTCACCTGCTGCCAACGTTTTTCAAATTTAGACGTGATGCGACGAGCCGCGCCTTCCCTGCCCTTCACGCGGTCGGCTGAAACGCTGATGCTGATGGCGGAGATGATACCGATACCCAAGGTCTGCTTGCCTGCGTGAGGAGGTGAAGCGGTCCAGCGACGCTGCGCAAGATCAAGCGTAGAACGGGAAATCGATTAGATCTAAGCCGTGAAATGCCACACATCGTCGCGTTAGCCCCAGAGACACACCACTGCGTGGCCCTGCATTTCGACATTTCTCGGAGGACCAGGGACGTTGGTTAGGACTGCAGTGAAGGACGACATGATGACTTCCTCTATGCACTTCACGAACTTCCGAACCGACGTCCAGTGGTTAGAAGGAATGAGGATACTGGGGTTCGACAATAGCCCCATCGATGTGTGCACGAATTGTGAGCATTGTGACCGTGGATTTCCATGAGAGTGGGATGCAGGGCCCACTCACAGAACCTGTCTGGTCAACTGGCCGAGATGGGAGAACAGCTTGGGCATTAAGCTCTGCTTAACGATGCTGAGCCGCTTCTTGTTTGCGTGCAAACGCGCGTGGAGCGCATTCACGCTGGTGGGGAGCCCATGGCCGCCAGGCAAGTAGGCGATTCCGCCCGTCGACCAGTTGCGCATCGTGGCATCACTGATGGGACGGATGTTGATCGGGATGAACAGGCCAATCGGATTCGGTAGGAAATAGTCGGTCACGGTGAGCATCTTGTTGGCCAGCCCGGGTCCCCGACCGCGGGCGTCCAGCTCATCTGCTACTACATCTGCGATGACCTGTCATGGAAGTTCTGATCAAAGGCCATGCTCGATGGGATACAGGCAAGGCTCGCTCTCACTGTGCATAAAAAATATCGTTCAGCGTCAAGTGTCCCCACATGCTCTTGGACTTTCTCTTCTTGTCCCCGGACAGCCAGTCAGCGAAGCTACCCGGCCGCGGCCCGCTGAAAGCCCTCTGCAGCTTCTTGACGTCGTCCATGGGAAATGTCTTGCTCGTGCTAAACTCCTTCTTCTCGATGCTTCCCGGGGCCCAGTTTGTGACATAGCGCTGGCGCCAGAAAGTGAGAAAGAAGATGACAGAGGTGATCCAGGTCTGAATAATACTCCCGTATAGCTCCAAAATCGTCTGAATGGAAAATACCGTCCAGTACAGACCAAACATGGCAATCTGCAGCCAGAACTGTTGGTGATGCGCATCGAGCGACTGGAGAGCCTTGTGGAGCTTCGAAGGCTTAGCCGATCCGCGTCGAGCTTCATGCAGCGGCTGCGCGTCCTCCTTGAGCAAGCGCTCCATATCTGCACCGTAGGATGTGATGTACAGCTGGGACATGACAAAACCGACACCATCAGCGGAGGTGTGGTGGCCGCGCGTGATCATGGCACCTTTGCCACAGGACTCGGAGTCATGGAAGTTCTCCAACAATACGCATTCCCAAAGAGGCTTGTTCCTGATCGAATATTTGGCGATTGCTCAGTGCCCAGCATCGATGTCGGAAAATGTATGGTCGGGACTCACAAGTCCCATTGTTGTGCAATAAATCTTCCTGTGTATGCCTCGAGCTCTCGAAGACCGGCTGGCTCCGGAAGCCTTTCGACGCGCAAATGCCGCTCAACTGCCCAGTTCGGGTCTTCGACGAAGCGTGCACTGTGCCATCCTCTGCCGTAGCCCTGCAGCTTTTGTCTGTATCGTGGGAACGACACAACCTACTTCTCGATGGCCGCCTTGACCTCTTCAAACGTCAGCGGCGAATGAAATATATGGGTTGCGGTGAAGACCGGATTGAAACCAGATGTGGTGGAGGAAAGGAAGATCCAAAGGCTGTCTATCCCGGGAATGGCATCCCTGCGGAACTCCCACCCTGTCTCTATGGGCTCTTCAACCCATGCTCCATCCTGTAGACATTTTCGAGCTGCAATGCCAGCAAGGTTGTCTGTCTCAGCTTGAGCCTTGAGGAGACCATCCGGCCGGCTGTGGATGCCTTCTAAGGATGCGCTCAGGATGCCTTTGCGGCTGGCGGAGGAGATTGGCTCTGGCGAGTGCCACTTGGCGGTGCTCGATCCGTTCGAATGTTCGAAATGGAGGTTCAATCCTCCATTAGAGATTTGCTGCAGGCGAGAGTACCGATTCGTCGGCGTTCTTGCACCAGAGACATTTGGGGTTGTGGGAGCTGTGGAACTGATCCTCGTCGGTACCGAGTTGTCGCCATTCTCATAGCTGACTGAGCCCCATGGTTGTCCCTCCGACACGTGTCACTGCCGGGGTGTACTATCAGAGCCCATTATGACCACGTCTGGTTGGCGGCTCAAAGCGACCAGACAGCTCTGCAGAGGAGAGCGAGAAGAAGAGGACGAGGGGATCAGGTCTCGTTTGCGGCAGCGGCTGTTGGAGGCAGGGCGAAAAAGGATAAGACTGTCGGACCACAAGGAAGGTCCGCTGATGAAGCAGGAATGCAGAGCACATGCGAGCTTCTCTAGCTCGCGAGGAGAATAGAAATGCCGCATAGGGCTCCCCGGGTGGGGAGGGGGGTGCGGGTAGAATGACAAGCATGCAACGTAAATAGCGAATGGCGACCCCACACTTCAACTCGATCCGGATTCCGGGGACGTGGTGATTGGAGGGGCACAGGGTCAGAGGATTGCAATATTTAGACGCTCTCTTTCCCACACATTCGACGAGCGATGCCACGTCAACTTCAGCCTTCAATCATCAGTTTTCGGTCAAACAAGCATCCCCACAGATCGACGGCACAGACAAGGACAAGGTCTTCTTGTAAAACCTGTGATGACGGACGCAGTTCATTTGCACGCTTGACACTTCTCAATACCTTCACGGTCTCCAGGCTTGAGGCATAAATACGGACGTAAACGTGCGTCGGACTCAAAAAATCTCTTGAGAGAAAGCAGCAAGCATATCCTCCCAGGTGAGAAGCGTCGACTGTTCATGCGCTAGTGTCTACATTAATATGAAGGACAGTGTGGTTGCTCGCCGTGCTAATGCAGGATGAGGGTTGTAGTCAGCAAAAATGCCGAAGTCCGTTTGGCCGACCAGTTCGGTCGAAACACTCTATTCAAGTCTACTTCGAATCAGTTAGATTTTGATTCCGTTCGTGCCCCAGGCAACTGGTCAATTTGTTGTGTCTGCATTCCCCTGAGCCACAGTTCACATAGCATCTGGTCATCGCATGAGGCTCCAAGATTAGACCAGAGAAACGAAGGAATCCATATGAAGCTGCGATGCTGTGTAAATATCTGCCAGCCTATCAGTTTCAGCTTGGCATACGTATGATCTGCTAGATAGGGCGGGCGAGTCAAGTTCGGGAGCAAGGAAAAATAAGGTGCGTTTCGGGAATTTTGACTATGGACAGAGGTATTCAGAGAACTATTCGTACGTATGTACCGTAATGTGTATGCTGTATTGCCATTCAGTACCCAAAAAAGGCACCACTGCAAGTGTACAGAACGATGAGCGAGAATGCTCGAGCGACTCACTCAGGTGCGTACCATGTGTGACCGGGGTTGGACGTGGACAACAGCTGCGTAAGCCAAGTCTCGTTAGCCGAATGTGGATACCTCACTTCGGTGTCCGATGGAGGATTCCCTTCCTGCCGCTCCACAAAACATCTATGCTTCTCGGACTGGGGCACGATCATCCTCTTCTCAACACATGGTTAGCTTAGTAAGAAGTGATTGGCAATGCGGGACACGCCATAGCATCCGACGAGCCCAAACTGGTATGTGAAGATCGTGCTGCCGGGGACGTGGTATCAAAACGACATGACAGCAAAGCCGAAGGCTGCCGCGCAGGCTAACAGGATTCAAGCCACCCACCGCTTCTCTGGCCGTGACCAACTATCAGAGTGAGGCGGAAAGAGCATCAGAGCAAGGTATTACGTCATTGAAAGAAAAATTGCAGCGGCTATAATCAATGGCTGTGTGCTCGGAACATGTGCAAAGTGTGGATTTCCGGTAAATCGAAGCAGCAGACCGTGCACGGATGGGTGGGGAACAATGGGTAGGAGATCGTTTTCGGTGACACAGAATCTAATTCGCTGATGTCTCGCAGAACCGTTTTGTTGTCGATGCCGAACTAGATCAGGTCTGCCAAGGATGGATGCTTTCTTTTTTGTTTCGCTGAGTTCCAGTCGCTCAAAGCAAAAGAGGTGGACTCTCTGATGGAGAACAATATGCTGCTTGAGATGCTTCTATACACGAGGGCTTCTATGAGGGTTGCTGTTAGTAAGTTCTTTCGTTTGTAATATCGTCCTGGGTAAGTTGTAACAACTTTTCGTAGACGAACCAGTGGCCAGTGGAGCTGAAGTAGTTGCAGTGGCAGATTGCCACCAATTTTCGATGTGTTTCCATTGCTTCACCGATTCCGATTCCGTTATCGGTCTGCATGCGACTGATGGACGTTGCATTGGTGTATGCTAAGACAGCGTGTGACGTCGAACCCAGACTTTGTCATACTCCACGTCGCCAGTCACATCTTGCAGGGTGTGTGCGAGGTAATTGTTTTAGAATCCAACTCGAGTATTGTTTGCTTATGTGATGGACGGAGCACAGCTTTCAGCGGATGATGAGATCTATAGCAACATGAGACCAACAGCCGGCTGATCTGGCAATCCGTGATCATCAAGGTTATGAGGCCAGCCACAGAGAGAGAGAGATGAGTAGATGGCAGAATCAAATTCCTTATCTTATCTTTGGAGATCGCCGAGTCGCGTTCTATGAGTATGGTTCCCGTCATTACCTGCGACTGCGGAACAGCGGCGTTGTTGGAAGGAAGCAGTGGCTGCTCTCTCGCCTGTCGCAATACCGAAACCATTGTCAGCAAGTCGTCTGGAACCAGATATGTTTTGATGTTGAAGCTTGGAGCCGCCTGGGTGCTGCTATATGCATGTAATTATACAGGTCATGGTGTCGCTATAAGAAGTTTGACGGAGAGATGGCTTGCTAACGGGAAGTATCCAAGATGTATAGCGACACCCTCTGTAATTGGCATCGGGCAGGCAGTGACGGTGCTCACCCTCAACGTTCTTGCCGGCGGAAGCTCGACTACACACATGAAAGAGGCTTCGGAGTAGCTCGGCACAGCTGGATACGGCAAGGCGGCACCACACTCAACCATTGACGCCTTCTCTGTTCGCAACCTCTTTTATCTCTTTGCCGTCTGTCATTTGCCCTCGATGTGCTATTCAGGTACTTCCAATCGCTCGCACGGGTTCATTGAAGGTGGTCGGCTCCGTCTTCCACTGACCGTGAGCACAGCTCCCAACTCCATGAACTGAAACCACTCGTCTGGCCCACACACAGCTTCGCTCGCTTGCCATCGCTGACCAGCCATAGTGCCAAGGCAGCAGGTGCCGACAATCTCACTATAAGTTCGCGATGCTGTTCTGCAATACCACTTCTCGATTCCGATAGCTGAGCATTGTACCAGACCGTCTCTGTCGCAAGTAATTCATCTACTGCACGGCACGCAGTGACGTCATATGCCAATCAATGGACATGTTCTGCTCTCAAGTACTCGAACTGGGTTGTGATTTCGGCTTGATTTTCAACTTTGCGATCATGACTGGCGGTGGTGACCGCTGCAAATTACAATGCTCACTTCTATTAAAGTCGTATTAGAAACTTTGTGTTGATGCTCCCCGTACAAGCCAATCTTTTGTTCATCCCACAGTGTAGAAAAGGTAAAGCGGCATATTGGTGCTACAAGAAGCAGCAGCCTCTCCCAAGACCAGAGACGGCGCTTCTGACCTTCAGCATGGCAACCAAAGTTCATTATACACAGCAAGGCCTCTAGCTATCGCTTTTGACGGAATCGTCACACGCCAGAACACCCGGCAACCGCTGAGGTTCTGTGAGTGCACCTCCCCTCAGCGCTGCGACCCGTGACAGGCCGTCTAGGCGATGGGAAGCTTGCCATATGGCAGCTCAGGATCTCTTTTACCGACAACATTATGTCTGGGACTTATCCCTCAAACCCCCAGAGCAACACTGATAGCGTGGCGATTGCAACGGAGAGAGAGAACACAGAGCTGTTTTGTCCCGCCCCTCTTCTCGCCCCCGCTCCCCATCCAAGGCGCTACGCGTGAGCACCGCGAGCACGGTCAACCACAGCGGGCTGCGCTCCTTCCTCACGACACTCGCCGCCGCCATTGCCGTGAGCTCCCCGGGGTCTTATAGTGATACATCATCCATTGCGAGCTCAAGCTCGTTTGCGCACGCAATTGGGATACATGATACTGCTCTTGGCATGGAAGAAATGGCCGACGTTTGTAGCAGCCGTTCGCGTGGTCGCCGTTCTTGTCCTCTTCGCCATACAGCGTTCCGTACTGGAATGTGCCTGCCATCGGCAACAATGCGTACCTGCTCGATATGAAGGGCCAAGAGTAGGACGATGCGATGTATGGCCCTTCGATTGCAGATACGGTCTCGCGAACGATTGTCACGGCAAAAGGGCTCTCGGATATCGGATCGCTGATCCATCTAACCCGTGGCAACTTCTTTGTGTTCCTCGGGTAAGAATCTATCAATGTACATATCCAAAATTCATTGTAGCGCCGGGTGACTCATACTCGAGTCTCCCTATGCAACGTAAAGCTATCCGGTGCTTCCAGCTTGACCTGAATTTTCTCCTCCTCCACATACTTCCGCGATGATGAATGGGACGACCTGACCTTTCAGGGTCACATGTACATCGACAATGTCCGGGTCTGGCAAGATCCTTCGAAACTTGCTGTTGGCTGGAGTCGTGAGTTTCGTTTCCAACAGCTCCCACAGGTACGACTTTGCAGACTGTACTTTGCTCTATTGGCATGCGCGGTCAGGTGATGATCATCGATAACTTATTTTTGCAAGTTCCATGTCCAAGGCATGGTTTCTCATATGGCGCTTTCTCCAGGACGACTGATTACATTCAGGGCATATTGAAGCATGCACGCCAGCTCACAGGTCCGACCAAATTATCCATAGACATGAGTTGACAAAGCGCGTCTGATTGCCGTCGTTGAAATTTAAATCTCACCATCTGGACCGGGTCGAGCACCCCTGGCGGTTATGAGATACAGTGTACGTCCACAGGAGGATTCCATCACAAATTCATTTGAACCTGTTTCGCCATGTCCTCTCACAGGTAGGGGAATTGGTTGCGGAGCGAATTCTAGCGTGCACGGACTCTTTCGATTTTATTATCACGTGTATCTTTATCATCGAGCGATGCTGCTCACGGACTTTCAGCTACGAAATGTACACAGTGTCAGTACCCCTGTATGCCGTCCTATAAACGCGTGCGGAAGTCAGTACAATACATACTTTACCGGCCTCCGCCTCTCTCCTGCTTAAACTTTGCAATCCAAGTCTTCTCAGCGTCTGAACCTTTCGGCAAGACGATGAGCGAAACGAGACCGTCCTTGAGCATGACGCCGTCCCTATCCGCACCCTTCTCAGGATCCTTAGCACCCTGGTCAATGATCTCACGCAAACTGAGTTTGCGTCCGATCTTGAGCAGGCGCTTCTGCCGCGTCGTGGCGTACACCTGCAGCTTAGCGCTGACGTACTCTCCACGCTCGTCCCATGGCTGCCGCGCTGTGGGCTGAGTCGAACTACCTGCAGGCCCTGGGAACATCTCGTCGAGGTAGAGCCCGATCGGCGTATCTTCCGGATACTCGGGGATGAGGTCCGACTGCGCGTATTGCGGGTAGAGCAGGAATACGGGGAAGATGAGCTGGGTGCGGATTGCGTCGGGTGCTTTCCAACTTGAGGCTAGCGGACCGCTGAGTGGGATGGAAGGTGATGAGGAAGAAGAAAGAGAATCAGGGTCGAAGTGCGGCCTTGCTGGATTGTCCGGTGGCCGTGAAGATGTTTCAATCCATAGCCCACGAGCCTGAATGTCGTGAGATGTCCTCGTGATGAATGTCTGTATCACAAATGAATCATTAAAGAGATCGCACTCACCAAAAATGCTTGATTAAGCGCCTTGTCTGTTTCCAATTTCCTCCTTTCTCGTTCTTTCCTCTCTGCTTGTATCCGTTCGACCTCGTTTTTCCTCTTGGTCACTTTCTCCCTCAATTCCTTCACATCTTTGTTTTCGGGATTGGCTCGTAGCGCATGATCACAGCAGTCAAGCGCTTCGGCCACTTTATCCGTAGCCAACAAGGCCCGTGCGGCACGGTAAAAGGCCTTCTCGGATGTAGGATTCAGCGCTAGGGCTTGCGATGTGTCTCGCAGAGTCTGACCGTAGTTTTCTGCGTTAGCACAGGGAAAAGACAATGAAGCGTCAGGGCGCTGCAACATTCAAATTGTTTCATCGAAACTCGAACGCACTGAGCGCCAGGTTGCAAGCGGCGCGATTGAGATAACAGCTTTCGAGTAATTTCGTGTCCGGCGGGCTGACATCGATCGCTTGAGAGTAGAAAGACACTGCCTCACGGTACCTTTTTCCCTTGAAGTAGTCGTTGCCTTGCGCCTTGAAGTTTTCGGCAATTTCTACATCATCATGGTATATAGAAGGTGACCAGTGTAAGAAACCACAGGGAAGCGAAGATGAGGGACACATCACATTAGAACTAACCATCAGGCGTCCCATCAAAAGCCAGGCTCTTCAGCGCCTCGAGCGCATCTTTCGACGCCGCATCTTCTACCACTCCTCCAGCCCGAACTTCTTCATCTGAAGGCAGGTCACGCATGAAAAGCGGCACATTGTCCAGTGATTTGAGTTTCTCATCCAGTGTCATCCGGGGCGGAAAGTTGGGATTGTTGAATGCTTTGAAGCCACCAGGTAGCATATCGGAAAAATCGATTACATCGTTTGCCTTGCTTGACTCTACCCCACCCGATGTACCTTTTTCATCAGCCGAAGGTCCAACTTGCGGCGCCTTCTCATCAACCTCTTCGATCTGAAATGAAGATGCATGTGTCAGTTTGTGCTCTTGTGAACTTGGAATCAGCCCTTGGCACTGTACACGTACCACGGCCATATTGGCGGGTCTGGCACAAAGTCAGTCTTCGTCTTCAATCTTTCGTCTAGAATTGAGCGATAGATGTTTTGCTGTACCCCTGCTGACCTCGTACCCGCTCGGCCATACGAGATGAACTAAAGAGAACGCACGCTAGTGGTCTTCGATCAGGGGAGTAGCGACTAGTTGGTAAGAGAGAAGCGATGATGAAAGAGCCATCGAAACGCGGGATTCGGAATTGAACGACCATCTGTCTGTTAGTGTTATGTTGCACCGAAAAGAGCGGGACCTGGGCACCCGCAGCCTCACGGCTCTCGCACGTGCCCGCCAAAGGCCTTTTTTGAGACATGAGAGAGCGGTACATGAGAAAAGCACGGCGGTTAGAAGGAGAATGTATCAACCCGATGCAACATTACATGCGATAGGCCATGTTCAAGTACAACTCCGTGAATAGCATGGCAGGACCAATAATCCACCCTTGTGTTTCAGGCACTCTTAAACGGAATCTTCTTGCAGCCAACCTCTTTTCCCACCTACTCTGATCGCACCAAACACACAATCACCATGGCCCAGCACGATATTTGCGTCGGCGTTATTGGCGGCAGCGGATTGTACAAGCTCGAAGGCATCGATGTGGTTGATCAGGTCAATCCCGAGACCGTGAGTCCCGCCCGAAGGGCTTGGAGCCAGGAGTAAGGGAGCTGTTGTGTAATTTCTGCTGATGATGTTCTTTTCATTTTTCTTGAATGCCTTTCAGCCATGGGGGCTGCCCTCATCGCCCATTACGATCGGCAAGCTGCCTTCAGGTGTGCACATTGCTTTCCTAGCACGGCACGGTCTATCGCACCAACACACACCCTCGTCCGTTCCGGCGCTTGCAAACATCTCCGCCCTCAAGTCACTCGGAGTGCGCGCCATCCTTGCTTTTTCGGCTGTCGGCTCGTTGCGCGAGGAGATCGCGCCCAAGGACTTCGTCGTGCCGAGCCAGATCATCGACCGGACCAAAGGCATTCGGAGAGCGAGCTTCTTTGGTGAAGGCAATGAGAAGGGCGTCGTCGCGCATGCTGGATTCGGTGACCCTTTCGATGAGACTCTCAGGCCTGTCGTCGAAGATATGTACGTCCCTTTCTGGTAGCCGGCGACAAGACATACACAGAGACCTGACTATGCTCCCTTGTTATACCATTTACCTTTTAGTGTGCGAAAGACGCTTGCTGCCAAAGACCTGCCGGTCAAGGTGCACGGATCCAAGACGGTTGTCTGCATGGAAGGCCCTGCCTTCAGCACGCGTGCGGAGTCCAACATGTACCGACAGCTCGGAGGCGACATCATCAACATGTCTGTCTTGCCCGAAGCCAAGCTCGCCCGTGAAGCCGAGCTGGCATACGTGCTCATCGCCACGGCTACCGACTACGATGCCTGGCGTGCAAGCTCCGCCGCGGTCAACGTCACCGAAGTGCTCGAGGCGCTGAAAAGCAACGTCGTTGCGAGTCAGCAGGTGACACTCGCGTTGCTGGATGAGGTGCATCAGCGTGTCAAGGAAGACGACAGCCCTGTCGTCAAAGCCAACAAAGGTGCGATGCAGTTCGCGATCATGACCAAACCAGATGCGATACCACAAAAGGCAAAGGAGAACCTCAAGTTTGTCTTCCCTGAATACTTTTAGAACATATGTATCCAGATAGAAATGAGAAGGAGAACCCTCTATACATTGTTGAATTTGCCGTATGGATGCTACCATAACTTTCACGTCCATATGTCAACGATAGCATCAAAGATGGCAACTCTATTTGCTGATAACCCCAAACCATGCGAGCCCGGCGACGCCGCCGAGCAGCACGCTCAGCGCAGGTAAAACGCCAAAGCTCTGTGTCGCGACAAAGCTGCCCGCCGCCACGACGGCCCACCACGGGTCGGCGGTGAGCGGGCCGCTGACACTCTGATTGACCTGGCCCGGTGCAGCGTGCGGCGGCGTGTAGATGTATCCGACGAGGAAGAGCTGCCATACGGCTGTATAGACCAGCCCAGAGGCGGCCGCGTTGAGCCCGCGCAAGACGGATTTGGCGACTGTGTTGCGCCGCCATCGGTTGTAGAGCGGCAACAGAGAAAGCTTGAGCATGATGCCTGGCGTGAATATTCCGAGGAACCCGAGCACGGCGCCGAGCGGCGGATTAGATGGAAGCGATAGAACACCGAGATAGCACGCGAAAGCGAAGTTTGGGCCCGGGAATGCTGCATGGTCCAAGGTTCATTGGCAGGCGTGAGCCCTTCTGTGCTCTGGCTCCGAACACTAGCTTGATGCTCACCTTGCAAGATGGCAAATCCAAGTAAAAAGTCACGACTGCTTACCCAGCCAGGATCGACTACATAACCTCTGAGAAGGGGAATCACCACCGGTCCGCCACCACAAATGATGGTCCCGGCAACGAGCATATTGTCAAAGAGGTCGAGCGCACGCGGGACCTCCACTCCATGATTCTGTAGCGCTCCACGCACAGCAAGAGCCACGATTAGAAGTATAACGAAAGACGCAAAGACGAATGCGGAGAGCGCCGGGGAGAGCACCATGAGCGGCATCATAGCTGGTTGGGTCGCGCTAAGTTCATCCTGTGCTCGCTGCTCTGATGTTTCTGATGGCTGTCTAAGGGCAGATGTCGATGATCCTGCAAGTTGAGAGGCGGCTGTCCGCTGACGTAGGCTGGCGGCGCCAGTATCTAGAACACCAAGTTCTCTATCCGTGCGAACGGTCTCTTTCTTGGGTTCTGGCGAGTTTGAGCGACTGCGTTCTGCACCTTGTGCATGCTCAGACTCAGGTCTCTGGGGAAGCACTTGCATAGGAATTCCCGCCTCAGTCTGCGCAACGGCTACGGCTTCCCGTTGGGCAGCTCCCTCGCGTCGCTTTGACATGCGTCTCTTCGCTTGGCTTGAAAGCAATTTGTCGAGCACAGCACGCCGGAAATCCCATGCGAGTGTCAACATCCCTCCACCCACCATGATTGACGGATACATCCAAGGTGCGTGGTAACAAATGCCAAAGGCCGCACTAAGGAAGACGATCAGCGTTGTGACTCTCTCCGTAGTTGCGGTGCTCGAGAGCTGATACGCAGCCAGAGCAATCAAGCCGACAGCCGCTGTGTTCAAGCCTGTCAGAAATGCCAAAACAATCGGCGGGAGCGTCTCGGGAATTTCCTTGATCCCTGCTGCGAGCCCCGCCATGCCGCAGCTGGCAGGTAAGGACCAGATGAAGAAGGCGAGCAGGCCTGCGATAGCGCCATTTCGAACCGTCGCAATGCTGAACGCCAGTTGTGTGCTCCCCGGGCCTGGCAGGGCATTACCCAGGCTGAAGAGATCGGCAAAGGTGGTCGAATCGATCCAACCCAATTGATCGACGAATCGCTGACGTAAAATCACCACGTGGACCTGTCAAGCGAATGACGGTGTGTTTCATGGAATTGGCCCATTCAGTCAGGGGGAGATGAACAGCGTTCCAAGGGTGTCCAGTGGATCCCATAACTTACGCCTGGTCCACCAAAGGCAGTGAAGCCGAGATGAGAGAAATGTTTTAGGGTCTCAGCAAGGCGATGTGCCAGCGGTCGCGCTGCGACGGCGTCGTTCGCCGTGATATCCTGTACTTCCATCTTGTGAAAGGACCGCCCTCCGGTTGCGGTGTTGGAAGCAAGGGCAAACGGCCGTAGAGGTTTCAGTCGAAAAGAACTGTTATCTATCTATCTACGACATCAATCTTTATACTTTGTAGCCCCGTGCCTTGTGATATGGAAGCCAAGCCAAGAATAAGGTCTAGCAATTGGAGCTCATGTAGCCCCGGAGACTCGAGCCGACCCATGCGCACGTGTGAACTCAGTTCGCTATTGGCGTTCAACTTCAAGTGATATGCCGTTGCAGAGAGCGAGCAAGAGGGCGGGGCAGGTGTCACAGCCTGGCACCGAATATGTGAGACGGAACGACAGCACACAAGCCTAGACCAGTTCATCTATTTCCACCACAAACCACAAGCCTCTCTATATACTCGTACCTAGAAAAGTGGCTGGTAAATGATATTATGGCAGGCTCATGCTCAGATAAAGGTGTGGTGTATGGCAAAGAACAGCCCTCCGCCATCTGCAGCAATAACGGAACTTTCTACAGCATCGGCTGCTTCGTATCTCGGTCACTACAGGTGCCTGCGTTTGCATTGCTGTCGAAATTATGTCCAGTTGCACGCTTGACCAGCCTCCACTTTGCTCGAACCAAGGGCATGCATGGCAACTAAGGCATGTTCTAGTACCACCGACAGACCATCCCTGATCCCTGTCCAAGGCACCTTCTCCGCTGATGCCAGCAATCTCAACCTTTTTAATATAGCCGTCGCTCAGATCTTGCCATCCATGGGTCCGAAAGCAGCACATGAAGGCATCAAGAAATTGGAACAGGTCGCAAAATGTGCCTCACATCAAGGCCCCGATGTCGTCGTTGTTCCAGAATATTTCTCTCTGGCGCCACATATGAAGCTTAGAACGCTGTGATATCGCTAGGAAAACTGCTACCGGCGCCAGTCAAGGAGGTGCGTCCTTTGGCATTCGTTGCAATCATCTCCTTTCCTTCTAGGCGTGCCGAGTATCACACACCGCTTTCTTACACGCCTTCATCCTGCGTTGCAGCTAAAGTGAAGCCTGAACTCTCTCATCTAGGATGAACTCGATGAATCTCATTGACTTTATCTCATATGCACAAATGAAAAAGACAATGACATCGATATTGTGGCGGGAACGATCGTCGAGTTAGAAACCCATCGCGAAGTTCAACAACGCACTCAGACTCCATCCTCAACTTCAACCCCGCCCGATCAGCCAATCTGCCGCTGCACAACACGGCTTATTATTTCTCGCGCACGGGTAAAGTGGCGGGCCGCTATACAAAGCGCAATCTCTGGCACCCGGAACGCTTGACGCTCACAGCCGGTCAAGATGCGACACATCCACATGATGGGGTGTATTTGAGATTGTCACCAAGCGAGGCGCGCGCCTACGGGCTGGCATGATGGTTTGTGTAAGCACAGCGTTCTCCACCTTGCATCTGCAGAACTGCCAAATGCTGAATGTCGCATTGTACACCCTTTATCTCCTTAGGGCGTGGGATCTGGCATGGCCGCAAATGTTCAGACAAATGAGCGCAAGCGACGACCCGAGCGTGGATCACTTGATTGGGCCAGATGTGTGAACATTGGCTTCAAGGCAACATATCCCAACCTTCCCCGGATGGTAACTGCACCTTGCAATGGACTTGCTGACAAGACCAGAGCCATCTAAACCCCTGGCTGCACCGCACTTTAGGTTCTTCGTGCCAACTTGCTGGTACGCCATGGACGGCGGGGAGAAAAGCTTGAAGTGGAACAGAAACGGGGAGGCTTCTCTACCAGGTGAGAGTAGGGGGTACAACGGCTCATATCCACCGTGACAAAATATCGCTTGCTTTTGACCCAGACGATCCTACTCTTTCCCGTGATTTGAATGTGCACAGATGCTATAGTGATCACAAGAGCCATCCAAAACGAGGCAGTGACCATCATGTGCAACATTGCCGGCCCCGATTGGCCAAACGCTGGCACTGCAGCTTCCTCACCAGATTCACCCGCAGCGAATCTCGACCTCATCGGCGTGGGCCGCTCAGCCGTTGCTGCGCCCTTTCTAGGGGCTGGGGGCCGCATCGAGCATCCTGGTGAGATGCAATCGCTAGCCTCGGTAGACATGAGCGTCCTCCTGGATGCCCGGGACGTGTATAGGATGAGATATCTGTTCGAGTTCGAGCGGCCCCGGGTGGGGGGTTCCAACTACCAGAATCTGATCGGAGGCCTCCAGAGCTAGCCGGGTCGATTTTCAACCGTTGCCTATGTATTTATAATGGAGGTCAATCTAGGCGACTTGCAATTCTACTGCTCTCCAGATTGTGCCAGCAGGGTATCAATGTCTGTAATGGCATTGCATTATGGAAAAATTTGACAAACCGATACGAGCGATTGCAAAGGAAGACAGGAAAGGTACGCGCCCAGTAACTCATGTTTGTTGCTGTCTTGCCTCAGGCGTGGTAGGGAAGCGACGAGGAGTTTGAGTTGCTGGCACTGATGTTACTTCGGAACGGTTGAGGGATGCAACTCTATGAACTTGATCTGTGTCTGGCGACGTGAATTCATAGCCCGCAGATCGCACCCAGCTACTGCGACCACTGCTCTCAGCCCGCAGAGAGTGTGAGATGGATTGAATGCTTGTGATCCGTAGCGAGATCGATGCCACAAACAGAGACAGAGGCGAACCAAGGGTCCTTGAGGATTTCCTCTGTGCCCCACCGCTGCTTTGGATCTGGACAGAGCATCTTCTTAAGCACTGCATATCGAACAAAATATGGCGCTCGATCAGTTTTTGAGACTTATGAAAAGCTATAAGCTTCGAGATGAGGACTCACGTGGCCGGCAATCCCGTGGAGAGAGATTGGACAGAGGGCTTGGGGCATTCGAGCTGTGGTACGAGTGTACGAATTCCTTGAACGTCGGGTCGGACATCTTGGCCACGCGCCACGGCAATTCTTGGAATTGCATGCAATAGAAGACGACCGCGGCGGCCCATACGTCGACAAGTCTGGCATCGTACTCCTTCTGCTCAAATTGTTCCGGGGCAATGTATGGCTCCGAGCCGCAGAGGCCCTTGGAATAATGCGTCGACTTTTCCCAGCACATGCGGAAAACGTCGCTGACGCCAAAGTCAGTGATCTTGACGTGTCCCTGCGCGTCGAGAAGGAGATTCTCGGGCTTGATATCGCGATGCGCAACACCCATCGAGTGCAGATAAGCGATGCCATTCATAGTCTGCTTGAAGCAGCACTCGATCTCCGCCTGGCTCATCCCGCCACGCTTGATGGCGGCGTACAAATCCCCGCCGGGACAGAACTCCATCACCTCGCACCAATGTCGATTCTCGTCTTGCACCAGATCGACCGTCTCGACGATATTGATGTGATGCAGCGTGGAGGAGATGCAAAACTCTGACGTGAGCTTCTTGACGTACTCCTTCTCTGTTTCGTTCTTGCGGCGCTTTCGGAACTCCTGGAGAAAGGCAAGCGCAATTAAAAAGAGGGAGGATGTACGGTCAGCTTCCGAATAGACCCGCATACACCCAGCAGTCGCTCTCACCTTGACAGCATACAACTTCTCCGTTGAGCGGTCCCATTTGTGCGCAAGTCGGACAACAGCAGTGGCGCCTTTACCAATGGCAGCCTTTTCGCAGACACCATATTTCTTCAGCAAGCTCGCCGTGTCGCCGCCACCTTGGCTGGCGCCCTTCTTACTGCCGCCGCTGGCGCTGCTGCCGCGTCGGCTCAACTTGGGTGCCGAGCCCATGATCATTTCGCGCAGGGTTGAGCTGGCTGTGCTCTTTGCATCCGCATCGCGATCCTTGTCCTTCGAGGATGTGCCAGAGGCCTTTTTCGTCTTGCTTCCGGTGACGACGGGTGGCCCAGGCGCCACTGCCGACGCACCGGGACCGCTGGCGGTGTATCCCTTCGCATCGAGATCACGCAGGGCAGCAGCGGTGAGGCGACCGTGCTGCTGCTGTTCGGCAGTGTTGCCGCTCGCACCGCGGTTAGGCGAGGCATTCTCCTTGCGACGCAGCGAGACGTTGCGCGAAGGGGGCTGGCTCGTAGGTGGACTGATCATTCCCATGTTTTGTATGGCATTCATCAGCAGACTACCCGATGCATCGGTCGTTCCGACACTCTCGCCCGGGCTGCCGGGAGGCGTGCTGCCGCGGCTGGACGGCGAGACGGCTCCGGCATTCGCTGCTGCAGAGACAGAGTTCGATTGGCTGCCGCTCAGCATGCGCTTGAAAAGCGCTCGGCCGTCTAGTTTGATACTAGTGGATGTCTGCGCTGGGCGCGTGGCGACAGGTGTAACAATGGTGGTCTGCTCGATGGCAGCCTCGGTAGCGGGCGTCGCAGGTCCTTCTGGCGCGCTGAATGCACCGGAGCCAGCGCCACTCGGACGACCGTTAGCGGATGCCAGAGGTGAAGGTGTAGCATGGTCGACACCGTTGCCTGGTATATAGCCCGAACGACTGACACGCGTTGTTGCTGCACTTTTCGGGGGCGACATAGCCCTTGGTGGTGGCGAAGAAGGCCGGGATGAGTCGCTGCTGCCGTTCTTGGAGGTATGGTCTCTCGTTTGCTGCGTGCCCGAGCTCTGCTTTTGGCTTTGCGTTTTCTGCTGCAATGCTTGCTGAGCGCCGCGCAGAGACTTCCCGAGAGGCACAGCGGTCAGCGGCGTCGGCGGAACGCTGTCGAGCTGCGCGATCGACAACGGCGCGGACACTTCGCCAGCGTGCGACAGATCGTACGGACTGACTTCACGTACTAGCTTGAGGCTATTGCTGTCATCACCGTCGGCTCCGCCACCGTGTTTAACGACAAACGAGTCTTTGGACTGCATGCCGCTGAGCCGATGCTTGGGAAAGCGGTGGCGGTCCGGGGTAGGTGGGCGCGAAGAGAGGTTGGACTCTGTGTCCGAATCGCTCATCATCTCGCGCGCCCTGATTTCACGTTCGCACATTGGTCCGTTGAGTGACAGTTGCCGAGCCGAAGGTGGACTACGCAGCCCAGAAGCGGCGGCAACAAGTCGCGAGGAAGGTGGAGAAGTGGCGCAGCTGGCTACTGGCAAGCCCGGCTGCCCCTGGTGTGCGGGTGAGGGCAAAGCGCTACCAGGTATCGACATGGGTGCAGGTTGGTTCAAAACTGACGGTGGTAATGTTGCAGCAGACTTGGAAGAAAAAGAAGCAGCAGCAGAGTCTATGGACTGGCTGGGTGTTGGTATGATCTGATCGGTACCAACAAAAGTGTTTGGCGACAGCGTGCTCTGAGAGCCGTTGTCGGCTTTGCTCAAGCCTGGGTCACGAACGTGGCTTGGAGGCAATATACCGGAGTCGAAACCGCCGTTTGGCTCGCCTGATGTCATGGGAGAGGCTGCATTTTGCTGTGTTGACTTGGACGCTTCGCTCATACCTTTGACAGGCAAGCACGTAAACAGCGGGGGCAGTAAGAGATGTCTGCCACGAGGCCGTTCGATTTGTGCTAGCAAAGGCCAGGGGCTGCTGACGTCTGACAAGCTTGAGAAGACAGCTGGATAGAGGAAATGCTGGACGTGCAAGTGCGAAGCCGGCAAGACCTGGATGGCTTTGCGCTGTACGGGCTTTTGTCTTTGTTCGGTAGACCAGCGCAGCCGAGTTTGCTTTTTGCACTTGCCCGCCAGGCCCGCTCTTGCTTTCTAGCTTGGCAAAGGAGGTGGAGGAGATGACCAGAAGACAGAAAGGGATGGTACTCCCTGGTGATAGGAAAGAATCGATAGAGGGACGATTTGGCAGCAAAGTGAAGCGATGAAATGCTGCGGCGGACGCCGTTGTGAGTCTGACTTGAATTCGCCACAAGCCCGTTTCCACGCGCGCCAGAGCCAGATGGCAGGCCCAGACACTGCTGTGTGGGGCTGGGGCACTCAAGCAAGATAGTCCTAACTTTCCCCCAGCGTACAACGTCGGGGTTCTCTATGTTGCCTCATTCCATGAGGATGAGGGAGCTCTCGGATTCGTTTTTGCTATATAGGATTGAGGGGGAGGCAGGTGGCAGGATGTGCGAAAGAACGGTGGGCTGTGCGAGTGATTGGTCTGTGGAAGGGCTGCGGTTGCGGGGAGGGACTGGTGGGCTGGAAAGCACACGCCCACGCCGCCCACGGGTCCAGGGCAACAAAAAAGGGACGTTGGTATTAGCTGAAAGGAATGCGCCTCGCCCCTTCCTTTGATTAAATAAAAAATAAAAATAAAGAAGTGTAACCCTCGCTGGCTTCTCCCTATGGTGGCCTGCTCACTGCTTAGGTTCTCGGGCAGTGCTCTGGCTGAGCTCGTTAGATCTGGACAGTGGACATGCCCCGATCGCTTGACGTCTCCAAAAAGAAAGAAAGAGGGAAAGCACAGAGAGCCAGAGTGGGTTGAGGGCGACTGACAACGGGCTTTACGTGTCGAGCAAAACTGTACCCGTAAACCTGTGCGCACGCTGCCCGAACCGCGAATGTTGCACCGAAAGTGACGACCAAGCTCAACCCTTCGCTTTCGAGCTTCGTCGCTCCTCGCTTCCAAGCTCTCTGGGACAGCACGCAGGGCCAAACATGCGATGATCTCTTGTTGGACCTTGCATGTATTCGAGCAGGCAAATGCACCATAGACCCTCAATGGCTGGTTGCGTGAGCGTGTAGGTTGTGCAGGTACAAGACGTGCTCTTAGGACGTAGCTTTATACGACATGCGCTCTATAGGCGGCCCCTGGCTGCTACCACCGCCGCCGTTTCTTGCAAGCTTCTGGCCACCAGCTCGCGACGACGACGATGACTTCTTCCGTCGTCATCTTTCCATAATGCGCCGTAGAGTACAGAATAAGGCACCCCAGTGGCCTCTCGCAGGAATAAGCGAGCCGGACGTGAGATGGCCGCTGACGCTCGCAGACGGCAACCCCTCGACCGCCTTTTCATCACCACCGCAACGCGCGGAAGTTGTCACCGCGAACACCACATCGCGCTCACATCCAATTCTATCAGCAGGTACTATTCTAAGCGCAATCGCAGGCATAGGTTTCGCAGGCAGCGTAGCAGGGGCATTCATCTACACGATGCGCAAAGGGCGGAAAGAGGCGCTGCGAGAGGCTCAAGAAGCTGCTGCAATACTCGCTACTGGTTCTACGGTGGCAACAGAAAATGGTATTAGGGGCGCTGCCCAAGGATTGCGGCAGCAGAGTGGGGGAAGAAAGGCCGTATCATCAATCTTTGATTCAGACGCCTCTGCGCTGCCGCCTTCAGTGTTACGTCGATCGCCTTCTTATTTATCAGCAGCCGTGTCCGAATCGGGGCCAGCCGCCTCTCTGCCCTCATCTTCGGCATCAACAACGTCGAGGACATCCTATCCTTCTGCATTGCATCGTAGCAGAGGACACGGTGTCTCAGTTGGGCACACGTCAAGCCATTATCCGTGCCCATCAAATGCAACAGAAGCCCAGGAACTAGCAGCAAGTGGGCCTCTACTGGCTTTGAAAGCGTTCGGAATCGCGACAGCACTTGTCGGCATCGTCTCGCTTGTCACAGTCGAGATCTTACGTAGGTTATGGGATGTTAGGGATGTGAGTGCGATGTCCGTACAATCGATTCCCTTCACCCAGCTTTCGCGTGTACTGTGTACGCGCGACGCTTAGCGTCGCAGCTGCACACCCAAATATTGATGCATAAGAGACAGATGCAAACGGCTGACGCTCATCGCTCATCACATGCCTTTCGCCGCGCAGATTGACGATTTTGTCATCAAGGTCACACGCGCCATACGGTCTGTTAGCCCTGCTCGGAATGATTCTAATGTGAATGCAGATGATGGAGAAGGCGAGGAGGCAGCAACAGCAGCTTTGCCTTTGGCGCCGCCCTTGTTGAAGGACAGCATCTTCATGCAGCTAAGCGAAGCGCGCACGCCAGAGGAGTGGTTTCGACTCCTCAAGTCTCATTTGGATGCCGAGAGCACGCAAGATGCGCTCGCACGTGCTCAGCGCGTGCGGTTGCGCGACCAAGCTGAGAGTGCAGTTCGCAAAGCGTGAGGGAGACAGGATAACCAGACAATCGAGGTTGAAAGCGTCTGCTTTGCAATGCAATGAACTAGAACCATGATAGCAAACGTTCCCAAATTCATCATGAATGCATACGAGTTCAAGGTTGCCCTCCTACTGCCTGGCGTGCATCCTGCTCGGTGTAAGCAGGAGGGACATCGTCGTACAGTGCGGCGGCGGCCGGGCGGCTGGGCAGCGGAGGCGGCACTACTGCGGCGCCAGCAAGGGAACTGCGGGAAGCGACCTGCCTGCGCCTGGCCTGCTCAGCTGCTGCTGCCTGCGGCGAGACTGTCGCACCAGGCATGACGAAATCGTTTTCACCTTGCGGCGCAAAAGGCAGCTTGTTCCTCTGACTGCTACTCGGACTGCTCGGCCGGGCCAAGTCTTTCCACCCCCTGATCTCGCCCAGATTGTATGTCTCCTCCTTCGTCAACTTCTTCAGCTCACCGCTTGCAAACGCGTGCTGTCGCTTCTCGAGATCGTGCGCGAGCATCGCCGCGCCGACGCGGTTGGAGATGCTCAGCGCAATCCCGATCAGCGGCATGCGCTCCGCCGTAGCGCACGCGAAGCCGAAAGCGCGCAGGCTGAACTGGCGCTCAGTCATGAAGAGGTCCACTTGCATTGGCGTCATACGCTTCGCCGCGAAGAAGGGTGTCAGCAGCTGGCGGCCGTAAGAAAACGAGCGTAAGTAGGCGCCCACGGCAAGAGACAGGACTGCGTCGCGGAGCCACCAAGACGATGTCATATGATCAGCCCTCTTTCTCTTCTTTGTCGCAGCGTTGTTTCGACTCACATGGAATGAAATCGAGAGGAAGAAGTACGACTGGAAGGTCAAAAGGAAGCGCGCTCGTCAACATAGGTCAGACGGATGCGCTCATCTGACATGTGTACCTCTAAGCATGACGCGCGTGATGATCGGACTCGCCAAACGCCGATAAAGTGGTGCTTTCTTGGAATTCTTCTGCGCTTTTTCATACGGAGGCTCCTCCCACTCTTCTTGGTATGGAATCCACCAATCTGCAGTTTTTCCTCTGCTGGCAACCGTCACATCGTATGCCTTGTTTCGGTACTCGGCAAGCTGCCGGCGAAGGAAGAACTCGATTATGGTCTGGCATTGTGATGCGACGAACACCATGGCAGCGAAAGTGGTGAGAGACGGAAGTGGGAGCGTGAAGCCCAGCGGATCGTCCACTCTGTCGGCCGTGCGAGTCAATGTATTGTAAATCCTAAGGAGGCCCAGCGTACAAGCAGGTCAGGGTTGTCGATTGCGGGCGAATTGTCTCCTTTTTAAACACAATGGCTCCACTCACCCTTTCATTCCGGTGACGCTGGCACTGGTGCTCATGAAAAAGCTGACGAACCATTTCTGGATAGGCCACGTGAAGAACGCCCAAGCACCGGCGATCAAGCTAGCGCGCTTCGCTGCCTTGGAGCATTTGGCCCACATTGGCTTCCAGAGCTGCGGGTCGTGCAAGAGGCGATACGCGCCGACTTGATAATTTCAGCGTGATTACAAGTGAGAAATAAGCATAAATCAAAAGGTCGAGCACGAAACAACCGGAGAAATGGCGCCGTAATGCAGACGCAGCGAGACCAGGGGTGAAACGCCCGAATGGAAAAGAGGCACAGTCATGGCGCGTTAGCTCCTCCAGGCACTGAGCAGTGTATACAGGAGCAGAAAGGGGCCCACCGAACACATAAGTCGGTGACACATGCAGGAATTCTTGAGGCATGATTGACGTCTTGAAGAGTTGTGCTTCACGTTGCTGCTGCACTAAGGATCGATCCAAGCTGCTTAGGAAAGAGACGGAAGAGCGTTGACGGCGTGCTCCAAAAGGAAAAAGTTTCCCAGCCTTCGCACGATCGATGGGTTCTCAAGCGAAGTGAAGCCGACGTCCTCGCCTGTTAAGGTGAACGATCTGGCTTGGCTACATCGGCCACCGTGAGCACGAATGTGACAGTGTAACCAGGTCCGTTCAGCGTTGGAAATGCGGTGGTTGGCGAGAGTGGGTGACATTAACCAACCAGTCATCAATGGGGCCGTCGGCATTCCGAAGTTACCAGTGGGTGATAGGTCAATGGCATCACGTGACTTTATTTGGATGTCTCCGAAAGTCAGGAATGCCCTCTCTCCGGACCGGTGAATCAGATCAGGACAACAAGAACTGATGCCAGGTGGAATCAATGCCACCGTCCGGGGCCTGCACAAGAAGCTACAAGGCTTGCGTAGGGAGCTCGCAGAGCCCCCCGCGCGGCGTGAGCCGACAACACGCACACGAAGCCAGGTACCGCAGAGGATTCTGGGTTCCAGCTGCCCTTTGGCTTGCCCAAAGTGTAGTTCGCGCCCTGCTACAACAATGCGCTAGGGGATCCACGAGCGCAAGCTTGCCCTCGCATGAGCTCAGGCACGCCCCTGGGTCCCATATTGGTCTTCTAGCACTGGAGCAAAGGGTCACCACTTGAGCAGAGAAGCGTGCAGAGCGAGCAAGCCGGGCATGACGGCGAGCAGGTAGCGCAACCGCGGCTATAGACGCCAACCGCGCATGTTCGACTGATCCAGCAATTGGCTGGTCGAGGAAGATGTCGTCTTCGGAAGTCGGAGTGCCGGCTCTCGGGACACGATGCACCGCCAACGGCGGCTCGCTGGTGCAACAGCTACAGCAGCGCCCTCCAATCCCACTCTTGGCGATTCTTGGACGTCAACCCCAATCCTTCGACCAATCCAACGAGAATGACGAACTCCCAAGATGTATACAGCTTGAGGCCACAACATTGTCCTCTTTGGGCAAGCTTATTCCATCCCTCTTTGGTGCTGCAGCATCTACGTCTAGCAGGGAGACGCCATAGCTGGCGAGGTGTTGGAAGTGAGGCTGACAGTATCGTGCAACGGGATGGAAGGTATGATAAAATATTTTAAGCAGATAGACCGAGAAATTGAGAAAGGGAGCTGGAGAAAACAAGGGAGGCTCCGTTTTGCATCGCATTCGGCTCGGTTACAAGAGTTGCGTCTGGTAATAAAATGCACTCGAAGGGTTGGGCTACTTGTGTGGCGGCACGCGATGCCCTCGCCTCCGGAACAAAGTCTTTCTTTCCCGGAAACCCCCAGAAAAATCTTTCGAAAATTGCCCATCAAGACGTCGGCCCGATCCGGTTTGACCCTCTGCCCCCAGAGCCTGCCAGAAGGCAGAGCCCAGAAATTCGTCTCTCTGTGGTAGTGTGGTCCCATCAGCTCTTGGCAATCTATGCCATTTCGGCTGCCGCCTCTACGGCACGTCTTCCTTTCCAATTTCTAGTACTTCTCCAGTCCTTAGACAAAAGCATCGCTGGCGGCCGTCCAGTGACCAGCGAAGTATGTGCCTGTGTTATGTATTCACATGTCGCGAAGGCATTGCTGCCAGTGTAAAGTACCAAATGAGCGAGCCAACGAGAAGTAAGACTAAGGCGTTCAGTCTTGATTGATTAGATGGGGGTTGGGGAGCACTGGCCACTCGTGCAGTGCGGTCGTAGCGCCATGACGTCGCAAGCGAACGCCCTTTGCACAGTTGGCGTGCTGGCAGGAGAGGGAGGCAGCACTGGGACACTGTGCACGAGCCATCTTTGTTGCGGTCATTAACTCAACTTTGTCAGGTTGGGTTATGGCTTGATCGGTGATCATACTTTGGGCAGCACGCCTGTCTTCTCTCCTGTCTTAGTGCTGCCATCTCCGATCAGCGTGCACCCAAACGAAGCGACGCGCACCGGGTGGGGGCCACTTCTCCGCCCACTCCGTCGAAGAAGAAGCGCTCATCTCGCCAACTTAGTAGCAACACGCCCACAGAGAGCATGATCAGGATGTTGGCCGAAAGCACTTTCATCCAGAGTGAACTTCCTTCTTCCCCTCGACGGCATCATCTCACTTCTCCTTCTCAACATACTTCACCAAGAGCTGTTATTGTACAAGCAACAGCAGCCTCTCTTAGTAACCCATCCACATCTCTTTACCATCGTGAGTACTTGCGTGCCTCCAGGAGTGGTGATCTCAAAGGAGGGTAGCTCATCGTACCCTCGTCTCCCATCGCATGCTCTTCGACTTCTTGCCCTCAACCTGACAACACCAAGAGCAACACAAACAGTCACAATGACCACTGCACTGGACAGCCTCAAGCAGTTCACCGTCGTCGTCTCCGACTCAGGTGACTTTGAGAGTATCGCCGCTTACAAGTGAATAATAAAGGATCAGGTGATGCGCTGAGCCGCTCCGCCCAGTTGCAATGCTGATCATATGTCTGCCTTTCATTTCCACTTGTCTCCAATCACCAGGCCACAGGATGCTACCACTAACCCTGTAAGTGCAGACATCTGGGACAGCGTCAACGCCGAAGGCCAGCATCTGCCGCAGAGCATGTTGGAAGGGCGCAGGCGTGTCATTAGAAGAGTATTGTGCAAGCGCAGCTCTTGTCTGTATAGCCTTCGGGGCCCCTTTGCGCACTGCTACCGAGCACCCCTGTGGCGATGGCGCTGCCTCGCTAGGAAAACGAAGCTTCTTGTCGCTGACGAGATTTTTTTTCCTTTGTCTCTTATAGTCCCTGATCCTGGCTGCTGTCAAGCAGGAGAAGTACAGCAGGCTCATTGATGTTGCTATCAAGTACGCCAAGGAGAAGGTGGGCAGATACGCCTTGCTCAACAAACAGAAAAAGTAAAATCTGATTTCAAACCCTGTCTTTTTGGAATTTCCAGGAGCCATCCGACAAGGCAAAGCAGTCTTCGCTCGCCATCGACCGCCTGCTCGTCGAGTTCGGTAAGGAGATCTTGCAAGTCATCCCCGGCCGCGTCTCGACCGAGGTGGACGCGTCGCTCTCCTTTGACAAGGACGCGACCATCGCCAAGGCCAAGCACCTGATCGAGCTCTACGAGTCGCTCGGCATCAAGAAAGAGCGCATCCTCATCAAGATCGCCTCGACTTACGAGGGTATCCAGGCTGCGCGCGAGCTCGAGCGCGACCACGACATCCACTGCAACCTCACCCTCCTCTTCGGCTTCTCGCAAGCCGTCGCATGCGCTGAAGCGGGTGTCACCTTGATCAGCCCATTTGTCGGTCGTGCGTACCTCTAAAAGAACCGCTCTGCAAGGCTTGGATATTCAACTAACCCTTGTCTCCCGAATGACCAGGTATCCTTGACTGGTGAATCATCTTTGTTGCATTGGCTCTAATTGCTGGACAAGCAAGCTGACTCGTATGCTTTCAATCAACAGGCACAAAGCAAAGACTGGCAAAGACTTCTCTGGTGCCGAGGACCCGGGCGTGAAGTCTGTCCAGAGGATCTACAAGTGCGTACCACCTCCCAGCCATACTTTGTAAAATGAGCTCGCTGATTGCTCGTTTCCTACAGCTACTACAAGCAGCACTCATATAAGACGATCGTCATGGGTGCCTCATTCCGCAACACTAGTGAGATCGAGGAGCTCGCTGGATGCGACTTCCTGACCATCTCGCCAGCGCTGCTCGAGAAGTTGCAGCAGGACAAGAAGCAGCTGCAACGCAAGCTCAGCCCAGAGAACGCTAAGACTGCCGAGCAGATACCCAAGGTCAGCTTCGTCGACAACAGGGCCGCTTTCCAGTGGGAGCTCTTCAAGTGCGTTTCTTTTTGAGACGGATCATCAATATTACAGGCGTGCACTGCTGACACTTGCATTTTGTGCTTCACTCAACAGCGACGAGATGGCCTGGGACAAGCTGCACGAGGGTATCCGCAAGTTCGCCGCCGACGCCGTCACGCTGCGTGACGTGATCGAGAAGAGGCTTTGAGCGTCGATAGCAAAGCAAATGAAATCGCCCCGTTGATGCTCTCTTCAGCCGTTTGATAGTTGATGAATCATTGCGCCATTTTCTGGAAGAAAAAAAATCATGTCATTACATTTCTGTTGGCAGTTCTAGAGCGTCTGATGTCTCCAAGCGACCTCAATATCCTGTTACTTTCTTTGCATGTGTTATCCATGCTGAACCCAGGGACGCAACGAGCTTGCTGTAGAGACCTCCGTGACTCGGCGGGTTGCAAGATCCTGAACACACGCGCGGCCAGTGTGTAGAGCCATTTATCAACCTGTGCCCGCTCCCCGCCGAGCGCTGAGCTGCCACTGCGAGAAATTGGCGAACTTCGCCTCAGAAATAAGTCTTGCTTGCTGTCTATCAAAAGCATAAGGTCACCTGGCTGAAACATGTTACAGCGTCAGTTCGCGTGACCCATACGGAGCAAGAGATGACTTTGGTTGCGATGTCGGCCTCGTGCGATCCCCCGTTGCCTTGCACAAGCACGCCCTGCACCATTTGGAAAACGTGTCGATGGGGACCCTGCATGATTCAACCAGAGCAGAACAGGCGGGAGTTCCCTTCGTAAGCACGCTGCGCTGTATTACTAGTGAGAGCACGTTCTTCGCAATGAGTGATAAGATGCGCGACAGGGTGGCGTGTGCTGGGGATCCAAACTACATCAAGACTGTTGCGCACTGGCAAAGTTCTCGGAGAGCGTCTTCGCCATGACATAATGCACCTCGACCGCTTTTTCCATCAGCTGTTGAACAGCCGCGTCCAGCTCATCTGAATCCATGCCACCTCGCACCGCATGGCGCATACTCGTCACGCTGCCTAGTGCCGGCATCGCATTGAGCTGCAGCCAGCCGAGCGCAGAAGATGTCTGGACTTCTAGGCGTGTTGGATCGACAAGAAGCGAGAAAGAGGGCGAGGGAAGAACTGCTACAGCAGCAGAAGATGTTGAAGCCTTTGTATAAGATGAGCATGTGACGAACGCACCGCATACGCCAGCGACAAGGCCGTACGTCTCTATCCCTGCTTCCGCCAATGCGGTACTAGCAACGGTGACGGCTGCAGCGATGCACGATTCTTCGGGCCCATCTGCTTCAAGGATCTGCACGAGTACGTCGATGGAGGCCTTGGGTAGGAGATCGAGGCGTAGTGACGGGAGAAGCGCTTCATGGATATGGTGGCCAAGCGAAGCCGATTCGGCGTCCTAGATGAGACATGCCAAGGGTGATGAGATAGCCACCTCGACCCAGCTGGCCCTCCAGCTACAACTCACCTTTCCCGGCCGCTTTCTCCATTCCGTTGCAAATGGCGAATATCGAACATCAACGTTCAATTCGGCCTTGCCGCTGTACTGTCGCCCTCGGATCTGCCTCGGTCCATAGATGGCGCACGCGATCTTCATCCCGCCAGTCTCGATATACGCACTCCCGCTGGCTTGGGGGATGAGCCCGCATTGGAGGACTATGGGGGAAATATTCCGTGTATAGCAACAACCCTGTCAGTTGCCAAAGGCACAGGGCGATCAAGCTTGTGAAAATCCTAGCTCGCACAGCACACTCACAGATGGGCCGTAGCGCTTGCGCCGTCCGGCCGTCCCCTCTGTCTACTGCTTTGCCCTTTGTGGCGGCGCACAACCTCTTCACTTCTAGGTCTACATGTAGCTCTTCATGCGCATAGACCGGAGGGCAGGACTCTTCGGGTCCATTGTTTCTCCGCTTGTCCCACAGCTGTGACGCACTCATGTTGGCGGTTCTTTCGGGGGCGAGGCCCCTTTCTACTGTCGACGATACTGATGATCCAGAGCGATGGCTCAGCTCCCAAGTAAGTTTCTGTTCACGACGAGCGAATATGTTGCTGAGGTAGCATTATCGTCGGCCTCGTTGCTTTCGATGCTCCAATGGGCATTAAATGTTGCGTCTTGTGACATTGCACTTGTAGAGATTAAGATGAGGCTCATCATGGCGATCACGTCCTCAAACCTCCGAGGGCGGAACCGAGAAGACAGCCAAGTCAAAGCTAGGCACGGGAGCACTCTTCAGAGATTCCACAGCACTCTTTTTCCTTGCTGAAATTTCTTGCAGTAGCATTTCGTCCTGTTGATCCTCATTCGTAGCATGCTCCCCTTAAGAAAACGTAGGTTCGTTTCTGAAGGCCACGGACATTCCCACTATAGACCTGGCAAACATGGCTGCTGTTCTCGATCTACCGTTTTCCCTCAGCGAAGCGCCCACAGGCTTCAAGACTAGCGCCGCACCGCAGGCCATCTCCAAGCCCACCACTTCGACCCTCTTTGCGGCTGGCCCTTCGTATCTCGGCCACGTCCGCCGGCAGCTCAACCAGCTGAGTTTTGAGCAAGATGATGACGCTGAGAAGAAAAGGCTCGAGGCAGAACTCCAAGCAAACGGTGCAGACGAAGAGAACGTTGACCTTCCGGACGAAGAGGAGGACGAGGATCTCCTAGCTCGGGATCCAAAGGAGTGGAAGTCACAAGACCACTATGCTGTTCTCGGTCTCTCCTCCTTGCGTTACAAGGCGAGCCCAGAGCAAATCAAACTCGCACATCGCAGAAAGGTGCTCAAGCACCACCCCGACAAGAAGGCCGGAAGCTCGGGGCTGGCGAATGACGACTCTTTCTTTAAGTGCATCGCCAAGGCACACGAGGTTCTTGCCAACCCGGAGCGCCGTCGCCAATTCGACTCTGTAGACGAGGCGATCGATGACGAGGCCGTACCTACAGGCAAGGAGAAGCCAGAGAACTTCTACAAGCTTTGGGCTCCTGTTTTCGCACGCGAGGCACGCTTCTCAGAACCCAAGAATGGCCCCATTCCGTCCCTGGGCGACGAGGACTCCACCAAGCAGCAAGTCGACGAGTTCTACAGCTTCTGGTACAACTTTGACTCGTGGAGGTCGTTTGAGTACCTCGACAAAGAGATCAACGAGGGAAGCGAGGCACGTGACGACAAGCGCTACACGGAGAAGAAGAACAAGAGCGAGCGTGCGCGGAGAAAGAAGGAGGACAACGTCAGGTTGCGCAACCTGGTGGACAAGGCGCTCTCTGTCGACCCGCGCATCAAGAAGTTCAAGGCTGAGGAGAAGGCAGCCAGGGAGGCGAAGCGCAACAAGGGTAAGCCTGGCCAGGCCAATGGCGGCTTGACACCTGCACAGCTCGCCGAGCAGAAGAAGCAGAAGGAGGAGGAAGAGAAGAAGGCCAAGGAAGAGGCCGTGAAGAAGGAGGAGGCTGACAAGGTAATTTTATCGACTTTCGTACGCATTGTAATTGATACTGACCCCTCACTTTCTTTGCATGCAGCTCGCACGCGCTGACGCGAAGAAGGCAAAAGAGGCAGCTAAGAAGAACCTCAAAAAGGAGAAGAAGCGTCTTCGCGACATCATTACGTCCAACAACTATTTCCAGGCCGCTGGCGCCGCTCCCAGTGCTTCTGTCATCGAGGCGCAGCTCAATGGCCTCGACGCCATTTGTGGCGCTCTCGAGCCTGAGGAAGTTGTCGCGCTTCGCGAAGCATGCGAGAAGGCAGGTAGCGCTGACGGCGCCAAGAACGAGCTGAACAAAGCTGCCGAGAGCAAGAGTATCGCTGCTGGTGCATTCGCGTAGATTGACTCTGCGCGTGAATTATAGATCATAGAGAGTGTGATACATACGTTGCTCGCTTCAGTCTTTTGGATTCACTGAAGAGTCATCGACGACTATGACCTCCAATACCTTGTCAGCCTCGCCCACGAGGCCTAGTTTCCGCAGCAACTTTTTGTACTTGCGGCGCACAAAAGACAGATCAGGTCCGGAGACTGCATCTTTCAAGCGCTGCTGCAATTTCGGGGTAACGGACACGTCCCGCATCTCGTCCAAGGCGCGAAGAATGTACCCCACAACGGTCGTGTCTTTCAATGGATACTCATCGGACCTCATATAGCGGCCGATGGCCCCGACCGAGAGGGACTTTTCGTGCCACAAGTGGAATGCTTGTTGATATGTCGGCACGAAAGCAGATGGAGCAGCATCCACTGCGGCAGATGGTGACAACACGCTTCTGCTCGACAAATTGATTTGCTGCTGGACGAGCCTGTCATTGCCACGTGTTGCGCTGATCGTGACTGTCGCGTTGACCTTGCCCGCAGCCTTCTGGGCTGCGAAAGGATTCTGAAGAGCACTCTCCTGGAGTGCCCGCAAAACCTTGGGATGCAAAGGCTGAACAGTTGCTGATGCAGCCTCGTAGAGCTTTTCACAGTCGACTCCCGCGGGTTCGGAAGATATTGCGCGTTGCTGCAGAGTTGTGATGAAGAAGGAGAGAAGCTCGAGTCCAACATACGCGTCGCATGCGCCGTATTCAATTTGACTTTTTGTCAAAGGCGGCTTGCTCCATGTGCTCGTTCTGACTTCGCCCTTGAGCAATTTCTGTTGAAGGTGCACGCGGCAGAGATCACGCAGGGAGATGAGGTGCTTCCGTCCGGCCCATTCTTCAGGTGCTGCAACTTTGGCGAGTTGAGAAAGCTCGACAGCATTCCGAATTCCTATAGCGCTGCCATGAGGAAAGCAAAAGTTGAAGTTCAGCTAAAGGAGACGGTAACTTCTTTTCCGTGCGAGGCTTACAAGTCCCTGGCAAACTTCTTAGCATCATTTCCGATCGCGACGCCACACTTAATGATACCCGGGTCGGTAAGAATCCTCTGTAGCGCGAGGGGAATCTGCTTCATGACTGATATATGAAGCACGACGATTAGCGATGCTGAGCATATCTGCACCACGGCGGTTGGGCACTCCGGCTGCCCCTGCAGATATCAAGTAAATGATTTAGTGCCAAGGAAACGTGTCGCAGGACCATCAGGAAGACTCACTCTGCGGGTGCTAATATCCCATTCCATGCTTTTCGGATGTGAAATGCTGGTTGTTCAATAGCTGCCAGTTGCGCAGCTCGGTGTACGAACTCACTCAAAGCCCAGTGGCCCCGCTCCTAGGCACGCCAGCACTTCCTCTGCTTCTGACAAGTCTGCAGTGTAGCGAAGACTCGGCGCGTTTCTTTGCGATTGCTGGGGAGTTCCTGATAACTTTGCGGCAACGGCAAGCGAGTGGCCTAGGGGTCGCTTGTATGAATACGCCTGAAGGTTTATCTCGAGACGATCCTTCTCCAAATCTATCTCCTGTCTTGCTTGCCACCGCTGCACAGGAGTGCGAGCGATTTGCGCTGAAGGAGCTGCTTCCGATACAGCATCACCATCCCCGAAGCGTATTGGCCTGCCTGGCTTCCATGGTCCGCGTGAACCTGCAACTGGGAGTGTTGTACGGCTTCCGATGGTGGATGGCGAAGCGGATGTAGATGCAACTCTCTTCCGAGTTGAAAAATACGAGCCCTCCGATAGCTGCGATGAATTAACGTCCGTTGCTTTTGCCTTTCCCTTGCAACCTCTGATGGCAATCGCCATCTTGGCAGGTGGCAAGCATGAGAACAAAGCACACACTCGCCGCGTTTGGCGTGCAAATGGCGCAAAGGCCATCACAGCGGTAGTGCCTCTCATGGGCGGAGTCGCTACTACCTGTCTGATCACACCCTCTCGAAGCAGCCTGATGGGCTGCACACCTTCGCTTTGTAAACAGATGCTAGGAAGATGGAAAGATATTGACAACTAAATTACTCGATTAGTTGTCTGCCATACGACGCGCTCTTGCGATGAGCGGGATGAGAGCGCGAGGGCTGGGCCTGTTGAGCGCGCGCGCACACGCTCTGGGCTTCACCAATCAAATACTCGGCCACAGCCAGACATCTATCACTCGCGACGCCGTCGCATAGACACGGTCGGAGACTTTCATGACTTGGTTCTATGGTAAATAATATTCTTTTCAAAGGCGCACAGGGTATGAACCTGAATGCAAGCAGGCGCGCTCGGTGAGGTACAAAGGCAAAGTGGCGAGAAGCTCTATTAGCAATACTGGTTGCGTGGAAGCATGAAATGGCGGCAGCTACGCAGGGTCACGGGGACAGCGACTGATTCCGCTGCCACGTGAGAGTAAGGGTAACAGGTTCATGCTATCATACCGCAGAGAAAAGGAAGACGCTAATATTCAGACGCCAATGGTGGTTTGCATAGCACGGCAGAAGGTTGCTCACTTGAGTTCCTTGAGGCCAAGTCGAGGTAGTCCGTACTGTAAGCGTCCGGTGTGCGCCCTCGCCGTTGATCTTGAGCTCTTTGACAAGAACTGTGCCCAGCTCTTCTTCTCGGAGCGCCGATTGGACGAGTTCAAGCGATACTGCATCCGGAATGCAACCCTCGTAGTCCATGTACATCGCTGACGGATGCGTGAGCTCGATTGGGCCCGTGTACAGGACCGTCGATGGCGCAGCTTCCGGTGCGTCTGAGTCTGCTTCGATGGAAGCTGTCACGTAGCCGTCGTCGCTGTAAATAAGTAACCCTTGCGGACGCGAGCCGAGGGGCATGGAGAACTCGCGGTGGGCAGAGTGCGCTTTCGCGTTCTTGAGACTCCAAGCACCAACGAGCTGCCCGAGGATGGCGGGTCCCTTCGGTGCTTCGACATTGCGCTGATGATGCTCCATGGTTGTCGCTTGACTTACATGGGAGGCGTCCGACTCCTTCTCCCAGAAGGAGGATGCGGAAGACGAGGGCATTGAGTCCATCATTCTAGAAAGTAAAAATTTAAGGGAGGCAGGACTAACTTTCAGAGGAAAGGTATTGGTCAGGTGGCAGACAATTTGACCTGAACGAGAACTCGAGGTGTATTTGTACTGTCGCTAGCATAAGCTTGGACGAGGGCCGCTTTCAAAGGACATCCTTGCGAAACTTGTCGTCAACCCCTTATCGAACTACACATCCGAAACTCACCACATGCACTTCCCACATCGGGGCCGATGCTGTGGAAGAGTGGTGCGTTTATGTTCATTCTATCAGTTCTGTTTCATGCACCGCGTCGTCAGCAGCACGGCTAAGCGATTACTGTGGCTCGTTCTGAACTACACGTTGAAAATAAATTCCACGAACCCTCATTCACGCGGGCTTCCTGTCTTAAAATCGAGACTAGTCAAGTCGGGGATGGATGAATGCCGAAGGAGGTACGGATGGACCGAGACTTGTTGACGATGCCTTTGAGGGAATGATCGAACAAGCCGGAAGCTCGGGTCCTCGGGAGTTAGGATGCGGGAAGGAGTATGATGACTATATTCCTACATGTTCATGTATGTACATATCCTTTGTATATGAGGACATGCATTCTCGCGATTCTGTAAATCATCGGTAGGACATCGTGAGGATCTGTCGTGACTAGGGCACCGCCGCGCGTGACCGACTGACGCCACATTTTGCACGTTTCTATAGCCTGTGTGGCGCATTGGGAAAAGCAGGAGTCGGAAGAGTCAGAAGCTCTAAATTTTTTCTTGGGCAGGACTGAAGATAGCCGAGCTGGTGATCAGCGCAAGTCTGTATAAGTTTCAAAAACGAGTGCTTTGCAGGACCGCTTATAGGCACGTTTGTTTGTTGAAAACGTCAATGACCGAAGCAATTGTCTCGTACCCTGGGCAAATGCCCAATCAATTTGGTATTATCGCTCTCCTAGTTCGAATCTATATTTGGATAGATTGGCAAGCCGCCGCAGCCTATAATGGAAGTTCATCAGATGTCCCGGTCATGGCTACCGGGCACTGGCTACATGTACTTAAAAACTGGCTCCTAACCGGCTAGGTTCCGCCGACTTCCGGGCGCCAGCTGCAAGGCTGACCTCAGATTTTGGTCAATGCGTACTAGTGTGGCTGGAATCTGAAAAGGCGCTCGATGCGCTGTCAGCTGTTACACAGTTTCGAATTCCGGCTCTCTGACCTGTGGTGCATGTCGCGGTGCCCGAAAGGCGAAGGGCGCTTGTATAGTAGCCCTCATGGGGTAATCACTTCATCAGCGTTTCAACCCTGCCAACTGCCAAGCTTTTGCACATCTTTCTCACGAAAGGCTTGTCTCTACCGGAAACTCAAAGGACAAGGAGTTACCGGTTCCGGGATGTGGAAGGCATGATATATAATTTGAAAAACGTGATCTCATCTTTTTCTCTATCACCATCAAGATCAGCAAAGATTTCGAGGCACTGTCTCAACTCTTGATCACCCTATACGAGTAAAGATATTCGTTCGTCATTTGCACACGTTCACGAGCGACAGGTTTCAAGTTCGTCATCACATTACACTCGAAATCAATTGTCCGTGTTAAGAGGGCCTGACGCATAAAGCATATGCCTGGTAACATGAGGCGCTCGGCACGCTGTAAGAGCCATGAGCGACGAGGCACGGAAGGCGCAAATAAACTGTATCGGACTGCGATAGGCTGGTAGGCTGAGCTCGAGCACAGTGGCCGTGGTCGTGGAGGTCAACGAAGAGCAGGCGTTCTTGACATCACAATATACCAGTGTATCACAGGTGTGATTGGAACCGAAATGATGTGAAACATCGAAGAAGGAAAGAATCCATGCCGATGATCTCTTCAAATTTAAACGCAAGATAATAAGGACGATTAAAAAAACAAAGTTAACATGTACGTACAATTCTTTCCAAGTCAAAGTTGTGAAAGTCACGTGTGACCCTACGTGCTGTCTGTGCCTCATGCCTGGCGCCTGCTCGCGGCTGGCCGCTGATGACAGCTGGGCCGCCGGCTACCGGCTACCAAGAGTGGCAAAGCGTGATGAGAGGCATTGCGAAGTAGGACGGCAGACGGCAGGCTCACCGGCTCAGTGTAGCCAGGTGCTACAAACGTACTAGTTCATACCTGCTCTGCTGGTCCGGGTCAAACCGGACCGTCTCGACAATTAAAGGCCAATGGCCGAGTCGAAAATCAGGCGGACGTGCCGAGGCCCGAAGAACCAGAGCTAACTTCAAGATGTTTGTCGATATGCAGGGCTTATGTATATTATGTAAGATCACTCGGCGAATGCTGGCTAAGCAGGTATGGATATAGATCCCCGCGGTTCCACCAGCCTTCACCTCGCAAACTGCGGCAGCTAAGATTGTGGCAAGGTTGCAGTTGGCATCAACGTTGCCGGCGACAGACGTGTTGCTAAGCTCTTGGATGACGTGTTCAATATCGTTGGACATGAATTTGGCAGGCACCGGGGTGAGGTCAGGACCTGATGAACCGATTTTTATGTCACCGTGGCTCGCCTTTGGGCAGGCAGATCGGAACCTCCAGAGAACAGTGCCGGACGCAGAGTGGTCAGTGAAAGTTACTTTCTGGACGGAGACTTCAGTAAAATTGTTGGGGACTAGATACATTAAGAGAATGCGATGAGATGCGTGTGACTACTAGTATGCGATGCGAGAAAGGTGTTTCACACGCAAAAGACGTGCTGCACATGTCAAACAAGGATGCTGCTTGATCGAAGCTGAACCTTATCTGTGTTTGCTACATTCGCCGCTGTGGCCGAACGATTCGACGGTCGCTCCTGGTGACAACCGACGGTCGGCCGGTGACAGACTCCAGTACCTTGCCCACAAAGCTGGACCTCTGGATGTTGCGTCACGGCCCGTCTGCCACAGCCTATTTAGTTTGAGGCATGTCTTAGGCTCTCGCCACGCATCTTCGCATCCTGGCGCACGCATTGATAGATGGAAACCAGCTGTGAGAATATGTGAGTGGCTGTATATAAGAGATTTGCTGATGAGATTAAGGACAGAACAGGGAAGGTGGGTCGTTCTCAGTGCTCTCGCTAACTTCTATCTCTCGTCGGTGCTGCCTCCAGGTTCAAGTCGGCCGACACCTGCGGAGTGCGGACACGGCCACACTTTCGACCATTTCGTCTGAGAACGGGTGGCCGTTCTCCTGGGTATGTTGAAGAGTTTCACGCGTAATTTGTCACGATTCAAGTACATCTCTTTAACTCCGGGCTATGGCCGCAAGTCGTTTGGCGCCTGGCGTCTCGCGTGCAGCCTCCCAAGTCAGTGTTTCGTTCTTCTTCCTTGTCCTTGATCCTTCCGTATCTGGCGTATCGGTGCCGCGTCGGTGTTGGTGCCGGCGCCTGAGCGGCAGCGGCTGACCGTGCTATATATATATATATATGCATTGACCACGCTCCACCGCTGTTCTGCTGTCCCAAAGAGATGTTTACGTTAATGACAGAGAAGAGCGGCGGCTGTTGGTTTATACACCAATATCGGTTTACTTGGTGCCACAACGATGGCACTTTGGAAAAGGCTGCAGCCCCATTCCGTTCGATTTTTGGCGGCTCAGAGTATGTCCCAGCAATCGTTTGGGGGCAGCTGTGACAGTTGAGCAATGATTACTTCCTAGGGCTCACTCGAGACAGTGTTGACTTCCGTAATGAGGCCTTGACGGACAGTATGGCCGTCCAGCTCCTCAAGAGAAGGAAGTTGCGGAATTTTATGGATGAATTGCGCCTTCGAAATATGCTTCTACCGTCCATTTAACTGGAGCTGCACTCAGTGTAGGCAGGCGGGAATCCGAAGGTAGCCAACATCAAAAATGTCTCGTCGGAAGACGGCAGAGACTCTGAGAAGCAGCATTGGCCTTCCCAAGTAAAGAGACAGACACACTTGCGGACTCTTCGTTTCCGCCATGACTGAGGCGCTGTGCTTTTAGAGCGCATATAATCAAGGTGCACCACAATGTTCCGTGCTTGAGGCGAATGGTTTTAATTAGATGAGGCTCAATTTCGTGCTTCAGCTCAAGGATACACCTGAATCCAAACGGATGCCTATATAAAAGTTGATCAGTAAAGCGTATCAGCCCCTTCCATGGCGTCTATGAGTGTCCACGTTCCCACCTAGTGCCAATGTCGAGCCTTGGAACACTGTAGAAAGCTGTACCTTGGCAGACGTGCGGCATTGAGATCAATGAATAGGACGATGGATCAATAATACTCGCATCAGTGCCAGATTGCACGATAAAGATCTTGCCAAGCCGTCCAAATCGCATGTGTGACACAAGAGGGGCAGACAGGGAAAGGTCGTCGCAGAGTGCGAGGGCTAAATAAGTAATGTGCACCTTGTACAAGGTGAAGTGACAGTAGGTTGGAAGTGAAAAATTGGAAGCGAAGACGTGGAAGCGAAGCCTCAACTGCAAAGATTGCTGGAGGCGCACTGTGAGGAGCCGCAATGAGTTCGAGCGGAGCAGGGCTGAGCCCCTCTTCCAAAGTGCCATCAGAGTCACACGAAGAAATAGGTGTGTAAAGCAACAGGTGAGAGCAGCGCGAGTGTTGGAGCGCAGTTGTAGATAATGTACCTACCAGAATTGTAGCGGCGAAGTCAGTAATTGGACTATATATTTAATTACGCAGTAACAAGGTTTATGGAGATTTTTGGCATGGCGCTAGTGCGACCCGGCCCGGCCACGCCTCGCCAACTGCTCATTTAGAGCTTCGTATATAAAACACGGCAACAGCATCTGCCAACCTGGGCATTAGGCTTTCCCCCTGCTCGTGCCATACCACCTTGCACGTGGTTCGCGAGACGATCCCAGCCTGCTGAAGATTGAAGAGAGCAAATGAGCTCGACACACGCGACGATGATGTCGACGAACCTTGACTCTCAAGTGTCCCCATCACCAAGCCGAAGCTCCACAACAGCAGCGGGCGCAGCCGAGCGCTTGCCTTCGGCCGACCCAAGCGAGCTGCCGTTCGCTAGCAAGGATGGAGAAAAAGATAACTTAGACCTGACGCGGAGCGAGCGCGATCAGTTAGGTGTTGAGCTCGACCCGACCGATCGCGAGCTGCTCAAGGAAGTGCATCAGCGGTCCAAGAGTCTTGACCGAAAACCCTCAATGTCATTCGTGGAGCCGCCAGGGCGGCGAGCGCCGCGTCCCACGGACGAGAAGCAGCTGGAAGACGGCTTTGCGGGTGGGCTCAAGCCGACACGCACTTTTTCTCGGCGCGATCGTGAAGCTTCCTATGCGGGAGAAGACGTGCACATGTTCGGCGGAGACCTGCACCGGCAGGAGACAGAGTTGGCGCTGTCGAGGTTCGAGAGTCAAGCAGGCAGGGATCAGATCGTCGTCCACTGGGAAGGGGAGGACGATAGTGAGAACCCAAAGAACTGGAGCAGGGCGTATCGCTGGTACCTCACTGCGCTTTCCGGCGTTCTGGTTCTCAATTCGTAAGTTCAAATGTGGTCATATGCCGGGTCTTATCAATGATGCTAATTTTGTGGACTTCCACCTTCCCGGATGGCCAACAGAACATTCACATCGTCGGCGCCGAGTGGCATCCTGGCCATGCTGGAGAAGGACTTGCATATGTCGCAAGAGGTAGCAACCTTGACGATTGCCATCTTCGTCGCGGGCTACTGTCTTGGCCCTCTTGTCTGGGGTCCATTGTCGGAGCGGAAAGGCCGCTATCCATGCTTCATTATTGCTCTCACGGCATACACTGCCTTTAACATTGGCTGCGCACTCAGCAAGAACACTGCCTCGATGCTCGTCTTCCGTTTTTTGGCCGGCTCGTTCGCCTCTAGTCCGTTGACCACAAGTGGAGGAATCATTGCAGACGTATGGGATGCCAAGACGCGGGGCCTGGCGCTGAGTCTCTTCTCGCTCGCGCCTTTTGCAGGACCAGCTGTGAGTGGCAGGAGAAACCCTTCTTTCCTTTTTGATTAGCATGGCCATGCTGACGGCTGCGCAAACAGCTCGGTCCCATTGTCTCTGGTGCGATCAGTGTCACTGATACTAACTGGCGCTGGCTTTTCTGGGTCGTAAGTCGCGCCAGACGTTCACTCTTATCGAGTAGCACTTTGACGCCTGGCCTTCTAACCTCCTTCCCCTCATTCGACCAGTGCACCATCTTCTCGGGTGTCTGCTGCATCGTGACTGCGGTGACGCTGCGTGAGACGTACGCGCCGATCATCCTGGTCCGCAAGGCCAGACGGATCCGCAAAGAGACCGGCAGCGAGAAATATGTCGCGCCGCTGGAGCTGGCGCCCCTCAAAGCGAAGGACCTGCTGCACGCGACGCTACTCAAGCCCTTCGCCATGCTGTTCATGGAGCCGATGCTGCTCGCGCTTACTGTCTACCTCTCTTTCGTCTACGGCATTGTCTATTTGTTGTTCGAGGGTCAGTCTGCGCGCGTGTGGTGTGATGAGGATGGGGAATCCAAGCTGATCAGCGCGTCGTCACCCACAGCCTTCCCGTTCGTGTTCCAAGGCGTGTACGGCTTCAACTCGCTTGTCAGCGGCCTGATGTTCCTGCCGTTCTTCCTTGGTGGCGTAGTAGGAACGATCCTGTACGCGGTGATCGAGAACCCGCGCTACGTCCGCATGGCCGATCAGGCGAGGAACGGGCGCGTCGCGCCGGAGCAGCGTCTGCTCATTGTCATGATTGCCGGGCCGGCGCTCGCCATCTCCTTCTTCTGGTTCGGCTGGACTTCGTACCGCAGCATCAGCTTCTGGTGCCCGATGATGGCCGGCGCCCTGCTCGGCTTTTCCATCTTGTTCATCTTCTTGGGGTGAGTTCCTCTTCCTCCTGCTCGCAAACACAAGCCGTGGAGCAGTCGGATTGACGCGCTTTCTTCACAGCCTCTTCAATTACATTGTTGATGCGTATATCGCGAACGCTGCGTCCGCTCTCGCTGCGAACACCGTCTGTCGGTCCGCTTTCGGAGTGGGATTCCCAATGTTCGCCGCTCAGATGTACACTGTGAGCTCCAGTTGTGCAATCGAGGTCTTGTGGAAGCATGTATAAGACTGACAATGACCTCCGTCATCTGCCTCTCCCTCGTGTACAGCGCCTCAACCAGCACTGGGCTTCCACGCTCTTGGGCTGCATCGGTGTCCTGCTCGCGCCAGTGCCATTTGTGCTGTACGCCTATGGGCCAAAACTGCGTGCGATGTCGAAGCACGCTGCCGACTTTTGAGCCCCTTGCTTCCGCTCTACCTCCCACTCCCGCATTTGCACGGACATGTGCCATTCGCTCGGGACGTTCACTGCACCCGTCGGGTTATTTCGCGCGGAACTCCCACCCTGCTAAATGAAACGCTATACATCGCTTTTCCTTTTGCTTCGCTATTCACTCACAATCATTACCATAGTCCACATTCTCTCCACATAGAAAGCCCTGTCGCACTTGGCATCTTGTGTTCTTGCAATACTAATACATGGCATTGACATGGGATGGAGTACAGGTTGCGAAAGCCTCGCGAGTCGCGACCAGCGAGCAACCAGCCACACTCATGGCTTCTGGCCCTGTAGTGTTGGAGCCGCAGTCCCTGGCCGGATTCGCATCCTTGGCCGTCGGCATGCAGAATGGTCGGTATGAAGGGGCAGTTTGTTGCAAGAGGGGCCTATCCAACAATGTCGTGCCAAGCTGGGCAAGACTGCCGGTTCCAGCAGCGCCTCGAGACGCCCAAGCGCCGTCGCTGCCACAGGACGTTGCAGGCTGCGCAAAGTCGCCCAGACTCCGACCGCTTGCTTCTCCAAATGTATGGACATAAAAGTATTACTGCCTTTCTATCAAGCTGGGTCGAAAGTCCCAGCCGTGGCCGATCGCTGCCCAGGGAGAGATTGGACTTCTCATTTGCTGTTACCTGTGGAGCCTTCTGGGCTCTGTTGCCGATCTGTGTTCTACAGTCTGGTCTCTTCCAGCAGTTCTCGTGGGGTGCAACTCGTATTGTGTCTGGGTTCTTTTTTTTCGCTCACCCCAGACTGCATCCCGTACGTCTGCGGTGACCCGTATGCACCACACGAAGGAGAGATATTGCTCCATCGCTGCGCCGCCACCGGAAAGCTGAAAAAAAAGAAGAAAAAAAGATGGCCTGTGACTTGTGCGGGGAACTGCGACATCGACATCTTAACCCCGCACCCGGCATTGGACGCTCGACGACGACAGCGGAGGTTCGCATTGCTCTCACATATACCGCGGTCTTCCTCGCTCCCTTCTTCGTATTGACACTGACTCGTGTCTTGTACGGCGCTTGAAGCAGAGTCCTTCCGTCGCCTCCGCCAGTGCCGCCAACAGCAGCACACCCGACCATGGTCACCTCATTATCTTCATCGCTGCCTCCGGTGCCCAGGACGCCGGTCTCATCCACGAGCACAATGGAGAGCCCGATGGCAGCGCAGCCCTCATCGTCTGCGCCTTCGGACCCGGTGTATGGGCGGCTGAACATCCAGCCGCTGTTCAGGGCCGCTGCCTGCTCACAGCAGTACGTGCGCTGGTCCTACACCGGCACGCAGAGCTCCAGCGCCAACCTGACCATCTTTACTTCCACGTCCAACTTCCCGACAGAGCATGGCGTACCCGTCGAGAATAGCGCACAGCAGACTCAGGTGATCAGCGACACTGTTCCCATCAACATAGGGTACTTTAACTGGTCGCCCGTCAACGTCCCGCCGGGAACGTACAAGCTACAGATTAGTGTGCCGGACTCTCATCTATCGTCGACATCCTCCCTCTTCGACATCCTCTCCTCCTCGAATACCAAGTGCCTGTCTTCCACCAGCATCAAGTACACCGGCAACGAAAGCGAGGGCGAGATTGATGGCTCGAGAGCCTCGGGCAGTGGCGATGGTGCCAGCACAAAATTACGCACCGTCGTGCCGGCCATCGCCGTACCCGTATTTGTCATCGGCATGCTCGCCCTCACCATCATCTATTGGCGCCGGAAGCACCACCGTCACCAAAAAGCGCTCTCTGCACGCATCTACCGCTCCTCTGCTCTGCCGCCGCTCGAAGGGCCGTATCGCGATGCATACGATTCAGCGACGGCGGCCGGTAGCAAGCGACTCCCATCGCCATGGAGCGAGAGGTTGGGCGGCTTCCCCAGCCCCAAGAGCCCACCGCGCGCGACGTCGACGCAGAAGCTGAACGACAATGACTCTGGTGCGTTCGGATACGCAGACGCATACGCATACTCAATCAGGGACAACAACAACAGCAGCAAGCATCGATCCGTTGCTTCGTACCGCAACGATCCTTCGCAGACGCGCGACAAGGACTCGTGGTCCGACTTCGAGAACGACGACGCCGAGTCCCGTGCGAGCGACGCCTTCGAGGACACCCAGGACGGCGGGCCGTACATGCCAAAGTCTCCCGCAGGCGTCTACCACCATTTCATGCACAGCGCCGCGTCCGACCGGCCTGCGTCGCTGCAGCACATGCAGATGCGTCCCGACGCGTTGGTGGCGGGCATGGATGCGCACCTTATCGATCCGCAAGTTGGCACGGGTGGGTATGCGCATGCACACGGCTGCGAAGAGCCCTCGTCACCGCGTTCGCCGTCGAGCCCGACGAACCACAGCTTCTCACTGCTGCGCAAGCCCGTGCCGACATTTGCGGCGAGCCGCGATGCGTCGGCCGCGTACGCGGCGGATGGGCATCTCAACGACGTCGACGGCAGCCCCGCAGCAGGAAAGGCACGTGAGCATGACTTCTTCGCGGACACACAGGCGCCAGCCGCCGCGTTTACCGTCGCGCGGCATCACGATAGTTCACCGCATGCCATCAGCGGCGGCGTCGGGGTCAACGAGACGCTGGCGCATCAGGCAGCCACCGTGGGCAAAGCGCAGCATCAGCTCGCCGTCAATGGGCCTGTCTCGTACTTCTGATTTTGCGCGCCATGCTCTTGTCAACCGCTTGGACAATCGTCGCCATCCCCTTGCGCGCGACTCTGACCCAGAGATTCGCATACCTTTGTTTGCATGCGGACTCCTGTCCCCCTGCTTGTATTTGCATTTAAAACTGAAACGGAGTGATCTATTCCATGGCACTCTTTCTGGTCCATTTCTCTACTTTCAGGCGTCAAGCACACTCCAGAAAATTGCACATCCTGCCGGGACTACCTGTCGCCGTCTGTCTGTCTACCTGCTTACTGTTTCGCTCGCTCTTCACCCATTGTCAGAGAACCTTTCAAGACTGCAGCTTGGCTGACGCGCTTGCCGCTTGTTGCATATGGGAAGTGTGAAGACATGGCTGTGCGCCGACGCCGCACTGTCGTAATTTGTACATAAGATGCATATGGCAATCATACATCCCTACCCACGTCGCCTATTTTCACTTTTCAATCGTCGTCGCTCCCTTCCCATCGCCACACGCGTCGGACGTGAGCGTCGCGTCTTCATTTCTTGCGGGCAGAAGGTTGCAATCGGGATAAACGTGTTTCTTGAGGGGCTCGTTTTCGGCTTCATAATCTTCTTCATGATGCGTAGTACGCCATGTGGCAACACTATATCGCATCCCACACCCGACATCGAAACCTGAACACTTGAAATCAACACCGCCTGACCATGTCTTGTTTCATTTTGGAGAGCCGAAAGCTCCTTCGTGACCGAATCTCGCACAGGGACAGCTCGCTCAGGCGGCAGCCGCGACGTTCTGGCAGTCCGCCGCAAGGTGCTCGGCGGATCCGCAGTTGTAGCAGGCCTTCTGGGCCGGCTGCGAGCACTCCTTGGAGATGTGCCCGACCTGGCCGCAGTTGTAGCACTTTTGGCCGCCGCTGCGGCCGGCACTCGCTCCACCCGAGGGGCAGTCTCGGCTCACTGGCAAAGTGGTGGTTGGGCGAGCAAAAGAACGTCAGCATAAGTGCATCATGGAATGAGCTGGCAAGCGAGCAACTCACAGTGACCGACACCTCCGCAGTTCTACGAACGCACAAAATCCGCATGGAAGGCGCAAGTCAGCTCAGTGCCCCGAAAAAGCGAGAGCAAACACAAACGCAAGGTCGGACGGGAGGGAAGAGAGAGACTCACGTAGCATGTCTTGCTCCCGAATCCGCCGCCACGACCGCCGGAACGGCCGGCGGTGGCACCGCCCTGCGAACAGGCCCTGGCGATGTGGCCGACCTCGCCGCACTTGTAGCACTCGCCAGTTGCGCCGCCTGCACCCGCTGAGGAGCTCTGGGGGCACTCGCGGGACTGGAAGGGAGGTGGGGGGACGATTCACGATGTCAGTGCCTGGCCTGTGTGACGAGGGAACAAGCAAGCGAGCACATCTCGGTACGTACCAAGTGACCGGTCTGCCCGCAGCTGTAGCACGCCTTAGGTGCTGCCTCCATGCCGCACTGCGAAGAGACGTGGCCTTGCTGATTGCAGTCTGTCGAAGCGGCGAAGGCAAAAGGAGGTTGAGAAGGGTCCAGTGTCAGCAATGTGTGCTTTTGTTTCGTCTGACGCCCAGTATCGCAAGCTCACTGTAGCTGCGCGAGGGAGAAAGAACCAGTTCGCATCAATGGAACATGTAGTTTGTCAGCATTAAGAGACACGTGGGCATTTGACGATGCTCAAAGCCTTACCATGTCGGAGTGCCGGCAGTTGGGCAAGCCGAAGCCTGGTGGCCCGCTGTAGAGCGTGAATAGGGACAGAGAGGAGAGCACCGAAAGATGGGGTCAACTTCTCCTGCGGATTATCCAGCAAGTGAGACTCGATGATTCGTCACACGCACGTTCTCCGCAGCTGGAAAGAGGAGCAGCGCGAAGAAGGAAGGGGGAGCACACATGGAGTGCGACGAGGACGCCATCGATTTCAGTAAATTGTCTCTTTGTCAACTAGCTCAGCTACCACACAAAGGAATACTTCAGCCTGGCCGCCGCCCCGCCTCTGCGCGGCTTGGACCCACTCCCTGCAACGCTGTTTCGTGTCACCGAGCAGTAGAGCATCCCCAGCCCCGCCCCCTCGCCTCTCATTCTTCCGGTAGGATGATAGTAAGCTGCTCGTGCTTCGCTTGTGCAAAGCCCAGGGTGGGACCAGATACATGATGTTGTCCGACAACTTCCTCGTCCCGCTCCACTTTTCTTCTCTCCTGTCCTTTCCCTTCCCTGCACGCCAACGAGGGAACAGCGGGAAGAAACGTATGCTCACTTGTAGCAGCCCCTTGCGAATGCCATCTTGAACAGATTGTTATGTGTGAGTACCTGGTGGGTGGAGGAGGGGGTTCGATAGGTGATGAGGCGATAGATCGATCTGGCACGGTGGTATTGATGAGAATTGAGAAGGAAAGGATGGATGGATGGATGGATGGATGGCGAATGGGTGTGCGTGCGTGTAGTGTAGTGGAGTGGATGGGGGACGACATCTCGCTCAACAAAAAAAAGGAAAAAAATGAGAAAAAAAGACAAGGTGGACGCGCGGGGCAAGCGCCACAGCAGTCATAACAAGCCACACCAAAGTCGCAATAAGGGAGAAAAAGAATCTCTTCCGATTGCCTCCAGTCATGACAGTGCCCAGGTGCAGCACGCAGCTTTGGCAGCCGAGACTTAATCGAAGGTAAGGAGCGCAACCCTATTAGAAATAGAATTGGTCACAACCCTACATACTGGAAACAATGCAAGCCACTTAATCCTCTCCGTTATAACACCCAAGCCAGCCACACTAGAACACACCAAAGTCTACAGTTGAGGGTACAAAGCACCAAGTACATGGTGTGAACGCCGCCCCGTCCATGGTTGGTTCATGGTTGGTCTTGTGAGCTTTGGGGGGAGCATTCTAGACTGCTCAAAGTACACATTGGCAACCCCGCATGCTTCACTCATGAGCGGACCGCTGCTATATAGTGACCGCGGGTGGAAGCTTTGTCGACTCGGCTCATCAGACAGCGAGCAGAGCTCTCTCCTTCCCGCCCCTCCCCCAAGTGCTCTGGCCCGGTAGTAGGCTCATGCGACATGAATGACCATAGCTTCAGTCCCGACCAGCTCGCGTCACGACCACCAGTGAACAGAGCGACAGGCTCCAATGGGCTCCTGTCGGAACTGCAGCCGGGTGCTGCTGACCATGAGCAGCAGCATGAATCACCCTCGATGCTGGCCGCAGCCTCTTCATCAGATCCTCTAATAGAGTCTGCGCTAGGGCGTTCGTGGGCTACTTTGGATGGCACCCACGCTACAGGCGCAATAGCAGGTGCAGCGGTAGCCATGCACGACAGCCATTCCGCTCTCGCAAAACCGATCGTGCGCCCAGAGGCGCCAGCAGAGCAAGGGACAATCAAAGCTTCGCCTGTCATGCAAGCGGGAGACAGTGCCAGCGCTTTGTCTCCTAGTCATGCGCTCTCTGCAAACCTCGACGAACTCCCAACACCGCCCATCAGTCATAAGAGTGCATCAACCTCGCCGCAGCGCTCGGAGGACCCGGAGGACTGGTGGGAGGATGAAGACTCAGATGAAGCCGAGGACGATGGCGTCACCTCTGCGTCTGGGGCTGCGCTGCCGAACGGCATGCCGATGCCCTCCGGCAATCTTTCTGCAATGCCAGAAGCCGGACGCGAGGAGCGGCTGTGCACAGAGAAGGCCTCGAGCTACAAGGCTGACATGCACGAGTACCGCTCCAGCAAAAAGGCGCTTACGCGCTCGAACAATCTGAGGCTCTTCGCATCTACAACAGGAAACGGTGAACTGCCGGAACAACACCGCCCGCCTTTCCAGCATGTGCAGGATGAAGCCGACACAATCACGCTCGATGGGCCAGCCAGTGGTCTGGGCTTACTGCCTAATGGGGACGGATGCGAAGCGACCTTCAGCCGACGGTTGCATAGGACCGCAGACCCCCAGTCTCCTCTGTTGTCTTCTCCTGAAGTGGAATCATGTGAGTGAATCACTGAATATGCAAGGAAATGAACCCCTTGCTAAAGATGGCACATCGTCCTCTCAGCCTCCGAAGCGGAGCTGCGCCCTGTGCCAGACCTGATGCAACCGCCTGCAACCGTTCCTGCTGCGCCGACTTCGCTCCCGAATGGCAGCAGCAGTAACGGCGCTGTTCCACCATCAGCTCCAGAGTCCGGCATGCATAAACGAAGCAGTTCAAGCCTTGCGGCGAATCGTCCCATCATCCATCACCGCCGGTCGTCCTCGGTGATACGGGGGGATGTCAGACCCATGAAGCAGCCCGCAACGGTCAAAGAACAGCAGCAGGAAGAAGAAGAGAAAAACATTGTCGGGCCTTTCAGTCTGTGGGACTACCTGCAGGAAGAGGTCCTAGCGACGGACTTTGACTCGACACAGGAACTGAAATGGGAGCGGGTCACCAATTTTATGGCTATTCCTTTCTGGATGGAGAAGGTGAGCGTCTCGGGCGACGTCTCAGCCTTGAGCATTGCTGATATGGTTTGCTAACTCTCTCCGTTCAGATCATCGCATTTGGGTTTGTGGTCTGCCTAGATTCGTTCCTCTACACATTCACCATCATGCCTTTGCGATTCCTTGTCGCATCGTGGCAGGCAGGTGCGAATGCACTGCGCTGGCTGCTGCGCGGTGAGAAGCGCTACCTCAGCTCATCTCACAAATGCGATCTGCTCAAGGCCATCCTCTTCATCATGGCGTGCTACATTCTGTCGCGCGTGACGGACGCAAGCAAGATGTACCACAGTGTACGCGGCCAGGACCTGGTCAAGCTGTACGTCATCTTTAATGTTCTCGAAATCGCCGACCGCCTCTGCTGCAGCTTTGGCCAGGACATCCTCGACACGCTCTTCTCTCGCACCACCTTGGCCCGTCGCAGAGACGGCCGACAGCCGTACCTCCGGCCCTTCGCATTCTTTACACTTAGCCTAGCGTACGTCATAGGCCACACGCTCGTGCTCTTCTATCAAATGGTCACGCTCAACGTGGCCATCAACAGCTACGACAATGCGCTGCTCTCCCTTCTTCTGTCCAACCAGTTCGTCGAGATCAAAGGCTCAGTCTTCAAGAAATTCGAAAAGGAGAATCTGTTCCAGATGACGTGCGCGGATATTGTGGAACGTTTTCAACTCGCACTCATGCTCAGCTTCATCGCCGTCCGCAATTTGATCGAGCTCGCCGGCGCACAGTCAGAAGGAGGAACCGGTCCGTTGCCAACTTCTTTCACGGTCTTGCCAAGCTTCAACCTGCTCGAGACGATCTTTACGCCTGTATGCATCGTCATCGCAAGCGAGTGCTTTGTCGACTGGCTTAAGCACGCCTTCATCACCAAATTCAACCACATCCGACCTGCCGTCTACGGGCGTTTCATGGATGTCCTCTGCCGCGACCTCGTCATCGCGAGTCCAGGTCAAAAGTCCAACGCTTACAAGCACACATTTGTCGACCAGAGTCCCATCGTCAGCAGGCGCCTCGGCTTCGCAGCTCTCCCGCTCGCCTGCCTGCTCGTGCGCGTCGGCTTCCAGATCATGGGCATGGTCGGTGATACCAGCCATTTTGACGAATGCGCCATCCCGGAAGCACACCGTCACAGGATCAGCTTCAAGTTAGCTCGCAGCACAGCATTTGGCCTTGGTGCGATGAACGAAGGTGGCGCCGTACATCGCTCGCTGCAGTTCATCGCGCAGGGCTTGGCCTGGATCCTGACGATCTTCGTAGCGTGGACCTTGTAAGTCATCAGCGCGAGGTTCCTTCTGAGCATTAACTGATTGTCGATACATTGCAACGGCAGCCTCGTCGGCATCAAGATCCTTCTCGGTATGAACTTGGTATCATACGCATCGAAGCGCTATGCCACCATGTATGAGCGCGAGCAAGAAGAGAAGCTCAACGCAAGGGATCGCTCGCCCATCGGTGTTGGCGCGGAGGAGAGGGTATACGATGCCAAACTCGCCGAGTTCTTGGACAAGAGTGCTGACAATGCACAAAAATCTACGTTCCTTGGGGCAGAAGTACCCAATGGACAACCCAGATGGGCTGAGAGCAAGGGCGGATCAAAGCAGACCAGTCTGCTCGACGTCAGTCGATACACCATGGTTCGCTCTCGCTTGTGGTAACACCGGCGCAGAAGACATCAGCACGAAATGTTGTAACCTTATCTGTATCATAAACCATGCCTGCATACATATACTGTACAAATGCAAGTGAGAAATAGCCCATAAATGCCTTTGATGATGTGCGTGAAATCTCTATGGGTCTGAAAAGAAGAACAGTTTTTTGCGTTGTGCATCTCCTTTTATCGTGGAAGGTGTGTGGTCTGCTTCGGCATCCGCTTTGGCCTCCTCGGCAGGGTCCTCTGCGAGTGGCTTTTTAGCCAGGGCTTCGGACCAGTTATCGTAGACATCGTGTGTTGGTTTCCGATTTGGCAGTTGCATGACAGGATAGGTCTTGAGGCCCGGCATGCGCTCATAGCTCCAAGTTCGTGTAGGTTCGTTGGAAGGTGCGCGTGAGAGTTGGACGGCGGACATGCTCGGATGCATGCCTTCTGGCGCCGCATGGCCGTACGACCCGTATACACTGCGCGGCCTCGGGTGTCGCGATCCATGCCCGATTGCGCTGCCTGGGCGCGACAGCTGGTCGCCGACGTGACGCTGCGCCTCCTCGAAGGAGCCGCACAGCGCCGCTGGCGGGCGCTCATGCGTAGAGCTGTCATAACTGGCATGGCCATGATGATGACCATGGTGGCCGCCGTGCGCATGATGATGATGATGATGATGATGATGATGATGCCGATGCGCGTGAGGATGTGTGACAATGGCCCCTCCAGGCCTTCCCACGATATTTGCAGGTGCATGAACGTGGGGGTAAGCGGCGTCGTTTAAAGGAGGCGGTGGAGGAGCAAGAGGACCCCAGCCGAGGCCGGCTCTACGTGGACTGGCGCTGAGGCTCCCAGCATGCACACCCATCGCGCTTCCAGTCCTTGAAGGAGGTCGTATCATGGCTTCGCCGAGTGTTGGCAGGTTAGCACAGGAGCCTCTGTTGGCTGGGTTACGCATGGCGCGGAGACCTGGTGACGGAGGCGCGACACTGGATCCGATGGCGCCCGGCGTGGTCGAGCGGTACACGCCGTACATCGAGGGCACGCCTGGAGTCGTCGATCGGGCGGCCCCGAAGGAGCCGTGGAAAGGCGAAGGCACGACGGTACCATTGAAGACAGTGTAGCTCTGACTGCCAGATCGTGAAGCTCTGGGATGCGCCATGCGAAGGTTGGTATTGCTACTAGACCTGCTCGGTGCTAGAAGCGGCGGGAGCACGTGGGCGTCCTTGCTGCGTTGATGCTTGTGAGCTCGCTCTCGCTCGGCCTTGCGGCGCCGAAGCGCCTCTGCATCGTCTTCGACGCTTGGGCCGAGCGCAGAACCCTGCTCCAGCTCACGCCCTTCACCAGGGATGGCGCCGTGTCCAATCTCATGTGCGAAATCAGGAACCTGGTCTCGCCGACCAGACGGCTTGACGAGACCAGGACTAGGCCCGACAAGCTCCTCAGAGGGGTACTGCACAACGTGGGCAGTAGCGTTAGCGCCGCGAACAGCGTCCTCCCTTTCATCATCCGAGTCCTGGCTGTTGGACAAGGCTTGCAGAGCCTTGATGGAAGCCCATGCAGGGACGAGAGATCTCCACCATCCGCTGCTGCTGCTGCTACCAAGTGAGCCTAGTTCAGCACTACCGCCGCGGCCATTGGAGCTCGACTCGCTGTACACGGACCAGCGATGAGAGCCGCGGCGGCCATGTCCTCTCTCAGGCGACAGGGCCCCTTCGTCTGCATTAGCCGATGCGCCGCGGCGTGAAGCAGCGGCAGACGAGCCCCAAAGCCGCGAGAGCGATCCGTGGGATGGAAGTTGTTCGATGGAGCTGCGCGCTTGCGCCAGCCGAAGGCTCTCTATGGCCGAAGAGATACTTTCTGCGCCAGCGCTTTCGCCCACGTCGCTGCGGAAAGGCCCATAGCCAGTTACGGGCGCGTGGGCGCCGCCATCAACGAGTGGATCTGCCTGCGTCGCGCTAATAGTTGCGACAGGGGTACCAGAAGTTGCGAGCGACGTTGCGCCGACGGAGGTATCCATTGCCAAGTGGGTACGATGCCGTGAGACACCGCCAAAGCTGCTACTGCCGCCAGCAGCAACATGACGGCGATCGCGTATGGTCGATGAGCGCGCCATGTCGAAAGTGCCCGTGGTCGTAGCGCTCGTGCCGAGCTCTGTGTACTCGCTCGCGAGGCTGCGCGAGAGAAGGCCGGACGCATTGCTGAGGCTTGTGCTCGGCTGCGCAGCAGTCGCTACAGTCGCTACAGCTGCCGCCGCAGTAGCAGCAGAAGCACTGTTGTTGGTGGTGCTGCTGCTTGCATCGTTGACGTCGGTCAACGGTGCTGCAGCCGCAGCGCTGGTACTGTCGCGTTTTAGTAGCCGCAGCGGGCTGGCGTTGTGTGTGTACGACGGGCTGCCGCTGGGGCTTGAGGTGCTGACGGTGCTGCTTCGACGAGGGGGCAGCGGACGTGTCTCAAGATAAGCAGCAGCAGCTTCGGCATTGCATTTGTCCTTCTTGTCGCCAGCTTCAACGCCAGCCGCGCCGGCGTTTGCGGCTGCCGCAATGCCGTCTGCTGCACTCCTTGTGTCGTTGGCGTCGGGCCTGTCATTCCTGGGACTACGGGGAGCAGCGGCGCGGGACTGCGAGTGCGCTTTGTGCGGCTTCTCCCACCAACTCAACGTACTGTCCTCCGTGCCATTCGTGCTAGCGCTCCCGATTCCCAATGACGCGGCGTCCTTTTGTTGTTGTTGCTGCTGTCTTCCTGCCGCTCCTTGCTGATGCGCAGCAGAAGCAAAGTAGTCGCCCGCGGCCGCCTGACCAGGCAGCAGGTTAAGCGGCGTCTCGACTCGTCCGCTCTGCGTGCGCTTCTTGGCGCGCATCGTTCCCGCGCCCGCGGCCGTTGAGCTCAGTGCTCCTCCTACGCCGGGCGGGACGGGGCCGTAGGGGTAACCACCGCTGCTCTCCGTCGTGTCAGACGCGCCGGAGGGTATAGCGGAAACGTTGTCGAGCGGGCCAGCGTGACCGAGCGCCACCGCGGATCCTTTCCCCTTCTCCTTCTCCTTGCCCGTCTCGCTCGGTCTGGCGACGCTGGCGGGCGTCGCGGCACGCGAGCGCGAGTTGCGCGAGAGCGTCATGGCGCGCAGGGTCGCCTGGCACTCGGCGCATGTGCAGTCCAGGTCGGGCGTCCTGGAACTGGCGCGGGACGGGGCGTACGCTGCAGCTGCTACGCCGCCTGGAGCGCCATACGGATAGGCGTACTGATATGCATACGCATAGCTCGATTCGGCGAAGTACGCGACGCCGCTCTGGCTGCTCTTTGGCCTCTTGTGTCCCCACGACGTACCATCGGCCGGGAAGTAACCGCTGCCGAAGCTGTCGCTCCCGGCGCTGGCGCTGAAGCTGCCGGCGCCGACACCGCCCATGCTGCTGGGTCCGATCGGCATCTGCGCCCATGGCGCGGCAGATGCGGTGTAGAGGCCTGCACTCGGCGGGCCGCTGACGCTCCAGGTGCCAGGCGTGCCTGGGCCGGGGGGTGGCATGACCATCGCAGCTCCCCACGCGTTGGCGCCGACGGCAGCGCCATAGCTGCCAGCTCCGAACGATAGGGAGCACGCGGTAAGCGGCGGCGCGGGGTGCTCTGCGCTCGTCGTCATCGCAGTCACCATCGTTGTCATGTACGGGTTGACGTCGATGAGCGCTGCGCTGCGCTGCTCGTCCATCTCGCGACAAGCCTGCGAGCAGTAGAGCGCCTGAGGCGCGCGCGCCATGGCGTTCTCGAGCTGCTCTTGCTCTTTGAGCAGCATCGGCGTCAGCGGGCCGAGGATCCCGCCGCCACCGACTGCTGATGCGGCAGCACCAGTACCACCACCGATCCCGCCGGCAGACCCGTTCTGCAAGAGGCCCTCCTTGCGCAGCCGCTTCTCCTCCTGCGAGCGCGCGAGGCCTGAACCGATACCCGGCGGCGTCGCCATGCCGGAGCGCGGCTCGACGGGCGAGCAGGGCTCTTCGCTGCTGTTGGCGCTTGCGAGAGCTGCTGCTGCCTTCCTGTTCACGGCCGAGTTGCGCCGGCTGCGCGCTGGCGACTTGCGGCTACGCGTGCTGCTGGCGGAGACGCTGCTTTCGCGCGAGTGGGGGCGCGAGTGCTGCTGCTGCGGATGCCCTGCTGCGCCGCCGCCACCGGATGCAGTGCCCTTGTGCTCGCCTTTGCGGTGCTGCTGCTGGCCGTTGCTATTGGCGCTCGTCGTCGGGCGCAGCTCGCTGAGCGGGTTGACGCGGCTGCCGGCGCTGCCGGAGCGCCTGAGGGGAGACGCAGCGCCAAGCTTGGGGGCGGCTCTCGTTGCGTTTCGGCTTGCCTGCGCGGCGGCGGCAGCTTCGATCGCCTTCTTGAGCGCCTCAGCTGCGGCGCTGGCGTTGACCGGCTTGCCGTTGGCGGCAATGCCGGTGCCCGGCTCGATGAGCCGGTCGCAGATGCAGCAATACGTCTGAGCCCACAGCTCCTGCCCATCCATCTCGGCAAGTGCGGCGGCCTCTTCGTCATCGCTGCGCCCGTCTGACTCGGACGTCGTGCTGAAGGCGGCATCGCCGTTCGCGTCTGCATCTCCACCATCGCCGCCATCGTCATCTGAGGCAGGGTTGCTGCCCAGTTTGCCAATTCCCGCTGCCCCGTCAGCCTTTTTGGCCGCGGGCCGCGAGGGCCCGCGGCTGGCGGAAGAGCTCTTGCGCTGCTGCTGCTTGCGCAGCTGTTGCTCGCGGTGCTGGGCCTTGAGCGCGGCGAGGTCTGGCTTGGCGCGCTCGCGCGGTCCCAGTGCTGTAGCAGCTGCGTCCGCGGCCGCCGGCGGACCGGGGCCGAGGCCACTGCTGCCTGCTGCTGCTCTCCCCTGTCGAAGAGGCATGGCGGGTCGCCTGTAATGGAAGGAGACATTGACGTGTCAGCTCGCTCGCCGCAATCGCCCAAGGGGGTCTGCTGTGCTAAAGGGGATCCAGCGAGCTTGCCGACTCACGCTCGGGGCTTATGCGGTGATCATGAACGGGGAGCAGAGCAGGGCAAGTGTGAGGTGCCAACGGTGCTGTTCATAGAGGTGGAGAGGAGGGTATGGGGCACGACCAGGGGCGCATGTTCAGGCTCAAGAGCGTGTCGTGGCAGGTATGCGTATGCGTATGCGTATGCGAATGCGAGAAGAGGGAGCCAAGGCAAGTACGCAGGCGTCGTTCGTTCGCTCGCGGAGGAATCGGGGCGGGAGAATTTCGTCGGGGAGGGGACAAGAGGGGAGGAGAGGAAGTTCTGTGCTGAAGAGAAGACGTTGTGGGTATAACATGGGGAGGGAGGTTGGCTTGGTTCTACTTTTTGGGTTGAGGGAAGGGTGGGTCAAGTCACTCGGTCTCCTGCTGTATACTTTTTTGGCACGTATTTCTCTATTCCTTATGGGAGTTGCTATGTACAGTACATTAATAGTTGTTGGGGACGCAGACGCAAACGCGGAGCGCACAAACACCGACCTACCCATTGTTGCACAGACACACGCAAGCGTAGCCCCCTCCGTTCTCACACAGCGAGAGAAGGAGCATAGAAAACCCTGAGCCTTGCCTGGCTGGGAACGCGAGAGGGTTTTTTTTGGAGCGTCCAGCTTCCAGATTTGGGTTCCCTCTCCGGGCTCTTATCAATCCAAAGACCGGGTCTCGAGGCACAGCACGGGAAGTGATGCGCGCAACACGTTGTGAGTCTCGCCCGACTGTCGTGATAAGGCCCAGTGAGCCGTCCAGCCGGCCGGGATTCGGGACACTCTTCCATCCATTATCTTTCTTCTCATCGCTCCGACCACTCCAGGGGGGTGGGTCGCGTCTCCCGCCACGTCGCATTCAAAGGGCTGCTGCAGAACACGATCGAGAGCTTCCAACAGTTCTCGCAGAGCACCAGCGCCATGTACAGTAGATGGTCTTGGAACAAGGGCAACTTGTGTTCATCACTCTCATCGCTCAACCTTTGATCCGGACCCAGGGTGCACAGAGAGAGCAAGCACATCACACACCACACACTGGCTCACTGGTCTCTCGTTCGCAGGCGTGTAGTATTGTTGCTGTTGCTGCTGCTGCTGCTTGTATGACTGGTGAGTCACAAGTAGACGCATCGCGCATGTGTGCCCTGTCTCCTATTCGCTGGCTCGGTCGCCTTGCGGCGGTGGGATGCAGTCCAATGTTGCGCTGGCTGCACAGGTGTGTAGTGAGTGCTTGCACGGGGCTGCCCATGTGCCACCATCACGGCGGCTGTATATAGACATACATATAAATATATATATATATATATACATGCGCGTGAGAAGCTGGATGGCTGTGCTGGACCGAACGACCGGCGACGTGGTGTAGGGTTAGCGCACTGCGGAGGTCCCGAGAGTATCTGCCAGGGTTGACCGACGGCGGTGGCCGTGTCTGTCGAAATAGATCTCGTTGGTACATATGGTATCGATAGTCATGCTGCGGGGCTGTGTATTGGGCTGTGGCGTACTCTGTGGGTGGCCATGCAACGAGGCAGTCATCCGCACCGCACTGCACTGCACTGCACTGCAAACCTCACCCGCCCCCCAAACGCTTGCTCCCCGCCGTCTGTCGCTGGCGTCTTTGTTGCATAACCCTAAGCAGGACGGGACTCTCTTCAACTGACACGCTCCACTTTCTCTTTCTCCGCATGGCCTCCGCTGGACACCTTGCTGTATAATTCAGCCCCAGTCAAATTAGTACGCTTGCATAGCAGCAGTAGCGCTGCGATGACTTGGCAAGCAGCGCCTACGAAGTGCTTATTTAAAGAAGGCCAATCTCCCCCGTGCCTCTTCCCCCCCCCCGCCATCCCTCCCGCTCCACATCCGACATGACACCAGCACCCATCCTCATCAGGCCCGACGCCGACTCGGTGGACAACAATGGCTTTGTCTGGCGCCACGGCTCTGCCGCGGCTGCAGACTTTTCCCTCTGGCTCAACCCAGTCCCAGAGCTGTCTCGCAAGCGCGCTGGCGGCGGCGGCGGTGGCGGTGGCGGCGGTCGCAGCAGCTCCAGCTCCAGCCCCAGCTTCAGCGGTGGCAGGTCCAGTAGCGGGACGACATCCTCGAGCAGCTCCTCTTCCTCTTCTTTCGGCACGAGTGCCAACAGCGTCAAGGGCTTCACGCCTGGCACCGTCTCGGGCGGCGCAGGCGTGTACGGCTCCTCGGCCGCACGCGGCATCGCCAACCCGTACACCATCTCCTCTGGCTCCTTTGCCGGACGCACAGCCGGCGGCGGAACACGCAACGGCGTCTACGGCAGCTCCTCCTACGGATCCGGATACACTACCGTCGCCGCCGGCGCCGGCGCTGGCGCCCTCGTTGGCGGCGCCGTCGGCGCCAGGGGGTTCCCGTTTATCTATTGGCCAGTCTACTGTGAGTGCCCTCGCCAAGGAGCGAACGCAGCAGCTATTCTGCAGCGTCCCTTTAAACGAGATCATCGCTGACAAGACCCGTGCTCGTTTGTTTTTGCGCTGCGCTGCTCCGTTCCGCCAGACCCGTACGCGCCATACTACTACGGCTCGCACATCTACGGCCCAGAGAACAACAGCAGCCGCCCGGGCGGCAGCATGACGCTCTACGTCCTGCAGGCCCCCAACGGCGTCAATCAGTCCGCCAACAACTTTGCGTTGTATGGCGACGCGAACAGCGTTGCTGACGTCTGGGACAGCGTCAAGCCCATCTGCGGCGTCGGCCCCGCGCTGCAAGCCAACTTCACTGTGTCACCCAACAACACCGTCCAGTACTACCGCGCCAGCAGCTTCGCCCTCCTCCTCCAGGACTACAGCAGCAACCTCCCTAACATCACCACCGATGCCGCAGGTGCCTCGTCCGACAACGTCACGCAGCCCCCCGCCCCGCTGCCGTCTGGCGTCGATGCGACGTGTGAGTGTGCAGCGTGCAGCGTACCATGGTCCTTTCCCCCTTCCTGCCACTGAACAACGGACGCACTGCTCCGGCGCCTGCCCTTGCCTTTGCCTCCTCCCCGCCGACCCTGCCGCACACCGTAGACCTCGACTGCCTCAACTCGACCATCGGCACCTTCGTCCCGCTGCTCGACACGGCCGTCTCCAACGAAGCCGCGAGCCTCATCGGCGCGGCGGGCTTCGCGCCGGTAATCGCCCTGCTCGTCGCGATGCTCTCATATGTTTCTTGAGCGCGTCAGCGCGCGCACCCGCTGCTTTATATGTACTCGTATACCTCCCGCGGTCTGTCTTTAATGTACACTACGCCCACGTCACGACCTCGCACAGCGCAACGACACCGACACAGGTGCCAACTCGGCCCCTCTGATATTTGCATTCCGCGCATACCCCCACGCGCTCGGCGCTAGCATGTTACCACTAGCATTCTGTACCGGAATCGCACATCTTGAGCTTGGAAAGCTGTAGGCTACTATACAACACTGAACGGAAGGAGAAAATAAGAGCACACAGAGACTACCATCTATCGTCGCCGCTGTCATCGTCATCATCGTCATCCCCTCCGCCGCCGCCGCCGCCGCCGCCACGTCTGCCGACAACGAACGCGCCGCTGACAGGCAGGTTCTTGAGCTCCAGCTTACCCAGGCCCGAGTTCCAGATCTTGGCGCGCGCGCTCCCCTCGATGCCCGCGAGCGCGCCAGCCCCCGTGATGATCTTCCACGTGAAGTTGCGGAAATCCTCGTTGCGCCCCGGGAGTAGCTCGAATGGCACGTTTTTCAGCTCGCACCTAAGCAGCTTCCGCTTCCCCGCCGGGTCCGCCGGGTCGATGTACGTCGATGCCGCCGTAAAGTCGTGCGGGCGCACGCGCCCAAACGCGTGTTTCGGCAATGGATCCGGCAGCGGCGGCGCCGGCTCTGGCTCCTCCGGCGGTGGTTTCTTGGACATCGTCGCGCTCGTAGTAGCCGCAGAGGCGGCATACAGCGCACGTACGCTCTCACCATCCAGCACGCCCTCCTCCTTCTCCTCGTCGTCCTTTCCACCACCGCCGTCGCGATACTTCATCCCTGGCGGCTTGCCATTGTACACGACAATGTCTGGCCAGAGGTCGGTGATCTGCACATCGACAGTCGATAGCTGGCCTGGCAAGTCGACGACGCCGGTGACCGTGCCGTCGCACAGCAACTTCTCCGCTTCGAAGGGATGCGGGTGGATCTTGAGGTCGGAGATGGACACGTTCTTGATCAGGTCCGTCACTTTGCTGCCCGGGAACAAGATCGGCAGCTGTAACTGCCGCAACGCATTGTCCAGCCAATCTGGCAGGAGCGACCCGCCTCCAGGCAGACCATCCTCGCCATCGCCCTCCTTTGCGCTGCGGCGCGTGGAGCTGTTGGAGCGTGCGCTGGCAGTCGCCAGGAACGGGTTGCCACCGTGAACCATGACCGTGTTCGGCTCTCCGCGCAGGAACTTGCTCAAAAAGTCCGAGAGTGCCCGCTGTGCAGGTTTCTCGTCCATGGCATGAAGCGCGTCGTTGTGGCCGGATGCAAAGACAATTTGCTGTCCCGTTGCGAGCGCCTGCCCTGCTGCTGCAGCTGCGGAAGGTAGCACGTCCTCTGGCGGAGGCACAACGCGACCGAGCAGCTCCAGCTTGATGTGCTCCTCACCCTTGAGCTCGAACGGGTCGGCCGCGGCAACAGCCAGCAGGACGAGTCCATCTTCGCTGCCCGGTTGGTCTGCTCCATCATCACCATCTCCGCCATCTTGTGGTGCCTTCCCCCCTTTCTTCTTCTTCTTCTCCGTTCCTCTCAGAGCCTTGTTGCCATCCATGTCGGCGTTTTCCCCGCCCTTGGAAGGAAGCGGAGAGCTAGGCGATGCACCTTCAGGAGGCGTGGTGGGCAGGAATATGCCAAAAGGCAAGGAGTACGGCACGCGGCCTTTGAGCAGCTTTCCGAGCGGGTTTATCGCGACGGCATGGGCCCGGACGCCGAGCGCGCGAGTGGCCATCGTGTTGAGAGTGTTGGCAGCCGTGTCGACGAGGAGAGCGCGGACGATGTCCGCAGGGCTGCTGCTGCCACTGTCACTGCCGCTGAGCTCGTTCGCCTGCTTGTACGAGTCAGCGCCGATCTCGAAAAAGTCGTAGCCGGTCAAGTCTAGCAGATGGGATGTATCTGTGCTGTTTTCCGATTCGGGGACTGAGGGGGACACCTTGCGAATCAGCATACCTTACCTAGTCAAGTGACTATATGTCATTTCCTCAGCTCGAACTCACTCTTTTGCGTAAAGCGCTTGCGAATTTGGCCTTCGCGAAGGTCGATCCACTTAGCAACGCCACCGCTCTTCGTCGTCTTAGCCGCACCCTTCGTCGCCTCCTTCTCGCGCTCCAGAGCCTTGGCGTCCAAGCCGCTGACGTGCAAGCCAGCCACCTTGAGGTCAAGTGTGATATGCTTGCGCGCAAACGACGCATTAGCGAACGCAATGATGTTCTCTGCGGGTGTTGCGGGCTTGAAGAGCAGCTCGAGACGGATCGGATGCATTGTACTGTACGTGCGGTTCGTGCTCCGCTCTCCGTCAACTTCCTCCTTGCGGTCGAACTGCGCAGCTTGACCCGCATGGAGCAAGCGCGGAATAGGAATGATGAGCGGGTCGGTTTGGAAAGAGATAAAGTCGAGGGGAGCTTGCGGGGCTGGCATGGCATCATCGAGCGCACGGAAGCCGTCGTTGTGGTCGCCGCCATTCCTGCTGTTGTTGCCGAACAGGTCGATCTTCTGCTCGGGAATATCGACGTTCCAATCCGGCTCTGCGATGCGAATCTCGCCCACCTCGACCTTGACGGCCTTGACGTCCTTCAGCACCCACTCCACCCAGCTGCGATCCCAGCGCTTCCACGCGCTCATCTTGTCCTTCTCGCCAAGCCACAGATCCAGCGCTTTGTCTGGGTCCATGCCAAGCCAGCCGGAGACGGCGACACTGACACCTGCATCGGAGATGTTCAGTACCGAGATCGTGTCGGGTCCCTTGAGCAGGAGCGACGAGTCGAGGATGGCCTTCTGCCTCTCGGGTGACGGCGCGGAGAGTGTGCCGAGGAAGAGATGCAGGAGCATGGCGGCGATCGCAGCCAGGAAGAGGGCGAGCAATGCCGCAGCGAAAAGGAGGGAACGGAACCCCAGCGGGTGACGCTGCCGCCATTTGGCCCCATGACGTCGTCCTGCTCCCTCTTCTTCGTCTGGTTCCTGCTCGTCGGATGTAGGGAGGGCGGTATAAGCGTTTGAGGGGAAACAGCCTTGGACTGTGTGGCTGGCTTGCGACACGGTATGCGACATGGCCAAGCTGGCGCTTTTCCATGCATTGGAAGCATGGATGGCGGTAACCGAGCTCCATACCTTCAGCTTGGACACAGCATCCTGGGCGTAGCGGCTGACACCGCTGGTACCGTTGGGAGGTTTGTGCGCCGCCACCGGGTGCGCACTGTTCAAGGTTGACGTGCTCGCCTGCAGCTCTGCGGAGGAGATTCCATTGCTGTTGTCGACCGCTCCGTTCTGGCCGGCAGACGCAGGTGCAGGGCCTGCGGCCATTGTGCTTGGGCCTCTTGCCGCTGACGTAGCCGCTCGTCTACGAGGCGACGAACTATTTCGACACGACACACTGCAAGCCGCTGATTGTACGTATAACGAAACGAGTACAGATGCGCTGTGTATGGGGTCCCGTTTCGCTCTTTCTTGCGTGCCTTGCAACGACCATCCGCGATAGAAGCAGCTCTCGATCAACAGAAGATGGACGTACGTCCCCCCAGTGTGCCAAGATGGATGGCACCGCCGCCGCGCCAACGGGATCATCCAAGCCACGCGACGGCGGCAAGTTGTTCAGCACAAAATCGCGCCGCGCAGGCGCCAAGCTTGGACTCGGAACGAGCACAACCCTAATCACTTTCCTCTCCCGCTTGTTCAGCAACCCGCTGCTCCCGCCAGGATGCATTCAGTCCTATGCACCGGTACATATATATATATATATCCACATTGGCACTTGATTGCTTTCCCTAGACCTAGAATTCATTTCTCTCTTGCGAGGCGAACGGGTGGGGAAGGACCAGAAACTACAGGAAAACCTCGAGGTCAAACTCGAGCGCCGAGCATGGAAAGTCGATCTCGAATTTGCGCAGCACATCCGGATGCACGACGCCGATCCTGCCGATGACCACGTCGCTCATGCTCGCCTTGGCTTTCGGTTTGCGCGCGATCGCGTCTATCGCATTGGTTCGGCCGATCAGCTCCTGCGGCCCGCCGCGGATCTCTGTGTCGTCTGTGCCCTCGCCCGCCGTCGGCTGCTCTTGCTGCTGATCGTCACCACCCTTTCCAACAGCAGGTAAAGCAGAAGAGAGCGCTTCCTTCACATTCTCCAGTGCGCTCGCTGCCTTGTCCTTGAGGCTTGCATTCTCCTTCTCCGCGGCGCCTGTGCTTGCCACAGTGCTTGGCGGCGGCCGGTAGACAATCGAAGCTCCTCGGCCAGGGAAGAAGGTCGTGTCTGTCAATGGAAAGAAAAGATGAGAAATACGGCGCGATTGACAAAATGCAGATTTGATGCGGCAGAACGCTCACCCTCGCTCTCCTCCAAGTAATACCCCTTGGAACTTTTCTGATCTCCGCGCTGAATTCTCGGCACGTCGAGCGCCCTCATGAGTCGATCCAGCAGGCCGTGCACGATCTCAAAGTTGGCGCTCATGTTCTCGTACACGGCGACGACGTGCCTCTCGTTGCGCGCCATGCGCTCCCGATCCTTCCCCTGTGTGTCCTTGAACGCGACGTCGGATACTTCGAACACGCGCAGCGGCAGCGCGTGCTTGCGGTTCTCACGGATCGTCTTGAACACGCCCGGCAGCAGCGACGTGCGCACGACTTGGAACTCAGCCGTCTTGGGGTTCTCCAGCACGATGGCGGTCTGCCCGTCGTCCTTTTGGTTCATGTAGGCAAAATTTTCATCGTGCGAGCACTGTCACCAGGCATAGGAACCACAGCGCGAGAAGGTTGGCACAGGCCCGGACACAACACGTGAGCCTGAGCGCAAGCTTGCAAAACGGGCCCTGCTGCTGGGAACTCACCAAAATTAGGGGAAGCACCTCGATCCAGCCATTGTACGCGCACTCTCTGCGCAGAATATCGCTGAGCTTGTTAATCGGCAGCGGCTCTGCGACCGTGTTCGTGCGTGGGAACCTCGTCGGCAGGTTGTCAAAGCCGTACGCGACAGCCACGTCCTCCATCAGGTCGCACTCATGCAACACGTCCGGGCGCGTGCACGGGATCGACACATCCAGGACCTCATCCGCATCCGGCATAGAAGAAGAGGAGGGCGCCGGCGAGGAGGAGGAGAGGGACGCCTGGTGACCCATCCGTCGCAGCAGCTCGCACATTTGCGCGCCGGTCAAGTTCAACCCAGTACAACTATTGATGTAGCTCTTGTGCGCGGTCGTCTTGCGTGGTGAAAGGTCCGGAGTAATCTTTGTTGTCCCGTCCGCGTAAGTGATCTTCATCGGCTCCACGCTGTCAACACCGTGTGAGCGTCAACGAATGCTGCAGTCATTTGAGCCCATAGCAAGTCTTCCCTGAGGCACTCACGTGAAAGGCTCGGCACAGTATTCGCTGAACATAGCGACAAGGGCGTTCATGGCAAACTCCAGCCTGGTCTCATCGACCGCAGTGATTTCGATCATGACATCCTTGGTGTCCAGCGTGATCCTGCTGTGGTTGCTGTTGATGATGGGCGGGAGCGAGCAGACGACGCGGTTGGCGTCGTAAATGACCGGGTAGACGGGCGAGTCGCGGATGATGGGCAGGTAGGAGCGGAGGTGCGAGTCGGTCTCGTAGAGCGCCATAATGCCGTGTCCGTCGTACTCCTCCGTCTTGTTGAGCGGCGCGAACTTGATCTGCTCGGGCGGCAGCGCTTCGTACGTGAACGGCGCTTGGATGGTGGAGAGGTCGTGCGTGCCCATCGATACGAGTGTCCTACGCCGCGCGAGGTTCTGGTGCAGCTTGTCTTGCAGGTCGATGAAGGAAGCGTAGTTTTCGGGGGTGAATGTGACGCCGCGCAGCACGGCACCCTGCACGTACGGCCTGATGCGCTTCGTGTCTGCGGTGACACGGATCTCGAGCATCTCGCCCTTGGCGGGCGGCAGCAGCTTGAGCGTCGGCTGCTGCATCTTACCGAGGAAGACGAGCAGCGCACGCGAGATGCCCTCATGGCAGAGCAGGTCGTACCGGTTCGCGGGGATGTCGATCTTGAGCTGCGGGCGCTCGCCAGCAGCGGCATTCACTTTGTCCGTGGTGTCCTCATCGAGCTCGATGCCAAACTGTGTATGTGGTGTGGAGCACATTGTCCATCAGCGCCCGACAACAAGGAAGGAATGAAATATGCGCTGCCTTCACGCACCTGGAAGCACAGCTCATCGAACTCTTGCGTGGTGTATTCGCGGCCGAGGGCCCTGTAAAAATTCGCCTTGTCTACCGCGACGGTCGGCATGATGGCGAGGACGGGGCGACGGGCGTTTGCCTCGCTTTGCTGGAGCGCACAAAGAAGCTTGTACGAGGTGAGCGTCCGGCTTTCTTTCTTCCCATCAGCCCAGGGAAAAGATGCAGTGTGCGGGTGAGTCAGGCAAGTACCCTGGGCTGGAATCTATTTTACTGCAGCTCTGCCAGTTGTCAATCCTCGTACCGTTCCGCTCACTCTAATCTCGGCGGACGGAACTCTCGAGGCGCCACAGCGTAACCGCCAGCGCGCCAGTGATAGTTGTCCGCGAACCCTCCACCCCCATGCAAGATTCCAGAAGACTGGCTAGCACTCCCATCGAGCAGCATCCGCGAGCTGCATATGCTTTCAACGTGCTGCACCCAAGCCACACTGTCTGCGATTCGTTGCCCCTAGCTCTGCCTGTCGCCACAACTCGCGCTTTAGGAGGCTACAGCAGTCTGCACGGGATCATTGACGCGCACCAACATCACCGTCTGAACGAAGCTTGAGCGCGTCCACCAGCTGCGGGTGGCCAAGGGCAAGGCGCCTGGTTCTGCTCACTCCAGCTTGGACTTTGCACTTCGAGCCGAGATAGGCGTAAAGAACCCGGAGGGGCCCTGAACCTACGCTAAAATGGGTGACGCTTTCCTCAACCAGCCAGAATTCTTGTGAGACGGCTCGGTTCCGGAGGCATTTGTGAGATGCCGTGTCCGTCCGCTAATCATTGTCATCGCGTTTTCTTGTTGGTCGCACAGCGAGGTCAACCTCGGCGAGTCATTGGAATCTCGAACAGAGACCTTAGGTGAGTGTTGGCCGCCTTGAGTCGATCGAGATGGGTAGGATTGACGTGAGATCATTCGTGCTCTCGCCGACCGTGATTGTCTAGCCTCATTCCGCGAGCTGGGACCGCCAGATCTGTGTCATGTCATCAAGACGACGGGTAAGGCTGCATCCAAGGATGTGAGTAGCAAATTTTTCCGAGCGCCACTGTGCCCGGCTAACCAGTCTAATACTGCCGACCACAATGTGTGCACAGATCGGCTCGTATCACTACGTCTCTGGCGTGGACGCCTCCTCGTCAGCCGCGCTTGCTGCCTACATCAACTCGCTAACATACGAGCTAGACCAGAATCCAGCTTGGTTCTCCGGCAAGGGCCCCTACAAGCTCAAGTCAGGGACCTACTGCTGCTTCAACGCCTTCTCCCGCGTCGACGTCCGCGTCGAGGTGCGCATTCCCGGCAGCGTCGATGCCTACGTTGTCGACCTGCGCGGTGAACGACATCCGCCGAATGCAGAGCTATGGCAAGAGGTCTACCTCTCGGCGCTCCTTCGAAGCATACTATACGCCGATGATGTCAACTACCGCCTCGCGGGCTACCGCAAGCTCGACCCGATCGCCTCGCCAGAAGCAGAGCATAGGTTCCTGCAAGCGGCTGAGAACCTCTTCTTCAAAGGTTGGCAGCTCGGGTCCGACCCCGAGATCCAAGTCGCCACCGTCGTCAGCAACCACCTAAGTAACGGCATCTTGAAATATTTTGGAGAGGCGAATCGTTACGAGCACGCGGTCAACCTCTTCGAAAAGTTGTACGCGAGAGAGCCGGAGGTCGCAGCGCTCGTCGCTTCAGCGTACATCGGGATGCGTGAGTACTCGTTGATCTCTTCCATCGCAGACGCTCGCACGTGCTGACGGGAGTCTACAATCACATATCTTCAGACGAGGAGATGAAAGCCGTGCAGATCATGCACCACGCTATTCGGGAGAACCCTCAGTCATACGCCCTATTGCACGTACAGGCGGACTTTCTGAGGAGCAGGGGCAAACATGACTGGGCACTCCGCCTGGCCAAGCAGGCTGTTAACTGCGCGCCGTCAGAATTCACCACTTGGGCGAAGGTGACAGAGTGCTACATCGACCTGGGCGATTTCGAAAGCGTGAGTCTGCCACTGGAGCAGGAGCATATTGTGACTGGGAGCTATTCCGCCAAGCGTCGCTGAACTTGACTACTTCATTCCTACGGAGCAGGCACTCTTCACACTGAATTCGTGCCCCATGTTCACCTACAACGAACGTGACTTGCATCGCATGCCACCACCTGCACGCTCTCACCTCCCCGTCAAACAATTCATCGCCGACTCGAGCCTGCTGAACGAAGACAATGCCAAGGACAATGAAGCGGACGTCGCGCTGCTGCGTCTGCCAGCTCCGGCGCTACGGGGGACGTTCGCCAAAGCGTACACCCTCCTCACCAAGCTCGTCTCGCGCATCGGCTGGGATGAGCTGCTGAAGCGCAGGAGCGCGGTGTTCGTCATGGAGGAAGAGTACAGGCTGCAAAAGTCTGGACAGGAGCCAAGGAGCACCAATGCAGCGGAGAGCGTGCCCGGTGCTAACTCTGCCGCCGCCGCTGAGGTGCAGCCTGACATGGCGGCTTCCTCTGTCATCGACTCTGCCAACACCAACGGCACTGCGGATGGGGTAGCAGCAACAGCTACGCAAGAGGATGGTGATGCGAGGGCAGATGCTGGGCCAGAGAATGCAGAGGAGCAAGAACCAGGCGATTACTCGGAGACGGCAGACGGAGGGGATGGCGAGAAGGAAGAGACGATCCAGCTCGGGGAAAAGCTTGGTGGGCTGGGCATCAACAGCGCAACGGACGCTTCCTCCCAATCGATACCCACCATCAAGATCTCTACCGAGAGTGATCACGAACGCGAACAAGAGGCGCTGGACCAGTATATGAAGGACGAGTTGACGGAGGATGGCAGCAAGGAAAATGCTTCTGCCGGCGACGACACGGCCAACACGTCAGTCCGCGTTCAGCCGCCACCGCTCGAGAAGCCAGCGACAGCGCAAGCGAGTCACTCTCACGAGCGCACGGACAGCGCCGCTGCTGGCACCGGCACTGTTGGAGCTGGAGCTGGCGTCGTGAATGGGTCGGTGCAAGCGGATAAGCACAAAGCCGTATCCGCTGCTGTGGAGAAGGACCTCCACAGCGCTGGTGGTGTGACTGCTGCTGCTGGCGGGGGCGCGTACACTTTCAGCAACAAGCGGCTATGCGAGCGATGGCTAGATAACCTGTTCATGGTGCTGTACGAGGTGCGTATCAACTTTGGCAGTAGCCACTCCAAAACCTGGAGAAAACATTGCTGACTCGTTTCCGTGGCGCGTGGCCGGACGGCCACCCTGTGATCCCGCAGGACCTACGAGTGTACACGATCTGGCGTGCGGAGATGGCACACTACAAGGCGCAGAACATACCGTACAACAAGACGGGTATGGAATGGGAGATTCTAGGCGATCTCGCCTCAAGGCTGCAGCACAAGGAAGAGGCGACGGAAGCTTTCACTAAGTGCATCGAGACACGCTTCTCTGCGAAAGCGTACCTTAGTTTACTGGATATGTACATGGAAGCCAAAGACCTTCGACGAACACTTTGGGTGAGTTCGAGGATGGTTACAACTTCAAAGCTCGACGGCGCAAAGTGGTGGTGGTTCATTTTCTTACGCGCGATCTTTTGCACCGACAGACTGCAATCAAGCTCACGACATATCACCACCGGTGGTACATGGAGGGCTCGGTATGTTCCGATTGTCAGCCTTGGCGTATCGAATCTCGGCGATCACTGACTCTGCGGCTCTCTGTTCCCTCCCCGCACGGCAGTTCCCCGGCGCCGTTGCAAAGTCACTCTTTACACTCATCAAAACGGAAGGACTTGCGAAAGTCTCGTACACGCTGGTGTCCATGTCGCCACCACAGCCTATACTCCGTCTCAGTGAGTCCGGCGTTTGGGCTCGCAATGCTGTAGCCGGGGTTGCAACTGACGAGATCTGTGCACGCGTTCATCCGTCTTCGTCACACAGTGCAAAATGTGAGTCGGAGCGAAGACGACGCTCGAGATACTTCTTCGATGCATGCGGCTGACCTCGATCCTTTCTCCCCGTATTACTCTCTAACCAGTACTTCGCCTATGCGCAGCTCTTTCGGGTGCCAGGGCACGACTGGTGATGTATAATACGCTTACATCGTAAATGAATAACGATCCACCAGGTCACCTTCAGTGGCTTTCGCAGGTTCGCAGATCCGATGGAACCGCTCGCGAAGGATGGACCAGGTGGAGTTGTGCAACCCGGCCCAACTCCGCCTCTTTCAATCGGTGCAAACAAACCAACAGAGCCGCCTCGCCTCATAAAAAGGATGCAACACCGCGTGAGCACGAATCATGTCAAGCATTCTATGGACATTAGATTTTGAGATACAGCCATCCAGATGATACAATGAACTACTCAGAGTTCCGACCGGCGAGCAGCCCTGTGCGAGCGAGCAGAGTAGTCGCGGAGCAGCTCGAGGTTGTCGTTGTAAGAGTAGCCAACGTTGTCACGACGGCCAGCTGCGGAGGCTGGCAGAGCTGGAACGACGCGTGCGACACCACCGTGGTACTTGTCTGTGAGGCCGACGAGGCGAGGGGGCAAGGGAAAACAAATCAGTCTTGGACTCTGGGTCGATAGAGGGTATGTGTTCGTGCACACACTCACCAAGGTTGACGGTGAAATTCGCAATGTCATTGCCATGCTTGGTGTACCAAGAGTACGAACCGTTGTTGAGCTTGTCAGTGATGGATTGCAAGTCGAGCTTCAGCCAATGGCTGGTCCATTTTGCGATCCATGTGTTCTCGTGGTTGCCTCTAAACTCCTCGATGCGCTCAGAGCGCGTCTTGGTGAACTTGGGGCTTTCATGGTAGTAAAGAGAAACGTCGGTGCCTGAACACGTAAAGGCACAGACTAATTAATACTCGAGCTCAATAAGAAGCCATCATAATCATCCTTACGAACCCGAGTGTGCAGTTGTGCTCCAGCTGAACAGGCCGCAAAGGAATGATGGTCAGCTTCAACGCTCCGTGTGCACCGTGCAATTTCACAGACGTATGGCTCACCCAAGATGCGCGCGCCAATTGACCAAACTGGAAAGCCAGATGCTGAGCGATAGGCCACTGTCCTTGACTTTGGCGAGGTCAAGCGCGCGCTGGATCTCATCAGCATTGGCGTCCTCGACACCGAGACCCTTCTTGATGATCGTCTCGACCATGTACGCCCTCTGCTCATCGGCACTGGCGTTGGCTTGCTTGAGGAAATCCGCAGCGAGGTACTCGGTCGAGTGCGTGCCGCGTGCTACGACATCGGGGTACCAAAGGTACTGGCCATCCTTGTCCTCGGGGCGCTGAACCCCCAGTGTCAGGCCACCGCACTCGTGGTCCGACGTGCCGATCATGACGATCTCAGGCTCATGGTGTCCCTTGTCATTCTCGTCGACCCACTTAGAAACGGCTTCGACCATATCCTGGTAGGCAAGGATGTCCTGTCGCGTTGAAAACATGAGTCGCGCGGACGCGTCAGAAGCAGCTCACATCGAAGTCTTGTGGACGAAGCTGCTCACATGGTAATGACCGATGGGATCGTTGTTGTGGGCTGCATGGTCGATACGAGCTCCCTCGATCATGATGAAGAACGGCTTGTCCGCCTTTTTAAGCGAATTGAGCGTGGCAATGGCCATCTCCTTGAGCGACGGCTCCTTCTTTGGGTCTCGGTCAATCTTTGCGATAATAAGCGAGGAAGGACAGTGTGTGAGCTTTCAAATATGCCTGGCAAAGAAAGCTCCGCTCTGCTCCTCACCTCGTAAGACATGTGGCTCCGTGCAAAGAGGCCGAGTGTAGGGTACTTAAAGTTCTTGCCATTTTCTAGTGCCTCAAAGGCGGTGCGGTTCATCAAGACCTGCCAGCCATCCTCCTTGGCCTCGGAGATAAGGTCGCGCGTATCCTTCCGTGAGCTGCCGGTCGTCGCGTTGGAGATAAAGTAGCCCCAGCCACCACCCATGAGGATGTCGACTTGGCGACCGAGCATGTAGTTCCCAAGCTGCTGTAAAGCAATCTCTGCCTCGGCATCGCGGTCGTCGATATGTGCTGACCAGGAAGCTGGAGTGGCATGAGTCACTCGCGAAGTGGTGACCAGCGCGGTATTGTACCCTTTCGCCTTGGCACCTTCCAAGATGGTGCCGCACGGCTTCTTATCCGAATCCACGCCGATGTATGCGTTCACGCTCTTCAAGCCGCAGGAGTAGGCAGTCGCACTGGCCGCCGAGTCCTGTCAAAAAGAGAAAGGGCACATTCGTCATGGTCAGTACATCTTGTTCTTCACGCCGAACGGAATGCCTTTTGGATGATGAACACACCGTCACCAAACTAGAGCTCGCCCTAGTCCGGATCTGTCCGATGACGTATTTGTCTTGCGCAAGCTCTGCATCCCATGGCAGCTTGTTCTCGTATTGGTAAATACTGCGAGCAAAAGTCTCCGATGCTGGACCAAACCCATCGGCTACAAAGATAATGGAAGACAGCGTCTCAGTTATCAAGTCCTCCTCCATCCTTTAGAGAATCTGCATGTAGATCCGCACTCACAGATCAGCTGGATGACGCTGCGTTGCTGCTTCTTGCCGTTGACGAATGAAGACGAAGCGAGGAGCAGCAGCGCAGAAAGCTGGGCGAAGCGAGTAGCGACCATGGTGAGACGGAGTAATATAATGTACCAAGTACGTAAGCAGAATCAGTCCACCAAGCACGAATGGAAAAGGATCAAGCAGACACGGGCAGCGAGAAAGAGGGCAGGGGTGTGAGTGGGCTTGTATCGTCAGAGTTCTGGCCATTTATAAGCATGGAGCACGACGAGCCGATACGCAGTGGTGCCTATCATAATGCGGCCATCAGCTATGGCCCGCTGACTGCAGCGACAAGTGTTTCGTGTGGGATCAAAGGCGTGCGAGGATCCATGTTCTGCACGCCACTCAGCATTCAGCGGCGGAGCGCCCGAACGAAAGAGCATGTCGATATTTTCTGTGGTCCAGTCCAAAGCGAAGTCGAAGTTAAAAGTCACCAGCGCTTTCTCAATTCTTGCGAGGCGGCTGATCAACGTGGGCGCATCTTGCGACAGTAGTATTGCGCCAAATGGTTAATGCCACACTGATATCGAGCGTGAACAATGCAATGTGCATGGACCGTGGTATGTATGCAATGCTCTGCTCATATTTCCGAATCCCCCCGGCCCGCGCTACTTGCTAATCTTGCTCCGGGCGCTCAGGAGTTTTGGTAGCTGTGTCCCTGGTGAGCTGCGGTGAGGACTGCTCAGAAAGATATTCCTCGATGCGAGAGACTGAGAACGAGCGAGGATGTCGAACGAGCAGAGCATGGAGGAGTGGCGGGCGACACAACGGTCAGCGGGGTTCGTCCAGTGCGTGCAACAAAGACTCGTTTCGACCTTCGACTGCTGTTCTCCATCGCAAGGCTAGCCGCTCACACCCGATCAAGAATGTGTTCCTGGATTTGTTCGAAGTCTATCCGATCATACAGATGAATGAGGAAATTTTGACGCCTTCAATGAGGTGAGAAACACGGTCGCAAGATGCAAGCCATGCTTTTCTGCTGTAGATCGAGCCTAATGACGAACGTTTGTTGACCTTTGATGACACGCTGTTATCGTGGGGGCGCATGCACTCAAAAAAGGACGCAACGTGTCTCCTCAGCCCTCAGTCCTCACCACACGCGCTTCTCAAGTGCCTTGTCCTGACTGCGGCGAGGCACGTTCTGCGACTTGGCCGCTTGGCATTCGCAAGGCCAGGTACATTGATAAGCGCGCTTCCACATAGTCTACTACATTCAACAGCCCATGCGCCATCCTGACGCATTCCCAAATGGACGCAAGTTCATACTAGTAACCACAATTGGGCTTGGCATTGCATCCTTGCCAAAAAAAATCAAGTATTAACGGAAAAGAAAGAATGGAATACTCTCGCTCGAAATGGCATCCACGTTCCGTGTCCCGTATTCCGTATTCTGCATTGGTAGTGCGCGTCATATGTACTCCTCTCTCTTGTCGTCTGCGCTCTCAGCAACTTCATTCGCTCGCGACAATTTTGAGGAGTTTCTACCCCGGGTCATTCGACAATGTCGATGTGCAATCCGCACTCGCGGCAATGTAAACGGACGAAAAATCTCAACCCAGTTCTACGGCTTATCGTATCGCGTGCCGTGTCTCCCTGATTCCCGCGATGCCATTTGGACAACTCGTCATTGGCTCGCCGGGCTCAGGCAAGACGACCTATTGCAATGGTATGCAGCAATTCCTCACCGCTCTCAAACGTCCTGTCAGCGTCGTCAACCTGGACCCGGCCAATGATGAACTGCCGTACGACTGCGCAATTGACATACGCAAGCTCATCACCGTCGTTGATGTGATGAAGGAGCTGGACCTAGGCCCAAATGTGTGTGTGTCGGTGTCACCATCGATGTAGCCTCGCGCCATGCTCATACTGAATGAAGTGATTTGGGACTACAGGGCGCCATGCTCTACTGCATGGAATATCTCGAAGAAAACTTTGAATGGCTCGACTCGCAGCTTGACCAGCTAGGGCCAGACGCTTACGCCGTCTTTGATCTGCCTGGACAAGTCGAACTTTCCACAAATCACCCCAGCTTACGCAACATTCTAGATCGCCTGCAAAAGAAGGACTGGCGTCTGGTTGCGGTACATCTGACAGACGCATCGCATATCACAGATGCGGCGCGCTACGTCTCGCTTCTCCTCCTTTCCCTCCGAGCCATGCTGATGCTCGAGCTGCCGCACATCAACGTCCTCAGCAAGATCGACCTTCTTGCAGACCATTTTGACGATGTAGAATTTAATCTCGACTTCTATACCGAAGTGCAAGACCTGAGCTATCTGGAACATGCGCTCGAACGCTCCACGGGCTCCGTGGGTCCGCGGGCAGAGCGGTTCCGCGCTCTCAACCGCACCCTGTGCGAGATCATCGAGGACTTTTGCCTGGTTAACTTCGAAACACTCGCGGTCGAGGACAAGGACTCGATGTTCCGCCTGCTGCGCCTGATCGACAAGGCAGCAGGCTACATCTACGCTCATGGCCACGACCCGGGTGCTGAGACAGTGCCGGACCACATGGGCATCTATGAGCCGGGCAGCAGCGCCGCCACGTCCAACCTGGCTAGTGGCTCCGTCATGGCCAAACCGCCAGCACGGACTGCCGCGTCGGCCAACTCTCTCTTCACAGTTGCAGATCGGGGCACAACGATGGGCTGGGGAGGCGCGTTGGACGTGCAGGAGCGCTGGGTCGACCATAAAAACGAATGGGATGAGTGGGAAGACGAAAAGGCGAGAGAAGAGGGCAAGTTGATCGCAGAGCGAAAAATTATGCAAAGCGCAGAAAAGGTGCTTGCCAGACAGCGTGCCGGAGATGGTACCCTGCAATCGCCAAAAGGGAGTGAAGGTCGCCGCCAGATACAGGCGCAGGGCGAGATGCCAATGTTCCATGATACCTCCTGCAATACATAGCCATGCCAAGTAGCGCAAAAGAGAGTTTCATCTGCATGGAGGCCTGATTGCATAAAATTCGCGCATTTCACATCGCCTACGGTACGATGGCCAATTGGGGCGGGATTGTCGGGTCTGATGCAAGTGCAGGAGGGTTTGCTGGTATTGCTGAGAATGGCTGTTTGAGCATCGCATCGAGAGCCTCCGCCTGCTCGTTCTCCTCCATTAACGCTGCAACATCGTCGTCTATCTCAATGGGCCCTGCAGCGAGAGCGCCTGCTGGTGGATCCACGATAGCTGGTGTCCGTGACACATCTTGCGGCGAATCGCGTCTCGGTGCCGCACGCCTCCTGCTTCTTCGGACGGAAGGCGCATAGCCTTCGTCACCACCACCCCCACCACCACATCCACTATCACCAAGTGATTCTGCCATTGCAGCTTCGTCCGCTAGACCCGCCAGTTCATCGTCAATGCTCGGCAACTCTTTGGCGGTAGCAGGGGTAGGGGCAGGACCACCGGCGGGAGTAGCTGGCGCTGCAGATAAGTCAGGAGCTTTGGCGACTGCCGACGGCTTTCCTCCCATTGCAGCAAGCTGGAACATTGCTCTCCGCTTGTCTTCTGCGGATACAGCCGGGTCTGAGACAGTAGCCAGCAACTTTTCCCGTGTCGCCTGTAACGCCTTTTCAGCTTGCTCTGCGTGACGCTGGCGTGCGCTCTCTTGATCTGCCTCGCGTTCGCGCAGCTTGTCATACTCAGCAGCTTTCCGCCGCACCGCGTCGTCCGTCCGCGTGTGTTGAGCAATGAACAGCTGGAGCTGGGCCTTGAGGCGATCATTGTCACCTTGCAGACGGCGCAATTCGAGCCCGTGTATGCCCTTCAGATGCAAGACGATACCATCGTGCTGCGCTCGCAATCGGCTTGACCTCACCTTTGCCGTGTCCCGCTCTTTCGTGAGCTTGGCGTTGGCATTCTGGGTCTTGGTGATTGCCTCCTTGTTGGCCTTTGCTTCGGCTTGCAAATGCGTTAGGTCGGCTTGCAGGCCGTTTAGTTTTGCTCTAAGTGCGATGTTCTGCTTCTGCGCCTCAACTAGGTCCTCCTTGATGACATCGTCCTCTAACAGCCTATCATACTTCCGCTGCAAGATCATATGCTCCTCCATCGAGACGGGAGCGGAAGACCCAGGACGAGCCTTGCCAGTCTTAGAGTCAAGTCGATGTCCCAGAGCGTCGTACCAAGGTGAATGCCGCCAATTGCTCGAGAGCATCTGAGCGATCTGCTTGCCCATGATCTGCACTGTGAAGCTGGGCGGGCTCGTCTCGATGATGAGTCCTAGCTTGCTATGCAGCTCGTCCGGGGGTTCCAGCGAGCCTAATTCGATGAACCACGACTCCTTCTCCTTAAGCAGGGAAGAGTCTTCCAGCTGGCTGGGGGTATCGATCACAAATTCAATCACAGTCTGTTTGAAGAACACTGGCACGTGCGGACTGGCCTCGACCTGTTCTGCAACGTAATGTCTCGCGATTTTGGAGGTCGGAGAGTAGATCACATGTTGCTGGGCATTAGGTTCAGCTGCTGTTGGAGGGCCAGCGGATGGAGAACTTGAGTCTTGCACTGCGGGGGCGCTTGAATCAGGTAAACTTTGTGGCGGGGCGTACCCAGGAACTTGCAAGCCCCCTGTCGCCCTGCGCCCATCCTGTCGACTGGGTGACATATCGTCCTCCAAGCCCGAAACGCCGATCAGACGCGCCTGGCCGCCTGTGCGCATAGCCTTGAGCACATCCAGATCATCGCCAGACTCGATGCCGTCGCTGTCCATGTTCTCATCGTACGTCACCTGCGCAGGCACTTCACGCATAGGAGCAGGCACAAGCCACCGACCGACACGCGGCGCAGCCTGTGAATCCTTTCCTACAAGTGCGGCCGAGGAGGACGGCATGACGATGCCAGCCCTGTCGCGAGCTCGTTGATTGGAAGGTGTGAAATTCTCGATACGCGAGCTCTGCTGCTCCGGCGCTTGTGCGCCGACGGCCGGCCCCGCAAAAGGCAGTTCCAGGTGCTCCCATGTCGTGTCTGCTGATCTCCCCTGCGTGCTGTCCGTGTGTAAGGGCCCACCCGTCTTCGGACCGACGATTGGCTTGAAATGATCACTCCCGTGTAAGCCGCTGATCGCGCGCAGCGGTGCAGCTCCAGGTAGCTGTTTGGCGGCCCTCAGGGTGCAGATGGCGTTGGACGCAGAGCCTCTGAGCAGGGCTTGCTCGTTGTCGCAGTCGGTGACCACAATTGCTTCCTCTGGAGGTGTCAGCAGCGGAGATTCTTCTCGAAATACGACTGCAGGGTTTGTCGTCACCTCGTGTCGCCGCGCGCGTTTGGTGGGAGATAGTGCCATCCTCGTCCTCTTGGAGCGTATCGCCTGCCCAAGCTGGGAATCACTCGCTTCAACATCTTCTTCCGCAAGTCTCGCCGACCCTCTATCCTCAGCTGATAATGCTGCGATGCACCCAGGCGACTTTGTTGGCGACACGCTGGTGCCGGCTTGATGTTTTCGCTTCTGAATACCCAGGAAGGTCGGCCCAGCAACGGAGCATGAGCGACCACGGAGAAGATGCATGAAGTGCACAGCTTTATGAAACTCACGAGTGACTCACTCGCCTTGGCGCGATGACTCTCTTTCTTTTGTTGTCGCATGAAAGACATGCTTTCCCGCCGGACTTGTTCCGCTGAAGCTTCTGTTTCATCTTCTTCTCCCTGCCCACTGCTCTTGTCGACGGCATCCTTGTTGGCCCTCTCCTCCTCCTCCTCCTCTTCCTCCTGCGCTTCTTCTTCTCCTTCTTTGTACATCTGATCCCGCGCACCGTCCGCCTCGCCATCTGTCTCGGACTCTTTTTCTTTGTCTTTGATTGTCTCCACTTTCCGGCGTTTCTCATTTGCCATGCCCTTGCGCGCCGTTTGACGCGGTGGAGATGCACGATGCTGACCGGTCGTCGAACGATGAGACTGCGGCTTTGCGTGTATGCTAGTGCTCTTGCGCAGTCCCACTGGGCGCACCTCTGAATCCTCTTCTGTCTGCACGAGCGACGTACCATCTCCCTGCATCCTTCTTTCTGCACGACCGATCAGCATGCCGTTCCCACGCTTCGCGAGCGCTTGGGCCCAAGCGTCGGTATTGGATTCGTTGGTGGCAGACTGGGAGGGCGGCTCGCGGAAGCCAATTGGCATAATCTCATCCTCTAGAGCATCCTCTCCGTCGGCTTCGCTGTCGTCCTGGTCGATATTTACAATTTTTGGGCCTTCGTCCGCGCTGTCCTCGGGGCTGACAAGCACGACTTCCTTTCGTTGGTCCGAGGCCAATGTGCCGCGGCTGTAGGACCTTGCGCTCGCTCTGGCAGTGGACATGGAGCTCCTGGCCCGGGTCGACGTATCTCGGGCAGCTTGTGCGTCTGTAAGCCTGGACATGCTGGCTCTAGCACGAGTTGCAGCGGAGGCGGCCGCCGCCTCTGGCACAAAGGCTGAAGCACGGCGGGTACTCCCATTGCTGAAGGCCGAGGCGTCCAGCTGCTTCTTCATTTTCAGATAGTGATCAAGGTAGGCGCTCCTCGCTTTCGAGGCGTCATTGTAATCAGCAAGTTTGGATGGTGCTCCTGCTACTGCTACTACTGCTTCTGCCGAAGGATCCCGTCCCTGATAGTTCACTTCATTGGACGAAGCCGACGCGTCAGGTATGTTATTGAGGTAGCTCATATTTGAGCTCTCCATAGTGCTCCTCGAGCTGCCTGATGGGCGAAATGAGTAGTCTTCCGGGTTGGTCTAGGTGTAGTTTGGCACTTTGAGGCGCAGGTCAGTGGTGGAGGGCCAGCCTGTGCCGGTGACGAAGGCGTCAATGCTGCTGCTTGCTCCGAGGAGCTTGGTGGACTTGTCGCAAGTGCTGTGACCGCCGTTGGCTTGCGTGCTCCGCTATGACCCCGGCACAAAGCTCGCCCCGAGCGCGGGCAGCATAGGCAGTCAGGAAGTTCTGTGACAAGGGGGGCTGGCTGACTCCATCCGTATCCTGCGGAGGCACAGGTATGAGAATGGTCAAGCAAGCATCGTCTCATTTCTCTCGGCGTGGCTTTGACATTTTGAAGGTTGTCGACTCACGCGGCTCTCTCACATCTCACCCACGCGTGCGCGCTTACGAACAATTTGGGATGAGAGACGAGACGCTGCCACGACCATCACTATTCATCCTCACCTCGCTCTGTTGCATCCAGCATGGTCAGGGGCGGCGTTCAAAGGCACATGCATATGTGCACAGGATGGTGCAGCAGGCCTGTTGATATCAGCCGCCAACCCATGGCCCCTCGACCATGAACACCAGCTGCAGCTCATGGCCCACGTCTGCAGCACACCCTTGAAGCCTCTTCCCGCAAGACTGGCTTGGCCTCGCTTTGACGCCTGCTTCGACTGACTCTCTCATCGGCCCCCTCTCCCTAGCGCGTGCAACTGAGAGGATCTCTGCAATGTCCTTCAGCAGCGGCGGGGGCTCTGGTCTCCGTCGAGCGGCGGTGTTTGCCGCCGACGACTCTGGATCTGATGGCGAAGAGAAGCACGCAAGCTCGTCCAAACACCACCATCGTCATCATCATCATCATCATCACCGGCACCGGCACCATGAACATCGGAATGGAAGCAGCAGCAATCGTGACGGCGAGGCAATTACCGGCTTTTCCTCCTCGGGAGCAGAGCTGGCACAGAAGCATCTGCCACCCAAGGAGCCGATCGTCATCCCTGTGTTGCCCGATGTCGATTTTCGCGCCATTGCGCACCAGCGTCGGCGTGGACGCGATCTGGCGTCGGAGCTGGGCAGCTTGAACTCGATGCGCAGGGACGGTAATGGCCCGGTCGTCCCCCGAAGCGATAGCGAGCTTCATCGTACCGGTGCAAGTGGTGCCGCAAACGGATCGAATGTACATGGGCAAGCGACACGCGATCGCATCGGAGATGAAGAGCAGCACAAAGGGCTCGTCGTGCGCACAGCTGCTGGATCGCAGAAAGCAGGGTCTTCGGCACCAGGCTTTCGATCTCCAACTCCACCTTCCGCAGATGTCCGGGGAGCGACGACTCCGCCGCCCGAGTCGGCGGACGAAGCTGCGCGCCGGGCACTGCTCGCCGGCGCCAGAGGAGCTGGCGCCGGGTGCGGCGTAAATGACAGCTTGACAATCCCGATGGTGGTTGATGAAGAACAGGCGCTGCGCGACGACGTCGACGACCGGCCGGACGCGCCATCGCTCGAGACGTACACGGCAATCCCCGTCGAAGGCTTTGGCGCTGCGATGCTGCGCGGCATGGGCTGGAAGGAGGGCATGGGCGCCGGACGCAAGCGTGATGGGCCAACGGAGGCCATGCAAGTCAAGAAACGGCCACAGCTCTTGGGCCTCGGGGCGAAGGAGCGGCAGCAGGTGGCCGACCAGCGCGGGGCGACCACAAGCGGCAGCAGGAGAAAGGATGCACCGGGAAGCAGCAGGCCGACTGCACGAGGATATATGCCGCTCGTGCGCCGAGAGGCCGGAAGTGGGGACGTCATTGCCAGCGCCAGCGCGAGTCGCAGCGGGACACCCGTGCAGAGTGACGGCGACCGAAGGCCTGACTACTCGCGGCGACGGCACGAAGATGATGGAGATAGAGGGGGAAGCGGTAGCGGGTACAAGACTAGCGGCAGTGGCGACGGGCGGTACCGGTATCGCTCCCGGTCTGCTTCTCCAACGCCACCGCGCAGCCCGGCCGAAGCTGGTTCAAGGTTGCGACGGACACACGAGCAGCCCTCGGAGCGGTATCGACGAGGAAACGAGTACAAGCATTCACGCCGGCACCAGGAACCGTCTTTTAGAGATGAATACTACAGGGACAAGGACAGACAAGGGAATTACCATCATCATCCTACTTCGCGATCACGAGCAGCAGGGCGATGAGAGGTTTGTCCGGCCACAGTCGAGATAGTCGGATGGGTGGTTGGGCACGAAATGGCGCAGCAACACATACAAAACTGCCGCTAAGACGCAAAGTGCTACCAAGCTTTGCGGGTTGTATAAAACCGACTTGCATATCCTTTGTTAAACTAACCCTTACAATCAGGTCAAGTCTGCTAGTCCTTCGATGAAGAGAGAGAGAGAGATCGGAAATGCATGCTAGTAAGCAGCTGCCCAGGCTCTTGGTGCAAATATGATTACATAATTCATGCGGCCAAACCCCCGGATTTCGGGTTCCGACAAAAAGCCGATTTACCAGCCTTTCGGGTTGATTTCCCATGTACAATTTTGTGAACAAAGTCGAGTGTGCAAGAGTGTGCGCACACACGCACATTACATTTCTACTGGACAGAGAAAGGAACACTTGCAAGAGTTCTCTCGTGCGCTGTCATTCTGTCCGCTCATCGATGAATGCACACACAGCTCCACTTTCTCGCACATGCCTGTGCACAGCCAACGAAGATCAAACCCAACACACCTCCCATAACGGAACAACGCATTTAGGTCTGTCCTTCTCACTCACACAGGCTGGCACCCCTCCCCACTCTGAACAAAGGCCGATCACCGACCGGTCGCACGCTAGCCGCCATACATACTCTGTTCTGCGTCGTAGCACACGCATACATCCTCTCTGCATCACTCCATACTCCCTCATTAGCCAGCGCAACATGTCCCTGCCCACCTCGGTCGACACGCTCGTCATTGGCGCCGGCCCCACCGGCCTCGGCGCCGCAAAGCGTCTGAACCAGCTGGTCAGTGTCGCTTACCTTACTACGTTTCTCGTCTGGCTCTGGCTCTGACAATTGATTGGTGACTATCGCATTCACAACAGAACCTCGGATCCTGGGCCCTCATCGACGCCGCCGAAGAGGCGGGCGGCCTCGCTTCCACCGACGTCACAACCGAGGGCTTCCTCTTCGACGTTGGCGGACACGTCATCTTTTCCCACTACGCCTACTTTGACGACGTCATCGCCGAGGCCCTGCCGCGCAAGGAGGACTGGTACGAGCACCAGCGCGTGAGTTACGTGCGCTCCAAGAACGTCTGGGTCCCCTACCCGTACCAGAACAACGTCAGCGTCCTCCCCATTGAGGACCAGGTCAAGGCGATCGAGGGCATGATCGACGCTGCCGAGCTCCGCGTCCGCGCCAAGGAGCCGCCGGCAAACTTTGACGAGTGGATCCTGCGCATGATGGGCGAGGGCATCGCCAACCTGTTCATGCGTCCGTACAACTTCAAGGTCTGGGCCGTACCCACGACGCTGATGCAGTGCAAGTGGCTTGGCGAGCGCGTAGCTGCGCCCTCGCTCAAGCTTGTCGTGTCCAACACGCTCAACAAGAAGGTTGCCGGAAACTGGGGGCCCAACGCTACCTTCAAGTTTCCAGCCGAGGGCGGCACCGGCGGCATCTGGAAGGCCGTCGCCAAGACGCTGCCGCAGGACAAGCTGTTCTTCAAGCGCAACGTCGCCTCTGTCGACGGACCCGGGCATAGCGTCACGCTCGCAGACGGCAGCGTCATCAAGTACAAACACCTCATCTCCACCATGGGCCTCGACTTCCTCGTCGACAACCTGAAGAACGTTGACGAAAAGACGCACAAGGGCCTGAGCACCGCCGTCAAGGAGGGGCTCATCTACTCGTCCACCCACGTCATCGGCATCGGCATCCGCGGCACCCTTCCCCCGCGCATTGGCGACAAGTGCTGGCTGTACTTCCCCGAGCCCGACTCACCCTTCTACCGCGCCACCGTCTTTTCCAACTACAGCCCCAAGAACTGTCCCGAAGCCAGCGTCAAGCTTGCTACGATCCAGTACGCCGACCCGAGCAAGGGCAAGCCGTCCAGTGATGCAAAGGAGGGCCCCTACTGGTCGCTCAGTGAGTTTTCTCCTCTTTCCATCGATATGCTAGGGTGCTGACAGACCATATCTCATCCTTATGTGACTCTCAGTGATGGAAGTTTCCGAATCGCATCTCAAGCCCGTGGACATGCAGACAATCCTTGCAGAGACGATCCAGGGCTGCATCAACGCTGACCTCATCAAGCCAGAGGACGAGATCGTCTCCACCTACCACCGCAAATTCACCCCAGGCTACCCCACTCCGAGCTTGGGAAGGGATGCGGCGCTCGATGCCACGCTGCCCGTCCTCGCGGACAAGTTTGACATTCTCAGCAGGGGTCGTTTTGGGTCTTGGAAGTGCGTTGGCCCGTCTTCTGCTGCTGCTGCTTGCCCCTCTCGCGTTCGCGCTGACATATTGCCTTGCATCTAAACCAAACACTTCCTACTTGCCCATCCCAGGTACGAAGTTGGCAACCAAGACCACAGCTTCTTGCTCGGCGCTGAAGCCGCCAACCGCGCTCTGCTCGGAACCCCTGAGATCACGCTGCTCAACCCTGACTGGGTCAACGGCCGCCGCAACACAGAGATGCGCCTGAACAAGTAAGGTTACATTAGGACAACCAGTCAAGCCTGCGAGTCCATTCACTTCTGGCCGCTCTCGGATGCTTTGTTAGAAGTAACGGAGTCTAGCAATCTGCGATTGCGCGCTTGGTACATGCATTTGTCTCTCCTTTTTGTTTACTTTCGCATAATACAAAATAGAGCCTCAACGCGAACGAAACGCCTTCGAAGCCAATGGTCCTGTTGTAATACGCGCAAGAGAAGGAAAGCGGTAAAGAGGCAGGCTTTCTATGACGGAGCACCACCTTTCCGATTTGACATGTATGATGCGAGCAGGCCCGAGCCACTGCATGCGAAGCCAAGGGACAATGCGCCAAATGGGCCTATTCAAGATCCGACCACAGGATGCTTGCATGGTAATGTGTGATCAGCCCTCATTGTGCACTACGGCTCGCGGGGAAGCCTGGCCATGCAAGCCGCAGCAGCACCAGCGCGCAACAGCAGGCCTTTCGCCAGAGGCGAACATGGGGCTGCGCGACTGGTGGGATAATGGTATGATTATCGCGCACGTTTCTGAGCTTCAGCCATTGTAGAAAAGGGTGTCCTTCTGAGCCGTGAGACCACTTTGTGAGCTTGGCGCGCACGGTCTGCCAATGACACCTGCCGGGTTCTCTCCTCGGCTGGTAGAAAACGCTTCGTGGAAGGCCGAGGCAGCCGGGTGGCCTGGAGGTGGAAGTGGGCTAGCGTTTGCGTCGCTACGCCATGCACTTTCGCCAGGCCCAGGTGTCAGCCGGTGAGCATCACCAGGCCCAGGAGACCAGATGTTGCTCGATGGGCCAAGAGACGAGTGCTGAGAGCTGCCAATACCTCCAAACAGCATGTGCCCTCGCGGGAGTGCAGACGCTTGGCTGCGCAGTGCGGTAGAGTGCTCCGCCCCAGGTGGTGCCGTTGATGGCTGCTTGGGTCCGTTGAGGACTTGCAGCAGTAGATCTTGCGCTGTGGCTGGGGCTGGACCGCGACCAGCATCCTCGAATGCAGACGACGGTTGTTGCAACATCCCGGCAAGCGGATGCGCTTGTGGCTTCGCGACTTGAGGAATGAGAATATGTTCGTCCTCTTCTTCTTCTTCAGCCGTAAATCTCGACAACTCGTCCCCGCCTTCGCGGCGGTCAACCGCTTGCATGGCGAGATCCACAACGTCCTCCGTAGCCTCTGAAGCACCTTCGGACATTCCATCTGTGGTAGGTGCATCTTTTGGCTTTTCAAGCACACCCGGGAGCTGGCGTTTGCCTTTGATAACATCTGCTGGGAAAAAGAAAGCATTTTGCAGATCGTCATAGACGATCGGACTGGCACTGGACTCGGCGATGACTTTGGCGTCCACAAGCAGGTCTGAGATGCGCATGAGCTGCTCCTCGTTGGGGTGCGCCTCATTGCTTCTGACTACGCCGTACGCATCCCCCATTCCCGCATTTGCAAACGGAATCATTGCCCTTTTGATAGGGGCGAAGCCACGCATATCGAGGTCCTCTTCCAAACACAGAGAAGGAACCCCAAGCGGACCGTCTGAGCCAAGGACTGGTAACATGTCGTATGGGAACGCAAAACGGAGGCTGTTCATAAAGTCGGTGTACGAGCGCCAGAAGGCCGTCACATTTTCGATGACGCTTTGATCTGCTGCATTTTGATCCGACTTTGCTGATCCGTACACAGAATAGTTTGTTGCTCCCTGAAGAGCTTGCCGCAAATCTTCCTCGGCTTTGGCAGCCTTTTCCGTAGATCGCTGTACGTAGTCGAGATGGCTCTTGATCCACTTGTTGCAGATTCGGAGCGCCGGGAGCATGCGCCGAAAGACTGCGGTGATGTTCGTCGAAACAGCTTTCTGATTCATGGGAACAGTGCCAGCATCGCGAGCAGCTTGGACTGCCTCGTCGCACTCGGAGCGAGAAATGTCGGCCAAGACCTTGAATAAGACCAGTACGTGGCTCATTATCTGCAGTTCGACGCTAAGCCGATGCCTGCGCTCAAGCACCAATGCCGCAGGATTTGTGTTACTCGTCGCGTCAGATTTCGAGGATGCAGAGCTTTTCCATAGCCTGGCGGTCCAGGATGCAGAAAGGGCAATGACGATGAGGTGTACCACTTGGTCGGTCTGCAAAGCGCGGTCGCGAAGTAAAGCGGCCAAATTCGCGTGGACTCTTCCAGCCAGTACAAGCATGTCCTTCAAGCTGCATGAGAAAAAAGGAGAACACGAAACTTGAGTCTTACATCGGGATACAAACACATTCGAGGCATTCCGAGTGTTGCCTCACCTAGCTCTGAGGTAGAACATGGCGTGTAGTGCAACAAAGTCTGGAAGCCAAATATCTGTGGTGCGGTCACGCTTTCGGTTCGCGACGGCTTTTGCGCTTGAGGCACCATCGTTTCTCCACAACCCCAAAGCCTTTTTGAATGTACTTTCAAGATTTTGACGAGCCGAATCGAATGGCGTCTTGACGCAAAGCGCCCGGTAGTAGTGATAGACGGCACTGAAGTGATCGTGGTGATACATGGCGATCACTGCAATTTGATTGGATGGATTGCCATTATTGGGGAGTAGCGTCCGTGCTTGCTCGTAACAGGCGACTGCTCGGCTGTACTCAGCCTTCTTTAGCACCGGTCGAAGCCGTTGGCCATTGGAACCACCACGGCCACATTTGGAAACACCTTTACCCTCGCGATTAGTTTGTGGGCCTTCGGAACGACTCTGCGGCTCGTTGTACATCTCTCTGTACCTCGCAAGATCCCCGCAGCAGATGAGTGCCTTGTGCATCACATCGAGGAGTCGGTGACGGTTGCTCGGCTGCTGGGCAGCATATTTGACATCCCCTTCTACCTCTCTTGGCGCAGGGGCAACACGAGCTGACCGATCAAACGCTGCAGACGTCATATCTCCGGACGTTGTCCATGTCGCATCTGATGCGCTGACATTGTCATCGCAAGGGATGTCCAGGGCTTCGAGGCATACGCGAGCCTCTTCCAAGCCAAAGACTCGGACGACGCGGCTGGCCAACTCCTGCCAAAAGGTCTCTTCTGCAGCTAGAAATTTGCGAAAGTCCGACAGCGTCTTTGAGTACTCTGCCGCCTTTTGCTTTTTGGCAGACTTGTTAAGAGCTGGCTGAGCGGCCGCGGCATCGTTGCCATCGGCTGTGTAGGGAACTTTACCTGCGTGGATAACTTTCTTAAGATCAGAAAGCAGCGCGCGGTAGGATGCTACAAGCGGATGCGTGGTCTCAATCCATAAAAAGACGTCGATGCCGTGCGAGTCGCGGGTGAATGGATGCCCGAAGAGGAGATTCAGAAGCGTATTCCGCAGGTTCTTCCTGGCGAACTCGACCTCTCCACTACTGGGCTTTGCATGGCTCTCCTCTAAGAGCGCCTTGAGGCTAGCCTTGAGCTGTTTTGCCTCCTGTAGCAGCTGTGGCGAGCTCCGTGCCGTGCCAGAGCTGGGTGCCCGGCTGGAAGACATGAGCGCTGCTGGGCTCTGTGGCCGGGGCGTTGCCTCCAAGCCCGATGACGCGGTGAATGACTTAACACTACGAGCGCGGCCCTTCCATCTTGCCTGGCAATCCTGCGTCGACGAATGCTTCGGGACAGTTGCGACGGGCCACGTTCCACAAGGACAGAGGAGATGAACTCTTAGAAGAGTGAACTCTCCGTGTGTTTGACCATCTTCGGCGCCTGATGGAGAAAAAGTCGAGTCGATGGAGAATGGAATGTTGTGACCGAGCGGGGGGGGTGCGGAAGGGTGAATCAGACGCGCACAGTCGCTTAGTGCCTGTGTTCCATTTTTTGCTCATGAACAACCAGCTGATGCTCAACCTGCCTTTTCGCGGTGCATACTGTGAGGGCTTCTCGAGGTCATGCTACAATCATATACAAGCCTTAAGTTAGCCTCGAGCGGCGTCGACATGCGGACCGGGCAGAGCTGGACAGGAAAAAGGAGATTCGACTCCGCGCGTCTATGTGTACAACAAGTGTGCTATGCGAATGGGGATATCAAGACATTTTCGTGGTAACGGCCTGACGCATTGTCGCCGGAGGTGGGAAAAATTAGTGAATGAAATTAGAAAAGACATACCCACCCAGTCAGGCTCACCTCGAGCTCGGCTGTCTTTCCTACATTACGCCGCTTTGCTCCCTGGGACCCGCCCTCGGACTGCATATCCTGCACTCTTTTGCCACTCCCTTTGGACTTGCGGCCCGTCGACCCCGGTTTCTCGCTCACCGCTGCAGCCTCGACCTTGTGATCCCCACCGGCCTTTCTCTGCTCCTCGAGGGCTCGGTTGACCTCCCAGTAGAGGTATGCATCACGATTTGAACCGTCAAATCCCTGCTCGGCGCCCTCTTCATCGTCCTTGGCCGAGCGTGGTGGTGCAAGTGATTTGCTCAGCGGATCCAGCTCGCGCAAGCCAGACACGTCCTTGCATACAGCGGAGGCATCAGCGCGTACTTTTTTCAGGCTATCAGCTTGGAGCGACGCAAGAATTGTGGTACCAGATTTGCTTTGTAGTACGAAGTCAAAGTGGTCCTCCAGCGCGGCTGCTCGTGCGTGTTGCGCAGATGTGGTGGCAATGGCTCGATCGAGAATGTCGGCAGTCTGGCGCGCCTATCCACAAAACCAGCAAATAGAAAACGCATCAGTTGAGCTGGTTTGATCCGCACCCCTAGTAGATCTCTCTCACAGCTGCAATCTTGGCTCTTAACCGCTGCTCCTTACGGCTCAAGACTTTGTCCTGCACAATTGCAGATGTGACGCCATTGTCGTTGCGCAGATCCAAGCCGCGATGATGAGTGAGGGTGATGTGCTGCGCCTGTCGAGAGGTGACACCGAAGACATTGACCAGCGTCCAAAGCTCGACTGTGTCGTACATGTGGTCAAGCGCGTTTTCGAAAAGAGTGAGCACTTTGTGTGTGGACTACCAAAACATGAGGCAAATTATCTTCAGGAAAAAGGCTTGCACAAAGCAGTCGCAGCATCAGGTCACCTTTTCTGCTGCGATCACCTGTGGAGAGGGAAGGATATACGTCAGAAAGGGTCTTTTGTTCCTCTTGCTAAAGGGCGTCTCCTCACATATTCTGGCTCTTGTTCGGCCTCAGGAAACACGAATAATTGGATGATCAGGAATGTGTGCTTCATTGGCGGGCACTTGAGGCCTTACCTGCGTTTCATTTCTAGCCGCGACTGTACCCTCCATTGCTTGTATGAGTGACTTCTCGAAGTGCTCCGCTAGAAAGTAAAGGTGCTCATTGGCGGCATACACGAGTTTGTCGATGAACCCTTTCGGATTGAACCCGAAGTGCTCGGTCAAGAGCTCGATATGCGCGTCGATGGAAGGAGCGTCTTGGGCTTGGAATGCAGATGACATGTTTCCAGTTTTGACCACATAGGCTTTGATACCTGCTGAATGATGCTACAAGTACCTTGCCAAAATGGGAAGAGGACCTTTCAATTATGGCATCTGGTGTTTGCAGATGTGAACAAGGCAGGATGGAGGATCGCAAAGCGTATGTATAATGTGGACATGTAGCCTGTAACCTTCATGTGTTGTGGTTAGAGATAGACGCGACACGCAGAGACGCGTCTGCGAGCATGTGGGCACGGGCGCACTGTCGCACTCACAACCTTGCAACAAAAGAATTGATTCCGCCAATCACATCAGGATTGTCATATCCTCGATTGCGCGGCCTCACCACCACCACAGACTATAATCTACTCGGGTTGATAGCATACACCTCGAGCATTTTCGCACGTTAGTGCTTCGCATTAACTCTTTCCGAAGGCGCCCATCCTGTGCAGAAGACGCTGATTAAGAGGTATCGTATCACAAGCCTACCGCTCAACCGCCCTCCGACAAGAGCAACCAAAAGGTCACCGCCAAAAGTTACAGTCACGATGGAGTGCTCATTCGGCATCACCGGCAAGGGCTACACCATCATCGCCTCCGATTCGACAGCAGGCAGATCCATCATCAAGATGAAATCGGATGAAGACAAGCAAAGGCAGCTGTCTAAACATCTAGTGATGGCCTACTCAGGAGAATCGGGGGACACAGTGCAATTTGCAGAATATGTCGAGAGGAACTTGCGCTTGTACGGCATCCGGTAAGTGATACAGTATCGAGCTGGAAGAAGCCCTTATGAGCTGCCGCAGCTGACAATCGCAGATGCTCATTCGAAAACCTTTAATTAATCTTCAGTCACCACGTCGAATTGAGACCACAATCAGCGGCAGCATGGATCCGCAAGACACTTGCCGAGTCTTTGCGATCACGGAAACCGTACCAAGTCAACATGCTCTTGGCCGGCTTTGACCTGCCAACAGCTACACCGGCCCTCTACTGGATCGACTACTTGGGTACACTAGCGATCGTACCCTTTGCGGCGCACGGCTACGGTGCGCATTTTTGCCTCAGCACAATGGACAGATACCATAGCCCAGATATGAGCCTCGAGGATGGCTTGAAGTTGCTACAAAGATGCATTGGCGAACTCAAGCAACGGTTCATTGTTGATTTGGGAAAATGGAACGTTAGGGTCATCGATCACGAGGGAATACGGCAAGTAGAGCTGCAGGAGACAGACATTCCTGCGCCCGCATGATCTGGGGCATTACGCCAAGAAGAATGCACACGTATCTCACATGACTAAACATTCGAGCACAGCGTGGATGTGTAAGAGTATGTGTCATATGATCCCGGTTATTTGGTGCGGATCTTAATGGCATTGACCGCCCGGACCACTGCGAATTCGCTCCGGAAAGCCAAAGCCTTCCGCATCAGCCTTGTAGTAACCAAGAGAGGAAAAGCGTGCATCTGACCCGACACCCTTATACGAGCGTCGAACACCGTACAGCTCTGCTAGCCGTTTGTCGCGCTCAGTCAGCCTCATCTGGACATGGTCTGTCCTCTTCCGAAGCCACCAGCTCGAAAGCAGCCAAGACTTCCGTCCGAACCGCTCGGAGTGCAAGCCAAGCCCGACTCTGCGCATTTTGCGAAGGTGCCTGAGTCCGAGGGCCGCACTCAAAGAGGCTCCAGCAAACGCGATGGTGCAAGCTCCGAAGAACGCGATGGGGTCATCCTCGAGGCCACTCTTCAGGTTCATACCAAAAAGGGACGCCCACAGGGCCCCTGCAGTCGCGCCGAGGGTGGTGATCGAGATTTTCAGATCGAGGGCGAGAAGCTGATTGCGATTGCCTACAACGCAAACGACAACCCATGCAGTCTTATCAGAGCCTGCATTCTGCGGGCTTGTAGCGTGAGGCAATGACTCACTGTCAAGGATCAGCTCAACGATCTCCTGCGTGCTACCAATATTAGATTGGAGATTGTCCGTCTCAGACACAACCTCCTCGATCTGACAGCACAGCGCAAGGGATAGTGAGGCGAGGCCAAGAAAGCGTGCTCGATGTGCAACCACGGCTCACCTGTTTATCGAAACTTTCTAAAAGCAGCTCGAGCTCGTCATATTCTTGCGCTAACGAGTCAGCTGTGCGTGGCTTGGAAAGATACATCCGTGCCATGTCTTCATCTTGCTCGCTGTTGAGAAAAGTTGTGCCATGACAATGCACCCGGGATTCCTTGTCAGCACTCGAAAGACCCACACAAAAGACTTTGTAGCGCGCACAGAATTTCCGCTACCGCCCCTTTTACAGCTCGCGAGCGAGAGAAGAGACCGCTGACTTTTCGCCTATATTGCAGCAGCAAACGCAATTTTTCCCTGTCGATATCCTGATCGAACTCATCTAGGAGCGAGAAGACGAGGTGCTGTAAATTTCCAAGCTCTGAATAGAGCGCATCCAGGACCGAGGACAATATTGTCTCCAGCGCGCGAAATTCGTAAGGCAGCTTCGAATCTTGGAACGCCTCCTCGTTGCGCTGTGAGGGGTTGTCTCCTGCTGCTTTCGGCTGTACTGGCTCACCCTGACCGCCTGTCTGTGTATACGGGGCATGGCTTTGTCGGTGTGCGAGACGTAGATTGTGCTCGAGGTTGTAGACGAATGCAGAGTGCAAATGCGTGTCTGTTGACCCATAGCTGAACAACAGAAAGGGAAGTGTGAGAGTCAAAACATGGTAATTGCGGTCGTTGTTCGCAAGAAGTAGGACAGACCTGTCGAAGAGGAGGACAGTATCGCTTTTCACTAAGGCTCGAATGTGCAGCATATTGACGAGAAATGCCCCACGTCTAGCGAGAATGGTGGGGACGAGGTTTGGAACGCGAGAGTCGATCTTTCTTAGGTCTCGAAGTTCGAGGCCGTTGTTCTGCGCCAGCTCTTGTCGGCTGAAAGTGCCTGATACGACACGTGGTGATCCTGCTTCATCAAAAATGGTGCATCGAAGTAGCAGCGAGGATGGTAGCGATCCTTTTGTGGCGGATTGATGGACATCTCTTAATCCACGAGCGCGGGTGGCAGGCCGCATTGGTGCCACGCTCTGGCAATTGGAGTCAGATAGGATCAGATGAGTGTGGAAGGATGGAACCCGATGTGAACGCCAGCTGCGAGTTCCTTGGTGAGCAAAACTTGGGGCGGACAAGTGGAGCCTACGGCTGCGCGTGACGTGCAACGACGCGCTCGCCAGGCATATATCACTCCAGACCGTCGTCCACAGTGAACACTGCTGTATTGGTTTTCGGAGGCGGTAGGCGTACGACATGACGTTCAGAAAAAAAGAAGGTCAAGGGTAGAATTGAGAGCAGAGAGCAAAATAGCCGCCTGTCCTTGTTTCGGGCTTACGCCTTTCGTGATATTTGATGTGCTTGGTTTTTGAACTGAGCAGTTCAAGGCTTTTGACCAGTATCTATCGTCCAGTCGGGATCCAGCGTGCAACAGGTGTGCGTAGTCCCTGTTGCACCTCATCAGCGACTTCTGCATACGTGGCTCACCCAACTATATACAAAACGACGGGGTCTATACATGTTGTAGCTTGTGCACCAATGCGGTCACGAGGTGGTGATGGAGAGAGGTATTGCTCACACGGCACATTATGAATACCACACGTTGAGAACTTGTTTTGATTCGGTGCAAAGCATGAGGCTCGTCTCGCAGCGCACAGCATGAGGATATGAGGATGGATACATTGATAGAGTTGCGTCGCATCTTCATTGCACGCATTTTATTAACAGATTGCCGCCTGATCGCTTGATCATTACTTGCATTTGTCATTCTTGTTATGTAATGCTCTAGTTGCCGATAGTTGCAGACTCGGTGTAGGCTGCTCGTAGCTCTGAGCTCGTGTCACGAAACGCATTCCAAGCGAGCAATATTCAGCGCTCTTTCAAAGTCGATGCTTGCCTCCCCAAACCAAGGTACCAGCCCCTCAAACCCGAATGGCATGCTCCACGTGCCCTCACCACCGCGATCATCGCTCTCCAATTTCAACCGCGCCACCAGCACGTATGCTGTGCTGTTAAAAGCTTGAGCAAAGGCAAAGACATTGACCGTGCAGATTGGATGTGGGACGCTCGTGAATGACCTCCATCTTCCCATGCAGTCGAGTCAGAAACGCCTTCCTGCATATTGACAGCACAAGGCTGGTCGTCGCTTCCTGATAACAGGCAACTCAACATGTGTGCATCGTCGACCTCCGCTTTTGACTACGAAGATCGGTGCAAACGCATCCTTGTGCTTGCGCCCTTCAAATGTAAAGGGGCCGGCGACAGTCAAGAGGTAGCAAGAGCGAGGCGGGCAGCCATTCATCAAGCGCGAGCTGTCATATCAAGTGAGCAAGAGGCTCCTCTCCAGGGCCTGTTTGAAGGCCGCCATACTGACACGACTTGTCTGGATACTTCAACACAGTCATCTCGCAGGGTGATGATTGCGAAGGCGTTCGGCCTGCTACTACTCAACATGCGCTCAATCATGACAATGAGGAGGGTTCCGCCAGGTTCGAAGTCTCAATGCAAAGCTCAGATCAAGAAGAGAATACCCACCCCGTAGGCTGGGTCATCGATAACAAGTACTACACTGCTTGCGTTCATTTTCTCGTCCAGCCGTTGCAGTTGCCGCCGCATATCTCGCGACGCTCACGAATGTCATCCATAGAATTCTCGCTTGGGACAACACATCTCCAGGAAGCGGTGCAGGATGTCAAGGCAATCTTGGTGTGCCTTGCCGGTCTGAACGATGTGAGCCTTCCCTGCTTGCGACCGGCTATCCACTTTGAAAGCCTAATGTTCCAGCTTATCCCTTTTCGTGGACGTTGGTTGCATGTCCCAGCCAAAAGATCAAGAACAGCTATCTGAAATCCTCGACAAATCCACGGATACGGAAGAGCTTGAGGTAGCGATGGTGCTATCGTCTGGGTCAAGTCACCATCTAGTGGTGCAAATAGCCGGAGAAGAGCGGGCCAATGCGATCGCAAGCACGAATATGAGTAACAAGCAATGGTGCTCTGAGGATCTGTTCTCCACAGGAGGGTGGGAATTTGTGGACCTATTCCCAGGTGCCGACGGGATATTCTCGGACGAACACCTTCGGGATCACGATGGAGACGGCGATGGCTACGCCGACTCAGCTAGTGGACGTAGTCAAGAGGACGGCGTGGAACGGGTCAGACACGCTCTCATGTCACACATGTGGCCAGGTCTTCAGAGGAAGCTTCCGATTCGTCAGACGAAAGATCTTCGCCCACCCCCCCCTTCGTCTGCACTGTCTCACGACACGGCTGGCTTCTCATCCACTGCGGCACCGCGTTTTCTTGCAGATGAAGGTATGGAAGGGTGTAGTGTTGGTTCCGTATCCGCGTCGGAATTACCAGACGATGTCGATTTGCTGCTCCAAGGTCTTCCCGATGGATCGATGGGAACGGGGATGCCCCACGCTGAACCCACAGCAGAAGACGAGGCCCTAGCTTCTGCATTTCTAGAGCAGATCAGATCTTTTGAGAGCAGCACCTTGGCAGATGGTGTTCAGCATGACGCCGCATCGACAGCACAACGCCTTCTCGACGCACAACGCAATCTGGAGCGCTTTCTCGAACAAGAAGACGCTAATTGGTCCGGCACAGCATCGGCGACATCTAGAAGGGCGCCCGATACCACCTTTGGGCCGTCTGCTTTCGATGATGACTTTGCTGAATTTGTCAGCACGTCTGTGCCATCCTCAACGGACGAAGCGTCATTCGAGTTTGACATGGGGCGCGGACTCGACCTAGTGACACTCGAGGCGCTTCAGGGTGAGGCACAGCGCGTCCGTACTATCGGCGATGAAGAGACCCGAGAGGTTGAGGCGGCACGCCTAGCACTAGCTCTTGCGTCGCTGCTTACTGGCTAGCGCTGAGCGCTCTTTTGTACACGTCCGTGTTCGTCACGTTGGAGAGCCATCCTTAGCACCAACCTGTCTGCATGCTTGAGTCAAGAAACTGAGAAGGAAAAGCATAAGTGTGCGATGTCACAAAAGATAGGGTGATCAAGAGACACATAGGGTGGAATTAGACAATGCGATGTGAAGCTATATAAACACAGCGAAAATGGCGCTTTGATTCAGGTGGCGGCCACCACTTGAGAGAGCCCGAAGTAATCTTCCATTTTGGGTCCCAGAAACGATCGCGATCGCGGCATGCCTTGTACGGGTACAAAAGCGCTAGCAGCATGATACCCAGGTGCCGATTTGTAATGGCTCAAGCTTGGGCGGCGTCCAGCGAGCCGAAAAGATGCGGACAATGCACTCTCAGGGTCGACAGAGAGCTCCGCAAGTGAACGCAGCGCATGTTGGTAGGTCTCGCCAGACGTGTTGAAGCATGACATGACGCGGTGGAAAGGATCCCGCGTAAGATCGCTTTTGGAAAGTTGGGATGAGGCGAATTCGGCAAATCTGTTTTGAGTGAACGATTTGAGCTTGAGAATATAGTTTGACCAATTTTGAGGCGAAGGGGAAAGGTCATAGTTGCAAATGCGCAAGTAAAACCTCTCAATGCTATTGAGTTCAGAAAGCGGAATTCCAGTGACCTCATGCCAAGTTTTGTTAAGAAAGGTGTTGTCGTCTAGGTGCTCTAATGATTGAAGAACATACCATATATCAGGAAAATAGCTTGTGGATCAATACTCAAGCGCACACTTACTATTTGCGATCATCAAGCCGAGGGTGAAAAGCTTGAATGGAGATGACGACGTCGGTGACAAAAAAAAATGCGAGTATTCGTCGTGAAGTCGATAGCTGTCAGCAGCGAGCAAGGTCGGTATGCGCAGGATGTAGTACAGAGCAAGAAAAAGTGTCGTTGGCGAAACAAGTGTTTGAGACAGCACCTGAGAAACAAAATGATGCAGGATCTTGAGCGCCTGAGGTTGTTGAGCGATGAATGGATCCGAACAGGTAGCTTCCGACAGGATGGTTGGCCGGCCATCGAGCTTCAGGGAAGGAAGGCATTTGCTTGAGCGTTGCGCAGAGGGGGGGAAAGTTGCGAGTTGCAACGCTTCGCGCACCCCTGATGAAGTTGCTGTCGTCTGATGGTACGAGGGAATCGGGCTTGACGACGGCTGGTAGCCTTTGTCATTGACAGAGAATCCGGCGTCAAGCGAGCCGCATTTGAGACAGTCGGAGAGAGCGACAACGACCCCAGATGCCAAGTTGACAAGTTGGACAGCTGATCGATGAAAGCTACGAGGTGAAGGCGGCGACTGGTCGTTTGTCTGTTTGGAGCGACGTTGATTTTCATACTGGCCAGTGTGCTCGTACGAAGGTTCGCGCTGATATTGATGAGAATGATAGCTCTGAAGCGACATGGTATCTTCACCCACGACACTGCATTGCTGCTGATACGACAGTGCATAAAGCTGAATGTTCATTCCATGCCTATTATCCGGACGCGGAGGTTGCCAAGTCCGTGCAGATGGCTGGTAAGCACGGCCTACTCCCCCTGGTTGGACTGCTCCAGCCCAACGCCTGTCGATGTCCGAATGCATTGGCCCCGGATCCCATCTGGCAGGCGCAAGTACAGCTGCTTGATTTGTTTGCTCGTTAGGCGCGACCTTGGCTAAGCGATGAGCAAGGAGAAGTTCCTGCTCCACATGGTGATGGTGCTGCGCGAAGGACGGGATGTGGCCCCCAGGTGAGGGATTGGCCGGCACAAAGCCCCATGGGCCGACTGTACCAGGGAGCGACGATGGAAGCCAAACAGCACGCTCAGAAGCTGAGCGAGCTGCAGCGGCAGTGAGCTTCGGCGCTGGAGGTGGTGCGAACACGCTTGAGGGGTAATAGCACAAGGGCGCCGACACGGGGATCGTGTGATGAACAGGTGGAGCACCTACTGTGCACGCTTGTTGGCTGAAATCGGAAGGCACAGTCGAGGGTACGAAGCTTGGCGCGCCATAGAAGGCCGCATGAGCTTGATAAGAGTCCATCTTTAGAGGATGTCGCCTTTCATGAACCAGGGAGCTGCACAATTAAGGCGTCTCTGGTCCAAAAAGGCAGTAAGGAGTCACGACGGGGACAAAGAAGGAGACCAACGAGCGCGGTCCTCCTCGTTCCCAACGTCGCGACTCATGCACTTGCGCAAGGCACTGAGCGAGCAGCACCAGTGCCGTGGGCAGGGCTGATGCGGACTGTGCCGAAGAATGTCTGCTGAGCAGCCCCGAGCAGCAGATGATCTGATGCAACAGCACGACAGCTTCAGAAGGGAATGTCCCAAAGACTGAGGATGCTCGCTTCTGTTGATACAGCGTAGTCTGCGGGTGGGGCGTACAGCGGAGAGGGAGCGATGGCCTGAGAATGGGGTGATAAACCGGCCAAGCCGCGAAGCCCCTCTTTTCGCCTGCACCGTCCGTGCGCTCCAGGCGGACAGCGTGCAGGTTGCCCTCGGAAATACAAGGCCTTCAGGCTCTGACGAGCGAGACGACCTGTGTGCAGACCTAGAGGAGGGCACACAAAGCGGGCCAGAGTGGTTCGAACGTCCAAAGTCGCGGGTGCGATGCGACTTTTCGAACCACGCCTCCTCGACCCCTCCTTCCGGCAGCTTCCGATCCCTACCCGGCTCGGAAGGCTGCTGGAGACCTGCTCGGCTTTGCCGATGCTCTGCTCGACGCTGTCAAGACAGAATCTTCGAGCACGGATCCGCTGAGCGAGGTTGACGGCCTTGGTGGGAGCTGGCGAGAGGAGAACCGCCAGGCAAAGAGAAGAAAACAGAGAAGAGAGTTTAGGCAGACTGCAGCAGCCAGAGGCTCTGGACGCCAGCACGTAACTGTGGAGAGGACTCTCCTGAATCGAATCCAGTGGCAAATTCCCTCAATCTCCACATAGTTTGCCCCGAAAATCGAAATAGGTGCGGATGCCAGCTCGCGGCATGAAACAGGCATCTCGCCTCTCTCATTAGTTCCTGCGCAGCTGCGCCCACCACGGGGTAACGCAGCAGTCAAATCGAGTGTAGAGTGTTCCCTTGCACTTCACCAAACTGGGAGAAGAGAGGATTCACGTTTGACGGCTCATCACGGTCACCTACAGAGGTTGAAACCCATGCTTTCACACCCACCGCTATATATCAATTCCGGATTTATGGTAGAGCCGCCACCAAGTATTGCAAAATGGGCAGGCATCACAAGCACAGCATATCCAACAAAGCCAGGACATGTTTGATTTCCTTCACGAGGTGTTGGCTCTCGCGGCGTCAGGCGGTGCATCGCCGAATGTCTCATTAGGGCTGAAGCAATCCCAGGCTCTTGCCAACGGTCGAGTGTTCAGCGTTCAGCATATCAGTATCCAGCGTTCAGCGCTCAGGCCCACGAGGCACAGACCTGCTCAGACACGCCCTGATATCTGTCGCGACAGGTCGGGAGCCGTGAATTGCCTACATGAGGGCATGATGCATGATATATACATGTACGACAAAAGCCCAGAACGATGTACGTGCACACCATCCGCAAGGCGTAAGGCGCACAGTATTCAACTTCTACGAAGGAAAGCACCATTCGAAGTCCGGCCACACACGGTCAAGGAACCTATCAGTGTATGACCAGGTGTGAATGTGACCTCATGTGCGACCCAACTCGGCCTCCACCAGCCACGTCTCTCAGCAGACCCGCTACTGCCGGCATGCTGGAACATGTGCACTGCGACTGTGCGACGTACGAGTTACGGCCAATGTACGCGCTCCCGTGTATAGTATCAGCAGGTATCAGTGTGTTCCCCTCTTTGGTCGACGTCATGTCACCTACCAGATCTGGCAAGGCTCCGATTCTCGAACGCAGTGTCGCATTTGTGCTGCTCTGATGCTGCGTTCCAGTGTCACAGGCTCACCGTATAGCTAGGTACGCTGACTTTCGACCTGCAAACAGGTCAAAGTGGCGACATTCTTAGCCGGACTTACATCTTTCGTTGTTGAATCCTGCCATCCATACAGCATTCGCCTGACTAACCCTCTCCTAGACGGAAGTGTTGTCGAAGACGAGGTGCCTTCTGACACGATCCTACTTAGGTTTTTATCCCCCTTGGAGAGGGGTTGGAGCCCAAGTCTCGGGAAGACTTTCAATTCGTGCTGGACACAAATTGGGACGTCAAAGCTGGCAGTCTAACATTTATCCTGCAGGCAGGAACAAGCAACAATGCAGCATTTACGTGCGGGTCCATTGCTGCTTAGCGCTCCGATATTTGCACTCGTTTTGTGGATCTCTCTCGCTTCCGCCCATGTCTTTGCCCTCCCGCCTGACGTGCTAGCATTTCGCCGCGACTGGCATGATGCTCTGCAGCCGTCAGCACGTGGTGCAGATGATCCCATCGACTTGTCGGCCGATTCGACGGGAAATGTTCGACGCCTTTTGCAGCTAGGCCTGCCATCCGCGCCGAGCGTGCAAAGCATGCCCTCCAACAATCCAAACTACAATGTACCACAGGTACGTCGTGATCTGCTCAACGTCATGGCATGGGCGGGCGATACGGGTGCTTTGCAAGGAGATGAGCTTGACGAAACCGTGGCCGCCATCATGTCTGCCGCTGCACGCTACTTTCCCGAGGTGCCGACTAGAGCCATGTGCCGCACGCTCATCGCAGACATCAAGACAGAGAGTGATTTCAACACTTCACTCATCTCCGGTGGCCGCCTCGACTCAGGAAGCTCTTGGGGCCTGCTTCAAGTCAGCCCTGGCGGAGGCTCGCAGGAACTCAAGTTGTTCAAGCAGCACGCACAAGTCGCGCGCAATACATTCTCATGGGCACCCACTGCGAGCTCGTTGGGTCCGCTCATCGATTGGCAAAGTGGGGAGCAAGTGGATCTCGATTCATTGACCAATGATGACCTTTTTCGGCCATGGATCAACATCCATGTTGCCGCCTGGATCCAGTCCAACAGTGCTCGCACTTCTAGCCAGGATCCTGCAGATTGGCCCAATATTGCCTTTGCTGCAGCGAACGTGCGCAAGCAGGCACAAGTCGGTGCGAACCCCGGCACAGATCAGACTGCTAGTCAGCTGGCTTCTGCTCGTCAGCAATTGAAGAGCCAATTGCAAGGAGCTGGTCTCCCAAGATCCGTCCGAACAGGACTCGGAACCTGGGTTGCTGGAGCCGCAACCGACGGATATGGGTCGTACATGCAAGCAGGCGATGACATCAGCCGGCAGTACATTTCTACGATCGCTAAGGCAGTCAGCCATCTTTACGGCTACACAGTTTCAACTGCTTGGTTCAACGGCCTTCAAGTGAACGCAGGCCTGGTGGATTACCAGTAGCGGTTGCATCGCCCCCCTGGGTGCAGTCGGAGAGTGAGGCTCCGTATTGCAGCTTGACGCGTTCGTTTCAACCTGAATGTAGCAATCAAGGTGCTATTTTGGGGTCCTTTGTACAAAAATAGTGGACGAGTCTGAGCCTACGCAGGACAATCGCGGGAGCAGTGATAGATCACATATCACACCACAGTACTCACATGCAGTACTGCAAGCACAAACTCTGTGCCTATCGAGAGTTTGAGCGCCATATCCACTCATTTTTAACAATGGTCACAGTGTCTTCGTTAGTGCAGCGATGCTCCGTACTCACTTGGTACTATTAAAACCTCACTTCGGTCGCTGCGTAAGCGTATGAAAGACATTGTGCTATCTTGGACCTGTGGGACCGAAGGGTTCAGCTGCGCGCGTCCAGAATTTCCCAGGCAATAGGCGTTTGTTTTTAAGGCAGTCGACCGGGCATCGACAGTTGGGCACCCACATTTTCGATCTCGCCCATCCTCGCATTGAGATCTGAGACAGATGTCTTCACCAGCCTGACGACTGCCCGCATTTTCGATTCGCCGGTTGTGCCCTCGAACTCTTGCCCGCCGGACCGAATTACCGCATATTTTGCGTCTTCTCGGCTGGGCCGACTTACGACTACGAATCCTACCACATTACGATATGCTGTCAACTTCGCAATCGCGATATCGATATCTGTAGGGCTGGAACTCGCTGGTGGATTTGCAACGGTCGGCATCGAGCCGGGTTGCAACACTTGACGGAAGTCGTGTAGATCTCCCGCGGCTGGGAAGGCCCAAGACGCCCGACGCGACACAATCCACTGAGTACAGTGTGTCTTGAAAGATGCCGCTTGAGCGCCAGTGTGCTGTCTCTCCTCAAATCCGAGCGCGATCCGAAGGAATGCGTTGATGGGGCGGTATGGGTCGTTGCCAAGCACACCGTCGGTCTGGACATGGACGATTGCAAGCGTATGAGTGATGAAAGTTGAATGAGTTGAGACCTTCTGGTGCGCACAAACGAAAAGTACGTACATAAACAATCTAACATCAGAGCCCCATCACCTCAGGATTTTCGTGCTTCATAGTTCTGAAACCTCATGCCCTTATCATATCCTTCATGCTTCAAAGCGCTATCTCTTTCCGAGCGTGACACATGGCAATATGTCGCGACTGAGACACACGCTTCCGCGACCAGTGCTCTCTTCATCCATGTCTTATGACTTGTGCATGCTGACTAAACCGACTCATCAAACATCCAATGTCATCATTTGACATTACACATTGGTCTCGCTCAAGAGGGTATATGCAAGTAACAAGGTGACGAGTGCATAGCCCGTTCGCAAATTGGGTAGACCACATTTGGTTAGTAAAGGGTGAGAGTGAAGCCGGGGTGGCCATGACCTGTCACTTTCGCACTGTCCATTCCGAAGGCACGTGGAGGTTCGAGCGAATCCAGCCTATTGCTCGGAGGTCCTCGTCGTGGCCTGACTGCATCGCTAATGTGATTGACATTGATGATGTCCCAAATAAATGGCAAGATGTCAGGCAGCTTCAAAAGATCTCGACAGCTCTTCTATTCCTTCCACTTTACGGATGAACCGCTGTAGCACAAAGGATTGCTCTCTGAATGGCACTGGACTGTGGCCGACTTAAGGAGGTCCGAGATGTGGAAGTCCGCGATGCCAATAGAATGTGTGAAAGCCTCGTCATGGATGCTCGCAGTGCAGGGGTGAAGAGGTCTGCCGGATAATCTGCGCTGGTGACGTCATTTATCATGATTTGCTCCTGCTCCAACCCTTGTCAACTGATCGCCAAGCTGCTCGGGAAACGGGACAATGTTGTCGTAACATGAGTTGAGTTCCACGTGGATGGCGAGGCGATAGTCGGAGTTCAACATTTCTACTCCTTGTGCTTTGAACTTGTTATAGGTCGTTGCGATGCGGGCGAGGTCCTCCTGCATGCCTTCCGCAGAGCTCTTCTTGACTGTCCAAAGTCTCTCCTGAGGATGAGGAGGGCAACTCTCTTCTTTGGCTGATACTTGGCTTCCAGGGTGCAACACAGCTCCTTGGCCGTCTTAACCATGCGGCTCAAACCAGTGATCTTGCCGTCAATGACAAGCGCCAGCGTCGTCAAGGCCCCATCCGTTCTGCGCTCGCATTCAGCGCTGGTGCCGTCGTCGTTCCGGGGCATTCTGATCGTGACGGTCACCTAGCCACACATGCCGCACTTGATCATCAGCATCCCGCCGTTCAAAGCCTACATGTCCAAGTTGCTGCCATGCAGATTCTCGATGCTGACCGTGGCTCCCCGTCGAGGTCACACTTGGTGACATCTTGGTCTTGTGCGTCACATCTCTTGAGTGTTCAAGCCACACTTGGGCTTTGGGCTCATAATATATTTAAGGAATGGCTCATTACGACCGAGATAAGATGCTCTGACCTCTTATGCTCTCTACGCTACACGAACTCTGGGTGCTGCATGCAACTCTTTATGCATTCACAGAATGCTGACTATAAGGAACAGCCACTGCAGCTTGGCCCTTGCTCTCGACCCTTCCACCACGTACGATGGTATTCCGTGGGCTGTGCTGCTTCGACGTGCTTCGCTCCATTGGCTCGGGTGTCCGCACTTCAGCTGTTCCTGCGTCTCATGCTTACCCTTAGCCACTGGTTTAATCGTGCCGCTATTGGGTAGCGGAAACGGCATGATGACTATAAGATCAGGCTTGCACAGTCGCATACGCCCTCTCCCTGTAATGTAGGGAATTACCACCGCAACGCAGAACATGTCGGCCTATGCAGGTTGTGCAAGATATGGATGGTGAGCTGTGGCACCTACGCCTCGGTCACGCAGGGCATGACTTGCACAACGCGACATGCAAGGCAAAGGGTTTACCCGTTATCAAAGGTGACCACGCAAGTGAAGCAGTGCGCTCAGAATAGCGGCCCACGCCCCATACCGAACGGCAAGTGAAGAAAGCAGAGCACGGCATGTGCTTGAAGGGTATACATCGACACGTCTAGACCTATTGCCATTGGGAGCATAGCTGGCGTGCTCTACTTCTTAACCTTCACAGATAAAAGCTCGAGCAAGGCTTGGGTTGACACACTGACAGTTCGCAAGAATATTGCTAACGTCGTTGACAACTGGATCCGCTAAATAAAGGAGAAGGGCAAGGGGATGGTCAAGTTCCTTCACTCAAATAACAGTAGCAAGTATGACGACATGTGGGTGTAGCACCTCCTCTGACGACAGCGTCTGGTACGAAAGGTCGGCCCATGTACGGCTCAACAGAACGGGCACCGAACTCCTCAATCTGGCTCTCGTGAACATGATCCTAGCATGGATGAGTGAGTTGAAGCTAGAAAAAGCACTCTTGAGTGAGTTAGTCTCAGCAGCAGCCTACACATACAATCATCACTGCGCCCACATCGCACATCGCATTGGTCGCACGACATTCCAGATTCCAGCAGAAGCGCACCATGATTGCAAGGCATCGATCGACCTCCTTCACGCAATAGGCGTTTCGGCCTACTTCGTGCGCGATGGAGGCTGCAAGGCATTAAATCAGATCAACGCATAGTGAAGGGCGTTTTTGTCGGGTACGACAGTGCTACGACGTACCTTGTCTGGATCCCCAGCCTCAAGCAGCTCATTCGGTTTCGATACATCAGGGTGATCGAGACACCCGACAGACCTGCCGCACGCTGACAAGGAAGAGCATCAAACCGGTAGCTGCGAGATCACTATCATTGGGGCTTCGAAGCAGCCACGCTGGAGTATGCGTCAGGCTTGCCTGGCGAGAAAGAGGAACAGCGACCGGCGTAGCAGGAGGCACCAATGCAAGAAGTTGAAGAAGAGCTATTCTTACAAACGCACCAAGAACCAACTTGAGAAAAGTCGACTCATGCAAACAAGCTACCAGGAAAATTTAGGCGCGTAGCGTCATCCTACTCATCAGCCACCATTTCCTCCGATCCAGCAGAGACTTGCACATACACGGAGGCCCTTGGAAGTAACGATAGTGACAAGTGGAGCTCCGTAATCAAATGCAAACTCGACAGCCTCAAGAACAGTGAATGATGGGTTGAGGCAAACTCCCATCGCAGAAACGAGCCGTGGGTGCGAAGTCGGGATTTAAGGTCAAACATGATCGTTACGGTAATGCCCCAACGGAATAAACCGGGGACTAGTCGCCAGGGATTTCTCGCAGATCGAGGGGGAGGAATACCATGAGCTGTATGTGGCTGTCTCCTGACTGACCACCCTCAGCACAGTAATCGCTTTGGCTGTCATGAACAATTGGCATCCCCATCATCGAAATGTCGAAACCTCCAAGCACTACAGGGAGTGCGTGGAAGACGCCTACTTTGAATCACCTGGTGGAGTGCATTGCTTGGACAGCAAGCATTTGCGTTTCTGCCAGAGTATTTACGGCGGACGGCAAGTAGGTCGGAACTGACACAGTAGGCTTGACACGACCTTTCGGCCGATCGGCGAAACCAATGGCGAAGGCAACAATGCCTATCGGCTTTAGTTGACGGCCTTGTCATCGCAACCCCAGCATTAGGGGGGACGGCCCTTCGACCTCGAGGCCTGCTGTTCAAGGTCTTCCACATCAAGGACCTTGGGTCGCTTCATTCCTGCCTTGGCTGACGGATCCATCGTAACGCGCACAAAAGCAGCATCTTCGTAGACCAGGCGGCCTAAGCAAAGTCGATACTTCAAAGGGTCGACATGGTAGAGTGCAAGGCTATCGCAACTCCCGCCTCGAACGCGCATTGGGGCGTGGATGCTACTGAGAAGATTGAGACTAAGCATTTTTACCCCGCAGCCATTGGATCGTTGCTCTATCTCGTACTTGAGACACGGCCTGACCTGGCTCGATCTCCAGGGCTGGGCAGGACAGCACGGAGCCGACGGCAGCAGCTTGGCAGGATGCCAAGAGGATCATGCGGTACCCTTGAGGAATCTGCAAACCTCGGGATTGAGTACAAGCGCGCCAGCAGTACGATCTTAGTCGGCTTCTGTGGTTCAGACTGGGTAAGCGGCAACGACAGGAAGACTGTGAAGGACTGCGTGTTCTGCATCCCATTGGACGTCATCAGCTGGTTGTCATGGAATCAGTGCAAGGCTGCGCTTTCTTCACAGGAGGCAGAGCTGACGGCAGCAAGCGAGGCAGCTTGGCTGCAGAAGGTTCTTCAGGATCCGCGTATTCCAATGAGCATGGCTATCAAAAGCATGCAAGAAGCAAGTAATATGACGCCGAGCTCAAGTATTCACAAGAAGCATAAGAGAGCAGTCAAGTTCGAGAGGTTCGACAGCAATGCCAATGTCGCCGACTCACTTACCAAGCTGCTGCAGAGTAAGCAATTGGAAATGCATCACCCGACAGTCAGTATCGTCGACTACGCGAGACAACCGCTGGCCGCCGAGGAGGAGTGTCGCAGGACCCGCGGTAGCACAGATGCTTCTAGCCAACGGAGCGAAGCAGAACAACCCAAAGAGTCCTGTGGATAGTCATGGAAGATCCGAGAGCAAGGAACGAGCTACAGTGGCTGCCCATGAAGTCAACACGTTGTAGATACATAAAGAGCATAACAACGCGCTCAGAGTTTCGTGTAGCGTAGAGAACAACAAGAGGTCAGATCATCTTCCCTTGATAGTAATGAGCCAAGGCTTCAATGCAGGTATGTATCATGTCGATCAGCGTAGAGTCCGAATAATAGACACGGAACGCAACGTGTTGAGAAGTGGTTTCATTGCGCCATCTCCTGTCAAAATTTGGATTTCCTCTCAGCACTTACAACTCATACTTCTTTGCATACGAGTATGTAGGTATTCACTTCACGAAAAATGGTCAAATGGATGATACAGTCCTACCGACTCTGATATCTTACTCCCGGCCGTCCTGTTCTCAGGCACAGCCCGGAATGCTATGCACAAATAAGCACATAATGCTCAGACACCACTATGTCAGGGAGGTCGTGCAACGAGGAGAGTTCGGCACCAGAGCCATCGGAGCCTCAGCAGTTAGAGCCATATTCTACAGGGCCTTGCAGCATCAGATCAGATACAGTCAGAACCTGTTTTATCCCAACAGTCAACACTTTTATTCGAACAACCAGCTCCCACACCCACACAATCTTCAACTCCTTTGTGGGATCGAGGAGCTAATGTTGCTGACCTTGTCGAGTCAAGCATATGAAGTAAAGCAGCACCGTGATATTTCCCTTACTTCGCCTATAAGACAGACACCTAGGTTCCATCCTTGATAACTAAAACGGATGCGCTCTTAATGGTATGTCTCATCCGACATTCCAGATCCGGCCAGCTTGTTTGAGACCATACACCTTGCAAGTTGGTATGCCTTTCCACGTTTGCCTGACGCTTTGCCCTCAAAGCCTAGTGCAACATACAAACTTTGAGGCGAAATGCTTCATGCAGAGCGCATTCACAACGGCTGTTTTAACATACATTTGCTTTAAGTACAAATTAGCCGGTAAAACGCTATCGAGATGAGGCGGAAAGGTTGCGGAAGCGCTACTGATGCCAAGGGTCTCGCCATAACCAACTTCCTTGCCGGCTATCATTGAGGTCCTAGAGACAACGAGAATACACAGCGTTGGTACCCGAAAAATCTTGAACTCATCGCCTTACTTATCAAGAGCACATAGCCTCCTACCCCTTGGCTATCAAGACGACAAAAGTGTGCCCTCAGCGGTCCCCACATGTATCTACTTTCAGTATGTTCGATTTTAGGAGCTTTAGAAGCGCTTCAGGTCAGAGAATGACCCAACGAAATACCAATATCAACCGTGATGGCATTGGTAGGGCAAAAGACGCAACTTAGGGGCAAACTGGAAACTCCCAAAGAGAGTGTCTGGCATACAACATTGCAGTTTGACAAGTCTGCTCTTAGAATACAGAACAATATACGATGGGCAGATGCAAGTATAAGAGCGACCACGCTTGTTGCAGCGGCCCTCTGCAGTTCCCAAGCTCTGACATATGTCGAGTGTATACCATGCGTCGAGGTGAAGCGCGCTCGCAGAGCATGTACCAGCAGTCGTATCCGGTCGACCCGATACCAGCGAGAAGGTGCTGTGCATCTTGCAGTGGGATATCGACGAATTGGAGATAGAGGACTGTGCTGTTGTTGCGCCGCACAACACTGCTGTCCATGTTAGAGATCCCAAGGTCACTAACGAGCTTTTGAAGCTTCTCAATCACTCTTTGAATTTCCAACGAGCATTGGAAATGTCTCACAGCTGGTCGAAAAGAACTTCTTGCGAAGCTTCAGGCCCGGCGACAGTGCTGGTTCCCTCCACGACGGTGAAAAGTTCTGGGTCCAAGCGGACATGCAGAGCGGTCGCCATGGCCCGGAATGCCCGGGTTTGGGAAGGGAGGTACTGATCGATAGCATATGGGCGCGATCCTTTCTGGTCACATGCTTGCAGAATTGCGTGTCGCCACACGATTGCTCGAAGCCTGGCGGTATGATGCTGGCCTGGGTGCACCCCCCGCAGAAGCGAATGGCGTATCTTTGTGGGTAGAGCTAGCCTGTGAGGCACCCTTGGTGCGCAACTTGAGAGGCGCTGATGTGGGCGTTTTGACCCGACATGTGTTGCCCCGCAGAGACGGTGCAACTGTAATGTATTGGATGCGTTGTTTCGAAGACACCCGTGCATTCCATAATAGCGTCGTTTCGGCACGCACTAAGACCTTGCAAAGGCGGAGAACCGGACGCAGCATTATGGCTCACCACCCCATTCGTCGATCGTGCTGGGATATTGTCATAAGCAGGTTGTAGATATGAAAGAAGACTTTATAGGCTATGGCGCATACCAGTATGGGATGGTAGATGGTGGCAAGTGATCAGAAAGTGATGTGATTATCATGAGTCAGGAAGGGCAGATACCCGGGAAACAGGCCCAGAGACTCTCGAGTGTAAGCCGAGAAAGGAGCGCTGCTCGAGTCGCACATGTGGACTTATGCAGATTGAGGGGACCACCTACCTATACGTACAGTCGACGCATCGCTCTGGATGGGCTGGCCTCGCGACGGTCTACACTCACTACATTACCACTCTCAACTCCTTCGGTGAAAGCTGAACGATGATCGGTGATCAGCAATTGCTGGGTTGCTGCGCCTGTCTGAGCTCTGCTCATTGCTCCTTGGCAATTGGTACAGCTGGTAGCTGACTGTATCCCATGCATGATCCAGTTGTACTCTGTCCAGGCAGGTCCAGAGTGGGGACCCGGGTCCATCAGGACTCATATCACGGACGGGTACATGGCTCAAGAAGTGATGTGGTAATCACTCTTTGCCTTCCATTACGCACCGAAGCAAGGCATAAAGTACGTGTGATGAGGAGCTGTACCAGCTCGCGGCAGTTGTATTGCGTCTGAGAGGGGTTTAAAATCGTGAGGATGTAGCAAGGAACGTTGCGACATAGGTCAGGCATGATCCTTTGCTCTGACCGCTGTTGCAGCAGGAGGGCAGGCAAGGCAAGAAGTCGACCGTAGTACGGCAGCGCTTGCCTTTCTATAAGAATCGACGGCACCCTGATGAGCCACACAGACACGGTATCGCGTCTTCATCGCCAGCGCTGGCTTGGACTATTACAAAAGGAAGGTCAGGCTCGCGGATCCATAGTAGATGCCTTAAATGACTTACACTTGTAGTCGTAAGTCAATTCTTGCCCCGGCAGGATCGGCTCTTTGGCACTGCAAGAGAGCGCCATCAGTCAAGTACATCAGTGAGCTCTGCCATCATGGACCCACTAGATGACGATCTTTTTCTCGCCGTTGAGTGTCAGGATCTTGGCTGTACAGTTCGGAGTGCAGCAGTGCTGACCATGGAAAACATCCCAGTGTGAGCAATTGTGCGCGCCTGAACGCATCGAGGATCTGGACTCACATTCATCAAGCGAGCAATGTTGCCCTTGTGAGTAGCGTCAACAACGGTATCGTCGTCAACTCTGAACAGATAAGTGCTAAATATGCCCGCCAGCTCCTGTGCTTTCTCACGCTCATCGGCGACCTGCTGTCGAATGATCTCTCCGACGTACTCAATTACCATGTCTCCTTTAGGAATCACCTCCATTGCGTACAATCCCCAGTCGTGGATGGGACTCTTGGCAAACTTGAGTTGCTTCTTCCGTGTCCTTAATTGGTTGAATTTGAGAACGTCTGTGTCCGAAGCCGACTCGCGCTTATGCTGCTCCAGGTTCGCAACAAAGCGACGACTATCAGCCCTATTGTCTCTAGCAGAAGCTAAAGCCGCAGCAGCCGAAGTGTCGATAATGGCTTTGTTCCTGTCTGGCATGTGCTTGGCTTTGTCGCGGGCGGGAATCTTGAAAAAACCTTGCGTCTTGGCACTTCCTGTGTCTAGCTCCTGATCATTCCCGTCAATGTCTTCGCGCGGATCAGGCAGGTCAGCCTCATTGAGCTCTTCCCCAGATCTGAGCTTCTCAAGAACGAGCTTCACGTAGTAGAAATCTTCCTCGTCTTGAACCAGACCCAGTTCAAAGAGGTCGGGCTCGGGACTGGCGGCCGGTACTGGTGGGCGATCCGATTCCTGTCTCTCGTCAAGGGCCAGATGGCGGCTAGCGCAGCGGAAAGCTGAGCCAGCTTGGGCCGCCTCGATATCTTTCGATGAGCGAGCCGCTGTCTGAGCGCGGTCTTCTTGCTGGCGCTCGTGCGCTTTCTTCATCCGCTTCCTGGCACGCTCTGCCACCGTAGATCCGTCTGTGTCTGAGCCTTCAGACGCCGTCACCAAGTTCTTTTCTAAGCTGGCTGGGAGGCTTTGTTGCAACAGCTGCTCCGTGACCTCGCTCCGAATTATCTTCCCCTCGCGCCCTTCCTCAGGCGCAACAAGCATAGACATACTGACTTTCGTCCCACAGACGGTTGTCTTTGACAAGCCCTCTGAAGCCGCCTCGTGAACTGATGCGGCTTGCAACGTAGAGACACTCGTGATTCGTCTATGAGGTGACTGTGCCTGCGCGATGGCCTCGCCCACGTCATTGAATAGATTCGAAGCCTGGCGCCAATATTGAGTCTCGATGTCTTTTCGGAAGCGATTTTTGATAGCTTCCTGTGTCAAGAGCTTGAGTCTTTCGACGAGCAGGTTCTCGGACCAGCCCGTCTTGGGCAGCTGCTGTTCCTCCAGGAAAGGCTCTTGCAGCAACCTGGCAGAGCCTCCCTCCGCCCGAAGTTCACGCGCTTTGCCTCCGGAGCCCCTTTTGACTTTCTGTACATCATGAATTGTAGGCACCTCGCGGATCTCGTATGGTAGGCGGATATTGTTGAAGGTGATATGGCTCATGATTTTTGCTCGATCGCCGTCTGAATCGGATTGAAAGCTGAGATACCAGGCGGACTTGTCATGCTGGATGCGAGTCACGTTCAGCTGTTTGTCGATGAACGAAGCACAGATTTCGGCAGGCGAGTTCACACCCAACTTGGATTTGTCGATAAATGCGTACTTTCTTCCCTCTTTGCAGAGATTTTCCAATATGTTTGCAGTCTCATCGTGCTCTGGATGAGAGATGTGGCTCGTCTTCGCCTCCACCTCTCGAACGAGTGCCTCACGTTGCGCAACTTTGACGTGGTCGGGGCTTTCGTTTGGGCGAATCTTTCGTGCCTGATGCATTAGTGATGAGTGGGTCAGCAGGGAAGATAAGAGTTGATGAGGTTGCACACTTACTCGTGCATCATTGATGGATCTTTCTCTTTCGAGAGCCTCACGCGCTCTCCTCTTCTCATCTCTGCTCACTTCCTCCGCTTTCCTCCGTGCTTTCATCTGGAGCCTATCGAAGTGGGTGCATTGCCCATCTAACACAACTTTGATCGTGCTCCCGTCCAGTTTGATGCCATCAGCTTCATAGCACGCTTGCTTCGCACTTCGCTGCGCAATGTCCAGACCCGTGTCGGGGCCATGCTGCAGATCCTGTGCGCCGCTCCCCAAGAATGGGATCCAGCATACACCCAGGAACTCGCCTGAAACGTTGTGCAACAGGAACTTCATGTTGTCTGTATCGACTTTCCCATAACGGCTGAAAAGAGACAAGATGTCCTTATGCTTCGTGAGTACATCGAGGTCGGACACCGTAACTGCACGTGCTGATGGCAGGGGTTTGGGCCCGACACTGTCCTGGTCCCATTTCCAGGGGCCGATTAGACGGATTTGCTCAGCAAGGACCATGCTCCGAGTGCGAACCTTGTCGTCGTCGGCGTCATCCAGGTCCTGCGACGATGTCTTCGTCAGCCGCGCTCTCATCGCCTTGCGAATTTCCTTCGAGTAGTGCGAGGCAATTCCGCGTGGGTCTGCCCCCATGCTTGTGTCGTCGCAGCCTTCGTGCAAAGCGCGACTGCCAGAGGCCGGATCCAAGCGATCATCGTCTGCATTTTGAAAGTATCGAGAAGTTGGCATGTCGTGAGGCAACTGGTAAATGAGCGATGCGCAAGCATCACTGCTGCGCAGGCTTTTTCGCTGGACACTGTGGCCACCCCCTGCCGGTCTTGGGCGCATTTGATGCCGACCGTCCCGTCCGACGTCGGCACTCGAGCTTAGATCCGTGCAAGATGTTTGGCGAAGGGTTCGTTGGGATGCAGGTGCCAGGATTCCATTGCTAGACTCTGGGGACCTCGGCACGGAGACGGCAATGCCGGTCCCACTCGCCGAGACGCGGGTATCTGATTTGTTCGATGTCTTCACTGGAGGACACATCACCTGACGCTCCGTGGGTGTGCACGTTGATGACCTATCCGAAGTGCGCAAGTCTGCAAGTATTTTTGCTTGTGCGCCACAGGTCATAGATGCATGAAACATTCGGTTTTGTAGGTTCATGGGAAATGATGAAGGTTCGGAACGCCCTGCAGGGTAGGGTTCAGTAGGCACGGGCTTCCGATCTTGAACGATCGACATCCTGTCGGTGGCTACAGCCCGACCTGCGCGTTTGCATTCTGGCGTCAGAAACAAAGCAACATGCTTAGGGCTATAGCTTTGATGAATGAACTCACGCGCTTTCTCTGAAGATGACTCATTGGCCCCCGATATGGCATTCTCCACGCTCGTTTCGCTTCTACTGGGGCTCCCTGTCACGCCAGCCGAGTCACTGCGCCCAAGATGAGAGGGATTTTGTGGACGATCTTCCTCGTAGCTGGCACGATCGTTGTAAGAAGATCGGTCGACGGAAGGCTGCACCCCATGACCGGACCGCCTGTCCTGATGGAAGTCACGTTCGCTCTCGCGTTTTCGATTCCGCTCACGATCTCCATCCCTATCCCGTTCGCGATCGCGATCGCATTGGCGGTCGTAGTGGCGATGGGAGTGTTGATCATAGTAGCGTTCGCGGTGGCGATCGTAGTCTCTTAAGTAGCTTCGGTCTGAGCCGGTCGAATGGTAGCCTGAGGGCTCCCACCTTCGTTCGCCATTGTAACGGGGCGCTTCCGTATGGAGGTCTGCACGAGAGTCTGTGTGCCTCGGGTAGCTCTGCATTACGCGGCTAGCCCTGGTGCGATGCGCAACCGAACTCCATCGTGAGTCCTGCGTAGATGGTACATCGGTCCCTTCGCGAGATGGGTGGGTGTAGTGATGTGGTTCAAGCCTGTGAGGCCCGCTGCTGCTTCTGCTAGCTCTGCTTTGCTCCACTTTCGCGTCGGCAGAACGGGAGTGGGATTGGCCATGATGCTTTACGGAAGCCCTCTCCTTCACGTCGACGCGGTTGTGATTCGAATGAGCGTCAGAGGACGCGTCAAGACGGGTTGATCTTCGAGGCTTGTGTTCACTTGGAGGGGGGGACGACGGATGTTTTACATATACCGAAAGTGCGCTGCTTCCTGCACCCTCTCCAGTCCCAGCCTTTGAACCTACTCCTAGGTTCGTCTTTGTTCCTAGTTCTGGTTGGGAATCTGATTTTGGCTCTGGCTCTGACTTTGTCGCTGGCGTTGGCGTGGGTGAAACAGGTACTGACTTGGACGCGAGCGGCGTGTGGGAATATTGGTCGTCGTCGTCGTCATCGTCCGCTGCGAATACAGCCACGATCTCAGGAGCTGGCCGCCCCGCTCCAATATTCCTATGATGGCTGCGAGCGATCCTTGACGGCTGATTGGTTTGCCCGGTGGTCATGATGACGATGATGACGCGTGGGCCAGCAGAGATAGTGCGGCACGAGCATGAACATACGATTGGTTGTGCAAGTGTAAGGCATCTGCAGCGGGAAAAAGAGACCCGGAGAGACGGAGTGTCACCCGAAGAGCGCGCCCAAGTGCAATGATTGAATCTAATGAGATTCAAGTGTTATGAATAGTATGCTGATATGTTGAAGTCGTTGGAGCTGGTTGCGAACGCGAGTATCGTGACTCATCGCTAGAGTCAACGAAGTGGTGTGGATAGAGAGAGAGCGCGCGCGACTATCACCGTCCAAGTACCACAGTATGTCGCGTCGCGCAGTCGCGCTTGCATTTTTCCTCGTCCCATCATCCACCTCGTCAGAACCCACACCGTCTCATGTTCAACATACTTTAAGTAGACTCGCGTGGCACTTCTCGCTTTTGCTTCCCGTCCACTACGGTCTGAGTCACTTGCTTTCTTTTAGTGCGGGCGCGGCTATTTTCAGACTGCGGCGACTTGCGCGTTACACGCACAGAGCAAATCTGGGACAGTTGGGCCCCGGACAAGGTCCTCCTATATATCGTCTCTGCACAGGCCACTTTCTGCACGTCTATGAGGCAGATGCTTGAGCTGAGCTCACCTGCGCGCTAGCTCAGATTCATGATATTATATAAATCATCGGGACTGCAGATGCACTCATCCTTAACATAAAATGTATTCAGCCGTGGTAAGGAAAACCCCTTGTCGACCAATAATAATAATAGTGCCACAGCGCTAAAATACAAATCTGCTGCTTCAGTATAGAAGCACCCCCAAAGGATGCGAGCCGTCTTGCCTGAATTAGTATCAAGCGCGACCAAGTCAGAAACAATGACTCTTGCCATTTGTAGAACCGACCTGATCGTTTGTAGAAAAATGTATTCCCCAGTGGGCCGCGATGAAAACGGGGTTGTTACTTCGAAGCAAGCCGCTTGACATCTTGTAAAACAACATATGCAGGTGACACGTTCTGAACACCCTTTGCGAAGTCAGCCGCGAGTTGAAGTTTGAGTTGCTCACAGCTCGTTAAGTTCCGTGCCACTTGCAACTGCAACACCGTGATCATGCTCCGCACGATTCAGAGACCTCGGGGTCGTCAGCTGCGCTTAGGCGACCGATGGCACCCTTCAAACTTATGGTCTTGTCAAAGATGGTGTCCAAGCGTCATTACGAGCTGCACATTTGTCTTCTTCCTCCACCTCCCACAGCCTATCCATGATCCCAGAAGTAATGCGCGATGATAGCACCTCCTCCATTCCATGCACTGCTCCTTCGTGCCTTAGCCAATCGGCCACGTCGAGGTAACTATCTTCTGCCTGGCCTTGACCTAATTTTTACGAGTAGCTAGAACAGCCATCCACCTCATCGTGCTTCAGTCTCCCGAAGCGAAGATATGAACTGTGAGCTTTCAATCTGTTCATCCGGCCACTGCAGATCGGATACCGATGTGTTGGCCGCAATCATCTTCCAGCTCGTGCGCCTCGGATCCGCGCCCAGGACTGATGTTCGTGTCACTTTGGGAAGTTTTGCCCGAGGTCAAGTCGCTGCCGAGCTTGCAAGGCTCCTTAATTCTTGAACGCAAGGCGGCGTCGTTCTACATGCTTCGTGCGATGTGGTATCTTGAGCTCATCTGGGTAGCCTATGCATTTGAAGACATTACATCTGGCTTCGTCTTGTATAACAATAAAATCTAGAACATTCAATGATAAGGTGGTGATAAGGGGAAGAACATGGCTGTGGCACGATCCATGAAGAGGTCTCTATGCCAAATCAGCGGTTTGGCGAACATTCCCATGCATTCTCATCATCTCTAAGCCCCTGATTATTATATCTGCTGGGATCCACGACGGCATTCTTGTTGCCTTTCTTACGAGCAGTTTTTATCCAATAACGCGGCAGAAATCGAATTCGCATTGCTAGAGCTCGCCAGCAACGAGCTGCTTGACAGCCCTCTATTGGACAATGGCGGCTGACGCTACGGATCGCGTAGGTATAGACAGGCAAATGCAAGCGCATGGGCGAGGTACGATAATTTAGATGATGTTGTTTGGGATGATGGGATGATGTGTGGATCGATGCCTGTGTCTGTGGGGAGACGAGTTCTATGTTGATAGATCAAAATTTCCTGTTGTCGCTAGCCTGCGCACAAATTTACAATGTGGACAGAGCCTGCACAGTTCTTATCAGCAAGGTGACCTTGTGTCAGTCTGCCGGTCGAGACAATATTGTCGCTTCCTTTCCCTGTCCACTTCTTCGGCTCACTTCGGAAATTCACGGGTGCTATATAAAATATGCAGCACGCTCAGGACACACATATATTTATATACATCGCTTCCTTTGGCGCGACGGAGCGATAGAATCGGGGAGGTTCCTATCTGGTTGAGAGCTAAGAAGGAAGGCATGCCATATGGCTAAGATGTTCGGGTTATGACCAAATTTAGGTGTGCCGAATTTGAGCGGTGTTGATAGATACAAGAGATCAAACGCGACAGCGAGGACGATCATGTATACAATCATCCCGATCCACAACCCTTATCTTGCGTTGACAGCAGAGGGCAGTAGAGGACTGATGAACGCGAGTGGTGGAGGGAGGGACTTGAACGAGGCCGAGGCGGCTCCGGGCCCGGGTCTTATCGGGTATGGAGCCACAAGTCCTGACAAAGCCGTCCAGTGCGCCGCCCCTGTTTCTCGTACGGGAAGACGATCAAATCACCACGGTAGTTCACAGTTCTCATCTACTCGATTGGTCGAAGGGTTTATCCTTCCCGTTGCCAGTGGCACGGTCCTGAGCGCCCCTCGTTCCATCCTTCTCTTTGTAACTGTATGGGCGTAGGCAGATCATTCCGACGGGTCGCTGCTCAAAGACAAAAAGAAAAGAGCGACGTGTGTGTACGACCTCGCGGCAGAGGATCATCTCCCATCCCTCATCGCCACAGGGTGACGCTTTCCCTCGACAGACACGTGCACCGCGCTCTCTCGCCTCACCTTCACCATCCTTTGCTTGTACATCCACACGCGAGGCGCTTGTTGGGTTGGCTCCCGTTGGAGCATCGGTCCCACTCTCGTCGACCCCTCTGCTGATTGCCGCACAAGCACCCAGAACCACCATCATCCATCCCACGCAAGGCGGCAAGCAACCATGCTCGCATCCGTCCCAGTCACCCGTTGCGCTGCACGGACCGCCACCTCCGCTGCGTTGGCATCTGCATCGGTAATGACACCTGCATCTCTATGTCGTCGCTCGATTCGATCGCTGCACATTGCCAAATCTCCCCGTGCCGCCACGACGCTGCGTTCCTCGCGTCCCAACCTCCGTTGCCACCTCGCAAGCGTCGCTGGCACTCAGAATGCCCCTAAGCTTGGCGCAGCAGAAGTCTCCCGCTCCCTCTTCGCACCCCTTGACTCTTTTAGGGAAAGGCATCTCGGACCGCGGGAGAAAGACACTCACTTCATGCTGGAGACATTGGGCTACAAGGACCTTCAGGCTTTCATCGCCGATGCCGTTCCTCAGAACATCCGCCTCGACACCTCCGTCGAGTCTCCAGAATCTATGCGGCCCCTGTCCGAAAATGAGCTACTCCGCCGGGGCGACGAGATTGCCTCCCAGAACAAGGTCTTCAAGTCTCTTATCGGCATGGGATACCACAACACTTTAGTCCCTCCCGTCATTGCGCGAAATGTGAGTCCTTTCTGTGGGCCGCGCGCTCGTGCATGCGTTCAGCGTATTGACAGGCTGCTTCAACCATCAGGTGTTGGAGAATCCGGGATGGTATACTTCGTACACGCCTTATCAAGCAGAGATCTCGCAAGGTTTGTTTTCATTGACTTCGTGTCATCTTCGCAACTGGACTAAGGTAGAGTTGTTATTTTGACAATACTTGTTACCCATTCGACTCTCTACAGGCCGTCTTGAGTCCCTCATCAACTTTCAAACTATGATCAAGTCGCTCACCGGACTAGACATTGCCAACTCCTCTCTTCTTGATGAAGGAACAGCGGCCGCAGAGGCTATGATTCTGGCATACGGCCAGTCGCGCAGCCAGAAAAAGACCTTCCTCGTCGACCACGGCGTCCTTCCACAGACCCTTGCTGTCCTCCGGCAGAGGGCCAAAGGGTTCGGCATTAAGGTTGTCGTCACCAACCTGCGTACGCCAGAGGGTTGGAGGCTGCCGACAGAGGAGGAGGTGCCACGCGATGATGTTATGGGCGTTCTCGTCCAGTATCCTGACGTCGATGGCCGCATCGTCGACTGGGCCGCTCTCGCAGCGGAAGTCAAGAAGACTGGCGCTCTCGTTGTCGCTGCTACGGATCTCCTGGCTCTCACCATGATCAAGCCTCCCGGTGAATGGGGGGCCGACATCGCTCTCGGCAATGCCGCTAGATTCGGTGTGCCTCCAGGCTATGGAGGCCCTCATGCTGCCTTCTTTGCCGTTTCGGATAAGCTCAAGCGCAAGATTCCCGGCAGACTGATCGGTCTCAGTCGGGACGCCCAGGGCAAGCCAGCATATCGTCTTGCTCTGCAGACCAGAGAGCAGCACATTCGCCGGGAGAAGGCAACATCAAACATCTGCACCGCCCAGGCCCTACTCGCCAACATGAGCGCCATGTATGCCATCTACCATGGGCCGGATGGCCTTCGTCGCATTGCCGCAAAGGTCCACGCCCTCACGCGCTTGCTCAAGAATGAACTCACAGCTATCGGTTTCCGCGTCATCAACAAGGACGGCGCTTTCTTCGACACGCTCACAATCGACCTCGCCAACTCGTCCGTCGGAGCGGTCCACGTCCATGACGAAGCCAACAAGACAGGCATCAATCTGAGGCGCATCTCAGACAACCGAGTCGGCATCAGTCTTGACGAGACAGTCACCATTGAAGTGCTTTGCGACATCCTCAACGCATTTTCCCTCGCACTCAAGCCGAGTTTCGATGGCAGCGCACCATACATGCCTGCAGATCTTCTCGAGCTTGCGTCTCGCCTGGGTCTAGATGCGAGCAGCGTCGAGACGCTCACCATCTTTACACCTCCCGCTACGGGCTCGAACAGCAAAGTCGCTGCCACAGTCGACCTCTCGCGCAAGAGTAAATTCCTCACGCAAGAGGTCTTCTCCATGCACCGGTCCGAGACGCAGATGCTGCGCTACATTCACCACTTGCAGTCCAAGGACCTCTCCCTCGTTCATGCGATGATCCCACTGGGATCCTGCACGATGAAGCTCAACGCAACCTCCTCGATGATGCTTTTGTCCAAACCAGAATTTGGGGCCTTGCATCCTTTCGCTCCCGAGGACCAGTCCAAAGGGTACAGTGTGTTGATCCGAGAGCTCGAGCGCGATCTTCGCGCGATTACTGGGCTTCCGGCTGTGTCATTACAACCAAACTCTGGCGCCCAAGGCGAGTTCGCTGGCCTTTCTGTCATACGTGCCTACTTGGACAGCATTGGTGAAGGAAAACGGCACATTTGCTTGATCCCCAATTCCGCCCATGGCACGAACCCTGCATCGGCCATCATGGCCGGCATGCGCGTAGTCGCCGTCAAAAATGCCGACGATGGCACGCTTGATCTCGACGATCTGCGTGCCAAGGCTGAAAAGCACAAAGAGGAGCTTGCCGCCTTTATGGTCACCTACCCCAGCACGTACGGGGTATACGAGGAGAAGATCCAGGAAGCTTGCGAGATCATCCATGAGAACGGCGGCCAAGTCTACATGGATGGTGCGAATCTCCAAGCTCAGGTCGGCTTGACTAACCCGGCGAGGATCGGAGCGGATGTCACGCATCTCAACCTGCACAAGACTTTCTCTATCCCACATGGCGGTGGAGGACCTGGCGTGGGTCCGATTTGCGCTGCTGAACACCTCGCTCCCTTTATGCCCGGACATCCCTTGGCAAACGTCGGCGGAGAGGCAGCCATTGATCCGATCTCCGCAGCCCCGTATGGATCAGCTTCCATCTTAACGATCGCTTGGGCCTACATCCGACAGCTCGGATGGGAGGGCCTCCGCGATTCGTCCGCCATTTCGATGCTCTCCGCCAATTACATGGCGCAACGTCTAGCGCCACACTACAAGCTCCGTTTCTCGAACTCTAAGAACAGGGTCGCCCACGAGTTTTTGCTCGACCTGGCCGAATTCGGCAAACACATCTCCGTTACGGACGTTGCCAAGAGGCTGACTGATTACGGCTTTCACGCGCCCACCTGCTCATGGCCCATTTCAACTGGGTTGCTCATCGAGCCTACAGAGTCAGAGTCGCTGATGGAGATTGATCGATTCTGCGATGCAATGATCGCGATTCGAAAGGAAATTCAGGATATCTTTGACGGCAACGCCGATGCCAAGGACAATGTGCTCAAGAATGCTCCACACACCATCGAAGTCTTGGCCGGAGACTGGACTCACCCCTACTCTCGCGAACAGGCGGTCTACCCTGTGCCTGAGCTACGACAAATCAAGCAATGGCCAAGTGTTGGCAGAATCGACGACGCATACGGCGACTTGAATCTAATCTGCGAATGCGGCTCCGTTGAAGAGTATGCGTCGTAGAGCTTTGATGCAGAAAATTTTTCATCAAGTGTTTCTATAACATCACCGCTGCATGCATCATTCAACTGTATTCTATAAATTACATTTCACTTCAACGTGCGCTCAAAAGCAACAGACTCCCGTTTGGCTCGAAGAAGGACACTCAAATACGGACGCAAGATCAGACCCTTCCATGATTCGAGATAGGTTTGCGAACAGCTGCACCTCGCGTGCATCGGAAGCATATTGCTGTTCAAATTTCAGTCGTAATCCTCGTCTTCATCCAAGCTTCGTTTGAGCCCTCTGGGCTCAGCATTTGCTGTAGAGGATGCCGCGTCTCCCCCATTTCCATTGGCAGCAGACGCGGACGCAGCGAGGGGATTTGCGCCATTGCTTCCTGCGCCATGGCTCTCCTCTTCATCGTCGTAATCATCATCCTCATCCAAGTCTCTCCCATGGCTCGCTGCTCCAGCAGGATTCGAACGTGGTGGCGCAGCTTCAGACTTGATTGGGTCGTCTTCCGACTCGTCTCCCAGCACTTCCGGCGGTGGAGCATTCGGAAGAATGTTGAAATTTATGTTGGTAAGTCGGTGCTGTCGTGGAGGTAACCGCACTCCGTGGCTATCCGAAATGGGTGGCAGAGGCATAGTATTCAACGAAGTTGCAAGGGAAAGGAGCATCTTCAATACGAACCCAGGGTTGGAAATTTTTCAGCCTCCTGCGTAACAACCGATCCATGTGCCACCAATGCTCACTTCTTTTGATGGAGGCTGGGTAAAGCTGTAGTTGACACGACTCTGGACGGCTAGCTGTAGGTCGTCAAGGGATACGCTTGTTGGGATACCTTTTGCAGCGGATGATGCGTGGTCGGCGTACATGATGGCGTCCTGCAAGACATCATAGGTGTATCCTTGGGAACGCGAGCGGTAATGTGTTAGTTTTCGTGACTCAATAATGAAAGACGTCGAGTAAGGAACTTACTGTGAGCAAAGTCAAGGAGCTGAATCAGGGCAGAGGGCTCGTAGTCCTGGATGCCCATGGAACTGGCAATCAATGCCATCAACCTCGCATCGCGAGGAATGTGTTGCTGTGTCATGCTCATGGCATGGAAATCGGTGCCTGGGTCAATCCTTTGCCTCTGTCACGCTCACGATTGCCTCACGCCAATCGTTGGCAACAGGAACCGGTATGCAGTCTGCACATATACTTGATAGTTGGTAGCTTGGACGTGGTCTTTGGTGGTGAAGCACACGAGGGTATGCAAGTCATCAACTCAAACTAGATGAGGTGTCCAGTGTGTTTACGTAAGTGCACTCGAATCTAGTCACCACTTCCATCTGTACTGTGTGAGTCTTAATGCTTTGACGGATATCACATGGTCACATGTAATCCCTCTCTTTCTCACCACGCATTACTCAGCCTCATATTCCAGGACTCACTCGAAGCTGTCGAGGATGCGATGCGTCTATCACAGGCTTTCCTTGTGCGACGACTTTCAACGCTGTATCGCGATGCTTGGATGGTTGCGACCGTGTTCTGATCGAATCTATGCAATGCTAATATCGCTACATTGGGTGTATGGCTACATATTCAAGAGTGTAGGATTCGAAACTAGTGGGAAATGTGCTGCAAATACCGACTCTAGCTACTGTTCTTTATGGAATCTGCGAACTTCTCGGCGATGGCGTAGAGAGAAGAAGACAGATGGGCTGAAAATTGCATCGGAAGGATGCTGGCATCGACGACGCGGAGAGACCCGGCGTCGACACCGTAGACGCGCCCTGAGCTGTCGACGACGCCGCCGAGGCTCTGCGGTGCCATCTGGCAGGTACCGAGCTGGTGCGAAACGGGCACATAGCCTTTCAAGATCCACTTTTGCCAGTCGGCATAGGAGCCATACTGGCCACTGTTCGGAACCTTGCCAAAGCCGGGTACTTGCTCGCTGTTGAGGGTTTCCTGGAGGGGTGAGGTTTGGTACAGCCTCCTTGCAGTGCGTAGGGTCGCAACGTTCACGTCCATGTCGATGGGGAGCCTCTGAAAGGACGTAACAAAGGACCGCAAGGCAAGGATGGTCAGCGGGGGTGAGAAGTGTGTGGCTCAACTGATCTTCAACTCACGTAATACCCCGGGTCGACGGAAGCATGATGGAAAGCATTGTTCTCACTGATGTGAACGCTGCCGCGCGAGTACACCAGGAGGGGCCATGTGTCTTGCCCGAATTGGCCTGATGGAAAGCCGTGGTCGGCGAAGAGCTCGGAAGCAGAAGTGTTCTTATTCCACAGCAGGTCGGTTTGGATCTTCCACTGCGCCTTGACCGCGTCTGCGCTGACGGCACCGCCTGCGGCGACAATCTGAGCGGCGTACGTGTCGTAATTTTTCTCCAAGTGAGTCTTGACCGCGCTTGCGTTCGAGAAGAGTTGCCAGATGGTGGGGTACGCAATCGTGGATGAAGGCCCAGAACCCTGAAAGTCGGACTTAATCGCGGCGCCAATGGTGTTCATTGTCTGATCCTGAAGATTGCGTCCGACACCCTTGAGATCGACGACGGTCTTGATGCCAAGTGGCTCGATGATATTTGAGTCTCCGATGCCGCTAAGCTCCAGGAACTGAGGCGAGCGGATGGCGCCAGCGGCAACGATGACCGCTTTTTTGGCGGTTACATTTTGCTGGGCTCCATTTTTGCTCTGTTGCAGCACGGCACCGGTGACGCGTGTAGGGTTCTGAGCATCCTGGAACAGCGCCTTCACTCCACGCCAGCCAACAAGCACCTTGATGTTGCTGCGGCTGTATTCGATAGGCGAGATGTACCCGGTGGCTGCGCTCGAGCGGAGCTGCTGCACTTGAGAGGATGGGGTGATCGAATTTGGCGTCGTGGCCCCCGTGCCGTGAATATCTCCGTTGCAGATGTCAGTGATATGCCTTAGGCCGAGAGCATTGCTCGCACTGCAAGAAGCGGAAAGGAGAACAAGTGAGCCTCAGCCCGTATGGTGATCCGACTGGCACGGGACGCACGCTTGCAAAAACTTGTCACCGTAGGCGTCAGTGTACATCCTGCGCTGATTGCCGCTATTTGCTGGAGTATATGAGGCAGAAATCGGGCCTGATGTACCGTGCACGTTCTGAAGCGAAGTTATTCACGGAAGGTTAGTTCATGTTGGGGGAACTCATTAAGCGCGACATCAAAGCCAGGCTGCCACCCACGTTTGCCATTCCTGCTCCTAGGGCTTTTTGAGCTTCGTTGGGCGAATAGAAGTGCTCGGACTTGACAAAGTACGGCTGGAGCGAGCTCCAGCTTCACCCTTCGTTGCCGAGCTGTTCCAAAGCATCGTATTGCTCCGTTGCGCCACGAGTCCAGGCGGCGCCATTGATCGAGCTGGAGCCGCCGAGGGTCTTTCCACCTTTGATGTTTTTGGTAGACCCTCCTACTTGCTGCGTTGTCTGCCAGTCCCAGTCTAGGCTAGTACCGAAAGCCTCAGAATAGGTACTGACCGTGTTGATCATGACTGAAGTGCGGTTGTCTGTCCGGCGGAAACAATTCCTGTCAATTCGCTTTCGCGAGCGCATTTGAAGAATGAGCGAACATGATTACGCACCACCACCAGCTTCGATGACGAGCACATTGATGCTCGGGTCCTCACTCAGACGGTTGGCTACCGTCAGACCCGCAAGCCCACCCCCGATAATAATGTAGTCTGGTGTTGCCGCAGTTGCAGCTTGCAAAGAAGAGGTGACGAGTGATTTCTGAGCGGGAGCAGCCCAGGCGATGAGCGCGTTGCCCACTGCCGCCAGAGCGAGAGCAGGGACTCGAGACTTCATTTTGGGGATAAGTGGCGCCAGGGTGGCCGTATAGTCACTTGCAAAATAAATAGACCAAGCTGAGGTGAACGAGGCATCGCACGCAACAGCATCGACGCTTTCGCAATTGGACCTTTATATGCGGCGTGAAGGCTCGTGGAGGATGCAATCATCCAAACGCTCGATCCTGGAAGCAAGGTGTCATGTGTCTATTGAAGTCACCGCGTCTCAAAACCCCTGAGGATGATGAAGGGTAAGGTGAAAGTCCGCACCGCGGTATCGCAATACCGACATACATGGCTTGTCTATTGTCCTTGTGTGGTCGGGTCGGGAAACTGTGGTACATAGCACTGCTACTATTACTACCATGTACTGTTGTGAGCAGACGCTATGTCGACCAACGAAGAGATGAAAGGGTCAAATACGCTGTCAGGCGGTCGGCGCTCGTGCGTATCCTCCGCCAGAGAAAATACTTGTTTGCTGGAGATGATGGCACGCGTGATGATGATGACGACGAGGAGCACGATCGAAAGCCATCTGATTCAAACTTTGCCAGGAACGACCGCAACAAAACGTATGCACGTGGATTTCTTTTTTATTTATTTCCAAACGCCCATATTTGGGGGCGTGTGATGGAAACGCACACGTTTCCGAGTCAGATACATACACTTAGTACTAGCTTGCTTGTACTTCAGTATCCTTCCCCTCGAGTGTTCGAGCTTACCCATGCGGAGTCGATTGCGTGTACGGGAGAACCCGCGGAGAGCCGCAGACTTGCGCATCTCGAGAAGTTCGAGTCGAGCCAGCGTTGAGCCTTCGAGCGCGTTGCCTTGTGCGGGTATGTCATCTTCATCGTCATCGGGCTTCCACCCGCCTCGACTCTCGACTCTTTCGCATCTCAGCCCCCGGCTTCCGCCGCTCGCATCCTGCGCTCTCTTCAGTGTCCAGGCTCCAACACTTCAGCCTTCATCCTGGCGTGGAGAAAGTGGATCTGATCACATTCACAGTGTCCAAGGCAGGTGTTGTGCAAAGTGGCGTTGTGGCGTAGGCCGGGGGCGCGGGCAATCATAAAAGAAAGAAAGAAAATTGAAGGTTATGGACTTGCGGCGACTCCGGGCAATCCCTCGGTTCCCGAATCCCGGCATTCATTCGGGTCGGTCACACCGTCAAAAGGAGGACCGACGGGTGAAGTGAGATGGAGGGCGTATGAGAGATGGATTTACCTGTGCACCGACTTTGTGACTCTTGCGCTCGCTGACGTTGGCTTCGCGTTAACATTTCCTTTTGGTGGAGAGCTCGCAAATCACAGGACTCACGGTCGCGTTTGTGACGCGCAGGCACCGGCAGCGCAGGTGATGGATCAATGAATGAATCATTGCATTGATGGCTGGGAGTGAGTTGATGTTGCGGCCGCAGTCGGGCATCCACAATTTGCAAAGCCGGTGAAAACGCCGAATAACGCATACACCGGGGTTCCAACAACCGGCATCTCTAGTTGCCGTTCTGGATGGTGCCGGCGAGCTCCTCCGCGTGGAGCGAACAGGACAGATGCTCCTTGTCGTCCAGTATTCGCAGCCGTCAGAATTCAAATCATAGTCAGAGGTCAACGTGTCCAGAAGCCCGAAAGCAGGCCGATTTCTGCATAGTAGGCCTTATACCTGCCTGGGAAATGGACGAAAGGAAGCAAACAGAGACAAAAAGCACGTGGGGTTAGATCGATGAAGATGGTGCGGGTCATGACGATTGTGTACACTGTTACAGATTGTGTTAAATGACTGGAACTTGTGATGCTTAGAACACTGGGTGTGGCAAGGTGTGAGATGGGCCAAACACGAGATGAATGCGTGCATATCGCCAAGAGAGGGAGAGATGTGCGAGAAGGCGAACTTGGCGTGCAATGCTGGTGGATGAATATGACGTTGATGGAAGGTTGCACTGCTCCGAGGGTGCGAGGTCTTTGAGAGCGCCAGGACAAGGACAATGTGAAAAATAAACAATCGAAAGACTGGGTCGTTTGTGAAAGCTGAGGGATACCCTTCAGAGTTCATTCATCTCGCTGTCGATGCGCAACATTCTTGCTTCACCGCCGCCTCCAATCCCCCCTGACGGTTTGGCGCCAAAGTGGTCACGTGACAGGATACCCAGCGCACTCTGGCTCCGCGGCGGCAGTCCACCGCGATCGCCCATCGTGGTGCTCACCACCCGCTTGCGATCCTCACTGAAAACCCGTCCGGCGCCACCGGGCTTGTCGCCACTGGGTCGCATGGGTGAATCCGCAAGGCTAGCAGCCATCGACATGGACACAGGGAAAGCGCCATCACGGCGGTCTGCCGGGTACGCATGCTGTTGCTGTTGCTGCGGCTGCTGATGCTGCGGATACGGTTGTTGCGGGTACCCATCGAGGTTGTTCTGGCTGTTCTTTCCACGCAAGAACTGTGAGGCGACATTCGATATGGTCATTGACTTGCGCGGCTCGCGTGAGGAATCCAAGCTCGATTGATCGGGGGACAGCCTCGTTGTGCCAGAAGACTTCTTGCGTCCGAACCCAAACTTGGGTATCACTCTTTTCCGCACGCTCTTGTCCTTATCCTTCTCTCCAGTCAGCCCCGATCGGGCTGCCAGAAGCTGCATCGATGACCGCGATGCCGGAACGGCTTCTGAAACAGGGGCGTCCACGTCTAGCTGTCGCACAAATTTGCCTGGAACAGCGCTTGCCGCAGCCGCTTCGGCAGTCAGATAAGTACCGACAGGGAAGCCAACAGGTGCAAACATGCCAGGATTGTCTTCTTCCGAAGCAACACTGGCATTCTCGTCAAAGCCGTCCCCTCTGCGCTGTGGTGAGCGCGGGGGTCGACGCGGTAGCAACGGGCTGTTGACCAACGTGCTGTCTGTCCAGTTGCGAGATGAGGGCGAGGCAAGGGATGCAGGCACGCTGCCATTGCTGGGTGTGCCGGGGCTTGGACCCCGGTAGTACGATGAACCAGCCGACTGCCTGAAAGATTCCGAGCCGCTTATGCCATTATTCACCGCATGGTGGGTGCTGCCGCGGACTCCGTCCTGCGGAGGCCCAGAAGGCACTCGACTGTGTGCCACATTCCCATTTATGGGTTTAAACCCTCCATCCAGAGGGGCCATTGCCGGCGTGCTATTCATGAATGAGCCCCGACTGGATGAGATGACACTCGATCGATCATCAGGCATGCTGCCAGCATGCGCGCCGTATCCTTGCGGCGCCACCCTAGTCGTTCTACAATTCACCGAAGGTGAAAGGGGCATGATGGATCAGCTTGGTTAGTGAAGTGTACCTTGTGCCTGGGACAATCGATTATCAGACTCACGCGGAAGTAATTCGGCTCCCGTTGCCACGAGAGGACTGTCCAGTGCCAGTCTCGCCTATGAAGGAAGGCAGCTGTTGCGAGCTGCTCAACGTTCGCAAAGCGGAAGTGTTGCGAGGCTCCTTGCGCGAAGGCAATGGCGAGGATATAGCGCCAAACGGACCGGGATCCAAGCTCGCTTGACTCGCCATTCCGTTTCCGTGATTGTATATCTGGTCTGGGCCAGGTGAAGTGGCGCCGCTGGTGTTCTCACGATCCGTGAAGCTCCTCAAGGATGTCGTTGATCTGCGAGCTCTATTCATCAGACCAGCGAGGCCTGGTGGAGGTGCGAGGTCCATAGAGTCGTCCGGGCCGAGCGACCCAGCACGAACACGCGGACTTCCAGATGACGTGGAGCGCTTGCTGTTCGAATCATCCTTAACCCCTTCGCGGCCTGCATTACCGAGCTTGGAGAACAATCCTCGCAGACCCTTCTTCTTCCGCCGCACCGCCGCATCCGATAGCGAAGGATCCGGGTAACCCGCGATGTGTTCTTCTTCGTCATCGAGTTGGCGTAGGCCAGCTTCCGTGACCTGCTGTTCGGCATCGCCATCTCCAGGAAATCCATAGAAGGCGCGATTGAGCGCACCCGGCGAATCCATTCGGAGGGGTGTGCCAGGCATAAAGCCATTCTGAGCGATGCGGTGCTCCTGATGATCCTCGAAGCCAAGGTGCATGTCAATCATCGAGCCAGAGTGAGAGGGCGAGAGCACAGTGCTTGGCTCCCTCACCCGCGCGCCGAGTTTTGAGCCCGGCGGCGCCAAACTGTGAGGGCTATCGGGCACGACTGGAGAGGAGACGGCCATCGCACCGAGCACCGAGCGCAGATCTTGAGCACTTCCCGCTCTCCGATTCTGCGCGGGTATGCCACTTCTCTTCGGTAGGCTATGGTGACCGGCACTCAGGTCCATCGCGGGCGACATGCTGAGGTCGTCTACGGGCGCGCTAGATCGAGGACCTGGCGCAGGAGGGAGACTGGAAGCAGTCATAGCCTTGGGAGCAACGGCCTCGCCGCTCGGTGCAGATGCGGCCATCTTGCGACGTGCAGCCCGCGCGTTGGCAATGTCTCGCTCCTTCTCAAGCCTGGCTTGTTCGTCTAACTCGGCATCTTGAATAATGTCTCCCGGGCGCAATGGAGCGCTTGAATTGGGGCGACCCCGTGCGTCAAGCGACGCGCGGATGACGCAGTTGTCGTATTCGTTCGGCGAGACTGTCTTTGTAACCGGGGCAGGAGGCAGAGGCCCACCTGCTCTGCTCTCCCCTCGCGTTCGTTGCTCCATTGCAATGTATTTGGCTTGCACAGCTAAGAACGCTTGCAGAGTGCGCCATCGATGCGACGAAGCAGGAATCGACTGGCAAAAATCCTGTAACGTCAGCACGAGCAGCCGAACGAAGTCCAATCGACCAGAAACTCACCATCTGCGTGTGCAGCTTCAACCTCTCGGCCGTCAAAGGGTCTCCATGCGCAATCCGCTTCACTCGGAATTTGCCACCCGCTACGAGCCTCTCTACTGCTGGCGGGTGCCACTCCTCGCCCGCAGCGAGACACGCACTCTTCTCCAGCTCCACCTTGACCTCCTCATCCTTCTCCGCGTGGATCGCGTCGGCAAAACCCTTGTCACTCTCGCGCTCCCACATCCCTTCGCCGACAACAGTAACGTCAATCATGTCCTCGTCGCGCATCATGCATTCCAGACAGACATCTGGGTCATTAAGGCTCTTGCGGACGCCATCCGGTCCTATCAGGCCGGACAGGAGCGCATCCGGCCGCTGTTGTAGCTCAAACGGCGGCACGAGACTTCGCTGTGGCATCATACCCGGGTACTGTCGCTTGCCCGTTGCCGTCACTTTGGAAATGGAGACCGTTGAGGAGGGGAACGCGGGATAAGGGCCATTCTGCTCATGGCCGAACCCTTCCGCTGTCATGTTCAGATGCCCGACGCTATGCCGTTGCTCTTTCGCGTGGAGCTTCTGCAGCTGCTGCGTCGTGACAGGACCGGAGCCATTCGATGGCGTTTGCCGATGGTTGCCCTTCTTGGACGGAGGCGCAGGCGGGGCGTCATTGGCGCCATTGACGAGCACGTTTGGGGACTGCATCGAAAAGCGCAGCGTGCCATCGCGCAGTGAATGGCCACCCCTTGCAAGAACCTCCTGCGGCGACAATGTGCCGATGGCAGACTTGGACCCCGACCTGTCGCGCCCTTTCGATTTCTTCATCCGTGCCCGCTCCCACTCTGCCCTAGCTTCGATCTCGCCGTCCGGTGGGGGGCTCGGCTCGCGCGATGGCGACTCCGAGTCTTGCGAACGCGCCGGACTGTTCTCCTGCCCGCGCACAACGGCGGGCTCAACAGATGCATAGGCCGCTGCCGAGGCGGAAGTAGAAGCGAACATGTGCTGCTGCTCGTCCGCATGCGCTACTGCTGCTGCGAGCAGAAGGTTGGTTGAGGAGCCGCGGCGCATAGCCTGGTTCTGCACCAGACCGGTTCTCAGCAGCGGTTTGCGGGCGGCCGCCGCGTCAGCGGTCGTCATCGGGCTCTCTGCAGGTGAGTCAGAAAACGTGCCAGAGCCGACGTTAGCCAATGGAGTTGCGCGGAAGTCGGCAACGGGCGAATGTTGGATGATCGGCGTGGAGCTTTCCGCCTTCAGGGGTATCGAGGTTGTGCCCGGTGGGACGGAAGACAAGACTGAATCGTGCGATAGCCCACGCTGCGCAGGCAGATGAGACACATTCGTCTGCAGCGGAGGCAGGCTCTGCGTTTGATCTGCCGTTCCGCAGCTCCCTGGGTTCGTAAGAACCATTGGCAAAGTCATAAGAGGTACCTGCGATAATTGGGGAGAAGCGGACTTTTCGTCCTTGACTGGTGGAACTGGCAGTGCAGCCGGCACTGGTGGTGTCGCCCAATTCGTCGCCATCAGCGTTGCATTACTATCTGATGTCGGCATCAAGGCTGCTTCTAGCGCGGGCTCAGGCTCAGGCCTTTGGATCTGAGCTGCTACGAGAGGCAAAGCAGAGGGCGCAGCGCTGTTGATGGATGTGAGGGAAGGAAGCGCCGCAGCAGCAACGCCTTTTGTGATCGAGCCGGCAGGCCCTTTGCGATTTGTGATAGTTTTCTCCCGATCCAGCGCGCTCCCCTGCGCATCGTCATCAGCGCCGGGGAGCACATTTGGAAACTTGGGCTGCGCTGCAGATGTCGCGATGGTCCTGGAGCCTGGTGACACGAGCGGCTCCAACGTCGGTAACAAGTCTCCCGGGGTGATAGCTTCTGCAGGGATTTCCAGTTTGAGCGCCTCCATGAGCGAGCTCGTGCGCGCCAGCTCTGATTGTCTCATTGATTCCGCGTTGGTCATGACGACTGTCTCCATCGCAGCTTCGTTTACGCCACTCTGCACAGTCTCGTCCTGCCGGCTCTGGATGGTGTGACCCTCCGGGAGCAAGGGCGCCAGCAGCCCGACATCTTGCGCTTTCTTTCGCAAATCGGGCAGATTCTTGTCCCGATGCGCCGCACCCGCAGCCCTTGCTGGCGGCTCAGCCGGCAATGGTTTGTCGCGCATCTCGGGAGAGATCCTTCGGGACGAAGACGACATCCAGCCGCCTGGCAGCTGCAATTCCTCTTCCGAGCTGGTGAGGTTTCCGCTTGAACTGCCGCCCGCATATGTTCGGCCGGAGGCAACGCGAGCCCCTTGTCGCGAGGCATTAGGTGTATCCTGGAACAGCGACTCGCGCGTCTCTGCGTGGCTCGCCCGCGATGCGCTTCGCGAGCTGGTGCCGACGTAGTGACCCGAGAGCGCCGTCTGGAAGGACAAGACTGATGCACGCTTCGCGTTCAGGTTACTCCCTCCGTGGCTGCTTTCGTCATTGAGGTACTCGCTTCCGCTGAGCATGCTCATGGATGTCTCCGGCCTGTTCATATCCATTCCTGCAGAGGCATAAACATCGGCGGAGGAGCCATAGTAGACGAATGCCTCGCCGCCCTGAGGCCCAGAAGCGGCACGTTGTGCTGCTTGGACGAGGTTCGACAACGGTGCGGTTCTGTTCGGACCTTGTGCAAGGAAAGGCGAGGTGCGAGTGATACGAGAGGCCTCGGTCACGTTGATAATTGTAGCTTGGCCAGGATTGTTGTTGGCAGAAGAGTATCGCTGGTGATATGTTGCTGGGTGGGGTGTGCCATTGCTCGCAACATGATGGGAAGTTGCTGGGATGCGGCGGCTACTTGCGTCTTGGTTCCCAGAGGACGAGGTGGCAGAAGGTATGCTAGAATGCTGAGCACTTTGCATGGTGACTGTGCCAAGGGAAAAGAGGGGAAGTCAGGAGAGGCTGCACAAACGCAGCACTGTCGATCCAAAACAATTGCTGTACCTTGACTCGTTGAACACCTCAAGAATCTGAAGACCGAAAATCTGCCCTAGATCGAGGAATTGCCAAATGTGCCCAACGCGAGCGTGATGCAATGCAAAGCGATGCAGCACCTGCTGCTCGCGATGCCTGTCGCTCAAGCCTTCGACCCTGTCACAGTATTCGGTCTTTGTATCGTTCCACCGGAGCAAAGACGACGAGAAGAGGACTGACTGGCCGCTCCGCTGGGTGTTTCAGGGTGACGGGCGAACTGTCGCCGTATCAGGCGCATGCGAAGATGCTCAAGCTGCAGTCTCGAGTCTCGATCGGTCGAAGTGTTGTGTGTGCAAGCAGAAGAGGAGAATCGCGTGATGAGTCGATGAGGTGTGCGAACGACAGAGCCACCGGACATTCGTTCTGATGCCGCCCGCGTACGATGAGGCGTAGGCCTATAGGCTATGCACGCTGCGAGAGGCTATAGTGGTTTCGCGTGCACTGCTTTCCCTCTACCTCTGGGGCTGCCGGCTGGATCGGCCTGCGGTGAGGTGTCCAGGATAGCTGTCGCAGGTCGCGCAATGCAACGTCCGCTCCATGAAAGCCGGGGGAAGCTGTCTGACTGACCTGTATGTAAAGCGAGCCCAGCTGCTAATCCATGACTGACAGGCCGGCGGACAGGCAGACTGATGGTGGTGATCATGATGGCGGTGGTTTGCAAGGGAACGAGAGAGTCCACAGTGTGCGGAGACGGGTGCGGGTGGGCGGCGGTGGATGACAGCACACAGCCGTGCCACTGAGCCCACCCCATGTACACACATAAGCTCTTGTTCTTCGCTGGCGAACCGCCCACCGCGTTTTTGGACACAAGGTCCATATCAATCCAAGTCTGGACTCTATCAAACTAGTGATATACTGGCCCCCAGGCTGGCAGTACACTGATAGCCTTCGGCCTATCAGCGATCAGCATTCATTCATTTATACGAGCGCTGGGCTCCAGCTCTGGCCCTGACAAGGCTTGGACGGTGGCTAGCCTCGTGCAGGCGTGTCGAGAACCCAGATCGTTCGATGCCACAAACTCATCATCGTTCCAAGGGACCGGACAGACTCTAATATTGTTCGCACCGCAAGCTCACTCCCGCGGACAGAAACTACATTACAGTGCGCATCACATTGGATCGCTAGCCGTCACCATGCGGCTATCGAATACAGCGGTCTCTTGAAATCGACGATTTCTCAATGTTCGAGCAATACGAACGCTGGAAGCCACCAACTGTGTGGGTACTGCGGATGTGATCAATAATTGGATTCTGATAAGCACTCAGGCCCACGACAAGTAGAAGAAAGCCTTGCCCTGTACGGCTTCAGGCTTTGAGTGATGGCATGGCCCTCTTTAGGACAAATTCCCAATACCTGCTGCCCCTGTCTCTGCGGTTTGCAACATGTAGCTCAGGTGAGGTGTGCCCCATTTGGTAAGTTTCGCTCGCAGGCAATGAGGTCATCATTCGCAGTAACACGCAATCCAAGGCCGCACTCGGATACGCCGATGTAAGCTAGGACCTAGAATAACAGTGCCAACGACGATCTCGAGTTAACGACGAAGGACCGATTACTGATGTGCACTGATAAGTGATGAGCGCCATCAATAAGACTGAACTTGGAGTTCGAGCGCCGGAAATGATTGACGAGGTGCTGCACGATGGTTGACGAAGACCACCTGGGTGTAGAAGCAGCTCCGTCGTCGGCGGAAGGGCCATCTCCCGCAGACCCCACCGCTGCCGTAGCCTGCAGAGCCGCAGTGTTGGTTCTTCATTAGTAGAGTGTCTATATCCCGCGAGGGCGACTTGGCCCGCAAGTGGCGGTTCGTCCAAGGCAAGGTCTATGCACGGCTGGATTTGAACGTGCTGATATCCTGGGAGAGAGACGATGTGAGATTGACGAGAGACGTATATTACACGCATGAGGCCGACGACGGCATGAACAACCCTACTTGGGTGGTTGCAATCCCTTTGCAGTTTGTGGTTTCCAGCGGCCTGGCCTCCGTAACCGTTGACTGGTCCCCAGCATGGGCACGGCGGGCGTGTGAGGGAGGCGCTGACTGCTTCGACTGGTGGTCTGATGAGGCGGGCTTTACAAGAGTTCCGCCGTCCAGAAGCAAGGCCCTCGACAATGAGCTTCGCGATGGTCCTGGCTAACATTTCAACACCTCACACAACTCATCTCTTGCTCGCTCACATCCGGGAGTCGGGACCAAGTGCAAGCTGCAAGAGTGAGCCTGCCAACAAGATCCAGCTTGCGCCAGCATGTTTGCTCCTAGATCGCTGCTGTCGGCCTCTAGAGCCTGTAAGTATCTGCGACTGTTTCGCCGGAGAGTGGCGACTTATCACATGTGCGCCGAGGTACTGACTCTGATCCGCCGTCCGCTTTCTGCTCGCCATCTCATCTCCTGATTCGCCGCCGGTCTTCAGCTGGCCTGAGCCTGCGCTTGCTGCATACCACTGCATCGGCTGCGCGCGTAATCAAACCTGGCCAGCTGCCCGCGTTGAGCAAGAGCACCGCACTCGTACCAACCCGCGGGGACTCCTCCAGCTCTCCCGAAGCATCGACGTCCTCATCGTCATCGAGGGCCTTCACGTCCTCCGCCGTTGCCAGGCAGACGCCAGTCGAGTACGCTGCGCTCGCCAAGAGGGGCACAGAGCAAGCCAGTCTCGAGCAGCCAAAGAATGGCGTTGAATATGTTCTATCCACACTGGATAAGGTCGTCAACTGGGCCCGTCAAGGCTCCATGTGGCCCATGACCTTCGGCCTGGCATGCTGCGCCGTCGAGATGATGCACTGCTCCACCCCGCGCTACGACCAAGATCGATTCGGTATCATTTTCCGTGCCTCCCCCAGGCAGTCTGATGTTATGATCGTCGCCGGGACCTTGACCAACAAGATGGCGCCGGCTTTGAGAAAGGTTCGTGCTCATGCACATGTCGTCTCCTTCTTGGTTCCGAATTCCGCACTGACCCGTATCTGCGCCTTTGAACTGCAGGTGTATGACCAGATGCCAGAGCCCCGATGGGTCGTGAGCATGGGCAGTTGTGCAAACGGCGGTGGCTACTACCAGTAAGTGGATTAGACTTCGCTTGAACGCGACTCTTGCGTGTAATGAACCACTCGCCGCCCTTTCTTGCCTGCGAAACAGCTATTCCTACTCGGTCGTGCGTGGATGTGACCGCATCGTTCCCGTCGATCTGTACGTACCCGGATGCCCGCCAACAGCCGAGGCTCTGCTCTACGGTCTTATGCAGTTGCAGCGGAAGATGAAAAGGAAGCGCACCATGACACTGTGGTACAGGAGGTGATGGAGACACATATGGAGACGCACCGCATCTCACCGTGACAGATCAAGCTTTTGTACATACACACTCTGACACGTGTTGGCAGGCGCTGCACCCAGATTCCTTAACAATTGCAAATCTGTTGCGTGTGATGCTTTTCATGAGTCAGGTAAGGATTAGGCTACATTGTCGAGGCAGCATCTAGCGAAAAGTCTATGCGATCGTCCATATAATCCCCGGAAGAACTGGGCGCGCCATGCCACGCCCCTTTGTACTGCCTCGGGACTCTGCGCGCGAGCGCACAGGCGGGCTGCCAAGCTCTTTCCGCGTGAGTCTCTCAGCACTGATGCGTGGCACCCCCGCGTCCGCTCGCCGCGTCTCGTAGCGCAGTGACAACCGATACGATGAGGACGACGACGCCGAATAGTGCAGTGACAGCTGCAAGCGGCTTGGTGGACTCCCACCAGCGGCGTGGCTGCGCTGCAGGCCGGTGTCGGATGTTCGCTCCTGGCCGCAGTGGCAGCTCGACTTCATCTACATCCTCTACAACGCTGGTATCGTCTGGATCGGCGCCTGCACCCCCTGCTGCTGCCCCTCCTTCCATGTCGTCTACTCTGCCAATACCCCGGTCCTCGTCGTCATACGTGGAAGCCGGCTGATAGCCATCAGAGCGCCCCAGCCGGCCGTTGGGCGATGGCATCGCGGACCCGTTGCTTGAGGCACTTGTGAGGTGATTTGGTATAGTGAAAGGCCTCTCTAAGCCATGTTTGTGTGCGTCGTTGCTGAGCTTGAGGTAACACAACGCTGGGAAAATATATGCTAGTACTGTAGCGCTGAGTCCGCCAGTGAGCTCCAGAACGATGCCGAGATCGCACGTCATGAGGCTGACGATCAGGCTCGAGACTACAAGCGCTGAAGTGAAAATCAGGTGACGTTGCTGGTCGAACTCTCCAGCGAAAAAGTAGGTTTCGAGCACCTCGCTACAGAGAGCATATATAAATGGCCGGCTTTCAGCGTCGTCAAGGGGTTCACCAACTTGTGCAACTCACCGGCACACCAGACATTCCAAAGGGAATGTTGTCAGCATGTTTGCACCAAAGCAAAACCTTGCAAAGTTGACCATCGTGTCCGAGGCAGGAAAGTTGTTCAAAATGTTTGCGAGCGTCTTGTCCTCGAATGACCAATACCCTGCGATCGACATGGACGTTGCTGCGACGCCAGCGATAAGCGTCGAGTAGTGTGTCACCTTGCCAAACTTGTCCATGGACGGTTCCTTCAGACTCCCGTAGATGAGCAAGGAGTTATGGTGGCAGACGAATGCAAAACTGATGACGGCGATACTGCGAATGATTTTACTTGGAAAGACAATCGTGAAGCGCAAGCTAGGGTCACCTGTGAGCTCTGCAGGCATGGCTGGCCCGCGGATGATGACTGTGAGAATGATGAGGACCATGCTGACGAGGGCAAAAGCGCTGGCTTTGCTCAGACTCTCGATGTTGCGATACAGAGACAGTGGGTAACTGATGCCGAGCGTGCAGGCGGTGATGACGAACTGTCGGTTGGCCAGGAAGGAGCCTTCCAGCGAGGGAAAGACACTTGCGATGACGTGCGGAATGGTGTCGCCAATGACAACACAGAAAGCGCACATGCCTCCAAAGGCAAATGCGAATTGGAAAATGGAAACGGCCGCTTTGCCATTGCCGCCAAAGCAGTGCTCCATAATTTCAATGTAGGTCTGCCGCCCGCTCAGCTTGGCGTTGAGAACGATCAGTCGAATCGTCCAGTCTGTCAAGAAAGATAGCCCAATAAGGAGCACGACTCCTGCGACGAATCCTGATTCTCGCATCGAGTATGGCAGACCGACTAGTCACGACGAGAGGACACACGTAATTGGCATGTCAGAGGCTAGGCACAAGGGTGCGATAGTAGGTCACTTACCTATCCCGGCACCCAGAATCGAGTTTGCCATGTTTACCGTTCCATCGAATGTCCCTGCCCCTCTTTTGAGCCAATCTGGCAGGCCCTCGCCGTCCCAGCCAGGCACCGCCCTGCTAGCAACGCGTAGCCCTTCTCGGATCGGGGTACCCAGACCATCCATGCTCAATTGCAGACGATCTGGTATTCGGTCGATGAGCGGTATTGAGGTACTTATTTGCCTGCCCTCGCGATTGCCTCCTAGAACAGCCGAAGCCGCATCGAGGGGATGAAATGACAGCGGGTCTGCATCGTCCAGCTCGTCTGAGTCAAGGTCGAATTGTGCTTCACGTGAAGATGCCGTCGATTTAAGCCCTGTGCCGTATCGTGCCGCCCCGGCACTAACAGGAGGTGCTCCGCCGTCCGATGGCCTCGCATCAGACACAGATTCGGACGTCGACGAACGACCTGCCCAAGCATCATGCGCTGCACCGGTCTCACCATCATCGTCATCGAGTGCGAACAAGACCTGTGTCTCGAGCTTCATGGCGATTAGGTGTCGCAACCTGGGCGCACCCTGTTAAGACCGACGCGAGGTTTGCCGAATGCAGCGCTACTGGATGGCAGTGAAGTTGGAGCCAAGTCAGCAGCATGGAACAATGCCAACCTAGCTTGTCGCCAATGGACACGCAAGTCGTTCAGCCCATGACTTTCCATATGCTCTTATCGTTTCAATGTCGGGTCTGTATGAGATTTTGCCAATGCCTTTGAGCCTTGAGCACGGTGTGGCGCGGCGACGCAACCCTACAACAGAAGGATGCAGTCAGATCCTCTTCGTGTAAATCCATACTTGCCTCTCACACTGATCCGGATGTATCGGATCTGGTGCGGGTCGCCTCGGTTGGGATTGACCTGTTGGTGTTGTCACATTTAACCATTATATATAGCGAAGCTACTCTTGAAGAAGAGTTGCACACGAGGTCCACGATCCAAAGTCCAGTTTCTAAAACGGCAATCGTCTAGGAAGGGACTCAAAAGCCAATCAACTGCCTGTTATTGTTTGCGGACTAAAAAGGCAGTGTTTTCTGCGGCGTGAATGCTTCCCTGAGTGGTCAGGGCGACAGCCTGCTCCACCGCCCGTCATGTCTATTCCGTGAGTTTGTGTCCAGCAGAAGGTGACCTCACCTTTCGAGCACATATTGAAAGTTCTGCACTTCAGATCCACCCAAAAGGCCCTACAGCTCGAAAAGCCGGCAGGCGATCCAAAGAGGGGCCAACGCAATGTCGCGGCGGTCCGATATGTGCCAGTCCCCAAGCCGCAAACCGGAATGGTCCTCGTCAAGGTGAGCATGGCACCCCGGAGTCCCGCCTGGAATACATCACAGCCCTAACCACCATCAAGTCTCCTTCTCGTGTCTCTGTTTGAAGATCCTCGCCTCCGGGCTCAACCGCCGAGACGAGTAGGCCATGCTCGGTGCCTACCCGGGGCTATTGTACAAGAACAGCACCTTTGCCTGCAACGGTGCCGGCGTCATTGTGCAAGGCGGACTGCCAGATTCGGCCAAGGGGCACCCAGATGGAATTGTTATTCTGGTACCTACTCGCGGCTGGGAGTCTGATCCAGAGGGGCCTGAAGCCGAACTGCCCAACGCCAAGAACAAGCAGAACAAGCTCGGTGGCAGCGGATTTGGTTGACTCGGTAACACCAAGCCGACAAACGGGGTTGGGACATTCTGCGAATATGTCGCCATAGAGAGTGACCATCTCGTTGCCGCACCAAAGCACCTTGACGTCGTCCACAGCGCAGCTCTGCCATACGGTGGTATCACTGCTTTCCGGTGAGCACATTCCATCGCAAGAGGCATGCTGCAGCGTCTGACTTTGATTGTCGCATCACTTTTGATCCCGTGTAGCGCGCTCTTCACGAAAGGCCAGCTCAAGGCAGGACAGATTCTACTCCTGACGGGCGTTGGTGGCGGCGTTGCGCAGCTAGCACTCCAGTTCGCGGTCGCGGCCGACGCGAATGTCTACGTTACCGGCGGCTCGCAAGCCAAGGTCGATCGTGCTGTCAAGAACCTCGGAGCAAAGCGCGGAGCGGTCTCCAAGGACAAGGATTGTCCCAAGCAAATTTCCAAACAGTTACCATCCGGTAAACTGTATATTGATATCGTGGTCGACAGTGCCGGTGGGGCCATCTCGGGCCAAGCTATGCAGGCTGGGCTCAAAGTAGGCGGCAAGTTGGTCTGCTTTAGCATGACCGCTGACCCTAAGAACCCGTTCACCATGCGAGAAGTGCTCAAGAATGTCGATGTCCTCGGTGAGTGCTCACAACATTCGAGAGAAGGAAGGGATCCTCCCTCTAATTGGACCTCAACAATAGGCTCGACAATGGGGTCCAAGGAAGAGTTCAGGGAATGCATCCGCTTCGTGGAAAAACACAAGCTTGTGCCGACAATTGACACTATTCTCGAGGGCTTGGAGAATGCACACAAAGGCTGTGAGTCTGTGGCGAAACATCTGTCCTCTTGACTTGTCCCGTGCACGTCATGAATACCTGCATTGCCGTACCCCACGATCATTGCAGTCCCGCTCTTGCAGGATGCAGACAAGCGCAGCGGCGGCAAAGTCATCATCAGGGTCGCTCCCGCCGACAAGCGCACATCCAAGCTGTAGATTGCTAGACCTGTTCATTGCTCCATTTGTTTATCTTGACTGCCAGTCACTATGGTCCATGATGGTTGGTTGAACAGGTCGGGCACAGATTGTGAACTGTTGAATTGAATGGATGAGCCTCGGCGCGTCGGGCTCCCACACAAGCACAGATCATCGACACACTACTGTGGGTATACGTCGCTCATATATACATATGTATAGGTGTATATTTAATTATATATCTCGAGCGGCTTGTACACTTTCGCGCTCTCCTATTACATGTCCTATATATTTTTGAGTTGCGCATAGCAGCACATATGTCGGTGCGGCTTCTCTCCTCGGCAATCAGCATGAATGGGTGCAGAGCTTGATGTCCTGCGTGTGCTGATCGACCTTTGCCAAAGATTCGGTGAGGAAGTGGCCGCCGGCTGCCGTCTCCAAAGGCCATCGTCCTCCTTGACGCGTGTTCTCACTGATCCCTCGTGGTCAGCGACGCAGCACCAACGCAATAGTCAAGAGTGAAGGCGCGCCCCTTGTCAATATGTCGACAGAGGCATTTCCGACCATGTCTCCAAAGTTCGAGCACGACGCATCTCTAAAAGGAGAGAACACTGGGCTCGTCGCAGAAGGGACAGCAGGCGCGTCGCAAGTCGTTGCGGAAGCGACAGGTGAGAGTCATCTCTTTGACTGTGACTCATTGCAAGTTCTTCTCACACGCGAGGCTCATCACTTTGTGTAGATCCAATGGACAGGATCGCACAGCTTGAAGCGGTGCTGAAAGAGAAAGAGGCCATCATCGAGGCTCTATCGCTAGCATCTCCACCCAGGCTCTCAGGGGCTCTCGACGCGTCGGACCCGCTTGCTGAGGTGCAACCCGAGTCGGCCTATGGCTCCCGCGCCAAGCGAGAATCTCTGCCCTCGCCTACAGCGAAGACCGGAAGGTCATCGCTGAAGGCCAATGGCCTCCATGGAAATGGCACAGGCGGCGCTTCTGAACCATCTGCACCACATGCAAACGGACGACGGCGCAGCTCAAGCTTGGATCCCCTCTCCTCTCCAAATCTACGACAACAGTCGCCAAAGAATATAGAGCAGTTCTCTTCGATATCGCTTGCCGGGGCCAGTCGTGACGTAGCAGCAGAGGGTACTCGCGAGCGGCGATCTTCGAACTCCTCCATGCGATCCACTCGCACGGGTGTATCTATTAAGGTCGACTCATCCTCAAGACGAAGCAGTCTCTCTTCAGCCACACTGAAGAACGGAAATATCGACGGCTCCCTCGCTCCGTCAGACTACGCGAGCGACAATGGTAGCGTGCTTGGGCTTCATCCCAATGGTGATGGAAGTCGGAAGAGCCCGGCCGCGGGCAACTGGGCCACAAAATTCCGGCGGGCACCCAGCCCTGCGCCGAGCAACGTTAGTGAAGCCGACTCTGTCTCTTCCTCACGAGGTGGCGGCGGAGGTTCCGCTTTTACAAACGGGCTGGGTGCGTGGCGGAGAGCATCTCTACAAGCAGTTGGCCGACGGCGGAAGTCCGGCATCATCAACCTCGACCACAGTCTGGTGTCTCCCACTACGCCCGGCAGTGCTACCTCCGAAAGCGGACCAGGAGGATTGGGGCCACTCCGAGAAGCTGGAGCGAGAAGCACGCAGCTGGCGGTGGAAGGGTTCTCCGCGCCGACGATCGCGTCGGAAAATAGACGTCTAGCAGTTCTCGCGCAGCAAGCCCAGGCCATCACGTCTGGCACCACAGCGGCGAATGTGCCGAATGGGAGCAACCCTGGCGCCGGCGGATCAGGCAAAGTGATTAGCGCTTTGACAGCGGAGCTGCAATCCACGAAGAACCTCCTCGACAATGCCAGGTCGGCGTTGCGAGCATCTCAGCGCTCCACATCAGCTGCGCAACGAGGCCTGGAGGACACAAAAGAGGCGCTCGGTAGGTCAAGACAAGAGAACGAGAACATGAGCCGAATGCTGGAGCGGAAAGATCGACAGCTCGCAGAGGCACTCGAGCGCGCACGAAAAGCTGAGAGTGAGTCCAAGGACCTCGGGCGGCAGTCGCGCGAGTGGGGCACGCGCGTGCGCGAGGTTGAGTCCGAGCTCGGCGAAGTACGCCGCGAGAAGGCGAAGGACGAAGCTCAATATGAAGCGATCCGCTCCGCATGGGACTCTACACGCGAAATGTGGAGGAAGGAGTTGCAAGAGTTGCGCGAGCAAGTGGCCAAGCGCGACGAGGAGCGACAGCAGCACGTTGACCAGATGAAAAGCAAGCTCGACCAGATGGACGCGTTGTATCAGTTGCGAGTCAACGATACTTCTGATATCGAAGGCGCTGTTTCCCAGCTCAAGCTGGAGACGGACAAAGCCGCTGCCCTCGTACGCCAGCAGGTCGAACCGCTGGCGAAGCAGGCCGACTTTATCGAGCAGGAAGAGAGAAGGATGGGAGAGACTGTCGATATGGTTCATCGGGAGCTCAAGCGCATCCTGCGCCTCGCAAGGGCGGGTGACACAAGCGGAGGTTAATTCCCCGACGTAAGGAAGGAGAGCTAGTCATACCCTTGCGGTCTTCTTATATGTGGCAATTTTCAACGATCTCAACACTTGGCATACTGCACTTGCGCTACTACTCACTCACATTTGTACTATGTATATTCACACCTTCCCGCAATGCGTCATCATTGGACGCCACGGTCCCTATGGGTCTGCCCTACCCGACAGTATAGATGCTTTGGGAGGGTCCGCTGTACGTCATGTTTGTCTAAGTGTCCATGCAAGTGACGCTCAGGCATATGAAATGCTTCCGTGGAAGGGGGAGGGGGTTGGTAAGGGGGTCAATATCTTGAATGCCACGGAGAAAGCAGCTTTCAAAGGATCGTGAACAATATGCGTATACGTTTGCCGCCTTTTCGTGATCACCTATGTTATGAACTACTCGCCCATATCCCAACAGTAGTTCGTGCACTGATCCGGCAACGTGTATCAGCAAATAGATCTCACCCAGCTAATGAACAGAGGGTATGAGGCCTGTCCTTCAGCAAGCTTGTAAGCATGAAAGTCTCTCTGCATCAAGTGGTCGCCAACTGCGGCGTACACCGACCAAAACCGTCATCCTCGCCGACTTTCTTATAGCACCTCCCTTGTCTCCCACACGCTTCGCGCACTACAAGACTTGGACGATCAGTCCGAGAGGGACGAGCCTCATCATGAGTTCACAGCCGAGCCGAAGCTTGACAAGGACCACCCTGCTGCCAAGGCCTAGTACTCTGGTGACCCGGAAGAAAGGGTTGCACACGGCCACAGCCACGAAACAGCGGCAGTCACTGCCGATTGATGAGAGGACGTCAGTTCAGCATGGCCATCTTGCCTGTTCGCCCTGGCAACGAAAACGGAAAATCTTTCTATCTGCAGCATCATAGGCACGATAAGCGAACACGCCATATTCTGTTATCTACGCTGTCCCATATGATGCAGCCTCGCCATCAACGCGTCCAGGCGATCGACCATCCATGTATCGATCGGTGACATGAACCATCAATGCGGCTTTAAATGATCGATGCCGAGTGTTCTTGTTGTGCGTTGTCTGTGTGCTTCCCCACTTGTTTCTCTAAACTCGATGGCCTTTTGCTTGGAATCACACGCAAACGCCGCCCATGTCTCGAAAGGGTAATAAGGTCGACCTAGGCGATTACCTAATGCAATAAGGGTTGCTATGACGCTGTCTTGAGCAGGGTTTGACGTTTACTCGACACTGATGGCGACCTCCTACACTTCGAGACAGTGCGAACATCAGAATAAAGCGTCCTCAACATGGCACTCTGAATATCAGACTTCTGACCCACATCCATAGCTTGGATATAGGGCGGAGTTTTGGGTTTCTCCTGAATTTCCTGCGCGCGCCGCTTCTTTCCTGCGGCCTGCGTCGGTCATAGCCATGCGGAAGCGCTACACACTCATCGCCCTTTTTCTCTCCGGCCTGCGACTACAAGACCTCCCCATCCTCCATCAATTTGCGGAGCAAAAACCATCCTCAGCCAAGTTCGCGAGTCCAGTCACTCGTATGTAACCCGTGTATATGTATGATCATTGCATGATTGAAGTTGGCGGCCTGCCCGGCTTGAGAAAGGGAGGGCCCGGGGAGATTGCGGAGGCGAGGATGCGCATGCTCAATATTTGGAGAGCTGGAGTGCATCGCGTAAGGAAATTATAGAGAGTGGAGGTCTGGGAGGTTTCGGTCATACGGATTCAGTTGCGGAGTCGGTATGGAATGCCCATTTACCGTGCCAGATATCTCAATACTTCAATCTTCGATCTGAAGGCAAGGTTGCAGGCCAAAATTTCCAATCTGTCCTTCCACTTTGGCCTTCCCGAACTAATCATTCCAGCCATTATCAGAACCATCCGCGGGGGTGGCAACAGGGTTGAAGGAGTGTACATAAGAAAGGAGCTAAACACTGAAGAAGTAAACATCGAGCGCAATATCTCCAAAGCGCTCTCTGATCTTGACGTCCCTGTTCGGATGTTTCATACCAAATCTCTGCTCATTCCGCAAGGTCTTCCTTCCCCCTCACCGAGCTTTCCGGTGTATTACACACACTTTCTAAAGTGCGTGGACGGGCCCAACATGTTCCAAAAGCCACTTCAGCACCAGAGAAACCAAGGCTTTCGCAAAGCTCTCTGGCCTGCAAGATCCTGCGGGCGTCTGGTACTTCAGCGGCAAGGATATGGAAAGCGATGCTTCAGCTGTCGAGATGGCGCCGCTTAGTTGAGTACGAGCAAGAATTCTGTACTCGGTCCCTTTTCTGGCGAAGCGGCTGCCAAGCTACCAACAGCTTTTGTTCGGGAAGGCGGCGAGACCGAAGTACTTGCACGTTTGAGCACTGCATCACCGGCGGAAAGGACTTGCCAGCCGTGCCCTACAAAACGACGCAACGGTATGCTAAGCGAAGATTATTCGACCAAGATGACTGCTTCTCTGGCGCATAGCCTCCTCTCACTGCGCCTCGTGGCGGCAAAGGCTACAGGCTTGGACGAGCAGCATGGCGCGAAGGGATCGCGGAAGCTACTGGATCATCTTCGAGCTCTGTAGAGATATTTGGTCTGGAAGAAGCGGGCGCAGAGCACGTTGTAACAAGAAAGTGTGAACAATCGTTTACTGAACGGCCTTTTCGACGGTGCTCATTGCACAATTTACAGACTGGGCTCTTCGATGCTCACCCTGGAAGGTATTGAAGGCTTCCTGAATCCAAAATCGGCGCAGGTCAAAGCATATGACTGGAAGGTGCCTCAGGCTCTGGAGGATCGAAATGACGGCCTTATTCGCTGAGCGACGGCCAAAGCGGGCGTTGCGCTCGGAGACGCCGATATGAAGGAGTTAACTGCTGCTGGGTACGTTGTGCTTTTCCTGAATCACCGTGTTTACAATCGCATGGGCTGATCTTCGTTTCCACGCGCAGCTTCATCAGCAATCGCGGGCGACAGAGTGTCGCAAGCTTCCTGACCAAAGATTTGTACTACGATTTGAGGCTCGGCACCGATTTTTCGAATTATGGCTGATCGACTAGGATCCTTACTCGAATTGGGTGAATCCTTGAGCGATTCCCCACTGAGCGGAGCGTTGCCCATGCTGAACTTGGATACCTCTTCTCTCCGAGCTGCAGGACAATATGTCGCTGGCGCTGGCAATAACCCTCGAGCTGCCCGCCAGTTTAACCCGAACAGACAAGGAAAGGATTATGATAGACAGGATGAGCTCCAGTTCGCAAATGCAATTTTTTCAATCGGAACGCAAGGTGTCACATTCCGCCTGGTTTTGCATAGCGAAATACATCAGGGCCTGGCTGTCCGAGTTGAAGTACGTCTCAGATGCGTCTGCTCATCATCCCTGGACACTGAATGACGCAGAGAAGACTAATGGCTACCCTGCGCATCCTATCGTCGAGGCGGCGGCAGCGGAGGACGTGGTGGCGGCACTAGCGGTGGGCAAGGATAGAACCATCATAGGCTCATTCTTCATAGCAACATTAGAACTGCGTCCTTGAGACCATTGGCTAGTAGGAAGGTCCAGGTGTAGACAACGAAGAGAGGAAGCCGAATATGCAAGCATGAGTATAATCTTTTTGGTATATACTCTGTTTCAGTGCACAGCACAACATAAACTATAGCCTTCAGTATGTGTACTGATTCGCAACATAGCAAGCGGCATTACTTAATAGAGTCATTTCGATACGGACCGCGTGTTTCACCGACAGCCTGCGAAGGTGCCGAGGCAGGCGATTGGGTCATTGGCAGCTGCATAGTATGCTCATGATGAAACGGCAGCTTTCTGACACCGATGAAGGGCAGGCTCCTGGAAGTAATAATCCCAGGCTTCTCAAGTGTGCAGTGTGCAATGCTTAGTATGCACATGTTCTATACGGACGTGACGTGCCGGGAAGTGCATAGCGAGGCTGCAAGGCGCAAAGGGCATATCGGGATCGTTCCTAGCGATATTGGGGTGCTACGTGTCGAAAGCTGCTTTTCCCTTCGAGGTTTAAACGCTCAGCGCTTCAACCTTTAGGGCTCCAGCGATCAGAATTCAACATGAGTTCGGCGCGTTCACTAAGACGTGCCGGACGAAACCTCAAATTCAACCCTGGCAAGCTGGGAAGATCGGATGTTCCACAAAGATGCCGATTCTTTGATCGATCGGCTCCAAGCGACTGGCTCCCACGCCCGTTCTTTGATCGTAGCGGTTCGCAATACTGGAGAAGACAGGTGGAGGGTGGGGCGTTCGCTTTCTGTTGTGAAAAGATCGGGGTATTGGGAAGGTTCTCAACCCACCTTTGCCACTTTTCGAGTGAATTTATAGGGGTTTTGCCTGGGCGGTGATTTTTTAAAGCTTGCAGGAGTTCAACCGTCAACTTTCTTTTTATAACTGAGAATCTGAAAACTCAGATGGAGGGCCACGTGGGCGGAACTCGGATCTGCACCGGGAGGGCCCGATCGATCCTTGCTGGATGGCGGAGACAGCACTGACACCTGCCCTAGCCTGCGAGCTGTCCAGCGTATGCGCTGTGCAGCCGGCGTGTGCCAGGAGCATATACATGATTGTATGTCAGCGTAGAGTCGTGTCAGGTCGTGTCCTCACAAGTCCTGTCATGGCCGGCCGTGTTCAACGCGTCGTCAGCACGTTAGCGGTCAGAACGCTCGGAAGCCGTCGCCTCGTAAGACCCTCAGCGCATGTCTGGACTCTGGAGCTGTTGGAGTTTGGACGCGTAATGATGCAACGCATCTCATGCTGGGTTCACCCGCGCCGGGCGGCACGGTGACTTGCGCGGCTCATGAGTTTGTCCTCTACGTGAAACGCGTCATCAACGTTGTGTCAATTCACCCAGTCGCATCAGATATGCCTGAAAGCGCTGCAATCTGCGCAGTGCGTAGTGCACATCTGCAGCACAGTCATATGCAAGTAGCCAAATACAGTCTTCCAGTCTACGGAGAAGCAGGCGCTTTGGGTCCTCTGTGGCCGGTGCATACCCTGAGCTTTGCTTCGAGCCTGCCTTATTCGGCGTATGTATGTACACATAGCTCTGAATCTGCATTTTCAATGCTGAGCTCCGAAGCTCATGATGTTCCATTCTAGACGCTTACTTGCCATTGCTGCGGCGTCCTCATTTCTAGAAAGCCCTGAGCTTCTGAAAGCGTATATACACCAAAAGCAAGTCAGGGAAGGCGGACACCGGTACTCCGGCAGCAGGACATCAGGCTAGCGGAAGCAAGTCAGCAGTCCATGTCTTCTCGCCTGCACATTCTTCATTTCTTGATCCTCTCCTTTAAAGAGTTCATTCAGATCGGGTATAGAACTTGGTCCTTGGCGCATGGCCAAGGAGTGGCGGAAACTCCGGCGCATCTTTACTTCATGCCAGTGCCCAGCAGCCACTGCTAACTACTTCGCCTACTCGCCCGCCGTTACACGTGAGGAGAGCGACACTGTTGACACTAGACTTGTCATACCTATAGCATACTCAAGAAGATCACGAATGAGCATGGCTCGACAGAACAATCACTTGGCTGGGGACTGGGGCCACTCAAAGTTCAAATTTTATTTAACCGATTTAGCATTGAGAGCGACGAGGCCTGCTTGCACGAAGTGCGACGTTCCGCGGCAGCATGGACTCGTCGGGAAGGGACCCCTTTCTGACGCTCGAGTCAAGGAAAGTCGACAATGAGGGATTCGAAACCCCAGGAGGGTGTGAGGCGATGAGGTCGCCGAGCATTTCAAGTGCAGATGAGACCGCCATACTCTTACAAAAGAATGTAACTCAATGTAAATACTAGCATCCGTCCTTCGTGTGCCCGCGAAGGAGAAAATGATGCTGAAGACGGAAGGGAACGGGACCTGCGGCTCCTGAGATTTGTGGCCTGTGGCAGATGGAGCGCATTCACTCGTGAGACCAGCTACACGTAACAACGGGGCAAGCGCAGCTTGCTACTCGTTGCCAGGCTTTTCCCGCCTTATTTATCGCAGGAATTGCAAAAGTGCGCTGCTCCTCAACGTGCTTTGCCTTCAGCGTGTCAGTATCAGCGATCAGCCATGGCTGGGCATGGCCTCTAATACTTTACGGACAAGCTTCCGGATCTCACCGTATCACTGAGCATTAATCACTCATCACTCATAGCACCCATCACGTCCTCTACTATAATAGAGGTCTGGGGTGCAATCAGCTATGTGCTCAGGCCGGGACGGGCCGGGAATACTGCCATTTGGGATCATGGAGACTAAGTCTCCCCGGGTCTCACTACAACCTGGGTGAGCCGTACTTCCAAGTTCCAGCGCTGCACAACCTTTTTCAGCCTGCTTTAGACTTTCGGAGCTTCAGAGCTTCAGCGGACAACATCACACAATTGACAGTAAATAACCTCACAGCTTACGCCTCACGCCCATCACGCGACACGCCAGGACTGGCCACTTCCGGTCATGTCAGTACCGCATACTGACTCCTGAGTCCTTCGGGTATCTTGCTCTTCCCCACCCCCTTCCCTTTTCATATCACCGAAAGGCGGTGGGAAGGCGTGTGTATTAAAGTGTATGTTTGACATTTGCACATTTCAGTATCTACGATGGTCATAGGTCTGCATTTGAAATTTGAACGTTATGAGCCGGGAGAGTGCTTTTCCTTGTGCCTAGCTTAAGTATATACTGCTTCTCATTTCCCATTGGTGAGTATAGTGAGTGATTTTATCCTATCCTGTCTAACAAGAAGTGATGCCAAGAGCTCTCTCCCCAGCTTCTCGCTCATCAGGCATTAAGTATCAGCGATCAGTTCTTACATGGCCCCCGTTCGACGGTTCAACCTTCCGATTTCCCATGCTGGTTCAAAGTTTCAGCGTTCAGCGTTAAGACATTCAGCGGTTCTTCCCTAGGAAAGCATGATGGCGCTAAAAGTAAACAGCCCTATTAAACATTTGTACTATGTATGTGCATATGAACATACATACAAAATAGTCATGTTTGCACAAGACTACCGCAAGGGGCAACCAGATTAACGAGTCACTTGGGATGACCGGAAGTTTTTAGTGTTTGGAGTTCAGTGCGGCTTCCATTTAGAATAGCTCATAATGGAACCCCACTTATGGCATGTGCATGGATGCACATTGACAGCAATTGCAGATACCGGCAGGCACAGGCTTATAGGCAGGGCGGGGGAATACGAGTATGCAGCCGCAGTCTGCAATAATGCAGTGGCACATGCATAGGTACACATGAAAATATGGGGAGGATTTCCCGGCCGCATTCGAGATCTCTCTAGAATTGGTCAGGAACGGATAGATTCCACATATTCTGCACATTGTGCTCGCACTTGGCTGTTCAGAGCTTCTGCAAGCAACCGCGCACAGTGTTTGGCGGGCTGCCGTCTCATCTCAGCGCGCTTCGCCGGAGCATCACCACACCGTCACCGTTCAAGGATGCAAGTGTCACGTCATTATTATTCCCTGTTTGCCGTTCGGCTGTTCCGAGGGCAACGTTCACCATTTCCAGCACAGTCTATGTGTTCAATCACCTCAAGGGTTCATGCGTTTCATGCTCACGGTTCACTTGCATCATGCTTACTGCAAAATGGCACAGTGGTTACACGCTTCCAGAGGCTATTAGGCCAACACAGGCTTTCTCATGCAGCTTCTCTCATCATGATATATGTAGTGTTTATGCAGGTTTCTTTATTATAGTATCGGCGCTGAGAGCTCGAAGATGCTGCACGCCCAAACCACTGATGCGTGCGCACTGCAAGGAGAGCCTTTTGACGTTCAACTCCAGACTGCACAATTCCACTGCAGATGCTGGACCTGGTCAGACGAGAGAACAATGCTGGTAGCAGGTTGCATGCCTACTCGGCCCACGCGCTGATAGATCACTGCGTTACGGCGCGAACCCATCGGCTGTGTATTGTGGAGCCTCGAAAGAGTGTCACGACGGATCATTGGTCCTCAACGATGTGCAAGACGGGAGTGTTTTGGAAAGCAATCCTATTTCCATCGCGGCATGGCGCACACTTCTCCTATCAAGAGTGCATTGTTCTGTTCCGACTTTCGTCACATATACAAATCACAATCCACATCACAGAAGCGGTGATTATGCGCTGATTATGAGCTTGACGGTTTGATGGGGCGATGAGGGGAGTAGGGATCGCCGATGGACTGGCGATGAACGCGACGAATGGAAAACTCGAACGCGGTGGGAAAGTCCGAAATTTTGGCGCGCGCGGAGCGCGTCTCTCCTTTGAGGGGGAGCGACCACATTAGCGTATGAGCACAGACGCCTCGAGTCTGAGGAGTGGCAGGTCGTCTTTGGATGGGTCAGGTCCTCCGATCTTGCAGAAAAGAAAGAGTTGAATCCACAGCAGACATGCGCTACGTGGTGCGCACATTCTTCAGTGCTCTGCAACGCTGCACAAGTGTAGAGTAGTTCAGAGTGCAGGCCAGTGAAGGCATGCGCATTGCGTGCGCCCACGGCAACGGCTGAGCGCCGGAAACTCAAGGCCTGTGCCCTTTAATAAACATCATTCTCATTCTCTCAAATTCTCACTTTCTTGCTCTTCCTGGTGAGCGCCTGCAGCCCTGCCTGCCCTGAGCGCCTGAGCGCGCGAAGAGGAACTGCCCAGCTGGCCATCTTATGCTGCAGTCGCCTGTAGATCGGCCGCATTTTCATCTTGGAAAAGTATATAAAGAGCTCCTGCAGGCTTCTGCGGCCTGCGAGTCATAAGCGTCCAGCCTGTGAAGGGTAATCTAGCATTGTGGATGGCACTTGCAATAGCCCGCAAAGTGCAATGTGCAATCAGCATTTACAATTGCATTCTGCGAGCCTGTGGGGAGGTATTTTCATACGGTGCAGGGAGTGTTTTGGGGCCCGACTTTCGCACAGACTGACACGCCTCCTCCCCTCGTCTCACGAGAGTCAGCTTGTTGAGCCAGTAGATTGTAATTTGTGCCTAAAGTGTGAAGCACAGCTCATTAAGAACAACCCGGACAAACGCGCTGATTGTATTGTTTGACACCTTAATTCCACGCGAAAGCGCCAGACTACATGTGAAGTGTGACATTGACAATGTGTCTCACATGAAGGCATGTCGATCCACGCGTTTGGACATTCCTGGCCGCCTCGGGCATCGATCGAAACGCAGCGCTATGCTTGTGAAACGTGCGACTCGTAGTTGGAGCCGGCGCTGGTTCCTGCTCGCTCATCTTGACTCTTGTTTGCGTGCAAAGAACATATGGTTTCTTTCGGATTTCGCACTTTGCGCCCTCATGCGGCCTGTGCAGCCTTTCCCTCTGCATGTACATGATCCATATTTATCTTTAATACTTTCTTTTTAGCCGTTGGAGGTTGACAAAGCTTGATCTACGAAGACACGGCGAAGGTGAGTGATTGGCAATACGAAACACAGTTTTATTCTTGCGAATATGCGATATTTGGCTTTTTGTGTGGGCTTTGTTGTGAAAAGCTCGTCGGGTAGAATTGCCCCCATGTAAGCGCGACGAGGAACACTCTCGGACGGTGTGTCCGCGGCTTGTCATTATTTTTACTGTTTAGGGAAACCCCCACTGTGTTGTGTGTGCTATGCCCCAGCCCACTGTGCTGTACTGCGCACGCGAGCAAGCCTTTGCTCCTGAGCGGGTGTTTGCTGCGGCGCTGTGCCTGTCACCTGCAGCCAAAGGCTGTAAGGAGTCTCCCACGCTCCACGCGATCGACATGCAAGACCCATCGTCGATACCCTCGTCCCGTCACACTTCAGGGCAGTATGGCTACTCTGCGTGATTCGGCTATGTATGACCATGTTAGGCCGTGAGTGCCCATCGTTCAGGAGTTTTGGGCATCTCATGCGTAATATTGCTAGCAATGCGCGTCTTGCTTTCGAGCAAATCGCCAAACTGTGTCTTATTAAGAGTGGAATCCGGGTCGATTAGCATTGGCTGTGAGCTTTTTTGGCGGGATGAAATGGATATGATATGTACATAGATATGCCCGTTTGGCGTTGTTGGCGAATGGCGAATCCCAAATGCGTTCTGTGTGCGAGACTGCAAGACGCCAAAGTCTCCTGGCAGTATCACACACTCGCAGGAGCAGTAGGGAGGTTTTGCCGCCTGTCAGGGGACTGGACGGGCATGGGCGCCTGGGCGTGGGCGCAAACGTAAACGAGAGAAGCTCGCCACCCAAGACTGCGGCTTGGATACGGGTTCTCACGTAAAACATGCAATACATGTGCAAACTGTAACAGAAGCTAAAATGAACAGTACGGCGCACGGCGCCTGCCTGCAGAGTCAGCGGCTATCTTCGCAATCGTGTCTCCTGCCCTCTCTCTGTCCCCTCGGGCCCATTTGCTCTCCGAGTTGGGCCTAATCAAACCGGTCCCAAGCTCCGTCCGCCGTCGCTCCGGCACTCCGAAGGGCATACGCCGCTTCTCCCACATTCCAAACAACCCTCCCCACTGGCTTTGCGCTCTCTTTTGGGGTACCGCTGGATGATCATAAGCCATTCAACATCGTGAATTGTTTAGCCATCTCCCTCCCAGTCGCCGCCCCTCTAATGATTGCTGGACCCTAGCTAGACAAACGAATCGTCCACGATCTCGATTCTCAAGGATCCTCCTCCAACGATCGGATGTTCATTATCATTACTTTATACTCCAGCCTCATCCGCATTTGGCGAAACCAGGTCTCTCCAAAGTGCACAAGGGCTTGCCTTGTCGAATCTCCCTTGGCACTCGCAATCTTTCAATTTCGACACAAGATCAAGCTGCCAACTGTCGCGAGTCGCAACGAGCTACGCGTAGAAGTCATCAAGCCAAGGCCAGCCAACCATCAATGATCTTTATAAACAGAGTAGTGGGTGTCTTATTTTTTAGACTTGTCCATGACTACCTGATGCACCTGACATCCGTTGCTGAATGTAGCTTGCGCTATCGTACAGACCTTGATCTATCGACTCTCGTTACTCCCAAGGCAGCTTGCTCCAAAGTAACCAACCCCAGCGCTATCATCATACGACGGAAATGAGCTCGGAAGAATCAAGACCATTCATCACAGCACGCTCCGTACTCGCACGTTCCGTGTACTCGCGGCGGCCAAGTCTCCCACCCGCTCTCGAGAGTTCAGCTAGCAGCGTCAGCCTTTCTTCTCCCACACTACCACAAGGCTTACCGTTCTACAGCGGCGTTGGTTCTGCTTACTCTGCCACCGCAGCACTATCCTTTCCACGCAAACTTTCGCTTGACGAGGCTGCCACCATGACAGATTCCCAGGACCTACCCCAACAAGCCTCCGAGCCCGAACCGACGGACAAAGAGGACACGGCGTTGAATGCGCGACTGCACCAGCATCGCCAGCAACGCCAGCACTGCATGCCCCTAGCAACATTCCCACACGCATCTATCGAGCTCTCCAGGAAGGATGCCCTCTCCAACGACGAGACTGCTCGCTTTAGCGCCATCAAACACATGTTGTTCTCTCGCAACGCCGCTATCGCCATTCAAGCCGAAGACAGCAGCATGGACTGGGACGTGTCGGATGTGCCGTCCATGCCTGGATCGGTCAGCATGATCAGCAGCGAATCGTCGGCCAGCATGATCAGCAGCAGCGCCGAGAGCGGTGTTAGCACAGTGAATACAACCTTGTCGAACGGGCAACTCACGAGTCAACTTCCCGGCTCACCGTCAGCTTTGTCGGTGCAGGCGGCAAAATCAAGCGCCGCGACTCAGCATTCCACGATGCAGATGCCGCCAAGCGTTCGGTCAGCCTCTTCGACGGGCTCGGGCGCTTCTTCGCAGACCGAAGACATGGACGAAGATATTCCACCGCCGCTTTCACCGTCTAACGGTTCCGTCAAGAGTGTCAGCCTGCGGACTCCAGCACGAGAAAGCCGTGAGAGTCAGCAAGGCTCCATCTTTCAAGCCAATTACTCCATGGGTCCAGTCGGATCGCAGCCTATTACCCCTCATCTCGCACAACGTTCGCTCCCGACTTGCGACGGGAGCTCGCAGCTCGACGCCTCATCTGACATTGGCGGGCAGTCATTCAGCACATCACCTCGCGGCTCGGCTACAATCAGTCAGAGCCTTGGATTGGTCCTGTCCGACTCGCCTCTCGGCACTTTTGCCACGGGTGCCGACAAGGGGAACGCGCTTCCGATGCAGAGACCCTCGGCTGCAGCCATCAAGCGAGCCAAGCGTTCTTCTGCGCTCTCGCCATTAAAAATTGCACCTGAGTCAGCATTCGGACGGCCGATCCAGCCGACGACGCCAAACGGGTCCTTCATCCCGTACGCGCGCGACGGTGCTGCCACTGGCGAAGCGAGAAGCCCTTTCGAGCCACCAACTCCGTTCAGAACCACGAGTAGCATGAACGGATTTCCTTTTGGCAGTGCCAGCTCCGTCGATGCTAGCGATCGCATGCCTTTGCCTGCGTCCACAAGCCTCCTCGCTCGCAGCGCCAAGCCATCGCGAAGCGGATCGCTGAGCCCTATCTCTGCGGACTTTGCAGCTGTCGTCTCGTTGTCGCAATCTGTGAGTTCTCTGCAGCCTTGACCTGCATCCAATATGGCTTCATTGCTGACACTTGGACGGTGGTACGCAGAAATTGCGAGACGGCTCACAGTCTCGCTCTCCATCACCTGCTACCAACAACGCTTCTCGCCGTGCCAGCTTGATGGAGACGCCGAGCGGTAGCTCGAAGCGCGCTGCAGAGATGCACCGGAGCTCTCTGAGCGGCCCAACTCGTCCCAAGCTCATCAAGTCGAAGAGTTCAATGGGCAAGCCGTACGTGCCATCGTCGCCTTACTCGCTCCCAAACTCTTTGCAGTCATCCTCTTCCGGTGTCTTTCGCACAGTGAACGCAGCAGGCCAGTCGGTCGCTGGAAGCCTGGCACAACCCTCCGGGATGCCGCTGTCTGGTCTCGTCAAGCCGCTCATCACGACGACTCCGCCGCAACCGAGCTTCGAACTGCCAAACGACCAGCTGTCCGGCCTTCCAGAGCCTCTGACCGATGCGCTTCTGTCCGCCAAAGCAGCTCCATCGGCCATGGCAAAGGTCCCTTCGGTCGCCTCGCGCATGCAGAACATCGGCAAGCCCGTCCAGCCGCAAGCAATACCGATGGACCGCTCACAGTCCCTGCCCGTCTACCAGACCGTGTCCGCTCGCCATCTTGCGTACCGCCATCTTCACCCGGTTTTCGAGGCGAACTACACTCTCGGCCACGAGCTTGGCAGCGGTGGCTTTGGATTCGTCGTCGCAGCTCGCAGGTCGCAGGATGGTCGGCCCGTTGCAGTAAAGTTCATCTGGAAGGAGAAGGTTCCTTCTCACGGATGGGTGCGCGACCCACAACTCGGCATCATTCCCATGGAAGTGTTTGCCCTCAAGGTCATTGACCATCCGAATGTGGTTAAGTTCATCGAGCTCTTTGACGATGATGACTTCTTCTACCTCGTAATGGAGATGCATGGCTCGCCGTGGAAAGCTCCCGAGGCGATTGATGACAAGAAAAAGACTGTGGCCTTGCCGCCGACATCAGAGTGTCTCAGCCCGCCACAGCGCCATGTTCCGATGGAGCGCCGCTCTTCTTGCGACCTCTTCGAATGCATCGAGCAGCACTCGCGGCTGTCGGAGGAGCAAGCGCGATGGGTGTTCGCGCAGGTCATCGAGGCCGTCTGGCATCTGGATTCCCTGGGAATTTGCCACCGTGATATCAAGGATGAGAACTGCGTCGTCGATTCTGACTTCAATGTCAAGCTTATTGACTTTGGCTCCGCCGTTGTTTCGGACCCACGCAAGCCACCACCATACTTCAACCGCTTCTTTGGCACGATGACTTTTGCCAGCTCGGAGATCCTCCAAGGCAAGCAGTACCGCGCGCCTCATGCCGAAGTGTGGAGCCTTGGCGTCCTGTTGAGCATTCTGCTCAGCGGGCAATGTCCATTCAGCGACCCTAGCGCCGCAATCAAGGGCCAGATCAGCAAACCCAAGGGCATGTGGACCAAAGAGAGTCTCGGGCTGATGCTGCGTTGCCTCGAGGTCGATCCGGATCGCCGTGCCACGATTCAAGAGCTGCGCCAGCACCCGTGGGTCAGCAAGGCCTGGGAGGTTCCGGGCCGCTCCCGGCCTGGCTCAGTCTAAACCATGACGAGGCATGCGGGAAGTGCGTCGTTGGTTTTTCTTCGCTTCTCCTTGTCATATGGGCATTCGATTACCTTTCAGTCTTCGACTACGACATCACTCTGGATACCTCTACGTGGTATGGACCGTCCGCCATGCCATGCTCCTTGCATTAGGTCATTTCATTTGCTCGAACAGAACATCATACATTATCGGACTCAGAAATCTGGCGCATTCAACATTCTACTGTATCTCTCGTCGCAGTCTGGCGAAAGACTGACAGCGCCATCACCTTTAGCGTTGAGGCTCGGCCTCTTCTACTCACGAGCCCCTGCATCTCAGGTTAATCAGCACCCTCAACACACCAAACCGTTGACGTTTTCACTTCGCATATTCCACCGCTGGTCACTGGCCATCCTCGAGCTCCGGCTTTTCCTCAATTTGCCGCTACCACTCACGCTTGGAGCCGTCAGCAGCGATGATTTCCTTTCTTCTTTTCATGCACGGCCACACGATCGTGTCAGCCGTGCAAGCAAGCAACACTCCATACTTTACCCGAGCTACTACTCCAGCCATCATTGTCATTACTTTCACACACCCCCGCTCCCTCATGCACACCACCCGCAGCATTCAATGATCGGATCGAATCATGGACATTGTAAGCTTTCCCAAATCACGCTTCAATGGCTAGTTACTCTCTTGTGTTCATAGTGCATATAATACCACCGGTTCGGAAATGAAATCACGATTTGAAGTTCACGATTACTGTTCTGACATGCGACACGTGCTTACGAACAGGTGCCGCGTCGGCTCCTACTAATGAATCATCTAGAGTGATGCTTCGGGCCGCAGCGAATCGGACGACGATGGTCAAGTCTTTAAATGAGAGTGTTGCTTAGAAATACAGTTGCGCATGCAGAACAAGACAGCAAAGATTCGAGGCAAGATTACTTGGCTGCGGCGCACAGACGGGGCGGCAATGTTAGCAAATGTTAGCCATTGTTGCTCAATTGAGCCCATCAAGTGGCGAACGACCGCGCTCACTAAAGATGGTGATGACATCGTCGTTCGCGACAATGTGGTTCAGCCCAACTTTTTGTTCCGCTGGAAATTTGCTTGATTTTCCGTATACCAGCGCACTGCGCCATCAGAACCAACGAAGTTGACTTTGGTCAGGAGAGCTGAAAGTGCAGGCTGGCGCCCACAGGTGCGACTCACTACTTGAACTTGTCGACAATGGCGCGATGTACAGCGTGGCACTTTTGCGTGAATGATGGTACGGTTCGGGTGTCAGGGGGATCTGGTGTAATTCCGGTGATTTGACAATTTCGCTAGGCTACTCACGACATGCTCGACTGTGGCTCCTTTGCGGACGACAAGTGGATCTTCCAGATCGGGATGCTGTCCGCGCTTCTTGGTGTAGATGCGCACCAGATCGAGTTCCTCCCATATTCGGTCCACGAGGTGGTCAAGGTTGAGGCCTTTCTCGCAGCTGATCACGATGCTATGCGGCTCGTGCGCGAGTTTATTCATTTGCTCCATGCTGATCGAGTCGACTGAAAGAGTGGGATGAAAGGCGGGTGAGGGAAGTGTGTTTTCGTCAGTGGACCGAAGTGAGAAAGGATTCGGTCGACAGGATACTCACTTTTGTTATACACATAAATGCACGGTGTATATTTCCTGTTGCCGAGCACCATATCAATGAATTGGTCCACGGTGATGTCTTCTCGGATCAGAACATCGACATTCTTTAAGAGGTGATCGATGTAAATAAATTGTCCCATTAGCACACAGCCCCAACACTACTCACATGCATCTTGTAGCTCTGTAGGATGGTGCGAATCATCTTTTCGTCAATGTGCGTGAATGTAATGCCCGTGGCTTTTGTGATGACGATACCGCCAGTTGTCTTGCGCTTGATGGTTACTTGGAATTTTGAGAAAGAATAGGTCAACTTCCGTCAGCGTTCTGTCCAATCAATATTCTCAAGAGGGACATCCTGGACGGAAAAGACAGGATATGGAATCGTGGCGAAGTGCAAAGAGGAAGGCAGATCCCCTTGGCACAATGGTAGCACGCTATTGAGCACCTGGCTAGGAATCAGGGGATTGTTTTCCACCGCAGCACGCCGCCACTGCACCACATGCGTGCTTCTCCCGCTCAGAGTGCCCGTAAAGTAGAAGCGGCAGCAAGCCGCTCCAGAGCAGGGAGTGGCCAACTCACCATCTGGCTGCTTCTTGTTTAGCCGAATGCCCACGTCCTCGAGTTCCTTCTCGAGTAGAGCCCGCTGCGCCGCTGGTTTCGTTGCGTCCAGCATAATCTATCGCGTGTAAGAAATTGGTCAATGAGTCAAGTTACCTCTGAGAATCCTAAAATCACTGCTGTCACTTCACACGGCCGTGGACGCTCACCATGATGAGATCGGCAGTCTTGGCCACACTGACGACCTGCTTGCCTCTACCTCGCCCCTGTGCTGCACCTTCGATGATACCAGGTAAGTCGAGCAGCTGTATCCGTGCGCCTTGGTATTCAATGACACCTGGGATGGCTGTCAGCGTGGTGTACTCGTACGCGGCCGTTGCGCTCGCTGTCTTTGTGATCTTAGTCAAGAGGGTCGACTTGCCGACGGAGGGAAACCCGATCAGCGCAACTCTTGCGTCACCGGATTTCATCACATCGAAGCCTTCTCCTGGTTTTGAGGATTTACTTGTCGGCTCCAGCAACTGCATACGCAGCTTGGCAAGTTTTCCCTTCAGCAGACCGAGATGGTACCTGCGGATTGGTAGAAGCCATAGTCCACAATCAGCTTTTCATTATATCAGCGTATAGAAACAACGTTTCATTTCCATTGCATCGAGCGTGTCACGTACTCGGTCGCTTTATTCTTCTGCGTCCTCATCATCTCATCTTCCTGAGAGAGAAAGGAGGAGAGCATATATTCCATTAGCACCTCATACGCGCACTCGTTGACGGTCGCCTAGCCCTCACGATCTCTTTGATCTTCTCGACGACACCCATTTTGGCTGACGCGTTCGCTCTGTAAGTCTGGGGAAGCGGGTCTTTCGCTCCTCGCTCAATGGCCTGATTTATCGAATGGCGGGTTTGCTTTCCTAGTGAGGATGTTCTTCTTTGCCGGTACGCAGCTCAGCTATACGCGTGCGATGTCAATGCCATGGAGTACGATGAACGCATCTTAGGAAGTCGAAGCTCGAGCGTCCAGTACAAGAAACGATTGCAATTCTTTCTTTTTCTGCGCCCTGTGTGCATGCATTTTCGGCCGAGAGAAAAAAGTATGCACCACCGCTGCAGAGACACACATTTGAAGTGGGGGCGCGTCGCGCGCAGGAGAACAACACGCACCGCTTGAAGCAATCGTCAAGGCTGGCTTGGTCCTTCAAAAGACCCGAACGCGTCGTGAAATGTTCATGGAGGCTTCTGTGACAAGCTCATTGAAAGGCACGAAGAGGTCAGGTTCAGAAGGAAGATCGCATCGCCATAAGAAGGGCTTGATAGACCAACAGCAACACCCGCACCATGTCTGGCATGGGTCGCGGACGGGGCGGTAGCCCGCGCAAGGCACGCGCCAGCACCGGCTCCGCGCCGACGAACGCGGACAGCAGCAGCAGCATCGCGCGATCACCGACACGGGGCACGTCCAAGCGCGGTCGCAAATCGACAACGAGCGTGCGCGAGAGAAATCCGCCGGACGCGACTTCAGCAACGCAGACAGCCATTAGGCCACCAGCGATCATGGGAAGAAGGAGCCTCTTGCCGCCGCCCCCGCCGACCAATCGCGAAGCTGACGACGTCATTGTTAGCGCAGGCCAGCTGCCAGCGGATGGTGCTGATGAGAGTACTATCTCTGCTTCCGGTCCACGAACGGACTTAGATGCTGACCCCGCCTCCTTGGCCACTCCGGGGGCTTCAAGACACATGGGAGACGACACGAGCATCCTTTGGTCGCGTCCACGCCGCTCGCTTTCCCAGCCTCCACCCAACTCCGTTATCCGTCGGCAGCTACGCACAGCAGCAGGTGGCACGCCACTGCACCCGCCATACCCTGCCGCATCTACACCTCGACGCCAGTTGCCAACGGCCGCAATGTCTGGCACGCTCGGAGGAGGAGCAACCGAGACCCCGCGAAGGGGCACGCCCAGCAGCGTCGGACGCGCCGGTGGCAGCGCGATCGCAAGCGAGGTGCGCCGGCGAAGGCAAGAACGCGCATACATGCTGGCTGAACGCTCGGGAGATGTCAGTACCAATGTTCTCATGCAGCTGACCAGAACGCCCCTGCCCGGTGCCAGTATCCCTATCGGAACAGGTGTGGGTACAGGCCGAGCTTCTTTCGGGCCCGCATCGGTGAATCGATCAAAAAGAGCAGCAGGACGTAAAAGTCGCACAAAGGGAATTGCTGGTTGGGGCGCAGGATGCGTCGAATCACCTTTCGACTTGCTTTCCAAACTGGCAAGGGCACCTGGCTTCTACATCCCCGCATCTGAGCAGTCCATGCTCGCCGAACGCGCGCAACAGCACGCCATGCTTGCCCCTCCCCCCCAGGCGATGGGCAATTCGACCAATCTCAATGCATCAGCGGCAGCTGCCGCTGCGCGTCGTTCCGGGGCCAGCATCGCGTCTGAGTCGCGCTCGGTGCTGCAGCCGGGCGAGTCCGTACCTGGCGAGTTGACGCGCGACCAAAGCGACATGAGCCTCATCGATGAAGACGGCTCGTATACGCGTCGTACTGGTGCAATAGGCGGTGGAGACGAGGATGACGAGCAGGATGACACGGATGCCGGGCTCGCGAGGCGACAGCAACGTATTCGCGCTGGCGTGTTTTTGTTCGACCAGAACAGCACGATGGTGCTCACACCCAACAAAGGACGAGCGAGCGAAGGGTTCTCTGCCGCAGGTGACATGAGCCGGCCGTCATTCTTGAGCGAGCTCTCCAACTTCAGCGGCGGCCGGAGCCGCGGCGACCGCACGGCGCTATTCAAGGCGACGAACGACCGGACAATGGATATGGACCTGACGAATGTCTACGACGCGGCAACGGCGAATGGTAACATCGACGACGAGCGGCTCATGAGCATGCTTGCGGACATCACGCGCGAGAGCCTCTTCGGACATGGCCGCGAAAGCATGGCCAGTCAGCGCCTCAGCGTGCTTGGACGTCTTGGCGACGAGGACGAAGATGCAGCTCTACAGGACAAGTCGCGAGAGCAGACGCAAGAGGACGATGAGGTATTCGGTGATGCCGGTATTGCGGTCGAGAGGAGGTAAGCTTCTACATAACTATTGTCTTCATCTGGGCTCGGCGCTGACGACATAGCCAATCCGCGCATCGCAGATCTCGAGCAATGTCGGAACCGTTCGTGGAAGAGGCTCAAGATATTAGCATGGTTGTGCCCATATTCGACGAGCTGGGACCTCTCGAAGATATGCCTTCTTTCGACGATCGCTCGCAAGGTGGCTCTGCCGATGTGACCGGCGACGATGACGCGGATGCCGATGGGACGATGTTGGGAGCTGCAGATGAGGAAGACCTCACGACGCGTCCGCAAGAAGATGGGTACGAGACGATGACCGAGAGCGAGATGGAGAGCGACGAAGGTGCTGCGAGCGTCGGCAAGGTCAAAACCAAGAGCAGAGTCGTGCTCAAGCAACGTATCGTTCGCAAGAAGAAGATCAGGTGAGGGCTTCTACGGAAATGACTTTGGCTACGACAAGCAGCTAAACGAGAAGGTATTCGTTGTCGCTTCATCCCGTTTTCCAGAATCTCCCCTCACACCGGCGAAGAAGTCCCGTCGTTGCCCGCATCCTTGACAAAGGCATGGTTCACATCGTTCGTGATGCCAGCATCGAGCGGCAGCGGCACGAAGTCCGGCAAATACAAGATTGAAAAGACGGCGATGGACGCCGTGGAAGATGCGTGGGTTCTACAGCTCCCCCTCCTTCACAGTGATGATAGAGCGCGAGCTGACCGTCATGTTTTTTGCCTAGATCGCATGCCTTCTTCGCCCAATTTGCGCAAGAGATCTCGGCGCAAGCGAAGGCCTCGGGCCGTTCTTCCACCATTAACGAGCAAGACGTTATTGCTGTGTTGAAAGAGTGAGCCTGGAATTTTGGAGTCTCGCATCATTAGCATGTCTGTCACTCATACCGTGCATTGCCATCCACACCAGCCACGGCCATGTCACTGCAAGCACCTCCCTCCCCTCCTTGATCCGCAAACACCTGCCTCGCGAGATTGCGGATCTGATGACTATCACATCGTCCTCGTCGTCTGGCAGCGGCAGCAAGAAGCGCAAGCGATCGAAAGTCAAGGATGCAGAGACAAGCAACGCTTCAGATTACATACGCAGCGACACGGACAAAGGCAAAAGCAAAGGACATGCCACGGTGAAAGGGAGGGCTGGTTCCAGCAAGGCGCTCGGGAAGAGCTTGAGCAAACAAAAACCTGGCTCAAGCACCAAAGTGGGTAAGAAATTGCGCAAGTAAGGTATTTTTCCTTAGCACCCTTCAGTCTGGCTGTGTAATATTAGTCTGCTTGCAAAGAGATTCCATCCATGTGCGCCTTTGTTCGTCAACTATCTTGTTGACCAGAGTGCTGACGCTGCCGGTGCATTCCCCCTCAAAGACATCAGAGTGTGCCTTCTTCCGGTCAACAGCAATTCGGCACAAGACGTGAGTACCTGACGAACATACCATGCATGATAAAATCGTTTCGACCTGGGCCACTGCGAAGTTTCAAATTGCACTTTTCGCGTAGGTATGGCGTTTGACGCCGTGTAGCTAAGAATAAGCTCGTATGTTAGCAGTCTCACCCTTTCTCACGCTTGGCGAAGCAGGACGTGACTGTCTCACTTTAGCATATAATCCAGCGCCTAGGTCTCGCTCACATCCTTGCCTCTGAATTGGCAGAACTGTTCTTGTCAGCGAATGAAGGCGTTTGTGTACTCATCCCACAGTGATTTGCAGTCTTCGCGAATACTGCCACAGGGCGACTCTCGTAGGAAGATTGGTCGCCCTGGACGAATTTGCGAATGATCACTGATGCTAGCGATAGTCCGTGGCTTGTGGAGCAGGGTGATGCGATCCGGAAGGTCTAGTTTTGCCTCCTTCGCAACATCCGTATGAACTGCACGGAGCAGAGCAAAAATTGACCAATGAGTTAGCACGGATATAGTTCTCCCTATTCCTTCTGGCAGAGCTCACTGAGGCCGATGCATCGAATGGTGTTAACCTCAGACTTGTTTAACGGCGTGAGCAGCTGCATTGGCTCACGGACACTAAGAACTTCAAGACTTAATTTGAAAGGCGCATGCTCACGCCTTTGACGTTTAATTGCTTTGAACTTTGAGTTTCTTTTACATTCCATGGGAGATCACCGTCCGAAGCAATTTTGACTGGTGAATGAAGGGTGAGGGCTGTGATGTTCTTGTTTTCTTTGGTGCTCTTGCTTATGTCCACGCTCAGGTCCTTGAAAGCACCCATGGCTCTCCCAAGTAGGCCTTGCCATCCTCCTCAGAAACGAAGCGAATGAGCCTCATCCGCGCAGACATCACGAGTGCAGAAGCGGCAATAGAGGGTGCGGAGGTCATACTGCATGCAGTGGTCCGATAGGACAGGAACGTCACGAACTCGGCTCTCCGAAAGCAACGGAGCGGGCGACGATATCCGATGCGCGCTTTGAGAATCATTCGCCCAGCTCGGCGGGCCCGGTAGTGCATAAAGCTTTCAATACCGGTGGAAGGTCAGCACGGGAATGTGCAAATGCCACACCCCGATATGTCGAATGCTCGATTCCTTCCAGAACCGAGAGAAGGATTGCACCCCACTTGAATAATCAAGGTGGGGGACGTCAACATACTGAGATGGTGACGAAAGGAGGGCCTCGGCGTGGACATAGACGGAAACGACGGGATTCACTGCCTTTCTACGCGCACGGCTTTCGGCACCTCGCATTCTACTATTTTACAGCTTTTCATTCTCATTCCAACGGCAACATGGGGGTGATGACACGTGCACATTATGGCCAGAGGGTTGAGATGCAGGTGGAAAATGTGTACGCCAAATGGTGAGATGACGGCGAACAGACTAAGTAGTGCAGATTCTGTCTGGGGTAATGGACGGCCGGAGTTTGAGCGCCGGAAAAGCAGCGGATTGATCAGGATGAACATGACGGCAAATTCCCGTTCAGTGGTGTGCCAATGTCGCAAAGGCGCTGGGGACGGAGGGGAGTAGAGGGTGACGATTGGTGTACGAATGTCAGTGATTCTGTTTAGAAGAGGAGGCAGACCATGGAAATGAAGTAAGCGAAGAATTCACCTTTGCATCTTCTTGCGACATGCCCTCCAGGGCATGATCCTCGTTCCACGCCTTGAATGGGTCGCAACACATGGCGAGCACTTGACCTAGGAAGTCTGTGAATATTTGTGCACAGGTCAGGTGTGAAACTGCTACGCAACGCCGAAAAATATCACAGCACTCTGGCTCACTCGTGTCATTGTCGCGCGCCAAGCGTTGCACGACTTCGTCCGTGACCCAATTGCGTAAGACGAAGCATGGATTCACCTATTCGACCAGGCGTGTGATCGATCTAAGATCAGTAATTCAGGCTTGTGCTGAAGCTGCAATCAGCTCACATTGCGCATGTTGGCTTGAATGACAGGAGCCTGACCTTCTTCCGCCCTCAACCTCTCCACGTATAGCTTGAGCCACTGAACCGCAGCATCCTCCTTCGCTTCTTGTTGCCACGTGGGCAGGCGTTTGTGATCAAAGAGCTTTCCTTCTTTGACAAACTCTTTCCAGTCTTCCTCGCCGCTGCCATTTAAGAGAGCGATAGCCGGGAATGAGCACAGATTTCTGAGGGTACCGCTGAAATCGAGATCCTCCAGCAGATGAAGCAGCGGGTCGATCAGCTGGACCTTGTCCTCGTCGCCTGGCAAAGCCTTGCTAATCCCAAGGCGCTTCAGCCAACCGGCCTTCCACGCGCTCGTCAAAGTACCGGTATAGACCCCCTCCACTTCTTCGTACGTCCGGGCACCCTCTTGCGACCACTTCACCAGCTGTGCCGACTCGGCGCGGAGAAGCTCGAACGGGAACGGGGCGCGCCCGTGTTCCTTCTCAAAACCAATGATGGGTGAGAGGGAGTGCGTCAGGTGGTTGAGCGCGTAGGCGCCCATAGAGGGCTGCTTCGTGTACGTGTAGCGCCCTTCGCTGTCCGAGTGATTGCAGATCTGATTCGGGTCAAAGATGTCCATGAACGCAAAAGGGCCGTAGTCGATAGTGAGTCCGAGTAAGCTGATGTTGTCTGTGTTCATAACTGTAAGAGCAGGAGGCAAGTGAGTCCACACGTTGGAACGGAAACGAGGAAGCAGATGCGAATGCACTCACCACCATGCATGAAGCCGTACACCTGCCATCTAGCGATCGTTTCGGCATTACGTCGGCCGACCTCCTTGGCGAGACGCAGCGCCCATGGTTTTCTTTCCGTCTGCACACCCTCATCGATGTCTGCATCTCGCGCCTTCCCCACCCCTTCGAGCCCGAGAATCTCCCTAGAGAAATACTCGCCGAGAATGCGGACGCTCTCCCAATCGCTCCGGCTAGCGTGGATCTGGAAGCTGCCGATGCGCAGCCAGCTCGGTGCGAGGCGCGTCGTGACAGCCGCGACGCTCGCCCGCTCTCGCAAGACCGTGACATCGTGGAGTGCAAGCACGGCGAGAGCGCGGGAAGTAGGGATGCGCAGACCTGCCATCGCTTCCGAGCAGAGGTATTCGCGAACGGAAGACGCGAGCGTCGCGAGTCCGTCACCGAACCGCGAGTACGGCGTGCGACCGCCGCCTTTCAGTTGAATCTCGGTGCGAGGCCTCATGGACAGTACGCCGCCACCATAGCCGTTTGCTACTCCGCCTCCACCGGCTGTTTGCGACGGAAAATCTATCTCTGAGAGCGTAATTGCACGACCGTCACCTAGCTGCCCTGCCCAACTGCCAAATTGATGACCAGCATAGCAGTTGGCCCAAGGACCATAGCCAGCAAAGGCCCCTTCCTCTGTAACTCGCTTCGAGAGTGTCTGAAGGCGGGCACGCAGCTTGTCCTCTTCAGACAGCTCCTTTTCTCCCCCCGCACTTGGCGCTCCTTCCTTCTGCTTCTCAGACGCGTCGCCACCGTGGATTGTTGTAACCGCACACCCAGCAGCTTCCTCTGTCTCTTGCGCGTTCTCTTTAGCTGTCTCGCGTCTGTACACCTCCACCGCCGCACCCGCGTTCTCGTCGATGTGCTCTTTTGACGGAAAACGCGCGCCGATCAAACGACCAGAGAGGACTTCGCTCAGCTGCACGCGTGCTTGCACGGCTGCCGTGCAAGCACCAGGTGCTACTTGCTGTGCTGCGGGGCCCGAAGTGTATGTGTCGGGCCCAGAGTCTCTTCCCGAATTCGCAGCGATGAAGGACAGTGTGTCGCCAATATCGAGTTGAGGGAGACAGTCCTGCAGTGACGCAGACGAGACACCGAGAAGTCTTGCAGAGGGAAAGGTAAGCTCGGCACGGGCTGGTGCAAGGTACCCTTGTAGTGTTGTTGACACTGACTTTGATTCGGCGGCGAGAGATGCAGGGTCGACCTCATACTTTCGCATGAATCTTTCTATGACTTGCATGCGCTTCTCCGCGGCGCGTGCTGACTTGCGCTTGTGGCGCTGCTCTTCAGACAACGAAGCATAGTTCTCTGCAGTGTCCTCCTCGTGCGAATCAGTAGCATCGGGGTTGGGGAAATCGTACGGGAAATTCAATACGAGAGGACTGACGTAGCTGAAATGTGCACCGCTCCCGACACGCCTGCTGCGTCTAACCTGCGTAGGCAGCGAGTCAGGTGTGGCCAGCAAGCTATCTGGACGGGGGGTGTAGGTGTCGGGAAGCAGATTGCAAGTCAAGCGAGATGCCGGCGGCACGAGCGGCAGGGAGAGGATGGGGACTTTTGCGGTGGACGATGGTGCTAAAGCTGCTGCCATCGTGCTTTGGCTCGGGGTGGACGGGCGGCGTGCTTGCCGTCCTACCGCAGCGAGACGAGTTTGCGCGGAGCTCCTCGCGAACATGCAGCAAGGCTCTGAGCAACTACAGCGTAAGCGGCGCCCTGACCTAGCTTTGCCGTATTCTCTGCAAAAGCGGACGATGATTCGATGCACTTGGTCCTACATCCCCTTGCCGGTGCGCATTGCAAAGACGGCTGACTGACCATGAGAGACCTTGAGAGATGCGGTTGTGCTCGCCACCTTGGCATGCTGTGCTCCCCCCCCCAACCCTGGCACTTCAGCAGCAGTCACTTTTATTATTCCATTGATGTCATCATCTGATCGTCTTTCTCTTCCAAACTCCGCAAGCATTTGGGTTCAATCCGCCATAGCCAATGTGCCTCACTCTCGGCTAAAGGAGGAGAGTCACAGGACAAGCGCAAGGCAATGCACACACGCATGGCTGACGGCACATTGTTCGTACTATCCCATGTGCCTGCATCGGTGCAGGCATCTGTCTGGCCTCCTTCATGGACTCGTGCAACAACTTCAAAGTCAATGCCGGGGTAAAGCAAGCATTTGGTACTAGGTAGGTGAGTGCACATCCACTGGCGACATCGACGAATCAACCTGATGTGTGCTGTGTACGATCGACGAGCTGGCTCCGAAGGCTTACGGATTGCGTTCGGTCAAAGAGGGATCGCAAGATTCAGGTTCACATTTCACACCCCGTGCAGGACCTCGCAGATTGGCCCAGCGTGGGTCAGAGCATCGAAGCTAAACGATCAACCTTTATCTCCACCACATCATTTCTTACGCTTCTTCACCGTTACCTCCCTAGGATAGTCCTCCTCATGCTTGGATTGGTGCTGTATGTGGATAGTCTTGTCAAAGGTGTACATGCTGCACGGCCGGGCTGGCCGCTGACCGCTGATCAGCCCTTGTGCCACTGATGGATGACCGAAGGGTCCACTTTGCAGTACAGAGAGTCCTTCATGAATCAACCTTACTGCTCGAGTCCCTTTTAGGCCCCATCAGGATCCACAGGACATGCAAGATCTGTTTCCACGCCCCCAGCGGCCAGATCCCCGACCATTGATATGCAACGGGTTTCTTCGTTACATCAGCAAATTCGTTCCATCTCAACTGTCAAACGCGGGCTAGGATCGCCTTCTGAGAAGCCAGGTTGGTCAGTTCCGTTCCGGTCGCTCCAAATCCGGCGGTTCTAGCGAAATGACATATACGGCATCAACGAGAGTTGGCTCGAACGCTCATTGCTTTCGTTCTCCTCAAGTTGTCGCGTTTCGTAGCGTTTCGGCCAAATTGAAGCTGTCTTGGAACCAAATCAAGTGTTTCCCAGAAGCATCCGTGGTATTACAGGATTGCACCGTGCTATTCGGTTGCTAGGGGTGTTGTATGCGCCGGCGCTGCCGGCATCCTTCAGCTCCACCTTCGAATGCTACAGGAAAAGCGCCCACTCGGGCTCCTGCAGAGGGAAGGAAAGGCTGATCACTTTTACCGGAGCCCACGGACCGCTTGGTGAAAAATCTGACGATGCTGCCTTATGGTCAATTATGGAGCCTTCGGCGATTAACCTGTAACTCGTCAGTATGCTCTCAATCTTCAGTACTTAAAAGTTGCCTTTAATCCTTGCGCCCCAAGCTTTCCTTGGAAGTACTTCTGGTACTTGCAGAGCGTCAAGTCCTAACGCTTATGCTACCAGATGCTCCTTCATTTCTGGCCATCTCCTTAAGGCTCCCCACCGAAACGTACCTTTTCAACTGTTGAGCGGGCAGCGAGCCAAGCATGGCGGTGGCGACTGGTACAAAACGAAAGCCTTCCCGGTCGGCAGTGCGACCCTTTTGCAAGACTCAGCGCTGAGCAACGAATCCATGCGAATCGTCTTTGCTTCCAGTGGAGTCTGGGACCTCTTCATCGATGCGGCGCAGACCTTCTTCAATCTGCGGGCTTGGAAGCGCAAGGAGCAGTGTCGGATCGTCATAGCGCGGTTTCTGCAAGTGCACCACTAGTCTTTGTAACACGAAAGCTCGACTCGAGATGCTCATCCAACGCGCCTGCTCTACACTGTCCCTCAGCATCTATCCCTGGCTTGATATTCGACACGCAATACCCGCGTCTCTCGACGAATTATCACTGCACGGTCGTCGCCAGCATCATGAATATTCCCCAAGGTGGCACTTTCCTTGGCATATACCTTTGCGTCATCCCGACGATCGCGAGTCTCACTAAATCAAGGCCACTGCCCTACGTCATAACCACTCTGTGCTTGGGCGTGATCGCCGGTCAAATCACGCTCACCGTGCTTGGGGAGTTGAAGATGTTGCAATGAGCCACGTCGATCCAAGCAACTGATGCCCGGAACCCGTTTTTGAAATGGTGACGTTTGCAGCCAACAAAAACGACTTTGTGTGGCTTCTGAACGGCTGGCCGCCGTGGCACTCTACGGTATGGGGTCTTAATATCATTATCCTCCCAGTTTGCTTGGTGCCACTAGTCAACAGAAGAGCCCATATGAATGGCTCAAACTATGCCCTCTGCAGGCAAACCCTATTCATCGGCATCAGTGCATTGATCGCCATCTACATATCGGCAATTTGCTGGGAATAGCTCACCGTGGACAATTCTGGTCGACTACCTCCGCTCTCGCTGCCACTCGACCTGGGTAGCCTGATTGCATACCGTATCACTGTCTTCGCCGAGCGGTTGCCTGTTGAGACCGCGCCACCATCATTGAGCACCTCGGCTCAGCTCCACACGTCGCCTTCTGCTTCCCCCTGGCATTGCTGTCACAGCATGACGGAAGAGCTCATGCCGCTCGAGGCTCCCAGTCCGCCGCACTCGCCATCAGGCGTGTTTCAACCAGTCTCCCCCAATCTGGAAGCCACACGTATCTCCATGCAGAGCACTGTGCGTCGCAACCCCTTTACCAGAGTATTTGGAGCACACAACACGAAACTCGATTGCAGCTGTAACCGCTCCGACTGTGTCGGCAGGTTTCCAGGTCTGTGCGCCCGAAAGCGCAATTGCGTTTTCGACGGACGCGCCAAGTGCTACTGCGACGTCTGTACGGGCCTGACCCACGCCATTACTCCTGCATGGAAACGCTCTCGACACATCAACGAATGCTTCCAGTCCAAAGGCACCCGCTCATCCTCTCGGAGGCACGTCACTCAGCGCTAGCGTTCACAGACTCTCATCTGTCTCGGCCTGGCGGCAATTACAAAGTCTCCTGAGGCAGTGAATACCCGCCTCGTAAGAGCAGTAGCTCGTTTAGGCCGTTCGACCTGCGTAACAGTTTATGCTCACTGCCATCCAGTCGTACCGCGAGTCCAGTGTTCCAGATTTCGACTCCGAGGAATTGTCGCCGCAGGACAGCATGTCGCGGCTTGGCCTTGCGCACCTGCAAAACATCCCTCATGCGCACTGTGCGGGCGCCTCGACACAAGATATCATTTTAAACGGAGGAGACAGGACGTCGCAAGATACGCGGTTCCGCGATAGCGCCGCCATAGTATCGAGAGCTTTCGTGTGCGAATATACTCTTTCATGCTCACTCCCCACCTCGGCCCTCGGCAGGGAGGAGGTAGCAACAGCAGGGGCATGCGCTCCAACGTAACCGCGGCGCGTTCATCTTCCGACATCTACGGGCGCCTGGTGAGACTGTCCGATGTCCGCTTTACCGCGGACAGAGAAACAGGACGTACAGTGCAGCGGCAGCGCTCTGTACCTTTGCTGATGGCCATCACGGTCAAGTCGCAGCGGCAGCAACTGCCGGCACGACCTCAGCTGTCCGAATGTACAGTGCGCAGGCTCTTCAACAAGCTCGTAGGCACATGTGTGACCCCAAAAGTAAAGGCAAAGTTGGATACGGACACAGCATCGGTGTAAAGCGCGAGGTCGGGGCGTGATATCGTGATCGACTTTCGTGAGAGGTGCACGGACGAAGCTGAGACGCCTGCTGCAATAATGCACAAGCAGAGGGCAAGGGCGTCGCATTAGCAGAGTTTCCGGGGCGTTTGACTGGATCTGAAGAATGGCTCCTTCGAATAGGAATGCGAGAAGGCGAACAAGGCGACGCCGCAACTGGAACCAAGTCTTCTATTGGGTTGCTATATAGGAAGTAACGGTGTCAGTTCGCTGTTCGTATCCATCATGCTGCCTTCGTGTGCAGAATACCCTTTCATGTTGAAAATTCAAAACACCCTCTCTTTCTAGATGCTTTGCACATTACACGTGAGACAACGGTGGATAATAAACGGTATCTCGTCTCGCCTCGTCTTGTCATGCAATCAGACTTTCGAAGTTCTGTATGCTGCATGCTGCATAAGGTTGTAAAGAGGGGACGCGAGCGCTTGTTGGAACAAGAGCATGGTAGCTCGATTGGGCCGCATCGCATCATCGCGAGGATGAAGAGCGAGTGAGGACGACAGCCGCAACGACGGCGACGCCGAGGAAGCTGATGGCGGCGGGCATGGCCATGTCCCTCGGCAAAACGCCGAACAGGAGGTCTTCCCCTTCTTTCCGTCCTGCTGCGCTCTTCCTGCTGCCTGTGGCGGCGACGCCTATGGCTCTGGGCTTGTTTGGCGAGCCACCGTCGACGTCCGCCTGGTCCTCGCGCTCCTCTTCCTCCTCGACGCTCTGCAGCTGCGCATCGACGGCGTCGCGCTGCCTGCGCTTGCCATGCGCACTCGACGCAGCGGGGACGGTGGCGCTCGGTGCGGCGTAGTGCGCAAGCGCCTCCTCCCACGTCCGGCCGCCCTGTACAAGTAGAACCACGCGGTCGCGTCCCTGCTTGCGTGCGACGTTGACGGCATCCTGCACGTCGCCGTCAGCGGTGATGAGCACAACGTCGTTCTCGTCATCTTCGTACGCGAGTGTAAAGTCATCCGGGTCAGGCTGCGCGTACGCTGCTTTGCCATTCACGCCGCTGCCGCTCTCGCCTTCTGCATCGGGCGGTGAAGGACGAGGGGGCGTGGCGAAAAAGTCGTCGGCGCCGAGCTTGATGCCGACGATCTCGCGGATGGTGTCGTAGGTGTCGTACCGCGCCTGGAAGCGGTGCGTCTTGCGGCCAGGCGTAGTGAACTTGAAGAGATATGTGCCGTCATCGACGGCACCGACACCACCGGGTCCAGCGCTGCTGATGCCGAAGCCGAGCGCGGACGCAGCGTCCTCGTGCATGGCGGCGCCAACGGCGGAGGCGCTGTCGTTCGGGTGGAGGTCGCTGCTGATGTCCGCACCGCCGGCATGCCGGCCAGGCGTGGAGGGGATCTCGTTGAGGTACTCGGACGGGCGCTGGCTGCCGCTGAGCGCGCTCTCGGTGTCGTCCCCGCCACCGGCGCCGCCTGCTGCACTGCCGCTGCCGGTGCTGCCGGTCTGGCCGAACGAGTTCCAGAAACGGTTCCACATTGGCCCGCCGGCCCCGCCACTGCCGCCCTGCTCCGATTCCTCGGCCATGCTGTTGATCTGCTCCAGCGTCTTGTACGTTAGCTTGAGCACGTCGACGACGGCGACGAGGCGCGTGTCGGTGTCAACGACGGGCAGATTGAGGTAGCGTCCGTCTGCAAAGCAAAGCCAGGTGGGTGGTCAGCAGGCGTTGAACAGGGGTATTGGATTGCGCTGCGCTGAGTTATGCTACACTCACCATGCATCTTGCGGAGAGCTTCCTGGATGCTCATGGTGGGAGGTGCCGTGTCCGGATGAGGAGTCATCACGCGGACGACGCTGCAGGACTTTGGGTCGAGTCCAGCAGCGATTACTCTGAGCACGACGTCCTTGCTGGTGAAGATGCCGGCGATTTTTCCCTGCACGACGCCGCCGTTGGCAGAGGCGGGCGCGGAGGACTCCATGACGCACACTGCGGTGGTATGGTGGTCCTTCATCAACTTTGCGGCCTCGCGGACGGTGGTGCGCACGCTGACTGTGCATGGCAGGGTCCTGCTGTCGAGGATGCTGCTGAGGTCGGGGATGGACATCTTGTCGCGCAGGGCCTCGATGTACTGCAGCATCGCCTGCTGTGGGCCGACGGCGCCGGTGCCCCACTCACTCTGTACGCCCTCGAGGGCATTGTAAAGCTTCTGCGACGATCCATGCGCGCGCTCGAGCTTCTCGAGCGCCTCATAGAAGACCTTGGCAATATCCAGCAGGCCGATGACGTCGCCGTCCTCGTTGCACACGGGAAGATGCCGGAAGCCGCGTGTGACCATCGTGTTCAACGCCTCGGTCGCGGACGTCGTGTCGCGCGTGACCATTGGCGAGCGCGTCATGATCTCGCTGACAGGCGTCGTGCGTGCGTCGAGGCCGCCAGCGACGACCTGCGTGGGCCGAGGCGGTGTACACATGCAGTCAGCGAATGGTGCCGCCCCCAAAGGGCGTCTGGGCGAGGTGCTGCGCGCTCACCCTGAAAGCAAGGTCCTTGGCGGTAAAGATACCCGCAAGATGCTCGTCCTCGTCAACGACAAGCACGCAGTCGGTGCGTTTGGCTGCACAGAGCTGACTGGCATCCGCGACACTGATCGTCTGCGGCACGGTCAACGCTGGCAGAGGCCGGAGCGCCGAGACGGTCCCCGGCGTCGCGGCTGGCCCGCGCGAGGCGTGCTGCTGCTTGCGGCGCCGCGATGAGGCGGTCGGCGTCGAGGGCGCCTTGCCGCTCTTGCGCTGCAGCTCCAGCTCTACTTTTTTGCGGATGGCCTGGGGAAGGGAGAGAGGAGGAGAAGGGAAGTTGAGGGTCGCTGCACCTGTCGCTGTACCGAGGCGTACATGCACCTGTCAGCGGCATACACGTACCTCATCACGCTTGTTCTGCCTCTTGCGTGTGTCGGTGGCATCGCTGTTCATGCTCAGGTTGGACTGGGCCGAGGTAGTGAGGGGCGAGCCCCGGTAGCCGGACGACATGGGGAAGACGGGGGTGGTGGTGTGGGGGAGAGGGCTTTTCTAGAGCCACTCGATTGACGCCGCTCGTCCGCTGAGAAGCAGCTCGCTGCAATGAGCAATGTACGGAGCGTCGGCGTGAGAACCGGATGACTGGCTAGCTGGCTGTATGTGTCTGTATCGATGCTCCGTCTCCCCTGCTGTAGCGACCTTGTCTTGTGCTGAGCACAAATGTCGATGCCAACAAGTGCGTGCTATAGTGATGCATCCCCCATTCCTATGGCCCTATTCTGTTGAAAGGACTTTTGGTGGCAGCAGCGCGCCGCTGATGAACATCTCGTTATGACGGACGGTGCGGCACTGCGCCTGTCCATGTCCGTTGTCTGCGAGTCTGCGTGGTGCCGTCTTCAGTGCGTGTGCTCACTCACTCAACCGTGTCCGCTCGCTCTCTTCTCTTCTCGCCCAGGCGTTATTCTTGCTACTTCCATTACGAGAGGTGAGAAGACGCGGCTCGAGAGATAATCACGTGACCTGTATTCGACGCGTCGTACACTGACACCGCACAACACACGCTCGCGTCTCCTCACCTTTGCCTCTCTTTTGCCAAAGAACACCATCAACTGCGTATCGCACAAGTAGTACATGCATGCATGTATGCACCTCGGCCTCGGCCTCCCCATCCCCTGCCCTGCACTGCGTAGTTCTGCCCTGCTCTGATCAGTGCATAACCTTGCACTCGCCTCGTCAAACAGCACCTCTGGCCAGTGCTGGCGACGCGAACCCAGTGATCGCACCACCTGTGGTCCGGGCCACGACCGCCACGTCAGCCTCCACTGCCAGCAGAGATGGCTGCACCAACACGCAGCGGGCGCGCAAGCATGCTGCCCACGCGCGTCCCACTGCAGAACAACTTTGGCGCCTCACAGCAATCACAAGGGGCAGTAGATGAGCACGGAGAATCAGGTGTGCACTCACAGGATCACAGGAGCTCTGCGAGAAGAGACGTTAGTATGGGCGTCAGCCAGCTGCATGGTCGCGAGAGCGTACGAAGACAGAGCGTGGCTGTTCCGAGCACACCTGCCACGTGAGTCCCATCATTTGCGCTTTCTTTGATTTTTAAGCACTTTCGAACTGATGACCGGTCACAGGGGACGGAGGTCCATCTCCAGCCGCACATCCCTCGCGCCAACCTCGCTCGCCGGCCGAGAGTCGCTCATGCTAAGCGGCAGCGGACTGGGTGGCGCACCCACGCAGCAGTCGCGCGAGACGCGTCCCGTGCGCAACAAGGCGTTTCAAGAGTCCATGTACTCTGTGCTGATTTCTGCGCTCGGCGAGAACAACATGGCTGGTGGGCAGCAGATCAAGAAGGCCGTGCGCGAGCCGACGCAGCTCGCGTTCGTTGACATGTTCCAGACCGTCTGGAAGCGGTACATCGACCCCGACCACAACTTTGAGAGCTCCAAGGACTCGGCTAGCGGCGGCATGAGCGCCGGACACGGGACCGTCATGAGCAAGGCGGTCGATGAGGTGTTGACGCTGCTTAAAGAGATCAACTACCCCGGCATGGAGGACATGACGAAGAGCAGGCTCAGCGCTGCCGGAAGTACAGGCAACTGGCCCTTTTGTCTTGCCATGCTCGGATGGCTCGTTCAAATCGGCGTGAGTTTCATGCCGAGCTTGTTTGCTTTCGGTACTCACAGGAACTGAAAGCATTGTTATCTTACGCGACCCGTCAGGACAAGCTCAACGACGAGGCATTCCCGATCGGCCCCAAAAACCGCGCAGCGGACCTGATGAATCCAGACCTCGAAATGGACCAGGATAACATGGACGTGGACAATATGCAGTTCTTCTACCCCTTCCTCTACAAGACCTACGAAAAGTTCTGGAACAACCAGGACGAGTACCCGGAGGAGCGCGAGGAGCTGGAGCGCATCTTTGACGCGCGCGACCACCGCGTGTTGCAGGAGCTCGACAGCATGCGCGCGCGCGAGCGGGACGTCGCCGAGGAGCTTATGGGCTTGCAGCAGCGGCCTTCGCCTTTGCAGGCGGCCAAGCAGAGGGACACCCTGCTTGTGAGTGATATCAAAAAGTTCCAGGACTATAATGAGAACTATATCCGCCGCAAGACCGAGAAGGTCGACAAAGAGATCAAGCGCTTCTTGTCGACAAAGTCTGATTCCGGTGAGTTGCCAACGTGCATGCCCATGCCGTGCAATGTGACTACTACTTACGAGTTGTGGGTGGGGGACGTGCATTCGCGCCTGCAGAGGCAAAAGTCGAGGCGCTCAAGAAGGAGCGAGATCATCTGCAGAAGGAAGTTGACGAGCAGCCGATGACGTCCGAAGAGTACGACCGGCTGGAGAACCACTACCGAACGCTGCAGGAGCAGCTGAACCTCCTCGAGAACAAGAAGGCGCAGGTGGAAGCAGAGCGCGGCAACGTCGAGCTGGAAGCGTATCGGCACCAGAACGCGATGGAGGAGGAGTTCAAGATGTTCAACGCGCTCGGGCGGGATATTGACCTACTGCCGTTCAAGCTCCCCGCGACGTCGTCTGCAGCGACCAAGGACGGGCTGAGCGTTGCAGACGAGCTCGTCTTCGAGCGCGGCGAGCTGTACCCGGACGTGGATATCAAGACGTACCTGCGCCCGCTTGTCGCACGCATGCTGAAGGACGGCAGCGAGAAGCGGAAGGGCGTTGCGGAGCAGAAGCTGCAGCTTGGCCAAAAATACGATGTCCTCCTCGACGATGTGCAGCGCGCGCGCGAGACACTAAGCCAGCTGCACAAGCGGTACGAAATGACGCGCGCTGATATCGATAAGATCAACCAGGTGCGTGGCTGCGGCTCGGCATCAGCTTGACCGGACGGGTGGTCGCTGACGCGTTAGGTGTGACTATGACTCTTCCCCCGCCAGACCTCGAAAGAGGAAGGCGACTTCGCAGACTCGATGGAGCAGGATCACCAGCGCTTGATCCATGAAACAGAGGCAGCTGGCCACTCAGCGATCAGCGAGCAGACAGCGCGAGAGGCGCGATTGCGGGTCCAGTGAGTTGCAAAAGTGGCTTGCTCTTCCCCCGTGCGCCTGCCTTTGGGGGCACTCGGATGCATTGATCTGACCGTGCTACACTTTCGTGCCCTCTTCAACGTCGCCATAACCAGACACGAGCAAGCGATCGCAGCGTATAACAAGCACGTAACAGCCATGAACGAGGAGGTGACGGATGCCATGCACCGCCTGCTCAACCTCAAAGATAACGTCGCCAGCGCGCTCGAGAAGCTCAAAGGTGCCACCAAGGTCAATGGACACAGCGAGACGGCGTGATCCCCTACTTCTTTCCTCCCCCTTGCCGTGTCTCGCCTCATTTCGGTGCTTTACTACCCGCGACGGGCGTGCGCCTCTTGCGCACACGCACGCACGCTTGCACGTTCCATCCATCCATCTATCTCGATCACCTCATTCTTGCCGCCGCTCTCTACATTCTCGGATGCCTCACGCAGTCCGGCAACTGCGTGCGTTCGAAATGCTTCTAGTTTGTACTAGTTTGTACTTGTATCTAGTAACGACGCCGTTCGCTATATGATTATGATATCTTTCATATGTGGATTAGCCACCACGGCGACCGATGCATAGTTGCAGCGTGGGTACCTGTAAGCCTGGCGTATCTTTTCACGCTGAATCTGGCCAAAGTTGTTGAAATTGGTGGGGTCGTGCAAGTTGGTGAAAAAGTTTCATCTCGCTAGTATACAAGTGTGGTGAGGGGGAACGGTATGACAGACTCATCCATCGCAACCCCTCGGCCCCAAGATGCAGACCAACCAAGACTTTTGGCGAGAGACGGGTATGGCAGAGCGCGAACCACACGCCCGCTCCCTTCTTTCTCATAGAATGCTGTCCCTTTTCTCGCGCGCTGGTGCTGTGGCACCGTGCGCGAGTCATGACATGTGTGTGCACGAATGCAGGCAAGCGGTCGAACTGGCGACCTCCTTCTGATAACCAGAGATGCACCGCCGCATTTTTAGAAAGTCGTGTAGTGGCAAATTGAAACAAGGAGATGATGATGATGAGGGCATGCATGCTGGCATCATGAGACTGCTGACCGGCTGATGACAGAGGGAGGGAAGAATTATTGAGGGGCCAGGTGCCATGTCCAAGGTTGAAATGCGATGCGTGTGCGAATCGAAATGCGAGGAATGGGATGGCACCTTAACGTCCTTCCAGGCAACGCTTAGTTCTTCCTTCGGAAAGAGCAGCCTACAAAAGGAACGTTGCATGCGATCAGCAGCCGTAGAAGAATGTAGATACGGTGGAAAGGGCAACACCGCAATGCACTTACCCTCGGTCAACCGCGCCTTACCACCGGTAGGTTGGCTCAAGACTTGAGCGCAGCTGCCGCAGAGAACGACAGTCTGAGCATGCGAGAAGACAGTGGTAATTGCAAAGCAACCGGGGCACTTGACATCCATGAAGAACGAGTTGGGGTTCTGCACCAGCCGCTTGAGCTTGTGCTGACGAGCTTGCTGCTCAGCTGAGGGGTTGAGGAGATCGACTGCGAGCGTCTGTGGCGATAGGAAAGAAGAGTATGTGAGCATGACTATTCGTCTGTTACTCTGAAATGCATGCAGTCGAGCTGGCACGTGCGTGTTCCCCATATATGCATCCACCTGTCTGCGCTGATCTGAGCCTCCCAGCTCCTGGCCTGGTTGGGTTGCCAGAAGGCTGCTTGGCAATCCAGCTTTCCAATGAAGTTTTCGTCCATCGTAGCCTCCAGCGTTCGATCTGCTTTCCCACTGCCCTATATTCACGCCAACACGCTCTCGTCATTGCCTTCAGCCTTTGCCCATCATTCATTGTCTCCTTCTTCGGTGTCCCCTCGCACGCCAAATAGCCGCCGTAGAGCCGATTCGTTACTGTTCTTCCCGCAGACCCAGCTCCGACGCCTCCGCCAAGCCTCCAGGATCGGAGGAGGAACTTACCATCTTGCTTGTGTTGTATGCAACCTGTTGACAGCGGGTGATGCCTGGGTGATGGGTAAGAATAGAATTGGTAAGATGGTTTCAAAAGAGGGAAAGATGTTGGTGTGCTGGTGTCTGCGCCTTACCAGCTGGCGTGGCCGATGGTCCGCTGTCTGCGTGGGTATAGTCTCTCTGCGCTCTCGCCTGACGAGACACACGCTGATCTTTGTCAGGCGTACACGCAACGGACGCCAGTTGCAACACTGCTCTGATGCCCTCTTTCTGCTGCTGGGCGGAACTGGTCACCAGCTTTGAATATGGCTCAGACTGCGGCAATTCTTCAGCCCGCGCCCGCATGACACTGTTGCAGTGCACTAATTGCATACGGGCTCGCATTGCGCGCGTTCACTGCGTTGACAGGTCTGGCTGGCACACCCACCCGCGCACCTGCAGCAGCTCGCCCCCGTCTGCTGGACGATGCTGCCAAACTCATCCTTCGTCCCTTTAACTCGTCTCATCATCCTATTCCAGACTGTACCGGCCGTCTTGTCGAGTCAGCAACAGTCAAGGTGAGCATCGTTGCCTACATTGCAGGCAAGCCTACAGCACGTTGATTTCGAGGGGAGGGTGAGCGCCTGGCGGCGAGGGAGGGGTCGAGTCACTGCAGGTGATGGAATACGCTGGCCAACAATGACTTGGATTCGGACGCTCAGTCCAGGGCCTTTTGTGACTTGCATGGGCGCTCAAAGAGCTTGGGAGGAGTAGCTGTACATTGCAGAATGACTCTGATGCTGCTTTTGCGAGAGGAGAGCAGGCCATCTAGGCAGACTGTTACTTGTAGCAGTAATATGCCTGCGACTGGGTATGCAGCTTAGACAGGCTAGCTTCTCTCCGTGTTACAAAAGGGAGCAATTGAGGAGCGCATTTGAATGGGAGGTCTGATGCATCGTGTCCATTTCAGGTAACATATCAAGATGGTTAATCTTCGCTCTCAAAAGAGGCTCGCTGCCTCCGTTCTCGGTGTCGGCAAGCGTAAGGTCTGGCTCGACCCAGCAGAGCAGACCGACATTGGCAATGCCAACTCGCGTGCCAACATTCGCAAGCTCATCAAGGATGGCCAAATCATCAAGAAGCCGGTCGTTGGTCACTCCCGATCGCGCACCCGTGACCTCCACGCTGCCAAGCGGCTTGGAAGGCACACTGGTACCGGTAAGCGCAAGGGTACGAATGAGGCCCGTATGCCAACCAAGGTCCTCTGGATGCGACGTCAGCGTGTTCTTAGGCGGCTGCTTCGGAAGTACAGAGAGTCGGGAAAGATCGACAAGCACCTGTGAGTACTCGCAGCGGCATCAGCTTTCGCGTGCCACAGCCAATCTCATCTAATATTTTATCTACTTTCAGGTACCACGAGCTTTACCTGAAGAGCAAGGGTAACGTCTTTAAGAACAAGCGTGTTCTCATGGAGCACATCCACAAGGCTAAGGCAGAGAAGACCCGTAGCAAGCACCTCGCAGACCAGATGGAGGCACGTCGTCTCCGCAACAAGGCTATGCGCGAGAGGAGGACGCTGCGTCTGGCCGAGAAGCGGGCGGCTGTCAACGCTGTCGAGCTCGAGGCCGAGGAGAAGAAGTAAATGCACACTTGAATTGCGCATGCTTCACTCTTACGTCCAGCGACGTACGGGAAGGGTTTCCGTGTCATCTCAAGCGGACACGCATTCATGGTGGCTGAGAGTTAGGGCTAGAGCACACAAGGACATGTGCATGGCTTCGCGGAGCACGGAAGGACGGCAATTTGCGCATTGCACATGCCCGATCTTCTGCAGCTGCTTGTCATGCACTCACGCTTCGCACTTTCAACGCAAACTTTGGCATGCAACCCTCATCTGCCTCACACCCACATGCATCCAACCCTTCAAAACTCAGTCCCGGTCGAGCAGACCAGGACCTCTTCCCTTGTACTTTTTGGCTCCTTGCACTATATGGCATGCTACACATCAGGCAGCTCACGAGAGCTATTGCAAGGACTCGCACTATCAGTTTGAGGATGGAAGTCGGTCTGGCGATCGAGCAGCGGACCAAGCAGAGTAAACAATTAACAATGATGGGCACAAGGTGTGCTGATAACAGGATTTTACTGCGCCGGGCATTTGTTCTTTGACGAGGGCGGCTGGATGTTCCACAAGGGCTCAGATGTCCTGCTTGCTTGTGCTTTGAGATGCTTAATATTACTGGCGGATGTCAAATGCAAGAGTGACAGGTAATCGTAGTTGAGAGACAGCCGCTGTGAATCTACTCGACAGACGCCGAACACGCGAATGCGCGTGACTGCGCTGGCACCAACGCACACTTCGGTCGCTGCACAATCAACGCGCGCTGCGCTATGCGGCGCGACCGAGAACAACGCTTCTCTTGTCTCGGAACTCTCCTGTCACCTCCCTGTATGTCCAGATACAAGGGCGAAGGCCTCAGCTTCTCACCTGGACATCGAAGAGTTCCTGTGAACCACAGTCGCGCCGTCTTTGCAGCAAATCTCACGAAGGCTGTAGCACGCGCAGGCGACCATGGCGGCGATGGACGGCGGACTCGCGCCCTCTGCGTCGCTAGCCTCTTTGAATGGGTTCTCAGGTCATGGCGACGCGTCTGGGTCGAGTGCCGATTTCGAGCTTGGCCTTCTGCGAGCATACCTAACCGCATTACTACCGCCACTACTCAATGCCGACATTGTCGCGCTGAACAAGGGCATCTTCAGCGAGAAAGCGGGTTGGACGCAAGCCGCAGCGCAGTTTGCGCGAGATCCCTCGATACCCGTGGTCTACATCAATCAAATCAGGCAGAGCATTGTAGAACAGGACGAAAGGGAAGATGGTGAGCTGTGCCATGGGCCACGCGCCAATCGCTACTTGGGTTGAGCTAAAATTAGAGCTCTTGCGACTCGGCGATCCCAGATCCGTACACATACAACATCACGTCAACTGTGTCCTACTCGCCTCAGCACGTTGCGAGCATCGCGCTCATCAAGCGCGTACCCACGCTCGAGGCGGACGTACCACTATCACAACAGCTGCATCTACTGTCGTTGTTCGGACCAGCTAGCTCTCTGGGCCTTCCGGGGACAGGGCAAGGGACGAAAGGCTCTGGAGCAGGCGCGGGGACCAATGGCCGGGCCGACACCTCCGCGCAAGGCGCGATGATCCTTCGAGAGACACCTTATGAGGCCCTACACAGTGTTGTGCATCATGTCATGGCCCCGTGGTTCGATGCATACGTCAGCAGCAAGAGCATCCCAACCGCTACAGGCGGAGACGGCTTGGCAGTCGCAGCAAAGGGGGGCAAGGAGAATGACGCGCGGCTAGGGATTCCGATGACCAAGAAAAAGTTCGCAGAACTCGAGCTGTCGCTTCTGCACCTTCAGCAGAATGTCGAGATTCCAGAAATCCAGCTTGGTGTTCACCCTGTTGTTAGGCAGACCGTGGAGAGATGCCAAGCAGAGGAGCGGAGGATCACTGTCGATGCGGTCGAACCACAGTCAATCCTTCAGGACAGCTTGTTCCTGAATCGGTTGCAGGCGGACGTCAATGCATGGGTCAAGGAGATTCAAACAGTAACGAAGCTGGATCGCGACCCTGCCTCCGGCACGGCTTCACAAGAGATCAACTTCTGGCTGTCGATGGAAAAGGCGCAAGAGCAGATCGAAGGCCAGCTTCGGTCAGAGCCTGTCGTGCTGACCCTCGATATCTTGCGATATGCTAAGCGATTTCATGCGACCACATCATTCCTTGCCGACACGGGTCTCAAAGACTGCTCAGAACGGACGCACGGCTTCAACTTGCTCATGCGCGATTTCCCCATCAATGATCTGCTCTCCGCTACAGACCTGGATCGATGTGCGGACTCGCTCTTATCTGTTTTCGCGCACCTGAACAAGAAACTGCGCATCAGCCCTTATCCTGTCAAGAAAGCACTCGCGCTTGTGGACGCCATCAGCAGGGATCTAAACGACACCATGGTCAAGGTCTTGGGTCCCATGCGGATCATGTATCAAGAGTATGACCGCTTCTATGCGACTCTCGAAGCAACTTCGCGGGTGTTTGCAGCTTGGGATGATGGCGCAAAAGAGTTCGTCTCGACGGGTCGTGATGTCATCAAGAAGCGCGCAGAGAAGTTCTTACCGATCAAGGTAAACCCTGTGCACCTGAAGCTTAGAGAACGACTGAGCTATCTCGCCACCTTCCGAAAAACGCACGAGCAGCTACGCGCCATGGTATCTTCTGGCAAGGCCATGACGCTTGCATCGACCGCTATCAGCGCAGAAAAGCAGCAGCAAACGCTGGCAGGCATTGAGATGACGGAAGAGATCCGCGCGGCGTACGACTCGGTCAAAGTCATCGATGTTCTTGACGTCAGTCAGGAAGGTACGGAGATCTGGGGCACGGCGGAGCTGGCATATAATGAGAGGGTCGCACGGGTTGAGAACAGCTTGATTGCACGCTTGCGAGATCTGCTTGGGCAGGCGAAGACGGCACGGGACATGCTGCGCGTGCTCTCACAATTCAACACACTTTTCGTGCGCCCCAAAGTGCGCGGTGCTGTCCAAGAATACCAGCAGCAGCTCCTGCACAGCGTCAAGGCCGATATCCAAGGTCTGCATGACAAATTCAAGGCGCAATACCAGCATTCCGAGGCCAATCACATGAGCCAGCTGCGGGATCTACCTAGCATCGCAGGTGCGATCATCTGGACGCGCCAAATCGAACGCCAGCTCAACATATACATGCGCAGAGTCGAAGATGTGCTGGGAAGAGGGTGGGAGCAGTACGCCGAGGGCCAGAAGCTCAAGAACGAGAGTGATGGGTTCAGGCGGAAGCTCGACCCCACGCCGTTGCTGCAGTCTTGGCTCAAAGAGATTCAACGACGAGACCTGAACGTCACAGGACGCATGTTTGCTGTGCTATATACTCGGGCGACCGGCAAGTACCAGCTGGCGGTCAATTTTGATTCGCAAGTCATCACTCTCTTCAAGGAGGTCCGCAATTTGCTGTGGATCAACTTGCCAACACCTACCATTCCTTATGCCATTAACAACGTTGCTCGAGAGGCGAGGCGAATCTATCCGCACGCAGTCTCGCTCATGGAGACGGTCAGGACTTACAATCAGACGAATAGCCTCGTTTCTCCTCAGCCAAAGATTGTGCCGCTACTCGCGGCTCTCCGGACCGAGGTCAACAGCTTGATCTCTAAAGGGATGTCCATCCGCTGGGAGACGCTAAAGACATTTGATCTCAACCGCACTGCCAATTATCTGCCTGGCTCCGGCGCAACCGACAAAATGGATCACAAGACTGTCGCTTTCGTTCGCCAGCTTGCTAGCTCTGTCAGCCTCTACCAGGACAAGGCGAACGATCTCATTGCAATGCAGAACGAGATGCAGGGACTCGTAGATGAGCTAGCTGCCTGCCCTTTCTCGTTCGACGAATTCTCGCAACGGCTGTCCAAGATGCAGCAGACAGTGGACCGACTCAACCTCGAAGGGTACCCAAACTTGGAGGAATGGGTCGCCGACTTAGATGCCGCTGTCGAGAATGCACTCATTGAGAGGCTGCGGACGATCATCGCGCTTTGGTGTAGCGAATTCGCCAAAGAACGCCGTAGTGGAGACAGCGGGCTTCTCAGAGATGTGACCAATACGGTCGGTAGACGAGGGAAAGAGCGGGTCATGGTGACAAAGGTACTTTCGACGTCTGCAGAAATGGCTAGTATGAGTCCTCACTGATCTGATTCGCCTGAACGCTGTCCAGGGATCTGCCGCATCTCGCGATCAAGTCGATCTGGCAACCGTGACGCATGAAGTCCGTCTGCAAAACCATGTCATCTACCTGGAGCCGCCGTTGGAGCAAGCCCGATCAGATTGGTTCAGGCAGCTACATGCGGTTCTGTCCAAAGTATGCGCCCTTCAGCGTGTGCAAAGCGCGCGTTATGAGCTTGGTTTCCAGCTTTCGGAAGGGCGACACAAGGACGTCACCTTCACGTCGCTTCTGACCAAGCTTCCTCAGGGTACCCTCGAACGCCCTGTGGCACTCATCGAGTCAAAGATCGCCGAGCTCACACAATACGTCGGCAAATGGCTCCAGTTTCAGTCGCTCTGGGATTTGGAAGCAGAGCGTGTTTTCGACAGCCTCGGTGAATCTCTACCCAAATGGCAGCAGCTCCTGGCCGAGATTCGCAAAACGCGCGCTACTTTTGACAATTCTGAATCCCAGCGCTCTTTCGGCATTGCTGTGATCGACTATGAACAAGTTCAGAGCCGTGTCAACGCCAAGTACGATGCATGGCAGAAAGACATTCTCAACAAATTCGGCTCTAAACTCCGAAGTGCCATGAGCGAAATGTACGCGATCGTCTCTAAAGCGCGCACAGACTTGGAACAACATAGCATTGAAAGCAGCTCGACCGCAGCGACTGTGACCTTCATCACCTTTGTGCAAGACCTTAAGCGCAGTGTCAAGAAGTGGGCACCCCAGATGGAGATCTTTAGCACAGGTCAAAAGACGCTTGAGCGGCAACGGTACATGTTCCCTGCGGATTGGCTATATGTCGACCAGGTAGAGGGGGAATGGAGCGCATTCAACGAGATTCTGAAGCGCAAGAATGCCAGCATTCAGGAGCAGCTGGCCGGCCTTCAGCTGAAGATCACTGCGGAGGACAAAATCCTTGAAGAGAAGATAACCACGCTGGTTGCCGAGTGGGAACGACAAAAGCCGATCCAGGGCAACCTGAAAGCTGATGCCGCCATGTCGACCATCTCATCTTTTGAGACACGGCTACAAAGGCTCAGTGACGAACGTGACTTGATCGCGCGAGCTAAGGAAGCATTAGACCTGGAGCACAAGGCCGATGACCGCCTGGAGCCCATCTCCGAGGAGCTGCGCGACTTGAAAGGCGTCTGGACCGCTTTGTCTGGTACGTGGAGCCAGATCTCTGAGCTTCGCGACATCCAGTGGCACAACGTGCAACCCAGAAAGATTCGGCAACAGCTGGATGCCTTGCTCAATCAGACAAAAGAGCTGCCAAGTCGCATGCGACAGTATGCCGCATTTGAGCATGTGCAGGATGTGCTGAGGACTCTGCTCAAGTGTAACATTCTCGTTTCTGATCTCAAGTCAGAGGCGATGCGCGAAAGGCACTGGAGGTCGCTCTACAAGCAGCTCAAGGTTCAGGCTCACTACACGCCTTCGACAATGACGCTCGGCACAGTCTGGGACCTCGATCTCAAGAAGCATGAAAACACAGTAAAGGCGGTGCTTGCGACTGCGCAAGGCGAACTTGCCTTGGAAGAATATCTCAAGCAAGTCCGTGAAACATGGACCAACTTCACGCTGGAGTTGGTCAACTATCAAAACAAATGTCGTCTAATTAAGGGCTGGGACAATCTGTTCCAATTGGCTGGTGACAATTTGAATGCTCTTCGAGCAATGTCCATGTCCCCGCACTACAAGGTCTTCGAAGAAGAGGCGAGCCTATGGGAAGAGCGTTTGTCCAAGATCTCGGTCCTGTTCGATACCTGGATCGATGTGCAGCGACAGTGGGTCTATCTCGAAGGCATCTTCAGCGGCAGCGCAGAGATTCGTCACATTCTCCCCGTCGAAAGTTCACGATTCCAGAACATCAATACGGAGTTCCTCGCCGTCATGAAGAAAGTCTACAAATCGCCTTTCATCTTGGATGTGCTCAATATCCCAGGCGTTCAGAAAAGCCTTGATCGACTCGCGGACCTGCTCGGGAAGATTCAGAAGGCTCTTGGTGAATACTTGGAGCGAGAGCGGTCAAATTTCCCTCGATTCTACTTCGTCGGAGATGAGGACCTGCTCGAGATCATCGGCAACAGCAAAGATGTTCTGCGCGTGATGAAGCACCTGAAGAAAATGTTCGCAGGCATTGCAACCATCGAGGTCGACGAGGACATCACCGAACTTCGCGCCATGGCCAGCAGAGAGGGCGAGACGGTGCGCTTCAAGTCACCAATCCTTCTCAAAGATTACACGAAAGTGAATGATTGGTTAGCAAAGATCGAGAGCGAGATGCGGGTCTCTCTGTCCTACAAGCTCTCGCAGGCATACGAGGATCTGCAGACTTTCTACAGCGCGGAAGAAGGACTATCGCCAGAGAAGTTCCTGGACTGGATCGATGTCTACCCGGCGCAATTGGTGGTGCTCACTGTGCAAATCATATGGACAACTCTGGTTGAACAGACCTTGAAGGCCGGCCGAGCTTTGGAAGAACCTCTCAACATCGTCCTTCGCGGGCTCGACATGCTAGCGGATACAGTTCTGACTGACGTGCCGATGCTGAAAAGGCGCAAGTGCGAGCATTTGATCACCGAGCTTGTGCATCAACGCGACGTCATCAGACTGCTCATGGCTCAGCAAGTCCAAGATGAGAAGGACTTTGCGTGGCTCTACCAGATGCGCTTCTACATTGACTCGTCAATAACAGATCCACTGGACCGCTTGACAGTGCAAATGGCGCAATCCGTATTCCCGTACGGCTACGAATATTTGGGCGTCCCTGACCGCCTTGTTCAGACGCCGTTGACCGACAGGTGCTACCTCACCCTCACGCAAGCACTCAACTTCCAGCTCGGCGGTGCGCCCTTTGGACCCGCTGGAACCGGAAAGACAGAGTCGGTCAAGGCGTTGGGCGTCCAGCTGGGCATGTTTGTCCTTGTCTTCTGCTGTGACGAGACTTTCGACTTCCAGGCCATGGGTCGTATCTTCGTCGGTCTCTGTCGCGTAGGCGCGTGGGGCTGTTTTGACGAGTTCAACCGTCTTGAAGAGCGAATCTTGTCCGCCGTGTCGCAGCAGGTGCAGACAATTCAGCATGGCCTATCCGCTTCTGTTTCGAACCCAAACACTGAAGTGGAACTTGTCGGAAAGAGTGTCAAGATCAACCCAAGGACGGGCATCTTCATCACGACGAACCCGACGTATGCTGGAAGGTCGCAATTGCCAGACAATCTGAAGAAGCTCTTCCGCAACATGGCGATGACACATCCAGATAGGGAGCTGATCGCGCAAGTCATGCTCTTCTCGCAAGGCTTCCGCACGGCAGAAGTCCTTGCAAGCAAGATTGTTCCGTTCTTCAATCTATGCTCAGAGCAACTCAGCCCTCAACCTCATTACGACTTTGGCCTTCGTGCCCTCAAGTCTGTTCTGGTCAGCGCTGGGCAGCTCAAACGCGAGAAGCTTCTCGCAGGCGCAAGCGACGCCGACCCGGCGCAGCTTGGCCAGTCCGAACAGGAGCTCTTGATTCAGAGCGTGTCGGAGACCATCGTTCCGAAGCTCGTAGCGGATGACGTTCCTCTGCTTACAAGCTTGCTTCAAGACGTATTCCCAAGCGTGCAGTATAAACCAGCCGCGCTGGAAAAGCTCAAGGAGCATATTGCCGCGGTCTGCGCCGAGCAAAATCTTGTGAATGACGGTCTGTGGCTGGACAAAGTCATTCAGCTTTACCAGATCCAAAAGATCTCTCACGGTCTTATGCTCGTCGGCCCGTCGGGAACTGGCAAGTCTTTGGCATGGCGCGTGCTGCTCTCCGCGCTGGAAAAGCTGGAAGGCGTCGAGGGAGTGTCGTACGTGATCGACCCCAAGGCAGTCTCCAAAGAGGCTCTATATGGAACGCTGGATCAGACCACGCGCGAGTGGACCGACGGTCTCTTCACGCATGTCCTGCGCAAGATTATCGACAACGTTCGTGGTGAGAGCGCGAAGCGGCATTGGATCATCTTCGATGGAGACGTCGATCCGGAGTGGGTCGAGAACTTGAACAGGTGAGTGTATGCTTCTGAGCCGAAGCAGCAACAGTGCGTCAGCAGGCTGACATATCGCGGATCAGTGTTCTGGATGACAACAAGCTTTTGACGCTGCCAAATGGAGAGCGACTGAATTTGCCACCAAACGTCCGTATCATCTTTGAAGTAGAACACCTCAAGTACGCTACTCTTGCCACGGTCTCTCGCTGCGGCATGATTTGGTTCAGCGACGATATCGTCACGCCGAGCATGCTGTATCACAACTATCTCAGCAACATGCGGTCGATGCTGCTTGGCAACGACGAGGATGACTCGCTCGGGATGGCCAAACCGAAGCGCGCGATCTTATCGGACGACTCGGAAGTGCCACCCGAATTGCAAAACCAGCGCGTCATTGCAGATGCAATTGCTCCGTTCTTTGAGGAACAAGGCCTGGTCACCAAGTCTCTCGATTTCGCCCAATCGGTCTGGCACATCATGGACTTCACTGTGGCACGAGCCCTGAACACTCTGTTCAGCCTTTTGAACAAGACGGTTCGGAATGTTCAAGAGTACAACCAGGACCACGCGGATTTCCCTCTGACCAAGGAGCAGATCGAAAGTTATGCCGTCAAGAGGCTTCTCGTCGCTATCGTCTGGGCCTTCGCAGGAGACTCAAAGCTTGATATCCGTGCCGAAATGGGCGATTTCATTTCCTCTCAGGCTGGTATCGACTTGCCGCCGGTCGGACCTGGCGGCTCACTCATTGACTTTGAGGTGCAGATTGCTGGGTCCGAATGGTACCCCTGGCAAACTAAGGTGCCAACAATCGAAATCGAGATGAGTGCGGTCCTTGCTTCCGACATTGTGATTCCGACCATGGACACCGTCCGACACGAAGAGGTCTTGTACTCATGGCTATCAGAACACAAGCCGCTTATGCTGTGCGGACCGCCGGGCTCGGGCAAGACGATGACGCTGTTCAGCGCCCTTCGAAAGCTGACAGATATGGAGGTCGTCGGTCTCAACTTCTCCAGCGCGACCACGCCAGAGCTGATCCTCAAGACATTCGAGCAGTATTGCGAGTACCGCAAAACCCCCAACGGCGTGATTCTTTCCCCGCAACAGATTGGACGCTGGATTGTCGTCTTCTGCGACGAGATCAATCTCCCTTCAACGGACAAGTATGGCACACAACGTGTTATCTCATTCCTTCGACAGCTGGTGGAATGCGGCGGATTTTGGAGAACATCGGACAAGGCCTGGGTGCGATTGGAGCGCATTCAATTTGTTGGCGCGTGTAACCCGCCTACGGATCCAGGTCGTGTGCCTCTAAGCCACCGATTCCTGCGGCATGCGCCTCTGGTCATGGTTGACTATCCGGGTGAAATTTCGCTCAACCAAATCTATGCCACCTTCAACCGAGCCATGCTCAAGGTTACGCCTAATCTGCGCGGCTTTGCTGAACCGCTCACAGCAGCCATGGTCGACTTCTATCTGGCCTCGCAAAATGAGTTCACACCAGATCGGCAAGCACATTACGTCTATAGTCCGCGTGAGCTTACGCGCTGGACAAGGGGCATCTACGCTGCCATTCAGCCCCTTGACACTCTCAATGTGGAGGGTCTTGTGCGTGTCTGGGCACACGAAGGCCTGCGCCTGTTCCAGGACCGCCTGGTCACTGAAGAGGAGCGCCAGTGGACCAATCAAAAGGTCGATGAGATCGCCATGAAACACTTCCCGACAATCGATCAGCTGGAGGCACTCTCACAACCGATTCTGTTCAGTCCTTGGATGTCAAAGCATGTGGTCTCTGTCTCACGCGACTCTCTCCGCAACTATGTTAGTGCTCGCCTCAAGCTCTTTGCTGAGGAAGAGCTCGACACATCGCTTGTCCTCTTCGACGGCGTCTTAGATCTTGCATGCAGCATCGACAGGATCTTGCGACAGCGACAAGGCCACGTTCTCATGCTCGGCCTCTCGGGTAGCGGACGTACCACGCTTTCGCGCTTTGTTGCTTGGATCAACGGTCTGAGCATCTTCCAGATCGCCACAAGCAACAAGTATGGCATGGCTGAATTCGACGAAGACTTGCGCGAGCTGCTCAGGAGGGTGGGCTGCAATGGAGAGAAGGTGTCATTCATCATTGACGAGTCGCAGGTCAAGGATCCCGCCCAACTGGAGAGGATGAACACACTTCTTGCCAACAATGAGGTCCCTGGTTTGTTCGAAGGTGACAATGCAGCTGCGTTGCTCACGGCTTGTAAAGAAGGCGCGCAGAGGGATGGCCTCATGCTCGACTCTCCCGAGGAACTCCTCAAATGGTTCTCCAGCGAGATTTCGAAGAACTTGCATGTGGCGAGTGTTGTCATTTAGACGTAATCGAGGAATGACCGTTGCTGACCTTGCGTTTTGCTGCAGACCTTTACGATGAATCCACCTTCGGCCGGCATGGGCTCGCGTGCCGCAGCCTCACCAGCTTTGGTGAGCTTCCTCGCATGTCAGCTTGTTCGCAGACTAACCGCTGACACCTGTACTCCATTTCCGTCGCAGTTCAATCGTTGTACGCTCCTGTACTGTTGGTGAACAATGCCACTTTGCTGTCGCTAATTCTACAAGTTGATGCAATTCAAACGTCCGTGTGTCTGTACATCCCCCAGCAGCAGCTGTGCCGCTACCAAATCTTCATGGGGTGGGGGCATGCACGTGAGCATCATGTTGCTGTGCTCGCTGCCGCAGCACTTCCGAGGGCAAGAGCAGCGTTTGCGTCCGCCGTGCGCCTCCGCCATCTTGAGCATCTGGGCCATCTGCAGCCAGACCGTGCATTTCGCATTCCTGTGCCAGGAAATGCTCCCGCATCATCTGGTTTTCCAATAAGGTTTGCTCGTACTCATAAGCCAAATCAAATTGCTTAGGCTGCACCTCGTATCCTTCCGACCCGCGCCGTACGCGGCTCCGCATGCCGTCCGCGAGACACTCGTCGCCGTGCGCTGAGAGCCCATCTCGCTCTGAGCTGGAATCAGAGTCACCAGTGGGTTCGCCAATGGGGAAGGCGCTTGTTGGATACGGCCGCGGTGCTCGGGAACCTTCCATCGATGGCCACAATGATTGCCTCTCATTCTCTTCGCCCAGGTCTGCATCTTCATCTTCGCCGTCCTCATCGGTGCTGGTGTCACTGCTCCGCCTTCCCTCGTCAGCATCGTAATCGTCTCTGTGGAGCCCAAAGTCCGGGTGCCATGGCGAGACGCTATAGTTGTAATGGTGGCTCTGGGATGGGCATTGTAACGCGCTGGATCGCGCCCCCTCGAGCTCAGGTTCGATCTGTTCAGCATCATGAGCCGTAGGCAGCTCGCCTCCGCCGACGTCGTGTACCCTTTGCCGCCGCTGATGCATTGATTCCGCGCGCTGTTTAGACCCGGACGATGAAAGGCCGTGCCATCCGTTTTGCCCGCCAGTCACTGCTGCCTCGTATTCTCTTCGACCTGCCTTTTGACGCATATAGTCATGTTCAAGAGTCTTGAGTGGGTCCTTCGGCGGCCAGTCGTACTGCTTGTGCGGTTCGACCTGCGAACATGTCTCGTAGCTGAGCCCATCACCATCACACGCCTTGCGACCAGGCATGAAGAACCAATGGACCGGTGTCGGACCAAGGACGACGGTGATATTCCGCCAGAATGGCGAGAGAGTGAATGGAAAATCGATCAAATCGCGTCCTCGCGCGAGGCGGCCGCGTCGTACCATCGTTTCGACCTTGTCCGTCTCGGCGCTTTCGACGGTGGTCATGTTGTTGCAGAGCAACCAGATGTGCCACATGGTAAAAACGCCGACAAGCAGCAAGGTGATGCCGCAAAATATATAATTCAGAATGCATAAGACCGTGACGGCCGTTGTTGGCGGTCTGAAGTACCCGCTAGTAGTCTGGCCCCAATAATCGAGGGCTATACAGGTGATCAGGACAAGGTGCGCCGAGCAGGTCACGCAAACGGAGTAAAGAAATCGCAGGAAATGCGGGTAATTGTTGTGGCCAACGCAATTGGCGAGCCAGGGGCAGTGGTGGTCCATACGAAGGGTACAGCTCCGACAGGTCTTGCAATGATGGGCTCTCGGTGGTTTGTAGGCTTTGCAATGTCGACAGTAGCGAGGTTGGCTTGGGCGGATAGGTGGCCGTTGTTGCTGATGCTTGCGCACGAGCAGGGGTTTGTCGTCTTCTTCAACTTGATCCTCGACCGCAAGCACTTGCTCTGACAGTGCCTGAGGAAGAGTTGGCGGACTCCAGCCCTTTGGCACCCGTCCAGGTGACGAAGTAACGCAAAGGAAGTAGTTAAAGTAGATGCAAGAGAGACCGATGTTGAAAGGGAGCAGAATCTTCCAGCACATGTCTCCCAGAGTGATCAGGATGCGATGCTTCGACTTCAAGTAGTAGTCAAGCAGTAGCAGCTGCACGGACAGGCCGAGGAAAGTGATTAGGGTGAGAGTTCCGCCGACCCTGGGGAGAGTCAGCCCAAGCAAGACTATCACCGTCAGCGCAGTGGTGAAGAGCACAGCGCACGGCCGACGACAGGGGACTCACCAAATCTTCTCACTGAACTTCAGCGGTGCCCTCTGCTTCCTGAGTTCCTTGTCGTCAATACAACCCACTGGTGTACTTTGTTGCCCCTTCTGAGTTGCGGCCTGACTGTCGGACATGATGGCGTCGCAGTCCACGAGCACCGCACCAGTCCCCGCCGATGACATCTGATCGGCTACCGTGAATGCAAGGCCGAAAGTGAGCAGATCATGGTTATGCGGTAAAGAGCACACCTCGAGCTGATCTGCAGCCGTACTTTGTTGCGCTTGCCGCTTTTGGCCATGTAGACGATTGCCATTTTACCCTATGATCGGTGTGTTTGCCTTGAATGCATGGACCGTGTATGCTCCCATGAGCTCGAGAGAGGGCGTATAAGACATGAACACTTGAGGGCGGAACGCGGAGTTCCTTCGCTGTGATTCTCGAAGCTCGCAGGCAAAAAAAACCATCGTGGCCGTCGTCATCGTCAGCACTCCCATCAGTACGGCAGGCATCACCCCACCTCCCTTACACTCATTGAGACTCGAAGTTGTTTGCTCCGTCCTCAAGCTCAGTATAGCTACGGAGCACCTGCGGAAAGTAGACGCTCAGTATGGTCGTCCTAACGAGTCGTGCGGCGACAGCAGCGGCTGCAGCTGCCGCAGCGGCTTCTAGTTCCGCAGTTGTATCTTCGGCGTCTGCTGCCTCTGTGACCCTTCGGGCAAGCAAGGTCTGTACATTGCCAAATGAGGACCGCGCCCCAAGTGGCTGGCATCCTCGCCAGTACCAGAGACGGCGAAGCTTCCATGTCGGCCGTATCGGTACAGCGCAGCCTTCGTCCTCTCGCCGACCTATGATCGAGCTCTGCTCGTCTTGCAGCAGCAAAGCCGCTGCCTCTAGCGTGCAAAGCAGGCCCTTCTCAAGCTCAGGCGTGGCATGTGCATCATCTAAAGACCTCTATTCGACCCTGGGTGTGAAGAAGGACGCAAGCACTAAAGACATCAAGGGTGCTTATTATCAATTAGCGAAAAAGTTCCACCCTGATACCAACAAAGAGCCGGGCGCAAAAGAACGCTTTGTGGAAATTCAGAATGCGTATGACGTGAGTGCAGAACCCAAGCACCGCGGCATCCCATATTCGATGGCTCATTCTTCTCTTCATTTTTACTACAACAGGTGCTATCCGACGAAAAGAAGAAAGCAGCGTACGACCAGTACGGCTCGACTGATGGCACTTCCCCTGGGTTCAATCCATTTGGCGGTGGTGCCTCCCCATTTGGAAGTGCGGGTGGATTCGGCGGGTTCAGTCCAGGTGGAGCTGGCGGCTTTGGCGGCTTTTCGTCCGGGGATGCATCGACCATTTTCGATTCGATCTTTGGCGCATTCGGGGGCGCTCGCACGGGCCCGAGTGGGCGAGGGACTGCTGGGTTCGGCGGTGCAGGATTCTCCGGAGGGGTAGAGCGCGGTGATGATATTGAGACTACCATCAATATATCTTTTGAGGACGCATGCCGAGGAACTACGCGCAAAGTAACCATCACGCCTGTCGAGCGATGCGGTCCATGCGAAGGTCAAGGCCTCAAGAAGGGCGCACGGCGAAGTACCTGTGGCATATGCAACGGGACGGGCACACGGACCTTTGTCATCCAATCCGGGTTCCAGATGGCGAGCACGTGTCCTGCCTGTGGCGGGTCCGGTCACGTGGTGAACCCAGGCGACTCATGCACGGACTGCGACGGCGTAGGTCGCGTGCGGGGTCGGCGGACCGAGGAGATCCGTATCCCAGCCGGCGTCGACGATGGCACTAAGATCCGCGTCGACGGCCGTGGAGACGTACCGCTGACCGGCGCAGGTATACCAGGAAGTCTTTACATTCGCGTCAATGTCCAACCGAGCAAGATCTGGCGACGTCAAGGCAGCAACTTGTACTACTCGGCCTCGGTCCCATTCCACACCGCCGTGCTGGGTGGACGCGTGCGTGTGCCGACGCTCGACGGCGACGTTGAGGTCCGCGTTCCGCAGGGCACACAGGTCGGCGAAGAGATGCTACTCCGTGGGCGTGGCGTTCCGTTGCTCGGCCGCGCTAGGAACGCTGCGGGGAGTGCCAACGCGAAAGGAGATCTGCTCGTGCAGTTTGACGTCAAGATCCCGCGTAGCTTGACGCCTCGGCAGAGGGAGATCTTGCAGGAGTACGTGGCAGAGATAGAGGGCCGGTCCAACAGCAAGTCGCCAGCTGCGCCAAGGGCGGGGGTGACCGGAGGCTCGTCGCCACAATCGAGTGCTTCTGGTGGCAATAGCGGCAATGCAAACAAGAACACCTCAGCCTCACCGTCTCGTTCTTCACCAACGTCGTCGTCAACGTCCTCCACCACTTCTGCTTCCTCGGGGGCGAAAGAAGAAGCAAAGGGTGCGTCTCCAGCTCAAACCTCCCCTCAGTCCAGTTCCAGTCAGCATGTAGAAGGAAGGGCGAGCGCGGAAGGAGCAAGCGTTAGAGATGGTGCTAGGGATAGCGGTGCGGCAGTTGGTGCAGGCGCCGGCACGGACAAGGCTAAAGGGTCGTCCCCTGGGGCTCTCGGCCGTGCGTGGGACTGGCTCACCGGCAAGAAGGAGTGAGCGTTATTGGATTAAGCGGACCGATTAGGGGGGGAGAACCGGACCTGATTCCGAAAGATATAATCGCGTTGGTCAACTATACACCAAGCAATTTGTAGAGTACTGATCATGCACTGGCATATCTCTCTCTCCACTCATTCCATCGCCACAGGTGCAGGTGCAAATATGGATGCTGGCGAAGGGGCAAAGACAAAGACCGTCACCGAGGCCCGTGACGATGGGAGAGCAGGCAAGAGCGGTACATCGACATCTTCGCAGGGGAAAGCGCCTGGCGAGAAGAGCGCCAATGATGACGATCGAGCCGCAAGCGCAAGCGAGAAAGACAAGAATGCAGCAAAGGAAGGCTAATATGTGTGTCATGGGGCGGCCTGCTGGCACCTCGGGTCGCGGAACGGCACTTCTGATCTCCTCCCTTGAGCATTGGCTAATGACGGAAGGAGCGAAAGACTTGCAAGGGCGCGTACGAGGAAAGCTTGCTAGCAGCTGCGTCTGGCAGCTAGTCTGCTGCGCTTTGCATTCTCATTGTAGAACGTTCCATGTAGATGCATTTTGCCACCTCTCTCTGACATTCATCGAAGCTCGAAGCGCGGACATTGCATTTGCTGCGAAGCCCGGGGCGTTCTGTATTCATTCATCGGACAGGCGCCGGGAGCTCGGAAGACGACCCCTGCCGCCCACCCGCCGGCAGCCTATTCAGCTCGATCGAGCCATCACCCAGGTGCATGTAGCAGTGCGTCACTGGTGAACAGCAGAATGCCAATCGAGATGCATTCACACGGTGCACCGTTTCGACTTTCGACGCATGACACTCCAAGGCGATGACCAATTGCCGCCGATTGGGCGTGCACCAGTGCGAGCTCCGACGGCTTGCTGAGGTAGACTCAACTCAAACTCAACTATCACAAGTGGCGAAGCAAACTAGAGGTCGTCGATGTTCCGAAGCCCGCCTTGAGGCAGCTTTAATGCCACGTGACCATCCAAGAATCACATTCATTCTGCCGCCGTTCTCCCCGACACCCCAAACAATTCCATGTGCTTGGTTAAATGTATTGAAAGTCTTCTGTGATCACTCACATTTGTGGTGCGCAAGCATATGAGATAGATGCACCCCCATCTCTGCTGCCACCCTTGTTCGTGGCTCTTGGTCAACGGCAACTGTGCAAGAAAAGTCGTCGTCAGTGGCTGACACTTTCCCATGTCCAAACCCATCCATCCATACCCAGCACAGGCCGCAGATGATGGATGACGCGGCTTTGATTTTACTGCCCACATCCTCCAGTTGAGACTGCCTGGCTGACCCGCGGACTGCTTGAAGACCTCCGAGGCCTCTTTTGAAAAGTACTGGCAGCGCAGCTTAGCCGCTTGCCGCCCTTCGTCCCATCTATGTTCGGAAACGAAGTTCAATGGCAACAGGACCCGCGGCTATATATGCATGCCGCTGACCGACCAACTACATATCTTCATCTCGGCAAGGGTTATACAGACCGCAGCGCTCACCCGGTAAAGCAATCCCGGATGGCATTTCAAGGGGAGCCGCTGCTGTGCTGTATGCTGTGCCAGCTGCTCCAGCCACTCATCTACTTATCGACTGACACGAGGCAAGTGGCAGGAAGCGATGCTCGACTTGTGTCTCCCTACATACATATATCGAGGGCCGTGCATGCATCCGTCCATCGCAGTGTAGTGTGCCAAACGCCAACTGCAATTGCAGGCAAGCTTGCCTGGATCCAAGCTCAACTTCAATGAGTACCCGAGGTCGCTGTTGTAGTTTGAACAGGCACTGAGTCAATGACCGCAGAGATCGCATCATACACCGGACATTCATGCATAGCTCAGCTGCCATTCACAGCTATTAGCCATTCATCAAGCTGCGTTCCTCTGACGCTTGTGCGTTGGTAGTCGCTGGCTAATCGTGTGGTGACAAAATGGAAGCTGTCAAGCCAAGGCTTGTTTGCCGGCCATGGCCAAGCAAAGCGTAGGAAAACCTGGCCAGGCAGGACTAAGGCCAGTCTCCCGGCCTGACGTCCGACACCTTGCTTTGGTCAGACAATCACAATGAAAAATAACTGTTGTTTGCTTCTTTCGGTTGAGCGACCGAAAGGCCAACAGGATGAATATATATATCCAGGCGGGATCGCGTCACGCTGTGGACGCATTCTCTCCCTCTCCGTAGTCTAGCTTCCTGCTGACCTGCTGCTTATCGCGTCCACTACGCCCACTGCTCCGTGTCCTTGAGCCGAACGAAAGTCTCGCCAGAACACAAGGCGGAGCATAAGATGCGCTATCTTGCAGCGCTCGCGCTCTCGAGCCTAGGAGCCTTGCCAATCCTGGCACAATCGGCGCTGACAGTGAACACACCGAGCAACTTGATTGTCTGCATCCCGAGTCTCATCCAGTGGTCCGGCGGCACAGGGCCGTACTATCTGACGGCGAACGCCGGCGGTTCGTCATCGGACGTGCTCGCGACGTTTGTCAACGGCGAGAACGTCACGTCATACACTTGGACCGTCGACCTGGCCGCCGGCACCGCGGTCACGATGGGCATTCGCGATGCGACGGGCGCGACGAACTTCGCGCAGCAGGTCACCGTGCAGGCCGGCAGTTCGACGACCTGCCTGAACAGCAGCGGCAGTGGCTCTACTTCCGATTCTTCCTCCTCCACGCTTTCTTCTTTGGCAAGGGAGTCGCTGGGAACGGAGAGCGGCGCGTTGGCTTCGACCAGCAACAGCAGCAGGACCAGCGCTAGAAGCACGAGCACGAGGGCAACAAGCGCTGCCTCCAGCGCCACTCAGGCCACTTCCTCTGTTGCTGCCAATACGTTCGTGAGGTGAGCAGTGCAAGCTTGAAAAAGTGATGGTGATGCTTGCTCGCTGCAATTTTGACATATTCCATCTGCCCCTCATGCATTTACGACAAATAGCAACGAGGCTGCCGGTGCTCTCTTTGGAAAGAGCACACGCATTTCCGTCGCCATGGTTGCGCTCGTCGTCCTCGTCGTACCCGCCGCACTGGTCTGAACGCGGGTCACCGCAGTTCTCACAGACACTTACACACTGACGCTGCCCGCCACCCTTGCTTTCATCGCCGTCGTCGTTGCCTTCATGTGCACTTGCCCCTGTACGACGCTACACCGAGCACCGTACCCAATATCCGGAAATGGATACCCGCATCCTGTGCATGCGCAATTTGAATGCATTTCCGCTGACGTCCACATCCACTTTGGCCTCCTCCTTTTCTGTGTGTCACGGCATGCTCCCATGCCTGGCTCTTTCCCTTCCCTTCCCTTACCTGGCTGGGGGCGTTTTCGTCTAGCACGCGCTGAACTGCTCGCAGGTCTTGGGAAAGCCCCTGAACGGAGAGCACAGACTGTGCTGACACCGCTGGCTTGCGACCGTTAGCTGTGGAGGTCCTACAGCTCCCAGGAATATTCGCTGGGTTGGACGGTTGGCCGTGTTAACCCATCCCGCTGAGGACAGCAGAGAGTTTTCTGCTCTGTCTCGGCCGTTCGCTTCCAGCCAGACGCAGGTTTGTGCAGCATCTATCCGGGTAGACAGTGGTCGAACGCCAATCAATTCTGTGTAAACTCAGGCATTGCAAGACTGGAATCTGGGGTGGCGGCTCTGCGTATTGCGCTTGCGGTAGGTCTGGGCACAGTCTCGTCACGGTGTCCGCGCTCCCCGGCCCGAGGACAGCAGCAGCAGCAGCACAGCATTGGGACACGGCACGGGCCTAGCGGATGCTCGGTCACACTGCCCCACTGCCTCTTGGCACATTTTCGGCAGCTCCACAGGATGTTTCCTGGCTGACGTTCTTCTGGCTTCTTTTCCCCGATTCCACGAGATTCCACATGATCCGCCGGGCTCTGCTCTGGTGCGAACGCACGCGACCTGTTTGCCTGCCCTGTCTGAGCCTTGCCCATTGGACTCCAAGTGAGTGAGCGTGTGCCTCTGTGCACGGCGCTCCCATCGCTCGCACCGGTGCAGATCAGCCACCCTGCTCACTCGCAGTAGAGCGACAGCAGCATCCGCCAGCGCGTTCCTCCTCTCCCCCTTTCCTTGTTCTGCCTGGATCCCAAGCATATTACAACACCCCTTCGCCCTTCCTCACTTCCTCCCTCCATCCATCTCTACCACCCGCATTCATTCCCTGCCTGGCCCACCTTTCATCCCATTTGTCAACTTCCGCAAAAAGAAGAAAAAGCTCAAGTCACGATGCGCTTCACTGTCACCGCCGCCACGTTCGCCTTGCTTGCCGCATACGCCGCCGCTCAGTCCGGCCTGACGATCAACACACCCAGCAGCCTAATGTGAGCCGAAGCGCAGGCAGTAGGAGCAGGAGCAAGAGGGGCATATCGCTTACACTGCTTCCTCCCTCTATCTGATATCATCCGCTCTCGCCCAGCGTTTGCGTCCCCTCGCTGATCCAGTGGAACGGGGGCCAGGGTCCGTACTTCCTCACCGTCAACCAGGGTGGCAGCCAGTCTGTCATCCTCGAGACGCTAGTCAACGGCCAGAACCAGACGTCGTACACATGGAACGTCAACCTTTCCGCCGGCACATCTGTCACGCTCGCCATCCGCGACTCGACGGGCGCGACGAACTTTGCCCAGGCGGTCACCATCCAGGCCGGCAGCTCTACATCATGCATGAGCAGCTCCGCGTCTAGCTCGTCTTCGCACTCCTCAACGTCGTCGTCTGCGCCGGCGACCACCAGCTCGACGACCGCGTCTTCGTCGACTACCATCTCGTCCACCACCAGCTCCACCAGCTCCACCAGCTCTACCCCTTCAGCTACTTCATCGGCTCCCAGTGTGTGAGTGTGAGGGCGCGTCCTTGTCTCTCTTCGAGCGTGCTTGCCTTCTGTGGCTTTTCTGAAGGGACGGAGGGGAATTGGCGGGCTGGGATACGGGACACAATCGAGTAGACGCGGTCTGGCGGTCTGCTCGAGCCTGCAAAGATGGCAAATTTAATATACGCCGATTGCTCTTGCAACATGACTTCAACATCTAACTGAGCACTCCCATGAAAAGTTGAAGACGGACAGCGGGAAGCGGTCAAGGTGGAAGGGGTGTGGTACGTGGTATAATTGGAAAATTTGAGACGACAGCCAAGCGAGGAAGAAGCTCCCAAGACTCGCATTGGCGCATGTCACTCGCGCGCGGGGGGGGGGGTTGAAGCGCAGCCGGCGCTTGCACATTTACACTTGCAGCTAGAAACTGACATATGGTTTCTTGCCGGCATCCTTTTCCCTCGCCTTGCTACACGCCCCGCTCAGCACTAACGCCGCCACTGCCAACGTCGCCAACGCTGTCGGCGCCTTGGCCGTCGCTGCTGTCGCTGTTGCTCTTATCTAAGCACATGCCCTCGGCTACGGACAGAGCCATGGCCAGCAGTCAAATCGATTGAATCATCCCATTTACATCGGCCTGGCACACAGCACTTCCGGGATGAGGATGAGGATGCTCATGTGAACGGCGTGGGGGTACGGTTGCGCTACGGACAATGATTCGCTATGCAAGAGCGAGCAAGCTCCTTTCTGCCTCGCCTGCACATCAACCCATGATGGCCAATCAGCACCTTGGCTTTTCGCTTCGTTTGGTTTTCTTTGGCTCACTCTTTCTGCACCCTCCACTTCGTCGTTTCATTTTACATTAGCCCTGTCTACTCTCTTCCGATTTCATCTTCCATCGCGAAAGAAAGAAACGAAACAAGCGCATACACCCCCACCCCGTCATTGCTGGTCGATCAAACTATGTTTTCGTTCTTCTCCCAATTTGATTACTATTATCCATTGATCACACCTCCCAGCCTACGCTGCACGACCTTGTCCGTGTGTTCACAATGCACCTTCTTTAACTCTTTCCGCCCTCGTGTGTAGCTCTTTCGGCTACCGCCGGCGCTCATCTGTCAGGGCCACGCGATCGATCATCGTTCGTTCGTTCATTCGTTAACACCGCATGACCACACCGTCCGCAGCAAGGCTACGTTGTCGCAGACGCGGGGTGCCACCGACGCAACGACGCGCATGGAACACGCGTGGAATATGAGTCTCTCGCGAATCGATTCCCATTGAGTGTCTGTGTTTTTTTTTGCCCCACAGGTGTGGCTACATGCGCACGATGCAGAACAGAATCGCCGACTGAGCGGCAGCGGAGAGTTATATAGAGAGCGGGGAAAGATAGGTGTGGAGTGGTGCGAGGGTCGAAGGCGAGAGCCTGGAGCGAAGAGCGAAGAGCGAAAAGCAATGGAAGAAGGGGAGGGGATGTTGCAGCTGCTGATGTGGATAGTGTTGCAAAGCCAGCCAGCTCACGCAGCGCTCGTTGGCGTTTCATCCTCGCTGCCAAGCCCGGTAGCTTATGTCAACTAGGGTCCTTCTTCACCCGTGGAAGATGTTTTGTTGGCATTCCATTATGCAATCCTTTTGTGGCATGCAGGGCCAATCGGGAAAAGGGCCGGATGGAAAATGATACGCAGTGATGTTGATGAGTAGGTAGTGTTCATCCGCGTGGGTCATGTTCTCCTCCTTTTCTTGCTTTTTTCTTGTCTCAGCCACAGGCTGGCAGATAGCATGCTGTCCGGCCGCCAGCTTTAACACCGACGAGGATCAAACTGTCAAATTGTTCTGCCCCGCGTAGCTCAAGCGCCGAATCACCCATCGACAATGTCAGACTTGCGGATCGCTCTGTCTGGCTCTTCATTCTTGAGCGCCTGGCCCTGCTCGCGGATATCCTGGATGCTCTCGTCTCGTAAGATTCCAAGTCCGGACTCTTCCTTTGCAAGCTCTGCAACGTTGAAGGGAGCGGTTCACGGTACCGTGTCATTCAGTTTCGCTTGCTCTCTTTCGCATGCCGAGCGCGGCGAGACGACTCACCAAGGACGTCCTCCAGCGGCACGAGCCCGTCATTGTCCACATCGAGCTTGTCGACGATCTTCTCAAGCACCTCCTCATCGGGGCGATGCTTGATGAGGCGGAGAGCGCTTTCGAGGTCGTCGACGCTGATCTTGCCTGTGGGGCTCGCTTTGATGATGTGCATCCTACTGCCGACATCGCGGTCGTACGCCTCGAGCTGCTCGTCGATCTTCTGTAGCATCTTCGTCACACGCTTGACGAGCGAGCGCGTGGCGGAAGACTGCTGTGAGAGCGCACGAGCAGCGCTTTGCTTGGCCTTCTCGCTCTCTGCTTCCACGGCCTTCTCCGCCTCGGATGCGCCTTGTCCGTCACCCGAGGCTGGAAAAAAAGCTGCCGCCTCCTTACTTGCATCCCCGCGCTTGGTGTTGACACTGTCAGAAGCAAGAGCAGCAGCGTCGGCGAGGCTAGCATCCGCCTCGAGCTGCTCGACCTCGCTGACTTCCTTCATGAGCTCGTTGAGCTCCTCGCGCTCGCGCAGGACGCTGCTTTTGGCGCTCAACAACGCGAGCGCCTCACCGAGCTCGGAAAGCTGCTCGTGCGTCATACGCGCGTCCACTTCCTCCTCTTCCGAGGCCGCTGCTGGCTTCATCGACGAACCGTTGCTGCTCGCCAGTTTGTCCGTGTACCCGGCGGTGGAGACAGAAGATGCGGGCGAGGTTGCAGCAGCGGCGCCTTCGCCTGTGCCCGTGCCAGAAGCCGAGCCTGCAGCGATGGAGCGCGTGTGCAGCTCTCCTGGCGGCAACAGAGCGCGCGCGGCCTCCTCTTCTTCTTCCTCCCTCTGCGCACGTGCCTTCTTCTCGGCGGCGGCAGCGGCGCGCTTGCGCTCGCGGTCCTTCTCGCGTGCCTCCTTCTCTTCTTGCTCCTGCTCTGCCTCATCCTCGATGAGCTCCTCTTGCTCCTGGAGGACCTCAAGGCGCTGCTTGTTGGTCGCACTATCACTGTGCACGTTGAGCTCGGCTTCGTTGAGCAGGTTCGCCGGTAGGCTCGACAGCGTCAGCTCGAGCGCCCTCAGTTGCGGCGTCGCGCCCGCAGCATCGGCGCTCCCCTGCGCGACAAAGTTGAACGCCTTGCTAAGGATGAGCAACGTGCCGCTGATGCGCTGGTGCAAGTGCAGATCGATCCACTGCGACAGCTCCGAGCCCAGGCGCGCGTCCGTCAGGTTCGCCGTGACGATCCCGCGATCTTGGCACGCCTTCTGCAGCTCGTGATGCGACATGTTGTCCAAGCCCTCGGACGCGATGACCATGTCGTCCTGCCGCAGGCGCGAGAGGCGGTTGCGGATCTGATAGCGCAGATAGTTGTCCGTCCCGAACGCGTTGACCTGCATGTAGCGGCAGATCGAGACGAGCTGCGGACGCGAGAGGTTATCGAGCGTCAAGTCGTCATCGAAGAGCCGCGCGACTTTCAACACGTCTTCGCTGGAAGGCGATTCGCCCGTCGAGCGGACCTGACATCCGAAGATAACAGAGAGCAGCGTCAGGCTCAGCATTCGAAATCTCTGATAGTTGCGAGGGTAAGCTCACCTTTCTGAAGAACTCCTTGAACTCATCCTTGCTCTGCAGACGCTCGCTGGCCTGCAAGCCGCCGTCCTTGATGGTCTCCTGGAGGAACTTGGCCATCTCGAGGCGCACCTTGATGAGTCCGCGGCGCTTCTCCTCCTCAGCAAACTTGCTCTCGAACGTGCTGGGAAGCATGTTGGGGAACACCTTGATCGCGACGGGGAGTAGTAGTTCGGCAAAGGGGATGATGACGAACGGAACGAACGGGATCAGGCGCAGGATATCCGCCGTGGTGCGCTTGAGCTGCCGACGCTCGCGGCGTGTCAGGCTGTAGCCGAGCATGACGCGCCGGACGAGTCGCGCGGAAATTGACATCTCCTTGCCGAGCAGCTTGGTGCCGTGCCAGTAGTGCTGTGCCTCATGCTTGATGACGCTCCAAACGCGCCTGAGCAGCGGGCCTTTCGGCTTGGCCTTCTCGTCGTCGGCTTCGGCGACGTCCGTTTCCTTAGAGGACACTTTGGCCACCGACTTGGACAACTGCGTCGTAGCGAACGCAGCGGCCGCAGAAGAAGATGCTGCTTTGTCTGCTACCGTCGAAGTGCCCGCAGAGGCGGAAGCGATGGGCATGCTCTTCGACACAGTCTCAACGGGCTGCCAGCCCTGTCGCTGCTCTGCAGCTGCCGCTTGCTGTGCTGCTGTGGAGGATGATACCGACGACGAAGCAGCCTCTTCCTGCACGGGGGGCCATCTTGTCAGGGCACCCGAGCTTCGAGAGGACGACGACAATGGCGGCGGTCGAGGCGGCGGCGATGCGTCTGCTGATCGGTGTGGTTCGGTGTGTTGCGCCCGCTTGCCGGCGCCGAGGCCCTGGTGGAGATGTGAGATAGCTGCGCTCGCGGAGAGCGCAGGTCGTCGCGCGAGGGAGAAGGAGCGGACGGAGACTGGTCGTGGCTGGCGTCGCTGGTTGCGCAGCGCCGCGGACCTCGCTGTTGTGGTCCCTGATGGTGATGCCGACGCTTGCGCTGCGGCGAAGCTGAGCGCGCCCACTTGCAGCGCAGTCGAAAGGGCTCTGTGCGTCATTCGCGTCGACCAGTGAGCGGCCGCTGTGGAAGGCCCGCTGACCATGCTTCGCCTGATCATGGCTCCAGCGCCAGGTGACGCTCCGGCGCCGAGCAGGCGGAGAACGGTGATGTTGCGTACGCTGCCGTGCGGTCCGGCGGAGTGGCGACTCGCCATGATTCTAGGTTCCGTCGCTGTCACTGCCCAAGAAGAGTCCAAGATAGAGGTGACGAGCACACGATTATATTGAATCGATGGACAGGTTGCTTGATGTTTGGTGGATGGGTCTCGTCCCTGTGAGCAGTTGTTGCTTGATCCGACACTTGGCCTCGCACGTGCCTCGCTTGCTTGTTCGCCTTGCCTCTCTCCGGTCCCCGGTCTCCCTCCTTGACTCTATCCCAAGCGGGAACTCTGCTGGTCGTGGTCGCAGGGCGCAACGAAGGCTCACTGGCTGGCACGGCGTCAGGGACAAGTCGGAAGGGGGGCGCGAGCGACAGTCGGCGATGCATTTGCTTGTTTGATGACGGCAGCGTTGTTGTCCTGTGTCCCGTTGGTCGGTCGCATCCTTCCTTCGCAGGTCCCAACTCACAGTGCCTGGCAATGCCGCTTTCTCTCCATGCAAGTCACCGCCCGCCTCCTTCTTCTCTTCACACGCCGAGAGCCACCGCACTGGCCACCCACCCCCGATCACAGCTCATCACAAACACCCAGCGACCCATTTCATTTCGGGGGCACTCTCCCCTCACTCGCTCGGCTGGCTTCTCAGTTCCGCTTCCGCTCGTTCCGCCTGGGTGTGCTTGGGTTTACACAGTACGCGTGCCATGTTGCACTTGCACCGAATGTCTCCCACGCCTCCAGAGTCGGCGTCGGCTATCACGCCGAATTGACCGTGCACAGTTGGAGAAGCGTGTCATGCATCATCAAGCTGGAGATATGGGAGGAACCCGCTTGGGAAAGGGGTTGGGGTATGGCATGTCCTCCGTAGCGCTGCAGCAGAGAGCATCGCAGTGGCGGGATTTCCCAGGTGAAGTGATTCTCAGGCCCCAGCACCCTGTCAGTCTCTAGAGGGCACAATCATAGCCTGGTCACCGACATGGATGAATTAAATATCTGCACCCATGATGCGGCTCCTTGCCCGCGCTTACTGGTTTACCTCGCCCCCTGGCCTCGTCTGCCGCCGCGAGCAGTCGGCATGCCGTGTCCGATTCCTCCTCATATCTGTCGGCAATCAGCGACAGAGGAGCAGCTCTGTCCGTGACCCGGTCGGCGCTCCACTGCACGCTGCTCATCGACATGCACGTCGACCTGCCCGTTGTCGCGCGCGAGATGTTCGGCAAGGACATCAGCGCATCCCCCTACGACCGCTTACCGTCGTCGGAATTTCCCCCACAAAGGGCACGCCGACATTCCGGGCATGCGCCCACAGCGCTCGAGCAGGTTCCTTGGCATTGCATTTGTGCCGTGTCGCGAAGAGCTCGACGCGGGTGTCAGTGGCGATCCGCGCAAGGACGTTAACGGGTCGACCTGGACCGTGCGAGATACGTGGGACAGGTCGATGTCACAAAGACGCTCGCAGAGATATTCCTGGATGCGAGATGGCACATCTAAGAATAAAATAAAACGGAACGGTTGCGAACCTGACCCCCCCCCTCCCCCTTGATGCATTTGCACAGACGTGGCACTGGCCATGTCACCTGTCAAGGTGCGCTCGAACCTCAAATTAGGCAAGCTGACGCATATCATCGGCGTCGAGGGCGCACACATGCTCGGAAACTCCCTCGAGGTCCTGCGACAATACCAAGCGATCGGCGCGCGCTACCCAACGCTGTCGCACAACTGCCACAATATCTTTGCCAACTCGTGCTCGCCATCGGCGCCCGAGAGCCAAAAGGAGCTGCACGGCGGGCTCAGTGCGCGCAGCCGCGAGCTGGTCGACGAGATGAACCGCCTCGACATGCTCGTCGACCTGAGTCATACGAGCCAGCAACAGCACCGCCGCGCAGAACATGACGCACCCATGCGCCCCCGTCATCTTCAGCCATTCCAGCAGGATGGAGCTCTTCCAGCAACCCAGGAATGTCAGAGACAGCGTGTCGGAGCTCTATACCAGCAGCAACCCATGGTACAAGGGCGACGCGCATAGCAATGTGCTGGCGAGTCACAGTTCTTCGCACAGCAGTGGTCGCTGGCGACAGCGACCACTGCTGTGCGAGGACGACGGAGAGGAAGAGGGAGGCCTCGCCGCGCCGGGCCTCAGTCGAGCGTATGCCGAGCTGGCGCATGCGCAACGGCGTCGTCGCCGCGACGGCGGTGCCCGCATTCAACGGCCTAAACAGCTCTCTGCGCGACGTCTCCGACCACATCGAGCAACTCGCCGCCGTCGTCGGTAGACACCGCGTCGCGATCGGAATGGGCTTGGGTAGATTCTTGGAGCGGCCACCCAAAGGGATTGAAGACGTGCCGATGTATTCGAATGTGGTGACTCATCATACCTTGTCCGTGAAAAGCGCCTTGCTCAGCGTGCTGATTGAGATACGACTCGCATCCCCTGGCTTGCGACGATCGATTTGCGCGCTGGAGGCAAGCATGCAACACGCTACAAAAGCGTCTAGGCAAGAGGCGAGCTGAGGGGGCTTGCGGGCGGCAACCACCTGCGCGTCTGGCACAAGATCGAGCTCGTCAGCCACGTCATGCGCGGGTAGGAGCACATCAATATCAGCATGCGGCTGTATGATTCAATTCCTGGTGTGGGTAAGGGCAACAAGGGGTGGAAGATGCGCGGTAGTCGGGTGCGCCAAGTAGGTCAAGGTTGATATCGACCGTTTTGTAATTAAATGTCGATTCATAAGCAATAGACGAACCTTTTATCTACTTAGATACAATCTGTCGCCCGAGTATGATAGCTTTGCTGTCATTAAAATATCCTGTAACACTCGTGAACCACGGTGCGATCAGAGCGGTGTGTTGGGAAAGCTGAATGGCATGCCGCACTGCCAAAGACTCCTCTCAGCTAACTCTCTCATGTTGTTACGACTCTCTGCCACACCCCACCACTGTCAACTGCGACCCGCCGTGTCCGCTTGTTCGTATTGCAACTCAAAGCTTTCGTCAATGCCTGACGGATGGTCTAGGAGAGCATGCCATGCCACCAAAAAAGGCTAGCTCGGTCAACGGCAAGTCGTTACTCGTAGCATCATCAACCTCACTACGGACTCGCGCCCTTGCCTCCAAGGTCGGCCACGACCGCAATGGGAAAGCACGCAACGATGCTCCTCTCACTCCATTCGAAGGCTCACAAACGTGGACGAGTGTAGTACCTGCTGTTCAAGAACTCGTTTCCAGCTCGATTCCTTCGCCAGGCCTGTCTCCTCGAATCGGGGCCATCTTTTGCTTACCACCCGAAGAGAGCAGCGCCTTCCACCCCGCGACTGCACCAGCCATCACTGGAGGTCTTACGGTTGTACGGCGCATAAACAAGAATGCACTTGTTTCCCTGCCTGCGGATAAGGTTGCTTTCGGGGTAGCGCCAGGTTCGGCTCGGGGTATACCGCTCCGTCCACACACCAAGCCGAGAGGAGCCATGGAGACGCGTGGGCATCCCGCTGCAGGTCAGTACGGGCTTTTCGCATGCACGCGGATACCCCCCAGGACGGCTCTGGCGCCGTACCTAGGCGTCGTGCATACCGAAGACGAGAGCCGCGAGGAGAGCGAGTACGACTTGCGTGTGTGGGCGACGGCCGCTCGGTCCAATCCCTCAGCAGAAAGTGGGGACGGGGAAGAAGAGCTGGAGCGTATCCCACTGGGCATCGACGCAACGCACGCAGGGAGCATCGCACGCTTCGTCAACGACTACCGCGGCATCCTCGTCCGGCCGAATGTCTTCTTCCAAGACTGGGCCGCGCCCGTCGCAGCAGAGCATCGCGAAGCGTTCCAGCGCGCGTGTCCAGGCGAAGAGGCCATCGTGCGCGGCATCGGACTGTTCACTGGCGCGCATTGGATCGAGAGAGATCAGGAGCTGTGCGTGAGTTACGGCAAGGGATTCTGGCATGCTAGGATAGATGGGTAGATACAGCTGGATAGCATGGATCAAATTGGAACGGACGAAAGTCCGTGATTCATTAACATCTAATGTGCCAAATGTCGTTCACATTGGAACTGGAAAGAGCGCGCACGCCATCACTCAGCACCACCACCCTTTCTCGCACGCTATCCAATCCACCTTGCCGCCGTGCTCCGCGCCGTACCATGCGATACAGGGCAAAGATTTGCTCGTCCTCGTGACCAAGTTTGCGCCGGCCAATTCGCTCGTTAGACGCTCTGCATCTGCCACGGTCGGATTCTCTGCATCTGCAACGCCTGCTGCAACGAGGTCAACGTTCCAGGCAACGATGCGCTTGAGGCCCTCTTTCGAAGCAGCCGCACGCGCCGCAGCGACGAGCGCCAGCAGCTCTTCCCTGCTGCTGAAACGCAGGCGCAGGAAGATGAGCTCCAGCGTATTCGGCTGATAGTTGTACGCCCAGACTGCAAATGCGTTGCTGAGCCCTTCGACCCGCGCGCCCCAGACTGTCGGCGATCGCCCCGCGCGGGAAGCGTAGAACTTGCTCCGCGCGATGCTCCACCGCCACGCGAGGCCCTGCGGATCGGACAGGGTGAAGCGCACCGCTTGCGGTCCGCCGAGGTGGCGCGGCGCTGGTTGTGCTATCTCTTGCCGCAGGACAGACTCGTCGGCCGTTGCCAAGGCCGGTATATCGGCTTCTGTGACGGCTGTGGTGGATGGAGCTTTGGCCGATATAATGGCCTGCATACCCCACTCTAGCTGGTCCGCCTTGTTTACATGCCACCCTAGAGGCTCATAGAATCTGCAGGGAAGGAATGTAGAGCCATCTCGTCAGTTGTGCTGCTTCGTTGAACTGGCCTGACAAATGTAATCACTTTCCAACATCGCTGAATAAGAACGAAAGAATACCGTCTTTTCCATATCGACCTGTTTCCTCGACAATTCCAATAGAGGGGGGAGACGCAGGTTGTATTTGTCCATGCAGCAGCTTCATGAGCATTGCAGCATAGCCCTTGCGGCGTTTCTGGGCCGGTACAAAGACGGACGCAATAGAGTAGCTGATGGCCGTAACTGGAATCTCATTCTCGGGGTGCCTAATCATAATCTTTCTGCGATACTGCGGCGGAAGAAATGCAGCCATCAAGCTGAGGTCGGCGCTATCTTCGAAATCATTGGCCATGTATGCTCCTCACAGTTTCGCACGCGGCGAGAAAGTCTAGCGTTTCCTCGTCCCCTTTGGGGACAAGGACCCTGCATGGGTTGCCGGTGGTCATTCACCATCATTTCTAGCTTCTACACGTAATCTCGAACGAGCTCACCATCTTCGTCTACCCCCATCGCCATTCCTCGCAAATGGCTGCGAGTCGAGCATGTCTTCCCTTTCGGAAAACTGCTCCAGCGTCATCCCGACGCCCCATTCTACCGATTCCCTCTTGCGCGCTTCTGCATCCTGCTCAGGCGTCGCAAGACAGACGGCGTACGAGTCCATGCTGTGCAGTGTCGCACCGTTTTAGTCTGATCAAGTTCAGTTCAAGCGTGTAGATACATGAAGGAGGGACTCTTCACCATGAGGAGTTTCGAGGGACGAGTCACGAGATGCCTAGCAAGGACGGATGATGGAAGTATTACTTCAATGACTGCCAGTTCTACAACCCACAACAACAGAATGCAACATGTAGTTTGCAAGGAAATAGGTCACGTGATACTCCGCAGTGTTGTGCTTTCTCGCGCCTCATGGACGAGACGCGTACCTTGTGTGCCGTTGCCGTGTCTTTCTTTTTCGCCCTCTGGTGCTACTTCCAAGTCATCAATACACCTGCACCTGTTTGGTCCTTCGTCCTTTCCCAAGGCTCCATGCTCACGAGACACGAATCACCCTCTCGACTCGTATGTATTGGAGGACGACAACGCGTGACATCTATGAGCGGGACTTCGAGGCAGATACTGACAACCTCACCGGCGCAACGAAGCGCGACGACTGGTGCTCAGCGTATCCTGCCAGCGGACCGAGCGTGTGCTCCCCCACAGATGAAGTAACTCGGGGTTGCTTTTATACCCCGGCCTGCAGCATACGTCCACTTATCTGACACACAACACGATCTGGTTACTATTGAGTCTGCTATATTGCTAGATTTAAGCATGGACGAGTTCCCACCAGGTGGTGGGCCCTCGGGGGAACCTGACTATTCGACCTGGTCGATCGAGGATCGCTTAGCATCCAAGGTGAGATCATAGCTCATGAATTGTCAAGAGCGCACGAATTGACCGCATCATCTACGACCGTATTCCTGAATAGGTCTGGAAAGCGCGATGTTCAGCTTACGAAACTCTAGCAACGAAGTTCAGCCGGACTTCTGATGAGTCCGATCCGGCCTTCAAGCCATACCTTCGCGATGCCGACAAGCTCAGGGCGATGGTCATTGACAGCAACGCTGTCGCGCAGGAAAAAGGAGTTGAGGCAGCCTGCAAGTTCGTGGAATTCTCGGGGAAGGAAGGCGGACGAACACGAGCTACCGTATTGCCAGCCGTCGTGGACAAATGTCTTGGGTCAACGAGGGCGGGAACAAAGAGGAGTGCTCTCGAGCTGACCCTATTTTATGTGGAGATGGAGGACGTGATGGGAAGTGAGGGCATTGTTGTGAGTATTCAGAAATTGACTCATCATGAGAACGCCATGACTAACGCGCTGTACCGGTCTGTTCAGACGGACGTACTAGGCGGCTTGTCAAGTAAGCAGCCAAAGGTGGTCGCGGCGTGTGTGGTCGCACTCAAGGAGATGGTCAAGCTATTCGGGCCAAAGCAAGTGTCCGCCAAACTCATTCTCAAGCGTCTTCCCGACATATTTGCGCACTCTGACAAGACTGTCAGAGCCGAGGGAGCAGAGCTCGCGAAAGAACTTTATCGGTACATCGGCGCAGCAATCGACCCCACCATCGATAAACTCAAAGATATCCAGGCAAAGGAGCTCAGAGCCAGCTTTGAGCAGCTTGGAAGCGATAAGGCGGTACCGTCACGGCATATCCTTTCAGAGAAAGCAGTAGCTGAGGCAGCAGCGGCGGCGGCGGCAGCCGCCGGGGTGGCACCAACCGACGCCCGCGCTGCAGAGGGTGACGCTGGGCCCGGCGTGGACGCTGGTGATGCGGGGCTCGACGCGTACGATTTGGCTGAAGCGATCGACCCTTTCAAAGCAAAAGAGTGGCCGAACGATTATGAAGACCTCATCGCATCAAAGAAATGGTCCGAACGCAGGGATGCGCTGCAAGGGGCGCAAGCAGCACTGAAGGCGTCTCCAAAGCTGAGCCCTGCACCAGCGGGACAATATGACGCCCTAGTCGATGTCTGCGCGGAGAAAATCAAGAAGGACTCCAACATCGCTGTTGCCTGCGAAGCCTGCGCAGTGCTAGAGCTGCTCGCCAAGGGTCTGCGCAACTGGTTCGGAGGACGATACAAAAGCAAAGTCCTGCCCCCACTCCTTGAGAAGCTCAAGGAAAAGAAGCAGAGTGTCATGGACGCTGTCAACAGTACGCTTGATGCAGTCTTTCAGACTGTCACATTCTCTGATATTTTGGAGGATGTCATCGCCGGAACGACACACAAGAACCCAAACGTCAAGGCACAATCGATCCTCTTCTTGGCGCGAAGCTTACGCACGACCCGTACGCCACCTGCCAAAGCCGATGTCAAACCCATTGCCGAGGCACTTGTCCAGGCCTTGAGCGACGCGGCTGGCGAAGTCCGAGACGCAGGCGCGCAAGGCTTAGGGACTTTGATGAAACTGGTTGGCGAAAGACCCATGAACCAATTCATCGATCAATTGGACGATATCAAGAAGGCGAAGGTCAAGGAGGAGTTCGCCAATGCAACTGTCAAAGTCAAGATGGGTACTCCCTCGGGTACTGCACCTGCTTCGCGAGCTCCTGCAGCAGCTGCAAAGCCCGCGCCATCTCTAGCGCCAAGACAAGGGCGGACTTCAGACAAAGAAAACCTGCCGCCCACTTCCGAAAAAGGAGGTCAAGGAGCGATGCCTGCATTTGGATCTGCTGCGCTGGGGCCAAAGGCACCGGTAGCGCGTCCCCCTGCCAAAAAGCCGACCACAGCACCGGCCAAGAAGCCTTTGGGTGGCTCGGGGCCGCCGAAGGTTGGAAAGCCCAGCGGTGCTGCTGCTTCGGCCACAGAGCCAGTCAAATTCCGCTTCACGCCAGAGGATGCTGAAGGCAAGGCAGCCGAACTCATTCCATGCGAGATCTCCGGCCTCATCTCGAGCGCAAATTGGAAAGAAAGGCTGGAGGGAATGACTAACTTCAACACATGGCTAGGAGGCTCCGTATCAGATATCGAAAGCGAATTGGTCGTTCGGACTCTTGGAAAGAAGCCTGGCTGGAAGGAGAGCAATTTCCAGGTTTTAAGCGAAGTCTACAAGGTCCTCCGACAGCTTGCCGATACTTGCCCCACTTTTGGTCGCGCCTCAGTCGCCCTCTCGGTCCAACCTTTGGTCGAGAAGCTGGGAGATATCAAGCTCAAGACAGCTGCAGGTGACACGATGCTCTTGTATGCGGAGAAGACTTCCTTTGGCTTTTTGCTCGCTCAAGCATTAACGCCTTTGGCAGGTCTAAAGGCGCCCAAGGCGATCGCAGACTCTCTCTCATGGGTCGACCAAGCCATCCTGGAATTCGGCTTTCAGGGCGTGGATGTGCGGAGCTTGGTGGATCACCTGGTCGACTGTCTCAAGTCAGCGAATGCTGCAGTGCGGTCCAATGCAACCAAAGTCTTCGGCACTGTCGCACGTTATGTCGGGCCTGCCCTGAACACGTTTATCGCGGACATCAACGCGCAGCTGAAAGCCAGCATTGAAGCCGAGATTGCGAAGGCAGGCAATAACCCTCCACCTGCTCCGACACGCTTCAGTGCAGAGCTGCAAGCAATGGTGTCCGCCAGCGCTAAAGCGGCCAGCGGTTCCGCAGCACCTGTTACGCATGACCCTCTGGAAGACCTCGTGCCCCGCCAGTCCCTCGAAAAACTTATCCCAGCATCGGCAATCGCTCAGCTCAACCATACCAACTGGAAGGAGCGAAAGGAAGGCTTGGAGCAAATACAGTCTATCTTGGAAGTCAACTCGCGACTCAAGCCTGAGATGAACGAGTTAACCCAGGCACTCAAGCTTCGTTATGCTGATAGCAATATGCAGGTCAAGACCTTGGCGCTTGATGTCATCAGCCGAATAGCGACAGGCATGGGCAAAGGGTTCGAGACTCACGCTCGGACTTTCGTGCCCCCTGTCACCGCAGTTCTTGCAGATGCGAAAGTGCCCATGCGTGCTGCTGCTTCTGCGGCCCTTACAGCCATGGCGGAGGCGTCGACTGTCGCGCCCATGATCCCGGGGTTTACCACCGTTCTCGAGAGCAAGTCAGCCAACCCTATGCTCAAACAGGATCTCTTCACATGGCTGGCCACCTGGTTCGGAACGCATCCGCCCGAGAAGCCACTAGACTTGGCACCTCTTGCGCAACACGCCGTCTTTGCACTCGACGACAAGCTGGCTGCGGTCCGAAAGGCAGCGCAAGCCGCCCTACCATTCATCATGGCACGAGCTGGATACAAGTTCGTGATGGACCAGACAAATTCGCTCAAAGCCGCCTCCCGGAACTCAGTCATTCCGCTGATTGACGCAGCCAAGGCTCAGATGCCCGCCATGGCCGCCGGTCCCAAGGGCACTGCGCAGAGCGCAGAGGCAAAACAGCCACCAGCGAGCACACGAGCAACCAGTGTGGCTCAAAGTAAGGCCAGTGTGCGGGAAGATAACAACGATTCCGCTGCACCAGCTCCTGCAGCTACAATTCCAAAGACCTCGACTCTCAAACCGGGTTTGAAAGCGCCTAGCGCCGTAGGCCGATCCTTGCGTGCTCCAACGACCGCACGACCAGTTTCTACGCTTCTCAGCAGCGACGATGGACCACACGGTATGAGCAAGTCACGCCTTGGAATGGGCAAACGTCCGACTTCCGCAGCGCAGTCTGGGAGCGGTCTTGCAAAAGACGGGACATCACCTATCATCACCGCTGACCTCAAATTTAAAGCGGCCCGGGAGAAGAAAGAGTCACGCGGCGTGCATTGGATCGGCCCAGACGCTACAGCGAAACCAGAGTTGGCAGACTTCCTTCGAGCTCAGTGCGAGCATCATTTCAGCAATGGCATCCTGGACGCCATGTTTTCCAAGGACCATAGCGCCGAAAGGGACTTTCTCGCTGCTCTCACGCTCCTTTCAGACTTTGTCGGCTCTCCTGGCTTTGCCTCACAAGAGTTTGACTTGTCCGCCGACGATGTTTCAGCAAGGCTGATTTCAAACGCCGACTTGCTCTTCAAGTACATCACGCTACGCCTTACAGACAACAATACTAGCATCTCGCTGAAGTGTCTGGATATCCTCGATCACCTTGTGGATGTCCTTCGCGAGCAACGGTATAACATGAGCGACTATGAGGCAAGCCTTCTGCTTCCCTGTGTCGTTGCCAAGGTGAGCACTCCATCTAGTTTACTAAAGCAATGAGAGTATTGACTTGAGTAAACGTGCCTCAAAGTTTGGAGACCCAAAGATCGCATTCAGAGACCGAATCCGCGAGATCCTCCGTAAGCTCGGCTTCATTTTCCCGCCGAGCAAGCTGCTCTTCAGGTATCTGGAAGAGGGGCTGCAAGCGAAGAACATGCGTGTGCGCGTCGAATGCTTGGGAGAAGTGGGCTACATTTTCGCAAAGAATGGCTTGCATGTTTGCACGCCTGCGAAAGTACTTCCGCTGATTGCGAAGCAGATCGGCGACCGAGATGCGAACGTACGACAAGCCGCTCTGGGAGCTCTCAGCGAGGCATACAAGATTGTCGGCGACGATGTCTATGGCTTGTGCGGCGATTTGCCAGGAAAAGAACGCTCCATGCTCGAAGAAAGGCTCAAGCGCGTGCCTACGACGAAGGGCTTGGCTACTGCAGCGTCAAAGGCAGCCACCCAATTGCCTGGCTCTCGGCTCGCTCGACCATCGCTTATCATGGCGAGTGGCAGTGGTATTGGGCGGCCGAGACAGTCAACACTGCCAAAACCTGCACCTGCAGTATCGTCACTGGCCCCCAAGGCTCCCCAGAGTGCGTTGGCCTCGAATGACGCTCCAGCGGTCGAGCCTGTAGAGTCCGAAGATCTCTACGGAAGCGGACAGGAGGACGAAGAGGATGACATGCCAATCGAGCAGTGCATCAACGAGATCACTAGCACAGACGCAAAACGTGCTAGCTATGCTATGCAGCACGTTGAGCACTATATCAAGGAGACCGACCCTGTCATTTCTTCCTATGCGGACCAACTGATCATCGTTCTGGGCAAGGCGTTCCGCAAAGCCTTCGCTGCAGAAGGGGAGTCACCAGAATTGGAAAAACTTCGTCGCCATCTGCTGGTAACCTTAACAAGCTTTTTTGCCAACGACGAAAAATGGGACGGGAAACCTCTGGGAGCATTCGTCACTCAGTCAGCACTTGGACCACTCCTGACCGAGCTTCTGCAGTGGCTCATTGAGGCAACGCGCGCCGCGGATGAGGAGCCATTGAAAAAATACTCCAAGATTCTGAACGTTCTTGTTCTGCGGAGCTTCTCGACCTGCGAGGTAAATGTTTTGTACGAGTGAGTATTTCTATTTGTCCACCAGTTCAACGTGTGCACTATCTGATCTAATTTCTTTCCATTGTACAGCACCTGCTTCTCGATGTTGGCCGAGGCGACGGAAGACTTCCGCGAATTGTCGCCTGCGCTGCTCAGCAAGCGTGCCAAGTTCGCGGATTTGATAATCAAATGTGTCTGGAAGATTACCAAGGCGCTTCCAGATTTCCTTCAGAACAATTTGGTCGATCCAAGCCGTCTGCTCTTGGCGCTCGAACGACTGTTCCAAGTGGTCCCGCCAAACGAGTGGAAGGCGCGCGCACGCGATGGGTTGCCAATCTCAGACCTGCCGCTGAAAACCCTCAAGATCATCCTCACGCACGTGCACACGGCCTTGGGCGAGGACGTGCTCAACCATCTCGACCTCATTTCCGAGCCCGAGAATAGCACTATTTACCCCTACCTCGTGCGCCTCGTCAATCGCGATGAGGAGGAAGATCGCGATGATGCGTTGGTTGCAAATGTCGATGACAGCCCGAGGAGCCGTGCCAAAGGTCGTCGCACGCCTCCGACCCCTGCTTCACCTCAGCAAGCATCGAAGAGTACGCCCATGTCGCCAGCTTCCACCAGCATGGACGACGAGCCTGCGAATGCGGAGTTGTTGGCCATCTTCGGGCGCATTTCTCAGAAAGACCAGTCATCGCTTGCAATCAAGGACCTCTACGAATTCACCAAAAAATATCCGCACAAGTTTGCCAATGTTGAGAAAGCATTGCAAAACACGGGCCCGATCTTCCAGAGGTAAGTCAATTCGAGTAATTCGGAGTGACATACATAAAGAAAGCGACTTAGACGCAGATGTGGCATTTCAGATACATTAAGCGCGCGCTTGCAAGGCATGCTGCTGAAGATGAAGAGGCTGGTCAAGTTGAAGCTGGTACGTGACATACGTATGATGGTCATCGTCGCTCCATCCAATGCTAATGCTCGCCACTTTTGCAGGAGCAGCCTCAAGTGGACTGGAATCTCCACGAATGTCCCGTCGTAATTCTACCCGGGATTCAGTGCGCACCAGTGTAGCGCTGCAAGACATGTACCTACCAGCGTCGCCGCGGCCGTCGCTTGGAAATGGCGGTATCGGCTTGGCGAGTCCCTGCCTCAGCTCGGCGCTGTCAGACGCGCCTGCATCGCCCTTGCACAACGGCTCAGCAGCTAGCAACGGGCACGGACAACGAACGTCTGTGGCAGCCGATGAGCGACTCGCAGAGCTGCGAGCGCGCTTTGGGCGGCCAAGCCCAATAGCACCGGCAGCTGCATACAGCGGCGATGGTGAACGGGTCCACTCGGAAGGCGCATCGAGCACCAATCCGGACGTAATCAGGAACAAGCTTGCAGCCATGAGGGGCGAGTAAGCCGCGAAGCTCATGCTGGTCTCTTATTCACCCTGCTCGCTCACTAGCGTGCCTACTTGCATGCTACCTACTTGCACTGGCATACATGCCGGCAATAGTGTGGTATATCCTAGACTGTATCATACTCGTGTCAACTCTGTGTACGCGACTTTGGAGACATTCCGGAACTTGCATCGTTCAACACATGCAAGGATGTGGCCACAAAGAACCTGGCGCCTGTAAGGTTGTGAAGGTCATCGGCACCTCACAAGACCTCCGGGTGTAAAGTAAGAGTTGACACTTGGAATCATGCACACCTGATAACCCTCCTCTCGACGCGCTCGGTTTGTCCATGGTTGCACTGGCTCCAGCTGCCAAGAGATGGAGGCGCTGTGGTGCTTCCATATTGTGATTTTCGGTGCAACACGTCCACAATTGCGCTCATCTGGATTGGACTTAAGCTTGGCTATGGCATGCGCCAGGTGGCGCATTTTAAAAGACGAGGCAATAAGCGGGACACGCGGGCCATAAATGAGGCATAAGCCCATCTGCCAAGGTCATCACTCCGGGAACGCTGTTATAAGCGGATTTCTTCATTGAGCAGCACAGCGACAGTTTCGCTCCTTCAAACAAGCACCGCATGTCCAGTCCTTGAGGCGGCGCGACGAAGGCAGTCAGAGGCTTGGTTAAGTGACTGTCCCAACGCGAGCACCAATAGGTCGCTCTCGTCGCTGCGACCGCTTCGGCGTTCATATCCTTGGCAATTTCCCATCCCTGGTACGGCACATTACCACTATCCATGATCAAGCGTGCAGCTGAGCCGTCGAAGGATGGTTCACGCAGATATGGCATTTACCCCAGAGGCAAGCAGGTCGACACTCCGCTTGGTCGCATCAACTTCGAAGTCATTGGCGCGGCAGACAGCAAGAAGCGGCTGTTCGTTCATGGCATCTCGATTCTATCTGCAGCATGGTAGCTCCTTGTGCCCCGTCTAGTCGATACGACCCTGTTCACTTCGCAGACTGTTTACCTCTTGTCCGCGCTCAACTTGCCAGGCTGGGACAATTTGACCTCGTCAACATGTCCCTCGGCCGAAGGACCGCTATAATGTTCGCTTACTGCTTCCCCGATGGGATCATGTGAATGCATCTCCTGTGTCCAGTTGAAGGAACGCCTAAGCGTGACTTCCCGTTCTCATCCGCTTCGCCATGAGCCAATATAACTCCTTGGAAACACCTGCCAGTCTTCGCCTCGCCGCCCTCATCCCGCGTAAGAGCATCGAAATTGCCAAGTGGCAGGTCGAGAACCACCCTGAGTTCCTGCTCGCCTTCACGCGTAGCATGACCCAAGGGCCCACCTTCGATATGAAAGACACACTGCAGGCCACGGTGAATGTATCGCTGCCGTCTGGAGACAAGGATTCTACCGTCCCCATGGTTACCAAGGACTTTTGGGCAGCCTCAGAATTGACGTGATCGAAGGTGCGTCAGGTCGATCCAAAGAGAAGCTGTGACGTTCTGTACGTCACAGGGTTTCTCGCCCTATGTATTTGCAGGTGGAGGGCACTTCTTGGTTTTGACACACCCCGAGCAGACCGATAAATTTATCATAGCTCATCTAATGAAACAGATGAGAGCATCGGTTTGAAATCCATCGCTTGTTGGATTGGAATACGTGGCTCACACTTGGTTCGCGGTCAAACTTGTCCAAAGAATCACAGAATGTTGCAGCACTCTCACGCGATCTTTGCGCTGACACCCGCTTGCGATACTGTGGCACCGAATAGTTCGGTTTGCATACGGCTGTGCTGCGTTGCACCCGTCATTGGGCTTCCAAAGCCGTACCTTAGCGCGCCAAGGCTGTAATCCTTGCCTTCCTCCCGCTCGTGCATCGGAGGCCACTCCGCGCGTCGGTTGATGTAGTACTCTGCGAAACGGTCGCCACCGTCTGAAACTGCGTTGAACGTCGCGTAGATTGCTGCGCGCGGGTTCGAGGATGAGCTGATCGGTAGGAATGTAATTTGAAATCAATCAGCGATACATGCATTATTCAACCGCCAAAATCTGTGCGTCTACTTACTTTGGTCCACTACGGTGCGCAAGGTACGAGCCAAAGATTAGCACGTCGCCTGGCTTGAGGGGAACAAGGATCCACTCGTTTGCATCTTCCCAGTCTTTCGGGATACACTGACGGGGTAGTGCGTACGAGAAACTGTTCGTGAGCAGCTGATGATGCTTCTCGTTAGTCAGCGCTGCGACTCACGTTGTCGGATCCCACAGGGATATTCATCCTGTGGCTTCCAGGCACAACTTCGAGGCACCCGTTCTCGAGTGTCGCCTTGTCCACGGCGATGTTAACGGTGAGGTGCTGTCAAGAACGTGGATATGAGCTTCAGGAAAAGCATTAACAGTCGCTGCGCAAAGAGTTACCTTCAAAGCACCAGCATGCGTGTATGCTGGCGCATCTTGATGTGCATCAAAGCCGCCAGCCTTGGGGAGTTTGTAGTTAATTTTTTCCTTGAAAAGGATCATCTGCAAAAAGGTACCGGACGAAAATGACCCTGGCATTCAGCTGTTGATCTTGGCCTCGAAGAGTAGACCTCCGGAATGAAATCGCGCACCTCTTCACCACTCAACTGCTTCAAGACGCCCATCAAACGATCACCCCGGAAGAGCGCATTGAAGCCTGGGTGAAAGGGGCTGTAGTTCTCCGTCCTGGTAAGCACCATGCGTCCATCGCTGATTTTTTCTTGGTACGGCATCCATTTGCCCTTGACGAGGGGCCAGTCGTGCACCTGCTGAGTCCATTGCCTCAATGTTTGCACCGAAGAGGTGTCGGCTAGGAAGTCGCGGAGGATAAGAAATCCTTGCTGCTCGAAGGAGGTGATTTGCTCAGGCGAGAGCATGTATGGCTCGTTGGAAATGGAGAGAGGAGCGTCTGACATGGTGAATTGGCTGCGAGTCGGCTTCTGCAAGGCTGGAATGTTGCGTCGTGAACCTTTCACTTGTGCTTCTTGATGCCCTTTTGCCGGAGGGGAGAGAATATTCAGACGTTTTGTTCTTGCACTCACATCTGCCGAAAAACAGGGTCATACCAGCACGTTGCGTTGGTCTTTTATATCTTTGCGAAAGGACACGATACAGTCAACAGTATCGGAGACATCACGAGTAGATCCACAGCCGTCATACATGCATCTGACGAAATCTGCTCCTCATGAGACCCTATCTCAGATAGATCCAACCTCACTAGAGGAGAACCTGTCACCGTCACCAAGCCCTGCTGCGCGAGAGGAGGTCTCGTCAACAAGGGGGCAAGAGAATAGTTTGGGCGAGAGGAGCTCGGCCTTCTCTCCGAGGGCTGAGGGACAGATGACCGAGACGTGGGGTAACGCGGGAGTAGAATGTCAGTGAGCTTTACACATTTTGGCATGTTCCTGTTGAATCTTTCTGCGGTCTCGCCTTTATCTCCTATGAAACTGAATCCTATCTTCCTTTCCTCTATTTTACGCCTCGCAACGGGTTTGCGTCGTGCGACGGTTGTGCACTTTGCACTTGTGCTTTCCTTGGCCTTTTCTGCTAACAAATAAGTTATCCCCAGACAAATTGAATAATGATCGAAGCCATCAAGTTCACAGCCTGCCGAGTACCGAACATGAGTCTTTCGGTCACGACCGTTCCTGCAAGTGCGTGCTGACATGTAAGAAGCGAACTTATATTCCGAGTGACGGGTAATCAAGTCCCTTGAACCCCCGCGATACTTTCGCGATCAAGCTGATCTGACTGGCAACAAAGTATGGGCTCGAGCCCATCCGCTACCTTCAATTCAGGGTTATCCTTTCCTAGGATCGAGTCACCTCGTGCTCAAAGAACCCATGCGGACAAGCACATCAATATAAGCTTCCACATGTTGCATGTGTCAAGGATTTCAAGCTGGAGGACGCTGGAAAAAGCCCTCTGCTGGCGAGTCCTCACCCTTCGAGCACCAGTCTTCCCTTACAATTCTCGAGAAGCGTCTCGCAGCTGGCAGCCCCGTTCAGCAAGATGCTGGCTGGAACCCGATGCTCGCCAGGAAATCAAGACTTTTATCTTCACGGCTGTCTTTTCTGGCTTGGCTTTGACGAGATATAGCTACATCGAAGGCGTCGGTGGCAGCTGCAATTTGATCCTCAAGCACAAGTAAGGCGGCGAATACCCTTTGGCCCTCACGAAGCGCGTGTCGCAGGCTTATTTTGTCGGCGTCATCATTGGTGAGAGCATTTCACAACTTTCTGATAGCGTGGTGCAAATCCAAACGCATTGTCTTTTCGTTCTATGCAGGCGCGCTGCTCTTCAGCCAAGTGATCCACTGTTTTCTGCGCCGAGTCGGCGTTTTTGGCGCGACCTCCATCCTCATAGTTTAGATCATCCTCTCAATAGCATCAAACGGCACGACTACCTTGGGTTTCCTCTTGATTCTGATCATCGGTTACGGCATCAGAAGCTATCGTGCTGGCGCCGAGTACTCTTTCTGTGGCACGGGCTTGAGGGAAGCTGCAGACGCAACACCCCCGTGATACGGTGACGTGACCTGCTCTTCGATCTCATTGGAGATGGAGCCATCGACTTCGGCTTCGTCGTCGCAGGAATCGTGTCGATCGTCATCCTCACTCCTTATGGCACCACTTCGTCCATAACCTTCGGCGAGATGCGTGAAAAGAATGGCGCATGACGCATTTGCTTAGGGCTGGGAATGATGACCTCAATCTCCTTGCTCGGTCTGCAGCCCAAGGTGGTGTCCAGCACGGCATTCCGCAAGCATGCGCTCAAAAGCCATCCCACCCCTCGCATTATCCTCCTCATCCTTAAGCGGTACTGGCGTGCGATGCCTATCACCAGTTTGTGCTGGCTCCTCAATGACTGTGAGCATTCCTCATCTGCTTCTCCATTCTCTGCCTTGATGAAGCATCTGAAGCCTTCTCCTTTGATTTTTGCAGCATGAGCGTACCCGTTCGGCCTGAATTATTCCTTCATCGTCGCCCGCATAGGCAAGGGCTCGGACAGCATGATCACCAGCATTGTCTATGGAAGCGTCATCAACTTTTCCCCACCCAGCGCTGTTGTAGGAACTTTATCGATGAACAAGATCGGTCGCAAGCGTACACAATTTTAGGTTTCTTCGTCCAAGCCATCATGGGCTTCATCATTGGAGGAGCTCTGCCTTAGATCCAACCTGACTCGCCGCTTTTCATGCTTATGTACAGGTAAGTGTGGCATATGCTGGGGTTGTAATTGTGAGATTGAGACTGACACCAGCTATTTGAAACAGAATCTTCCTTGCATTCAACGCGATTCTAGCCGCATACCCCACCGATGTGCAGGGCGAGCGAGTCAACTTTATCTTCGGCAGCCCGTTCAGCTCAGCGTCCTTTTACGTGCCACCGACCATGAGCAGGGACTCGCAACAGCAAGACATCGAGTTCCGCGATTACCTCGCTCAGCATGGATACAAGTCTATCTTTGGTGAAAACCCAGTGACACAGCATGAGGGGACCCACGAGGAATTGCAGGCCGAGAAGATGCGGAAGCAGGGGGAACGGACCGCAAGAGCTGCAAAGCTGCTTGGGCATCTTTGGTGTAAATATCTGAATCAAACATGGGCTTGAGGTTGCAACAAGAAAGTTTACATGAGATTGCCGCATTCTAAATGCATCCACCATAGGCAATAGCTCAAATTTCCTTTTCCGCATCCACGGCCTTCTTGTCCGGCATCCGCATGCTTTGCGGTAGGGCGGACACAGGCTCTCGGCTCAGTCTGCTCGCTGCAAGTACCCTGGCGTCCTGAGCAAGAACAGCGTCAATGATGGCAAGAGCGGCCATGCTTTCCACGATGGGTATGGCGCGTGGGACCACGCAAGGGTCGTGCCGTCCACGGGTCTGCAGTACTCCTGTTGTGCCGTCGTAGCGCGAGGTGGATTGATCCTGAGAGATCGTAGCAGGAGACTTGAAGCCGACGCTGAGAGCCGAACGAAAATGAATCGTGCACGAGTAAGCAACCATAGTAGATTAAATTGCCGTTTCATGCTGAAACACTTACCGGAAGTAGATGTCTTCGCCGTTGGTGATGCCGCCTTGAACACCCCCGCTCCAATTAGTCGTAGTTCCAAGGTGCCCATCATCCCTGAGGAAGAAGGCATCGTTGTGCTTGCTGCCGGGTACTTCCGTCCCCCTGAAGCCGCTGCCGAACTCGAAAGCCTTGGTCGCAGGTATGCTGAGCATAGCATGGGCGAGTTTTGCCTCCATCTTGTCAAAGCAAGGTTCTCCCAGCCCGGAAGGCACGTGGCGAATGACACACGTCACAGTACCGCCAATGCTGTCGTTGCGCGATTTGGCGAGCAAGATGCGTTCGCGCATTCGCTCTGCAGCTTCGGGGTGCGGGCAGCGTATATCGTTCTGATCGACTTGTGCTCTTGTGATGGTGGCCATGAGCTGCCGGAACTCTTTGCTGAGCGGCTCCTCTGCCTCGTCAGCGGTCAATCCATCGACAATCTGATGGTCCAGCGTGGACGGCGCAACCCCCGTTTGTGTCGCTGTGACTGCGACTTCGGCCGTATTGCTTCCAGACCCCGAGGTGAGGCTTGGTGCAAGACGCTCGCCGGGAAAGCGTGGGATGTGCACCTTGCCTACCGACGAGACGAATGCGACAATTTCGATGCCGAATGCTTCTTTAAGGTATTTTTCTGCTACGGCTCCTGCAGCGACGCGGCCTGTTGCATCACAATAGAATGGTTGGCTTCCAGCTACTTTGCAGCAGGATATGGGACAAGAAGGGGCTTCCTCACCAATCGTCTCACGAGCGCTGGAGCGCCCTCCACCGCTGGACGCCTTGACTCCGTACTTTTCGAGGTAGGTAAAGTCTGCATGACTTGGACGCGGGAATGCGTCGAGTGTCTTGTCTGTGTAGTCGTTCGGTCTGTGATCCTGGTTGCGAACGAGCATTGCGAGTGGTGTGCCTAGTGTCACGCCTTTTTCTACCCCCGATTGGATTTGCACTTTGTCTTTCTCGTCGCGCTGAAATGAGCCCCAGTACGCACAAGTCATAGCTGTGTCAGCAAGGTCAGACACTTGGCACGCGCTCTAGGGTCAAAAGGGATGAACTCACCGGAGTTGTCAATGCTGACTGGCCAGGTCTTCGCCGGCTTAGCTGCGTCTGGACATCCTGCTCCACCAGGCTCATGCCTGGTGGCACGCCATCAACGATGCAACCGACGGAGGCGCAATGTGACTCGCCATATGTGGTGACACGGAAATGACTTCCAAATGTGGACATCGTGAAAGCTGCAACAGAGGGTCCCAGGCTTCAAAGGTGTGAGTGCTAGGGAGACGGTAGACAAGACAGCGGAGATAGCTTTGACGATGTTGTCCTGGAACTCAAAACGTAGCTCTCTTTCCGGTGGCGAGCTCGCACACTTTTTCAAAATGCTTTTTTCTGAATCGGCGACTTTTCCCCAAGCGCTAGTCATCGGCGAATTGTTTTTCTGTCTCGCATCACAAAGCATGAGACTCGTCTCAATCACAGCCGACATTTCAGTGCTGTTTCTTTGCTGCTACGTTAGTGTACAAGGGTATGCTTATGATGCATCCGGTTGTAGCGAAGGGAGATGCAAATAGGCTAGAAAGGTATTGAGGGAATCAGGGCATATTCACCCAGCGACCGGTGGGGCAAGAGCAGCACCAGATGCTACCGATGAACAACTGGCACGATGGACGCATTTGCCATTCGTCTGGCGTTTATCGCTCAGCTTCGCAAGCTCAACGCATCACAGCAGTCGATCAACAAAGTGCTTGCGCTCGCTGTACGGCATGCAGCCACAAGCAGCGATGATATATGGTCTTGCATCATGCAAGAATGTCGCAAGGTGATTTTGTGTTTCTTTTACTCGTTGCTCAAATGAACGTCGCCGGCGTACTGATCGTGTGCAATGGTCCCAATTTGCCGCTTCTCCCTAGGCATCTCTCAATGCTCGCGTAAACATCTTCTTCCTCCTCGATGCGCTGTTCACTGACGAGTCATTCTCGGACTTGGCCCTGGCCAACACGTACTATCTGCCTTATGCACGGAAGGATCTCAAGTCAGTTGTCGATATGGTTGTTCCCAAGGAAGCGCTCACGATGTCAGACGGTACGGTCGTCAACCGTGAGGGCGCTGGAATCAGACTAAATGCAGGTAACGTGCTGCCAATCCTGGCTGGGTGGAAGATACGTCAAGTATTTCCGACGGAGCTGCTTGAGAGCATGGAGCAGGAGTTGCGCGAACGCAAACAGAAGCTGCGCACTCAAGGGCCGCTTCCTGATGAAACGTCGAAGCCGGAGGGCTTCAGCCGGAACGATGTGCTCCGTAGAATCGAAGAGGACCGGGAACGGGTGAGTTTGATCTCCTCGTCGAGAAGAACCAGTTTCTCTTGTGCACAGCTGACGCTCAGTGATACGCAACTTGCAGCATAAGCGACTACGCGAGCGCGGCTGGATCCTGCCCCCGAAAGTGTTCAGCGTTCCCAACGCGCAGAGTCTGCATGCGAGTAGGGCTCGCGCTGCCAAGGGTGCAGACGATGCTCCCGTGAGTGCTTCATGGACTCCTGCCTCACCTCGCGACTCTTCAATCGCATCAACCCCGCGAACACCATGTGCGGCTGTGTCCACGTCAATTGCCACCACAACGACTTCCGTCGTTGGGCCTGTTCAGCAACTCGACCCGATTAGCATCGAATTTGATCAGGTGTGGGAGACCGCATCGGACCTCAACGCGGATGACCTGGACAAGCTGACCGACGAGCACAGGCTCTGGTGGGGGTCCGAGGCGAATGCGGAAGCATTTCTGCAGCAACAAGAAGAGATGGACCGCGAGCGGTTGCGAGAGTGGGAGGAACAGCAAGCACAACTGGCCAAGGAGGCAGAAGCGGCTGAAGAGCAGCAGCGAGCCGCGGCATGGGGTACGCATCGAGCTCCCGCGCGTAACCGTGAGCGGGAGCGAGAACGCGAACGAGGAGGTCGCGAGCGCGACCACGACATCGCGCGCCATGGAGGCAGGCAAGGGAGAGAAGCGATGAGTGGTGCTGCGTGTGATGCGAGGAGTCGCTTTGACCACAGGGACCGAGCGGTGCAGGACCATAGGGATCACAAGCGCACACGCAGCGCGCTCGATGATGAGCGCCACAGAGACCAGGACCGGGACCAGGACCGATCTAGGGACAGACAAGGGGCCAGACATCAAGTTACAGACGGAGACGTAGTGATTGGCAGCAGCAGCAGCGGAAGCAGCAGGCGAGAATCCTTCGACAGGCGAGATGCACAGCACCGATTGCACACACCTTCGCCCCCACCACCCCCGACGACCGGATCAAGAACATATTCGCGGTACGACGAGTCATCCGCGAGAGATCCGCTGCGCACTTGGTCGTCTCGTGCGACACCCAGCAGACAGCATCCTTCCTCCTCATCCAGCAGACCCCTGTCGAGCAGCTCGAGAGCACCTGCGGGACCAGGAGCCGGACCGGGCCTGCCGCCATCGCCGCCACGGCGACCGCTACAGGTAGCCCCAGAGATGTCATCGAGAGCTTCTGCGCATGGGCATCGCAGCGAGCGCGACGCTGGCCGCGACTACGGCGAGCACGAGTCAGGGCGTACGCGCGGGCGACAGCACGAGCCCGGGCGAGATACGTGGCGCCATGACCGCGCTCGTGATTATCGCGAGCGCGACCAACAGCGGGAGCGCGATCGCACCCTTCCCAAGCGGGAAGCCGATGGGGGCGGTGACAGGGAAAGAGACGAGCGTGACTATTATTACGAGCGGCGCGATCGCCATGAGCGGGAAGACGTGCGACCGCGCAGAGCGTAGGCGGTCTCTGTGAGGTTCCGCCGTGTATGCTTGTAGCAGATCTATGTAGACATCTTGCTTGCTTGCATCCAGCGTCGTGAGATATGCAACCTCTCCTTACGTACTACTTTTCGGCGTCAATTCCGGGTCACGAACACTTGGCGTCCCGGTGCGTGTGCGCTTCGGTCTGTCTCGAATGCAAGATTGGACATGTTCATTCATATTTACTGATTTATGACTGTAAGATGGACAGCAACTGCCCCAGCGTCTCTAGAGCGTCGAGTGCACGCCGCCCCCCCGGAGGTCCCACAGTGGTCAAGTGAAGGCCTCTCGGCCATTTGCATTCATTTGGAGTTACGCAATTGTGTGGATTCGCTTGAGCAGCTCCAATCCCACGGCGCCAGTAGCTGGCCGGGAGGCGGCTGTGCTGACTGCTGGATGAGGATATGTAGGCAGGCAGGCGGGTGAACAAAATGACTGAAGATGCGATGGGGGTTGCCTATTGGTAATCAGTAATGTGTGAATATGACGAGTTGGCCCGGGAGGGGAGCAACGCGGAAAGGTATAGTAGCCTCAAAGTCGGTTCGTGGCTGTCATGGGCTGAAGTCAAGCAGTGCCCAATGGGGGGGGCCAGCTGATTTGATTTTCATTCTCTCTCACTCGGATTGCAGGCCGGCACGACAGCAAGCCCCGAAACTAAAAGCACGCAAGCAGCAGAAAGAAGAACAAAAGGAATAAAAAAGCCATCCGAAAGTGTGGCAGGCGCTGCAGATGCAGTTGGGTTCATTTCACCCCGTCGCCAATTCCCAATTCCCACCTCCTTGATGTCCTGGAGGCGCATTTCGCTTTTGCATCGAGCCTACCTGCATACATGCATCCAGTGGCTGCGCCTGCACTGCGAGAGTGCTCGGGCGTCAGCGACTTGCCCCGTGCGTATATATATACATGTCTACATACATGGAAACACGGATATATATATAAATGTTCACATACATATGCGGGCGGCCTCACGCTCTGCCCCTAGCCCACCCCTGTTCGCAGCCTTGAAATAATAGCCATTCTGAATTGAATAAGTTCACTCGATGCATCATCATTCTCACACCAAAAGTCTACCACAATGTGTGCGCAAAAGAGGGACTCGCTCGGTGCCAGGCGGCCAGTCTATGCATGTACAATCGACAATGTCCGAGAGATGTGCGTGCGTGTGCTTGTTGCCACCAGGAGGTGCTGGCATGAGGCTGAACGAGTGTGCAAATGCATGGGGCAAGTATGCATGCATGCAGGCATTTGTGCACATCTGATGGTAGGCGTAGAATCTGCACCGGCTGAATGTCCGATGATGAATCGCCCCACCTGCCTTCTCACGGGGGGATTTTATCCAAGGGGATTCGATGTGCTTTTCTTTACCCGCCCTGCAAGAGGCGAAACCGTCCGTCGTCCACACCCACGTGGATGGGGTCGCCCCGTGTACACGCTGACAGGTAAGAATGTCAGGCTTGCGATAAAGTTTCCCCCCTTTGTTGAGGCTTGATGCTGGGTGCTTTGAGATGATCATCCTGCCGCCGACCCTAACCCCCCTCTTTTTCAGTCCGCTTCGACCCTCTCGGAACCCCCTTCCCTCCCTCCTTCTCCCAGGTCAAATCGTCAGCGCGTGCCATCTGCCCTCGGAGGCGGGACGGGCGCCCAACGAGTCAGGACAAAGCCCCCCATGATGATGGGTGGTGCGGCGATGACACCGCTCTCTCGTTCATGGACAGTATCTCATCACACACTTCTCGTTGTCTTCTCGGATCTCGGCGCCATTCGAGTGAAAGTGCCATGTGGCAATGAGCCTTCCTTAGCAGGCTGCGAACGTTCTATCATCATGCATCTTCCCAACCAACACCGAGGTCCGAGTGACCAACACACGCGCAGTAACATTCGCCGCCCAGTGCATCGGACCATCCCTCTGGCCCTCATAGGCTCTCGCGCTTCTGGGCCGTTGCATGTGCGCCTCGCAAGGCCGCAAGAATGGTATGAGGAGAGATGTTCCATTCGTAATAAAAGACATCAGCGCCTTCCTTCTACCCTCGGCACATGCTAACTCATCAAGGCATCCTAATTGCTAGCCAATGCTTCTCGCTGCGATTTTGTAACTGCTGCTGCTGGACCGTTAATTTCTCAGCTGTGACGCAGGGGCAAATGAGAATTCCCTCCGCGGGACGGTAGACTACCGGGTGCTGCTCCCAGGAAAGAGGAGACATGACGATGCATCTCGAGCCGGCGCCGGAGCTGCGTCTGGCCCAGCACGAGGCGAGCGCGATTGCGTACGAGTCCGGCTCGTGCCAGCGCCAGCACACCCGACCTTCTGTGTCGCAGATCTACAGCGAGGCGCCGAGTCCGAGTGACACGCGGCACGATTGGCAGCACAGTACAAGCCGTAGCACGACACCCAGTGGCGACGGCGACGGGGATGATGCGCCGGAAGATACTCTCACATTCGCCCTGACTCTTGCACCTTTGCACGCGGGCCAGCCACTGAACGGCAGACCGATGCCCATGACCGCCATGGGCCTTGGCGGCTTTGGCGCGCGCGTTGCTGGCGGGAGTGCTCTGCTGTGGCACGGTGCGGAAGAAGAAGAAGAGGAGGAGGCGGACATCGACTACTTTCTGGCTGCCCCGAGGTCAGACCCGAGCAAGCAGTCCGCCGAGCAGGCGGCCAGGACGCGGCCCTCCACATCCTTACCTGAACCGACATGCACGCCAGCCGCGACCCGTACCACCGGCGGCCAACGTCCGCGGGCGCCACTCACGCGCAGGAGCGAAGGCGCACGCGAAAAGGACCGATCCAGCAAGAAGCTTGCGTCGCTCAAAAAGATCCTCGGTAGCAGCAACAGCGCTGGAAGCAGCAGCAGCGCTAGGCACAAGTGCGCCGCCCAGCCTGACCCATCGCCGAAGCCAGCTATTGGTGGGCGTCCGCATCCCGCTGCGTGCATGGCTGGCGCTGCCAGCGCTGCAGGGCTCTATCACGCACTGCCATCCTCTTCCCCTTCCCCTTCGCCCACTCCTTACTCGGTCGGAGCCACCTCCCCCGCGCCGAGCAGCAGCATCCATTTGCGCCTCGCGAGCGGCCTCGAGTCCGAATTATACCCACCATCAACTGCTGCTGCTGCTTGGGCGCCGACACTTGCATCGTATAGCGCTTACGGCTACCGTGACAGCTATCCTTGCGGCCATGGCCCCGGCCGGCCCGGCTTCGACCGCGACCGCGAACGCGAACGCGAGCGCAAGCGCGCGCGCGAACGCTCAGGATCCGGCTCCATCGGTGCGACGACGATCACGACGATGACGACAACGATGACGACGTCGTCGTCGTTGTCCGGCTCGTCCTCGAGCGTCCGCTCGCCCTTGACACCCGCGTCAACGAATCGTGGCGGTGGCAGAGGGGGCGACAGTGAGCGCGGCACAACACCGCTATCGGAGATCGACGGGTTTGTGTTCCAGCTCGGTGGGCCACGCGCTGGTGCAGGCGGGCCTGCGGGCCTGTGGCAGTTGCAAGACCACACGCTCAAGATGAGCCCAACGCAGCAGCCCGCCACCACTACACCTGTCGAGCAGCGCGAAGGCAAGAACAGCGGCAAGAAGACGTGGTTCGGGCGCAAATCCAAACATGCTGCTGCACCCGCTGCCGTCGCCATCCCTGCGCTTCCTGCGTCTATGCACATGCCTCTGCCGCCTCGTCCGGCAACCAGTGCTGGCGCTGGTGCCACGGCGGGCTGGAGCGCAGCAGCAAGGCCTGCTCGCGGCAAAAGCAGCCTTTATCCGCCATCTTCTTTTCTCCCTTTCGCGAACAGCGTTGCCGGCTCAGATGCCAGCGGCAAAGGAAGCATCAAGTCCAGCGTACGCGAGCAGCGCGACCGCTCCAAGTCGAACCAAGGCAGTGTCGTTAGCAGCACGCCGCCAAGCAGCTTCGTGCATTTCCCTCTGCACGATCGTCAACTGCAGGCGTCGCGGGGTATTTTGCAGGCACACGACGTGCCCGCCACCGTCAGCGGCGGCAGCATGCACAGCCGCCCGGCCGCGATGAGCACGCGCACACGTACGCAGTCCGAGCAGACGTTGCTGATGTCCGTCCGGCTTTCTCCCAAAGCCACGTTCGCGGCTGGAACAGGCGCAGGCGCACCGCCGCCGTCGTCTCCGCGTCTGCAACGCGCTCGGCGTCGTGGCATGGTGCTGTGGCGCGGAATCTTCGACGGCAGCCTCGACGGAGTCGTCAGTGGCAGCGCGGGAGCGGGCACAGGTGCAGATGGCAATGGGAGGATCTGCATGCCTGCTCAACTGACAGAACTGACGCGTGCAGACTACATGTTGCTGTACAGCTTGGGTGTCTTTGACCTCAACGACCCTCCAATGCTGACGTCACGATCGGCTTCTGGCTACAACGATGCAGATGCTGGCCTTGGTGCTGGCGCTTTTGCTCACCAGACCACGATGGTGCAACAGTCGAACCTCTTCAAACCTCTCCCCGGCGTCCCTGCTTTGATGGGATGGATTGAAGGCGTCAACCTCAATGCTGGCGCCGCGCAGGACTGTCACGGTTGCGAGCCCGATCATGACAACGGCAACGACGGCTACAGTGACAATACAGATGACTCTGGCGCCGAGACTGCTGGCGCAGTGCGCCGTCCATCAACCTCAAGCGCTCTAGATGCCGATGCGCTCAGTGGCGCCTTTGACGTCTTCCCGCAGCCTCCGTCGCGCCTCAGGCGCTTTCCATCGGCCAACAGGGCGAACGGCCTCACTAGCGGGCACACACATGCGCACGCAACGATGCATCTGCCTTCGCATCTCTGTTCTCGCGCGCACGTGCCTTCGTCGTCGCTCGACGACGCCGCCGCGTCGTCTTTGCGGCAGCAGACCCGAGTGTCGAACGCTTTCGCTATGCAGCTGCTCACGGAAGCGGCACGCGAGCTTGTGCCGCCGCAGCAGTGGGCGAGCGCGAACGCCGCCCACGAAGCCGAAGATGGTGCCGCGGCCCTCGCCGCTTTCGAGGACCCTGGCGCGTCGCCACTGGTAGCGGCGCACCGCAGGCATATCGAGGCGATCGTCAGGCTGACTTGGCAAGGCTCCAGAACGGGACAGTCGGACGCGCAAGATGCACAGGATGATGACGTGCAAGGGTCTCGTGCCACGGCTGTCTGGGAGGTATCCACGTCTGATGACTCGCAAGGTCCAACTTACGCCCCGCGTGCGGCTCAGATGTTCGAGCCTATCGAAGGCGGCCTGGCTGCGCCCTTTCCCATGTGGGTAGATGCTGACGTCTCGATTTGCTTGGTTTCTGAACGTCGGCTGATACGCTCTTCCTCCCGCTTTTTGCTTCTGACCAACAGTTTTGAGCGCCGAAGGCAAGCTGCAATGCACTCCAATCGCGTCTTAATGGAGCTTGCAGATGCGACTCTGCAGCGGCAATGCGTGCAACCCGGGCGCAAGGCCCAGCCGAATTTTGGCAGTCAAGCGATCGGTCTCTCACTGCAGGAGGAGCTGGGCGAAAATAACGCGCGACAGGATCATGACGGTCTCGCCTCCTCGTTGAAGTTCGTCCTGACGCAGCTGGAGCAGGCGGTTCCCGACTGTCACGCTCAGCTCTGCCTGCTGGACGAGGTAAACGTTGTCGTCCTTGCGCAAGGAGCAAGAGCTGCCGTCGATGGTGTGCCTACTGTGCGGGCACGCGTTCGAAGCTTGGAGGCGCACAGCTTGCTTAATCGCAACGAGGGCCTACTCATCTTGAACAGCGGTGCAGACTTCCGATTCGCCGCTGCCCTCCAAGGTGACCACAAGAACGATAATATGCCCGTCTTCTTCGCCGCGCTGCCCGTCCTGAGCGCTGCCGGGATGCCCATAGCCTTCGTCACGCTCTCCTCAGCTAGAATCATGGACGACTGGTCGGCTGCTTGCGCTTCGCTGTTCGAACAGTGCACGATCGTCATTGCGAGTGCAATCGAGGCCGCTCACCGCAAGCAACTCGCGGCCGAGGGTGAGCGCTTACAAGAAGGTGAGCATGGCAGCGCATCCGTCAGTCCGGTGCTCCATTCAGCGAGCTCTCATACTGAATATCCCGAGTTTCGGTCGGGTACACGTCCACAGAATTCAAGGCATTACAAAGGCATATCATAGCGCTCGGATTTAAACGCGCAGAAGACCTGGATTCGTCGCCCAAGCCGGCTCATCTGCTGCGCTGTCAGCCGAGCGACGGGCTTGCCGTAGCTGAGAGTCTCGAGGAAGAAGCACAGCAGGTGCTCCAAAAGGAGGTGCTTGTCGAGATTCTTCAAGACTCACTGCTGACGTCCAGGATGGACATTGAAGGCCAGTTGCTCCCGGCTCTCTTCAACGCTCTCGTGAGACACGTTCATCAGGGCCTGCACAGTTCTCTGACTTACCTTGTGCGCAAGAGCGAATCGGCAGCCGCACACAGCGTCGACGATGCCGTTTCAGAAGAGCACCAGCGTTGTAGCATTGTCGCCAGCCAAGGCTTGCCGTCGCGGGTCCCGCAAGACGTCAGCTTCGATGAGCCATGCCACAATATGAGGGTCGGAGCAGCTCCAGCCGTATACTCTGGCATTTCAATCTTACCGTCCAAATGCGCATGCGATACGCTGCCGTGGTGGGTCTTTGATGACAACCGGCAGCTCTACAAAGCGGGCTGCATGGTCCACGGTGGCAGCCTAGGTCCACATACCTATACTCTCGTTGCGCTGTTCGAGAGGGGCGCACACATTGTCTCGGCTTCGGGTGCGTAGTGTGTGTCCACGTTATACGACCGGCCGCCGAGATACTGACTTTGTATCCGTATCACTGTGTTTTCAGAACAATCGTACTTTGCAGCAGCCGCATCTACGCTCAGCACATGTCTCATGCAGGTCGCCGAGCTCTCTTCGCAAAGCAAGTCATCCATATCGCAAGCATCACAACATCGCATTTCCAGCAAACTCAAGCAGTCATCGCATGGGCTAGGCATCCAGGCGTGAGGTTTTCAAGTCCTCAGGCCGCAAGGGACCACCTGCATATCTGTTATTTCGCATCATATTTTGATGTTCAAGCATGTTTCTCACAATCCAGGGTCGCAAATTCTGTCAAAGCCATCTAGTCATCAATCTCAGCCGATAGGCATTCGTCACGTCCACTTCATCCGGCCCCTCGCATCAATCGAAATTCTTCTTTGCTATGCATTGAACAATGGTATCGAAGCTTGTAGCTGATGAAATGGGTAGTGTACAAATGAAATAAAGCATTTCGTTCAAAATATATTATCATGAATGCATATGCTGTTCGTAATCATCTATGCCTCGACGGAAATTTGAAGGCTGTGAGCGCGCAAGCGTTGCAGCGGGGGTGTATCGTGGCATCGAGTAGAGTCCGTGCTGTGGCGCATTCTCCGTTGTGGGCTTCTTTTCGTCATCTTGATGCTCCGCCTTAGGTTTTGCGCGTCTGCGCCTCAGAGTACCTTCATAATCCTGCTTTTTGTCCATCAGGCAGTACTCGCGGTCAACGCCGCCGCGCACAGCTTCCTTTGCAGCTTCGCCTTTGCTGTTGCTCCATGGCGGCGTCGCCTTGGCGTCTGGGCCTTCGATCTGCAATTCAGCCATGATCTGCTTGAAGCGGCAGAGCCACATGTTGCGGCGCTGCGCCTTGAGCAGGTGGTCCTGGAAATTGCTTTTGTACCGGATGCCGACGCTGACCGACATGCTTCCCTGAGCCTTCATGTCGAGGATCTGGATGTCCAAGCCGGGCAAGAAGTCTCGGTCCTGCTCAGCGAGCCACAGAAGCATCTTGGCGCGCAGATTCTCGAGCTGTTGGTACGTCGTGGCGTAAGAGATTTCCAACTGGAACTTTTCGATCGTCGGCCCACTGCGCCGCGTGTTGACGATGCCATTGCTGCTGGCGAGCTTGGCGTTGCTGATCTGAAAATATTCGCCTGCCATCGTGCGGAAGATGGTGGAGAGGAGTTTCATCTCTTCGACAATGAAGTCTGCCTTCAGGTCGACAATCGTGACAAGGTCGCCGACGTCGTATGGGTGCTTGATGAAGAGGAAGACGATGGCTGTGAGCAGCTCTTGCGCACCGCCCGAGATTAGCCACGATAGTCCGAGCAAGGCGGTGCCAAATGAGGCGATCAGGTTAGCAAACTTGACCGAGAGAAGCGCAGCAATGATCGTCAGACTGATAACAACGAAGCAGGACTGGGAGGCAGAGGGGAGGTGTAAGCATGTAGTTGCTCGTAGCTCCTGCGCGCTCGTTGGCAATCTCACCATGAACATGCTGTCGAGCGTGGCAACAGCCGAGTCGATATCGCGAACGCTGTTGATGACGCTCATGCGCTCCGTGCGGATCTCCAAACACGCTGCCTCCATTTCCTCTTCAAGCAAGTCACCATTCCCATCACAGTCGAAGATGGCCCAAGCGGCCTGAGAGAAGGACTCCTCGCCGAGAACGGCGGCAAAGTCAACGAAGCGCACAACGAGGCGGTCCGACTTGTCGCGCCTGGCAAACGAATAGAAGAGCCGCTTGGCGAGGTGGCGCGTCTGCTCCGCGTCGCCAAGCGCGGCGAGGACAATGCGCTGCGCCGCGTTGGGCAGCGCGATGACCTGCACAGCCATATCAGCTGCTGCGGCCGCGAGGGCATTGTTGCGCGGCTTGCTGCTGTCCGCGCGTCGGTGAAATTGCCTGAACATGCCTGTGCGGCTTTTGATCGACGAACCCAGGCTGGTGTCCAGCGCTGTGGCCTCGGTGCCTTCCAGCCCGCTTGAGGCGCTGGCCACGGCACCTCCGCCGCCACCAGTGCGAAGCCTAGAGTCAACGAACAACTGGGCCATCTGCATCTCCGCGTCGAGCTCGATGCCCTCCTGCGTCAGATCACGGCGGGAGTGCTCAAAGAGCAGCGTGAGGACTCGGATATGGAGCTTGCACTCTGCGATGCGTGAGGCGTACGAAACCTGGTGGAAGGTGTACGCGATAATCTGGATCGAGAGCTTTTCGAGCAGGAGGAGCGTTGCGCAGATGGAGAGGCCGAGCAGGAAGCGGCTCGCCGCGATCATCGAGCTGGCCTGTGACGCGGTGTTCGCGGCCGGTGCCGTCATAGGGGCGGTGACGGTGGTGGTGGTGTTCCCGTTGACGGGCGAAAGGAGCTGCTGTGCGGGGCCCTGGAAGTGACTCCATATAAACGCAAGCCATGTGATGTATACGATGAGCGTCCAGACGAAGAAAGCGCTGTAATCCTGTATGGCGACGAGGTACGCGATCCAGTGGCGCGACGCGAGGCTGATGGCGCCAACGGTGCGGCGCAATACACGCGGGACGAGGCGACCCGAGGCGCGGCAGGCGAACCAGGATAGCCAGATGGTGGAGAGCCAGATGGACCACCAGGTCAGCCCGACCTGCGCAACGGCCGGGTGGTCGAGCGAGCGCGACGCGATCAGCCCGACCGTCCCCGGGATCCACAGCATGGCTGCAACGAGCAGTACGAACAGCAGCCCGCGAATGCGCGCCGGCGCGCCGGTCAGACAACCGCGCATAAAGGATGGCTGGCAAGGACAAGGGAAGGCAGCGTGGTCTTTGGGGTCAGCGTGCAGACAACTGTTCTCTCCCAAGTTCCGCTAGGCTATCGCACTCTTGTGGACACCCTACTCACAGTGGACGGCAGCAGCGGCTTTCTCCTTTTGAGGCGCGGCGCCGGCGCGGGTCCTTGGCGCTGAGCGAGGTTCTTGAGCTCCTCGTCATCGTCGTCCGCGTTTCCCGCGGCCATATACATGTAGGGGTCCTTGTCCACCGCGCCTCCGGCAGCCTCGTCGGGGAGCTTGCTTAGCTTCCATGTCTCCACGCCGGTGTCGGCGTACAGAAAGTTGTGCCATGCGTTGTCCTTGTGGTACAGATCGTCTGCACCCAGCTGCTGCCGGTCAACCGGCGTGCCATCAGCCATGTGCAATCCAGACGGCACTGCAGCGGCCGATGTGGGTGCGTACGACGGTTCGCCGTACGCTTGTCTGTAGCCACGGGTATCCTTGAACGATGGCAGCGGCCGCAGCGGCTCTCCAGGTCTGATCGCTGCGGCGGCGTACCGTGGCGACGCGGACGACGCTGCTGCGTTTTGCGAGTAGCGCCTGGACTCTGCGGCGCCACCGCCGTAGCTGCCACCGGCGCCGGACGTGACCGGGGTGCCAGCGCGCGTGCGCACCGTGTCGGCCGTGCCGGCCGTCGCAACGCTCGTGACGGACGCTGATTCGCTCCACGTGGAGGTGAAGGCGGAGAAAGTGGGAGACGCGGCTGGTGCTGGTGCTGCGGACGCGGAGTGCGGTAGCGGACGCGGACAGCTCGGGCCTGCGTGCGATGCGGATGTCAGGCTTGACGAGGCGGCGGCGCAGTCAAAGGACCGGCGGCGCGAGCCCGAGGGCAAACCTGTTCGTAGTAGGTGTTGTTCCCGCTGCTGCTGGCCGGGCAACGGCAACGGCAAAGGCGATGCGGTGGGCAAAGCCGGCGGCCAGCGTGCGTTGAACATGTTTGTCCGACGGTGATCTGGCACGACGTGTGTGTTCTGTATAGAAATAGGCGATCCGATGTTGCACACAACTGTGCATCGACGACCGCTCGTGCCTGCTGCTTTTGTGGGAGGCAAAGCGGGCTGCCGTGCACTGTCGTCTATCCCGCCCGAAGCCGTTTTCATGTATGCCGAGCAGTGTGATGCTCAAAGGGTATCAAAGGCGGATCGCGGCTGGGGTGTGCGATGAGCAAGAAGCACTGTATCCAAACGCAGACAGCACCGACCGACGGACACTCGCTCCTTCGCCACAACAGCTGCCGGTTGCGGTGCGGGTGGGGTCAACGATGAGAGCAGATCTAACCAACTAACCAACCCTCTATCAGACGCAGCAGAGCCATCCAACCCCATCCAATGCATCCACAGAAACAAGAACGTAGTATGTACACGTGAGAGATATTCGCGTGTTTCTCTCCGTTTCCCCCAACCCGGTGGATTTAGCAGACAGCGGACTTTGGCGTTCACTTGGGGTGGGGGGGGAGCGCGTGGCAGCAACCCTATATACCATGCACATACCCCATCGCGATGCCCATCTCTCGTACGAGAGAGAGAGCGACTATACAACTCCTTGCCATCGTCCTCCAGACCTGGGGTTGGATGCGGGAGTATTCTCATCGCTCAGACTGCTGGCCATCGTCTGAGATGCAGCCCACATACCACACAGCACGTCCTACCACCAACACCATCCACGCTCATCCCTGGCCCTTCCGTCCGGCAGCTGCACGCGCCGCATGGCCAGCACGATAACATGACTGTCGACCCCCCGCCGCCCCAGCAGCAGCCCGTGGCTGTCGGCGTCGGCGATGCTGTGCCCGCAACAGTAGCAGCAACAGCACCCGCACTGGACGCCGAAGAAGGCCAGAAAACCAAGGCCGACACGGCAGGGCAAGGCGTGGGCGCCAGTGCAAACACCAGCGACCGCAGAGACACCCGCCCTGGACACTCCACAGACGCGGACGGGGACACGGCGATGCAGCTCGCGCCGCTAGCCGCTGGCGGACGGCAAGACCTAAGCCAAGGCGGAGGCGAAGGCCAAGCAGCGCCAAAAGGAAATAGCGCGAATGGATCGCAAGAGCAGTCCGAACCTGCTTCAGCATCAGCACCTGCGCCGCCGCCTGGGCCCCGCACCCAGTCGGCTCCATCAGCAACGCAGCAGCACCAGCAAGCGCTGGGCGCAGGCGCCGACGATGGAGCAGCTTCAGCATTAGCACTAGCACTAGCACCAGCACCAGCACCAGCAGCGGCGGATCAGGAGCCAGTTTCAGCTCCTTCACCCGAGGAGGGAGAAGTATCAACTTCAGCAGCGCCATCGGTGCAGCCTCCAGCTCCTCTTACGACGAATGCCGACGCTGCGACCTCCGCTGGCCATCTACACAAGGGCGACATGCCATCTGCCCCCGCTGCAGCAGCAGCATTCGCCGTGGTGTCTGCGCAGCACGACGCACGGGTGTTGGCTGAAAAGCCGCGACAGCAGCCAGCGACAGCAACCGTAATAGCAGTTTCTTCCGATGCACCAGTCGCTCCTTCTCCCGCTCCGCCTCCTCCTACCAACGAGACGCTCGTCGCTCCCGCCCAACTGCCGCCATCATCAATGCATGATGAGTACCAAGCAAATGGCCAGCTCGAACGACAACAGCAGGATTTACCCTTCAGCACCACAGGCGCGCCGGCGCGGCCGGGTGCCAGCGGAGACGGCTATGTATCAGCGGATGGCGCAGCAGCGAGGGGCACAGCTGCGAAGGCGCCCGCGCGCCGGCCCGAAGCATTGCTCAAGGTGGAGCACGAGGCTGAGGCCGAGGCCAAGACTAAGGTCGAAAGCGCGCAGGTTGCTGCGAGTCAGCGAGACGGCGACTCGGGGGCAAAAAATGAAGCAGCCGGCGCGGACGCACCCACACTCGCTGCTGCTGCAGATGTAAACGCAAACACCGACACTGCACCAGCTTCTCCACAGGAGACACTGGCCGCTAGAGGCTCAGGTGTGCAGATTGATGCGCGGCAGGACGGCATATCGCAGCTGGAACAGCCACAGCTGTCGCAGCAAGGGCTTGGCGCCCGCGCCCGCACAGGCGCAGCGGATGCGGAAACAGAGCGCACTGCCCCCGGAAGGCGCGTTGCGGGTGCTGCAGCAGCCGTCGCACCAGCGCTGGAACCGTCTCACGTGGTCTCAAGCGCGCAGGGCCCTATATTGCAGGGTGTGCGCAGCGAGCGCGGCGTCGAGCACAAGGAGCTGAAGGAGAGGGAGAATCAGAAGGAACAGGATTCGGCGCGCGAAAGGGAGCAGGCTTCTCGTGGACGCGAGAAACCGAAAGACAAGGAGCCGACCAGCCGCGAGTGGGATAGGGATGGCGATCGAAATCGCGTGCGCGAGCGTGAGCGCGACAGAGAACGCGAAAGAGAAAGAGAAAGAGAAAGAGAAAGAGAAAGAGAAAGAGAAAGGGAAAGGCAGATGAATGCGATGCGTGCGAGGAACGAAGCGCAGGCGCAGGCGGCGCTGCAGTTGCAGCGCGAGCGCGAGATCGAGGAAGCTCGCTTGCTCTGGCTGTGAGTTGGTGGACTGTTGTCTCGTAACTTTCTGCGAACGATTGCAGAAGGGCGCTAACGACTATCCTTTCCCTCTTGTTTATTCTTGTGCGCGCCTCGTCCACATCCTCACCCACATCTTATCTCACCAGCTCTCTACCAGGCAACGATCACCCATCGTACTACTCGGACACGGACGCCTCTTCGCACGGCGGCCGTTCACGCGAATCGTCCATCTCCGAATCGGCACTGATCGACGCCGAGACGGAGCCGTACCTGCCCGCGCCCTCGCTACTCGCTGCTGTCACTGCTGTCCCTGTTCGACAGCAGCCGCAGCGCGGTGAGCATGACCTCGACGAGCAACTCGAAGAGAGCGCGACGCGCGGGTCGCTATCCGAGCCGCTGCCGCGCAGCGCGCTTGACACGGCTGGACCTGCGTCGACCCGACGTCGCGTGTGCAGGCGCGTAGACGGCGGGAACGACTACGTGCGCGGTGCTTACAGCGGTGACGCCTTCGCCGCCGTCGATGCCGATGATGACAACAACGAAGAGCTTGACCTCGATGACGAGGGCGACGACGTTGATGACGCAGTCGATGTAGATCTAGAGGATGAGGACGAGCTCGATGCCAAGCATCAACGGCTCTTGGAGCTGCACAAATATCGCCGTGGCAACCGCGGAAACAAGCTCAAGCGCAGAGAGGGCGTGCGCTGGATGCGGACCAAGAAGCTCGGTCCTTGGACCGAGGCGAGGAACGAAAAGGAGGTGCGCCCACTTGCGTCTTCCTTCGCGCCTAGCGGGTTGCAGCAAGTTCCTCACATGCTGACCAGTTCCCTTTCCTATTATCCATTCGCAGGTCAACGACCGTATACGCGTGCGCATCGCCGCGTTGCAGCGCGCCGGCGTGCGAGCGCTGCTGGACGCTGCGCCGGAGCCAACGCCAAGGATCATGGACCCGTCCCTGTCGGATCCACTGCCGTACGACCAGGACTCGCAGCCGGCGCTGACGTCGACGGCGCTAGCGTCGACACTGCTGCGCCCGATGCTCAACGCGCGCGCGCTGCTTGAGAGCCACACACTCAAGCACACCTTCCGCAACCCGCACATCGGTGCGCTGTCCAAGACAGCGCTGGACCTACGCGAGAGCGAGAGTGTCGTCGGCCGTGCTCTCGGCCGTTGCTTCGCCGCGATGGAGGGCACGACGCTCGACGCGGAGATCGCAGAGGAAGAGATGTTGCGCCAGCGCGAGGCGGCGCGCCAGGCGGCGCCACCACCGGTCATGCCCCTCGTCATGGCAGCACCCGGGCTGGACGGTGCAGACACGAGCAGCGAGTCTGCGCGCCTGGCCATCTTTGACAACGACGTCATCCCTCCCAACCCAGAGCTCGACCCGGCATTCACGCGCCTTGACAAGCTTTTTGTCACCCCTGGTGGTCTGCCCATTCCTCTACCTGAGCCGTTGCAGCCGGGCGTCGACCCCGCGACGCAGCCGCCGCCTCCGCCGCCACAGGCTATCCTGACGGTGACGCAACAGCAGGAGGTCGTGCGCGCCGCGCTGGACTGCCTGCACGAGCTCGCGGCGGACAGCAAGGAGTATATCGAGAGGCTCGACGAGGTGCGCGAGCGCCTCGCATCCGTCAAGCAAAAGCGCAGCGTCGTTTGGCACGCGATACGCGTCTGGGCCCTCGCGCGCGATAAGAGGGAGCACGGATCCTGCGGCAGTGAGGAGAGCGGTGGCGAGGACGAGGGCGACGACCTCGACTACCCTGTCTCGCTGGCGCAGAGGGCACAGCTCGCGGCGCAGGAGCGCATGAACGGCGACAGCACGCCATTGCGCAAGCGTGCCGCCGCAGGCGCCGCTGCCTACCTCGCTGCTGTAGACGGACCATCTACCAGCCGTTCTGGGCCTTCTTCGAGCAAGCGATCAAGGCACGCATAGTAAACAACCCGCGCAAGCCTTTGTATTCATTCAGCACAAAAGAGAACAGTGTATATCATCGGAGCCAAGTCGTTTGCCATCATAGTCATAAAATTTGACGCGAGAAATTGGAGCTACAAATGCTGCGAGATGTGACTAATGTGCGTGGGAAGAAAGTATGTTTCGCGGTGGGATGTGATTTTTTGTGCCTTTCCTTTTCATTTTTGGGGTTGTAGTTGTTCCTTTCCTGCTTCAATCCAGCGATGAGCGAAAAACGAGGACGACCCAAAGCAGAAGACACACGCGGCGCGTCCTTGGAAGCATGCTATGCACGATCCGATTCGATGCCGCAGGCGGCAAGGCGATGCAATGCTGACTGCCTGCTCGACCCTATCACGGCACCGTGCCGCGGCTCGGGGCTCGTGCCGACTTTGCTCGACTGGCCAGCTGCATCAGGCATGCCTCGAACCTTCAAAGCGAAGGACGTTACCGAGCAGCATCGACCACCAATCAGTGGTTGACTACATGCTTAAGGAGAAGTAGCGGCCAGCGATGAAGAGGCATGCGAGACGGGAGCCGTGAAAGCGGCGACGGTGGCGGGTGGGGAGAGGTCAGTAGGCTGGTAGCAAGCGATCAAGCGAGAAAGTGCACGGATGGTACAAATGGTGGGGCGGACGGTGTGACTGGTGCGCGGGTGGCTCGTCTAACGCTTCTTGCCTTCCCGCAAGCGCAAACGGGAATATGGTTGACGGGCTGGAGGAGGTTAAGATGCTGTGGGTGGAGCATTTTTCTTGATCGGGGGCGATGAGTTGACTCGCTGACCACCGTTTAGGGACATGGCGTCCTATGTGCAAGGACGCATGTGCGCAGGGTGTGAAGGTTGGGAACGCCTACGACACGGACATGAGGTTTGGCCCAGCGTAACGAAGCTGCTCGACGCTATTTCCTTGTGAACCCCGCGTTCGTCCGGGTGGAGTATGCACTATCGTTAGAAGCGATGGCACACATCCAGCCCGGATAGAACGCGGGAAGGCAGAGGCGGAGACTGACGACTTTCGACGCTAAAGTGGGGTAGAACCTCTGCTCTCTCGGTTGGTGGGGTGTACGAACGACGATGGAGCGGCCTGTTGGAGGCAGGCTGCAAGTCGTCCGTTCATACGATCGATCCAATCGGCCGTCTGTCTGTTCTTCCGCTCCGCCCATTGGATGGGAGCGGAGCGAATGAGCGACACAGGTGCGGAGTATGATCGGAGGGAGGATGGGTGTTGCGCACGCGGGGCTCGCCGAGGCAGTCGGCGCGCCGTGCGTGGTGAAAGCGCAAGCAAAAAAAAAGTGAGAGAGTGTCCGGGCTCGGCGTTCAAAAGAGGGGTGTAATCGAGAACAAAACACATCGTGACTCGGTAAGAGAGGTGTTTGTTGAACAGTGTCTGTCTTGAAGTTGAACCGTTGACCAGGGGCGGAAAAGCGAGAGGAGTGTGCAGATATGGTGTCGAGTGCGATCGGAACGCCAGGATGCCGTGTGGCAAGGCGTTTTGGTCAGATGCACTGAAATCCGTACTCCCTCGTCCGGCCCTCCGGTCTCGGACCGCAAGAGGGCTCTGTAAAGGAGAGCGCTCTCACGATCGCAAAGAGAGATAGAGAGTGGTGAGTGGCATCGGAATGCGATGTCCTGAATCCGACTGCTCGAGAGACGGGAGGAAAGGCAAAGAAGAAAAGAGATTGAGAGACGGAATGGATGAGTGCCAAGGCGAACAAAACACAAAAAGAAACACGCGCGTTCATACTGACAGATTCGACTGTGAAGAAAGACAAAAGACCCGAGACGGGCCGCGTCAATTGAATGACACGGACATCGTGTCCTTTTCGAATCCTTCTTCATCGTCTTCGTCTTCATCGGTATGTGCATCCGCATCCTTGCTGATGTTGTCGTTATTGAACAGAGTGTCGTGCTGACCGTCGCCGTCGTCGTCGTCGTCATCATCACCGTGTAGGTTGACGATGAGGTCGAGCATCGCCAGGCTCGCCTCGCCGCGTTTGACATGGATAGTGCGGAAGTGACGCTGGCAATCGTGCTTGCGCGCAAAGTCCTTGCGGCAGCCGGTGAGCGGGCAGAGGTAGGGCTTGTCGCGCACCGTGTCGTGCGTCGCCATGTGCGTCTTGAGGTTGAACGCGCGATCAAACTGCTTGTGGCACACCTCGCACGCGAAGCGCTTCTTCGCGCTGCCGCCGCGTCCGACGCCGCGTTTGGCGTAAGGTCCGCGGCGACCAGCCGTTGTCGTCGAGGATGCGCTCTTCCTTTTGGGTGGAGCGGCTGCAGACGTGCCGGTCGTCGCTGCTGCAGCTGCCATTACGCTTGCGGCCGCGATAGTGACGGGACGCGGAGGCTGTGGGTGATGCAGCTGCGATGGCGGGCGCAGGCTGGTGGCGTACGGTGAGATGCCGACGGACGAGTCGAGTGACGATGTGGTGGTGGACGCGGCAGACGAGGCGGTAGACTTTTGATTAACGACTGGGCGCCGGGCGACGACGGCCTCGTCGCTGTCGCTGCTCGAAGCGCTGTCGCTGTTGAACGAGCTAACGCTCGTGTTGCTTTGACTCCAGAGCCGACGCTTCTTCTCTTCTTGTGCTTCGAGGAAAATGCGCGTGGGTACCATCTGACCGGTGACAGAATAGAGCTTGCCGACAAAGTCATCAACCAGCTCGGGCGCGTGGCCGTCGACGATCATCTGGAAGACGGTGCGGCAGCCGTTGACCATCATCACGTCGTTAGCTGGGTTGCTGCCGGGCATGACGTTGTGCTCCGTGCCAGCGCTTGTGCCGAGTGAGAATGTGTCAAGCGACGGTAGGCCGACAGGCGAATGGTACGACGCGCCTGTCCATGGCGGTGTGGTCAGCGAGCTGTCCGACGAGCCGATCGACGAGCGACGAACTTCGTAGTCGCTGGATGCAGCACCGAGAGAAGTCGAGCGCGGGCCAAAGAGTGCACCAGGTCCCAGCTGGTGGGAAGTAAAGAAGTCGACCGTGTCCGGAGGCGAGGAGTCGCTTGATGGCGAGATCATGGCCAATGGCGAGGCGACGATGGCTTGCTCAAAAAAAGCGGCAGTGGCGGATGCCTTGCCATCCGCTGTGGCCGTCGGAGGGGTGACCTGGATCGTGTGACCAGCAAAGTATGCCTGGGCTTGCGTGAAAAAGTCGGCCATATGGTCTGTACAGTCGGCTTGGCCCAAAACGGGAGCGTCGCCCTTGGCGGTGGCGTCGCCGATGATGCCACCAGATAGGAGAGACTGATGAAAGTACTTGGTCCAGTCGGAGTCGTCACTTTGCTGCCCCTTGCCGTTCGCAGCGGATACTAGGGTCCTATCGGGGTCTGTCTCAGGGATATCGTGATCGTCTGGCGTCGTAGCCACAGGGGAGAGGACATCTGGCGACATCTCCCTCAACTCGGGTGAAAAGTCACGAGCAGATGCGGGGGACCGAGGGGACGAATGGGCCTGTGGCGAATGGAGAAAGGCGCTGAAGTGGTCTGGGCCGTCGCCTTGAGCTTGACGAGCACCAGCAGCGCTGGCGACGCTAGCAGACGGTCCATAGATACTGCCACTGATCATTCTGAGCGTGGAAGACGAGTCGGGTGGCAGAGGGTGCTGTTGCTGCTTGGTTGCTGCCGTCGTCTGCTCGTCACCTCCAATACTGAATGGGATGAAAGGGGCAGACGGGGTCGGGGTAGCGATGGTGGTGGTGGTAGCGGGAGAGGCAGAAGCAGGGTTGCTGAAGCGGCCCGCGAGCCGGTGCGACTGTCCGTCACCGAGCAGCTGAGTGTCCTCGCGGTGATTAGCAAGGATATGACTCATACGCTCTTTGGCCTTTGTGCAATGTGCTTGCCTAAGACGCTGTCTGCCTAGAGAGCCTAGCCCTTTTGTTTCTTTTGGGAGGGGGATGACGAGGGGCACCAAGAAGAGAGAGGAGAAGAGTAGGAAGCGTGGAGGGGTCGATAGAAATCATGAGCGGGTGAGGGACGCACACGAGCACGCGCGAGAGAACCGGGCGATGGTTGGTGCTGTTGTTGGTGCTGCTGCCGTTGCTGTTGCTGTTGCTATTGCTGTTTGGCAGAGTGAAAAAGCGAGATGGGATTGCGGCAAGAGCTTAAACGCAAGAGTCACCCAGTGCTGTTCCCGATACCAAATCGCCAGTTCAGCGTTCCAGTGAGGGGAAGGGGGCGCGCGCACATCGGGCTTATCCCACCGCACTGCCCCGTGGCTCCTTCCCGCATCCACGTGTGTGTACAACCGACATTTGCCACTGCGCAGTCGAATATTTCTCGAGCACCTGGGTGGGGTTCGAGCGAGTCATACATTTGGGTTGCTGCGCATTCGCATGCGACACTGCTCTTGAGCGGCTCTTCGGATGTAAGCAGCATATTTGTCTTCCTCCAGAACCCCAGCCACCAGCCAGGCCCACGGGAACGGAGCTGTGGGCACTCACTCCTCTCTCTGTCTTCCTCTCGGCGCTGCGCCAAGGCACACCCCGAGCCGTCCTGCCTGTCTTTCTCATCTCTTGCTCCGGTTCATCGAGCCCTGAACTTTGGCTGTCGTGCAGCTCAAAGCATGGTGAACCTAATAACGAATATCCACCGCCCCAATTCCTGCCATCCACTAAATACCAACAACAGGGCACAGGCTGTCTGCACAAGGAACAGCAGGCGCCGACCGAGAGCAAGACGCCTGATTCATCTGATATGTGAAGGCATCCATTTCTCCCCGCCATGCAGCCAGAGAGGCTCTGAGAACACGCGTGCTTCCTGCTCGCGGATCCCCTCAACTAATCACAGAATCACCTTCCAGCCCGCCCGTCGTCGCCAACTCTGATGGTGACAGTGGCGCGCTGGCCACACTGCGGGGGCAACGTTGATTTACACGAGAAAGACGTACGCGAACCAGCTAGTTCTTTCGAGCATGTCTGCAGCACACCTGAGCTCGAAGCACATGAACGCAGGATTGAGAAATCACATTTGAAGGCTGAGACGTTGCAATGATACGCACATGCGGGCAGATAGAGTTTCAGCGATCCATTGCTGCTATCTAGCATGTAGTACGGAGTCATGAAAGTAATGAGGAATATGACTATGGATGGATAATAATAATGATGATGATGATCGCGGTAACGAGTAGAGGACGATGGCAATGATGAGCCCCGGGAACGACCCGTCTCGTTTTCCTGTGGACGACATGAGTGTGCCCCCCTCGGGCGATGTAGTAATTACAGCCGCGCCTGCAATGCCCGCTAGGTATGATTCTTGCGCATCGTGTTAATAGGAGCAGGAGAAGAGAACGGTAACAGATTCCTAGGTGTGCTCACGTAGCATAGCGTGGGGTGTAGGATGATCGGATTTGCTATATCGTGATGAAGCAATCGAGAGAATCAAATACTAAAAAGTCGAGGTGGCAAACCGAGATGACAAGACTCGGGTATAATTGGCAAAGAACCTGTTGGGGATTGAATGATTGACAGGCGGTGATGACCATTGCAGTTTTGGCTGAATGGCCTAAGGTGGTCGAACCGCAGTCGACGCATTGCTGACCCGAGGCAGCTGGTATCAAATGTCGAATCGATTGTCCACAAGGTTCGCGGCACTGCAAACGTGCAAACGGAAGAATGTTCAAACCAGGGAGTATAATAATATCAGGTAGCGAGAAGAGGAGTTGGCCGCTTGATCACTTGAGATCGCAGATCATCGTCCGCCGCTTGCGCGCATTGACTGTATGGCCGGCCTTCTTCATGTGCGCCTGCGTCCGCTCGGCATGCCAGTCGCAGAGACGTCGACCATTGATGACATAAAAGTCATCCAGTGGCTGCAGTGAGCAAAGAAAAAGGTAGAGGGAAGATAAATTGCATCAGAAACCAAGGTGGTGAAAGTCTCTCGGCGGTCCAACCTACCTCTTGGCAAAATTCACCCTTGTCGGCTTCTGACATCCCCACGAATTGGCATGTCAGGCAATGGGTGTGGTATCGCTCGCCGCCTTCGGTTTGCTTGCAAAGCCCTTCGATGCCTTCCCCGCATCCTTCGCAGAGCGTGCCGTTGCGCAGATGATAGTGCTCACAACAGTACGGACTGTTCTCATACACATAGAACGTCCCGTCCTCGAACTTCATGTCGCAGTGGAAGCACGTAAAGCAGGCGCGGTGGAAGATGCCGCGCAGCGCCCCGTCGGACGACTTGACCGCATTTGACTCAACCGGCTCGCCACATTTGCGGCATCGAGGCAGATAGCGTCTGGCGTAGTCCCTCGCGCAGAAGAACTGGCCGTCGCGCTCGACGAACGGCGTCTTGGACGAAGACAATGAGCAGCTGCAGATGCAGCAACGGCGTTTGGACTTGCTGCAGCTCCACTCTCTTCCCCCCTTGGGGCCGATATCTGCGTTGCTCTTCTTGAACGTCGCTGGGCGAGAGAGCTCAGGCGTCGGCGTAGTGTGACTACGAGAAGACTTAACAGGGTGCGACTCTAATTGCAAATTGCTCGCTTGCTTTGCATGGCTGACGAGATCAGGCTCTGTCCCTCTGCGCGCTGGCATGGGAGAAGTAGGGCCCTCCAAGTCACGCATGAGCGTTTCGATCCCGGCAATGTCGACGTCAGACTTCTTGCGCGGGCTTAAATGCTTGCGCGAGCTGTCAACATTAGCAGATCCGGTGATATCCTCGTCATCATGTGAAGCGCCCTCCTGGCTCAGCCGGCGCTCCATGATAGGGGATACGGTTCGCCCGGGCGTCTTTCTGCTGCTCTTGGATGCCGGCGAATCATGCGCGCCTTGGCCAAAGTGCTCATAGCTTGAGCTCGGGGTCATAACCGAGCTCTGACCACCAGATGTGTCAAATGAGCCGGCACGCGCACGCTTCGAATTCCCGGTTTGATTCACGGCCCCAAGTAGCGACGATTGCGCACTGGACACAGATGATGCACTCGATGACTCCTGCCGCTGTAGCTCAGCTGCACGGGACCCTTTCGCCCTTTCCTTTTGCCTCTGGCGCTCCCAATCTTTCGATTTCGCAGAGGCTGGTACCTCATCTTTTAGAACCTGACGAGATTTTGCACTTGCAGCATCCTCGAAGAGCATTGCTGCGATGATGACATCTGCCGTGGCGCCTGCACCGCCACGTTTTTTGGCCTCACGTTGCGCCGCAATCTGCTTTTTGCGCTCTTCGCGGATGCGCACTTCCTCGTCCCTCTGAGCTGCGGCTTCGTCGAATGACTTTGTCGTCGGTGGCGCAGACTTTGGCATATTCCGGTAGGGATCATTATCGAGCAAGTTGGACAGAAAAGCCGGCGAGTTCGGACCCTTGTTCTTACCCGCAAATACTGAATCATAGCGGTCGAGGAACGGACTTTTCGCTTCGCTGTCCATGCTGTGAGCAGTTTGTGGGACATTCCGGATGTCGACGAACCCAGGCCGCCGGATCTTGAGAGAAAGTGGATTGAGTGAGGAGGCCTTTTGTGAGCCTGAATAAACGGACGATGAACAGCTCATGGCACTGTTGCTGCGTTCGACGATAGAAGCGCAATGATGCGTCCCGAGATCTTCGAAGCTGATTTGAAGTCCACAGTCGGCGCATTTGGCTTTCGGAAGATCTTCCGCTTCCACGTACATGGTTGCTCGAGATACTGATCGCCGCGCTTGCGCTGCTGGTCCAGGGCTTGCATTGCCCTCCAGCTGTGGATTCTGCCCGGGTTTGTACGTATCGCGATGATATTGGTGATCTGTGACGGTGTACTGCGTATACCGTGCGGTGTCTGCTTCGTTTGCGGCACGAGAAGCATGTCCGTCACGGACGTGTTGCTGATAAGTTTCGTCAACAAGCTGGCAATACTCGCTCACTCGTGAGCTAGCTTTTGCGGACGCGGGTGCTGACAAAGCCAAAGGCACAGCCGCTGACCCTTTTGAATCCTGCACAACATAGCGGGACCAATCCGCCTGCTGTTGCTGTTGCTGGTGACGTGCCGCTTCTCGCTCACGGGCCTGCCGCTCGTACTGCTGGCGCTTCATTTCCTCCTCACAAAGCTGCTGCTGCTGTAATTGCTGTCGCCGCTGCACTTCCTGTTGTTGTTGCACCAGCCGGAAGTCTTCTTCCGTCCTTCGCCTCCTTTCATTCTCTTTGTATTGGTTTTGCTCCGCCAATCTGCGCCGCTCTGCCTCTTCCACTTCTCGGCGCTGCTGCCAGTTCCATTCCTGGCGCCGACGCTCATCCTCCTCGGCTTCTCTTTGCTTTTGCAAGCGATACTCCTCGATCTTGCGCTGCTGTTCCGCGAATTTGCGCGCACCAAAGCCTGCCATGTTACATGCTGCATCTTGTCCAGCCCCACCTCCGGCACCCACAGGTGCGTCGTCAAGATAAGGTGTCGAGTAGGGCGATGTGTTGCTATCTTGGAAGTAAGATGATTGGGAGGCTCCTTCTGCAGTCAACGAGTAGCCATTCTGCGCTCCAGCCTTGCTGTAAAAGCTAGAGTAACCTTGCTGCTGGCTATACCCTTGCGTCTGCTCTGGGTAGTATTGCCCTCTTGCGGGTTTCTGCTGGCTGTACAAGTGATCTTGCTTTCCTCCTGAGCTTGTATTTTGTGTGTAGCCACCTCTTTGTCCCCCACCATATCGATCATAACTTTGATACGCGGCTATTGAGCCGCTTTCGTGGCCATACATCGTGGTTGTGAGCGTCCTTGCCTGTTTGAAATCATCCAATGTGCGATTGTTAGCCCTGACTTATGGCCAAGGGTTTGTACGATGCCGACTTACGCAGAAACATGCAAGCGACTTGCAACTGAAGTGTCGACTACTGCGTACGTGGCGCGAAGCGTATGTTAAGATACGCGTTGCAAGCCAAGCTGCGGTGACCTCGATGGAGAATGGGTCGATTAGTAGTTGAAGCTTTAGGTGGAGGAAGCAGAACTTGCAACTTGCAAGGCGTGCTGGCGTATTTCTCTGAAGGGACGGGGCAAATTCGAGCGTGTTGTGACCTTGATGACTTGATCCTAGGCCTGTGAGGTCGAATCAAATTTACGGGCACCGTTGACAGAATTGCGACAGTCGCATATCGTACGAAAGAGCCGGATTAGGTGGGTAGCTAGCTCAAATGCAAGCAAAGCAGAACACGGCACCGCCGATGCTGCGCGCGTACGGGCAACGTGACCGACCGTACGTCAACTTGTAACGACCGATGATGGTGACAGGTGAAGCGGTGACGATGGGGTGTAATTAGGGATGAATGATGACGAGCGCCGAGCTCGCTAGCACACGAACGCGGCCCATCGATACGACGTACGTGCAATCAACGATCCTTGTTGGGAGTTGGGATCGCAGTTGCAAGAATGCGGTTTGCCAAGCGCGGTGTGGAAGATGTGCTCCGTGTCGATGATGTCCCGCACGGGTGCCTGGGGCCTAGGCGAAGCTTGGAGGATAAATAGAGGCCACGATTTCGGCGAGGATGATCTGCCCGGTAGTCTGAGGTGCAGGTGCAGCGTGATTTTGTGTTCGATGCAAAATACTCAATGGATGGGTGTTTGGTATGCGTGCAGTGTGTCCGTGTGGGGGTACTTCGGGGTGCATGCCGTGCTGTGCCGTGCTGTGCCGTGGAATGTGGAGCAATGCGAAATGCATTAGTGCGGGGGAATTGGGTTTTATGCTTTACTGAATGGTACCCCATGTCTAGGATGCGTATTTACCGAGCGGCCTCAATAGCCAGGATGACAGGCTGGCAGGTGCGAGACAATGATGTGGCGATACGTCCCCACTTCACATGTTCACACTTCACAGGATGGAAGGCGTGGATATACGAAGTGTACAGCATTGATGCAGAACGACCACCCCCTGTCCTCATCAACACTCGAAAGGCATCGAGACTCTCGGCTTTCGCCACATTCGCGCGCGCGTTTCTGTTTTGCTATGGCGCCTAGCACACATTTCAGATCCAAATATCTCATATCATCTCAGAGAGGCACTGGTGTGTTGTATTCAGTGTTGCCGCTTGTCTGTCAACAGCCAGTATGCAATATTGCCGTCATAATGGCGCGAGAGCGGTAGGCCGGTCACTGACTGCCACTTCCAGGCTCTCTTGCCCTTTCCCTCGTCAGTTGTCAGGGCCACTGCCACTTGCGAGGCCGTGGCTTGCTTCTGCGTGTTTCTGATCTCCCGTCTCTCTGTGAAAAGACTGTTGCCAGCTTCTTTTTTCTTAGCTTTGCAGCATCCCCAGTGACTTCCCGACTCCTGTCAGTTTGCTCTGCGGGTCACGCATTGCGTTGGCTTCATGGATTTGCATATGGCCCGGTCGGGCCCTGCCAACAGGGAAGCTGCTCTTTTCGTTTTCATCGCTGCGGTCTTCTCCGTATTGCGGCGCTGTGCACTGGCCACCATGCCCCATGCAGGCCCTACGCTAAATGGTCTGAAATCTCGGTTCTACCTAAAATTATTCCTGGGCCGACGCATCTTTGTGTACATAGGTTGCCAACAATGAACAAAGGCCCGAAGCTGCAAAGTGGTAGTGCATAAAATGTAATACGTTTTAAGATTTAGGGCTCGCTCGCATGTTCCAGAGCAATGTGAGCTTTCTCACCAAGCCGCACGTATCTTCTTTTTCGGGGAAGAAAGGTCAATACTCAATCATTGTCCGACGCCTCAATGCAGAGCTGTGGGAATGCGGCGAACTGCTCGTCTGCGCTTGCCTTTCCACTCAACTCTTCAACTACTGTGCGCAGGATGCGGGGGCAAACGGCAGACTCCGTCTCCCAGCTCATGCTTCCATGGAATCATCCTCTCATGCGCGTGTCTGACTTCTCACATGCTTGAGCGTTTCATATTGCTTGATCCGGCCCATCGCTTCTCGTCATCGTCGTTTATCGAGCATCTCTCCTTCACCCTCACCCTTGTCAAAGCGTTTAAAAGTCTGCTTGACTCGAGTGTTAAGGCTCTTCGCATCAGGCGCCATGTTCTGCACCCTGCTCGGTGCTGGGCTGATTTGGATCATTGTACTCCCCTTGCACCGTGTGCGGGAGGAAGCCGGCGATACCCGAGCGTAATCTTCGAATACCCCCATTAGTCGTCAAAGTGTCAGCCGCAATGTTGAGCAACGAGGAGACGGATGTTCGATTGGGCGGCAGGCTGCGCCATGGCACGGAAATTGAATCATTTACGGAAATTCATATGCGTACGAGCTCTTGCAGATTCTTGCCCTTTCTTGCCTCCCGTAGTTGTCGAATGCCTCCGCGTGTCAATTTCAAGCAAGCATTGGAGGTACTTGGTGCCTGGTATCGCTTAGTGGTCGGTGAATGGGACCCGCAAGGCGCAAGCGTGCGCTAGTTCCCGCAAGTTCACATGGGGCATGTGTAGAATGCTAGAATTGGCGCCAGGGACAAGGACTTCCAGATGGTAGGTATATACGAGCACTATGTGTGTGGTCACTATGTACTCACTGCTCACCGCTCACTTCATACTCGCTATTTACTACTACACACTGTACTGTTGCACTCCAGACCTATTGGCCCCGTATCTATGCCCGTGTAAGCAGCCACATGGAGGTGGAGTGCAATCAGAATCGCAATAGCAGATGTGCGGGGGGATTTGCCCAGCACGGTCGCAACAGTCCGCAGCTCTTCTCGGACCTTTGTGAGATGTGCCCGCCTCTTTTTCGGGTTGCAGGAGTCGCAACATTCAACCAAAGGGCCCAAATCCATTACAATACGACGATCCAGCAAATACTGACCGCCATGACTCGGTCTGACCATCTGGCATCTAAAAGCCTGAAACAAGTTGACCATGTGACCAGCCACTTCGGCAGGTTTCAACTCAGAGACGCTGCCATACTGACTGTTGTAACGCTGACCTGGTGAAAGCTGGCAACCTCCCAAAAGAAGGCTCGGGCTGACCTCCTTATCAATTGCTGATTGCTGGGCCTTTAATTTCGATTCAGAATAGTTCAGACCCCAGTCCCCGGGCAGCCAGGTCAGCCGTGAGAGCATACATATACATACGAGCAAAGAAACTGACAGCAAGCTCCTAATGGAGACACTGAGCGGATGTACCCCGCATCTTGTAGGCCTGTACTTGGCTTCCGGGCCTTGGGCTTTATGGGAAAGGCTCGTGACTCGGGATGCCACTTTGTCTTCACATAAGGGTCTCATCTCCGCTGCGGCCGCTGAAGATTTGAGTAACTGAGCGCCGAGGACGCATTACATAGTGCGTTGACGACAGTCCGGCGACTGGACTACTATCTCAAATCTGAATATTGAATGCTGAACGGGTTCAGTCTCGCAGAATTGTACACGTTGATCCCTGATACCACGGCCGCCGGAAATTGTTCATGAGCAGCAGAGAGCCATACGCCGCATCTCGCCGCCTGATATTCAGGTTGCACAAGGCTCAATGATATCTATCAGTATAATGAACCCATACGGGAAAAGGAAATGGGCCATGGTGTGAGGAGAAATACATATGAGAGATAGATGTTAAATGACAGCCGGGTGATGATGGGATCTGATGTGGTGATGGTGGAAGTGGCGTTGATGCTGGCAATCTCATCAGTGACTGACTTGTTTTTTCCCCTTTATGGCGCCGTTCTCTCCGCCGAGCGGCTCCAATAGAATTGCAGCAGTCAAGCACAGCATAGCAGTAGTTGCACGCAAGTCATGGATAGAAACGTTAGTGAAGTGGCAGGGTGGTGGTCCCAATCTATCACAGCTGTTGGTGTAAAGCAGAGACTTTGGTGCCTTCTCTCCTCCGATTGTGCGATTCGCATGCCCCTGCTAGGAAGAGGTGCGCGCATTGACAACCAATGCCAGTCCACCAAAATCCCTACATGGTGGAACAAGCTCTTTCTAATGACTCTCCAAAGGCAAATATCCAAGAGCAAGGCGCATGTATCTCTCGTGTGGACCCTCACGCTTGGGCTGCGACCTCAGGTGCAGTACCTGGTGCTGGTGCAGCACGTCGTGTGAATTTGATGCGCGCGCCATCTTGCGGCTGTGGACAGGAAGGTGGGGCAAAAAGAATGGAAGTAGCTGCTTCAGTTCTGCTCCTGGTGCGTGTCGGGAAAATCTTACTCTCTGAAGCACACTCACGAAAATAGTCGCGATGACCTTCACCTTCTCGCTGAAGTCGGTGACTTCATGCTCCCAGTTCATGCGCACAGACGCGGTACCGAGCACAGCAGCAAGGTGCAGCTGTGCATAATTATGCCCAATGCAGTTGTGCGGACCAGAGCCAAAGACAAGGTAGTTCTTCGGGTTCTTCTCCGCCGGGCTCTCTGGACCCTCCAGCCAGCGCTCCGGTTTGAGTTGCTCTGGATCCGGATAGGCGGTCGGGTCATGCAGGCTGTTCCAGAAGGACGGGATGACCATCGTGCCCTTGGGCGCGGTGTAGTTCTTGTCGATCGGGAACGCCTTGTGGGTGAGGTAGGGAACCATGATCACCGGCGGTTTGAGGCGCAAGCTCTCCTTGACCACCATGCGCGTGTACGGCATCGCGTCGAGCATGTCGAGCGTGAGCGGCGCGTAGATGTCGTCTCCACGCACGCGGTACTGCTCTTCGCGCACCTTGCGGAGGATGTCGGGCCGATCCGCAACGTGCTGGAAGAGGTACGTGAGGCCACTGGACATTGCATCTTGGGAGGCGAAAAGGAAGCTGAGGATGACCATTGCGATCTCCCTGTCCGAGAAGTCGCGCACCAGCACCCTCCGCGTCTCGGCCTCCAGATCGGCATTCTCCTTCTGTTCCCGTGCGTCAAGCATAGCCTTGACCCAGGCGTCTGTCAAGCACATCACCTCTCCGCCCTCGGCCATGCGCTTCTTGCTCTCGCGAGCCGTGTGCTCGAACCATCTCATCGTCGTCTTGCGCGCCTTGATAGCATTGTACACCTTGGTCCCGGGCAAGGCAAATGGGAAGTTGACGAGCTCAAGGGCGACAGTGATGAGCCAGTAGTTATCCGAGATCTGCTTGGCACCTTCGGGGGAGATGTAGTTGCCGCAGAACACGCGCAAAGAGGTCTCCATGTTCAGGTCGCGAAATTGCATCATATATGGCTGCGGATTGGGGTTTGGGTCATCCATCCACTCTTGGAAATACCGTTTGTAGATATCCTCCTGAATAGGCAGGTAGATGCTTAAAGCCTTGCGTGTAAAGAGGGTGTTGAGACCCTTACGGTAATCGACGTGTACTTTGCCATTGAGGAAGACCCTGAAAGAATATTTGTGATTGAGCCGTCAGCCACATACCTCAACTGTGCAGCGCCACCAGTCGTCGACATACCAGTTGTCAGGGCACAAAACCTTCTTGGCCGATGCGACGAGGCATGGCTCGGCATAGGTCGGGCTATTGAGGATCTTTCGGGTGTGCTCGTTCGATGAAGCGACAACGATGAATCTGTTGGAAGCCAGAAATCGTGCAGTCAGGAAAATCACGCAAGAAGCAGGTCCACACCGCGAGGTGCTTCCGATAAGCCATTCAGTATAGACGCACATATTGAAGACAGAAGCCACGCTGAGTGGACCAGAGTTCCAGCCCTTCATATAGTTTTCGAGGGTGGGGTGAAGAGAGTCCATGAATTGGCCAATCACGGGAATGGTCCATGTCGGTCCAGGTAAATGAGCCTTCTTAGATCGGTAGTTGGCTTGTTCCAGTATGAGGATGGTGGCAACGATGCTGAGCACCGTGAATGCGATCATAGTCCAGCTTGAGCCTTTGAGGGAAGGCAGGCGAAGGTAATCCACGAGGGCGAAGATTTTGTGCATGTCATCTTCGAGTGCCGTGGCTGAGGGCTGGTAGAGCCCGAGCGGTTTGGAAATGAAAGAAGGTAGAGCGCCCGAGGCGGACTGCCTCAACGATTGCAAGGAGGACATCTCTCAACGTTCTGTGCTCAGCTCGGATGGCCAGTGCCTAAGCTAAGTTGGGTTGGCGGTGGGGTCGCAGCTGACGGTGCGCTCTGCGCCACGTTCTACTGCAACAACGGTTGCGTGTGGCAGCCGCAGCAAGCAAGATGTAGTAAGCGTGTGCAAGGAAAGGCGTGTAGCAGGAAAGGCGTGTCGCAGGAAAGGCAAAAGACAAAGTCGAGGTATCGGCAGCGACATCCGCAATGAATGTTGCAAAAGAAGAGTGATCAGCCCGGTCAATCTGGAACTGCAATCTGAGCTGACTTGTGCGCTGTGTGGTTTTTGGAAGATTTGATTTTGTCTGAGCGCCTCATCAATTTTTCTGCCACCTGTCAAGTCCGCACCACATGTACGGGGCCGGCTCGAGCGCGCAGATGACTACATACGTAAAAGACATCGCAATAGACTCAGAACTCCCCGATTTGCCCTCAGTCTGTCGCCTATCTGCGCCGTATTTTCTTTTACCTGATTCCTGGGGAAACAATGAATAAATGGCCACTACCACTCGCAGTGCTACCTGACGCCAGGCCGAAACCTGTCCTAAGATCTGCCCTGTTGAGTGATGAGCGTACATATCTTACTCCATGTTATTATGTGGGATGAAAGCCAGCTCCACGCCTGATGGGTGACGAGAAGACCATCAGGCTGCATCAGGCATCACTTTGGGCTCTCTAGTGTACATACATGAGGATAGCTGTCTGTCAGAAGACATTTGGCGCAAACGCCAAATGGTTAGGCAGACGAGACCTCCCGCTTCCCAAACTCACCAAGTCTCGCTTGTATCCGATCTCGGTGGAATTTCGGGTTCATGCTCAGATTCCCCCGCAAGTCACGCGCTTTTTGTTGCCCAACAAGAGGATCTGGACTAGCTTGCCAGCTGCGTTCGCTTCCTCTGCCCATCTGCCTCCAAGCGTGTGCCACATCAACCACCAGCGCTCGTGGGATTTGCTTTTATTCCAGACGCCCGAGTACACCTGACGCTTGACAGGCGAGAGCAGTGCGAACTGCGAGTGATGAGGCCGCACATACTGACACAGTCATCTCTCACCGCTAGCCGCTGGCGCCAATTGAGCTTGATAGGCAAGCGATCGCGCGCCGGAAGTCATCCTGAGTGTTATAGTCTTGCGATCGGCGAGGCTGTCTGTTCCAACGCTGTGCTGCCCGACAGAGAGAAGGCTATCCAGAACGCCTGCGATGACAAGTGAGCCGAAGGATTTTGGCGGACAGGTGACAAGCGCGACAGTTTGCGTATTGCACACCGTGGAATGGAAACCCCGCCACTGCGTCGACGGTGTGATCCCACGGCGCGCGACGGTCCCTGCATTGTCCAAGCCATCCACTTCGACCGGCATTACGGTTGACGTGCCATGAGCATCTTGACTCCTCATGTTTGCGCACCAGCGACAGGCTGGTGCTGTTGATGCTGCCCTCGCCGATGGCGTGAGGGGAAGACGATGCTGTACTTTATGCAACTCCGCTGCGGATTGGCTGGGGAGATGCGAGTCACAAAGCTTCCCTCGTGCTTGACGTTGCTGTGGAGGAGGACGCTATGAGTACTCGGCGTAAGCTACAATCAGAGGTAACCACCCTCTTCCTCGTCGTTGTTGAGATCACCTGCAGCACACCAACAGGTAATGTGACCCTAACATCATCAACGACGGCAGCATGGCCACAGGCTACTGGCTATGGTCCTGTTTCAACCCCCGTTCCCCAAAAGGAAAGCCACGCTCGCCTACGGCGATCTTTTGTGCAGGCTTGCGGGTGTCCTTTTTGGCTCAATGCGGATCAGTCATGTGCAACATTGCAGCAAGGCTAAATGGATTTGCCTGTTTGCTGTTAGTGTACAAATGGTGTACGTTTCTTTCTTCTCCACCTTCTTTTCGCTCTCGACTTCTACGTTCTTCTCTCTGTTTCGACAAGTTGGTGTGAGTATAGGTGTGTGTGCGAATAAATGAATGGATGTGGATGGTGCATCGACAGGCTGGAACAGTAGATAGAACTGGCCGATGCGCAGAGTCGAATCAGACAGGGATGGAAAAGAATGGATACGAGAAAGAATCGTCGCAATGCGAAAGAAAGAGTAGGAAGCTGAGTCACTATGGCAGTCCACTCTTAGCTTTTGCCACTGCGGAAGAACTTGGAAAAGACCTTGCCGCCGGTGGCGCTGCCGCCTGCTCCCTTGCTATCCGCAGCGTTCGAGTTCGAGTTAGATGCTCGGCTGGGCGGAGCAGGTCGTCCCCCATTCACCATCAGGGATCCCGCGGTAACGCTGTGCTGTGCCTTGGCATGGTGAAGCTGCTGTTGACCTGAAGTTGCATCGCTGCTGCTACTCCTCCCGCCACCATTAGCCTCCATCAGGCTGCCTGAGCCCATGGACGCGTCTTTCCGCAGAGGCAGCGACGACGCCGAGGAGCTGCTGAAGGAGGAACTATTTGAAGTCGATGTTTTCGAGCGTTGGTCGTTCTGCGGTGTGAGATACTTGGAGGACGAGGGGGAGTCTGACGCCTGGGAGCTGCTGCCGCGGGTGCGAGATTCGTGTCGATGGGTATCTCGCTTCGAAGACCCGCGATAGGGATCCATCGAATAGTCGCGCTCGCGACCGTGATATGAGTGCTCTTCGCGCAACTCGCGTCGGCGGTGTTGATTGTGATGATGCGAGCGAGAGGGTCCATCTCGAGAGCCTCCAAAGATCTCCGCCAGATAGCTTGCATCAAGCTCCTTCTTTGCCCTTTCATTAATTGTCTGCAGGCCGGAGCTGCTCTTACCAAAGAGGCCACGCTGCTGCCGTTGCTGGCGGAACGAATCGTACGATCGGCGAGCGAACGCTGCGGGTGCAGATGCAGTCGAGTATATGCTGGCGTCATCAGATAACACACTGTTCATCGTGGACACGCTTGCCAATGAAGAAATTGTGACGGTCGACTCATTGAGGTCCCGCCATGATGTCGCATGTGTGCGGCCATAGTCCTGCAATGGAGGATGCCTTGGCGACCGGGCAGGAGCCAGCTCGTAATCTGCCGAGCCCCTTCCCTGGTGAAGCAACGGCTCTGCACTTGGCCCCTGACCCAGTCGCATCTGCGGTCGCTGCGGCAGACTTGCAACTTTCACGTCGACGGCACGTTTCTCCTGTGTTGCCTTGCTGATCTCACGCGCAAGATTCTGGGAAGCCTCCGCGAGGTCCATGAGCAAGTCATCGTGGCTCAGACCGTTCGGTTCTCGCTTGTACTCGCGAACTTTGTCAGAGAGTTGCTCAAGGGAGGGTGCGCTCCTCACAGCTTCCACTCGTGGCGAACCTTGGATGGAGGGCGTCTGCTGTTTGCTTGTGGACCGTCCCTTTCGAGCTCCACGCTTGCGCCGTCGGCCTTGCGATGCAGGTTTGTTCAAACCGTGATCTTGCTCGTGCTCGTGCTCATCATCGGATGACTCTGCATCATCTCGCGTGTCCGAACGCCCGCGACCAGGGAAATGCGACTCGATAGGCGACGACTTAACAGAGCTTGAGCCTGTGCCGCCAGGGTTGAGTGGCCCACCATCTTGAGTGCCAATCAGAACCTCGACGATCTCCTCATCCTCCGCCGACGAGTCATGCGGCTCGTCCAATTTCGCAGGCAGCGTCCAGCCTGGTTCAGCGCTGTTTGGCTCGAGCGGTGGCGAGACCAAGGAATGGACCATTATCATGCTCGAAGAAGCCGAAAGCAGAGAAGAATGAGATCGCGAGTGGTGCAATTGGTTGGTGATGCCCATGGATGCCCCACGCGAGGGTGTCGAGGAGCAAGTGCTATCCACCAAGCCCATGTGCTCATTGAGGTCAGCAGCCCATGCACCGAACTCGGCGGCTGTGGCCCGTTGTGATATCTGCACGTCGCAAAAGATGCGCTGTACCAGGAAGGTAGCCGCCCGTTCGGTGAGCCCGTCGAATGCTTCCCGCAGGAAGCGAACTGGCTCTTCTCGAAAAGCTGCAAATGAAGGGCATCGATCTACCGCTGGTTCCCTGAAGGGGTTGCGGTGGAAGAGCATGTTGAGCAGGACAATCCCGAGGGACCAAACATCCGCCATCTTGGGATCGTATGTCGCCTCGACATCGTTGCGACATTCTGAGCACGCAAGAGCGACACGGGTCAGGATGATGAGCATCGAGCGCGTTTGTCAGCTTGCAACGACTCACCGTACGACATGTAGGGCTTGCTGCCACATTCAAAGTCATCACACCGCTCCTCTGCCGTTGCCAGGCCAAAGTCAGTGAGCTTTACCTTGACTTTGCCATCGCTGTTACGAATGCTGTGATTGAGCGAGACGGACGAAGACAAGTTATTGTTCGCATCGCGCAGCGGACTGCCCCAGCGCATGTCCTCGACGATGAAGTTCTCCGGCTTGAGATCACGATGGCTGATACCGCGGTCATGGCAGAACTGCACAGCGCTGCACATTTGCTGGAACATGCGGCTGATGAGCCGAAGCCTGCGTCGAGAGAGGATGGAAACGCCTGCGGTTGTTGCGAGCAGAGACGGATCCGGCGGCGTCGAGTCCGTCACCGTTGCTGTGTTGGGCTCTGGTTCTAAGTCAGTCACGGAGAAGCTCGCGACGCTACTGTTGCTGCTGCTGCTGCTGCTCGTGTGCATCTCGTCCTGAGCCTGTTCGAGCCAGAAAAAGAGGTCTTGGCCGGGGCAGTACTCGAGGACAAGGAACAGCCAGTCTGGCGTCTCGTACGTTCGGTAGAGAGTGACAATATTCGGATGGGCAGGGATGGATTGGTGGACCGTTGACTCCAGTCGCTGCACCTCGAGCATCTCGGGGGACAGATCGCGCTTGCAGAGACACTTGAGGGCGAACTCCCTGCCGCGTCTCGCCTCGGTCTGCTCCTGCGCTCGTCGCGATGCCAAGGGACTCTCGTCCGCCTTGAGCGTCGAGCCGAATACCCCCTCGGTGAGCGTCACATCACCGGTCTCGCCACCTCCGCCGCCAGCCGAGTGAAATGATGGCAGTCGCGAGATGGGAGCAGCGATAGGCGTAGAACTGAGGGGAGCTGAAGAAGCACCCTCGTTGTCGTCTGACGCCGGGGCAGTGGCAGAGGCATCGACCAGTGCGTCTGCGATCAGCAAGCTACTTGCCCGCCCGCGCTGGCTTCCGTCCTGATCATCGTCGAACACCTCCTTGACCAGGTAAACGCAAGCATAGCTTCCTTCCCCTAGCTTGCCGACCACCTCCAACTTGCTTCCCGTCAGGTCCCCTTCCTGCTCATCAAACCCGGAGGATGTCTGCGCAATGGTGATAATGTGTCCGTCATGATTCATACCGGGACCCAAGCGATCTCCAATTTCGAAGATATCCACGACACCTTCGCCTCCTCCATATCCGCTAGCCGTGCTGTTCCTCCGGCTCATAATATAAGAATCCGTTAAGCTTGATCGCATCATGTCCTCCGCCGAGAGCTCAATGTCGTCTTTGTCGCTGTTGCTATTCCCAACAGAGAACGTCTTATAGAACGACGGCCGCGCACCCCAGTCGGCTGTGCCAGCATTCGGGTAGAGCGCTTGCTGCGCCGCAGAATTGATCTGTGCCTCGAGCTCGTCCGCATAGCGCGAGCTGGCCAGCGAGCTGAGAGTCATCGTCCGGTTGAGCGGGGGGATGGTGGATGACGGCATCTGCGAGTTGAGGTGCCTGGCGACGGCCTCGGCCGTCAGCGCGGATGGCCCTGTGGGCGACCACGTTGAGGTCGAGAGCTTTTCACTACCCTGACGCGATGGCGGCCGATGCACCCCAGGGGCGGCAGTAGAAGCAGCGTGAGGAGAGTTGCCGACGTCATCGTCCTCGTCCTCGGCGATGGGCACCGTGCTGGGCCCTCGACTTCCGCTGATCGATGAGCGATGCGTAGAGGCGATAGAGGGCTCTCGTGGACGCGTCTGTCCGCGCAAAGAAGGTGTGCGCACTCGGTCGTAGTGTGCAATAGGCGATTTCAGCCCGTGACCGCTATTGCGATGCCGAAGATGCGGTGGGCGGTAGATACCCGGGTGAAAAGGCGCAGACAGGTTCGACTGAACGGGCGCAGGAGTTGGCGATTCCGTTCGGGAGACGAAGGATCCACGACGTGAATGCTGGAGGAACTGCGTCGTGGAGCTAGAAGAGGAGGCGCCGTTGTTCAGTTGAACGAATGAACTCCGCCGCGATGAGCCGTTGCTTGATGCGCCCGCAGTGATCATCTGTCCTAATGAGGTTGCTTGCCCCTCCGTAACGTCTGCAAGCGGGCTGAGAGCTCGCTTGCCCATGTGCGGAGAGCTAAGCGGGCTGAGCGAAGACCCAGTCGTCTGTCGAGAATGTGCGCTCGAGATGGCCTGCATGTAATACTTACCTGCAGGGCTCGACGAATTGAGCGACTGCAGATGAGAGGAAAAGGATGGGGACGCTGCCGGACGTTGTTCTAGCAAGCTGCTGGTGAGTGCTGAGCGTAGGCGAGGGCTCGATGAATGCGCCGAAGAACCGGCGGCGGAAGAATGGATCGAGCGTGGGCTACCACCGGTAGCAACGGCCTGCTCCGGCCAGAAGCTCGCATGCGGGAGATGGAAGGGCGTCGTTGGGATGGATGGATTCGCATTACTCAGAGCCGAGCTTGGCAGCGGGGATCCTTCGCCGCTGCTTCCTCCTCGAGACCGCGCGGCTGCACCGCTCAGTGTCAGCGGCTGCAGCTGCACGGCTGGACCATTCTGCGCGCCGGCGGCTGCGCTGGCACCCCTCTCTATGCCATGCCTTCCGTGGGTTGCTTGATCCAAGCTGACCTGCGCGATTTGTGCTTCCAACCTCTGCATGCGAGCTTTGGCATACGGGCTGAGATCTTCGTGATCCATGAATGCTAATGACCGTAGGGACGATCCCAGTTCCCTGTCAATCCTCCTGGGCCCAGGCGAAGGCGGCCTGCATCCTCTGTTGCTGCCGCCTTCCACGCTGGACACCCCAACTTGGCCCCTTCGCGCCCAGTACGCCTCTGTGCTGTTGTCGATCAGGACACTGCGCGAGCCACCGTTGTATCTGGAAGAGTCGGGCCTATCTGAGGAGCGTTGCATGTCTTGACTGGAAGCTGAGTGTGTCGACTGAAGACAATCGAATGGCAGAGCAAGAAGCTGCCGCCCTTGTGGGGATTCCACGCTACAAGTGATTAGAGCCGGTCATTTCCGCATGGTAGGCTGCCAATGCAACAAAAATTGGATGCAAGGAATGGATGTGAAGGCGCCTGCTACAGCCCTCGAAACGAACAGAGCGACGACTCGGCGTCAGTAAGCGCTCGGGACCAGTTAGGATCACCCATAAGGGTACATACACACCGAATTGGGAATGATCGCAGCGTCTGCGTACGACAAAGGCTTGTCCGGCGGCGTGGACCAGAGAGCCGCACAAACGATGAAGGAGACGAGAGCCGAAAGAGAGTGCTCAGGATGGCCAAACAAATGTGGTTCGACGGGGCAAAAAGGACTGCGCAGCAGGCAAGAGGATTTTTAAGGTGCCGAGGAGAGAAATATGTGCTGCGACAAGTGTAACTCGATGCAGGCTTGCTTGGCGCTGTGCTTGTTGGTCCTTTGAGGAATAGTCCGATGGTGGTGTGGTGGTAATGAGTTCTTTTTCCACCACGAACAGGTTGTCAACCCCGCCTACAGATCATTCCATGGCCAGCACGTCCCTGATCCCATCAACAATGGGCAGCCTGTCCCCAGCAGGCAGCATGTGATGGTGATACAGCATAGAAAGCAGCGGACTGCTGGCTGTGGATTGACCGAGAAGATGGTGGAACGAAAGCGTGTGCTGCTCCGTGTTCGCTTTGCTCCAGTTGCTGCCTCTGCGCAGTACAATCACTCCAAATTGCATATTCACCAGAAATCGTGAATCGCAGCGCGAACTGCACTGTGGGGCTGTGCCCCACTCCCAGATCTCCCGCATGCAGCAACAGCGACAAGTCTGCGATGCACTGCACGTGTGCTCGTGTGGGGGGAGGGGGGCAGAGTAGAAAATGGCGAAAAGCAGTCCAAAAAGGCGCCAAGGGCCGCGCGACGAGACGTATGGCCGGCCGACCAACGTGGTTGTGCCTTTGCCAAAGAGTATTCGCTTGCAGTCACCGCGTGGTTCGCCAATTTTGATCTGCTACTTGGTCGGGAAACCAAGTCGGCGGGCTCCACGCTGGTCCATCCACAGGTGCCACAATCCATACACGGACATATCGAAACGGCTGTCGAAGGGTGTCGGCGCAAACGCCAATGAAACTTGGTCCGTTGGCTTCTATTTTCTGCCTCACATCTCTTCTATTTCCTGACATACGGCCAGCGGCCCGGTGCCTTTCTAGCAGCGGCTAGTGAAGCAGAGCGTGTGGGCCTGGCCATTCTCGCTGACCGACTCCGAACTCTGTTGCTAGGCTGCGTCTGCCACTGCTGCGTACGCTGGCTGCCCTAGTGGACCAGCCGTCCGGTCACAGGGCCCTGCCTGCCCCTGCTCATCATAGTGCTCATGCGCTCACTGCTGATGCCTTTTTGTTGTTTGGTCATTAAAGTGTATTTGCCTGTTTGGTCATCCGGTGAATACATACTTTTGACACTGCTCTCCCAGCTTCTCGCACCTTTTGTAGTGCATCGAGAAAACGAAGTACCCGAAGAGACGATCTCGCACCCTGGCGTAAGCTGCTAGAACCTGTCCATGTAGATCAGAACCTATGAAGTTGTGTGGCATTGCCTGCCCACCTGTCGTGCGCAGAGCACAACTGAGGGACCAATCTGTTTTCCCTCTTGAAAGGCAGCATGGACGCCAGCTATGTAGAAGTGATCGTGATGAAAGCTTTCAGCAAGCCTCGTTGATACTTGGCAAGCGTTTGCAACCGAGGAAACGAGAAGGGCCACATCCTGCGCAATCCCAGAACAGAGAGGAGGTCCGGATGAACTATGAATGATACGCGGGATTTGATGTCTCCAAGTACACGGGGGACGGAAGTACGTTCGCATATTTGCAAAGCGAACGCGAGATAAAGGACGAAGATCCAAGCATGGAAGGACCGAGCGTTGCGGGTGCATTCCATCAGAGTGTAGATTGATGTGGATGTGCATGTCAATGTTGTGGCCCTACTAAAGGCAGTAATATTGATGAGCAAGAGGGCGATGAGTTGAAGCGAAGCGAAGTCATATTGCGACGGAAGGCTGTATTGCCCCTTCCACAGGCGGCCGCTGCTAGGCGGTGTGAATTAGGCAAAGCTCGGCACTGCACCCAGATGGGGAGGCTGATTTTGCGACTGCAACCACGTCCTCGCATGATGAGGATGCTGATGCGGATACTGGTGCTGATGCTGGTGCTGATGCCGGTGTTGGTGCTGCTGATACTGATACTGGAGCATGTGCTGCTGCAAAGGAAGAAGATGCGGCGCTTGCTGCTGCTGATGAAGGTAAGAAGGGAAGACACCATTGATCTTGGCAAGCGCAGGGGTGACAAAAGGAAGGATGTTGCCGCTATCCTGGCGCTGATGGCACTGATGCTGATCCTCGTTGAAGGTAACCGGGTACTTAATAGGTAATGAAATGCTGGCAAAGGACGCTGGGGATTGATGATGCTGTTGGATTGGATGCAGATTAAAAGGATGCTTGTTTGTGCTCTGGACTGGTGCCAAATGAAGCGTCTGATGCGGGCCCGGGTGGTTCTGTGCCTGGCGCTGCAGATGCTGACGTGCAAGATTCTCCAAATGAGCTTGAAACCCAGGTTGCATGTAGGCCGGTGCTGCACAAGCACCATAGTTCGAGCCAGAAAGGGAGCCCTGCGAGGCGTTGCTCACGAGCGAGCCACTGCTCGTACCACTGCCGCTGCTGCTCGCACCAGCCGTGATGTTGTACATGAGCGCAGCGGCATTCATGGGATTCTGGACTTCGGCCTCCGCTTCGGTCAGAGCGCGCAGTGCTGCAGCTCGCTGGCGGCGGAGCGCTCGGCCTGCACCGCGACCTCGCGAACGCCTGCCTCGAGCGCGCGCCTTCTTGTCGCCTTGCTGCTCCTCCAATTGCTGTTGGATGGTGCTCCAATCGGTGAAGCTTCCAACGGCTTGTTCGCCAGCTAAGCTCTCTCCCGAGCCGAACGCAGCAGCTGCAGCCTTGTAGAAGCTGGCGGTACCATCTTGCATCGCAGGGCGCATGCCATAAGGCAGCGGCAAGGCAGGGTACTTGGGGGACGACTGGGGTAGGGTCCATCCCTGCTGCATGCTCAAGGACGCCTTTCCACCATGACTATTGCGCTGTCCAGAGATATTGGAAAGCGAGGGTTGCTTTGTGATTGGCTTCGCCATTCCAAGCTTGACGCCGCCGCTGACAACGGACACATTGCCTTTGTCGTAGATCTGCACAGTCTCTTTCTTCGTACCTTGTGGCAAAGGGGCAGACGCAGCACGCGTCATGACAGCGACGTAACCGGGTGGCGCAAGTGTGGCTTTGAAAGCGCCATTGGCTGTTGCGAGCACAGAGGAGATAGCAAGCTGCTGTGGGTTGGCAGGGGTTACGGTGACGTCGCCTGCTTGGTCCATTGAGTCGTCACTCATAAAGTTGAGCAGACCGAGCGAGTTGGCACATTCGACAAGCTCGTCATCGTCAGCCGATATATCGCTGAATCCACAAAGGCTACTGGCTGCGTCTTCATCGTCGCTGCTTCCAGAGTAACTGCTAAGACTGCTGGTCGTGTACGCCGAAAGGGGCTCTGAGAAAGGACTGCTGACGCAGGAGCTGCCGTTCGAAAGGCTGCGCGGTGTCATCAGGTCGGCGGGGGAATGGCTGTGATTCGATGAGCTAGACGTGTTCGTGCGCGTACGTGCAGCTGATGCGGTACAAAGGCTGGACGGTCGCTCGTGCGAACGGAGCATGGTGAGGTTGCGGTCATCGCTGCTGCATAGCTTGACGGGCGCAGGGGTGGAACGAATGGCTTTTGACGGCAGATTGCCCCAAATAACCTTGAATTCGCCGTTAGACGCAGCGAATGGTACGGCGCTTTTGCAATCTTTGCGCATGGACACGCAGCCGGGATCGACCCAAATGATGAAGGCCGTAGGTAATAGCTGCTGCAGTGCGGATATTGGCGATTGTGCTGCGGTGACAGCGGCACGGCAAGCCTGCTGAATGGCTTCATCCGACCCATCACTCGAACCATCAGCGTGCCAAAAGAGCGCGCGTGCAGCTGAGCCACGGTCAGGCTCTTCCGGGTGCCAGATGTTGAGGTAGCGCCGGGTTAGGGACGTGGCCAAGGTGGACCTGAACGCATCTGATGCCGCTTGCGTCCAAGCGAAGCTTGATGATGTGTCTTGTGCAAGTGCTGCGATATAGGCCGTCGCCGCAGCGATTTCTTCCAGCATGATGACGTGCACGAGAGAAATACGACTGCAGGAATGGACTTGGTAGAGGGTCAGGATCCAGTAGTCGAGTGAGGCGCGAAGAGAAGAGCGCAGAACTTACCTCGATTTCATACACTCTTAGTCTATATAGGCCGCAGGTTCTAGTGAAGTAGTCATGCAGCCATGCACATGGCCGGGCCAAGGAGCAGCATCGCAGCCTGCCCACCAGCAGCTATGGGCCAAGGTGTGTAAAAGAGAACCGTCGAGGGTCACGATGCTGCGATTGACTGGCATCTATGCACCTGTTTCATCTTGTCATTGTCGAACGTCTACACATGTACCTATGACCGCACAATCGAAGTGGAATCCATGTCTCCACAGTGGGGCGCTTTGCGCCTTGCGCTTGGCGAGCGGCGTTCGAGCAGCGGACACTGCGACAACGCATGAGAGAGTGGAGACCCGAGACCAATTTCCGCATGCCAGATCTCCCGCCAGTGGTATGTGCGGTGTGCCACTGGCCGGAGATGCCGCCTGCCTGATTGGGGATGTTAGTGGACATCGTCTGGACATCTTCCAGCTTTGGAACAAACTAAAAGAAAAGTTGAGGAGCATGCACTCCGGACTACACAGCGCGAGTTGTGCAGCGGTCGCGAGGCATGTGGGCAGCAAATACACGCACATCGCTCGCACACAACATGGCCCAATTGACACAGACACCATGCACCGGGACGATCGAGCCGATCCAGCTTGGTACATAAGCAATGTCAGTCGAGAGCCGTCGAGAGTGATGCCGCTTTGTGCGAGACATAGAATACGATGGGGTTTTTGTTGGTTGAGCATGTCCCCTTGCAACTTCCGTTTTAGGCTACAGGCGAGGTCAGCGCAACGGTTAGCTGCTCTGTTGTTGACCAGTCGACCAGCTTTCCGCCCAGCGCGACTCTTTGGCTTCTATCGCACTACGCTGCGACGCCGTCACCTAGCGAAATGACCCCCTAACCTGTGCCAGGCGGCTCCTTGCAGCGAGACGATTCCTATTTGATGTTCGTCTCCATTTGTTTACGTGTCTCCCTATTGCACTAGACTCTCTCCACCCATAAACACTCTGCTCTGTTTCTTCCATCATCTCATCACTCTTCCGAACTTCTGGTCTACGGATAGCCCGTATGTACTCTTAAGTACGTATGTACCTACAAACTTGGGACGTACGCTTGTGGATGGAGGTACATACATACATGCCCCGTTTGGCCTTGGATATTGCACATTTGTTCTCCCGCCAGCCGCGCCATCATGTTGTCACATCCCTTTTGTGCGGGCTGCAGCACTCTCATTCCCGGCGCATTGACGCGATGCGATCAGTGACACGAGAGAATTGCATCATCTCATCATCGCAATATCGTTGATCGCGTTTAAGGGAGCAGTCATCAACAAATGTCATTGCGCTTGGACGGATCATCCGAATCAGAGCGATGGCATGCGAAGGAGAGTGGAGCGAGGCCCATTCCTCAATTTCTGGATTGATTCATAGGTCAAGCAGTCAATCGCCAAGCTTCAATATTTCAAGGCTGCCTCAAGTTCCAAGATGTTCAAGCATCAATCTCAAATATAACGGGCTTAAAGAAGAGCTCATCCCCACTTTTTGCACATTGGCTTTGTAACGCAATGGGCCTTGCGGTCTCGCAGCTGCAGAGCACACCGGCGCTGACTGCCGAGGCTGCGCTCGTTCTTTCGGGAAAAGGGAATGTGAACAATATCGATGAAGGAGAGAATCTGGTGACCCAGCTCAGTGCATATTCTGATGAGCTCGGCGTCTCTGTACAGGTCAAATCGCGCGTATAGTACATGCTGAAGAGTCATTGGGTCAGACTTGCAAAGATGGATCAACATACATTTTCATTCAAAAAAGCAAGCAGGCGGAAACGAGAAATGGACAGGTGTGACAATCCTAAAAATGGTATGGTACTAGGTGCGCATGCGAGTATGATGAGGCGAACGGACCTTGGGCAGGAGGGGTATGCGCCCTAAACAATCACGGTTTGCATAGATAGCTCCCCTACCCCTCGCTCGACCATCTTGGAGCTCCCAAGAATGAATAGGCAAGACGTTTTGACAAGTCTGAGTTTGCTGCTTCGAATTGACTGATGATTGTTGGAGGCTTGGCGGATGGCAGTTGTTAATTATCGGTTGCGTATCGGATCTGTGATGGTATTGCGAGCCCAGCTATGCGATGCGATTGGACGTTAGTTACCCGCGGCGATCGAAAAGCCCGTCTCAGGCCCGCTCGTGACGACGCCGTTGGTGGAGTTCGAGAGGTTGCCGTTCGGCTTTGAGCTTACTCGGCCTGAGGTCGGAAGGTTACCGACGTTCTTCGGCTCTGGCTGGTTCGAAGATACAATGCTGAACGCAGGGGAGTGCCAGTCAGGGCGGCCGGCCTGTTCAGCCTTGGCAGCGTCTGAGCGCTCGTCGATGCGGTTGACCCAGCCGCTCTTGTCACCCATGTTGGGCAGGATCGAGTTCCTCTTGCTGGTTGCCAGCTTAAAGGTACCTTTCTTCTTTGTCAGAGCATCGTCAGAGCCGACCTTCTGCTTCGCCACGTCGACTGCACTGGTCTCCGGATCCTGTTTGGATGCATCGAGTTGGTTGAACAGATCAACGAGCTCGACGTCCGCCTTCTCCAGCCCCTCAGTGATACCGCGCTCGATCGCATTCTTGATCTGCTTCTTGATCAACGACGACGCAAGCGGCTTGAAGATCTTGATGAGCAGGTCGTGCTTGCTGTGACGGATGGCAAAGTCCATGCGGTGGACATTCGCTTTAACCTGCTTGACGGTGAAGACATGCCTTCTCTGCTTGCCCTTCGGCACGCTGGAAGCCTCGAGGAGAACGGTGACGGTGAGGCCCTTGCCGCCAACAAGGATGTCGGCGACACCTTGGTCCTTCATCTTGGGGAAGCCAGACTTCTTGCGGATGGCGAAGTGGATGTCGCGCATGTCCGTTTGAATCTGGCTGAGCGTGATCTTGAACGAGTGCCGGTGGACATCGCCGAGCTTGTTGAACCGCGACATCTTGAAGTAGTTGCGAGCGTCAATCTCCACAATGTTAGGCAAGAGGTTGGCAGCGTCGAGAGTGAGGTTCTCGATGACAACGTCGACGGCCTCGTCGCTGTACTCGATACGAGGAATAGGAATTAGACCGATGTGGCTCATAAGCTCGGGCAGGATAGGGTCGCGAACGTCCTTCCAGAGATGAGACTTAAAGGTTGCCTTGCCCTCTGCGTCGAGAAACAGGTCTTGGGTAAGACGTTTCCAGTCCTCGCCGAACTTTTTGTTGAGCGGGTCATTTCCCATGGCAAGGAAGAAGCTCTGAATCTCGTCAAAGAGCTGTGTGCAAATGTAAGCAAGTCAGCGGCAGCCGAAAGAAGATGATGCAACGCTTTTGTACACACCCTATCTTTGTGAGCGACATACTTGCCCTGCTCACGGCCATCGGCGGCGACGAAGAACTTCTTACCGGACTCGACGAGCTGACGAGCCTGCGTGTTGGCTTCATCCTTCATGATGAAGCCGGGCAATTGGAGACAGCTCCTTAAGAATTTGTCGAGCTTGCTGAACCAGTCCTTGAGCTCAGGGTCATTCCTGACGTCAGTGTAGATCTGGTCTATGGCGTCGACCATGGGCTGCGTAGATTTTCCATTGGCGAAACGCTCGATCAAGGTGCGGAAAGTCGCCTCGGCAGTCTGGACGTTGCCTTCAGCGCGAGCGTTGGTTGCGCTGCTCTCCACCTGGGCGGCGATTGACTTGGCGTGGCCGGTGTAGTGCTCAAAGGCAGTCAAAAAGAATTCCATCGCGTCTTGGTACTCGTGGTGACGCTGGCATTCGACCACAACCTTCTTGAGACGGTAGATGAACTGGTCCCGGCGCGCCTTGGGGAACTTCTCCTTGACATAATTCTTGGTCTTCTCGGTGTGCTCTTCGATCACCTGCTTGCGGTTTTCGGGGATCTTGTCCAAAGTGCTGGCCTTGACAGCGCCCAGGATGTTGTTCACGTTCTCCTTGACGGGTGCATTAAGGTCGGTGGCCTTGTCTGCAGCCTCTGTGCCGTCTTCCTTGGCCTTATCAGCGGCTTCAGGCAGCTTCTTAACCTTCTTGAACGTCTGAGGAATGTCTTCGTGGAAGTGGTTGTCGGGTGCAGGGTGGTCGACCTTGGCCAGCTTCTCCTCTTCCGGGCGAGCAATGTCGGCGGCCTTGGAGGCAGCATCGGCGAAGACGTCTCGTCCAATGAGTGCAAAGTCGTTGAACAGCTTGCGCAGCTCGCCGTTGCGCAAGAAGAGCTTGATGAGCGAGCGCAATGCCTTTCCAGCGGTCTCGGCATCATTTTGGGCGTCCTCCTTGGCGACTGGAGCCTTGACACCGACGCGGTCGGTGACATCGGCTTTGCGAGAAGCGAAGAGGAACTTCTGGAATTCCTCGTGCGAGTTCTTCTGCAGCACCATCTGGCGTGCGGTCTCGATGATTTCGCGCACATCGGCGATCAGGCGCTGACCATCAGGTGACAGCTTGGAGACGTCTATTGGGCTTTGCTGGATGGTGTACCTGAGTGCATTCTAGGCGAGCGAAAATGTCAAAGGTTAGGTATAACGAATGCCAAGCCAGCGCACCGTTTTCCAGGTATTAACTCACATCAATTTGCTCATTGTCTGGGTAGCGCCCCTCGCGGAAGGCCTGCAGAACGCCGTAGAAGCGCATCTTGCGGTCGACGTCCGCCGCCTTCTGCTTGGGGTCGACAGCCTTGGTGACAGCATTCTTGTCGGGTGACTCAGAGATCTGTGACGTGGCCAGTGCGACCTGTGACATGATGAGTACGGTTCGTGCCCGTCTCCTTGGACGAATTGTTTGAAAAGCTCAAAGCTTAAGGCATATGAAACGTGCGGGTATCTCTGGTCACACTTTCTTGCACTTGGTGTGGGGAATGCAAGTCGATGAAAAGTTCGGAAACAGGCGTTTGACTTTTATACAGGAAGGGGGGTTCAGTCGATGTGGAACCCCATTGCGATGGCCATTGCCATGGTGACTGGCTTGCTCTGCATTAAGTGCAACTTTTATCCATTCACAAACAGCAACTTTTGCTCGCCGCTGATTTGTCTTCGCGCCGTGACCGAGTATAGACGCTGGTGGATGGCATAGCATGGCTCTGGCGATTATGGACTGCATCTGAAATTTCGGGACGTATTGGGTATCCCCACTAGACATATGACGTAGTAGCGCATTTTCGCTTTCCGCTACTCTCGCTATGCGCAACTTTTTGAGTGAATCTAGGTTCAGTAGGCGCGAGCCGGGTCACCTTGCTCAGAAAACCGATGCAAGTCCGCCGGTCTCTCTTTTGGTCAAAATCTACACGCCCCACGTGATTGACAACTTGTGATGCGTGCAACATCTCGCAGCTGTAGGCGTAATAAATAACTGATGTGAGGTGGTCGTGAAAGGACGGTTTGAAAAAACGTCCTGCCGAGCATAGACAAGACGCCACCTCATCAGCAGGTGTGGAGCAGAAGCCGGCGGCGAGTGACACAGCCTCGGACGATCGCACAATAATACCTTTGCACCAGGCGGCCCCCAGGGCGGATGCGTCGGCTTGAATTCGGTCATATGTACGGTATGCAGCTTTCATGGAAGGTCTGATCAAGGTGTTGCAATGTTGAGGACTACCAGGGAGGTTTAATTTGCTCCGGAGACTATGCAAAGAAGCGAGCGGCTCCGGAGCTTTACACAAAAGTTGATGAAACATTCGCCGCCAGCCTATGCATGGATTCGTGATGACTTGCAGGGGTTGAATATGTTGTCAGCTGGTAAAATATCGAAAGTTGATATTGATGAGAACCGCGTACGGACAGCCTATGGCATCAAGACCTTTTGTGCAGACTGTGGCAGCAATAGGAGAAGGCATGACGGCGGGCGCTCTCCTGGTGCCAATTCAACTCAAAGGTACTCTTGCGTGGCTATCTAAAACCCAAACCGCTCAGATATTCCGGACCCAACGAATTGCCTCTCCAGTTGTCCGTCTCCGCTCCCTATGATGTGCTGATTGTTCACCTACGAGTTCATTCACTGTTTACGAGCATTCTCAATCTCCATGAGTTCCTTTTTGCGGAATGCGCGCTCAAGCGAAGCGCGGCAGCACAATAGGCGAATCGTGAAGTCGGACACATGGATAGGTGACGAGGGTCCACTCGTATGCGAACCCTCAACTGTCTTATCCTTACATTAACCCTTGAATGCTGTCAGATACGCAACTGCTGAACAGCCTCTTTCGCACTCTACGCAAGTTCACATTCGGGATATTTGACAATGAAGAAAATGCGATAATGTCCGTCTCCATGGCGTTGCTACTCATTTATTGTCCGATAGATCTACTAGCGTCATGTATACGACGCAATCGCGCTCGGCAGTGAATTCAGCACCATGGCTCCTCAGGGCAACATGCAGAGCACTACAGCGCAAGCTGAGCAGGCTTCGGGTAAGACGAAAGCTTTGACAGACCCGAGCCTTGAGTCGCTAGTGGCGCAAGCCTAGCAAGATGTAGCCGAGGAAGGTTTATCTGATGCTACTTGCGTCATTGAGCCGATGGAGAAGGGTGGCCATCAGCTAGGTGGGCAAGAAGTCGTTCCTGGAGGGACTAAATGACGGCATTCTTTCAAGTCCACTCAATCCTCAGCCACCGAAGAAACAGTCATGAATGAGCCCTTCATTCCAAGGAATGCAAAAGCCCCACTCGTTCACATTGAAGCAGCCAAAGATGCCAATTTCACCGAACAGGTCAAAGGCACAGCAAGTACTTTGCAGGTAGGATCACCAATAATGACAAGGAAATGACACAAGGCGCTGCAAAGCTCCGAGCGAGCTCTAAAGACGTGGGCAGTTGCATCGCTTTGTGCAACCGGGTGCAATGTTCCGAAGGCAGGTTAAGGTGAAGCGACTGTATATCAGCTTTCAAGGCGCACATCAGCGCTGCCGAGCAGCATGCTCAAGTGAAGATGGGGATCGACGGAGCAAGAGATCGGTCCAGCATGTAGGTTGGGAGCGATCGTCATCCTCATTGCTTACGCAGTTGTAAATGCTCCAGGATTTACTCGAGAATCTTCTTATCCACCACCTTGCCCTGCTCGTCAATCTTGTAGACGATGGGTACGCCAGTGGCAAGCTCCGTGTTGACAATTTCCTCGCCAGACCTACGAAGACGAATATTCAGCTTCTGCTCGTGAGAGAATGCACAACAATGCGCGACTCACATGCCCTCCAGCTCCTTGATCATGGAACGCAAGGAGTTTCCGTGGGCAGTGACCAGAACCGACTTGCCCTTGAGGACTTCGGGCTTGATCTTCGCCTCATAGTACGGGAGAACACGCTTGCCAGTCAGCTCCAGCGACTCGCCCCCGGGAGGGGGGACATCGTAGGAGCGGCGCCAGATGTGCACCTGCTCCTCGCCGAACTTCTTCCTGGCGTCATCTTTGTTGAGACCAGTGAGCTCGCCGTAGTCTCGTTCGTTGAGCGCCTGGTCCTGGGTGACTGGGATGCCCTCCTGGTCGATCTCCTTGAGCTGGATCGCAAGCGTGGTCTGCGCGCGTTGGAGAGCCGAGGTGAACGCCATGTCAAAGTGGGTGTAACCTCCCTCCTTGAGGTTCTTGGCTCCCTTGAGCGCCTCCTCCTTTCCCAAGTCGGTCAGCGCCGGGTCTTTCCAGCCGGTGAACTGTGGGTAACGCAAGGTAGTCTTATGAGCAGCTAAATTCTGGCTGCACATAAATTCGGCACGCACCAAGTTAAGCTTGTTCCACTCGGACTGGCCGTGGCGAGTGAGGACAAGAGTTCTGCAAGGTCGCCGAAAACATAGATCCGTACAGGTCAGGATCCGTATCACATTAACGTCAGAAATTGAGAAATAGACGGCGAAGAGTGTGACCGGCCCTCCGACCTGACGCGCTTCGCGCCACTCACCCGACCATCTTGAGCTGAGTATATATTCGTGTGTATGTAACTGTCTATGGGATCCGTGCTGATGGAGAGAATGCATGAAAAGGAATCGCTCTTAGTCCCACCTCAAGGAACAATAGTGAGAAGAACACGGTGAGAGGCTGCGAACTTTGGAAACGATGGCGAGCGCTGAAGCAGAGAGAAGCGGTATGTGTTGGTTGGGTATAACTCCTCACGGGCTTGGCACGCACTCTCTCGCTCTCACTCTCTCTTTTTTTCTGCCTGTGGGATTGAATCAAATCGCTGCACTGCATTCTGGGGACATTGAGATTGGGGTTGGCCCGAGCGTATCAATATATATCACGTGACTATCTCGAAGTACGTCTCCTGATGTTCTCCAACCCAATCACGGCTGCAATTGACGTGTCCACCCTTCGCGTCTTTCTCCTCGGCAAATCTGGAAGTTCTTACATCCAACTCACGTCGTTATCGGTACTCTGTTTCCGAGAAGGGTTCGAGCTGCGAATCAGCAGCCATATTCTGCACATTGCAAGACAACTGGACAGCCGTGAGTGCGTCAACAGGCGTCGCAATGGTAGAACGCAGCCAGCTTCATGCTCGACTGACGGTGTATCGTGCATCCCTTCGTCGTCACCAATGTCGCTGAATCACGAGGAGATGCTGACTGGGACGGGTTATTCTCCGTATGTTTTCTGGACGCACAAACTGCGTCTTCGAAGTGCTTTGCGCTGTGACTCTAAAAGACAGTGTCCCTTGCGGGCGACGGATGTATATATGAAAGGCCGAACGATTATCCTGCATCTTGTCTCCTCCTTGATCGCACTCTGATCAACAAATCATTCGTCCCAACAATAATCAGACGACAGAGACTAGTCTTCTGCTCAATCTCTTCCAATATGTCTACTATCCCAGAGCAAATGAAGGCGGCATGCCCCACCAACGTCAAGAAGCCGATGGGGGTCAAAGCGATCCCAGCGACAAAGGGCCGTAAGGATAGCGAACTGCTGCTAAAGATCGTGGCCGCAGGATGGTGCCACACGGATATACACGTGTCAGAAGGTACCTAAAATACGGCAGAGCCTTCCCCAGCATGCTCGGCGAGTGTGTGCAAGTAGCCGGATACTAGATACAGGCAACAGCAGTTCACCTGTCCCATCTCAAGCAATGCTCACACGAACCATTCGGAGCCATTGCGGTCATGGGCCCAAACGCGTCTCGGTATTCAATATTCCAAGGCACTGGGTCGTAACGTCGTCGCCATTGATAACCGCCAAGAAGGTATCGACTCGGCCAACCGTGTTCCGTCTCACCTCAACCGGGCAAGACCTGCATGGTAGACAGCAATGAGGCAATGAAAAAGGTTGGCGACGAGCTCGGCTCAAGCTTCTACGACACCAGTCCAGGCGTCGGCCGTCGTAATCAACGTCAAAGCAGGCTTCCTCCCAAGCTGCGCGCAAAACCTCCTGTGCAACGGAAGTTTCCCTGTCGATGCCGGCCTGTCTTCATTCAACAGATTGGAGGTTCATCCCTTCGCTTTAAAGTTCAAGAGGCAACACATCCGAGACAGGCTGACCTGCACACCATGTGAGGCCATCCTCGCCACTCGGAAGGGTTCACTTTACACTTAAAGTTCGCCAAGCGCTAATGTCTATGCTTCCTCGCTCTCGCTTGTGAGAAGATAAAGTCAAGGAGCTGCTCGATCTGTACGCGAGCCAAAGGTGCACAACCCATGTCGAGACGACGTATAAGATCGACCAGAGCAACGACATGATCGAGCATTACAAGAGTAGTAATGTTAAGGCTCGCCTGTGCATGGTCTTTGTAATGGACCACCCCCGCAGGACGTTGCATGATCTTCCGGTGACACGCACAACTGAGCCGAGACGTACATCTCTACAAAAAGTCTGACGACTCCATTAGCCACGTACGCGAGTTCAAGATGTGGAGCGCTTCGCTACATTACCTTGTATCCAATTGCCCATCCACTGCAATGGAATCGACAACTTGTCCACTATGTTACATCACCTGTGCTACATCCTAGATGTGTACCTCTTCGAGTTGCTGTCTTCTGCGCGCCCTCGACTTGGCCACTTCGCATCCCTTCCGCAATAAATTGCATAATGGTTGGTCTCAACACCACTCCACACCACACCGTCGCGCCGGAGCCTCGTTCCGAGGTGCCTGCCGGCTTGGCGAGATTGCGACAGTGCCACTTTCGCAAAGCAAAGCCCCTCGGAGGGTCCCGAAGGGACGAGATCACACAAGGCGATTAAAACTGTGACTTCCAGATTGGATTCTTACACTCTCACAGCATGGAGCTTGCATGTCGGACTCTTCAGTGGGGAAATTAGAAAAGGATGCGGAGACGCGCCACGGAAGTTAGATGCACACGGGTGATGATGAAGATGGTGGTGGTGCGGTGACCGGAGAACAAGTACCCCGAGGCGTGATAGATAGCCAACAAAGAGCTGTGCCGATCTGTGCTTGTTGGACGCGCCACCATCAGTGCCATGTGTGACGTCACAACCACCAAGCCGCCGAGAGTTAGCATTTTCACAGCCATTGTGGCCCTGCGCGCTCTAGTAGCTGTTCGACTGGATCGTGAGATCCACGGCATGGCGTTACACTGCAATTAAAAGAGGGCGCTTACAATTTGGACAGCGCCAGAACAGTGTAACCTCGCCGGTGCAGTGAGCTCTGTGTTCTGGAGCCCAGCCGCGCTGCTGGAGCGGCACTCAACGTATTTTACCGCTGTGACCCCTGTTCATCACTTTTCTACGCTTCTCTCGCACCACCAACTTGGGGTTGGCACAGCCCACAGCACTGCAACGGCATCATCGCACATCCATCGTTCTTCCTATCACACACCTTGAAGGGGTTTTTTTTTGCTAATGAAGCGCTTGTTGCGCTCTTGCACAGTTCCGATTTTGGGTGAAGACGTTTGGCTGCGCCGCCACACAGAGAGCTCGTCAAATCCTGAGTTTGGAATTCCCACTGGCGACTTCGACTTTGGCTGACTGTTGCTGGAGTTCCTCTGACGTGTGCCATCAATGCTAGCCGCCTCTCTCCTCTCTCTGCTGCGTTTGCGTACACAGTGCTGTTTTTGAGGCCAGGCAGGTTGTCTTCATTAAAAAGGCATCCTCCGTTTCTGCATTCTCTTCCCACCCCCTCTCCGTCAGATATAATTCTGAATCCTGCCACCGCCTTATTTCTGCGAGAATCGAAAACGAAGCTACAGGGAGAGCTAGCTAGCCTCCAACCTGATTACCAAACGACACTCGAATCCAAACCAACGTGTGCTAGGAGATCAGCAATCAACACAAAAATGGCGCGCGGATTCTGCGTTGGACTCGGTGCGTCATCAACATTTTGAGGGAAACCCTGCATCCCTTGCAGCCTTCTGTACTGACAAATCTAACCACGATGTCAATTCTGGTCAAATAGGGGAGTTCCTCACGTTTGCAGCGATGGTTCTGGCCATTTTGGTAAACATTGGCCAAATTTCGCGTGAGCACCTCAATAGGTCGCCCCCCCTTCACCACCCTCAGGGATAGCAGAACTTATCTTTCACATTTCCCTCTTCTCGCAGAGAACACTGTTGCGAGGCACTTTTACCTAGTTTCGGCTGACCTGACTGGTCTGCAAAACTCGCTGACGACCAACGCGGCAGCGACAAATGTGCAAGCGCATGACATCTACGCGACCGACCAGGCCTCCCCATTGCTTCAGAACAATGGTCTGCGACAATACTACTACTGGGGCATGTACAGCGTCTGTGGAGGAGAGGGTGTCGGGGGCGCGCGGTCCTGCTCTCCAAATGAGTTTGTCCACCGCTTTGAGCCTCTGGACGTACTGGAGGCGGACCAGAGCAAGAACTCTGGTTTCAATATCAGCACCGTCCTTCCTAGCGGCACGATCCAGGATAACGCGTACCTTGGTAAATTCTCCAACGGCGCTAGTATCATTCTGCTTGCCGGGACAATAGCCGCAGGTCTGGCCTTCCTCGTCAGCTTCCTCGCTCACCACTTCGCCTTCCTCATCTCGGCCCTTCTCGCGCTTCTCGCTGCTGTCTGCCTTGCCGTTGCAGCTGCTATCTGGACCGCGCTTGTTGCGAAGGTGCGGTCATCTCTTACGAGCGTCAACATTGGCCTTGTCGTCCACTACGGCCAGTCCATCTGGCTCACCTGGGGCGCTGCTGGCGCATGCCTCCTCGCATTTGTTCCTCTCGTCCTCTCCTGCTGCACTGCCAGGTCCAAGTACTAGAGTCAATCAGCGGACAAAGAGGGATTATTGGAAGTCAATCCGGCTTGACTTCATCGCTCGCACCATTCTCCACCTTCACAACTTTATTTACGACACGATAATTTGCTGATACTTCCCTCTGCTGGCGGAATATGACGCACCTGCTGAAACGGCGCGACGAAAATCATGCAGATCGAATTAAGTAAAGCCCACGGCCTCAAGTCTCACCGTATTTTTGACTTTGGTTGTTATTCTGGTCATGCTTCCAGCGCACGCGATCCTTGTGGTTAGGCTCGGTAGCAACATTTCCCAATACCCCACTGTTTGCATTCACGCAAGAATGAAAGGAGAGCGAGTTGCATCTTATAATTGTTAGAATTCCTGAAGTAAATATATTAAAATAGGTCCAGGAGCGAGGCTGAAGCAGGTTTGCTATAGTGTCACTTGATCAAGCCTTTGCACTTTTCTTATCTTCAAGGTCGGCTAGCCAGAGCTTGACGCGCCTCCAGACAACCTTGCTTTCGGGGATGAGGGCCGGGTTGGTGCCCATGTCGTGGTGCATGCCAGGCGACACGAGCCATTCGGCGTCGACGCCGGCCTGCCTAGCCTTGTCGAGGAACATCCTTCCTTCGTCCAGCAGCGTCTCTGCGCCGCCAGCATGCACGAACAGCGGCGGAAGCTCAGCGAACTCATCCGGCTCCATGTGAACCGGACTGAGCCACGCGTCCTTCGTGGAGATGGGGAGCGACTTGATGTACTGCGGTCCTATGCCAAGACAGTCGGTGCCCCAATTGGAATACGCGGCGGTGATGATGTCGTACTTGAGGTTCACCGCTCGACTGGCGAAATCCTCGTTCTCGATTGTTACCCAGGGAGATAGGAGCAACAGGCCGGGCTGCTTGCCAGATTGGCCCTTGGTGAGCTCCGCAGGAAGGTGGGACCAGACGTCGCGCATCCAGCGGTTGAAGAGGACCGTAGTGAAGCCTCCGTACGAGTCGCCGCCAACGTACACCTGTGACGAGTCGTAGCCGAGATCGCGTGTGAGATAGAGCCAAGCGCCCAGAGTCTGCAAGACCGTGGTCGGGTACCTGGCATATGGAGCCAGGTCGTAGTCCACAGCTACAAAACGAATTGAAATGACATGTTAGTGAGGGCGGCTCGTGCTCGAGTGGAACATGGCTCACGTAGCAACTATTCACATAATATATCGACATTGGCTGTCCGCGCGAGGTTCTTCGCGAGCGTGTCTCCCATGAACATGTCACCAGCTGCGAAGGAGACTCCAGCACCGCCGTCTTTGTGTAACCGGCAGTCCGGAGGGGTTCAGTTGAGCTATGACAGCCGGATATGAAATCAGGTCCCCAGCCATGTACTTACGGATGTACAGAAGGACAGGACGTTTCCTCTTCTCATTGTCACCCGGATTAGGAGGCATGATTCCGGGACTACGCATGTACCAGAAAGCCCTGCACCTCGCCTTTGCCCAGTAGGGCTGAATCAGAGGCCTGCCAACGTACCTCGGGCTCGAGACAACCTGATCCACCTTGTTCGGCACGTTCACGCTGAGGATACCACGAAGCATCTCTGGCGGCGGGGGGTTGAACCAGACACGGTCGAGGCGCTTGGCCTTGATCTTGAGGCGTTGTTGGGTCTTGTTGTCGGCCATTATGGACACACCAGCAGAAGAGAACGAAATGGCTTGGAGCAGTGGAGCTAGACGGGAAGTTTCCCGCCATCCATTCTCCTTATTAGGGATGGGCGAGAAGCGAATGAGGCCCATGCAGATGATGGCGATGCGGACGAGCTCAGTAAATACGCCAACCTTAAAGCTCCAGAGAGGGTGCCGACGCAGGAATGGGAAGATGTTCTTGAGAATAATGAACGGAGCTGTTGTGAGGACGACCGGGGTGGTGAAGGCATGTTGGAGGATCAGTCGCAGGAGGGGTAGCCAAAAGTGGCGCCGCGGGATTCTAGCGTTGCGCGCAGCCGCAACCGCCAGCAGGTCCAGCTCGGACAATTTCGATTCGGAAGCCATAATGATAATAACCGGCCGCTTTTGAGGCAAGGCGTGGCATACGGAGGTGTCGGCGAGTAGCGACGCGGCCGGTGGCAGAGAGAGAGCTGTGCACGGGGTGTCGACCGTGGATGCCTCACTGCGACTCACTTGCAGATGCGCATGCGTGGAGCCTGGAGACCCGATTGCGACAGAAGATTGAAGCTTTGCTTTGAAGAGGATGACGCCAGGGGATGAGATACCAATCACCGTACAATCGGATAGTGTGTATTGTGCACATCCAAGAGAGAACTCGAAAGTGTGGGGACAGTCGAACAGCCGACAGCTTGCCGGCAGGCGATGTGTGGCCTGTGAGCCTCGTGAAAGCCCCGCCGGCCGCCAAAGACGTCGAGAGACCCCTGGGTGCATAACCCTAGTTGGGGACAGCGCTGTTTGCGTTTGTGGTGACTTCCCCGCAATTGTGTCTGACACCGATGCTAACTTTGACTTGGAGTTCAGAACTAGGCGATGTTAGCTGTCTAAATAATAAGTGATAGTGCGGGTTGCGGATCGGATGAGCGAGAGACGACGGCCGAGGGTCTAGTCTTTGGTCCATCCGACTTCCCTGTCTGCACCATCTCTCCATTACTCTGCTCTTGAAGCGACCCACATCTAATATGTAGGTGTAGGTGGATTCCCAAGCTGATGGCTGATCATGTGAGGAGTAACCGCCAACGACTGGTATTGCCATGCTGTGAGCTGATGGACTTGCAAATAGGTTGCCACACCATAAATAGATTGCGGACTTGACTTTATTAATGATCAGGACTTGCAGCGGGCTAGGCATACTGGCGATGAGCTGACAGGTGGACAGTCAGAGAAGACTCAAAAGGGCATCCATCATATGTGAGCGGAGCTCACAACGCTGCTTGAAACCCGACGTGGGGGGAACTTGTTGCTGACTTGACCGCGATTTGAACTCGCAACGCGTATTCACCGTCTCGTTTCACAATCGAAACATGAATTGCCATTGAACATCCACAAGGTAGCAACATCATCCTTGATCGCCTTCTGCTGTGCGAAAAGCCGAACAACGCATCGACGGCGCCATCCCGCTGGTAGTAGGGAATCTATCGCTGCAGAAGTCCATTGCTCAATCGGCGCGGGAGAACTTCATGTGCAACCGATGGACACCAGATCATTAGAAGGGTCTGAGCCGTCAGCTGCCACCCATGCGGCCAGCTGGGCTCAGCTGTGCCAGCCTTCATCGACAGCAGCGCAGCTCTCGTCTGCTTCTGTGTCTTTTAACAGCCTGCAGCTGAATGTACCTGCCCTGCCTACCACTTTCCCTTCAGCAGGCATCTGGACCAAATCACCAGAGACATCGACGCAGGCGACGACGAGCCCTAATGTCACAGAGCAGGCCCCTCCCCTTCCCATCAATCGCTTGACTCCTTCTTGCTCGCGCTGCCGCATCAAAAAGCTGCGCTGCGATCGGAAGCAGCCATGCGGGCATTGCATCGCCCGAGGCCTGGAGGCCGGGTGCCACAAGGATGAACGGTTGCAGAGAAAATCGACCAAGAACTTGGGAGTGCTCCCCACAAAGGCGAGTCGGTCAGGGGAGACGAAGCAATGCGCAGAAGGGACTTCGCAGCAGCAGAGTATGGCAAAGAACGTGGCGGCAGTCAAGACGGCCGAGAACGCAAAAGCAATTGCGAGAGGGAAACAAGGGGACATTATCACCGTAGAGGCTGCGAGAGAAGGCGCCGAACTCGAGGCGGCAGATGCAGAGATCCATCGACTCCGCGCTCGCGTTGCCGAGCTTGAGCAGGCGGCGCTCAAGCCATCGGGCCAGTTTCCGCCTGGCTCATTTGCATCGACAGTGACGTATTGTCCCCAGCTCGCTGGCTCATCGTCCGCCGGGAGGGCTTCTGTACCTTCCTGGCCGCCATCAACGAATGCGACTTCATCAGTGCCTAGCTCGGTGGAGGACTCTTTTAAGTCGTCGAAGAGCCGGAGGCTGGCATACGACAGAAGTCAGCCGGGTGCGAGGTCTCCTTTCGCCAACGCCGCGCCGCTGTTGCTGTCGCCTAGCCCGGTGGAAGCGGCTGCGGTCGCGCTTGAGTCCTTTGTTGCACCCGGGTCTATGGCTGCGCTAGAGCCTCCATTGGGCGCAGAATGGATCACTCCCTTCAAGTCGCTCGTGTCAAGCGCAGGACCCGATGCACGCTTCATCCCGCGCAGCGTTCACGCCAACAGCACCGTTGCCGATGATCAGCTCCACCCATACTGGTGCCCTTCCTCGGCATCTATGCCGCACCTAGAACGCCAGACGAGACGTCAAGAGCTGATTCAGTTACTCAAGAGGACCAAGGCGTCGCTGCCTTTTGTGCAAATTGAAACTGAGCTTCTCTTGGTTTTCGTGAGTGCTCCCTTATTTTTTATCGGTTTATAATTCTCGGCCGCTAACTTCTAATGTTTTGAAATCTGCCGTGCCAGCGTATTCGCGTCAACCATATCATCGGGCATTGTATCTATGTTCCACGGCTGCGACAGGATCTCGCCGACGTTCGACAATTGTCGGTACATGCATTAGCAGCGTCCCCCTATGGTCAAGACCCGAGTCGCCTGGCGCTCATTTGCATGATTGTGAGTCGTTCATTGCACAGAGAAGAATCGCACGGAAATGCTGACAACCGAGAGCTTGATGCAACAGCTCGCTGTGTCTTTCCGGATCTACCCGGTGAATAAGCCAGGAATTCTGACAGACGAAGCAGCCTTCAACGCCATCTCCTCGCTCAAACTACAAGGGCAAGATGCGTCGCTCAAGTGGCACTCTCTTGCCTTGGAATGCCTCGCCTTTGACAAGGTCTGGGAGTTTGTCTCACTCGCTGGTCTCCAGGCTGCAAGTCTGCTGTATCTCTACTCACAAGATTCTCAAGAATTCTTGCAGGTGGTTCATCGGTCAGCCATTCAAAGCGCGATTCACATGGGCCTGAATCGGCTGCCGGCAATTGCAGCAGAAGGGGGTCCAGGCGAAGCGTTGCAGGATCGAGTTCAGAATTTTTTGCGGAGAGAGCTAGGAGTCAGGATCTGGTGGAATCTTACTGTGAAAGACTGGTGCAACGCCGCACGGACGTACACATGCGCGATCGATGAGGACCAAGTAACAACCCGCTGGCCGCTGGACGTGTCGGACGCCAACATTCAAGCCTACCTCGACGGACGCAGTGACAACGTTCGCATGAACACACTCTCCCATCTCGAAGAATACAACGAGATGAGCTTCGTCTTTGCCCAGCTTGAGCTCGCCTTCATCTCCAAAGCATCAGTCGATCTCATGAACAAGCAATTCCAACAAGGCCAAGCAAGACTCGTGTGGAACGACGAGAACAAGGCAAATATCGATGCGCAGCTGACTGCATACATGCGCCGCTTGCCGCACTACTTTAAGCCTGAAAGTACAGCCGTCTCACCTCCGCCCATGGTCATTCAACGCTGGCTCATCAATCAGCAGGTCTTTGACGTCATGCTCAAGCTTCATCGCTCAAAGCTTTCGACCCCAAATGGCAGGGCCTCATGCCTTGCACTGGCTCACAGCATCCTTAGCTCTCACAAGGTGTGTTCTTCGTCATGCACGTGTCGAACATTCCCTTAAATACTCACTCGCATGTCTTGATTTACTGCTGTAGCGGGTCAGGAAAGCTTGCCCCATCATCGACCACTTTTCCATCAATGATCTGCATCTGCTTGGCGCCACACTAGTCATCATGATCGACCTCCGCCTTTCCGACGTTGGGACCAGCGAACGTCGTGATATTGTGGAAAAGGTTCGAGAGGTGTACCGATCGCTTCAGGCTTCCGACAAGTCCTCAACGCGCGCTCTCGCCATTGTACGGACCTTGCTGGCGGAAGAAGAGCGACACAGCCAGGCGATGGAGGCAGGACCCTCACCGCCACGCTCGCTGGCTGAAAAGCACGCCGATGTGCTCGAGCTGGCGAATCGTACGGTCAAAGAAGCGGTCAAGTCTCAGTCGGCAGGACAATCAGACGGTAGCCTGCTGGAGGTCTCGCAGATAACACTTGGTGTTCTTCCGATGGTGTGCGCGCCATGGGGTCCGCCGTGGCCACCGCGTACAAATTCTGAGGAGCGCGACGAGGACATTGACATCATCCAAACATTGCCACAACTCGCATCGTCGTCGGTTTCTGGATTGTCTCCGTTACCCATGCTCCAGCAACCAGCCACGACTGCTGCTGCCATGGCCACGGCCACACCAGACCAACTGTTCGATTGGCTCTTGGCCGGCGAAAGACTCCCCGCTCCGCAACTTTGATGGAAGACGGCTCCGGATCATTCTCGGTACTTGGCTTGCTCGAACAGTGTTTACGAAGCCATAGAGATATGCTGTAACAACAGATGTCACCGCACAACGATACCTCATCTTATTACGTCGCATCCCGTTCAAATTGCATTGAATTCGATCTGACACATCCATTGTCCACCACAGGTGAGATAGAATTGCACAAGGTGACAGTGGACCCAGCGTCCTTGCCGCGGGTCGTCACGTAGAAGGTGCCATGAAAGCCACGCATGGGTCCCTGTGCCTCCCTCGTCACGCGTCACACCGCGCTGAGCGACTGGAAGATCAAATGGGAATAACTTGCAAATTGGACGCATGCCTGACCTCGAGCCAGTCCTACGCGCGGAGGGGAGCATCCTCGCTTCTGCCACCATCCCCGAACAGAGTTCCCAGCGGCCTCCTTCCCCTCACGGCCTCGTTCTCCGATCTGTTGTGGGGTTCGCTCAGCATCAGTCGCGCAGTGCGTGACCCCACATGCGCACAGCATATCACGGCGTCGTCGAGTTCCGCCATCTGGGGACCCCCATTTCTGGCTCATCTCTCTGGCTGATCCTCCCCCTCCCCCACTTGCTGCGTCATCTCGCTTTTCGCACCGTTCCCGCTCTTTCCAGGCAATGGCATGTGCCCCCTTTCACGTCTGTTCCACTCACATGGCACCTACTTGCACAGAGCGCATAAACATACCTAATTCAAATTGATGGATTGTCCTCCCCCGCTTTCGGCTGTAAGGGATATATAAAGCTTAAGGTTGTTCGCCCCAACTCTTGCACAATATCTCTCTGCAATGTGCACCATATTGCTCCCTTCCACGGCGCTCGAAAATCGGAACACGTTACACCCTCAAAGCAACGAGCGCACAATGAGCATCACCGTTGACAACGCCAGGGAGTCCGTGCCGCGTAAGTGTGTACGCGCGAAGCGCAAGCAAACACATAGCTACAATTGCTGTCCGTGGATTCTGACATCGCTGCTACGACGTGTCTTGCAGTGCTGGCCAAGAACCTGTTAAGCAAAGATCCGGTCTTATTCAACTCTGCCATCAACACGCACTTCGCCGCGCACTCCACTTACAAGGGCCACGGTCTCCAGTTACGTGGTGCCAGTGGAATCAAACACGTGGCTTACCTTCTCAACTCATTTGGCGCCGGACGGGCCGCTCTTCTGGATGAGAGATCAGTATCATTCGAACCTGGGTGAGTGCATTCATCGATATATATCGCAATGATAGCGCTAAATATGTGCACTTCGTGCACCAAGCGAGAAGATCGCAAAAGTAGAAGCAATTCGGTTCTTAAAACCGCGCTTCTTCCCTTTCTTCGAGCTGGCCATGCCCGTGCGCACCACGATCATATTTGAGGCCCCAAGCGGCGTCGATAAACAGGACAACGTGGGAGAGATTGATCAACGGCTGCTCGTCTCCAGGTTTGAAGATGAATGGTACGCTGAGAAGCTGATAAAGACCTTTCCCATCGCGGGCAATATGTGAGCAGTCCAGCATCAAACCGCTAACTTCGGAGTACGCTGAGATCACTTCTGTCCTGAACAGCTATGTCAAACTATTCGCTCCGATCGTATCCTTCATCGTCCTGACCGTCGCGAATGTGTTCTTCAAATTCACTCGCTCGTTCCGCACCTCAGCTCGCCACGCATTTGACGCTGTCGAGCCGCGAGCCAAGTCGATCGGCACTCGTGCGGACCACATTGTCCCTCAAACAGTCAAAGCGGGCCTACATCGCGGTATTGATGATGGCATGAACCTTGCACATGGTTACGGAGAGAAGACGGTCAATTTCGTCACCAGTGTTGCGAAGAGACCTTTGGAGCTGGCCGAATGGATATCGCAAAAGGGCGTTGCGTGAGTTTTTCACTCTCGAGGATACCATCAGGATGTAGTGCTGATAAACGCGAGACGAGCAGCACTGTCAACGCCTTCCTACCGAAAGCTCTCGCGTTGCCCAAGCCTTATCTTCTATCCTATGATGATGACTCGATCTATATGCCCTCGCTTAAGAAGAGGCCAGCGGATAGCAGCAACGATAACGCACAGCAGCGCAAGAGGCACGAGGCGGAAGCTGATCTCGCCACGCAATCAGCCGTGCCCGAATCTGAGGCTACGGACGAGGTGCCGCCGCAAAACGACAGCACACCGCACTCGCCTGTCGCGGCTACGGTCCAGATCGAGCCAAAAGAGGACAGCCAATTCGGCCAACACAGCATCGACATCGCATCTCGCATTGGCAGCGACGTGGCCAATGACCCGGCGCCCTTGGCTGGTGACGTGCAGAAAGAGTCATTTTACGACAAAATCACTCATGGGCAGCACGCAGAGGACAACCGTAATTCTGGCGGCGCAAATCATGCCAGTGGCTCTGGTGGTCAAGGGCATGGCCATGGTCAAGGCCAGAAGCACAAGAACCGGAAGAAGAAAGGCAAGAACGGCAAGTAAGCTGCGCAGCTAGCATCCTTGCGCTTGTGATAGCAAAGTCGAACGCAACCGCCGAAAGGAAATTGTATGCATCCCGAAGTGACCGATTCCAATTCATAGCTTCCATTCGTCCGCAGTTAGCAAGTTTGTTCCGCTGAAACAGTTATCACTCAAGCATCCAGCATTGTACTTTAGCAACACACTATTTGAATTCACCAGCTCGTCCCAAGTCAACAAGAACTTTCCCTCTCATATGCCAGTCAGTTGCGTGTTTCGTGCCATAGATTGTTGGTCGACATGAACCGCAAAGGTCTACTTTACAAGGTGTTGCGAAGGGCGGGAGTAGTCGGAATGTGTCGAGAAGTAACCTGTCCGCGTTGGGTGCGGATGCAGAGATCTTTAAAGTCGTCGCGGCGATAGGGTGTCCGAGGTGGGTGAATTGCATGGGTAGCAAGGTCGTTGATGGTGCATAGTTGGCCTGCGGCAGCCCCGCCCGTCCATATGGTCAAGCTGAAACTGTGAATCTACACGCCCGGCTCAGAGTTCTTCCACCAATCGTAGCCCCTTTGGCCACGACGCCTCCGATATTTACAAACCGATTCCAGGCGGGAGATGGCATCCGACAAAATGCGAGTAAAAGGCAAGGGTGAATTGAATGCTGAGCGGTCCGGACTACATTTAGTCAAACAGCCCGAATCCCATGTCGTCGTCGGACTCCTCCTTCTCCTCCTCCTTCTTCTCCTCCTTCTTCTCCTCGGCGGCAGCTGCCGGTGCGCCAGCAGCAGCAGCGCCAGCACCGACCGGGGCGGCAGCGCCACCGGCACCAACGTTTGAGAGCAACTCCTTGACGTTCTTGCCCTCGAGCGCCTTGGCGAGCAGGTTGGCCCAGATTGGCTCGAGCTCGACCTTGGCAGCGGTGGTCAGCTGGGTGATCTTCTCACCCTGAGAGTACAACGGACGGAATATGATTGGCGAATTAGTAAGACTGGTTTGCGCGTTCTAGCATTGCGAGCACCCATGGCGACGAAAACACCCATAACTCAAGCTTCGATGCGTGACCAAACTCGATCCCATGCCATTCTCCCTCGAGGGCCTACGCCAAGATCTCGAGCCATGCAGCGAGCTTTCTTGTGTGTTAATGTCGTGCTGCTTTCCCGCAAAAGTGCGCTGCCGGCTTTTCATTGCTACTGGCATCCCTTTCGTTCTTCTCAGCCCTCTTCATTGTTCCCGCCCCCTGCCTTCCACTGAGCTCCTCCCCACTACTACCTGGGGAAGCCTTGACAACGTCGATACTCACGGTGATCTCAATCTCCTCATCTGCCAGAATGAGGGCGGCGTAGGTAGCGGCGAGCTCTGCGGAAGCCATTGTGACGACGTTTGCTTGATGATGATCCTTCAAACAATTGCTGGGGATGGAATTGATGTGACAGTAGCTCGAATTGCTACAGCGTGAGAAGTACGTTGCGAGTGACAGCACGGCGGGTCACGAAGGTGAGCTGTAGAAAGGTGCATGCAGGTGGGCGCAAGGACTGCGGCACGTGAAGCCCTTTCAGTCCGGGGGGAGTCCCGGGTTACATAGGGGCCTCTTCACGGCACCTTACATTCGAGTAGGGTTAGGTGCTAGGTCTGGTTGTTCAGAACTAAATACTTGAACTACGATCATCCGGTTTGCTCCTAGCTTACTAGTGGCATTATGCTGCTTGTGCCTTCCGCCGGTTACATGCTTTTTTGGTCACGACTCACTCCAGGACTATTGAATCTAAAGCGCCGATCGAACGTAGATAAGTTTCTCCATTCGCCTTTTGCAGGTCTCGCATCTGCGATCTGGTTGTTCGAATGGACCACATGTGCCTGTAGCAAGGGAATGCGCGTAAAAGGTGACATCTAGGCTGCACAGGCTTCACACTCTTCGAAAGCTACGGCAACATGGCGGCACAAGTAGAATCTCTGTCCTCCTCGCGGGCTATAACCGTCAGCAACCCTGACACCTCATCGAAGCATGTCTCGCCGCTGAATCCAAAGGGAATTAAGCCGTGAGTGTTAGCCAGCGGTCGTGACGGTTCATGAAGCTGACGCGCGATTTGTGGCAACCCCTTTCTTTTCAGTTGTTGCGCTTGCCCAGAAACGAAGGCCGCGCGTGATGATTGCTTCTTCAACTTTGGCCACAGCGTCGAGGAGCACGGAGAGTCAGCGAAGAAATGCGAAGAGCTCGTGCGGCGGCATCGCGAGTGCATGGCCAGCCTCGGGTTCAAGATCTGAGCCGGCTGTGCCCGGTCCGACCATCTTTATGATCAATTGCTCTCTCAAATGATCATGCTAAAGCTGTCACCACTCTTGCCGTCAATCTCCAAACGAGCGTTTTCGATTTGCCCGCGACTATTTGCCTACTGATACAGCTGCCAGCATCACTATTGTACAACATGTCCAAGCATTGCAATCAACCCTCGTTCCTGTGCCCAGCTTGGTATCCTAGTCTAGAAGTCCGAACGCAGTTACGTTTGGATCTAATCGCAGAGGGTCAGACCATGGTTCCGACAATAAAGCAGTTGAGGACGGTGATGCTGCAGTTGCAGGCACGCCTTGAGGCGCCTTCCAAAAAGCGTCGCCGATGATATCGACGTGCATGGTTCGGAGTTCTTTCTTGACTTTCGCAGAGGGCGACGCGTTCCAATTGGCCTTGGGCCGTACCTGGTCGTCAGAGGGGCGTGTGCTTTCGATCGCCTTCGCCTCTGCAATGGCATGGTCTCGAGTGGGAGCCTTAGGCGCCCATAGGATTGTTGTGCCCTTGCGGAACATCGGCGGCAGCTTATCATAATTGATGCCAAAACGGGCATGCAGAATCTCGTTTTTGTCACCCGAGACGGTACCCTAGAGGAGAGCCTTGCGACATCAGCGATGAACAACTCCGAACTGCTTCGCTTTCAACATACCTGTAGGGTCTCGTGCGCTTGTGTTTCCGTCTGGCTACCTTCTTGAATGAGTGCCCAGAATGTGGTGTTATATAGGTTGTTGATGTGGGCTGAAGGGGCAAGCATGCTCAGCTCAATGTCAGACAACAATATTTTTCGGTCAGAAATTCTCACTATCCACTTGCCGCCAGGCATAGTAATCCCGCACCTCTTGAATGCCAGGATATACCACAAGACGCCCATCGAAGGAGGGTAGCTGCAGCATCGGGTTGTCAGGAAAGTATTTGCTCCAGTTGAAGACATAGCCGGCGGTGAACATAGAGACGATGTGGGTCACGATTTTGCTGCATGATCAACACCATCAACCGTCAGACCTGTGTGTATGGAGCATATCATTTCTGTCCTTTACATACCTTTCTCTTCGATTGTAGAGCGTGCATTGCCGTTTCAGCAGGAAGCTGTATTCGTCACTCTCGCCAAAGGCCAAAACCACCTCGCCTTTCAGCTCTTGCATCACGTGTCGCGCAGCATGGTTCATGAGCTCCAGCGCTGGAGCATCATTGGGCTTGGCAAATCCATGAGCTACAGAAAATCTGTCACATGTTCATAGCTAGTATCAGCGGGGACGGGCAGTGGATATAGCACGTGGTTAATGCAAACATTGGAGACGAAAATAATGTAACGCACTTGTGGAAGCCTTTACCGTCAATGCGTACTACCATGAACACATTTGGAAGAATCGGGTCCGGCAGCTCGAAGCTGCGCACATACGCATACTTTGAGCCCGCCATGTTGCGTTTGCAAGCTACATTACCACATGTAGCCAAGGATCTTTAGATGAATGTGTTAGTTATGGCAGCCTTCTGCAAAAGTGAGACGAGATGTGGGTCCATGTCTTGAAGTTCGATCGCTATTTTACAACCGCGCCGTGCTTCCGCTGCTCTGGCTACGGCTCACGCGCTCACCGCTGACGGCTGCAGTGATGATGAGTCCATTGGCTGTGTGCACTGTGCATTGACCAACCAAGGACTGCCATCGTGGCTGCGCACACCGACCCATAGCGTGCGCCATGCCATACTCTCAGTAACCGGGACCGGACCATAAACTTGCCTCAGCAGAGGGTGGGCAACCCGAGGCTTGTTTGCGAGAGGAGCTGCATTGCGGAGTTCGGCGTCCACGAGAGCGCGGCCCACATGGCACCTCAAGCCTGCCAGGATGCCAAGTTCCAAGTTTCACTGCGAGCGCTGCGAGAAGGAGCTGTCACTATCTGCTTCCCTCTCCAACGCGATCAGTACATTTGACAATGCACTGTCTTCGTCAGGGTCCGGCTCTTCTCCGACGGGGAGCGCCCGTTTCGACACCAGCAGCGCACTTGTCGCTACCGGAATCACCGGCCTTCTAGGTGTCTCGACATACCATCTCGTTCCCATTCCGCAAGGCAATAGCTGCACCGACCAGCCGAGCCTGAGTCCACGGCAGAGAGAAAAGAGCAAGGCTTTTCCTCCAGAGCGGCTGCGTGATGGTGAATCTGCAAGGGCGACAGGGGATACGTCTGGAATGGAGCAGAACCAAAGAACCCATGAAAGCGATTCCAAGCCACGGGCAAACTCCCTCACAGCAAATCTCGCAGTGCGGTTCAAGTTACTGGACCTGCTCAACTCGCACAACCCTCCAGAGCCTACTCCAGCTGTTGACCCTCCGGATCCTTGGCGAAAGGGTTCACAAAGTAGTGGTCGGGAGCACGAGGCCGAAACTGTAAACGGGAAAAGCGACGACGACGTACTTAGAAGAGCAGGTAATCGCAAGATCCATCATCCTCTTTGCAGGGAATGCACGGACCAATTGTTGGAGTTGATGGCGGCTGAGACGACCTTATTACGCAAGGAGAGGGATGCATTCCAGCATTTCGACTTGGTCATGTCCCAGTATGAGCAACACCAGTCCGAGGTCGGAGTGGAGGATTTGGAGGAATTGAAGAAAGAGATCAAGTCGCTGAGGGACCAAGAAGAGGAAGCTCGGCGTGCGCTGTACGCAAGTGAAAAGGAGCGGGCGGAGGTTGAAAAGGAACTGGAGCAAATTGCAGAGGAAGAGAAAGCGCTCGAAGCTGAAGAGAACGAGTGAGTCCGGTCGGCTCGACGTGTACATACCCACTCGCCGATTGTTGAAGGAAGCTGTTGCTCCCTTGAGCTTCTGGGTCCGCTACAACGAAGCAAACCTACAGCTCAACGAGCTTCAGGGAGAAGCTTCTTCTCTGGAGCAGACGATCGCGCTGGACACTGCGTTGCTCGACAGATTGCGGCGAACAAATGTGTACAATGATGCTTTCTCGATAGGCCACGATGCCGGGTTCGCAACAATCAACGGACTGCGTCTGGGAAGAAGCAGCTCGGTGAATGTCGACTGGGCCGAGATTAATGCTGCGTGGGGGCAAGTCGTCTTGCTGCTTGACACGCTGGCTCGAAAGTGCGGCCTTCAGTTCAAAGGGTGAGCCCACGCTCGCAGATGACTGTTTTACAAGCCTGCAAATCTTAAGGATAGGCAAATTGACGTCTTGGCTTGTCTTCTCAGGTACAAACTCCATCCCAAAGGATCCTTCTCGTCCATCGAGAGGCTCAGCACCAACTCGACCGCAAGTGGCAGCGGCAGCGCCGCCGGAAACATACGAGGAGACATTTATGAGCTGTACTACTCGAACGCCTGGTCGGTTGACACGCTCTTTTCTGGTCGAGGCAGGAGCTTCGACCGCGGCATGGAGGCGTTCATGGAATGCCTGAGGCAGATGATGGAATTCGCCAGTGCGCGGGACGACCCTCCCAGGTTTCCCCACACGTGAGTCTCCACTCCGATCGGTACGCGAGGGATAGTCTGAATGTTGACTTTTATCCCTTTCACTCGGGTGCGCATGCGTGTGTTGGTGAAGCATCAACAAGGACAAAATTGGCGAAGTGTCGATCAAGCGTAGCGGCAGCGAGGAGTCGTGGACGCGTGCACTACGACATGTGCTCTTGACCCTGAAGCTGCTAATGAGCTGGGTGGTCAATGACTCGGAAGATAGCGAAGAAACGAATCGCTCAGATTGATTGAGCAGCTGCGAGAAAGAATATGATGTTGTATGCCTGCCTTTTGTATTCTTCCCTCCCCACGATGTGTTGGGCATAAACTACACTGACAAATACCAGTATACTCCGTTCTCTTGCACCCTGCTGGCTTTCATACATATGTCCTTCAACCAGTGTGGAGCGGAACCTTTTACGTGCACGACGTCAGGACGAAGGGATGACCAGTTTTAGGTTCTCGATGGCTACAAGTTGTGGCGACGGCAAAACCGACTGAGTCAATGCCTACCACAAAACTGCGAGCAACCGGCTAAGCAGCGCGAGAAGAGAGAGAGAGAATGCAGATGCGACGGTGGATAAGGGCCCAGATGCGTTGGAGCTTTGACGGTCTGTCTCATGCAGCTGACCAGCATTTGAACATGAAGTCGGTGCGCTCGCGACGAAAATCAGTACCAACGAGATGCGACGCGCTTGCTCGATGCTAGCGTTTGATCGACCTTATCGATCAGGCGCATATGGGCTCATGCTTCAACCACTTCGTTGCGCCTGTGTATATACATATATGTAGTGCGTGCACATCTCGGTCATCGAGATGAGGATGCAGCCTTGTGTACCATCCATAATCTGATGGGATGCGTGGGGATCGCAGCGACATATCTGATGGACGATTGGGGACTGCCGCATTCCTCTTCTCGGATCCCACACTCGCAAACGAAGAGGCGGCAAGGGCGCTTGACCACAACTGCGATGTCTCCTATGTATGACCAGAAGGTAGATTTGAGAGTGGCATTCTTAAGTGTGCGTGTGCCATCTCTGCCTTGTTTCATGCCGGGCTCGTTGCGCCCTTTGCTGTGGGCCTGGCGTCAGACTGGGCACTGGTTGCGTACGGGACGGGGATACGCGTCGCGTTACATATACTGATTGAGAACCTACTCTATACGTTCTCTCTCGTGCTAGGTGTCTGTTGGCGGCGCGTGAGCGCGTAACGAAAACGCGTCGCCCGCCCTGTGCGACTGGCGCTGCTCTGTGCTGCCGTGCCAACTGCGTGCCCTTTCTCTCCGCCAGGCGTTCGCAGGCGCGTGTATTATGTTCGCTGCTGCACTGAGAATGACCTATTTAACCTCTTTCATCCCTCTCTTTTCATCCAATCGTCCCCCTCCCCCCTTTCCCTCAATCACAAGGCCCAACCATCTATAACGCACAATACCTTGCATGCCTTGTCGTCTGACATCAATCGCATTCACAGCAGATCTCCCACCTACTGCTGAATTCAAGTAGACGCCTCGCCATCGAGAAATCACGCCTGCTTTTCGCCTCGATCCCGCATCTCAACACGTCCACGCGTCACACATCCAGACGCGTATCTTTCGCTTCTTCTCCCTCCTTCCCTCCATCATGTCATCCGTCGTCGCTCAGCCGCACGATACACCTTCGAAAAAGGTCGCACACGGCCTTGCCAGCATGGATGTCAACTCGCCCGTCAAGAAGGGCACGAAGGACATCTTTGCCAATGCATCCTTTCTCGCAGACGCAAAGTCTGCCGACATGGCCGCGACTAGCGCTAAGAAGACAGTACTCGACGTAAGCAGCAAAAAGTCCGCAGCCGATGAGACGGCCAAAATCAACGCCCTATCCTCGCACCCGCTCGATACGATGGAGAACCGCTTTGTAGGCGAGGTAGACCTTCCAGAGGAGGAGGAGCCGCTGCTCATCGAGAGCTCGCGTCGCTTTGTCCTTTTCCCCATCCGCTTCCACGAGGTAAGTTGGCCCGCAGATCCGACTCCGACGCGTCGGGATAGCCCACTCAAGGACGCGTCAGAGGCGACACCTGCTCTTCCCTTGAGGTTATATTTGGTGGCGATATAGGTGAGCTTACGTATCCACTTTGCATCATGCAGATCTGGCAAATGTACAAGAAGGCAGAAGCATCCTTCTGGACCGCCGAGGAGATCGACCTCTCAAAAGACATGCACGACTGGGACAACAAGCTCAACGACAACGAGCGTCATTTCGTCTCGCACGTGCTCGCCTTTTTTGCTGCCTCGGATGGTATTGTCAACGAGAACCTTGTGGAACGATTCAGTAGCGAGGTGCAAGCTGCGGAAGCGAGATGCTTCTACGGGTTCCAGATCATGATGTGAGCACGTGCTGGCAAGCTGTTTTGCTCTGTAGCCCCGTGGATGCAAGTGCAGACCACTCACGCTTCTTCCCTTTTCTTGCGGCCTGTGCAGGGAAAACATTCACTCTGAGACTTACTCGCTGCTCATCGACACCTATATCCGCGATCCCACTGAGCGAGAGTTCCTCTTTGACGCGATCGAGACGATCCCGGTCGTCAAGCAAAAAGCAGACTGGGCGTTGCGGTGGATCTCAGACCGAAGCGCGTCCTTCTCTGAACGTCTCGTCGCATTTGCCGCCGTCGAGGGCATTTTCTTCTCTGGCTCGTTCGCGTCGATCTTCTGGCTCAAGAAGCGCGGCCTCATGCCTGGCCTGACCTTCTCCAATGAGCTGATCAGCCGCGACGAGGGGCTGCACACCGACTTTGCCTGCCTGCTCTTCAGCCACCTTAAGAAGCGGGCACACCCGGACACAGTACTCAAAATTATCACTGAGGCCGTCTCGATCGAGCAGTCGTTCCTGAGCGACGCGCTGCCCGTTGCGCTGATCGGCATGAACGCCAAGCTGATGTGCCAGTACATTGAGTTCGTCGCCGACCGCCTGCTCGTAGCGCTCGGCAACCCCAAGCACTACAACTCGATAAACCCATTCGACTTTATGGAGAACATCTCGCTCCAAGGCAAGACCAACTTCTTCGAGAAGAAGGTCGCGGAATACGCAAAGGCCGGTGTCGCACGCAAGGACCGCGTCGAGGGCGACAACGCCGACACGGGTGTCCAGCAAGGCGTTCACGACTTTTCCCTCGAAGAGGACTTCTGAGCATGCGCAGCGCATACACTCCCTGCCTCTCGTTTTGTTCGAGATCACTCCGTCACGTTGCCGCCTTATACGCAGACACCCGCAGACACTACCACGACGCACCCTGTTCCGTGGATGTACAGCCTTTGTTATATAAAGATGATCCACTCCTATCACTAGCACCACCGCGAACAGTTTCACATGAACCATCTGTACTATAGTTGCTTCCTGCAAATCATCCCTCGACGTCTATTGTCGGCAATGCCCGACGGATTTGTTGTTTCTCTGTATGCGCGTTTGGGGGGGTTGCCCAGATACCTACCGTTGAACTGTTGGCGTTATGCCTCGTTCAGTTGCATACATGGGCAGCGCGTCCGCGTTCACCAGTTCAGCGCTTTTGAGGCACATGGCTTTGACAAGGGCGAGGTGAAGTGCAATCGGATGGCACACCATGCAATGAAGTAAAGACTTGAAATGGAAACCGAAGCGGATACGAAACTACAGCATGCGTATACAGACAATATTGTTGCGGAAGCGGGTAGAAGGACGCTGCACTGCCCTGCACTGCATTGGTATCTGCGATTGGTACCAACGGAATGAAAGCTGTATAGCGCCCAAGACCCGACCACAAGCAGCGGCGATGCGGGTAATCCCGTTCCACAGCTTTTCGGAGCAAAAGAGGGACATCATGCGTTTGATGTATGGAGAAAGAAAGGAAGCAAGAAAGAAAGAAAGAAAAAAGTATAAAGATCGTCCGCGGTGATGGGGAGCATATGCCGAGGGAAGCGAGATGAAACGGTATCGTGTGAATGAGCTGATCGATGCCTAGGTGGGTTCAAGCTTGTGTACCGTCTAAATGGTGTGGCGCCAGCGTCAGGGACCGAGATGCCTTGAACGGGAAGAGCCAAGAGACGGACCACCAACGACCGGCGCGGGTGACCTTGCCGAATAGGGAGAGCGCGAAGGCTGATGCAGAATGACGTCCTCACGCCCTGATGCGAGTCAATCACTACAAGGGTCGTGGGGACGGTCGAGCAAAAACTGCTTAGTGCGCCTGCTGGGCCATTTTACCGTATGCGTCGAGAATGTTGTTGAGGTACATGATGTTCTTGTCTGCCTTGCGATAGCTCTCCGCGGCCGCGGCGGCAGAGCGCGACGCGGACGCCTCGCTCTCTGACTTGGACTTGGCGACCGACGCACGTGACTTGGACGCCAAGACGGACAAGCGCGACGCAGCGGCGCTGACGGACGAGCGCGATGCAGCGGCACTGGCAGATGCGCGCGACTTGGACGCCAAGAGAGACGAGCGTGAGGCAGCGGCGCTCGCAGAGGCGCGCGAGGCAGCAGCGCTGGCGCGCGAGGCAGCGTCGTCGGACGAGCTCGATGAGGTTGATTCTTTCCGGTTGCCGTCGTTGCCGCTAATGGCGTGCACGACGTTTTTGACGACGTCCCCGCCGTACGTCCAGGATATGGGCATCTTGCCGACACTCTGAGGAGCAAAAAAGTCGAAAAGCGCCGGCGACATGTCCAAGTCGCATGCACTGCCGCAGTTTCCGCCGCCTAATCAAGGAGGTAAGGGAGATTGCACGATCAGCTCCTTCCTCTTTGCTAACGCGCGAGAGACAGGGGAAAGAAGTGTACCTACCAGTCGGGCAGGCATCGACAATCCTAGCTGTGTGCGACTTGCCGTTGGCCGTGATGGTGATTACACTGTTGCAGCCAGAAAACCTCTGGTTGAGGTTGCCCCAGGCAGGCTGGGCAAGTGCGACAGTGTAGGCGTTGTTGCTGAGCATCGAGCCGCAGGCGCCTGCGTTGCCCGTCTCGGTGTTGTACCACGTCCCATGGCCCGAGCACTCGCCGCCGCGCTTGAAGAGCTGCAGCATCCCTGCGACGTCCGTCACATTTTTCACGGCGGACATAGAGGCGCGCTCGGCGAGCTTGGCGTGGTGCCTGCGTGCCGCGTCCAGGCCTTGGGCGGGAGAAGCATGCTTGCTGGACGAGAGGCTGGCCTCCGACAGCGAGATGCTGACGGCAAGCAGCGTGAGTGCTGCTGTGATCTTCATGGTTGCTGCTGATGCGGCTATTCCAGACGTGCAAGGGAGATGAAGAGCTCCGGGCCACAACGCAAAGGAGCCCTTGATTCACGACGACTCTCGTTCAGAGGTGTGGCCTGGAAGAGTGCCGAAGAGAATCAAGAAGCGAGGTGAATGGCACCAGCGTAAGGTTTGCTTTCAAAGGAGAGAGCGTGACGACCGGCGGATGGATGAGAAAGGGCTGTGCCCCTTTGATGGGTAGTATGTGACAAATGCGGACGATTGTGCACCTTTGTCCGTGTTCCACACACAGGAAACAAATGAAGGGGTGTGCGGGACCGTTCTGGAATAAGTATGCAAGAAGGAGAGGCTTGTGGAATTCCAAGTCACGTTCTTGCTGTCCTTGTAATAGAGGTGCAAATGTTGCGACCGTTGGTGTGTGGTGTGGGGGAGCAAGTGTCGAAACACAAACACGGCGGGCGGTGTGGTGCGCTCGCGCGTGAGATAGAAGACGGCGAGGGAAAACAAAAGAGCGCGGGTAGGTCGAGAGACGGAGCCCGAGGGGGCAGGAGAGGCTGAGAGGATGGAGAGCGGGTGTGGTAATGGCGGATGGTTGGACGGATAGCTGGAGAGGATGGGAGGGAGGTGATGAAGCGAAGGTGCTGGAAACAGGAGACAACAGCAAGGTGAGCGTACTGAAGACTTGGTCAGGAGCGTCAGGAGGCGGCGGCTGCTCAGGGCTGCTGGGTGAGCGGGTTACGCGCTCTTGTGCCTCCCTCACATCGCTGGCTGCTGGACGGCAGGTGTGGCTGCGCTTCTGCTTCAGACACTAATCTAGCGCCAGCCCCGAATATTGGCAATCCTGCAGGTGTATGGGAAAGTGCCCACAGTCTGCAAGCAGCGCAAAATATACAGCAAATACCAAGCAAGGCTGGGACGCCAAGAGGCTTTCGCTGCGCCCGCCAGCCCACGCAGGATCCAAATTCACGGGATTCAACGCGCTCTTCAACCGAACTTCCAACACATTTCCTTGACAATTCGATGATCATGGGCGAGTCGCACCCAGTAGAGCTGCTGTAGCTGAGGCAAACTCGGGCAAAAAGTCACGAACCTGCATCTGATAGTCTCCCCCTGGGCGCTCTGCAAACATATTCTTCGCTGCTCCACCGAGCCAAGACATGAAGCCCAGATCACCCCCCAGTGCCGCTTTCCGCCGCTCAAAGCAAGGGAGCTCTCTCTTTCGTTGATCATCTTATGGTCTTCACATAACCCTATCATGCAGTCTCGCATATCAGCTTCACACAACCTTCGCATCATGCATACGGTGCACTTGGTCTGCACCGCGATCTGCAGTCGGGTCTCTCCCATCCCCGCTACAGCATGAATGTCACAATGAACGCATCGCGATGTTCTCCACCCTTGTTATGCGCTATGAGGGCCAAGCTCGCGCCATGCTTTCGTGGATACAAGTGACATGAAACTTCGGGCGTCGTGCTCAAGACACGCTCTTTCGCACGGCCTCGGCCTTTGGAGCTTTGAACTGAAGTGTGCCCATTGGAAGATGCGATGAGTGTGCTGAGACAGATTGTCAAGTCAAGCCCTTGCGGATTGGCACCAGACAACAGACGTTCCTTCATCCACAGGGCCAATATACGCACAGCCTGCCTACTGGTAGGCATGCTGTGTATTCAACAGCCGCATGCAGTTACCTGCAGCAGTCAATCTCATAGAGGACGACGCACATGCTAGAAGATGCAGGGGAAATGGCTCGTGGCCCTACATGGGAGCGTGTAGAGGGCAGGACGGGCCCTGGGATGTGTGATTGAATGTGTAGAACGAGTGTTGCCAGTATATCCTGTCCCTGCGCGCTCGTCAACCTGCTAGCGTGTTCGGGTTCACCCTCGTTCCCGCATTCCACCAGCTTCCTTCCCAGCGCTTCACAGACTTTGTGTTGAACGCGGAAGCTAGGTTCCTATATCGGGTGTGTCGGCCAGGTCTAAGTCGAATACCTGGTGGCTCCACTTCCATGTACCTGGCTCGCAGCCTCATGCTTCTGCCTCATTGTATGTAGAACTGTACCACTGTTGTACCATGCACATATATCTTCATACTTGCATCGTCCTCATGTCATTCATCAGCTGGAAGCCTCGGGGATCGTGGAGAGCAGACTGAGTACAATGAGTGGAGAGTCATAAGAAGTGGCAATGAGAAATAATTGGTCTCGGGATTCGAAGTGTCATTTTGGATTGGTGACCTAAAGCGTTTGGGCTCGGAAGACACTGGTCCCTTGGTATAGAGTAGTACCTACGGCACACGAACCCTAATCACTCCGGGTTGGCGTTTGCTGCTTGTTCTATCTGGTTCAGACTAATCTGCAGCGCTGCTCAAACCGATGCCAAGTATAACCTAATGATTACAGGCCTTCGTCAACTTTTGATGTTCTGGTAACACAACTCTGTTCACAGCTTCGGCTTGGCAAACCTCTGACGCTTGCAAACACAAGGTCTTCGAGGCGGCTGTTCATCACGTTCCAAATCACGCTCTCCACACACCTGCCGACCGCTGTCGCTGCCACTACTAAAATGGCGTCACCCGTGACCTTTCCGAAGGAGAAGCTGAGCGTGGCACAGGTTGAGCTGCTCGACCTTCCTGCCCCCGAATCTTCGCGAGACAAGTTCTGGCGCAAGATGAAGGACCAGCCGCTGGTCCCGATAGGTGAGCGTATCCCTCCCCTGTCGTTGGCCGATTTTGCAGCATGCGGACGTCGAGGGCTTGTGCTGACGAATACCCATTTTCGCGCGCAAAAGGCTCCCTATTAACTTGTGGCGCACTCATCGCGGCATCGAATCACCTGCGCAAGGGCAACCGCGATCAGTTCCAGCGCGCCCTGCGTTGGCGTGTCGGCTTGCAAGGCTTGACCGTCGTTGCGGCAGTCGCAGGCTCTCTCTACTACGGTGCAGCCGCAGGGCCATCTTCCACCTCCTCACCCTCATCAACAAAATTATGCCCTTCCGCATCAGATGCTCCCGCGCCCAGCACAAGTATGAGCACGGGCGCAAGTACCAGTGATACGCTCAGTAGTATCACCACCGTTCCCGGGCGGCCAGCAACGACGTTGCAAGCGAGCAGGGCAGCAGAGCGCCGGGAAGAAGATCGAGCGTTGCTGGCCGAGCGCATCAGGGAGGCCATACAGAAGGAAGAGACGACGAAGGAACGAGAGGAGATCAGTAGACAACTTGCAGCGGAAGCGGGCGCAAAGCCAAGGCCAAAGATTGGGCAAGATACACGATGGAATTGGACAAGTCGCGGCGCATCAGCATCACCGGCACCTTCATCGTAGCTGCTAGCCCAGCTCTCGAGGCAAGCGCTGCAACAACAGGGAATACATTACAACCTAACATGGCCCAGTCCATGTGCCAGCATTGCGACAGAAGTGGAGAACCAAAGACGGCACAAAAATGCTTCGTGCCCTGGATGCGTACGATCTTTCGACCCCTCATTGCTGCTACTGCGGAAGCTGCTGGAAGACCTTGACATACGTCACATTCCAAACCGCATTCGCGAAATTCTCGCCCTTCATGACTCTCCCTGCGCAGGTTCCTGGACAGCCACTGGAGGCATATACGCCGCCGGCCCACTCGCCACAGATTGTGATATCGAAGATCCAGTTGATCTGCAAGCAGACCATGGAGTCAATCGCGAATTGTCAGCCTGCGGACCGACGTGGGGACAAGTGCGGCAATTTTGCACGTCTCCATACCTTGTAAAAGTAGTCCTTGAACGTGCATGTCCCGCTCTTGTACTGCGCCGATGGCTTGAGGCCCTGCTCGATCCAGCGATCCGGGTCTGGCTGGCCCGCCTTGACGTCGTCTGGGATACGGTTCCTGTTGAAGAACCAGATCGTCACACCGGTCGAGTCGAAGCGCGTAGCAAATACCCCGCCGTTGGCCGCATTGAGCGCGCTGCCGTACGAGGCACCGTGCACGTTGGCGTCCTTGATCGCACACCCAGCATTCTGATGCGCAAGCGCGTAGCAGTTCGTGGACAGCTGCTTGCCGCTAAAGTCTGAGTTTGGGTCCAGCGTACAGCCTTGCGAGGTGTGCAGGGTGTACTGGTTGACCTTGCCGTCGTTGACGCCTTCGATGATGTCACTGATGTTGTCGAGAGAGACACCACGTCAGCTCGCAATTTCGAATTACCCGCACGAGGTGCCAACATACATTTCACCACCATTTGGCCAATCCGGTCCATTTCCCCAGAAGGCTGGCCAGATAGAACAGCCAAAGGGCATGGCGTTCACGTCTCTGCAGTAGAGCATGTGAGGCGTGAGCGCGCATTGAGTAGTAGCTCTTCGAACCGTCAATACTGGGACCTACAGAATCACCAGTCCTTCGTCATACGTCTTCTTCGAGTGAATGCGCACGGACGGCCGCCCAACACCTTTTTCCAGATCGGTCCAGCTGTCCGCGCGCATGATGGCGTTGCCGCCCGCGTCGACGTACGCCAGCCCTTTTGAAATTGCGCTTTCCCGGTCCTGGTAGGCTGATTGAGGGTGAATGAAGTTACGGTTCAGCGCCTGAGCATTGCTGCGCATGTCGAGGCCCACCCACCGACGATGCCATGAGTCGGGTCTGAATAGGACCAAAAGTTCCAGCCGCTGAAAAATGTCTTGCCTTGGTGCTTCGTTACGAGCTTCCACCCGCTGTTCGACGAAGGCGGTCCACCGCTACTGCTATCGCTCCCTGAGCCACTGCCAGAGGCACTGCCACTTCCAATACTGCTGCCATCAGCAGCATCACTTGAGCTTCCATCGCTTCCGCTCTGCCCGCCTCCTTTGTGATGCTTCTTGCAGGTACGACGCTGTGGGTAAAGGTCGCCGGCATGGCGTCTGAGGGAGGGTGTCCAGACCGTGTGATTAGCGCTGCTACTACCTGCGATCTCTTCGTCTTCATTGCGAGAAAGCACCAACGGCGCCGCGCCTTGAGCAGCGGCAAAGATGTCGACCGCAGGGTCCGACACGGGATTCCAGGCGAGTGCTGCTTGCGAAGGGGAGTGTGAGTTCCGTGCGTTAGCCTGAGCGTGGCCTTGGGATGTGACAACCACGGAGAGGAGCAGCGATGCAAGAAGGAGTGGTGAGACGGGCATATCTGCCCTCTTGCGAAGCTGCTTGTGGCCGCTGGCAGCAAAATGCCTTTGTTCGAGCGAACGAGGGCTGCCAAAGGACGGCAAGATCTAGCTCCAAAGTGTGAGTGATTGCTATATGCATGAGAGAATGCCCATATGCGACGACAATGTTTCAGGAATCATCGCCACGATGCGATGGTAGTGATTCGTATTCACTGTTCTTCACCATTGCCACACAAAAGAGACGAGGATGGGCCATTCAAGCCAGCTCGCTTTCAACATCTCATCGCGCCAAGGAAAACTGCGCGTGCCGTGTTGGGCCGAGGGCATCGAAAGATCTGGGGCTGGAGCTTTGCAGTCATCATCGGGCCATCATCCAACGAAACCAGACATGAGCCGTGTGGGACTGAATATGACGGGGTGTTTGAGGTCTACAGTCCCGCGCCCCCAACGGTCTTACAACGGCCGAGCAGCGGGGCTGGCGCGCACAAGGAGTTCCGCGGTTTCGCCCATCATCGCCCATCGTTGCACCATCGGACAGAGCGTTTTAAGACGGGGTCCGCCATGACCTCTCACAGCCACATGCCGAGCAGGATGCGAAGGGGCTGCACACCTCGGTAGGATGCCAATGGACGTGGTAGGTCTGCTGTAGGTGAAGTACATGATGACGCCGAATATGTGTTGGACCGCCAACTCCATGTAATCCCACTCGTCAATGACCACACCCTTTGTAAATACAGACACTCGGAACTCGGAACTCGGGTTACTGATGACCTTCCTGCGCTTAGTCTCTCCTCTTTTTATTTTTTTTGGAAGCGATGGCGATACATTGCATTGTCGCTGGAGACCAATACTTTTCTTCACCATGTACTCACTATGTAACAGCCGCTGCGGTCTGCTAGGCCCTGACCTGCGCGTCCCTAGCCCTACTGTGTCTCGAGACAAACAGCTGGTATGTATGTAAGCTATGTAGGTAGTCAAAAGCGGACGACGTTGCTCGTGTCTGGAATCGATCAGAGTTTGGCTTGGGCTTGGCCGCTTTGCGACTCATACCCAGAAGCAGAGGTATTAGGAAAAAGGAAAAGCTGGGAGGAATTGAGCTCACCGTATCCGACAACCGCAGGCACAACACAATCCGCGCCGACTTTCCACTGAGCAAGAGGCGAGCCAGCACCGGCCAGCAGGTGAGGCAGGATGAGGCTGGTGACTTATGTTGGTTGGCCTGCGGAGTGCGGGCGCGCCGCTTGAGCGTCCGTCAGTGTCTGCTTGAGATTCGGATGCTTTCTGCAGAGAGAATACGCTAACGCCGCCGAGAGGGCAAGCATGAGAAGCAAGACCTTTCGGTTTCGCAACAGGCCATAGTGACATCGAGAGTGTGATATTGACTGGACAGGAGGAGGGGAGAGGGTGTGGGGTTAGGAGCCGCAGAGAGTTCGGGCACTACGCAGGAGCCTGAAACAGGTGTTGCTATGATTCCGTGTTCCTGGTTGATGTGAGATGGGGTTTCTTAACGGCCAGCCTGCCCTTCCCCAGTCCGCATGGCGCACAGTCGATCAGTGCCTATCTCCGTCGCCAGATCGGCCGGCGTCAAGATTTGCCAGTGATCGCATCTCCCCGCTCGCAACACAGCCCTCGCAGGCTAGATGAAGCAGTACTTATACAATGCCACCTCCACAGCCTGCTGCCTTGCACAATCCACCAACGCCACGCTCGCCCTTCCCCGAGAGTCGGGCTGACGGATATATTCTCTGCGCTACCTGCTCCTTTTCATCATCCTCGCCGCAGCCCCTGGGTCACAGCTTCATCCTTTTCCCCCTTGCCTTGCCTTGCTTCCCGCGCCATGCGCCCTGCCACGACTGCTGCTGCCTTGCTGACGGCGGCCGCCGGAGGCCTTCTTGCCAACGCCTCTCCAATCGATGTAGATGCCTTGCTCCTCAGCCGTCACATCGAGCGGTCCCTCTCGAGCCGTCAAGACGCCCTGGACAGCGTCAATGCGACTACAAGCTCGGGCACCGCTCCTGCTGCGAACGCCCCGATGGACGTATTCAACTACATTCTTACCACCAATACGCACAACACCAGCACCGACGCCTTTCAGCCCCAGCCATACGTCGCGAATGGATATATTGGAGCTCGCCTTCCCATTGCCGGTGTCGGCTACCAGGTCTTCCAGCCGACGCTGAACAATGCCACTTTCCACAATGGAACCCAAGGCTGGCCTCTCTTCACGGGTCGACAGACGGGGACCACCGTCGCTGGCTTCTATGCGCAGGTTTCCAACGAAGACGTACCAGGTACAAACTACGTCATCCCCGGTGGCCAACAGGTGATTTCCCTCCTGCCCGCCTGGGCTTCCCTTTTCGTCTCGGTGCCCTCTGGACAGGACTATGCGACCTACTCCTCCGCCTCGGAACCCACCACGATCTCTAACTACTCGCAATCCATGTCGATTCGCGACGGCCTCGTATCGACAAACTTGACCTGGACGGGTGCCGGCAGCGGGAATGAAAGCAGCGGTCTGCGGCTGAGTTACACGGCGTACGCTCACCGTGCGCGTCCCAACGTCGGCGTGTTGCGTCTGGACGTGTCCGGGCTGCAGCCCAACGCGTCGGTCGTCATCACCGATGCCTTGGACGGTAGTGCGGCCCGTCGGGTGATGAATGAAACGTCCGGCGTCGAAGGTTCCGCGAATCAGATCATCTTCAGCTCGGTGCAGCCGGTCGGTGTTCCCAACGTCACTGCTTGGGTGTTCTCTGCCTTTGACATCCTAGCCAGCGGAAATTCGAGCGACTCAACGGCGAACACGCAGGTGCTGGCGAAAGTCACTATGCCAGCTAACGTCGCTTCGCTCCTCGGAAGCAACACATCCACGATCGCGCAGTCCTTTACCGTCGCAGCGAGCTCTAACGGAACGGTCAGCGTCGTTAAGTACGTCGGCATCGCCTCCTCCGACGCATACACGCCCAATGAGCGGGTGCAGGCACTGAACGCATCCGTCGTAGCTCGGCAAGCCGGCTGGGACGCGCTGCTGACGGAGCACACGGCCGAGTGGGAGACCATCTGGTCGGAGGGGGGGGATGTGCAGGTCAATAACACGCGCAATGACGCGGTGCTCAACGCGCTACAGGCGACGACGCGGGCCTCGCTCTTCCACATCCTTGCCAACGTCCGCCGCGGCTCGGAGCCGACGGGCCTCGGCGACAACTCGATCGCCCCCGCCGGCCTGACCAGTGACAGCTACGCCGGCGGCATTTTCTGGGACGCAGAAACTTGGATGTATCCATCGCTACTCAGCCTGTTCCCCAGCTTTGCGGAGAGCATCAACAACTATCGCCACAGGCTCTTTGGCGCTGCAACGCTCAATGCACAGCAGTATAACCGCTCTGGGCTCCTGTACCCCTGGGTGTCATTCCGTTACGGTAACTGCACCGGTATTGGGTGAGTCGAAGCCTCGTTGTCGGCACGGTGCGGACAAATGCATGGCTAACGAAAGCACACATCCGCGTGTCGGTTCAGGCCCTGCTTCGATTAGTGAGTACTTGAAGTTGCGTGAGGTTCTTGTCGCGAGCTCAAGGGCTTACCGATTGCGCCCGATGGACAGTGAGTACCACCTGAACAACGACATCGCTCTCGCCCAATGGCAATACTACCAAGCGACTGCTAACAAGACCTTCTTGCAAGAAGAGGCATGGCCCATCATGAAGTCCGTCAGCGACTTTTGGGCTTCGCAAGTCGTCAAGAACGCCGATGGGACGTACACCACGCTCAACGAGACTGACCCCGATGAGTACGCGAACCAAGTCAACAATGGTCTGTGTTCTTTTGCTCGGGCAAACATGTGATCTCGGGAGCTCTCTTCGCTGACCCTTTGTGTCCTGTCATAGCGGCCTTCACTAACGCGGGCATCAGCAAGGTGCTCAGCGACACAATCGAGGCAGCCAGTATCCTGGGCTACCAGGACCAGGTGTCTGCGAACTGGTCCGACATCCTGGCCAACATCACGATCTTGAAGACGAAAGACACTGGGAACCCGATCACATTGGAGTTCGAAGGCTACAACGCTTCACTGGCCGTCAAGCAAGCCGACGTCGTCCTGCTGACTTACCCGCTCGAGTACGCCGGGCAGGCCGACCCTCTCGCCGATCTAACCTTTTACAGCACCGCCACGTCTCCCAACGGACCCGGTATGACCTATTCCGTCTTTTCCATCGACTCTGCGCAGCTCGCGCAGAGCGGCTGCGAGAGCTTCACGTACCTGCGCTCCAGCTCCGAACCGTATGCGCGCGATCCGTTCCTGCAGTTCAGCGAGCAGACCAGTGATATCTACTCGCAGAACGGCGGCACCAACCCTGCATACACCTTCCTGACGGGTGAGCGAAATAAAGCAGGGTTCTAACAGCAGCCGCAAATCGTAGCTAAGCACCCTTGTCTCTCGATGATATTCCTTCCCTTTACACCACAGGCCATGGTGGGTACCTTCAAACTTGGACACACGGCTTCACTGGGTACCGCACGCATACAGATCGCTTCTACCTCGACCCTAGTCTACCGCCGCAGCTTGCAGATGGCGTCACAGTGGCGGGCATGCAGTTTCAGGGCAACACTTTTGACGTGGCTCTCGGCGGGAGCGAAACGATCATCACCCTTCGCGCAGGACGTGGTTCCGCCAAGATCGAGATTGCTCCCGCGAATAAAGCGGCAGGTAATTAGTGAGTGAGACAGTTGTGCAGGGCCTGGAATCTTCAGCAGATGCGCGACCACTGACCCTTGCCTGCTCGCTTAGCACGCTCGAACAAGGCCAGAGCATAAGCGTCCCGACGCGACGCGTAGACCTGGCGGCACCCGCCTACGCCGGCAATGTGGCACAATGCAAGACGGCGTCTAGCAACGTCTCATGGGTTCCGGGCAGCTACGACATTGCCGCCATCGACGGGAGTAATGCGACATTCTGGCAGCCGAATACCGCCAGCGCGTCGGCGCTGACGATCGACCTCGGCACGTCACAGAATATTTCGCGGTTGCACATCAATTGGGGCAAAAACCCCGCGACTTCATTGTACGTGCTTACGGGCGAGGACGCGAGCGCGCTGACGCCCGTTGTCAATGCCACGCAAGTGCAGATCAGTGCACCGTACGACGTTGTGCAGGCGGCCGTCGTCGCGATCAATGCCGGCAACACGAGCGACGTCCCGCTGGCACAGGCCACCACGGCGCGCTACGTCCAGCTCGTCATCGAAGGCGCCATGATGCCCAACGCGGAGTTCGGCCATGGTGCCACGGTTGCCGAGGTGAATGTTATTTCATCTTAATGCCTTTCTCTTTGTGCCTCTGTAATAAGCTGTGCTTGGCTCAACAAGTAAGGCCGCAAGGCGAACGTGGTGTATCTATAATACAATTTAACGCGCCTAAACTGGATTCCTCAACCGCCTGTTAGCAATTCCTCGGGCGCGACAGGCCGATGGCGAACGCTGATGCTATCGCCGACATTGAGCTCACCGTACACCTCCCGCGCCGCATTTTCCCCTTGCTCGCCGGATGGCAGTGGCAGAGGCACAGCGTACAAACCAAAGCAGGCCATTTTGCGGCCGGACAACTTCTTGTCCTTTGCGTGACTGCGCGCGATGAGCTTGAGCGGCATACCGGCGCGGTCGAATTCGCCCGTCACCGGATCGAGCGTCGTGATCGTACAGCGCTCGCAGTACGTGACGAGGTTGATGTGCGCTGTAACCGTGTCCTCGTCGGCACCACTTCCGCGATCGCCATTGTTACAAGAGTTCAGATCTTTCATCTGATCGTAAGGGTGCAACCACATGGTTTCCCATTGCTCTTCGACGAAAGGTGGCAGCGCCGCCCCCGCAGCCGACCCTGATGCCGACTTTGTAGGAGAAGAAGCGATGACAACGTTAGGCCTAAAGCGAAGGATGGACAATGGGTCGCCGTTGTGTCGCTTGAACTCAAGCTCCGCGGGGGTTGCTGTGATGGCCGCTTCCCAAGCGGCCGCTTCCCCCGATTTGCCTGCCAAGGTCGCCGGCGTGTCTAAAAGCGGCCGCGAGTACAAATGAGCAACCTTTTCGAGTCCTGCAAAGGGACGGCCGCCGCGGCCGTCTGTTTGAAGATTACTACCCTGAACCTGCGACTCTTTCGTCAGTGCCGCAATTGCATCTTGGAGCTGTGACTGTACATATGCCATGCTGAAAAACGTAATGGTAAAGAGTACCGACATGTCAGTAATGCTCACGAGGCAGGATGAATGCAGGAGGCACACCTCTCGACACTGGTCACCAAAAGAGGATATTCATCTTGGAACTCGACGCCTTTCCCCGGTCCGCTCTTGTTCACATACGCTCCTCTTTCCAGAGCTAACGACCATCGATCTACTTTGTTGCCCTCTGAGGCATCCTTAGCAGATACTGAACCAGAGGCAGAGCCGGCAGAGCTACGGGGAAGGTACCAAGGCCACGCAGGTCTTTGCGCACCGGGTGCATGCCTGTCGAAGTACACAAGTTTAACCTCATAGCCGAGGAAGCGCGACATCCATTGGGATGGTTCGAGTTGCGTCTCGGATGAGGCTGAAGCGACGACGCGACCCTGTACAGGATCACCGTACATGTCTAGCTGGTCGATCTTGGGCCATGCGCGTAGCATCTCATCGGTCGGACGAGCAGGCGTGCTGGCGCACAATTGTTCATTCATCCTTGTGGCCAAACTTGCATCGTGCGCGAGAGCGTAGGGAGAGATCGCCAACCGCAGTATCTCTCCATCTGCACCTGCATTATCTGCATTCGCGTCGGCCGCGGCTCCTGTCGAGAGAGAGGGTTGTATAAGAGCCAGACGAGGCTCAGTCTTGAGCGTAATCTTCTCCCAGTCGCCCGCGACGCCAGTGACGTGGTCCTGCGTGTTCTGTTTGCGCCTGAGAAAACACCATCGTCTGTCCAGCTCGAAGCCCTTGTACGTCAGCGGCAGGTGTGAGCACTTGATCGGTGCGCATGATTTGACTGGGTAGAGAAAGAGCGAGTGTACGCGTGCGACATTCTTCTCTATTGGCGCCAAAGAGACTTTGCAAGAGGTTGTCGTTTTGGACCTGCGAGCGACGCCTGCGGAGACGTACTGGGCCACGCCGAGGAGGAGGACGAGGGCGAGGACGAAGAGCTGAATGCCGAGGGTTCGGCGTTCGTTCAGCGTCAGCGCGAGCTCTGCGCGGCCGTCTCTGGGAGACGTGTTGAGCAAAGAAGCAATCAAACCAGAGAAGTATCGTCGCAGTGCCATCGTTGAGACTTGGTATGCTCAAAGAGGTCTGTGAGGCGGCTCTCTGGGTATTGCGCCCCTTTGTTGGCTTGCGAAGTTGGGGAACAGATGTGAGTTGGCGGAGCAGCAGCGGTGCGGCGGTTACCGAACAAACCGCCTCTCCTCGACTCACTGGCGGTCTCGCGTATGTGTACAAGCGCAGCGGTTTAGGCGCTCAGCCGACCCTGGAGATTATGCACGACAATCTCTCACCTGAATTCGGACCCGCTGAGCCTTCAACGTTGCAGACCATTGTCTATTTTCTTTCTTTTATCGGCGCGCAAGTAGTCACACAGGAAAAAAAGAAAGAAACGCGAAGATTAGCAGACATGCCACGGGCGCACACTACCGAGACAAAGTGAAACATCCTCTTATCGCTTCCTCTTATCCTTTTCTCTACCATCTTCTCGACACTCCGAACTTCCTCCGTCCTTCGTTATCAAGTCATGGATCCTCGTCTTCGTGCCCGCAGCGGATAGCTGAGTCTGGACTAGTCTGGATGGCGCCTAACGCACCGCTCCCATTGACGACCGCTCAGCCCTGCGAAGAGGCGCATTGGCGGAACCATGAGGCGAATTGCAGAACTGAACGAGCCTTGCGCTTAGTAATTGTATCCCGTGGCATGATGGCCAGTGATCATGTAAGGACTCCTCCATAAGGCTCCGCTCTCTGCCCTCCACAAACCCACTATCCAGGATCCAAGGTTCTACACGCGAGACCTGCTTGGGTGCGCTTCCTTTGTCATATCTGAGCTCGCTAGAGGACGCAGGCCGCTGGGTACAGAGGTTTGCTGCAGCTCTCAGTTGCCTTGCATATGACCCTGTCGGCATGGCATGGGAGGGGCCCCGCAGTCCTCGTCCCTTCCGCCGGTCTGCGCATACCCATCAGAAGGCTCTCGGGTGCACATTTGCGCAGGCTGCCTTGCGTCGTACTCAGTGCTGATGCACTATGTATTGTTTACCAATGCTCACCCTGATCTGGAAGCCTGGGGCAAATTTTATGGAGTCGCAGTGTTGCTCCACTTTCATTGCCAAGATCAAACGGCCGCGGCTCAACTAACTACCTTGGTGAGGGCTTGCCACTTGCCAGCCATGCTTGCTTTACTTGTGAAGGGAGGCCCACCAAGTCTTCTCCCAATGTCACTAATGTCAGCAGCTGATACTGCGTACGTACCTAGGAAGCGTCCGCGCTCGGAAGGTGACAATGCATAATCTCAGCAGCCTATCGAAGGATTATGCAAGTGTGCATGAAGCCGCCTTGTACTACGTATGCACAGGTATGTACAAACATGAATGTACGCCGCACTGTGGACGTGTACGAATGACAAACTAAGTGCGTACATATGTACCAAATTAGACTGTTTCTACATGTGTGTGCAAGGCGTAATTTTCACTGACAAGTGATTTGCTAAAAATGCAGCCAGGAACTGCCTAGCTATTTCGAACGCTACACACTTATCTGATGCCTGGAGTAGCACATGGCTTGATTATGGTTCCTGGTTGCAATATATGTTTCGATATTTGCTTTCGGTCAAGTCCGATACATTTGTTCTTCAACTGTAAGGAGTCAGCCAGTCTGGGAGTTGTACGTAGTAAAGCCACCTTCCTGCCCTTCGTTGCTGTCGCAGGTGAAACGGTCAAAAGGCGAGCTGATAGCGCTGGTGCTGCACAGTGCCCTGTTTGGCCATTTCGCCGCTTTGAGCGTGAAGAGTCAACTCCCAAATGCATCTCTCGGTCTGGGTTGTCTATGAAGAGGATGCCCTTAGCTGCACTCTGCGACACTGGCCTGTTGTCACTCAGTATCTGGTCTGGCATCTGCTTCATTCGTCTGTATGTAAACGGGCTCCACCTGGCTCCTCTCGTCTGCACGCACAGCACTGACCGCATTTAGCCGCAGGTTCCCTCCTCAAGCTATCGGCTCGCTGTCGTTAGCGAACTGCACAGCACAACACGTCCATATCAATTCATTTAATGATTTGGTGTGTGGCATTTGATAGCGGTCTGCCGCCGTCAATGGGACAATCAAAGTTGACTCGAATTAAGACAGGTCAGCGCTCGCTTATCGCTCGGTCTCCCGCTGCTTGGCATTTTCGCCTTCCCCACGTCGCCTGAAGTCCCTGATCGCCTCCCTATCCACCGTCAGTATCGTTCCTGTTGGGTTCTTCGGCGTCGTGTTATCAAGCGATCGCCCATGAGCCTCAGCGAGCCAATCTTTTGGCGTACGTACGGATATTGCACACATCCCGCGGCTCATTCACCATCCGCAGTGCTGTGCACAGCCCATAGCCAGTGCTCAGCCCTTTTCTCCCCATCGCTTATCACAGCAAGCCCCCGCGGCCTCCCTGGAAAAAGGACGGACTGCAGAGTCCAACCACAATTGCAGCTTCTTTCGCAATCTTTCCTTGGAGTATATAGGCATCACTTCACCTCCAGCCCCCGCTTGTCTCATTGTTCTCGACCCTGCATCGCACACCGAGGACGTTCTTGCTTCTCCGCGCGCACATCACTCACACGACCTGCAACAACACTTGAGCACAAGCATGGCGACCATCCAATCGCAGCGCCCGTCCTCGAGCGGTGGCGGCTCATCGGATGAGAAGCGCGACCTGAAAGCCGAAGGCGCCACGCTCGAGAAGCAAGATGCATTCCAGATTCTGCGCAACAGCGAGAAAGGCATTGGTGCCAATGGCGAACTGGAAGTCAAGCGAGACCTGAAGCCGCGTCAGATTAGCGTAAGTGCAGTCGCCAAAGACATGCTTTCAGAGACAATCGTTGACGCGTGACAATCTTTTTTACTCGTCTCAGATGATTGCCATCGGCGTGAGTGTCGCTCACTCACCAGATCTCCTTGCGTCCGTCCACAGCAAATGTTGACGTGGCCTATTCGCTTTTCCCTTTACCACAGGGTGCTATCGGCACAGGTCTCGTAATCGGCACTGGTGGCGCTCTAGCCAAGGCCGGCCCAGGATCGCTGTTGATAGGCTATTCATTAATGGGTGCCACATGTTTCCTCGTCATGTGCGCCTTGGGAGAGATGGCAACATACATGCCCCACAAGCGTGGATTTGCTGGCCATGCCACCCGCTTCGTCGGACAGAGCTTCGGATTCGCTACTGGGTGGAAGTGAGTACGCTGTCGTAGCGCTTTCACGTCTTCTCACCACAAGGAATAACTGGGCTAACGAACTTTTTTCTTTTTTTGCTTGTGCAGCTATCTCTTCAAGTATCTCATGATCTCGCCCAATCAACTCGTCGCATCTGGACTTGGTACGTTAACCCTGAAGCTGGCCGAAATGATCCGCTGTCGCACTAACATACCATTCTTCCTTATGCCTCGCCATGTGCAGTCATTCAATACTGGCGTCCAGACTTGTCTCCGGCGATCTTCATCTCGGTCTTTATTGTCGTCATCCTCGGCATCAACTTCCTCGGCGTCAAGGTGTTCGGCGAGGTCGAATTTTGGCTATCCATGATTAAAATCATTACACTCACCGGCCTTATCCTCGCGGGTCTCATCATCGACCTCGGTGGTTCCCCATCTGGGGACCGCATCGGTTTCCGCTACTGGCAAGGAGGCCGTGCATTCCTTGAGTACAAGTCTAAGGGCAGCCTTGGACGCTTCCTTGGTTTCTGGAGCGTAATGGTCAACGGCCTGTTCGCGTACATGGGCACCGAACTCGTCGCCATCACTGTTGGCGAAGCTCGCAACCCGCGCAAGTCTGTCCCGAAAGCGATTCGAAGCACGTTCTTCCGGATCCTGTTCTTCTACATCTTCGGCGTTGTCATCGTCGGCATGGTCGTCGCGGCAGACAGCCCCCTACTCTTGACAGCGAACAAGCAGAGGCTCGGCGCCGCAGCCAGTCCGTTTGTCGTTGCCATCAAGGCGGCTAACATCCGTGTGCTGCCTTCGATCATCAATGCGTGCATCTTGATCTTCACGTGAGTATTGCCCCTGATAAGTCCATTGTATGGAAGAGTTTCAGATGACTGACCTGTGTTCACCCTTTCTTACTGAAACAGACTTTCGGCCGCCAATTCGGACCAGTACGTCGCCTCACGTACCCTGTACAGTCTTGCCATGGACGGCAACGCGCCTGCCATCTTCAGACGCTGCAACAGCATGGGCGTACCATACGTTGCGCTGATCAGCACCGCGCTTTTCATGGCCCTCGCCTACCTCACCCTTTCGGACGGCGGAGCAATCGTCTTTGGCTACTTTGTCTCGGTCGTCACCATCTTCGGCGGGCTCACGTGGATCTGCATCTTGATCTCGCACATCCAATTCATGAAGGGACTCAAGGCGCAAGGCATGAGCCGTGACGATTTGCCGTATAAGGCGCCTTTCCAGCCGTACGGGTCTTACATCGCCGTCTTCTTCACCTCGCTCGTCGTCTTTTTCAAAGGCTGGGACAGCTTCATGCCTGCGTTCCAGTACAAGAGCTTTATCACAAACTACATTGGCTTCCCAATTTTCTTCATCCTCCTCTTCGGCCACATGCTCATCAAACACACGTCTTTCATCAAGCCCGCAGACATTGACCTCCTCACGGACGCGCGCGAGTTCAACGAAGAGGATGAGCTGGCTGCCAAAGAGGACGAGGAGCGCGAGGAGATGATTCGCCGCGCGCCGCTCCACAAGAAGATTTGGTACAAGCTGCAAGATTGGTGATCGTTGCAAACATTTTTACTGCACGTCATATTGAGTTCCCTACTGCTTGTTGTAGAATAGATCTTGCGCATCATGCTCAAGCAATCAAAAGTGTGCGAGGGCACATGAGCTAAAAATTCTGTTGTGCTGAATGTGTACCAATGCAGCGCGCGCTTCATATATCTTTATCAACCACGGAAACGGCAAATAGACGTGGTTTTCGCTCCTTTCTGCCCCCCGGAGATGTCGAGGGTGACTCGGCTGGAAAGCATTCCTCGAGCTTGTCTGAGATGAACAGTCCACCGACGCAGCCGGCTGTGAATGCGAATGTAAAAGAATAAGGAGCCGTAGAATACACAACGGGATTATTTTTTGTATGTTCTCACCGCCGAAGATAGTCCCAAATGCCATCCTTACTCTCGGTGGCAGTGCTTCAGGCGACAAAAATGTGCCGAAAGAAGAGTTGTCAGGTTTTATGATGCTCGTGACTTCGTCTTGTACGCTTCCTCACCAAGCCAAGACTGCCATATCGACTTCTTCGTCCCACCCTTTCCGCCTTCCGGCCCTCCTTCGCCCCCATCAGGACCATGGGAACCAACGCTTTGCGGATGAGACCGAGACGAAAGTGGAGACTGCGGCCGTGGAGGCGCAGGCTTTGACATGGGTAGCTGCGGAGAACTGGAGTGGACATGAGACCTACTGGAGAAGGATGATGACGAGCTCGAGGCGCCAGTACGAGATAAATTTGCGAGACGCCTGTGTATTACGGATGCACGGACTAGTGCTGAGTGGAGGACAGGCTGGCCGCTGTGCAGGATGGGCAGCCGGCTCGGCCCGGCGTGCGAGGCGAGGGCCAAGACTAGGGAGGCAGCCATGTTCTCTGTCTCTTTTGCACTCCTGCTGAGCCCCAAAGGACCGCTTCGAGCACTGTTGAGGGACACTGCAGGCAGTGCGTGAGTGAGGTACTGACAAGGTAGTACTTGGCTCCTTGCTATGGGAACCAGAAGCAGAGTCGCCTCTGCCAAAAAGCTGGAAGCTGGGTGAACTACACGCTCTCGCTCCTCCAAGCCTGCGTTCCGCTTGCTCGAAAAGCGACGCGTGTGCACTGTGCAGCTCACCATGAACACACTACATGACTACAGGGTCTCGCTGAGCCCGACCAAGCCAGCGGTTTCGCACAACATCACCTTTAAAGCTGGTCGATTGAGCGCTTGCTGCATCCTCATATTGGCCGCACGCAAAGCTACGAAAATCGGGGAGATATCAAAAGGAAGTTATCTACCCACCATGTCGCGACGCTATGATTCGCGCACGACCACCTTCTCGCCAGAAGGGCGGCTGTTCCAGGTCGAGTATGCCATGGAGGCCATCTCGCACGCTGGCACATGCTTGGGTATCCTCTCCAAGGACGGGATTGTCATCGCGGGGGAGAAGAAGGTTACAAGCAAGTTGCTAGAGCAAGATACCAGCTCAGAAAAGATCTATGCGCTCAGCGAGTGAGTACCCAGTTGGAGTGGTAGTATTCGTCATTTGGACGCGAAAGAGCGCCCCGCCGCCCATGCTGATGCATCCTTCTCCTGTGCGATGGCCGCAGTAACTGCATCGCCGGCGTAGCGGGGATGACGGCAGATGCAAACTCGCTCGTCAACTACGCACGCAACCAAGCGCAGGTCTACCTGCGGTCTTACGATGACGACATGCCCATCGAGCAACTCACGCAGCGGCTCTGCGACCTCAAGCAAGGATACACACAATACGGAGGTGAGCTGTGCATCCTTTTCTGCAGGTCTGCTCAGCTTTTAAACTGATTGTGAGGCTGCCTTTGTGCCCAGGTCTTCGGCCATTCGGCGTCTCCATCTTATACGCTGGCTACGACCCGCACCACCAGTTCCAGCTGTACCACTCGGATCCCTCAGGCAACTACTCTGGCTGGAAAGCGACTTGCATTGGCAACAACAACGGCACCGCTACCTCTCTGCTAAAGCAGGACTATAAGGAGGACATCAGTTTGCAAGATGCGATGGGGCTCGCACTCAAGGTGCTCAGCAAGACGATGGACAGCACCAGCCTGGACAGCGAAAAGCTCGAATTCGCGACCATGTCGCTAGACAAACGAACAGGCAAACCACACGGCAAGATCTTCAGACCGAAAGAGATTGACGCGCTGCTTGAGAAGCACGGTCTCGCGAAGCCAAAGGAGGGTGAAGCCTCGGGGGGGGCATCAACTTCCACCACAGCCGCCGCCCCCATGGTTGTTGACTCGTGATCCATCACATTGTATTCTTGTTGCAATGCGAGCGAGGTACGTAACAGCATGTCGCAATTCATCACAGGTGCTATTTGCAATTGGCAATGGTCGATCAGGGCCGAGCACCGGAAACGTGGCATCATCGCTTCGGCGGCATGCCCTGGATAGCAGGCTTCCGCGGCAGAGCGGCGTGCCCTTTCAGAGACGCAATGCTGCTTGTTGAAGGCGTGCTCCTGTTCCTATGGCCTGTTGATGATGCTGGAGCCGAGCCAGTCGTGGTCTCGCCCTTCAGCGCAGCGAGCTTGGCCTCCATTGCTGCGATCTTGGCATCGACGCTGAGGCATGGAGAAAGAAAGAAAGACACTGAGCGGTGTTCGGTTGGTTCAAGAGACGCGATTGGAGATCTCACCCTTTCGGCCGTGACGCGCTCTTGATGAGACTAAGCGTTGTAGGTAGGTGAGCGTCGCTCTGGTCCCTATGATGCCTGTGCGGACCAGTTCCAGAGCCATTGTGTCCGGAGTCTTGGTAATTATTCTGCGGGAAGGGAAGAAAAATGAAGAGGGGACGTTTTCAGCGAAAAGACTCGCAGAGAATCGCATTGGCTCGACTCCGTTGTTGGTAATCGAACACGTACTCACGACATTGGCGAATGTGACGATGAGCTTCCTGCCTCGCAGTGTATGATCGTGCGTGGCAGTCAAGGCGTGCAAAGCTTCCTTGCAAGCCCGCACGGGGAAGATGAAGAGACAGGCGGCGAGTATATACGCCAATCGTGCGGGATATGTCAACTTCGGATGAAGCGGTGTGAGGGAAGATGAAGCAAGAACGTTGAACACACCTCAGGCTTTGCGTATTCGATGAAAGCATACCCTCTTGGCTTGCCTTTGAGGGGACCAGTCTTGTGAAATAGAAAGTCGATCTTGGACAGCTTGCCGTACTTGGAGAACGTAGTGACGAGCAGGTACTCGTCCACTACAGGATGCAAGTTCCCCACATACAAGCGCCGACTGTTCTTCGTGCGCTGTGTCGCTGCTGCTGATTTGGACAAAGATGGGATCGAAGTTGCGCGAGGCGACGATGCTAAGCTCGAAATTGCATCCAATGAGTCTGCACTTGATGAGGCGTTAGGCCGAGATATGTACAACTCATAACTCGACTCGTCGCCCATCTTCCTCGCAGACGACGAGCTTGTGGCTTCCTGACTCATTCTGCGCAACGTCTGAAGGTTGTCAGGACGGATATTCGACAGCCGCGAATATGGTGTCGCAAATCGCACGAGGTTCGCCGTGTTCTACAGCACGTCCTGTAGGCGTCTTGCCAAAAGACACCGTGGGTCTTGCAATAAGTGTAACAATCCTCTACCCTGTGGTAGAACTGGATCTACCAGCGTGCCGACCTGTTCACACTTGTTTGTTGGCGTCGCATCCCCTTTGATCATTGGCAACCCGCTGCAAGTAGCCCAGACAGATCCGATCGAATTGAATGCTGACCCCCCAACACCGAATTGGTGGAGCGAGGGCGTCAGCAATGCGACGGACACCAGCTGAAATACTCAGTATCGATGGCCCCAAGTCCAAATGTGTTCCTGTGTCGCTTTCTCCAGTCAATGTTTGATCACCAGCCGTTGACCAACTAATTGCCGATGCTATGTACTGGTACATAGTGTAGACGCGTTCAATTGTGAATGGTACGGTGGTCCATGCGGTGGCAGACTGTGGGTGGATGTTGTGGACTAGAGTGTTTCCTCATTGTTGGATAGAGTGCCGTCGAGTGAGGGTGTCGTCACAGTGGCGAGTCGTGGCCTGGTTCAACCTCAGCCAGCGGGGGTGTGGAAGATTGCTGTGCCTGTGTACTCGGGCTGGATCTTGACTGCAAGAAGCGAAGCAGATGACACCCCCGAACAGAGGCTGAGACTCTCTCGCCTCGTGCCGCGTCGGATGGCTCCCCATCCTCCCTCGATATGGTCACAACGTCGTCCGCAGGAGGTCTCTAGCCTATCCAATGCTACATATACATATCCTTTGCTCTTACTGTCTCTGCATTATCAGCCTCTGTCTGCACTTCCAACAACCGATATCGCTCGGAAGGGAAAGAGCAACGCTTCGCCTATACGCATCTCCAAGCCATTGCTCGCATTCTCGCTAGCTAGCCCGTCCCCCGAAGACATCCCGTTACGACGCGATCAACTTGCCTGTCGCGCTTTCAAGCAAGGCTTAGCACAAAGGTGGCTGCACAGCTTTCTCCATCCACACCTGTCACAAGCCCAGCCGATCACTCTGATCACCACATCTGAAATCAGATTCACACGTCTCAAAGGTTCAACCTGGCCACGACGGAAACACTTCTTCGGTTATCGTGCGATCTCACCAAGGCAAGCTTCACGACTGCACTGCTTGCTTTCTCATCATCACACCACGCGACCTCCTTATATCAATACTCAGAGCGACATCAAAGCCTCCACAGCCGTTAAGCTCTTTCCACGGTGTCGTGTACTTTTACATCCGCGTCTGGCGTAGCACGTTACACAGTGTGGCCAAGTCCATCAACCCGAGTCAACTCTCCCGTCTAGCCTTTGGCGATCAAAAGAGACCCTGACGGTGACTGCGGAGCACGTTGGTCGGGAAACCAAGCAAGGAAACGGATAGTATCTGCAGCTTTTTGGAACCGCCCATCAAGAGGAGAAGCAAGAGGCATCGGAGTATTTCTTTCATCATGAGTGGAAAAATGATGATTTACAAGCTGGTGGTGCTGGGAGATGGTGGTGTCGGCAAGACAGCATTGACTATTCAGGTGAGTGCTTCGCCGATGCTACTAGCACGTCATACACGATCAAGCGTGAGCGTGTGGGCTACGTGCGACGCAATTGCCGTATATGTCTTGCGAGACTCGCGCAGGTAGCTCCTAGCGAGGGAAGGGTGCAAGTGCTTCTGAATGCTTAAGAGGGGTCACTGACCTTGTCGGAATGCTTGTCCTCCTGCCTCTGCACAGCTGTGTCTCAACCACTTTGTGGAGACATACGACCCGACGATTGAGGATTCCTATCGCAAGCAGACAGTGATCGATGGACAACCCTGCATGCTCGAAGTACTAGATACAGCAGGACAAGAGGAGTACACAGCGTTGAGGGATCAGTGGATTCGAGAGGGGGAAGGGTTTTTGCTCGTCTACAGCATCGCTGCACGAGCAACGTTTGAGCGAGTTGAGCGGTTTCGGGCGCAAATCTCGTGAGTCGGACCTGCATCCTCGCCTTCCCCCGGTTGCGCGTGTAAGCCGCTTAACTACAATATCTCGGAATGCTGTCGCAGTCGGGTGAAGGATCAGGAGCCATCAACTGTGCCAATCATGCTTGTCGGCAACAAGTGTGACAAAGTCAACGAGAGGGAAGTGTCGCGAGAGGAAGGGCAAGCACTGGCAAATCGACTTGGCTGCAAATTCGTCGAATCGAGCGCAAAGACTTGCGTTAATGTCGAGAAGGCGTACTTTACCGTCGTGCGGCAGTGAGTGATTCTGCAGCCACCCACCATGTTCTATACGGAGCTGTGGCTGACTGGAGGCAATGGGTTCGCACGGAAGGATTCGCGAGCAACGAGGAGAGACAATCAAGGCGAACACAAAGTCAAAGAAGAGCAAGAAATGCAACATCCTATGAAGAGCTCCAGTCCTTTCCCGCCCCGACTCATGCTGCGTACACGCAAACAGCACCATGATACACCACCACGACTCAAGATATCCAGCAATCGCTCCACTCTTCTGTTTCTACCAGTGTCGCACTTTTTGACGCTCTCACTTTTGACCCAAGCACAACAGTCCGAAAGCACGCATATTCGGGCCCCCTCCCCCACACCCAAACACGCACACACCCCACACGCTCGTCCTTCCAGTGCTCGTGACGTCAGGAGCGAACGCAACGCACAGCTCGTGTCTTATCGAGCAAGACAACTGATGGGACGTACGATGGCTTGGCTTGGATCGATCTCATTGGCCCGGACGGAAGGATGTGGACAGCTCGAGGGTAGCCTGGGACTTCCAAGCAACGGTACTCAAGGCAGAGATACATGTTTCCATCCAGGGCCATGGCTTTAGCAATACCACCCATAAACCTTGCCATCTCCTGTCTGTCTTGATTCCCTTGGTCGGTGGCCAAGCATGAGCGTGACTCTACGTCTCACGCTGCTTGTGCGCCGCGTGCTGCGTAATTGCATGTACATGTCCGTCGACATCAATGTGCCAGGAGTATCTACACATGTGCTGACATGAAGCATTGGCGGGCTTTCAAGCGCTTTCCAACGCAGTTTGACCCTTAACAGCAGCGCGAGCGACTGTTCCATATGGAGGAAGGAGGTCAAGAAGCCGGGCTTGACGGGTGGCTAAAAGGCGGACACATGCACATTCTGTGCCTCAATACTCAATATGGATGCCCAGCATCATTCACCAAAGTTCCGGGTTACCATAATTCGTTGGATGTTCCTTTCAATTCATGATTGTTGGAATCCGGCGCTTTGTAAAAGACTGCAAGACTGAGGCGCTAGAGAAAGTGGTACTGCGGTGATGATAGGACATCTTTCCCTTTATTGTCCAACTGGGATCCATTACAACGAATAAGAGCCCCCAGGCGACCACTTGGGCACCTGTTTTGGTCACTGCAGCGCGCAGTTCTTGCTGTCCGTGTAATCTCAGATGATTACAGCTTGCGGGAACAGCGTGCGACTCAAATGAAGTTGAGTTTTTGGTGGGCTAACTTGTGTCTTTCCACATGGGATCCAGGTGACATGCTGGAATGGGGATGGGGTCAATGTCACGTGAGCGCGTGAGCTGTACGGAAGGTCGCAAGGTCAGAGTTCACAAGCCCACAGGCCACATCGACCACCGCACCATACGTCCACATGTCTCACGATTTCCTCGCCCCATCTTTTCGATGACGTCTCCACGCTTGGAATGAGCATATTCATCGATTGGTAAAGTATCGTCCTGGCCTTTGGTCGCGCTGGAGCCGTCCAGGGCAAGGCAGGGACTCTCCTGTGACAGATATTCTCTTCTAAAAAGCTACGCACTCGCGCCTCAGCCCGGTTTCGCGCGCAGCGATCAAGAGTGGGCCGAGAGTGATTCTTCGCAGGAGATATGTCACGAAGGCATGCGGCCGGTGTGGCGGACCGCTATGCCCTTTTGAACCCATCAGGAGGTGGAGCTGGACCGAGCGCATCCTATCCGTCCTCATTGCGCTCTTCATCACCTTTCGAGCAGCCGTATGGCGGCAGCAATGCGTCATCCTCAGCAGCGGGGCCGTCGCGATACTATGCTGGCGGCGGGGCAAGCTATCCCGGCAGCGCTGCACACTCCGGGAGAGGGACACCAGATTATTCTGAATACGGCGCCCCGAAGAAAGAAAACGGATTGCCAGCGGGTCCAGGACTGATGAGTGGAGCGCTAGGAGGCGGCAGCTGGGGGTCATACGCGCAGCAGCGCACAGCAGAAGATCTCGAGGAGGGCAATGACATCCGTGTGGAAGGCCTGAGTGCCAAAGTGAAGATGCTCAAAGATGTGCGTTCAGACCGCTTCTTGCCACATCAAGTATGCTTGGCTGACGCTCCAGGCTGCTATAGATTACCATTGGCATCGGAAATGAAGTACGCGACGGCAATGCTGACTTGTCTACGCTGGTTCGTTCAGCCGCAGTCTCCTCCCATCTGTGATGACGGCTCTGAAATGCTGGTTTGCCCCAATTTTGGCGATATATTACTTGCAGAGCGATGCTTTTGAGACCACAACCGCCTTTCTGGGCAATACTTTCCACCGCATGAACAGAATGGCAACACGGCAGGGTGGCTGGTGGTGCAACATGATGATATTTCTCATAGTTGTCATTTGGATTTTCGTGAGTGCAAATACTGTCATGGGACCCGAAACGAGGGTTGTCGAGGCTCCGGCTCGCTTCGAATCCATGAATGTGTTCACATCTTTGCTTATTCACAGGTCCTGTTATGGTTCTGGCGGCGATAGCAGCGCTCTGCTACGCAACGCACAATGATTCATGGTTCATCTGGCCTGAATACGTGCACCTTTACTCTGATGAATGGACTCCAGACCTTGGTTTCTGGGAGACTCCCTTCAACCTGAAAGCACATTCGGAGACTGCGACTAGAGGTGTGGTTTGAGACTTCTTCGGCTCGTCTAACATATCTTCTCACTGTTGCTGAGAGTGAGAACCCCCGATCAGGGCCGCTCATCTCGCTTTAGCGGAGCGGGGTTTGATGTTGAGAGCGAGCTTGCTGCTCATTCTGGTCCATTGCTGTGGAAAGAAGCACCTGCGTGCTCAGGAGCGAGAGCAAGATTGATCATATCAATTTCTTTCTTTTCAATGCGCCAGCGTCCATCTTATCAATTCTTTTTCGCATACGTCAGCGGGTCGTCAGGCATTTTGCATCTGGCAGCCTCAGAAAGTTCAACACAGGTTGACGTTCTTCGATGGGTGAGATGAAATGTACACCGCTGGCGGAGTTGATTCCAGCCTGATTTAACATCCCAGGCTGAAGGCCATTGAGCGGCACAAACTCCCAAGACCGCGGCGAAACTAGCGTCTGATATCAGGCAGCTAAGCACCTTGGTGTCGCCCAAGATGTTGGCCAACCCAAATATCGACATCGATTGACCTGGACAACAGGGGCTCGTGAGCGGCGGTACGCAAGGGATTGGTGCAGGATGCGCCTTATTTTACCACCGCACCGCTAGTGGAAAGCTGGTGTAACAACCTTTGTGTGATTTTGGTCTTGACAGCATCGCACTGCGACGCGCTCCTGCAGGCGCGTCCGTGTTAATCGTTGGGCGCTTGGAGGCTAAGGGGAATGAGGTACTACAGATGTTGCGCAGTGCATGAGGTCTTCGTGCCCGTCGAAAGCACCAGAGAAGGCCCGGTGACAAGATCGTCCCTTCCATCGGCCCATCATGCGGAAGCGCTGAGGCAGCAGACTGTGACGGGTTTAAAGCGGACCTGAGCGACGCGCATCATATGAAAAGGGTAGTGCAGCAAGTAAAAGAGCGCACCCATTACTAAGGAGTCGATCGCTTGATCCAGACCCAAGGCGGCATCTCCTTGGTGCCCTCGAACCACTGCCTGTCAGTGGCATCGAGAAGCACTTTGCTGCGCAATGCCTCTCCCGCTTCGGACGCGCGCACCTTCTCACCTCCCAGGCTTTCCTCAAGAAGTCCGTCACCAGTGGCTGCGCACCGTCTCATGGGAGCAAGCAGCCGCTGAATGTCGATGATCTGGGATTACTGAAAGGTAAAGCCAGTATCAAGATATGAGATCGCGTCATTCTTGGCATCCCGTGCGAGGGCCAGCGGGACACAAGCCTTGTAGATGCATTCTCACAGCTAAGGGGTTCATGCTGCATTGAACTACCCGCATGCCTTCGTTGAGGTTGGATCCTTTCTTCTTACCTTTGCGCATAGAAATTGGCCGAAGTCTTTCAAAACCTTTCAGCGGTGCACATATTCCCCAGTGCGGTCGCAACGAATGCGGGTGTCAACAACGGAATGCCACAACCACTGATCTAGCTCTGCTCCATCTTCATGCCACTGATCGCATGCAAGGCGCGTCCGGGGGTATCAAAAAGGTCCGTTCTACCTGATGAATCATCCCAAGGGCCTGCGGCACATCCGGCTCGGTCAGGCCAACTTCTTCGGCTCAAAGTTGAAGCGATCGGAGATCAGTCTCAATGTCCAAGACAGGAACGTACGTGAGACGATCTGGGACAAGTTGGTCAGCCACTTCAAATAGTGAGTGCCCATTGCACGAACGACGGATGCCGCATCAATACTGCTTTGCTGACTACCCGTGCATGAGAGGACCTTTGTACAATGTTTGAGACTTGGCTGTGTGGTCCTTGCTGCGATTACTTCGAGGACGGTTACGACGATTCACTAAATTATCACTCGCTTGGAGGTCAAGTCTGTGTCTGCGCCGCAACGACTTCTGAATTTCTCTTTCTATTTCTCATTTACGTTCTCTTTCTCTTCCAGCAGCTGCTTCATCCTTTCGATACGTCGTTTCTTCTCCACAAGATTGATTGCCTCCCTCAGCTCCGTGGGCGCAGGGCTAGCTGCGACAGCGTCGGGCAAGATGTGCAAGTTATGTCTGACCCAGCTTTTGGTCGTAGGCCCAAGCACAGCGATGCGCGGATACTTGCTTCCCGCACCAGGCTTGGCGTCGATTGGCGGTGGCTCTGCCTCTGCGGGAGGCTCGGGTGGGATCCATTTGCGACACCGGAGGTGCGGCAAAGCGTACTGCACACCTGACGGTGAGAAGAAGACAATCCAATCGGGTTTGTGCGACTGCGCCACCCTGTTCTGTTGAGCTGTGATTGCATGCTCCAATAGTGCTTCGTCCGTCAAAGCGCTGTCCTCGTCGAGAGTGCCTAGTTTATTCTCGTGCGCTTGGGAAGGAGCAGAGCCACTGGCACGGTAGCCTCCGGGCGTCACATTCCACGAACCGCCAGAAGATGGACTGTTTGCGGCACCAGTGCCGTTGATATTGCCGCTGCCACTCGAGTTTCCGCTACAAATCCCGGCACCGACGACTCCAGGTATTGGATAATCAGACGCAGCGATGGGCTCGAGGGATAGTGCAGAGCTGACAAAAGCCTGCGAATTGGAGGGATGCAGAGATTTTCCGAGCAGGGGACTCGGCATGGTGGGCTCGTGCAAGGTACATAGTACGGACGCTCCAGTGGCCGAATTGTCGGTCCCGGGGACGTGCGTTGCGCTGCCTACAGCGCTGGATGACTCCGAGGCGGCCACGGGCATAGCACCTACATCGGCTTTCTGTTGCAGGCCTAGCATCGTCGCTTCCTCTCCGCCTGCTGCTTGCAAGAACGCTGGGGTCGCGTGCACTGCGGCAGGCATCATAATAGAACCACCAGGGCCAACAGCGCTTCCATTCATCTGCGCCCGCTCCCTTGCGCCTGGACCGGGATGTGTCCCTGGCGCAGTACTGGCGCCGCCCAGCGGCGTGGATGTTACACCCGGTGCAAGCGCGCTCGCACTGCCTTCCAGCGGCGCTCCGGACATTAGCGGGCTGGGCAAGCCGTTCGCCAGCACACCCTTATTCACCACATTGAGTCGTTCGGCCAAGATCTTCGCTTTGATGCTAGATCTACGGCTTACGCTTGCGCTGCTCGGCGTACTGATGCTTCCTTCCGAGGCTGGTATGCTCGAACCGCCCGCACTGCCGCTGCTGGCAGCAGGCGCGCTTGGGTCAAGCGCCTGCAATGCGGTGGTGCCTGGTGATCCCGACGCTGCCCCTGAGATGGCAGCGGAGAGCATGTTGGGCGGCGGACCGCTCAGCGCGCTCAGGAGCCCGGTGTTGGTGCCGCCACCATCGCTCTCGCTTGCACTGGGACGCCGGCTGTTGGGACGACTGCTGCCGGGTGGAAGCGACTGCTCGAACGAGCGTAGGTGCGCGTCGAACTCTGGGTCTTCGCTCGTCTCGTAGACTTGCAGCTCCTCGAATGGGATTGGGGACATCTCCCATAGCTCCTTGGATTTCGGCATCGATATCATCCGCCTCCCTAGTGGCTTTGTATCAGCGGCCGCGCCTGCTGCTGGTGCCACCGTGGTCGTTGCTGGCTCTGTCAGACAACCCGCACTACCGTCTTCCTTCGTCGGGCGTGGCCGCCGGACAGTAGAAAGCATGTTGCGAATGGTTGGTAAATTCTTATCCCCGGTCAGGATCAGCAGTGGCTCGATCGGCGGCGGGCCGGTATATTGGGCTTCTTCACCCTCGATGCTTATATCCGCGCCACTTTTACCGTCTAGAATGGTACTGCGAGTCAGCACGGGGCTCCGATTCCCCGGTGAGCAGTAGCCCGGGGGACGCGACCCGGGCCCGTCGGCAAAGTGCTTGATGACATAGTTGGCTAGTGATTCGCCCGTGCCTGTCGCTACCCCGCCGAGCACAAGGCGAGGCCGGAAGGGCGTGGGAAGCGTGATCGCTGCATTCTTCAACGCGTTCGCGGTTGCTGGGCCCACTGCAAAGAATGGGATGCGGGGCCAAAGTGTGAGCGGCGGTGTCGCTGTCAGATGTGAGAAAGCAAGAAAACAAAAGGGGTCAATAGTCGATCTGAACACGCGCGTCGTTGGAAGGAATAACTTACTGTGCGACTCTCCTCGAGCGCTAGCTTCCTCGATCAACCTATTTGCAGCCATGCGCGCTGCCTTGACCCAGGCATCTGCGGCTCTCTGACTGGTGACAATCACGCCCCGATACCGCATCTGCTGCTTGAACACCCTCTGCTTGGCTTGTACGTCCCCAGATTGTGGGGTAGATGTTGCTCCGTTCTCATTTTCATGAGCTGCATGAAAAGCTGACCCTGTTTCGAGCGGGTACTGAGGTAAAACGACGTGCGTGCCGTTAATCATCCGCTCTACCAGCTCTTGGAGGTTGACATGGCTGGTGGTCAAGATCGGTATACTGGATACGCAGTATTCGATCGCATCGTCCATGAGAGCGTTGGTGATGACCTGATTGCCGCCCGTCATTTCGGTCAAACGATTGAGGAGTTTGACTTCGTCTCCATCCTTGCTCATCAGGTGGTGCGTCGTAAGCGTCGGGTCATCCACGATCCAGCGGCCTCTCCGTCGGCCGGTAGTGGACAAGTTGAGCGCGGACTTGAGGATTTCTGCGCCGGAGCGGTCCATCGGGCCCGAGAGCGTGTTCGGGTTGATTGGCGGCGGCAGCGGGGTAGAGGAGCCGCTCTCGAGCGCAGACATGGGGAACGACGGGAGGCAGAAGGAGCCGAATGCATCGTGGTATGGGTCCGTGCCTTCTGAAGAAGGGATGGGTGTGCGGAAAAGCAAGATGGAGAGCGGCGGCGGAGGAACAGGTAGAGCGTTCATGTTGAGCGGACCCACTGCACCTGAAGCCGCGACATCGGAGGCGTTGAAATCAGGCAAGGAGCCTGCGCCCGCTTTCAGCGGTGAGATGGCGTCGTGACTCAGACGATACATACCCAAGTCCAGCACTCCGCTTGTACCCCCACTGACGGACGCATGCCGCGTCATGGTGCTTGCACGAGGGTGTGACGATGGCGGAGGCGGGAATGGATACCTCTGGGCGAGGGCTGTCGGTACTGTCGAGTGAGATGCAGCAGGCTCGGCCGGGCAGCGTGAGCCCTTGTCGTGCCCTGCGTGATGGTGCCAGTCGTCTCCAGGTCCTTGTTGCTCTTGTTGACTGCGTTGACTACCACTACGTCAACAGCTTCAGAGCGTGGACGCGATGCAGTCGGCCATACATCTCGGTCGCTGTGAGAGGGTGTGAAAAACGTCCCCTTTTGCTGCTGCGAGCTGCGAAGCGCCGTTCGTCTCCGCCGTCGTCGGCGTCGTTGTCGCCGCCATGGTGATGGAAACGAAGCAAGGTTTACTAATAGTGCGGCCGTGGGTACCACAGGAGTGTGGATGGGGAAAGTGACGCTGTGCCTTGAACAGTGGAGTGCGAACGAGCTAGCCGCCAGCCCGGTCAGCTGCCAGGTTAAGTCAGGGTTCCACCGATGACTGCCCGGACACTGCCAGGGTGCCGCACTGGTCCCTTTCGTTCTGTGGCTCACGTGGTTCTCTGTCATGTGCGTCGTCAGTGAAACGTCACCATGCGTCCAGTAGAGACGCTAATGTTGATCAATCTCGTCTGTCGACTGTGGCCTGCCTGTGCCGAGTGCTGCTTTCCTATTGAACACCCTTTCCAGCGTCCTGTATCCCCCTTCGACCATATGTAAGGCGGTGCAGATTGCAGACATAGGGTAGAGTACGTAGAGTCTTGCAAGACGGAGGCGAGGAGACGAGCAGCACGCTGCGGGAAAGGAGGTGTTGAATTGCAACAAAGCCCCCTACGATCTCACATGCCTCCTGTGCGAGACCTCAATGTCCCAATTGCAACAGCTGCCGCACGCCAGGTGAATGGAGAGACGGTCAACCAAGAGTTTGACAGTGAGACGATGCGACGATGGATGCGGAGAAAATAACATACAGAGAGCAATGGCAATGTCTTGAGTCTTAGAACCTGCAAGGCACGCAGTACACGAAGCGTCCACGGCTCCTCAATGCTTCGCTCCATCATGGGTTGGCGATCATGTGGTTGTTACAGGGGCTGTCTCCTGAGACGGTGCTGCAATCCATACTTAATGGAAACGAATATCAGGAGCGAACCTTTGACCTGGAGCGCTTCCGCTTTGAATGACGGCAGGCGAGGGCTCACCCACTTTATGCATGCTCCTGCACTATCTTTTTGTTGAAATATGTCTATGCACACGCAAGGATTCATTGTACGAGTGCCATTATAGGTTATCAACTGTGAAATCGCACGCTGTAGGACAGTGGCATGCAATAGCTGACAAGTTGTCGCGCCGCTGCCACACGTTAATTTAATTGCTAGCTGAGGGTGCGGCGATGATGTACAACATCGCACACCTGCCAGCACTAGCTTGGCCCAAACAGTCCCATGCTAGTCCCTTGTCTCCGCCTTTGGCGACGCACAGGGATCTCGTCCTGAGCTCGGCCAGCGCAAGGCGGGCCTGTGTGGTTTGGGCGAGGGTCACACCAGCAGTCCATAGTCAATTTCGCAATGTGAATATCAGACTTTCACGTCTCCAATGCAGTGGTGTCCCCCCCACCCGAACCAGTCACACTCTGGCACACCATACTGACCAAAGGTGTGAGTGAGGGCGCATAGCTCTCATGCACCCAACTCATCTCAGTGAATTACAGGCCTGCCTTGAAGATGAGGGCATGTGCAGTGTGTAGTAAATTGGCATGTATGAGCGCACTGGCGCAAAGGGGAAAGCATCTGGACTCGATAGCTCTCTTTCACCTGATGAATACAAACATGATGGAAGCCCTTTAATACTGCACTTCCATCATTGTAATGGCTTCCCTTCGTTTTAGCATGAATGCAAATGAGGCGCTGCTGTCGCATCGAACAGTAATTGTTATCGAAGTTTCCTCGCGATAGTGCAGTGTATTTTCGGCTCACTGGGCAGATGAACCTCGTTCAGTGTCCCTCTTGTCATCGTTCAGATGCTCCAACTGTGGAGGCCATCCGTATCACCTTGTTAGATGCTTACCTACGTGGTATCCAATTGTGGTGGTGAAGAAGTGCACGCAACCTTTGCAGAGACGAGTTGAATCATGTTTCGGATTCTCGCTTTCATGCTTAACGCTTAGTTTTCTCTCAGTGTAATAACAGATCTGCAGAAGCACAGTGGCAAAACAAACGCAGGTTCTCGACTGATCAACAGTGGGCGACATCGATCAAGTGCAAGAACAAAGAGACAATATGTAGAAATTGAGACCAAACTGACTCTCGATATGGTTGCTGGAGCAGACCATGGAAAGCTTTGGCCTAAATTTCAGGACCTCTGGGACTTGGACTTGGGGACTTGGGAGACATCATCAAGATCGATCACACATCGCTCAATATCCCAGTTCACACGCTCACGCGTCGTGGGCTCTCAGCAATTCTTCGAGGCTGCCGGCTGCGTTCGCAGCCTTGTAGGGCCCGATGAAGGAGACTAGGGTACGGGAGTCTGGACTATAGCGACAACCTCTCTGACCGTTGTGATTTTCACTTTCAGGACTGAAGACAGGAGATTCTATGCACTGGGGTATTCTTTTTTGGGTGCAACCCGGCCCGATCGTTGGGAGGGGTCGACGAGTTCAGTAAGGGATCCCAGCGGTCGCCGTGAGGTACACTCTACGCAAGGCCAAGCTGCCGTGGCGCTGAGTGCCGATGTAACCCGAACTTAGAGATTCCCTGGCATTGTTTTTGAGCACCGCTTTACCCTTTCGGGGCCAAGTCTGGGAGCTGAAGCGACCCACCAAGGATATAAGTCCCGGTGAATTGGCTCCAAAATGCCCTGGAGTTTGCATCAGACATTTTGACCGCCCAATGCCCCCGCCCTGGCACAACTGCCAAATTGCGCCACTTTTTCGGTCAAACGCATGGTCCTAAACAGGGAGATCCCTGGATCAGCGGTAACGGCAGCACCCAAGTGATTGGCGTTGCTTGTGGGGTGTCCATGTCCACCGCCTGCCACGCTTGCGCCAGTAGCGGCGGAGATCTGAGTATCTCTGTGGAGACCGTTGCAGCAGGCTCTAGCCAGCCTGTTGCAGTGCTGGAGACTGCTCTGGCACACTGGAATCTGGAGGTTGGAGGCCCGTGCCACTTACTGATTGAGAGGGGAGAGCAGAACAACGACGTGTGGAAACCTGCCTACTCTCGGCAACGTGTCTACTGATGCTGGTTTCTTCCCCACTCGCGCGCACGCCGCCACCGGCCTCTCCGCTTCTTGGGTTGCCTCTTGCCAACAGCCAAATGTAAACCAGGACTCGCTATCACTACACTCCTTGATAGTATATGTGCACTTTGTTGCATGTCGAGGATCACCGGAAGATGGATCCTGGTGAAAGCTGCAGTGCTGGAGAGGCTGGAAGGCCGAGGTCCGGAAGTGCGACTTCGAGACACTTTTGAGGCTACGTATGTCCTGCAACGCCTGTGAATACATGTACGCGCTCCGCTCCGAATAACTAGTTTTCCTTTTCTGCCAGTTGTGGTTGTGAGCGTGTGCCTAGCCTGTGGCAGAGTCGCAGGAAGATGTCCCGAGACGCCGCCTCCTGTCTTGATTGGAAACCACCCGGACAGCCTTTTCAACAATACAACAGCATGTCGCCTCGTGGCACTTGCTCGCGCGCGTGCCGCCCTCGGCTTGCCATGTGCGCCGCCTGAAAACATTGGACCGATGGGACGCGAATCTGTGGGAATCCTCAATTGGCCCCCAGAAAATGCAATGGCTGTGTGCCGCCGCATCGTGGTAACAGCTCTGGTGCCCAACTTTTAGGGGTGGGTTTCGGTGCGATTTTGGGCAGGCCGCAAGGCGAGCAGTTTAGAGCAAGGCGGATGTTGGCGGCTCCAGTGCCTCCCCTTCCGAAAGTCGATTCCCTTCTTTTTCTCCCTACGCTCTCCGTTGTGAGGGCATCTGTCAACGCGAGCTCACAGATCACTGAGTTGGCTACGGTTGCAGCGAAACCATTCCCCTCTCGGAGTCTCTGATGAGCGGGAGAAGTACCACTCCAGTATGCAACCGTCCGAAGCCATCCCTAGCAGCAGTAGCATTCGCAGCACTCGACAGACGTCGCAGGGAATGGAATTGAACCAAGGCGATTGACTGGGCTTCCCTACTCCCTACTGGGCTCGAAGTACCATCCAGTCGAGGATCGAGAAATCCTCCCGGCCCCCCCGGCGCTCATCCAGGACGACAGAGCAGAAGGAGCTGCAAGTTGAACAAGCAGCTCAAGGACACACTTACGACTCCACACTGCTCGACTGTCTTTCGCTTAGCCCGCCAGATCCTCGTCTCATCGATTCTGCGGGGGTTTGCGAGCCTTCTCTCTGGGCAGACCTTATCTAGACCAAGCGGGGACTTTCGCACTGAAGAGCGAGCTGATTGAGCAGCACTCGGACACATTCATCCTATCTCAGACCTCGGCCCTGAGAATTATCAGCGGCACAGCCACTACCAATAGCCAGAACGGATCAGACCAGAGCCTGGCTTACTTGTGCTGAGTTCAGCCAAGGTCGTTCCTGTGAAGCAAATCCCCAACACTGTGGACTCTTTAAGAACTCGCCGCCTCGCGCGGCTCCTTTCTCATTACTAGTCCAGGGTTTCGGTCGTATTCACATTCAGATTGAGCACGGCGAGAAGGGCTTCTTAATCACACCAACCCCGCCATGGCTACGTCAACGGTCTCGGGCTTCTTGCCTAGGCGCAAGCAGTCCGTTTCGAATGGCTTTGGGGCTGAGTCGCATCATCTGAATCTGCCAGCATCGATGGTACCGCCAACGGCTTCGCCGGGGCCGGCTACATTTCCGGGGAATGCATATCCCTTTGGCGGTGGCAACAGCAGCGGTGTAGCTGGCCCATCGGGGCTACCAAATGGGCATGGACATGTTGGAGGCACGAATGGCGGTTATATGAGTGGCACTTCGACACCTGGCTTGTCGAATGCATCCACCACCTCACTCGTATCCGGCTCGACGATTGTCGCACCAGCATCAACATCAATAGGGTCCAACGCGATGGGCTTGACAGCAGTAGCAGGATCATCGTCATCAGCAGATGGTGGGATAGGTGCTTCGTTGATCCCAGGAGCAGGACCTGGTGGAGCACCCTTGCAAGCTGGCGCACCGCAAGCAGCGAACAATATGATCAACAAGCAGGCAGGTGCTGGCTCGTCACTGTATCAGAGCTGCCTCATGCTGCGAGATCGTTTGTGGAGGGTGGATGGATTCGGACCGGCCTACCTCAGCGAGAACAGCGGGGCAGACGGCAAGGATGGCGAAGACGGAGGCTCAGCCAGCCCCATTACTGATTCATACAGTCCCAACGGGCCACCATCGCCCAAGTCACGAGCCAGCTCTTCCATCAATGGTACACAATCTTCGTCAAGATCGCCCGCTGGCATGTCGGACCCCGTCACCCAGCTCTGGCAGCTCTTCCGGCTCGGCTCCCCGCTCTGCGTCCTCCTGAACCAACTGCTCCCGGCTGATCAGCACTTTCCCACCTCGGTGCCCACAGCTACAGCTGTAACAGCGCCAGATGGGACGCCAGCGCCATCCCGAAACAATGCAAACGAGTGCAAGAAGCTCGTTGCCAAGTTTATCATGGCGCTCAAGACGCATCTTGGCTTCAATACCGAGGAGATCTTCACCATCTCCCAGCTATATCTCAACGACACGAATGGCTTCGTCCGTGTCATCCGGACAGTGTCAAAGGTGCTCGATGCTTTTCAAGAGCGCGGCCTGCTCGTCCCTTCGCAGAAACCTGCGTACGAGGACGAGATTGAGGCGGCAGCGGGTGGCAGCAAGCCGGTCGATGAGCGAGCACGTGTCGTACGCGAGCTCCTGGATACCGAGCGCAAATACGTCATGGACCTCGAAACGCTGCAGGCTTTCGCAAAGTCCCTCTCGCAGAATGCTATCCTGCCAGCCGACACCATCCACAATCTCTTCGGTAATCTTAACACCATGGTGGACGTGCAGCGCAGGTTCTTGATCTGTGTAGAGGAGAACGCGAGGAGACCGGTAGATGATCAGCATTTTGGCCATGTCTTCCGGACAATGGTGAGTGAAGTTGTGCGGCTTTGTGCTGATGAACACGGTGCATGAATGCTCACAGACCCTAATCAATTGCTGTAGGAACGAGACTTCACGGTTTACGAGCCTTTCTGCGCCAATTACGCGCAAGCACTTGACATCATCAGCGCAGAGGCATCAAATATTATGGTGAGCATCAATGCTAGCTATTTTAGTGCATCCAGCAGAGCAGCATTCGCTGATACACAGTATCTTTGCTCTCAGCGCATGAGGGGCATGCCGAACACAGAAGATTGCTACTTGGAGCCAGTGTACGAGCTGCCAACTTTCCTCATCAAGCCTGTTCAGCGAATCTGCAAGTACCATCTCATCCTTGACTCACTCATCAAACGCTCCGCACCAGATGCACCATACCTTGACGAGCTGCGAGACGGTTACTCGATCATCAAAGGCGTAGCGGATCGAGTGAATGAGACGAGGCGCCTGCAAGAGAATGCACAACTCGTGCAGGAGCTCAGCACGCGCGTGGAGGATTGGAAAGGGCATAACATTCTCACCTTTGGCCATCTACTGCTTTCAGATGTCTTCATGGTCGCCAAAGGAGATACCGATCGAGAGTACCATGTGTACTTGTTCGAGAAAATCCTACTGTGTTGCAAGGAGGTGCAGCCGAACGTCAACAAGAAGAACTCCAAGTCAAACTCGCTCCTGAAGCAAAAGTCTGGGCAGATGCAACAGCCTGGCGGAAAGAAGTCGAAGACGACGCTCTTGCTCAAAGGTCGTATTTTCATCAATAACGTCACCGGGGCCTTTGCCAACAACAAAATGACTTGTGAGTGCACCGTTTTTTGCTGATTTACTTTCCACCCATTGCTGATTTCGGCCATCACTGTTTCTGGGGACGCAGCGGCTACGGGCTTGTCAAGTGGACAGCACTCATTGCAAGTCTGGTGGAGGGGTGATTACGATCAAGAGTCATTCAGTCTGCGGTGCAAAAACGAGGAGCAGCTCAAGCAATGGCAGACGGCGTTGAACAAACTCATCGAGGACGTGCAGGCCCGGCGGCAACAGCTGGCAGCGCAATACGGTGCCGGGGGCGTCTCACCGTCTGGCAACATGGCAGGCACATGGGCCCTTGGCCGTCGCATCACACAGACGCAGAGCCACTTCCCGCAGACGCCGGTCACAGAACAAGGTGGTTTCTTCCCGCTCACGCGAACCGAGTCCCAGGCCGGGTATCACTCGGGCGAAGATGTTTTCGACGACGACAAGATTGAAGGACTTCGAGAGGAAGGCGCTGCCTCGCACGACAGCTTCTCCGGACGCGGCACCCCACTCGGTGGTCGCCTATCGCAACCAGCCGAGACAAGAGATCGCAAACTCTCCCTATCCCACGAGATGCTGCGTCCGCGTGCTCAGACCGCGGATCAGGACTCGGCGACCATGTCTCAGTGGCGAGCGCAAGCTGGGGTACCTCCACCTGTGCCGAGGCAGAACTCGGTCAGCGCTACCACTTCCGCAGAACAGACACTACGCAAGGCTTCCAGCAGTCGACAGCTCAGACAGCCGGTCGGTTACGCAGCACAGGGCTTCTCTGGGTATCCACGACCGCCTCGGCAGGGTAATGATGTGCCCAATGGCGAGGCTGCTGATGCGAGCGTCTTCATGAACGAGGCTGCGGACCGAACGGTGACGCCTGGCTCTGCCGCTCCGCAAGATGACAAGAGAGGCTCAGCGCACAGTAGGAGCCGCTCAGCGAGCAACCCGCAAGCTTTCCACTTGCCAGCTACGATGCAGCACCTTCGTCAGCAACCGCAGCAGCTGCGTGCATCACCCGCGTCGACCATACCAAGCAAGGACCAGGCGCGGAGCAGCAGTAGCCAAGGAGGGCCGAGCATGTTGAGCTATCTCGCCAGCGATGCTAGAGAAGTCGACAAGCGCTTGTCGAGCTCCAGCGTCTCGACTGTCGACTCGGTACGCTCGGCACGCTCGCGTCCCGATTCGACGACCGGCAGCTCACCCATCACACGGAGCGGCAGTTCGGGGGGCTCTGGTGTCGGCTCTCAACCGAGTCGCCCATCCATAAATGCACAGGCCGGGTCGAACGTCATCAAACTGATCGTCCAGGTTGGAGAGGACCGCTTCACGCAGGCGGTATTTGCAACAATTTCGTTTGACGACCTTGTTTTGAAGGTCGCGAATAAGGTGCGCGTCTGCGCCGGCCGTGGCTCCATTCCAGAAAGTGGCATCAAGCTGCGGTACATTGACGAGGACGGGGATCGTATCATCATGAAGAACAACGATGATGTTCAGATGGCTTTCGAAGGCGCACGTTTGGGGGGCGGTGACGTGCACCTCATTGTGTCGTAGCAAGAAGGGCGACAACGAAGTTCTCGCTCCATCGGCCTCTCACCTCCACTGGCTCCAACACGCATTCCTCGTTGAGCATCTGCCCAACAAGGCACTCCATACAATCTGCATCTACACACCTATGCATCGGTGACATCTCTAACTTACCGGATGTCTCAATATATCTTGCATCTCTGTCGCATACAATCGCCACAATCCTGCCTGGCCGAGCGCTGTCGCTTCTCAGCGCGCACAACGACAACGCTTGTTTCCTCGTCTACGGTCTTCTACGGCCGGGCATGGATGCTGATCTTAGCTTCGTTTCTTTTGGGCTCCTCCACGTCCTCATCATTATGAAACTGATGAGGGTGTCAGTGCCGGGCTTAATCAATTCGTTTTCCCCTGGGCTGTATGCTTCCTTCACACCATTAGGCACCGCGTCGGAAAGGGAAGTCCCCACTATCTATGGCTAGGCCATCAAAGTTGTATTTGTAAGGCATGGTCGTTTCGGCTCAATGCTTCTAGCTTGAAACATCAATCCAAATTTCTAAAGGCATGTCGAGACGGAGCAGGGGAAACAAAAGCAATCTAGAGACGGTGTGGAGAGTACAAGCGAAATTGGCTTCTCGAGAGCAGCGGGCGGCTCGAAATGATTACACCGCGTTGGGCCCCTTGTCAAATCGAACCGGCTGTCCGGGCCTTCCTTCGGACATGAGAACGACTGCATACTTGCCAGAGATTCTCCAGCCAGGCTCCTCCTGATCCAACCTCTGAGCGATGGCGTTATCGACGCCAACGACGACGTCCGACTTGATCGTCCTCAGGGAAATCACGGGTGGCGCGCCGTCCTCGCTTGCGAGCGGGCCGATGGCAATGTCAAAGGGCGTGTCACTGGGACTGCACGGAGTGAGCAGGGATGAACAGGGCCGCTGCATCAGTAAAATGTTGAGGGACAACCGCTTAGCATTGTTCCATGAGCGACTTACGCTTGGCAATCGTAAGTCAGCTTTCGGTGGTTCAGATCGCCCTTGAAGAAGACGCAGTCCGAGTCGGCAAGGTGCAAGAACAGGTCAGGTGCCTGTGTACACAGAATAACAACTCGTCAGATGTCGGGAATGACGCAGTGACAACCCTCGCCTCGCGTGCACGTAGCCGCTGCTCACCTCGCCCGAGATGGACCAGAAGGTGTAGCCCTTGGATTTAAACAGAATCAAAAGGCAGTGCAGATTGGGTCAGCAATTGGGAACTAAAAGCCACTCGTAGACTGCTGTAACCTGCGCATCAGAAGCGCAGATAGCTGGCATTGGTACTCACAGTGCACCAGAATGGATGTTGCTCATAGATCCACTTGCCCTGCCTGACATAGCTCTGCCATCTCTGACCCAGAGACTTGAGCGAAGCGAGCTCGGCGTCGGTACCGTTGGGGAAAAGGCTTCCGTAGACCATGGTATTGATGAGCCAGTCAAAGTCCTTGCGCGTGACGTCAGATACAAACCAGGGCAGGCGCTTGCCGTGGAACCGGACCTCGGATGCGATGCCCGACTGGATTAGCCAGTCGGCATAGACCATGTCGCAGTACAGCTCGAAACCTGCACATACACACATACAATAGTTTGACCATGAGGTGAGATGCGCTGCTCTGATGACGAGGGCGGAATGCACTCACCGGCATTGTCCAGAACAAAGTCAATGCGTCCATTTTTCATCTTGCCAAGCAAGCTCCACAGCTGCTCGAGGTGGTTACCAAGGATGTTCTTTTCTGTGTCTGCCAGGTGTTCCCCTCCGGTGGACTGCAAGTTTCTGATGTCTTCCTCGGTCATGTTGATCAGCAGTGACAAGTCGGTCTGCGAGTAGAGCGATGAAGAAGGTCATGTTTCAGAAGTATTTAGAATCTGCTTGGGTGAACGCGACTCACAGCGTTACCCCAGAGCGAGACTTGCGTCAGCTCGTGGAAGAGGAGCTGTTTGGCCTTTGACTTTTCATCTCTTGTCGCGCCAGGCTCGTGCTGGAACGGCTCTGCGAATCTAGTTGAAAGCTCGAACACTGCCTGACTGGAACGCGAAAAGGTATCGCACTTTTGCCTGAAGAAGACGTCGTAATCCTTCCAGTACTTTGACACGCTGAAGCACTCGTGTAGACGGCGGTACTTGTACGCCTCGGCGAAGAGCCAAGGTGCGTTCATGAATGTCTTGCCTGTAGCGTTGTTTGTTTATGGGCAAGAGCGTGCACAGGAAGAGGAGGGGTGAGCCTGATACCATCAACTCGGCGAAATCGAGCCCGCTCACCTCGGAAGAATTTGGCAATCTCTTTGTTCCACAGGGATACATCAGCTTCCGAATCATCAATGATCGGCCTACAAAAAAAGTTTAAACGCTTCAGTCAGCAGCCGGCGCCAATCCACGGGGGCGACCGAAAGGTCTACTCGCACCTAAGCTTGGCGTTGTTGTTCAAATCCTTCATGAGCTGGTTCATCCGACTGACGCACGCAGCCAAGTCGGTGATCTTGTCTTCGTCGTGCTGTTCGTTAAGCGTGCGGATCGTATCGTCGATCGCCTTGCCCAAGATCGTCGGGAGACGCTTGCCCATCGTCTCGTGGGCAAAAGAGAACTCGTGGTAGCCTCTGTATGCGGGCCATGGCGGGTTGTTGGGATCCACGCGCGATGGAGTTCGTGGAGTGTCGCGCTGATCAATCGAGACCAGGGCGAAGAAGGGAGGTCAGCCGAGGGACGAGATGAATAGCGCTCTCGCTCACGCTCCCTCCTACGAATGCCCGCATCCGACTCACATCAGGAAGAATCTTCTTAGGCGGCAAGTTGCCCAAGTTGAGCACCGTGCGAGCTGCCGGTCGGGCAGAAGGGTGTGATTTATCGGTCATGGTGTGGCTCACAAGCACTTGCTTCGTTTCCAAGAGCTGTTCAGAGGCGAACAAACAAAGGAGTAGTGGGGCGATGAAGAGGGTGACTTCCTTCCAAAGTGAAGGATTCCAACGTGAGCGGCCCTTTTATTAGTCGTTGATACACTGTGGAGACCTTCGTGCTCTACGAAGCCTTTCATCGGCGATTGCAATATGCTGCGAGACTGTTGGACAGTGCATAGAATGGACGCTGGGTGAACAGAAACGATGTGATCGAGAGCCTTGTCCTTCGCAAGCAGTTGGTGAAACGCATTGGCACTCTCTTGACGGCAGGCGGGGCACCACAACAGAGCGAGTCAGACTCTGCACGGGGGCAAGCCGCCCGCAGGCAGCCCCCCCCCTCCAGCGGAGCGCGCCAGGCGTGTCCCTGATGCAAGGTCCGTGCGCAGTATGCAGATTGCAGGCATTCGGATAGCTAGGATCCACAAGGAGGTGGTTTTTACAATCGAGAGAACACCAATGACTTATTGGAAAGACGCCGATGCGGTCATGTCTATGTCACTGTCCACAACGTCCCACTTCAACCTCTGTACAGATGCTCCAAATTCTAGCACGTCAAGAGGCAGCGTGTTCAAGTGTTATATAAACATGCTTACTATACGGGTTGAGGGCACGTAAATCCGGCCTCCCTTGCAAGCGGTGTCCGTCGTTCTCCCTGTTCTCCATTACAATGGGCGCCGCGTCTGTCTACCCTACCTTTCTCCCCGCGCGACTTGGCTCCAAGAGCTCTTGAACTTCTTGCCTGCCTTCATGTTGGACAGAATGAAAAGAACACTAGCGACAACGCTGATTAGCACAATTTTTGCTGCATGTGCAGACGCGAGCGCATTGCAATTGCCGCGGTTGCGACGTGGAGACCTAGCGGGGCAGGCGCTGCGGAACAAGAGTTGATGCAACAAGCTTCAGCGATTCGCTTTTTCGAACCAAGCTGTGCAAGTATGCTCGTACTTCGCGAAGGAGATACTCACAGAGGATGACGGCTCCAATTTGTCTGATAGCATTGACGAGTGTGTCGAAGATCGCTTTGATCGCATTAATGGATAGTGCCAAATGGCAACAATGATGTTAACAAGTCCCTGGATCAGGTCGGTGATTCCGCTAACGAGAGACGAGTTGGCCATACATGTTTCTCTGCTATGCTCGCCTGGTGAATTATGTAGAATTTGTTGCTCGCTGTATCTTCACATAAGTGGATGCATCTGTTCGCGTGACCAGAGATTCGGCGAATCCACAAAGCCTCTTTTGTATCCTTGCTCGACATATGTGAGGCAGTGCTGGGGCAATGAAGGAGTCACGACTCGGCCCTGTGTTCAATACGGCACGCACTACTTAGTCCCCGCCTGCTCGCGAAAGAGTGACGTTGATTCAAGCGCACGACGTTGATTCAAGCGCAAAAAGCGACGTCAGCCCTGTACTGGTCTCCATGTGTGGCTCCTCCATCATCACTCAAAGACGCCCTTTAAGCAGACCACTCGCTACACACAAGCAGGAGTAACATGATTCACCAAAAGCTCCGCGCTCGGGCGCACGAATTTCTTTCTCATTCGCATTTACGGGCGGCTTTTAGACCAACTACAATCACGCTGGCGCGAACCAGTGGGCATTTGCTATCCATTTCGCCTTCGGCCCACATGCTAAATTTCTCTCTCTATTTGAGTTCAGGCGGACGTCATCCTCTTTTCTGCCTCCTTGAAGTTTATTACATCCCTGCGGAGCGCGAAGTGAGCGTCAGTAAGTCGACAAGCGCCCGCAAAAGGAACCACCGGGAGGCAGGCTGTACGCAAACCCACCAGATGGCCTTGAAGTAGTCGGCCTTGACGTTCTGGTACTGCAAATAGTAAGCGTGCTCCCACGCGTCGATGCCGATGAGTGGGATGTGGGCTAAGAGGGCATGATAATCAAGATATCAAGGTAGAATCAGCGAATGTTTCCCTCCAACAGCTTGCTAGGCTTAGGACTCACTGATGAGAGGGTCTTGGTTGGCCGTAGTGACGATGTCCAGCTTGCCCTTCTCCTTGTCGTAGCCGAGCCACCCCCATCCGGAGCCCTGGATGCCCGCGAGTGCTGTGTTCATCTTGCTCTTCAGGCCATCCAAGCTGCCAAAGTCCTTCTCGATCTGCTGCTGCAGAGGACCAGCGCTGAGCTCTCCTCCACCTTGCTTGGGAGGAGCCAGGTTGGTCCAGAACAGAGAGTGGTTCAGGTGACCACCGCCGTTGAAGTTGAGCGCCTTTTGGGTTGCGATCGCCTTCTTGACATCCTTCTTGGCCAGCGCATCGCTCATCGCCTCTTCGGCCGCGTTCAGATTGGTGACGTATGTGTTGTGGTGCTTCTGGTGGTGCAGCTGCATGATCTGCGCGCTGATCGCGGGCTCGAGCGCCTGCATTGCGGAAAGCAAAACACCCAGGTGCAAACAAGAACCCAAGTCGCCGCACAAGTAATGCAAGAACGATAAGTGTGTGAGGCATACAATAACGTTCGTGAGTCTCCTTTCCAATGAGCTTTAACTGATTGTATCCGAAGCATATACACCAGTCCCTTCACTTACACCGAAATCGTACGGAAGGTCGGGCAGAGTATGCTTGCTGCGAACAGCCATAGCGACACCAGCCCTGCGGGCAGGCGCACTTGCGCGGACAGCGCCGGCCACGGTCGAGCGGGTCAGAGCAGTGCGGACCATCGTTACTTGAATATCTCGTCTTGCTGTGCGTATGCAGTGCTGAGATGATCTACGAGTCGTCAAGATCCAGGATCTGGACACCACGCCTGGTAGGTGAGAAGTAAGAGGTGGAGTGCAATTCTCATCCCAGATCGATGATGAAGTCATTGATTCTCACCGACTCTCGACGAGACGATGTGGCCGCTGTGCTGGGACGGGACCCGTCCAGCGTCCCAGAGGTGCCAGCGCGCTCTCTCTCTCCTCGCCTCACTCGCTTTCTAATCTCGCCCCCTTGCGTGTTCATCGCAAGTTCTCAAGTTTCGGTGCAACCTTTTTTTTCTTTCGACGCCTCCCAAGTTCACGCAGCACGCTGCAGCTCGTGACTGTGCGGTGCTCGCACTGGCGCCACATTTTGTATTTTACCATAGCCTTTTCATGCACTCTAGGTCATCTCACTTCGCAGTCTTTGCAGCATCTTTCTGGTTGTTCATGCTGGGGAGCTCAACTCAACCGACAGCCTTCCAAGTCATCATCCTCGGCACGCGCACCCATTGGACTCACAGCAATGTCAGCTGCAGCCGATCCCCTCTCCCTGCAGGAAGGCGGCACATCATATGACCCTTTCCCCACCTTTAAGTACTCCGGGCCCCTTCGGCCTGCCTACCCGCTCTCGCCCAAGTCAAAAGTACCCTCGCACATTGTCAGACCCAACTATGCGCGCGAATCGGTGAGCATAATTTCCAGAGAAGGCATCAGGCTGCAGTGGGATATGTGGTACGAGGTGCGCACCTGCTCGCATTTCTTTTCCATGTGCAGGTGTCTGTTTTGCGACGACGGCTCCAATGTTCCAACGGGGTGATCGCGAACATTAACTTGGATGCTGATACGTGCTGGTCGCTTGTCGAAGTTTTTTCAAAGCAAGAACATCAAGATTAACAGCAAAGAAGAGCAAGAAGGTGTACGCAAAGCTGCTATTGTGAGCGTTGCACAGTACAGCTTGTCATGCGCTGGCGTGGTCGATACTAAATACCTTCTTGTCACGCACTATCGCTTATTAAGCTCGCCCGAGAGGTCCTCGACATCTGCGGTGCAGCGGTACGACCGGGGATCACAACGGATGAAATCGACCGGATATGCGTCGAGGAAGCGATCAAGCGCGACTGCTACCCATCGCCTTTGGGGTACCATGGCTATCCAAAGAGCATCTGCACGTGAGTGTGGATAGTGCAGAGCGACAAGTACACACACGTGTTGAATCACTTGGGACCGTTCTTCAGATCAATAAATGAGGTTATCTGCCACGGAATCCCCGACCAGACCGTCCTCAAAGATGGAGACACGATCAATCTGGATGTGACGCTGTTTCACAAAGGCTTTCATGGCGACTTGTAAGTCAAGCTTTACTTGTCTGTCGTTTCACACAATTTTGCTTACTGACTCGTTGCCGTCCCCATCGGTAATAGGAATGCCACCTACGCAGTTGGCGAGAAGGCGCGAGAGAATGCAGACGCCATGAAGCTCATCAAGACCGCTCGAGCCTGTCTCGACGCGGCGATATCCCTATGCGGACCCGGCATCCCCTATGGTGCGATTGGGCATGTGATTCAGCCACTCGCTGAAGCACAGGGGTGCGCAGTGGTGAAGAACTATACCGGCCACGGCATTGGCCGTTACTTCCACGGTTCGCCGACCGTCTTCCATCACAAGACCAAAAAGGCATATGGCGTGATGCAGCCGGGACATATTTTCACAATCGAGCCAATGCTAAACTTGGGCGACAAGTGGCAGGATCTCAGTTGGCCGGACGACTGGACCGTCACGACAACCGACGGCGCGTGGTCTGCCGCCGCGGAAGAAACGTTGCTCATCACGGAGAATGGCGTCGAGGTGCTCACCGCGCAAGGTGGACCAAGGAAGTACGACACGACGAAGCGCAGGCAGGCGTGGGCTGTGCAGCAGCAAGCCCAATCAAAGGCCAAGTGAAATGTTGCATCGTTTATCCACGCTTGAACTTTAAAACTGCTCGTCTGAGCGCCAACCCATTTCTCTGAGGCGCATGTGGTGCAGCAAATGTTCTGAAAGAAGGCGGGGAGGTGATATTACAAACACGGACTTTCTCCGAGTACGAGCGGTTGACGTGCGTCATGCTGACTTCGTACAAGTACAATGTCAGGAGGGTGGAACAAGTTAAAGACAAAGTAGTATGTGGGTTGCTCGCAGCGCTCAGCGGCAAAGCAAGCGAGCGTGTCGTGATTGGTAGCAGTGGTGGGGTCTGCAAGAGGGAGTGATCCGGAACAAGTGCAGGTAGGCCCATATGCGCTTCCGCCGATTGTGATCCGCCTTGTTGCCTGGGCTGTTGCATGGTAGCAACTAGAGTGGGCGAAGCGCTGCAAGGGTCGCAGGTCTTAGGCACGTGCTGCCTTCTCCCTCTCGTGACGCGCCTTGTCCGCATCGGCTTGCGCAACATATGGCCTCTTCTGGTCGTCGGTCATCTGCTTCCACTTTGCACCGAGAAGACGCCCCACGTCACCTGCATAGTATCAACGAAAGGGATTTGACCGGACAGCGTTGCCACATAGCGAACAATACGGCGCGGTGATTGTGTCGGGGAAAGACATGGGCGGCAAGGAGAGATGCGTTGGCAGAGAAAACACGGTCAGCGCACGAATGTGCATCGGAGACGCATGTGGGCGCGCTTCTGCAGGCACCGACAGCTAAAGCAAGCATACAGGATCAAGGCGCGCGCATGCCTCTCGCAATGATGTTGAATTGCAACAGTCGCGCCCACACGGTACCAGAGATGCATTCTTGTCCTTTCCTACGGTTCAACAAACTCACCAAAGCCAGCCTCTGGGTTCTCGAGCTTGACCTGTTCGCGCTGCGCTTGGCTGAAGTACATGTATGCAGAGAGAGGCTTCTTGATTGCGTTCGGGTCCTTGGATTTCTTGGTCTTCCGAGTAGTAGACGACGCAACCTTTGCATTTGCTTTTGGCGCCATTTTGAACGGCTGTATGCGCGTCAAACGGGTTAGAGGGAGCAAAATATTTCAAGCGTCAGTCTTGGTTTCTATATTGCCATGGAGGACAAGAAAGCCGCGAGTGTGCGATACGTGCTGCCGGAAAGCCCATCATGACGAACCCAAACGACACGTCTCGATTGCTGCGAGGTAGCATCAACGCGTCCCGGAAAAGCCCTGGAACCCCAGCAGGTCTGGAAAACGCGTTTACGGCGTCTTGGGGGAGGAGGCAGCCCTATGGCGGCTTCGGAACGCGTGCAGCGGGCCCCGTGGAGCCAGCAGAATATACTCACATTCTGTTGACAAGCAAACGCGATGGAATGCGTGATTTGATGGCATCAACAGAGGTCAATACGGGCGTTTATATGGCTCAGTCAGTGGGGACCAATTGTGGAAAGAGAGGGACTCATGCTTACCTTGACTATACGGTGTGGGATGCTTGGATTTGCTATGAGCTGTGTCTTTGTGTTGGTCTCTCTGGCTGCGGCGTGGTAGTGGCAGTTGTGGGTGACTGGGTGGGCGGATGAGTTTTGGCAGGGGAGACAATATGGGCGACTGGTGGGTGAGATGCGCGGATGGTTCTGCCAGCGACGGTTTGACTGCGCTCGATTGTCAAAGGCCAAGCGGCAAGGCGACAGATTGAGGGAGGGAGGGCCTAGGCCGTTCCGCCCCAGCCCCACCGCATGCGCCCTGTGTACGGGTGAAGTGACTCGAAATGGAAACACGGCGCCGAGTGGCGTCCAACGAGGACCACGCCAGCAGGGTGGCTCAAAATCCGGAATAATACGGGGAAACGCGTCTCGATTCCGGGTCTCGTTCTTGCGTTAACTCGGTTGCAATGGGGACTTTGGCTCGGCCCCTGGAAAAGCCTCTGGTATCTCCGCGACCCTCGGCGTGATCCCCGAAGGTATTGGATTCTCACGGGCCACACGCCTTCTGCACCGGAAAATTGGGGGATGATGTCGAGAGAGGGTCGGCAAAGATGTCTTGTCTGCTGTGGCTTGAGCCACCAATTTTATGCTGGGCCGCCGGCCCCCTTCGCATAGTCAAATACTAGCATTGAGAGTGTTCTGCACTGCGATGCTGCCGTGCCCGAGGATCAGGCGAGGAGCCCCGCCCGCCCCACCCTTGTAACCTTTGGTCCTCATGCCATGGGGCTCTGGACTTGCGCCTTGCGGCACCAACCCGTTATGGACTTTGGGGCAGCTCTATGGACCCAAGGGAGTTAAGACGATGACGAACGCGCGTCAATGACATCTTTGCGTCCCTTTAACTCATGCAGTCTCGTTCACTACAGTCGGAAAACGGCTTCGCACGGCGCTGAGGACAAACTCGAGCACAGTCTTGTCCTGCGTGCTTGACCAGGCTTGAGCTGACCATTGTTCCTCGTCGTTTGGTCTCTTGAAATAGGGACGTTCTCCCTGCCTAGCTACGCTCCCTGTAGGTCCATCACAATCCTCTACATGAGATGCCTTCGACAGCTCAGAACCAACCTAGTGTGCCGCATCCCCTGGAGGGCGAGCACGTTCCTCAAGGCGATGAGTTGGAGCACATCGCAGGTTTGTTTGAGCAGATGATCAATGAGTCGTCTCACCCTGATCACCGTGAGTGATGCCCCTTGTAGTCTCACATTTCTACGACGACATAGGTATGACCTTGCGGTAACTGACTAAAACTGTACTCTTGCAGCGGAGAAGCTGCGTCCCTTAGCAGACGGCCATGGCGCTCTGACGCCCGGAGCTGCTTCGACCCACGCACACGGAAAATGGTGGAAGAAATTCTGGCCGGACCATCTAGAAGAGAGACTAGACAAATTGTTCAATCAGCATCATATGGGAAACTACGTTGCTATTCGAGCCCAGAATGGCAGACCGCAGACGGAGGTCTTCGAGAGCATGCCTATTTACGTTCGAGGTGCGCTTGATCAGCCCAGACACAGAGGGGAGCTATATGGCTAACGCTTTTGCCATGTTCCTCAGTTGGCATGCAGTCAGTGAACCAATAACCTGGCCCCATGCTCTGCCCGTGCTGAATTCGTATCCCCTCTGTTACAGCTTGCTTTTCTCTAGTAGCCAGGATAAGTCCTTGCTTAGATACAAAAGCATCGAGGAGCTGCTTAAATCCTCGTCTATTCGGCAGGGACGGGTTTATGATGACAGCTCGAACCCGAAGGCCGTGCTTGAACACATTCAATCATTCATCGCAACTTATTCGCTTGACACGTCAGAGCTGCTGAACCCGGATCCGGCATCGTATACCTGCTTCAATGAGTTCTTCTACCGTAAGCTCAAGCCTGGTGCGAGACCGATCGCAAATCATGAGAACGATCGGGTCATTTCATCGGCTGCGGATTGCCGAATGACCGTCTTCAGTAGCGTAGACGAGGCCAAAGAGATCTGGGTCAAAGGCAAGAAGTTCACCATTGGAAACCTACTCGATGATCAGAAGTTGGCCGACGAGGTGTTTACGCCAGGTAGCGACGTCGTCATTTTTAGACTCGCCCCTGCCGACTACCATCGTTGGCACTCGGCCGTTGGCCCCGCTGTGGTTGGTGCCACGAAGCAGCTTGCAGGAGAATACTACACTGTCAACGTGAGTCTCGTCTCGATCTGTTGAAGACCAATGAGCTCACGCGACCCTCCCCCGTTGTCTTGCAGCCTCAAGCTGTCAACGAAGACTTCAATGTTTTCACCGCCAACAAGCGCGATGTGATGATCATGACTTGGAAACCATCAGGCCTGCAACCCATTCCAGTAGCCAGCGTTCATGTCGGTGCGATGCTTGTCGGCTCCATCGGTTACGATGTCGCGCAAGGCACCAACGTGCAGCGCGGCGACTCCATTGGATACTTTGCGTATGGCGGTTCAACGGTCATTCACATCTTTCCGCCGCAGGCCAAGATCAAATGGGACGACGATATTCTGGCAAACAGCCGGAAGAACCTGGAAACTATGGTTCGCGTCGGGGACCATATGGGTGAAGTGCAGAATTGAGCTTTATTTCCATCAAGGTGGTAAGCGCAGAGCATCGAGCATCTTCGGTCGACATTACATGTATACCAAACCTCGCTAAAGATTCAGTCCGGCGGCGGCTCGCGCTGCTTATTTTGTACGTGCAAATGCGCTCGGACGCATAGGGTAAAAAGCATAGATGGGGTTGCACTTGAATCTGTCGGGGGTGGTCTTGACACTTGCTTCTTTTACGGTGCGCAAATGGTCCGATTAGCTATTCGGATTGAAACAAAAAGGAAAGAAAGACAGCACCTCGTGCCCTACTAATCGCCCAGTGCCCCCATCCCATGTGTGTTGTGTCTGCAACCTACTGGCTACTGTGCGTACATGCGTTGCTTCATCGCCTCAACTTTCTCTCTCTTCGGCCGAGTGTTGGTTTCGCGCTTCGCGTCCAGTTGCGCTCGTTGCCAAAATTCATGATCCCCAAAGAGAGAGTTCTTCGGCAGATTTAATTAGTTCAACCCCCCTCTCAACTTCGCCTCGAGCCGCTCGACTTCCATTGCTCATCTGGCTTGATTTCTTTTAGCAGTCACGCTGAAAGGCAAGCAGGGACGCTGGAGAACAGTTGCGAGACTTGGAAGCTGCCCCTGAGATATCGCCAGAATTTGGGCACCAGCAACTCGCTGCGGAAAGCTTCTCGTATCTTCCCACCCACCGTCGAAGCCGAGGCTGCCAGCCCAGTCCCTTACGTTCTGCCCCAAGTGAGCTAGATCTCCGCTGCTTTGACATACGCAGACAGAGGAGGCACAAAGATCGCTGGAGGAAGTAAAGCTTGTCGACCGGAAACAATTTTCCCAGCCCAGTCAACTCCGTTGCCCAAGATGAACGCTGGCGAACTTCTTACAAATACGCTGTCTCCGGGTGAGCCACCTTATTCCACTATATCTGCCCTATGATGGGATGGTCTGTACTGCTGGTTGAGCTGCTCACTTACACCCTTCGTGCTCACCTAAAATATCAGACGCCAACGTTCGACAGGATGCCGAACAGAAGCTCGAGGTTGCCGCGCGGGAGAGCTATGTGAGGTCCTCAGCTTTGTCAGAAGACCCTGACTACTTTTGCTGATACAAGCCTTTGCTATCCGATAGCCGTCGTACATGATGATGCTCGCCGCCGAGCTTGCCAGTGAAGCAGCTCTGCCACACATTCGAGCGGCGGCTGGTGTCGCGGTCAAGAACGCCCTCTCTGCGCGCGATGCCGCTCGTGCGACCGAGTACGCAGGACGCTGGCTTGCACTCGACGATGCGGCCAAGCAAGATGTCAAGAGCAAGTCTCTTCAGACTCTCACCACAGAGAACTCGCAGGCTTCAACGCAGGCGGGTCAGGTCATTGCCGCCATTGCAGCGATTGAAATCCCGCAGGGCGGGTGGAAAGACCTGATCGCGCAATTGCTCGCTGCCAGCCAAAACCAAGGTAACGCAAAGCTGAGACAGGCAGCCCTTCAGGCAATTGGGTTCACTTGCGAAAGCTTGGTGAGCACGACGAAGTTGAAGTGTACGGTGGAGATTGACATTGACTCGGCTCTTACGATCCACAGCAAAGCACTGACTCACTCCGAGATCAATCGAATGAGATCCTCACAGCTGTCATTCAGGGTGCACGGAAAGAGGAGCCGGTACCACAAGTGCAACTAGCAGCCCTTCAAGCCTTGTTGAACTCTCTCGTGTTTGTGCGGGCCAACTTTGAGCGGGAAGGAGAGCGAAACTACATTATGCAGGTGATCTGCGAGGCAACACAGAACCAGGACAGCAACATCAAAGTCGCGGCGTACGAATGTTTGGTCAAGATCATGTCGCTGTACTACGACAAAATGCGCTTCTACATGGAACAGGCGCTCTTCGGCTTGACAGTTCTTGGCATGAGGGATCCAAATCAGCAGGTCGCACTGCAGGCAGTCGAGTTCTGGTCGACAGTCTGCGAAGTTGAGATTGGCTTGACGCTGGAGGCGGAAGAAGCGAGCGAATACGGCGAGGAGCCAAGCAGTATCTGCTTCCAGTTCGCACGGATAGCCAGCTCCGAGATTCTCCCAGTCTTGTTGGATCTACTTAAGCAACAGGAGGAGGACGCAGACGAGGACGAGTGGGACGTTTCAAAGGCGGCCGGTGTATGCGTCGGCTTGCTTGCGCAGTGTGTCGGAGACCCCATCGTCCCGATCGCCATTCCTTTCATCGAAGGCAACATCAAGAACCAGGACTGGAGATCTCGGGACGCAGCAGTGATGTGCTTCGGTTCCATTCTGGATGGACCTGACGCGAAGACACTGGCGCCTCTGGTCGAGCAGGCCCTGCCGAGCATCATCGAGATGCTTCGAGACACCAGCGTGCCTGTCAAGGACACCGCCGCGTGGACGCTTGGTCGGATCTCGGACTTGCTTGTCAACACGATCGATGGGGAGCGCGTCTTACCGTCGCTGGTGCAGGCTCTTCTGGCTGCACTGCACGACCAGCCTCGCATCGCAACCAACTGCTGCTGGGCCATCATGAATCTGTGTGAACAAATGGGCGGACCAGCTCAGCCGATCGCTGAGAACGTCGATCTGGCACCAACCTCACCCATTTCACCCTTTTACGAAGCCATCATCTCCAACCTGTTGCAGGCAACGCAACGCGATGGCAACGAGTCCAACTCGCGGACATCTGCGTATGAGGCCCTCGCGACTGCTGCAAACAACGCTGCCAAGGACTGTCTGCCGCACGTGAGCAACCTGCTCGTCGCTGTCCTCGAAAGGCAAGAGCAGCTCAATGGCATGGCCGCCCAGCTCGTCGGCATGGACGACCGCAACAACTGGGCTGAGCTCCAGAGCAACCTTTGCTCTGTCATCCAGGCTATCGTCCGGACATTGCAGAAGGAGATCATGCCCATTGCAGACCGCATCATGACCAGCCTGCTCACGCTCATTCAAAATGGAACCAAGCTGCCAACTGCACTCGAAGACGCGTTCCTTGCCGTCGCTGCTGTCATCTCTGCGCTTGAAGCGGACTTTTCCAAGTACCTCGATGCCTTCCTGCCATTCATGGTGCAGAGTCTACAGTCGCACGAGGAGTACCAGCTCTGCTCCATTAGCGTTGGCCTCATCGGTGACATTTGCCGAGCACTCGGAAAAGGATCGGCGCCATATTGCGAGACCTTTGTCAAAGTGCTCTTTGAGAATCTTTCGAGTCCCACTCTCAACCGAAGTGTCAAGCCACCGATTCTCTCGTGCTTTGGCGACATTGCCATTGCTATTGGCGCTCAATTTGAGCCATACCTGGCCACGACCATGACCGGTCTCGGGCAAGCGGCACTTATGCAAGCCCCCAACCCGGAAGACTATGATTTGATCGACTACATCAACAGCCTTCGCGAAGGCATCGCCGAGGCGTACGTTGGCATCGTGTCGGGTCTGCGCTCAGACAACCGCGTCGATCTTCTTCAGCCGTACGTGGAGAGCACCTTCGGCTTTGTCAAGATCGTCAACGACACGCCGTTCGAAAGGAGTGAATCGCTTCTGCGTGGCGCGATCGGGCTACTCGGCGACCTGGCAAGCGCCTTCCCCAACGGACAACTCAAGGACGCGTTCAGGCAGATGTGGGTTCCGGAGCTCGTCAAAGCAGGGCGAGCAAAGGGCAACGGGTCGGAAACGCGCAAGATCTCCGCGTGGGCACGCGAGCAGATCACGCGAGCCGTTACTGCCAGTGGCTAGGCGCCTTGTGCTGTCGTATTCTCACCTGTAACACTTCCTTGGCATCAGCATAAACAGCCGGCCCAACCCGCGCTGTTCCCATCGCATTCTCATTTCCAACTTAGCGTCTGCCTCCTTCCATTCACTGTTAAATTTTTCTTTTTACACCGGGTCTTCCTCATCACCGTGGCCAACATCCGACTTTTCTCGACCTCCCCTCGTCCTCAAAAGACTTTCCCCGCGCAAGTCATCGGGGCATCAAGAGTCCAAACACACCATCACTGTAATACCCGCTCCTCCCCTCCTCTCTCCACGATCCGCCTCAGCTTTTGTGCGATCGCTCGACCCCTGTCCGGGCGTATTTAGATTGTAAAAGGCATTTTCCACCACGCAGATCAAGGGATACAGGAGTAGAGGAACATGAATCCCATGCATGTAATACATTGATGCAATCGGCAAGGATTGCCATATATCATTCTTTAGACTGTCAATATAACGACAAAAGTTCGAAACTGAACGAACAGGCGCGTAACGAGCTTTACATCACATGACAAGACAGCCTGCACCGCCGTTCCGGCTCGACGCATGCTGTGCATTGACTTCCTTCATTCGTTCAAGCATGGCTTGCACACCTGCCACGCTCGTCGCAGCCATTCCCTCGTCCCACCAGACGCAGAGCGGTCCATCGCGGATGCTCGGGGTGCTTGCGGGGTTGCTTGCGGACGAAAGATGGTCGAGGTGGGAAGCCGGCTGCTTTTGGTGCTGGGGGTGTTGCTGCTGCTGCTGAATAACTGATGGATCATCGCCTTCGGTCTCTGGCGTCATCGCCGGCTCGATCGGAGGCCGCGGTAGCGAGTCTACCGTGAGGTCCGCATCGAGTAAGCGCACGTGTCGCTTGCGCTCTGCGGCATCCTTTGCAACCTGCGCTTTCATCTGCAGCTGACGAATCTTGCGTAGAGCCGCCGCTGTGTTCGGCCTCACACCAGTCGACGAGCCAGCACCCGCGCCTGCCACTCTTGCGCCGTTCACACCTGTTTCAGCACTAGTATCGAGGAAATTTGTGTCTGCGAGGTCAAATTCCGGTGGCGGCGTAACTGCTGGCACCGGCGTGCTTTTGAGATACCGCAGAATGCTCTTCATCTGCGAATCGGTCGGTGGCTGCGCATGTCGATCTTGGATCTGAAGCTCGAACTCGCCGTACTGACCTGCACCTCCGTAAGAATCGGACCTGGCAGCACGCTTTAGCCATTCCGTTGCGTATTCTTTTGATGAGTTAACACCGCTACGGTCGTCCTCCTCGTCGGACAGCGCCTTCGTTGCGGCCTCATCTCGATCTTTTGCACTTTGCAGGAAGGGACTGGCGGCACCGGCGCCGCTGCCGCTTGCGAGTTCAAGAGAGGTGGCGAGCAGACCTCCGCTGGCTTGCGAAGGGAGCCTAACGTGCCCGGCATTGTTACGCAGGAGCTGCAGCGCTTTGCGCGACAATGGCGACCGTGGATCGTGACTGCAAGCACAACCGGAATGCAGGGCACACATCAAGGTTTGGTGTTAAGTGAGTCATTGGCATAGCAGTGGGGCGCGGCGCCTGCCTTTTGCGCATGACAGGCGCGACGCTCTCTATGGGGAAGTGCAGACAAGCTAGAGCTCACAAGAGCGTGATGATTGGCGTTCCTCTGTGGAAGCGCAGTGACATGGTCCAGGTCCGGAAGCGAAGCCTAGAGTGGACGGAAGGAGATCCGCCAGGGCAGCTAGCTAGGCTCCTTCTCTTGCTATGTCTTGCTTCTCCGCCGCTTCAGAGGAAAGAATCGCAACGTGAACTAGGTATGAAGCAGTGTCTCGGTCCTTGTTGTCGAACCTTTCGTCTATGGATCGATATGCATACATGGCGACGAACCCACTCGTTCTGTAGATCCACGGAACGGGTGGGACTTGGTTAGGCGAGGGCGGGCTTTCATTTGGAGCTTGGACGCATCGCCGTTCTATTGGCCAGTAACTTGTCAGTTGAGGAACGCTTGAGACGCCGAAATCGGTATTGCACCGTATGTGCCATGTATCATGCAATACGGCGATGGTACCTTTGTGCGGGCATCCCGTGCGTATCCCCCACCATGGCTGTCACTTGCGTGGACCCTAACAAACAACAAACTGGTGCTGCTTGTGGGCCTGGACCATGGCAGACACCCTGACAAATGCAAGAATGGCATATCGTTGCCATGCACATATCGCATCCAGTTTGCATCTACAGCATTGGACATAGCTCCGAGACCCATGTACCTTTCTTCGTGCAATCTGCATGCACCGTTGGATGTGATTCGGGTTGTCCGCCCTCAGTGGCCCCCAATCAACTCCCGAAACAAGCAGCGCGCATGATATTTGCGCCCCGTTGGTGCTTGCTTACTTGGTCCCTTGCTTGCTTCCATTCATGCCCTTCAAACCATGTCCCTTTGCGCCGAATACTCAAAATACCACCAAGTAAACGAAAGGGGACCTCATACATCCCGCTGCTGGTCGCGGTGGAATCTTACTTTCATCAGACAGATTGCACCTTCGCCGGGTGGCACGCGGCAGGGGAGATCACGGAATGACGTTCTGCTCAGTCGTTTGCATGCCGAAACTGTCCCTGGGGTCTACTCATAGCACTTGATTTCATCAGATTCTCATAAACATTACAAGAGTAGATCTGACACCCACTCGTGGCTTCCCGGTCTATCGAAAGCGAAACCACGCTTCAGCCGATACTCTCAGTGAGCCCATCCGACTGCTGATTCTTCAAGATGGCACAAGGCTCCGTGCAGCAGCACGCCTCGACAGCTGTGACAAATGAGAGCGAGAGGACTGCAACGCAGCGCTGTGACTCTGCCACTCTGACAACCTTTCCACAGCCCAGATCGAGCGTCAGCAGGCCAGCTCCGCGGTAAGTGCCTCCCGCTTCCAAGCTACCTAATGCCACAATTAGTTCTACCTTGCTCGCTTTGCAAGAAAGCGCCCAGCAGGGGTGTATAGAACATCTGTACTGCCGCCCACGGGGGATCATCTTTGCGCACCTGAAAGTATTCCTCACGCCGCCGCAACATGGACTGCCTCTTGGAGCGATACTCACATCTGCAACTGCTCAACCAACTCATGCCGTCGCCGTACCAACAGCCAGGCTTGACTTCGACTCCGTTCGCCAGAAGATCGCCATCGAAAGGCAACCCTCGGCTCAGTGGCCATATGGGCTTTGACCCGAATCTTGATCTGTGCCTTGCCACCGGCATTGTCAATCTCGGTCACTCCGAGGGAAACGGATTGGCTCTCGTTCATCAAGCTCGTCTACAGTTTCAAACAGAGACCGAACGCCGCGCCGCTTCCGCTTTCGCAGGGTTTGGCGCCTTAGGCGGGTTTGAAGACATGACCTCGCGTCGTATCTCCGCCGGTTTGCACCTGCGCAAAGGAAACAAGGAGACAACCGCAAGCGGTTCAGCCTTCAGCGACATTGATAATAGTCAGAGGGGTAGCTTTTTTGTGCTCTCAGACACGTCTGCCAGTCTTACAGATGATATCCGGGAAGAAGAGGACGCAGGGTTAGCCGAGGCTGCAAGTCCCACCTTCGAGCTGGATGGTGTAACGCGGCAAACGGAGCGATTCCCTCTTCCTCCTAGCCGTCGCGCCAAGATCGCCAGCGACGAGTCAGCCGTGACGAAGGTTCCGTTGGCCTCAGATTCGCCGAGTTCCATACCTTCTCCGGCACGATACACAAGCAGGGACTACGATGACATGCTTCTCGATGCGATTGATGCTTCCACTGCGCATTTCTTGCCAGCGTCGTCGTTAAGATCGCGAATGGAATGGTACGCCCCCTTGTCAACCTCAACACTACGCTTTCCATGCTCAGACGCGCAGGACCAGGTGCGGGCGGAATCTACCTCTGCCCAAGAGCAGGCGCATGCCCTCCATGACGCGAGGCGTATGGGCAGCAAAGAGTCCAATAACTCCAACACTTCTTCGCTGTCGGGCATGAAACGCCTCAGTCTGACGCTGCGCGACAGCTTCGTGCGCAACTCGCCGCAATCACTACACAATCTTCTGAGCTTGCCAACTGATAGCAGGAGACGCTCTGGCTCTGGAGAGCCGCAACCTCCCACTTTGTGTGCCGCGCACTTGACTGTCGCTACTGGTCGTCCCAGAAGCAACACGACGCCGGTTCGCCCCAAAGGCACGCTAAACTGGGCTACACCATTTTTTGACGTCATCCACGAAGAACACGGTAGTGTTGCACCTAGAATAGGCATTAATGACGGCGGCGTGACAAACGAGCGAATGATCCTGGCCTCGCCTGTGCAGCCTGCAGCTTCCACTCTCCGTGCTCGACGACTAAACCTCTACGAGCCGGGCGGCAGCCCGACCGCTCAGCTTGCACGCTCGTCATCACTGCTCTTGGGTTCACCCGCCACTCCTGCGTCCGGCTTGTCGCACGGGTTACGGTCTGTGACAACATCGGCTCTGGCGCCGGCGCGAGTGCCAGCGCAAGTTCATACTCTAGAACAGGAACAGCAGCTGAAGTTGCCACCCACACCTCTCGGAACGCCGTTTTGGGCCAACGACGACTTATCGCGTATTCTCTCGCAATATTCTTCGTCGTACCTAAGTTCTCAAAGCAAGACGCCACGTGCGGCAGCCACAACTGCGCCTTCAAAGCTGAGGACGAAGATCAGTCCCGCGCAGAGCCGCGAAGACGGCGACAACCGTTGGAGCGCCGAACAATTTTCGCGGCAGACACATTATACTCTAGGGTCATGCTGTGAATCGACTGATGGGGAAGATGACATCAGTGGCGGAGGCAGAACAGATGGCAATAGGAGGCCGACGCGGCAAACACATAGATGTTGCACATCCTCCCTCTCGCCCTTCAGCTCCCTTGCCTTTGGATCTGTGTCGAGGTGTGATGGGCATGCCAAACGCCTTCCCTACGCCCCAGGAGGCATGTCCGCGAGACCTCGCTTTGAATCAAGCTGCAGCCATGTGTCAGTGTCATTCTTTTCTTCCTCTGCCGTGCGTCACAAGCGCGACGCGAGGCAAAGCAGGGAAAGCAGCACCTCGATCTGGAGCTTGTCAAGAAGCAAGGGTCATGGACTCTCGTTCTCCTCTTCATCTTCGCCTGGGATACCTGCGTTTGTCACCGACTCGGAAGGCTCAGCAGACGGTCTGACGCCGTCAGAAATGCGTCGGAGACGCGAAAGCATCATTCGCAACGGTCCTAGGCCGTCGTCCAGCGGCGATGGCCGTGCGCCGTTGTGGAGCTTGGGCCGCAAAGGCCGACAGGTCCAGCTGGACGCTGCGCAGCTATCAATTCATACCAACTGTTAGCAATGCGTGTTTGCTGAGCATGTATTTGGCTGTGTGTTCTACACGGATAACCTTCTGATTGCTGCAGTAAGTACCTAGTGACGATTTTCGATGCGGACAAGGCAAAATGAGCCGTTACACGTTGGGCACGCGGTGGATAAGCGAAGTAGATGGACAGATAAGATCTACGGTCTCTTCTAACAAAAACTCTACTGAACACTGATTATGACTTTGCCAATGCGTTGCTGGTTAAGCTGGCAGTGGCATGCCTCTGCTGCATCCTTGAAAACGAAGACCTTGTCGACAAGCGGCTTGATCTTGTGCACATCGATGAGTCGGTCCGTGTCTTTGAACATCTCGCGTGACCCGACAAGGAGACCGCGGAGTACGCAGTTCTTGGACAGCGTGTAGAACATAAAGTCAACCTTCTTGCTGAAACTACCAACGAATCCGATGGAGACGACGCCACCGTGTGCGAGTGCGGTAAAGCCTTTTCAATCGTGACCATGCCACCAATTGGTGCATCGTAAGCAAGTATTGTCAGTACGGGAAGAAACCCCCTGGCTCTGGTTACGCTTTTGGAACGCGCTTCGATACCTCGCCGAGCCGGTCCGATCACGCAGTCGATTTCTTTCTTTGCGACGTCCAGCTTGTCACCCGAAGAGTTAGTGATACCCGCCTTTGCACCGGCTGCAGTATCGAGCTGAAGTGCAAAGACCGAGACGTTGAGCGTTCCTTCGGCAACGATGCTGTCTCTGGGCCTGAGTGCATGCCCTGGCAAGCCGCACAATGCGTTCTACGCGATGACAGCAGAGCATGGCAGCGTCATCACTCCCTCGTAGCTGAGATGCTTTGGGATGCGAACAACGTACGTCGCCCTGCCTGAGTCGTGCATCGAAAGGATGTCGTCCCAAGCCCCGCCGAGAGTAAACGCCGCTTCTTCGTCGTCCGGGTCGGAGCTCTTTTGGTGGTGACCATTGACGATGAAGCAAACGCGGTCGGCCTCCTGCCACTTGTCACCTTTGAGTCGCTGAAGGCAATCTCGCCGGCGCCGTCAGACAGAAGGATGTTCTCTTCGTCCTTCAGGGCCAGACAAAACTTGCCATGCGAGCCTCAAGCGCAGCCAAGGGAAGGTCAGAGTCCGATCGAGCGCACCCGTCCCGCGCTCATTCGCCATATACACGATAAGGTCGCAGAAACTTAAACTAGATGCGTAACCTTTGACGAAGACATCCTTGTCGCTGACTTTAGGGATCGGACCATCTTTAAGCTGCAATGAGCCGACGTCCGTTCGCTTAGAGATCTTCGGCAAAGAGTAAAATTGCCTTGTGTCGGCCATGTTTGCGAAGTCTATACGGCGGCCGTGTGAGGGTACAGCGTAAAGTTACTAGGTGGGAGTGTCTGTATAGTTGACCATCTTATACCGGACTGTGCGACTTCTCGCGATCAAGCTTGCAATACAGGTTCACAGAATCAAGATGTCCTTCACCATGCGTCGATCACGAGAAGCCAGACAAGAGAGTGAGAGGGAAGGGGCGAGATGCTTGCTCGGTGACTTTCCATCTCAATCAACACATGAATGAGTGCTGTGCGCTTTGACTGTGTATTGCACCGAACTTGCAATACAACAGATGGGATCATGTTTTGATGAACAGAATGGTTCGTGTTGTGGAGCGCAGACCGACCTGCCTCAGCACACTTCTGGGCTCTTGCAACTTGGCAAGTCGGCAGATTCTCAAAGGCGCAACATGTCGGTAAATTGTCGACCCACAACGTTGATGCTCAGTTGAAAAGGTCTCCTGCGCAAGCATGCCATGAATCACGTCGGTATCCGCTGAACGAGCACGAGCACAAGAGCCCTACGTAGTACCACTTACATGGTACCACTGTGCAGCAGCGTTCACCTTGCTAGCAAGAGCAATAGCAACCCGCTGATCATCAGATCAAAGAAAGTTGTTTCGCGTCTGCTACCTTCATCGAGAGGCCGCAGAAAGTAAGATACATGTGGTGACAAATGGCCAGATAGAAGCCAATGTGGTTGCCCGGAGTGAAAGTCGGAGCGGGGAGGGACAAATTAGGGGCTAATGATGAGTGTATAGCGAGCGACGAACTGTGCCAAGGGATGGGTATCGTGCACAGCGTCCTTGCATGAGTTTCTAACCCGTTTAGCATTTCCAGCTGTCGTTCTTGTCCTCTGGCTGCTGTACGTAGTCATACCACTGGCCATCGTCACTTCCGCTGCCAACGCACTCCATGGCCGTTACTAGTTCGTAACCCTTTTGCTGCAGCATCGGAAGAGCGTGCGGCATGACATTGTACGACGTCGTCTTGATCGTCTCGTGCGATAGGACCATGTGCGACTTTGGGTAACTATTCATGACCTTGTTCATGACGTTACGCGAGTAAGCGACCGTGGCACCGTCGGCATCCTTGGTGTCCCGATCCCAGAGGATGATGGCGGTGTAACCACGACGGGCGAGTACTTCGCGAGATTCCGTGTTGATAGAACCGTACGGCGGTCGGAACACCCTAGGTCGGACGCCGAGAATCTTGATCATAGCACGCTCCAGCTTTCCAAGCTCTTGATCCAGCTCACTAGTGCTGAGCTTGGTTATGTCCGCGTGACTCCAGGTGTGAGAGCTGCGCATGGAAAGGAGAGCCGCCTGTCAGGAAGCTGTCATTGATTGCGGTGCAGAGAAACAGCTACTCACCCGATCAGGTGCCCGGCATCGAAGGCACGACGAATCTCGTCGGCGTAGTCATAGATGCATCCGCTAAGCAGCGGCACAAGCAGCAAAGGTCAGTTACCACCGGTATCCTCTTCGGTCTCGCACCACTCACTAGTTGTTGCCATTGAGGAAGAATGATGCTTTAGCGCCAGCATTCTGTAGCTCATTCAGCAGCTTGGGCTCGTACTTCCATGGGCCATCGTCGAAAGTCAATGCGATCTTGCCATCACTGTTACAGGTGTCGTAGACGGGTACGCGCGGGGTGCGAGTAGCTAAGCCCTCGAGAGGAGTTGCGCTCGAAGACGAGAGAAAGGTCAAAGCGATGACCGAGGAGAGAAAGACGTTGCGAAGAGAGGTCAACATGGTTGCTTGGTCACCTTCAATCGGAGCTTGGGCTGTTGGTTTTGGATATCGGGCTCCCGAATCGGTTGCGCCGTGGAGATGAATCAAAAGGAGCGTGTGTTATCGTCGACGGACGGACTGGGATAAGAGAAAACAATGCTGCAGGAGTAGAAAGTCTAAGACGGGATGAAGAAACATGGACAAGTGAATTAGGGAGCCAGACGTCACACAGCTTATTTATACGCCAGCAGCCACGACTTCTATCATCTTCGACTTTAGTCTTTGCGGAAATCATGTTGTGAGCGTGTCAGCCGAGCAGTGAGCGAGCACAAGCTGCTGAGCGCTGAACTCTGCAAGTCGGATGCTCTCTGAGAGGCTCAGTGAGAGATGATCGCGTGAGTGAACAAACATACCCAGCCGGCAAGGGCTTCTTGCCGTGGATTGCGCTTGTCTCAGATAGACAACAAGCAGAAGGCTCAAGCGCTCATTCTTGCTCTGAACAGGCCGAGCTGCTCAGCAAAGGCAATGGCACAACTCCGCGCATCCGAAAGGCTGGATGTATGAGGAGCGGTGGGCTTGACAGAGTGGCCTACAGTGCCCAGCGACCCGCCAATGGAATGTTCGAATCGGCACGGTTGGACGGTCCGTCTCAGACGGGCTTTCGATCGCATGTTTCTTGCGGAAGGCAGCATCTTGGTCGCACAGATTGACCAGCCGCAAGTCTAGAGTCTGGTGATTTGAAATGGTACGAGCCTAAGCGACCATCGGCTATCATGGGCAGTGGGCATGCCAATGCCAACTACTCCAAAGTCCAGGCGGCATTTTGCACATCATTTGATCGTAGCCAAGGGACATCCCGAACATGCCTCGTGCATTGTCCGGTGTCGTCTCCCATCCTCTCTCATGAAGTCTCGGCGCGAAGAGCCAGCAATGTATCAGGCGATTGGCCAGTGCCCGCCTGTGCCAGGCGAGTGGTGACGCAACACTCCAATTGTGGCCATAGCCGGGGCAGTCTGCAGATAGCAATGCCTTCTGCCTGCGTCAGGCCGCGTCACATGCTTGCAAGGAGGCTGCCTCGCATGGGACTCTAAGACAATTGGGAATCGAAGCTCCACTGGGCACTGGCGCTCTGCATCCCGCACATTGTGCCCAGCGGATGCGGGCAAGCAGACTAGAGTGCTGAAGCCTGGAATCAGGGGAAGTACTGACTGCGACGAGAACAACGCTGCTTGATGTCAGTCGGCTCGCCTCCTTGCGTGCAGGCACGCCTTGGTGTCACGCACAAGCGACAACCTGGGCCCTGGCCACGCAACCGTCACGTTTCCGCACTCGGTCTTTGATTGAAATCACGTGACCTAATTTACATCTATACGGGCGCCCTCTCGGCCTTTCCAAACTCCAACCCCTTGTGAGAAATACAGTTCTCAAGCAGGTGGCGGCCACACAGCATTGGTTCGCACACTCGTCATGCGATCGTTGTCGTCAAACGCCAGCTCGCGCGCTCACGATCTACGATGGCTGTTTCCGTCAGGCCCATCAACAGAGCGTCAGCTGCCACAGCTAATTTGAAATCCTCTCATTTTATTTATCTTGTCATTGGTCAGCCCCCCCCTAACAGATTCAGCGGCAGCCACCAGGTTTCCTCCATCTTGACCATGTATGATCGATGATTATTGCACGGGCAGCAGCACACGGGCGTCAAGACGCCAGCAGCCAGCATTCTGTCAAGCGCGACTGATCAGCAGTCGGACTGGCCCTGAACGAGTAAAATGAAGGGGTTTTCAACTAATATACCTTCATCGTCACCATGATTTACTAAAGAGGGCGAGCTGACATGATTCGGCTCATTTCTGAATACCTGGATGAGTATGTACTCGCCAATTTGTTATTGAATGCATGGCTGAATTGATGAAATCAAATAGTAGTGGCTAGTTGATCGCCGACGCTTTGGCATTGGTGTGGAAGCTTTTGACGCCTTCGTAGGAGTGGGATGGTGAGCGATTCGTATTGACTATTGGTTCCCTCACACCCTGCCTATGACAAACTTAAGTTTCGCCAGCACACCACTCGAAGGCACCTCTCATACGTGTTAATTCGGCCGCAGCAGAACAAGCAGATGGTATATTCGAACTCATCTGACGCTACCTTTCCTTACTCACTGGAGGTTTGTCAGAATGATAGAAGCACCCTGATGCGTTTGACGCTGCTGGTAAGCATTTAATCCAGGCCTTGATTATGACTTGATGTCTCTGCAAGTTAAGAAGGGCAACAGAAGCTCGTTCGAGGCTCATTACAGCTCGCACATTAGACATGCCAGCATATCGAGCCGGCTCTGGATGCGACTCACCCTTCGATGCGGATCCTGGAATTTCTGACAAAAGAGTACTACTCATCTTGTAGAATGGGGCGCATGTATGCCGCTTCGTAGACTGAAGCATTTGCGTCAAGGCAAGACGTTACCCTTCGTCAAAGTCGCTAAATCTCCTTCGATGGTCTATCGTCCTGGATCGTCTCTCCAAAGCACCCAAAGCTAATACCAACGCTGCACTTGCACTCATACCCTGCTTTGTACTATAAAAGGTACTACGTGCTGTCCATCGTAGGGCGTCTACTCGCTGCTAGCGATAAGGATCGAGCTGTGTGATGAAGTCTGCTGAAGGAACATCCACCCTGCCTTACTATGTCATTCTAGGACCCTTTGCAGCGGCAGTCCTGCCACGCGCAGTTTGGCGCTGAGCCAGATGGACGCTACGGCCGCTGCTGATGTGAAGAAGAGATTCGGCTTTCGGCCGCGCTTGCATATCGTACACTATCGAGGCTCATCTTTGAGGACCCAACGTGTGCAACCTTAGGAGACGTCAAATGGACTCGTCAGCATCCGTGTACCGAGCTGGATCCCTTTACTACTCATTCTGACCGTTCCCATCGTCCAAATTCATTGCTTCTTTGCATTTTCCACCATCCTGGCGGTCGAGTACAGCACTGTGTGCGCACCGTATCCCTCCGCCACAGCTTGAAACAGAGACTGATCATGATGTCATTGTGCTCGTAGCTTACATAGCAACGGCAGCCGTTGCTCTCAACTCTTTCCCTACTTCTTCGACTGCCCATCGGTGCTGACGTTGGATCAGTCGCCAATCGTCATCATCGTCGCGGGGCGCAACTCTGCCATCGCGTTGTTAAGCGGCATGTCATACAATACACAATTTCTGTTCTATCTGTAGTAGGCCGCGCGCATCTTGGTCGCCCTCGTCTTGTCGCGCGTGATTGGATACACCATCGTCTATGCTCGCAAAGGGACGTACGGTCACATCATTGCCGAGTCGTATGCGCGTTGAGGGTATTGCTACCGTTGCGATGCTTGCAAACTTGTGATTCTCACTGACACTCTTCCACAGCTTGTCCTATGAGGTGAGCAACCGGACGCCAAGCGATGAACCGTCTCGCTGTTTCTGGCCATTGTTGATGCTATGCTTGTGGCAGGTATCCTTGGTGCTGCATATCCTCGTCATTGTCATGGCCATCGTGTCGATGTAGAAGCACCTCAGCAAACTGTGACACCCGCAAGCCTACACCTTGGCTGCAGTCGCATTCTGGTCTTCGAATGCGCGCTCCCTTTTGCTCGTGTCTCTTTCCTTCATCTCGGCTTTGGCAGTGGCGGCAATAACTGGATAACCAAGAGTCGGCCTCGGGTGCTGTTGGACGGCACGCTGTACATTCGCGTTTCCCTGCTGATGGGAGCGCAAAGACTCTGCTTGCTGCGAAGCCTGGTCAGCACGTTAACACAAACTGCCCGAGCGTATTGCCTCTGTCAACGTATCCGTAGAACTTCATTACGAATGGTTTCGATGAGCAGCAAGGCAGGGCGTACCTCGGACTGCGTGTTCAACGGTGCAAAGGATTCACTAGACATCTGGCCAAGAAGATCCAAGCCTCTGCTAGCAATAATCACGAATGCGAAGCTTTCTTGGAAGGGTCGGAGGGTCAAGCGCTGAATGTTGATGGATACCAGAGCATCCTCCTCTCGCGGAGGAGTTTGGCATAACACACGGCCTCTCGGTTCTCCTGCACGCTCTGCACACCAATGCTCATCGGGGGTCTCGTCGCCAATTAAAGACGGCAAGCGGAAAAAGAACAAGGCAGTCTGCGCCGCATGCTCATTTTGGTATGGGCCTAAAAGAACCAGCAACCTTTCAGCATTGCCTTCCCGTACTTGCTCGCAGCCCAACTTGTGCTGAATAACGTACCCACCTCTCGCGAGCTCACTACCCAATGCTTCGTTAGCCAGGCGTCACGAAGGCCTGCTGACTTGAGCAGACCACCCGACAGTCCTGCACCGTCGCAAGTGTCGCCTACTCCTTCTAGCGCAGAAAAGAGCTGCGTTTCAGCCGCTTCCATTGCCTCGTCATCGCAGGAGTCATAACCAACGCTCCAGACTGCGGCTGCGACGGCGACCAAGACGATCTCGCCGCTGTCAAAGGCGAAGATTTCCACGCTGGCGGATGACATGCTTACTCGTCTTGCTGATAGTCAGGAATCCTTGCCGAAAGGCATCGCAAGGCTGCGAGCAAGTATGACACTCGATTTTAGTTGTGGCAGACCGGGCCTGCACGCTGAGCTTGACCAAGCTGTTGAAGTGCAGCGTCCGCAGAAGCAGCAGCACGGTCAGGACAGCGGTGCCGCTCGACGGACCGCTGCCGTCTCGTGTGGACCCGACTGCTTTAGCGATGCTGGGCACAAATGCATCAGTCGGATGAGGACGTCAGGTGTAGACTTGGATTTCAAGGAGGAATACTTCGCTTGGTGAGAGCATTCTAGCAGCATGTACGATAAACGCGTATTTGGTAGATCTCCTAAAGTATAGATGTTCAAACCAAACAGCGCTGAAACAGGCAGGCAGTTCTGCAAATGAGGGCACGGGCTACGGATCTGATGTGCCGATGTGCTAATGCGGTGATGTGCTGATGTGCTGGTTGGTGATGGAACTCAATTGATCTCCTTTGGAAGACCCTACAATTTGAAGAGGAGTCCCATTTCTGACGCTCCACGTCGGCGGTTGGGCCCTAAGCCGACAACTCAACTTCCAAGGATCGTCTGCAGTCCAGCAAGATGTCTCACTGAATCGATCTGATAAGGAGTGGATCCTGTTGCAGCTGGACACGACTTCGCTCACGGTATCAACAATCGATCATTCAGGCACCAGTCTCCTCCCAAGTGCAGGTTCAACTGCGTCTTGAGACTTGGATGGATCAGGGTGGACTGCGCTTCCGGGTCCTGCAGCCACGCTGGCACGACAATCTAAAATGGTTCTAGCACGCAATACATTTCAATCAGGCACTATTATCCATCGCCTCATCACTTTCCATCTCAGGAATACAAGATCCAATCAATCCAGCCCGCAATCTCCGCACATGCCTGGTGAGGTATATCGCTGCATAGGCGCTATCGATCTAGGTATCGATCACCGGAGTCACGCGTATGTTCTGATATCTGTGGCATGAGAGGCATGCAGCTGGCCGTGTCCGAATATGCCCTGCTGCATGTGTAATTTGGTGCAATCGTTCGCTCAAGCGTCAGTATGTGTTAATGACCACTGTGGATTGACTGCTGACGTGCTAGATGGCAGAACTTCTTATCGCTTCTAGCAATTGGCCGCATATTCATCAATGGGGAGTCCAGGCCGGAGCTACAGACGATCGTCATCGCATCCGATTACAAACCGGGATTACCTCGATAGCTCGTCGAGAAGTCTGTGCGAAATGCACCATATTTCAAGGAGCAGGGGCAGAAGAACCATCATTAACAGCCTATCTACAAGCTGGAATGGCTTTTGCCAATCTTTTGCAGAATATTCATGACCCATGGCTTTGAAAGGATGATCTAACGAGAGCGTACTATATAGCGAGCGCTTCTCTTTGGGGTTCCCATCGAGTATCTTCCAACATCACGTTTCTCCAATTGCTAACGGGTTGGTTCTCAAGGACTGGAGTGTTTGAGCAGGGGATCCGACAGCACCGAGCCGTCCCTTCCGCAATGGGCCACCATCCTTGGACGATAGGTGCTGATTCTTTAGCGGCAATCAACAGAAAGCCAGCAGCAGTAAGAGCTGATGCGCTGCTATCATTGACGATCTCATATCACAACAGATACCTGGTTCCTTCTATCGTCGGGTGCGTTCGGCAATGTAAAGCGTACATGCAAAGGATCATACTCATGTTCCTCCACATCCCGACGTCTACCCGTTTCATGTCTCGCTTTGCCTCGCTCGACCGCTGTCAGCTATGTAATTCTGGGCACCTTTACGTTCCTTGTACTCGCAAGTGCAGCATTCCACTTCATGCGCTCGCTGCTTGGGAATCGGAACATGCTATCTACAAGATGCGATACGGCATTAGGAAGAAGCGTTCGAAATAGCATCATCGAAGCTCCGCTCTTCGGAACCCGTCGAGCAGCACCGTACTCCGCTTGTGCGGGCATTTTCAACTTCAGGGTCCCAGGTCGAGCTCACACCATCCTCATACTCGCCGCACTGCTCGCCAACGTATTGGGGCTTTTCTCCTTCTACACGTATGTACCAGCTCATGCGGCCGCAACGTGGGTGTCTGGCAAACAGTCGTGGTTCTTTAGCAACAGTCCTTCCACGCTGACACTGCATCACGCTTGTGGCTAATATGATTCAGTGTCGGCGACCCATGGCGCCAAGCGGTGAGGTTTTTCGCTGACCGTGCAGCATGTCTGGCAGTGGCTCAGCTTCCCATCGTCTTCCTGCTGGCTGGACGCAATTCACCCGTGGCTATCTTGAGCGGCATCTCATTCAACACGCAGATGTTGTATCACCGTTGGTTCGCCCGAATCGTCCTCTTCCAGGCGTTCGCGCACGCAGCCAGCTACACAATCCGCCATGCGCCTGGCCAGTTGAATGACTATTCTGATTTCATGGCCAAGGCGTACGTGCGATGGGGCGCGACAGCTCTCACCATGCTTGCGGCTTTGTGCTTCTTCTCGTTTACCCTCTTCCGCAAGCATTCGTACGAGGTGAGCGCTCCACGTTGCGGGATAGGTACGTTGTGAATAGGACCTCAACTAGTAATGGCCCTCGCCTCCTTCAGGTCTTTCTCGTCACCCACATCGTCTTTGTCGTGCTGACTTTAGTGGGCATCCACAAACACTTGCAAGGGGCGGGTGTCTCCCCGCTCTCCGATTTTTTTGTTATCCTCTTCTTCTCTATTGCATGCTGGCTCTTCGACAGAGGTGTCCGCACTGTCCGTCTCGTCTTCCTCAACATCGCCTTCATCGCGAGTAAGGACGGCGGCCACTTCACGCGGATGCGAGCCACAGCACTCCCAGACGGGACGCTGCACATCCGCGTCTTCCTTCCCGGCCGGGCGACAAGCGCATCGGCCATATTCTCCGCTCAGCCAGGACAGCACGTTTTCTTCGCTTGCCCTAGCATCCAAGCACTAGCTCTACATCCTTTCACTGTCATGGCGCGCGGCGTTGACCCACAGCGAGTGCAGGCATACATCGACCTCGGCGTACAACCTATGAACGGCTTCACGCGCCGCCTTGCAGCGCGGGTTCAGCGGTCGTCTGAGCACATCTTGGAATGCACGGCACTCGTAGAGGGCCCGTACGGGCGTGTGCCTTGCCTGCAGGATTATGCGAATATTGTGCTGTTCGCTGGCGGGATTGGTATTACGCACTGCTTGGCTGCGCTGTCACAAGCTCTACACGCTGCTAACTCAGCAATCGTCGACAGCGAAAAGGGACCAGTGCATGGCAGACGCATCACGCTCGTATGGGCGCACAAGGAACGCACAACGTTTAACATCGCTGTGCCGTACCTCCATGACGCTGCAACTCTTTTGAGAGATAATCCCGATGCACCACATATCACCGTGCATGCGTTTGCCACCCGCTCGCCTATGCAGAAGACCACTTCCGACCCAATATCTCCATCCTCATCATCCCCCTCATCCGTGTCGCTTGATGCTGCAGCTTGCAAGGATCTTAGCAAGCTGCTGGTCGGCTCACCGATCTCGGAAGCGTACGCCCTCAATAAAATGGATTGCTCCTCCACTACTGCTTTTGACACACACATGCTGTCGTTGGAGGATGTACTCGACGTCAAGTTCCATTCGGGCCGACCGGTCCTCATTCGAGAGCTGGAGTGCGCGATCGAGCAAGACTCTGCTTCGCTGCTCGGTCCTGCAGAGCCAACACGCACGGCCGTCGTCTGCTGCGGCGCAGCCGCGTTTGCTGACATGGTGCGTGACAGCGTACGGAAGACGCGTTCGGCAAAAGGTATTAGCATTGATTACTTCGAGGAGGCATTCGCATGGTGATGTACGGCTCGTCTATACAAACGCTTGAAGCAGGGAACGATGATGAGATAACTACTTGTAGCATAATCAAACGGCGCATCTCTCGCAGGTATCCTCATCCGATTTCAATTCCAATCTGCTCCTAATGCTTCTTTCAATCTGCCCCCGCACTGTTTCCCCTTCAACCATCCCTCAACCAGCTTCCAGTCGTTTCGGTGCTTGTATGTTCCCCTGAGCGCCTCCCGGCCGCCGATCTCGTCACTGCCTGTTGTATCTGTCATGTTTGAAAACACACGTGGAACAGCCCGCTCCACCAACGTCTCGGACACCTTTTTATGCCCGGAAGGAATGTCAGACCAGGACTGAACCTTGATCGAGGACCAGTAGGCTAGGATATTGCTTTGAGCCGCCAGTAGCTGGGCTTCCTTTCCCTCCGTCAAAAGGTTCAGCTCGTCCGTCAGCGGGTGCTCGAGAACGACGAGCGCCGGCTTTCCGGCGAGGACAAAGCCAGTCAATGGCGGCCTGTTGAGCTTGGCGTAGTCGACCAGGTCTTGTCGCTTCTCCTTGGTCGACAGTGACGGTAAACATGACCACGAGCGATACACGAGCTTGCTTAGCGATGCATGCCCATTCTCGGATGCGACCCCACATTGTGTTTCTGTTTCCAGATCGTTCGCCATGATGGTGGCGGCGGCTTCTGATATTCGCTCGACAGTCTCAAGGACGTACGAACCTCCGTCGATATCCATTTTTCCAACTCCATGCTTCGCGCCTTCATTTATCCCCGCCTCTTTGCATATCCGCATGTGGTCAACAGCGTTGAGCCACTCAGATCTCCTGAGTCTCAAGCGAGGACAAATGGCTTCGCTCTCGGCTTGCCCAGGTGCTAGTTTGCGAAGAAGGAGTGTGACTTCGAGCTTGAGTTTTCGCGCTTTCCGTGCATGTCTGCTCCGGTCGCCCTCCGAGCCAGCGAGTGGGTCGATAGATAGCGTAAAATTAAGATCATTCGGCACGGCGTCTTTGGCATTGATGCATTCCTCGTCGCCGAGCGTTGACAGGGGAAGAGCGAGGTATCTAGCCAGCGCTTCGATACCTTCTGAGGTTGATGAAGGTATCGAGAGCTCATCGTTGCCTGCCCACATGGCAGCCAGAACTTCGAGCGTGGACAGTTGTGACTCCAGAGCCTCCGGGCTAAAGATCGCGCCTTTTGATTTCTGATGCGCCATGGCTGGTAAGCGGCGAACGTTCACAGTTGAAGAATGGAAGCCCAGTCCGAATCGCTTCCGCGATGTGCAAGCGCACCTCTTATAGGAATAGAGAAATCCGCAAACCTCTACCATCTGAGAATCTGAGAGACAGAGAGAGTTTCGCCCTTGGAGAACACACTCACAGTCTCGGCGAGGGCCCGATGGCAACAGCCAAACCTATATAGTGCGTGAAGCAACAGCCCTCAGCGAGTGGCGAGGGATTAGGGTTGTTGACTACAATAACTGGTGCCGTTCTATTGCACCGCTCCAACCATCCATATCTTCAGATCGGTGGGTGGACTGCTTAACGCTGCATGTTGCGTAACTACTGGAGTTGCACCGATTCAACCGCCCCACAACTAGTCTCTTCTCTTGGTCCCGCGTCGAGTCTCTGAGTCCCTTATCGCGTCACCCCTTAGATGAGATCGCTCCACCTTTTGCGTTGTGACTCATCCGACGTCTGTGATGTGAGGTATGGCACCTAGCATCTGACAAAGGTTCAAAGACGTAGGGTAGGCGCGTCAGTCCCAAAGCTGTCAGATTAGAGGCCTGCCATGACCAAAGCACACACTGTTATCCTGGGGGGTGGTGAGTTCCAGAATGTCCGCTGGTTTGTGAGACGAGGACAAGGGTTGACAGCTGTGCTTTTCGAGCAAAGGTGTGATCGGCCTAAGCGCAGGCATCACTTTCCTTGAGCGTACATCTGCAGACACATTTCAAGTCACGCTTGTCAGCAAAGATCTCCCTCCGCGGCTCTCGAAGCATACCACGTCTAATGACAAGGCGGCGGGCGAGATCGAGCGGCAGTCATCCGAGTATGCGTCCGCATGGGCTGGCGCACACCACGTCAGTGCCGCTAATAGCGAGCGGGAACTACGATGGGACAAGCTAACATTCGAAAAGATGAAAACACTGCAATGCGAACGGCCCTGGGACTCGTGGTGGCCTGAAGATAGCATCGCGCAACCCCTCGCGTGGGTGAACCAGGTGGAGACCTTCCATTCTTCAAAGCCAGAGGAATGGATAAAACCGCTGGAATGGTATCCTGATGTGAGCCAGCGTTAGTCCCCTCCGCTTGGACGCATCTGATGACATGTCATGCTCTCTCTCTCCCTCACACAGTTCGAAGTCTTGCCACAAGAACGTCTCCCTCGAAACACAGCCAGCGGCTGCAGGTTTTCCACACTCGACATCAACGTGCCTCTCTACCTCCCATGGCTACGCGCACGGTTTGAAGAGCTCGGAGGCGTGATAATACAACGCTCCGTCGACTCTGTCGCCGAGTGCATCCAATTCGCAGAGGCAGATGCGGGTATGCCTGTGACAGCTGTGGTCGTATGCCCAGGGCTCGGCGCTAGAAAGCTTTTGGACGTGCGTGACCACAGCATGTATCCCCTGCGGGGGCAAGTCGCGCGTGTGCATGCGCCCTCTTGCGACTCGAGCATTGTCCGCACTTGGTCAAGCAGAAAGGGGGAAGAGCAGCATCGCTATACTGGTTACAGTCGCTGTAATCAGGAGGGGTGGAGAGATTGCTACATCATCCCAATGGGCGATGGTACCTTTGTCGTCGGTGGAACCAGAATCCCTAATGACTGGTGTGTAACGGAGCCTTGTCCGCGTTGTAGGCCCCGCGGCCAGGACTAAGTCGCGGCTGACACCCGCTGACACGCACACATTGCATACCGAAATTTCTGTTTCAGGAGTTCGGACGTTCGCCCTGAAACGACGAAGAAGATTCTAGAGCAAGTACTGCAGGTCTTTCCGGAGCTGGCAAACGTAGGTGGGGTGCCGCTCCCTGAGAACGTCAAGGTGAACTCAGTCGGCGTTGGCCTGCGCCCCGCGCGCAAAGCAGGTGCTCGGCTGGAGGAGGGTCCTGCGCTGACCTGGGAAGCTCCAAAGGGTACGAAGAAGACGTGCCGAGTCATTTATGCTTACGGGTACGTCCAAGTCGAAAGGAAGCGTGGTATTCGACGGTGACGTGAACTGACGCACGATCCGTGACGGCATCGACAGCTTCGGAGGCTTTGGTTACCAGGCATCGTGGGGTATTGCGGATGATGTGTGGGAAATATATGCTCGCCCCTCGCTTCGTTCCCCAGCGCGCGAGCCTCGGCTAAATCGAATGTAAACTTGTTCTAATGCACCGGTAGCGGGTATAGTGACTGGATTCTTGGCTCCCTGGGGGTCATTCACATGCACACGCAAAACGCAAATACATTCACGGTGTAAGAGTCTTAGACTGTCCCACAACGATCTAATGATACTGCAGCAGACTGTATCTTCACGCTTGATATTGACCGAAAGGGCAGCGAGGGGATATGTTGATCGCCATATTACGGAATTAGAATTAATGAGGATGCCTTCATCGCCCAGACAGCCGACGGCTGATGCGCCAATGCCTCGCTGATCGGCATTGATCAGGTTCAAGTATATGCCATGCGGCGAGTTGCGTGCGTAGACGCATAAAAGTCTATGACATACATATTGGACTCTGAGGACGCATCTACTGGCAGCAGGGTCAACAAGTTGCATGCAAGGAATAGTGAAGGAGAGGTAGGAAATTGTCAGCAGTTGTTAAATCCAATGCTCACAAAGACGGTGCGAGCGTTGGCGGTTCTATTAGACCCATTCGCATAGGTGTAGATGCACTGTACGAAGGAAGAGATAATGGCTAGATTCATACAAGTCTGAGGAGCATGTAGGTGCTTATAGATTAGTCGAGTGATAATAGGGGAGAGAAAGACTGTGGTGTATGTGCCAATAGTGGGGCTCATGCCGCGGCAGAACTGAATGCATCGTCACTTGATCCATTCCGTGGTTCGTAACACTATATATATTGTATGTACTGGCAGTGTGCCAGCTTCTGGGTCCATACTCATCCGCTTCCCTAGTACTGTACTTCTTGGGCATTGTGTAGCGCAGGTCCCTGGCGATTGCCACGGGCTTGGAGGACTTCCCATTTGTGGTATATTAACTATGCCCTTGTGTGCCCATAGAGAGTATGAAGCTATCATGCGAGTCCGGCGTCAGCCCATGGAGAGCGTCGCATCGAGGTTTGGAGTCCCAATGAGTACGGTGTGTATGCCATGATAAAGGACATCTCTGAAAAAGGAGGCCCGGAAGGACTACTGTACATATATTGAGCATCCCCGTGTTCTCGCCTCACGCTTGCGTTCGACGATTCAAGCATGACGAAATTGAGCAGACGAAGCGATACCAGGCGAGGTGATAGAAGGAATGGAGAGGATTGGTAGATTGGTAGGTACTAGGCCATAGGCATGCAGGCGCCACTACTGCGCCACTCCAGTGTCTGATAGTGCAGGGCCACCCCTTGCTGCATGTATGGGCTTGCACGACCCACGCGATGGGGTCCTGGAAAGTGCAAATGTTACGTCGCATGCAAATCGCGTGGATGGTGCGTAATAAATAAAAAGCCGCATGTATCGCGCGCGATCTGAAGCTCCCGAAAAAGAATGCACAATGTAATGCCACAGAGTGCTAACCCACACTGTGGAAGACTGTGGTCTGTAGAGGATTTTTATGCTAAAACCTCCATTGAAACTACGCGAGCCCTTGGTGAACGGGTTCAAACTCATACCGCGGGTTTCGGGCCAAGATCTGCGTGCCCCCCCACCTGTCCCCGCGATCTGCTAGCGCGCTCGGTCTGCTAGTTGTCTGCAGGGGCTAAAAGTGCCTGGGCGCGAGGGCCACGCGACTTGGCGAGGGCACTGCGAGAGAGCCACCAGCCCGCACTAGCTGCATCGGCGTTCAAGCTGAGGCTGGTTTGTGATCCGTTCTTGCTCTGTCCAGTTGCCTTCCTTATCCACGTTGGACTTTCTTGCCGAGTCGGCAGGACAGGCGGAGGGTGGCCGATCCGCAGGCGTTGGGCGCCCAAATGCCACGACTCTCCTCCAAATGCCGCATCAGTTTATTATTCAAGCCTCCTTTCCGCCCCCTTGGCCCCTTTTTCCTTCCAGCCTCATCGGTTCATTTTCGGCATGGGTATGTGGAAGGCACAATAAGAGTCGACCTGATGCAAATAGGCATCCATCATGCATTAACGCCTCAGGGGCCGAGCAGACATGCTGGGTGAAAGCCAGACTGCTGGTGCATCGTGCATCCAAAGAAAGCCATCGGCTATGTGTACCGTCGCACTGCCAGCATTCGCACTCGCATCGGCATTCGCTTCCGCATCGGCATTCGCATCTTATTCGCTCATGCACTTGTGCACCCATATATCCAGGCTTCATGCGTCCGTAGGGCGCAGTTCGCACTCTCTGACAGTAAATGGTAATCTGGGTTGTCGACACTTCCGATGCATGCGTCGAACCCTGCCTGGCCCCGTTGGGGCGTGTGACGCAACAGCGCTTGCGGAACCGAAGCCAACTATAATCAACGTCTGTAAGGCTTTAGGATCACTATGCTTCTGTTAAGAAAGTACTTATGAAAACTCAGGGCTAGGCTGTGATGGCATGATAACGGCTGGTACCCTAGGCTCTATTTGGGTACTTGTGCGACCTGCGGGACGAATCATGAAATGCACTCCATTGCATTGTTTCCACCGCACCTGTCTATACTACGAGTATCGACAGATTTGCAACTGGAGACTTGGGCTGCTCCTGATGTATGACGACTGACTGCTTTTGCGGACGCAATTCAGTTGGCAGGAGATCGAAGGTGCTCTATGGTCCGTCGTTGGCATTTTGGCTCAAACCTCATGCGCTCTTTGTTACAGGTCCTCGGTCAGCGGACCAAGGTGGTCACCAATGCAGGTTGGCCCTGGTAGTGCCCTGGTGCATGCGTTCACTTCTGGCCCTTCCAGGACCCTCTCGCTCATCAATCCGTGTATGTATACTTTGAACAAAAATATAGAGCATACTGTACTGTGTACATATGTATACATCCATACGCACAAAGGCCCCGTGTCTGCCAAAAAATAAAAAAAAAGAATAAAAACAATCCAAGCAGGGTCCTGAAACCCCCTCCCCTGATCGCAGTGGGAGCTTTGCCGCCGACAGTGGCGCAGTGCCTTCGCGGGCTAAGCACATGCGCAGCCCCAGATCGTCCACCATCATCGACCAGTCGACAACTGACCGCTTCGATGCGGTGCTTAGTGCAAATGGATCCCCCCCCCCACCCCCCAACCATCAGCCGGGATCTTGAAATCCCCCATGCTCCGTTTACGGTACACAGTCAACGTAGTTACACCATCCCAGCAGAATCACTATGCCATCAATCCTGGTATGGTCATCCATCATTATGCCTTCGACACCCTGACCAGGTTTGGAGCAAGACGACCGCGTGCTCAGACGGTCAGTCAGGCCTAGGGTTTCGTAGTCGATCATCATCCAGTCGGAGAGCCCTTCACCTTCAAAAGGTAGAGGGCTCCATTCGGTCATCCACATCGACCTGACTTCGTCGACCAGATTCTAACAACCCCAACTCGTTTTCCGTCTCGTCGTCGGCCATCACGCTCTGACACTGGGACAATTCGGCCCATGTCCTCACAACACCAGCAGCTGTCGCAGCTCCATCTCCAGTCTCCATCTATCGCGATCACCGGCCTGCAACCCCTACTCGGTCATCGACTGCCACGGAAACTCTCTTAAGAGTTCTAGAGCGGGCCCCCGGGCTTGGCACTTCGTGTCCAGTGCTGAGCCTCCGAACGCTAGCAGGGAGCATATATATCGAGAGGCTTCTCGTTGCCTTCACCAGCATCTGTGTCTCCATCGCCACCCTTCCCTCTTTCCAACCTTTAGAGACTCCGTTGCATCTTGCCTCTGCCGTGCTGCTGACCTGGAGTCGCTGCACACCAAGCCAAGTAAGTGTGCTTTCTTTGACTCTTGTCTAGACATGGCATCAAAATGGAGCTGACACGTTGCTTCCCACCGAAGTCACTGCTTTCGCAAACCGATCCTCGATCTGTGCATCTTCACGTGTGCAATCCTCACAGCGCGAACTTTTTGAGAGCAATTCTCATCGGCCACGATCATAGCGAAGATGTCTTCCTCGCCCAACCAGCACCACCGTAACCTCGTCGGCACCAAGATCGCCTCGGGCCGTCTTGAACTCCTCTCGATCCTCGGACTCGGCGCATACGGTGTTGTTTACCTCGCCCGTGATCTGCAACATCCTCTGCAGCAAGGTCCTTTCCCAAGCACTTCCTCGGGCCAAAACCATCCTGCTGCAGCCTTGCTCGCCAGTGGCAATGGTGCCGCCACAGGCTTCTACGCTGTCAAGTGCCTCAATCGCACGGGCCTCGATGCACGGCAGAAGTCCTTCCAGCGGCGTGAGATCGCGCTGCACACCATGGCATGCAAGCATCCGGGTGTTGTCAGTCTTTACCAGGTGCTAGATGACCCTCTGTGCATCTATGTCGTCATGGACTATTGCCCTGACGGCGACCTGTTCAGCATGATCACTGAACACCAGCGCTACGCTCTCTCCGTGCCACGGACTCCCAAGTTCGTCGACGGCAACGGTATTACCCGTTATGCTGACGAGGAATTTTCCTACGTCCAAGCGCGCCATGACATGGATCAGCTCGTCAAGAGCGTCTTTGACCAGATCATCGATGCTGTCGAATATTGTCATCGTCTAGGCATCTACCACCGAGACCTCAAGCCAGAGAACATCCTTTGTCTGGAAAACGGAGCTCGGGTCGTACTTGCCGACTTTGGCCTGGCGACGGCCGACAAGTTCAGCAGCGACTTTGGCTGTGGGAGCACGTTTTACATGGGCCCAGAGTGCCAAGGTGGCATCACTACGCGGTTGCGGAATTACAGCACGGCTGCAAACGATGTCTGGTCGCTCGGCGTCATCCTCGTCAACCTCGTCTGCGGCCGCAACCCCTGGAAGCAGGCGTGCGCAGGCGATGAGACATTTTGCGAGTACCTTCGCAATCCGGATTTCCTCAAGGAGATCCTTCCCATCTCGGACTCGCTCAATGCTGTCCTCAAGCGTGTCTTTTCACCGTTCGCCGAGAAGAGGTGCACCTTGCAGGAGCTGAGGCAGCTCGTCAAGGACATCCCTCGCTTCACTGCCACCACCTTCGAACTTAAGCAACGGCAAGAAGCAGTACGACTGGCAGCTGCCAAGGCACACGCTACCCACGCCGCGCTTAACCAGCAGGCTCAAGCACAGGCTAAGGCACAGACACAGGCTCAAGCTCAAGCACAGGCTCAAGCACAGGCTCAAGCACAGGCTCAAGCACAGGCTCAAGCACAGCAGCAATATCAGGCAGCTGCGACTTCCGCTATCGTGCATCAGAACTACGCTCCGTCACCGCCACGACGCAACGTCAAGCAGTCGAGAGCGCAGGAGACGGACTACCACGCAGCGCGGATAGCAAATTGGGAAGCAGCTGGCGAGCGTGCCCGCGCGGAGAAGCACGAAGAGTCCAGGCAATCGACACCGACGCTTCCACGAGCAACAGATATGCCACCGTCTCCCGAAGACACGATGGGGAGTGACGGAGCGAGCTCGGAGTATGATGATGACGAGTCCAGCGAGCAATGGAGTAGTGGTGTAGAAGAGGATCCAGCTACAGTCGCCACCGCTGAGAATGCACTGTCGTCCTCGTCAGGCTCGCCGTCGTCGCCAGCGACAGACTTTAGCGGAGGCGCTCAAGTCGACTGGTCTCAGCATCCGATCGCAGCTACACCTGCAAGGGTCCGACGTTCGATTATCTCGGATTCTTCTGCCTCTGATGGCCAACATGCCCCGTCGAGACCTCTGCACGATGACACGCTGCAGTCCCCCGACATGTCAGACGAGGGCATGACTCCCGATAGCGCCTCAAGTCGCAGTGGGTCTGGAGAGTCTCGCCGGAGCTCGGTGTCGTACACTGGTCTACCGCCTACACCCCGCTTTGCTCCTGAGCAGCCTCTGCACAGTGATGGCGGCGACAAGGCATCATCTGGCAAGCCCGTCACTGCTCTACCTCAGCTCGCCTTTGTCGACGCCCTCAGCACCTCCAGAACGCCGCACATTGCGCATGCCGAAGAAGTCTCATGCATCTCCCCCGCTGACGGCGCCAAGAAAGGTGCAATCAACATCAATCCTCAGTCCAAGAGCTCGGCGCTGAACTCCGGCAACCCGCATTCTCGCTGGGTGCGCCGTGGACTAGAGGAGATGCGACTTGATTCCTCGCAAGCCTCTCGCGCCTCGCGACCGTATATTGGCGCCGGTTCTAGCAGCGAGCTCAGCAGTAGCGATGATGAAGGCGCCGCAGGACGCAGCGAGAGCATTGTGTCACAAAACTATACATTCTCATTTGAGGACTGCAGCATTAGCGCCGCCACTCCGCACGAGCCGGCCCAGCAACAGCAGGCATCTTCACCGCAGCACGGACGCCTCCCTTCGCTGCAAGCTCGCAGGGCCAAGCTGACTTCGCCGCTGCACATCGGCAAGCTTGGCTTCAATCCCGAGACCTTCCTCCAGCACCGTCGTCTAACTCGCGCAGCTGGTGCCAGCGCCGGCACAAAGTAACCAATATTTTCCAACTCATCTTTATTCTCTTTGACTATATTCCTTTACATGCATGTCGCCAGCGTCAGGATGTTTCCTGTCACAAAGGGACACCAATCACCATCGTTCTCATCACTTGCAGCATAATCCACCCTTACTATTCGCAACGTACCGACTCACACCACACTGTAGCGCTTTCGAGAACACCTCTGCCAGCGCCTTTGCAAGCATGGGCCAGCGTCTAAAATGAACGTAAAGTGCTCGTCACACAAGATGTACCATAAAGCATTTGCAAATTGCACGTTCCTGCATCCATCACAGCGAAAGTGGACTGACGCACGATTGCAAAAGGTATTTCCTGAGTCATAGCTTCTGTACTACACTCAACCTGTTTTACCGTTCGCATTCAAGGTTCACCGTTCGATCAGGACCGCTGCCATTTCTCTCACCACTAGAGGCTTTCATAGTTATACACATCTGGCTGCTGAAAAAGGTTTGACGCGGCGTGCACGTTGAGTCCATCGCTGTGTATGTGCCAGTACGTGGTGTGCGAAGCGTTGTTATGTGAAAGTTTAAGCCCTACTAAAGTATACCCACCCCAGTGCCTTAGTCATTACTCATCAGCTTCACAACATATTTCATCCACATGCCGACCACACGGAGTCGTACTTGTGGGGGACTGAGTGCATCCTTTGGACGACGTGTGCTTCTTGTTGGCCACCACGTGAAACCCTTGAACGGCGGGCGGGAGTTGAATTCATCTGACAATGCCAGCATGACCATCAAGGCTCCAAACTCACCTCAAAGGACAGGCCACCTCCAGACCACTCAATATCCAATTCCAAACTCCTCAAACCAAGTGACCGATCTCATCCGGCAAGTTGGAAAAGGTTGAAATTTGGAAGGTATGTAGTGAGCATGCACTGCAACAGACTGCATCCCGCTGCTTCACCCCCTCTCACGCGCTGGTGCTGCCTTAATGGAATCGCACACGTATTTATATCTAGGACTGTCAGCCTATGATCTTTAATTTTTTACATTACATACTCGGTAGTACGTATGCACGTACAAATGCCGTTGTCATTGCTGGAACCTCGTTTGAGCAGATGAGTTATCGGGCGGCCATCTGCCGCCATCTCTCACCAGCTTGCCTTGGCCATTGCTCAGCACTTGATGTCACTGACTCACGGAGAGCAAGGCAAAGAGAATAAAATGCCGACAGTGGCGAAAGCTAGCAGGTGGGCGGGATACCTCGCAAAACTGTGTACAGATCTGCGTATAGCTCACTCCTTGGCCTCGCTCTATATGATGTGGGGGGAACGAAGCCCCCGGTATCACGGCAATGTGCAAACTTTGCCCGTCCCTCTCTTGTTGAACGAGAACTCCCCGTCAACAAAGTAGAAAAAGAAAGAATTCAATGTCTGATGATCGGGGCTTGTGGGGTTTCCTATTTTTCCGGTCCCGCAGTGAGGCTTGGACCCGATTTCCCAACAGGAATGGCAGCGTGAGGAGATATCCCGCAAGCTAGCGTGTGCCCAGCATGGCTCTATCAGCTGAAGGAGGGAGGCCCTTTCGCTCTTCTAGCGATAAAAATACACAAAAGATGTCATAAGGATGTGCCAAAGCAAAGTAATCAATAAGTGCATGTGTCCTTGACCTTCGCCAACTTCAGCTATGTATTTAGGCAACCCTAACAAACCAAATGGATGCACCAGATATGTTGGCAGTATTTCCGGGATCCCATTTCCCGCAACAGGAGCGGAAAAATTTGTTGGGCCGGGATCGGGGGCATTGTCCCGTGTGCCATTGGATCACATCTTCCCAAACGAGAACTCTAGTCTCAGAACCAACGCCAGAGTGCTCCCAAAGGCTTGCCTCATGGTGCAGCATCGGGCGACTTTCGTTTGGATGCTGATCAGAGGATCAGGAGACGGAATTCGGAAGGGGCTAGTGGAGGAATTCGGATCTCGGGAGCATTTGACTTGCAGCGGTGGCTCTCTCCACACAAATATCGTGCACGTACTTACATACAACAACGGCAGAATCGCAGCAGACGAGAAGGCTTGACAAGAGGATGGATGGCATAGAGCAGGAAAAAGCATGGAGTAAGGCGGCATATAACCCGACGGATCAGTCTTGGTCGTACTGAGCACGGTGACTTGTTGAGCCTTAAGCGACTAAGAGAATAATCACTAAAGCGCCTGTGCTAGAATTTTGAAACTCATGTTCCGTGAACTGAGGAGAATGTGATGGTGGGAAAAGTGGCACGTGGCCCACTATCACAGCGTATCGGAGTGTGAAATGCTCTGGAGTAGTCTGGCGCAGGTCATCGACGATTTTCACGATCGTGACGCTGGGCACGGCAAATTCGCAACGCGACGCGCCTCTCGCATTCCCACGCGTTACACGCGAAAAAGTTTAACGAGGATCGAGGGATGCATCTGAAAGCCTTTCCACAAGCACCTGCGATCATCATAGTATCATCGTGTCATCGCATCCTTGCATCATCAACTTGGGCATCAGAGCAACAAGTATCTCACACGTCCGCAGGAATCAAGCGGGGAACTGGAAAGGGGGCCGTGACCGGTTGAGCAATGCACCAGGAGAGCGGAGAGTTGACACAGCTAAGGACCATTTGGATGTCTTCCATTGTTCACGCGGGTATCTAAACACCTAAGGCCAGAGACTCTGACCAGCGGCCTTGTTGGGATATGGACTTCGAAGGCTATTCATCTCCTGCCATGCGGGGAAATGGGCTATGGGGTATCAAGCGTTGGGCGCCAGGAAAGGGTTAAGTCGTTTGATCGCCTGCAACCTTGTCTGTAACGGGAGAGAAGGAAGCTTGGCGAGCGCAAGAGTAATTACGGCAGTTGTGCATATCACGTCTGGGCCCTGGACTTTGAGTGCAGCGGAACTGCACACTCAAGGATGTATAGCTCTCACACGCTTCGAATTGCTCCCTGGTACCTCCAGATGAGGTTCTTGTCCGCACAAAGACCGAAGCTACCTCTTCGAGCTGGAAGCTTCAAATCGTGTCCTTCCTCATCCGGGTCTCACTTGCTCCTAAACGCACTGACTTGGCAGGCGAAGCATCATCTCTCTCTATTTGAAGGCGCAAGCCCTTCGCGTCGACTTACGGTGTGACTCCTTAGAGCGTCATATTTCGGACTCTTTCGCCGGTTTCAAGGATACGAAGGGGAACAAGTGTTGAGGACGAAGATGTGAAGCTGAAACAACAGAGTGGCACACTGAAGCTTACGCAGCACTCTTCCCAGGGCATGCTTCATGGTTCATTCCACATGCTTGATGCGATCATCGTTCATACGCTCATGTGCTCATGCTTAACGAGCGAGCGGCTTTGAAGTTCAACTCGCTTTTCTGATCGTTCCGCGTGAGGCGTGTTCCTATACACTGCACCTACCGGAACAATGTTTGTTCTGCCGATCGGCAACAGAGCTCACATCTATGTTGGGCCGCTCGGTCTGCAACTCTTCGGGAGGAAACATGATCATCAGGGCCGAGGAGCTTTATTACAGACCCAGCTGAGCTTTACATGCCGAACGCAGTATGCTTCGCGTCTTCATGTACGGCGGACGCATTAAACTCGCACTTTCGCTCGTACCACGCACGAGGCACATGCTGAGTTTGCAAGCGTGATGATCAAAACAAAAACAACTCGGTCGATAGCATCTGTGCTATGCGAGGGCCAACACGAAGGATGAGGGCATTGACGTACCAGGCGACGTCGACTCGGGGTTGTTTTGGCACACACGCCGAGGGCCTGCGCGCAGGCGATTTCGATTACAGGGGGCGAATGATGCCGAGTCGTGTATACAGCTACGAGAACTGGATCCGACAAAAGGGAGCGAATGATTGACGCAATTGGATATGGGTGTCGACACCAACAACGGTTTCATTATCTTTTTCTCATTCAATAGAACTTTTGAGCCTTGCGATGCAGTTGAGTGCATCGATGACTGGATGACTGTTCGAGATGCAAAAGGGGCAGCAACGCGATTTCTCGAGCGACACAGATCCAGCACTTGCTGGCCCTCAGGGCCTTCGCTCGACCTCGTGCTGAATGACATGCGCCAGAGAACGTATCATCATGCTCATCTCTGACTATCTCGAGGCCTTATCTCCCTAGACAGACCGGTGCTTGCTTCTTATTCCGACTTCTTGCTCTTGCTCCTGGTCCCTCGCGCGGGGCTATCGTGGCTGCGAGTGTTGCGCGCCGGCCCGCCTTCGGCTTGAAGGGCAATGATGGTCGCGGCTGACTCGCCATTGGCCGATGTGCGACCGCGGCGCTTCTTGGCTGCTGAAACATAGATATTTGCTGTAAAGGGGCTGATGGAACGACAGAGAATATGGAAGATGCACGACGTTAATGGTCCGATCATCCTAGAAGGCAATAATGAAAGCGACCGTGCCTGACTTACCCTTCGAAGCGCATAGCGATGAGGTAGACGATAAAGACAAGTGTGCTCAGAATGAGGCCAGCAGGTTTGCCGAACCTGCAGGTGAAAGTAAGAAATGCGATGTAAACAAACGAGGAAGGGCAATTCCTGAAGGACACGATTGTTGATGGAGCAACAGTTCGACAACTAACCAAAGAGCAACAGAGAAAAAGCTCAAAGTGCTTCCGACGTACATCGGGTCACGAACAATGTTGAATGGGAAACCAGTGACCATGTCATCCATGAGGATGCCAAAGTAGTCACCGAGGTAGGTGCCGGTGATGCCAAGGGCGTACATGCTCGAGAGAACAAGGACATTGCCGATCGAGAAGAGAGCCGCGGCTGCCGGCTTGATGAACGGCTGAAGCAGCAACGGATGCACCGGCTGGTACACAAGAGCCTGGTTGTACCTGCGAAGAGTTCGCACATAGGATGTTATTAGGAGAGGTCAGCACAGACACGCCTGCAGGTTGCACCATTCAAAGTCCCTAATTCTCACAGCTGGTCCCTGATGATCCCTAAAATGAAGATGGTCGCACCTAATAGGTAGCAACCTAAATAGCGCTTACCGCGCAGGACCTTGGTGATGGTGCCTCTGTGATACTCTGGAGCAACGTTATGTGCGGGACAGTGTACGGATACGGCATAAATTGTGGTTATTAAAATTGCGCGTAGTGAAGTGGAGGAATGTCAAATGATCAGCTCCGGGGATCTCATCGAAGGTGCGTTGCCAACAGAGACTCGCCATTTTGAGCAACCGTGTTCCAGAAGAGCGGGTTGAAGCAGCTATTGATCCCAAGCGGAGCTACGCATCAGCCCCACGAGATCGATTTGGCGTGGGCCTATGCATCTCCACAGACCGTGAGCGGGGTGGCCTTGCATGGCCTGCGTGCGTGCACCTCGGGGGTAGCCCCGAGGTGCACGATTTTGAACGCAGGTTCGTGCGAGAAACAAGTCGTTGTACTCACATTGCACCCGCAGCAATCCAGAAGGACGGTTGGTTAAGGTCCACCACACCCGGGTAGTAGTACTGGTTGTAAGCCGGCGGCATGATGAGTCTCTTATTCTCGAGTGAGTCCAAGCGTCGCTGAACATACGTCAGTCGGAGCGCTTGATCGCACGGTGCTCCGGTAGTGGAGTCCCGGAAGATGTACGAGGAGCAGTGCTGGGAGCAAAGCAACTCTGTTGTTCCGTGAATGCACTGATTGGTGAATGTCGTGCAGGATGTACTGCGGTGCTAGTGGACTTGCTGCGTGGAGAGGACAACATGGCAGCGCGACTGGCGGTTCAAAAGATGGCAGGCCAACAGCGTACCTCCCAAGAGCGGGAAGAGCGCCTGGAAGCGCATCTGGTCTGCGACCTCGCACACAACCCTAATAATGGAAACAATATAGTACCACGTGACCTGAATCTCAAGTCCAACCCTTGGTGGTTGGACTTGCGTGGCCCCTACGGCTGCGACATGATCATTACTTGTACCTTGCGAGATGCAGGAGTGCTTTTCATCAGTCGATCAACCTCCTGAAGTTGAGTTTGAACCTGTTTCATCAGCTACCACTCATCCTGCGTGATTCCAAAAGAAGGAAAGGGTAGCCCAACATGGACACCGACTTTGAAGAATCGTACCTCTCGAATCTCGCGTCGTCATCCTCGACGCCGGCGGGCTTGAGGCCCTACTACATCAAGCTGGTTGACCTGTACAACCGTAAGCTCTGGTACCAACTCACGCTCTCACTCGATGAATTCCTTTCGCATCCCGACAGCCAGAACCCCCCATCGATACAGATCGAACTGTACGAGCGGTTCGTGACGCAGTTTGAAAAGAAGATCAATCAGTTGAGTAGGGCAGCGATCGCTGTCAAGGTCGCGCGGCAACATGAAGGTGTGTTTCATTCTGGATACTGGCAAATGGCAGGTGAAGACCAGTCACGAATTGCTTCCTTTGAACAGATCCTTCTCAAGCCATTGCCTTCTTGCAACGTATCATCCCTTCGATCGCGCCTGCACCACCCGCTGCCACGCCGGCTGCAGGTTCCGGGGCGGCAGCAGCTCCTTCTGCCACGATGGCAGCAACGACAGGCGTACAAGCAGCAACATCGAGTGGGCAATCTCAGAGCCTAGAGGCCTATGTATTTGTGTCGATGGAAGCCGCTCACTTCCAACTGCTGCTGGGGAATCTCGCACAGACCAAGAAGACGATGGATGAGTGCCAGAAGATCTTGGACGGCTTTGACAGTGTGGAGATGGGCGTCAATGCAGCGTACTACAGAGTATGCGGAGACTATCACAAGGTGCGTCCTGGACAAGTAGCTCATTCGGTTGGTTCTCAGAGGCTGACAGTCCTGTGCGACGTTTCCCTGACTCTGCAGGCAAAGGCCGAGTATGCTCCGTACTACAAGAATTCTCTGCTCTACTTGGCCTGCGTCAACCTGGACAAGGATTTGAGCAAGGACGACCAGATCCAGCGGGCGCATGATCTCGCCATCAGCGCCCTGCTAGGTGACACAATCTACAACTTTGGCGAGCTGCTCCTGCACCCCATCCTCTCCGTCTTGCAATCCACACCTCACTCCTACCTGTCGGACCTGCTGCACGCGTTCAACTCGGGCGATCTCGGGCGCTTCGAGTCTCTCTTGCCGCACCTCTCTTCCAATGAGCCGATTCTCGCAGAGAATCAGCCGTTCTTGCGCCAGAAGATATGTCTGATGGCGCTGATTGAAAGTGTGTTTAAACGCAGCAGTGAGGATCGAGTCATCAGCTTCGAGGCCATCGGCCGCGAGACAAGGCTGCCGGCGGACGAGGTGGAGCATCTGGTCATGAAAGCTCTTAGGTGAGTGCTGAGGGGTCAAGATTCCTTGCTAGCTTGCTCCCGTTTTCGTCTTCAACGTGTTCGTGCCACTAATACCCTTTTGTCTTGTCTCGCTCCGCCTTTGCCTCAGCCTCAAGCTGATCCGCGGAACGATGGACCAGCACAAACAAGAAGCACGCATCACTTGGGTACAGCCGCGCGTCCTCAGTCGTCCGCAGATCGAGGCGCTGCACGTCAGGCTGGGTCAATGGTGCGAGAAGGTCAAAGAGGTCGGCGAGTTTGTCAAAGGGCAAACCGCGCCAGAGCTCATCACGACTGCGTGAGGGTGTAGGGGTCGATCGCAGCATGTGTAAGCTAGAGAAGATGAGCATGATCTCGAACAGCATGCATTTGTGATGGGATCGGAAGCACGGCTGTGAGAGGCTGCAAAGCCGTGCGCAAGCATGCACCTACCAGGCAGCTGGAGCGAAAGCTAGAAGCATAATCCACAATGCGCTGCGGATCTGCGGGAACTAGACGAGGCCAGTGCAGCGTGAGGCTAGAGTATGAATACATGCGGAGACAGACCGTAAATTGTGTGCGTTACGTCTTCTCGAACGGTAAGCGCATTGAATTATCCGGAAACATGTACTTGAACCAATGCTTCAAGAAGGCGGGCACGGAGGTGTGATCGTGATCTTGAATATCATCATTGATGCACACAAGCACAGCTTTCCCGTTCTTGCTCAAACTTTCGAGCTGCGCTTTTGATGCGGGGCCCTTACCGAGCTGCAAGAATTCGGTCGGACTGTGGCCGAGAACATACGAGTAGCGCATAAGCAGGCGGCGTGCAAAGTCGCGTGCTCCACCGCCGGACCAGCCGCTTAAGCGGGCAACAGACTGAACGGAAAAGTCGGGTTGGCGTTCGCGAGGCTGAGTGCCGTAGAACCATTTGCGCGTGAGTGGCAGATGAGGAACGCCACGGCGCATGGAAGATTTGTTCTTGTTGCTTTCAGGTAAAAGCCGATCTGGGCTTGGAAGGACTGCAGAAAGACCCAATTCGCCACTCTGTTGCACGAGATGGGTTATCACTGGGTGAGGATGGGTTGTGCGATTGAGACGTCAGCACAGTGACTTTGCCAAATAAAAAAGCGAACGTGACTTCTACACTCACAGCAGTCACCGCAGCGTGGCTCGTAGAATGTGACACGCTTGAAAAAGGCTTCGGAGGTTGTGCCGTTGTCTGACAAGCACCGACTCCACTCAATTTGGCACGCCGGTTCGGCTCGTGGCTTTTTGTCTCCTTGCGGCAGATAGTGCGGCCAGCCACCCACGTTCCAGTTTTGGGACGGTCCTGAGCCAACTTTGCCCCACACCTTAACCGCTGGACGCGAGAGATCGCTGTACGGGAATCCATCGCCCGAGACAAACGGGTACTCGGTCGTCTGCGATGGCTTGACGCCGCGTGCCTGATGGTTGGCGCCAACAACATCCAGAGCCGCGGTGCGACGGCGCGGGATACGCACTAGGCTGACGTTCTCTGTTGTGGAGCCGTTTACGAAGGCGAAAGAGGAGCGTAACGTCCGCAGCTCGTCTGCGTCAATGACGCCATCGCCATTGTTTTCCAAACGCAGCATGATGAAGATCCAGAGCATCGCCTCTCGGTGCCGTTCGATGATCATGTTGAACGTGAGGTAATGACTGACGATGTTCATCCCCAGTCCACGGAATCGCGCCGTGCCTGCAGCCGTCAGATCCTCGCGCCAGATTAGGCGCGACTCGTGCAGCAGACTGCGGCTCATGGCGCGGTGAATATGAACAGGGTAGCGCCGTGTGCGCTTACCGAAGCGCTCATCGAGCAGATGCGACGCCATCTCGAGCCCGGGCCACTCGCCCCCGCGGGTCCATACGGATTTGTCATGGCCGTGGACCACAAGATCTTCCTGGAAGCGCAGGGATGGGCCATATAGAGGAGAGACGATGTCGGCCAAGCTGAGCGGGCGCATGACGAAGAAGTCGTCGTTGGCGAAGAGGGCGATGTCTGCTAGACCAGGCAGGGATACAGGATCGATGACAGATTCGACAGCCATCGAGTTGAATGTCGGCAGCGCGATGTGCTTGCGTAGGATCTTGGTTGCATTGTTGCTCTGCGTTCCCGCAACATCGTAAATCGACCAGTCGTGATGTAGACGAAGTTGCACACCTTTCTCATCAGCCAATCGTCCCACACTTGACGGCTTCTCAGCATCAGCGCCAGTGAGCACGCGATCAGAGTTGATATCGAGCCACACAGGCCTTTGTCCGACCCTCTCCGAGCCGTCAGCCGTCGCGGTCCAACGGACATGCGTTGCCTTATGCTCGACAAGGATGTCCTCCACGCTCCGGCCCGTGTCGCGCGATACGGCTGCAACCATGCCGGGGAGCGCCCATGCGGGAAAGTCCGGCGCGATGACATGCACAGTGCGCAAATTTGGGATGGTCTTGGCGGCTGTGCGAATGGCATAACGTAGTTCGTCCATCTCTCTGCAAGAAGGCAAGGCGCATGAAGGCGGTCAACACATGGTCAGATACTCAAGGGCTTTCATTTGAGCTCACAGAAAGCGCATGCCTGCAACACCGATCTGCTTCTGCTTGCTGCGCTCTGTCCAATATTCTCGCTCCCTCGGCAGAATTCTCTGCTTGGTGAGCAAGATGGGCCAGACTGATTGTAGCCACTTTTCCAACTTGGCCTGCAACTCCTGTTCGGACTCCGGTACCAGCTCCTGTCTGCCGTTCGGCTGCGAACGCACGCCTTTTGGACAGAGCTCGTCGTGCGCGGGTGCAGTCGAGGTGGTACAGTAGACGTGGTATTGACGGCTTTGCTGGTGGAGCGGATCGGAGCCATTAACCCACGTGAAGAGGATGTCGACGGGTGGGTCGAGTCTGATCGTGTGCTGGTCCCGAGGTGCATTTTGCGTGACGTTCAGCTTGCTGCACAGCTGGCCCTGTGCAATCCACTCTTCCAAGCATTCCTCTTCCTCGGTGAGCCATGCTTGACTCTCAATCGGCAGGAGCTCCTCTACGCGCGCCAACTCATGCGTGGAGAAGCCGGGCAGCGGATACCACTTTGGCAGGAACCCGTTCTCAACATCGAATACATCGGCCGGTGGCGCGGGCTCTTTCGAAGGCCCCTTGATCTCTGCGATACGGTACGGATCGTTCACCGTGATTTCCCACGGCTTGGCCGGTCGCGGGCCGACGAGGTATGCCAAACGTTCCGGGTCGAGGTTCTGCAGAAAGACAGCTTCTGCGTTCGGTTGGTTGCGATTGTCGACTTGGGAGCGGCGGTAAGAAAACCACGTGTTGCCGAGCACGAGTAACATAACAAGTGGTAGCAGCTTGCACAGGGGGCCGAGGCAAGCCCGCATTCGCGGTCGCCGCCGCAGCAGCCATGAGGACGACCGTGGCTCTGCGCTGCTGGCTGGAAGGAGCGAAGGCTCTCCGGTGTCAGATGAATACGCACTGCCTCGGAACAGGTGTCTTCGCCTGCCGAGCCCAAGAACTTGCCGCTCATGCGCGAGCCAGTCGCAGTCGTAATTCGGGTCGTCCAAGTCGTGATCACGGTGGCCTTTCCATGGTCGCTGTTCGATTTCATCGTCATGGAGGAGAGGCGCGTGTGACGGGGCCGGATGAGCCGGGGTGTACTCTTCGACGAACAGCTGGTTCCTTGCGTGGCGTGAGGCGTTATAGGCGGAAATGCCGCTGCTGCTGTCGCTGAGGCTCGTCTCGCCACTATACCTAGTGTCTCGGCCACTGCCCTCGTCACGGCTCATCTTGCCCATCTGTGGCGTGTTGGTGCCTTGAATTTCGCGCGCTTTCCCCTTGCCGTCCTTGCCTTCCATAATGGCCAACACCAACTGGCTTGATGCGCCTCTGATGGAATACCCTTTCTGCTGGCGCTCGCGCATCTCCAGCGGAAGCGCAGAGCTCCGATGGTCTGGTGAAGAATACGCATGCGCGTCTGCTACTGCTCCCGAAGCGACGGACGTCGGATGTAGATTCAAGCCAAGCGCCTCGTGTACATCGTAGATGTGCGGTAGCGATCGGCGCTGTACTGGCAGGAAGCCCGGAAAGGCCTTTATGTTTGTGGAAAGCTCTTCGCGCGGCATGTAGACTTTATGCTGGATAGGAGGGGCTGGAAAGAAGAGGGCGTGACCTCGCTCCGGGGCTGCAAGGCAGGATCGCGAACATGTGTCCACTAAAAGAAGTAGCCACGCAACCAGCCAGGTGCACGGGACGAAGGGCTGCTTGTTAGATGGGTGTACGGGTTCGAAGCCGGGGTAGTAAGCGATCGAAGCTAGGAAACAAGGGATTCTATTTGCTTCAATGTAGAGATTTGTTACTTTCTTCGATTGGTTGGTTGTTTGCTTGTATGCGCGCTTGCTCCGTCCACCTTCAATCACCTCACGAGGCGGCGGGTGGCCACTGTAAGCGGGAAAGTCGTCGCGGCTGTGAAGGGAGCAGGAAAGGAGAAGCTGCTGCTTGCTGCTGATGATGTTGCAGGTTGCATGTTGGCCTATGCTTGCGACGATCGACACCCTGCGGTGGGTGAACCTAGAAGATGAACGAGGATGAAGAAGGCAGACGGATAGCACGATTGATATACTGATATCTCTAGTGCACCATCCATGTGGCGTTTCGGCAAAGATAGCAAGGCATGTTGACTGGACTTTGCCGGACCTTGTACGCTATAGAATGTCGAAACTGTAGATGCCAAGTCGTGAGAAGTCGGATTGAGCGCAAGCCGTCCGCCATGTGCGGTTCCTGCAAGCGGCGCTCAGTTGCCGAGCGCCTGCCTTGCAAGTCGCATGGGGAATATGTATGGAGCAACTGGAGCGAGCGCAACCGAAGCGTGCCGGAGGGAACGATGACCTGCCGCCGCCATTGTTTTCATGGCTGGTTTCTAATGATGAATAAAACACCGCTGGCTTTGTCGTTGGTACACACTAGACTGGATGGGGCGACAGCACTATCGAAGGAGAACCGCACAACGAAGGCTGGGTTCCAGTATACCGCCGAACATGTGCCATGCAGGGATTGTCCTTTTCACACGTTCTTGATCGCCTCGCGGCAGCTTCAGAGCCCAGAAGGCGGCCAGCGGTTCCGTGCAGCTTGGAGAGTGCATGTGCCCACTCAGCAGCAGAGCGCGCGACGTGCGAGGATATGCATGGGTGGAGGACGATGCTGCCACTACTGCACTCGGACGGGTGGGCATGATACGAGTAGACTGACTACTTTTGACAATGGAGGGTGAACCTTGAGCAGGCGGCAGCTGACGATCGATCGGCATGAGGCTATGGCTGATGGATGTTGCAAGATGCCGCCGGCACATCCAGGCCCTCTGATGCACAGTGCCGCCGATGCCGCGGGCGTGCTCATAGAAGTGGGCACTGGCAGACTGTGTGCTACGAAAGTTCAATGCTGTTTGCGCTGAGTTGCCGATTGGTACTGGCGTTGCCGAATGCCGGGTGCCGATTGCGTAGGCTGACGAAGGCAGTGTCGACGCCACCACCAAAAGTGGGCACCAACGCAGTCCCCATTCAACCGCAGTCCAACGCTCAAGGCCCTCGCCGCCGAGCACAGACGTGCAGACTACAGGCATCAGCAGCATACATACTGGGAAGGTGTGGAGAGAGCCCAACACAGTAAAGTGCACAAACGGGGAAACAGGGTTTCACGGCAACAGGATGGAAAGCCGCAAGGGGAGCAGTACCGGCACGGACCACCGACTAATTCCAAGCTGGTCCTTCTCTCTGCCAGTTTGCCTGCATCCTGCCTGCTATGCTCCCTCCTCTCGCCTCTGGTTCCTCGTACACTCTGATGAGAGAGCCTGACGCCACTAGGCGTAGTTTAGGGGGCTGGCTGGCTAACGCCTGCTGAGTACATTCTATGTACCGACCTTGAGTGTTAACGATGCGGGTGCCTATGCTCCTCGACCAAGGCACCAACATCTCTGAACATCATACAACCTTTCTTCATCCGTTCCACCTGTTCCATCTCAACCGTGAACTAAAGTTGTTTGCTTTATATATGCGCATAGCACATGGCAGCTTTTTGCGCTTCATTTTCCCCTTGTCTGCGAAAAGACCGACGCCCGACCACAAGCAACCGATCAGGTCTGTGCGTCGAGTTTCGCCACCTGGGTTCAAGTCGTCAAAGGCTTTACGAGCGTGCCTGTGCTCTTGCGCAATTTTTTCTGTCGGACGGATACGCGCGCCTGTTAGAGGCAGGCACTCAAGCACCCGGCGTGGGACCAGAGCAGCCTGCGTCTGTCGTGCTATGCAGGGGCGCCTGGTTCGAACTCTCCGTCCTACCCGCCATTTCGCCTAGTCGATGCTTCCAGTGCAGACGACACAGGGGGAGGGGGTCATCGACGGTAACAGTCGAATTCGGTTCAGCCAAGCATGGTGCTCGAATTATGAGATGAGTTAGAGCCGTCGAGAGCGTGGCGACTCTACTACAGAAGCCAGACGATTCATGCGATCCCGTCAGGCATCGTACCAAGGAAGGAGTCTATGAGCCGTCGGCATCAACGGTAATGCCTCTGGTTGGCCCGCACCACCATACGCCGTACTTGCCGCTCGCCAGGTCCTCGCTTTCCTCGTGCCGTTCGCACCACCTTGAAAGGTCGTTACCATTATTGCAGGCCCAGCCAGGACAGTCATAAATCTTCCACCGTACAACTCTATCATGATTACCTGAAATTTGACGAGCCGGTGGACACGGAACAGAACCGCTTGTATTTCTATGGCCACCACAGTGTTAATGAGATTTGTGCATTTCTTAGCGTCGCCATCAACAGAAAGTAGCAGCGTCTGCTTCGAGGTCCGAAATGGAGATCCCAACTCGCCAACAGGTTGATAGTGGTCCCGTGGGACGCACACGCTATTCGTCTATCAATTTCATTGGCCGCCCCCACTGGGGATATCGACGTGCTCACTCGTAGAGAGAAGCATGGCCCGCACCAGCCTTGTAAACAGGATTCCCGGGACTTTGCGAAGTCACCGAGCGATTCGATACGGACAAGAAGAACACGACTCTCGAGTGTCAAGAGATGTCAGAACGAGTTAATTAGTGTGCACAAAGTCTCCATCAGCACGTAATGCGTGGAGGGGCCACTTGTTTTTCAGCACATTTCCCCCTTTGTAGCTAGGGCCTGCGCAGGCGTGTGTACACTTTTTGAGTGACTTGACCGTGCTGATGGATATGCATGGCGTCTGCTCTAGCTGGCGGTGAGCTGAGTCTGTGAGGAAGAGACTAGTCAGGAAAAGGGGGATAAGCTAACAAGGAGAGAGCGGGGCAGTGCCTCGCCCTCCGTCGGCCCTCGGGCACCCGCGCTGCGCTGGCCCGGGCCACTGCTCTGCATTGCGCAGCAGTGAGCAGAGGTCTGAGTTGAAAGCAGGGTACGACAGGCCGGTAGCGGCATGTGTGTGTGTGAGAGTGTGTATGTACGTGCCTGCCTTACTGGACCGCTGACTGCTCGTCGCTATGATCGACTGGTTCCCATTCTTGCATCTTCTGCGCTTGTGTTGGTTGGGTGTGTGCTGCTCATAACAATCTAGATGCGCCACGACCACCAGCCCTCTTCACTCCATCCATGTGCAGACGGTGGGGGGAACCCCTCGGCTCGCGCAGGGTCCAAGCTACACAGTCTCCTCTGCAGCGGCAGTGAGGACGACACACACTCTCTCTCTTCGCCCCTCCTTGGGCGATCGGTTGGTTGGACCCGCGTGGCCATCATCCGCGTCAGCCACTTCTCTTCCAGCATCATCGGCGGTAGCACTGCATCAAGCGCACCTTCGCCCTCCTCCCATCCCATCCCCTGTCGCGGGTAGATGCAGCAACCCGCGCCGACAGCCACAATGGAGCGCTCAGGCAGCGGCGGCGCAGCCGCACAAGAGTCAGTTGCTATCCCACCTAGGACGCAAGGCAAGCGACTGGACGCTGAAGAGGGTCAGCGGGGACAAGGCAATGGTCCAAAGACAGCGGACAGGGCCGCCTTCCTGCCTTCTTCTCCGCCTGCCCGACCCCCGACAGTTGTACCACTGCGCTCGAACGATATCACACCCAAGCCTGGCAACTGGCTTGCGTCCTCCCATTCCGCGTCCTCCGACCCGTCATCGAATCAGCAGGGTCAGCAGCAGCAACCGAGCCTCTTCGGCTGGGTCAAGTCTGCAATCGGTGGCCTCGCGCCTTCGCCGGCGGCCATGGGCATGTCCGACGTGCTCAGCCCAAGGAGCGAAGCGCAGGTCTTCGCCGATGCCCAGCGCTCCAAGGGTAACCGTCAATGGCCCCGGAGTGCTCGAGCACCCAGCGAGACTTCTGGAGGTAGCTCTGGCGGTGCGGGTCGCCTTGATACTGGCGAGTACGTGGAGGATAATTCATATGCGGGACACGGAGCTTTCGGAGGATCAATGGGCCTAGGATATCCAGACGGAGAAGTGTCCCAGGCCCGCTCGTCCTATCAGGTTAGCCGGAAGATGAGGCGCGCTGCACTGCCAGCTACTCCTGACGGCAACGAAGCCTACGCGCTACCCGCTTCTGCACGGTCGTCCATGTCCTACTCGGACAGCGGCGTCTATTCGGACGAAGATCCCTCCGAGGCGAGCTCCGACGACGGCGAGTACTGCCCAGAGGGGGATGAATACTCGGACGACGACAGCATTGCAACGGAAGAAGAGCTCTACGTGCCATTTCAGTCGCGCCAAGTCCCCCCTCCGCTCGTGCGACCAGCTGCCCGGCGCGATGGAGCGACGCTCGCGCTCGGACCAGACAGCCCGATCAACGAGCTGTCTGAGCTCACCTTCGCTCCGCTATCCATCGACAACAGCAACAGCGCCCAGTCAGAGGTCCTTCCACAAAGCAACAGCACAGGCAGCGGCTTCATCAAAAGGGCCGACCTGAGCCTGAACGACCCGCGTCTGCAGGACGGCAACGCCGTTGTCGAAGATATGACGCCCGCGAGCGGCGGCGGCGCACTGCCCAGCTTTGTGCTGGCGCCCCCTGGCGACGATGCCAATGATGAGAATGAGAATGTGCATGTAAGGGCAGGTGTTGAGTACGCGCCAATCGACCGGACGACCGAAGCGACGCCCGTGCCCGGCGGCCGGCGCGCGAGCGTCGTCGCGGCCGGCGCGGGGGACATGGCGAACGAGACCAAGGAGCAGATCGTCCTCGGCTCTCGGGGACGCAATGGTCTCCCCTCGCCGATGGCGCCGGCGCTCGTGCAGCAGCACTGGAGCGACGAGGATCGCAGCAAGACGCCGCTTGCTTCCGCAGGCCGGCCGAGCATGAATGGCGGCGCTGCCGGCCAAGCACAAGTACAAGCACAGCAGCTGCAGCAGGTCGCAGCGGACAAGAAGGCCGCGCGCGCCGAGCGCAAGTCCTTCAGCGAGGCGTCTGCCACAGTTGCGCCACCCATGCGCTCTAACCTCTCTTCTGCTTCGTCCTCCACATCGAACGGGAGCGGCGGGTCGTTCGGCGCAGCCACGCTGGCTATCGATCAGCAGCAGGCACCAGCGCAGACGCAGCAGCCCAAGCGTGGGTTCTTTGGACGTAGCAAAGCGGGCAGCGGCGCGGATGCGGACGCGGACGCAGGCAAGCTCAGCAGGAGAGGCAGCGAGAGCCAGCACTCGCGCCGTTCCAGTCTCAGCAGCAACAGCGGTGGTGGCGGCACCGGGTTAGGGCCGAGAAAAAGCAACTGGCTCTTCGGCGGTTCGAGACATAAGTACGGCAGTTCCGCCGCGTCCTCCGCGTCCTCCGCTGCGTCGAACACTGCGCACAGCTCCGAGGCCGGCAGCGCGGCGGGCATCGATGCTGCCGACGCATCGTCGCCCAAGCAGAAAGGCGGAAGGAAGGACAGGAAGAGCGGGGCGCATACACAGAGTGTGTCTGAGGCTTCCATCAACTCTTTGGACACAGTGGATGACGATCAATCGTTGCACAGCGTCGGAGGGCAGTCGAGCACGGGCAGAAAGAGTGTAGCTGGCTCGTCCGTCCGGTCTGAGAGCAAGGCGCCAAAGAAGCTCAAGCTTCACTACAAGAACAAGAGCTCGAAGGAACGCAACTTTGACAAGATCTTTCTTGCGCAGGAGCTGCATGTCGGCAGCGGTGGCGGAAACAGCAGAGGTGGCCTCGCGTCCACTCGGCACGATTCACTGGCATCGTGCATTAGCAGCTTGACCAACTCGTCCATGCCGTCGCCTGGGCGCCCACCTTTGCCCCACCTCAATAGCTCAGCAAGCCTCACGAGTAACGACAGCGCCCAGCTGGCCAACGGCCGTCCACTGTCCGTGCACTCCACCGCGCCGTCGGTCGCGTCGAGCACCGCGTCACACAACAAGGGCCGCGCCATCTGGGCAATGCGCTGGAGCCCCTGTGGGCACTACCTCGCCGTGGCGGGGCAGACGTGCGTCATCACGATCTATGAGGTGCTTTCGACAAAAGCGGCGCGTCAGCAGGAGGTGGAGCTGGCGCGCATGCGCGCGATGCTCCAGCAATCGGACAATTCTGCGATCCGCTCGAACGGATCCATGAGCAGCAACAAGAAAGGTAAGAACGGCACCCCACCCGCATCGAGCGGGAGGGACCAGTTCCCCGTCCTCAGCAGCACGCCCGTGCGCGAACTGCGCGGACACAGCCTCGACGTGCTCGATATCAGCTGGAGCAAGAACAATTTCCTGCTCAGCTGCAGCATGGACAAGACGGCCAAGCTCTGGCACATCTCGCGCGACGAATGCCTCTGCACGTTTGCTCACCTCGACTTTGTCGTAAGCTGAGGCGCTCCAGTTTCTTAATCCGACCGATGTGACTGACGCAGTTCTTTTATTTCGGGATGTAGACCGCAGCATGCTTCCACCCCAAGGACGATCGATTTTTCATCAGCGGAAGCCTTGACGGCAAGCTTCGCCTCTGGAGTAAGAGTCAAAATCGTGTTTTTGCGAGCACAGAGCCGCTGATGACCTTGCCTTTTTATTCTTCGTATTTTTAGACATCCCTGCCAAGAAGGTTCAGGCAAGCCAAGAGGTGCCGGGCTTGATTACGGCATGCACATTCACTCAAAGCGGCGCGACGGCTTGCGTCGGCACCTTCTCTGGCGCTGCGCTGTTCTACGAAACGGAGCGCCTGACGTACAGCACTTCCATCGCTGTGAGGTCGTCGTCCAGCAAGAATGCCCGAGGCCGCAAGATCACCGGCATCGAGCCAGTCTGGACGCCAGACGGATCCGAAAAGGTTCTCATCACGAGCAACGACTCGCGGGTCCGAGTGTACGACATCAAGCTCAAGCGGCTTGCCAAAAAGTTCAAGGGTGCCACCTACCTCAATCGAACGAGCCAGATTCGTGCCAGCGTCAGCGATGATGGTAACTTCGTCGTTTCTGGCAGCGAAGATGCCCATGTGTACATCTGGGACGCGGGCACCGGCCCAGCTAGCCTGCTCAGCCTCGACATGCTGCAGGGCAAGGGAAAGAATCCAGATGCGTCTTACGAGTACTGGACTGCGCATCCTGGCACGGTCACCAGTGCGCTCGTCGCACCACTCAAGGCGCATGGATTTCTTGAAGCATCCGAAGATCCCATCTCGATTCATGCGTCAATGCAGCAAGCAGGCAAGGTGTCGAACAGTACCACATCCACACTGACGGCCATTTCCCTAGCAAACGCAGTTTCTCCGGCCATGCCCGCGCACATGCTCCCAGGCGGCCTGCCGAACCAGCCGAACCCTGCCTTTGACGCCAAGCGCAACCGCATCATCTGCACGGTCGACGAGTCTTCCACGCTGCGTGTCTGGCGCGCTGACTCGTATGGCGTGCTCAAGAACATGGCTCCCACCTTTGCGCTTCCACCACAGACCGATAGCACGCTCAGCAAGATGAGCGATGCATCTGAATCCAGTTGAGCGGCCTCACCAAAGCTATCCGAAAAAGATACTTTTCATCATAATTACACAACATCGATGCATTACAAGGGGCTTGCCATGGTACTGTCATATAGAGCAGTTCATTTTTCTCTTCAATTCACCTTTTCCATCCTTCATCTTCTCGATTTGTCAAGTCTGGCAGCCACAACGCGGTTTCAGTACCTCCTGTGAGAAAGCACGCCGTTCTCGGATTAAAAGCGACGACTGAGGGCAGAGAACCTTTGAGCCCTTGCAGCATCGTGATAGGCTCCAGGGTTCGCGGCTCGACAAAATCGATCGCCTTGACTTCCGGGATCTCCCATGCGGCGATGCGACTGTCAGCTGAGCCTGTAAGGGAAGTAAAAGGCAGGGAGGCGTTACCACATACCGCATGCCAATGTGCAGATGGCAAATCCATGCTACGCACCTGCTAAGACGAACTTGGCGTCGGGTGTCCATGCGAGCTCGCGGCCCAGCAATTCAGCGGACGAGCCCACCAGTTCTGCGGAAAGGCTCGAATGACCTATCAGTCGAAAGAGACGCTTACCGCCAAAGGAATCGTACACGTAGTGAACGTTCCCTGCAGTGCCGACGAGCATGTATTCGCCGTGGTTACAAAATTGAATCGAGGTGATCCTCGGCGTGGCGCCTCCAGCTTTGTCGGGAAAGACTTTGATATTCTGGAAAGGCTTGTTCTGAAGCTTCTTGACGTCGTAGAGGCAAATGCTGCCGACCTCGGGGAAAGCAATGACCAGTACAACACCCATGGGGTCCCAAGCGACCAGGGGATGACCTTGGACTTTTACCGAAGCCACGGCTCCTTCTGCCTTCAGATCCCATAGCCGCACCGTGTCATTCTCTGCGGCGGTCGCAAAGAGGTCTTTGTCTGGAGCCATCTCCATGCTGGTCACCCTGCTTGGCAGGTCGGAGCCGCTTCAGCACTCGATGCAAGTGATCGATGCTCGCAGCGACAGTCTACACACCTGCCTTCGTGCCCTTGGAAAAATGTGATGTACTTTTGCTTGCAAAGATCGAGGTGCTGAGCTCGATCTACGATGTATGGAGCGAATGGAACGATTCAGATCGTACGAACGCCACGCGGCCAGCGCGAAACCTCACTGAGCGTCTTGGTGCTTGTATGAAGGACCCGGAGCCTTGTATGCGTGTTTCGAACGAGGCCTACGCCATACTTTTGGACTGGTACCGACTGCTTGAGACTGGAAAGAGCATGCCAATAGCAGTTAGAGCGTCAGGTGACACGTTTGTGCAGGACTCGCTCGGTCGAAAGCGGACTGACAGGCCTTTTGCACAATCGTACAAGTGCAGCCGGTCATCTTGGCTGCTGGTAACGACAGTGGAGCCGTCATCGCTGAAACTTGCATTTGTGATAAGCAGGGCAGAGTCCGTGGATCTTTGAACGGCAGCCTGCGTCTTGTCTCGCGCACGGAATGATTTGAACGGCCTGAACTTGCCGACGACCTCTGACGTCAATGTGATCGATTCCGGCTTGGACGATGGCTCCCCCCGGCCAGAAGTCCTGTTTCTCGACATGACATGCTATGAAGGACCGTGTCGCACGCTTGCTGCTTGGGTCCCGGGGGACAGCAACGGTTCAGCGTTTAGCCTGCGGAAAAGGAACATCTGTCCCAAACCATCATGAAGCTTCGGATCTGTCGAATGGTGTGAAGGAGCATGTGTGTTCTGTGGCCAGTGTAGGGGTGTGGCGTGGCCTGGCGCGTCGGCGCCTTTCTCGTTCTGCTTCGTGTTGTACACCACCGTGTCGCGTCATGCTACTCCCTCCCCGAAGATCAGTCTCGAAGAAGTGGCAGATATCCACAAAGGTACTATTACGTGGCTATGGGCAGAACAAGCCTGTAGGAAGACGTACTGGCACGCTGCCGCTTCCTTATCGCTGATGCTCTGAAAAATGAATACAGATAGACTACACGCTGTGTGCCAAGCAAGATGTTGTAGGTATCTCGGATGGTATCGCCGGGGTACGGTGCTGGTATCTTTGGGCGTCAAGTGTTACTCTCGCTGTACTAGGAAGAATCATCTGGAGAAAATAAAGAACATGACATGTTGCAACTGGCCTATGCGGATGCTGGGTATGGGATGCTGATGTTGTTACTTGAGTAGGAATCGTCGGGTGGGTCTAGATGGAGACACGGGGTGCGGCACCGTGAGCATTGTCGCCGCTGGACTCGTTGTCAACGGGCAACGAAGAGGGATAGACGTGACATGCTGATGCATGAATGCTCCATTTGGTGTGGTTGCTCATTGAAATCGTGACCCAGCGTCTGTTTCACAAAAAGGGGAGAGTAGGGGCGCCATTAGGCCGATGTGCTCGCGGTCCGAAACCAAGGTGACTAGGCACTTACTGGCACGAATGACACTTGCCTTCCATCAGGTCCACTCCTTCTGCAGATGGCCGAAGGACCACTGGTGGCCTGAAGAGAGTGAGGCTGCGCGGACTGACACCGTGGTGCCTCAGAAGGTGATATCTGTGTGAAATAACAAGCAGCATCGGGTTGAGAATGAGACGGGGAAAGGACGCGTTTGCGACGAGAGAGAATGGCTCACCTGTACGACGAGTTCTTTAGGTGCAGCCAGCCCGGGTGCTTAGGGTCGCTCGCATCGCACAAGCCGCACCAGGCCTCCTTGCTACCTTTCAAGCCGGTGGACGATTTCTTCCCGCCGAGCCTTGCCGTGCGAACCCAAGCGGGGGTGTACACGTCGCCGGCAAACCTGGCGCCTTGCCTTTCGGGCGAGAGGTACGATGCTGTCGCACGCCGTTGCTCAGCGGGCGGCTCGGATCGCAGACGTCCCAGTGGGTGGATGAAGGGCGCGGGGAATGTGAGGTTGGTTGCCGGAGTTGAAGATGTACGATCCGGAGCAGGGAGGGGAGGGGATTTGGATGGGGCTGGCGCGCGTGGGGAGGTAATCTCGATTCCGCTAGGTGAGCACGGCGGATACTGCCAAGGGTCGTAACGGTCGGATGATTGAGGACGATGAATGTGGCGTGGCGGTTCCGAGGCTGGTTCCCGATCGAGAAGGAAACGCTTTGACGGTGCGGCAACTTCGGACGCTTCTAGAGCCCGCTTGTTGGCTTTTCGCTGCTGTGTGACGGTGGAAGTGCGCGCACGAATCGGTACCATGCTGTCCATGAGCGACATGGCTTTGTGTTCCTGAAGAGACTGTACTGTTCTCATTGGAGTAGAGCACAGAGAGAGGCCAAGCCCGAGCCCGAGCCCAAGCCCAAGCCCGAATTCCGCCTTCTCATCACTGGTGACGAGGGCGATCGAGTTGCGCCTGGCGGGTCCAATCTCGAGCGTATCAGTCGATTCGTCCCTGGCGCTCGACACGCTTGTGCAGCACGAGAGCGCAGGCGACCAGCTTGGCGACGGCAAGCCCTGGCGCATCCAGTAGGGCATCTCGGCGGTCCGGCTGGCGCTCAAGAGCGCAAAGGGCAGGTCGCCGCCATACCACGATTCGTAGATGCGCGGAGTCAGTGCATTTCCAAATGTCGAGGGGAATGAGCCTGAGAGGGGCGAGCGGGGGCTGAACAGATGTGGGGGCGCAAAGGGAGAAAGGTCGTGTGAGGCGACGATCGGCGGGAGGGTGACTGCTGACGCGGATAGGTGGCCGGGGTCTTGGAGCAAATTAGCTCGGATGGGGTCGATCTTGAGCAAGGGGATCGCGCTGTGACGACGGGCGAAGCGGAGGCTAGGCAAGGATGATAATGATGAAGACAGTCCGTCCGGATCTGGTTCTTGCACACGGGGATGAGGCGGATGGCACTCCTCCACGCCGCGCTGACGGTTCGCCTGCATGCTGGATACGCCTGCAATCTTACTCGACAGAGCATGTGTCGGCTGGAGTGGGGAAAGCTTGAGCTCATGCGGGCGCTTCCGATCCAGGGGCCGCAACAGCGCGTTGGCAGCCATGCTTGATCAGGGATGGATTCGAAAGTTGTGCGCGGAGGGACGATAGTATGTGAACGGGTCAGGGCAGCTGCAGCGTCTAAAGCACCACGACATCGGATGTGAAGGGAAGAGACGCGGAGCAAGAAGTGGAATCCACTGCGACAGGGAAGGGCCTTCGAGCACCTGATTATAAAGGCATCCGACACACAATGTTAGAGAATCGTCGCTGAGATTACTTGTCCAGGTAGTGCGATCGCGGAGATGCGGACGATGCTCTTTCATTGGGGGAGAGGAGATCCATGCGGAGAGCATAGCCCTATGGCATAGCCTGCCAATAGGGGTGCTGCGCAGGACGAAGGGCTAAGCGACGTCATCTAGATGTAGGCGTATAGTGTGACCATGTGACATTTGCAGTCATGCTTGCGCAACAGGATTGTGTTCCTCGACCTGGATGGCATCTATTTTTTTTTCGGAGGCGTCTCTGCAGATCACGGTCAAAGGTGTCAGAGCATGTCACAGAGCCCAGTGCAGATCCAATCGTAAATCGATTAGCGTCCTTGAACAGTGCTTGGGGGAGATTCTGCGAAGACTGGAAAGAAGAGAGAAGGAACGTTGTTCTTTGCGCCTCGATACCCTACGGAGGAGAGGAAGATCACGGGTGTATATGACTCGTTGACACCCGTGCCACGAAAGACCACGAAAGTGGAGAGGGAGAGGTGGAGGGAAAAAGAGGGCAATACCCCATTACAGCGATGAGGGCGAGATGATGTGTGGCGTCCCCTTCTGCAGGGGGATGCACGCATGCGACCTGCAAAGTGCCACAGGCAACGAACCAAACTAGCGGGCACTGAGGGAGAGCAGCGGCTGGCGCACGACCTCTTTTTCTTTCCGGGAAGCCCTGGTTCAGATGCACCCATCAAAGTCTCCTGGTCGCTCGTGCATGGTACATCTATGTACGTACTTGCGATGGTCAACAAGCGTCTTCCTTCCGTTGCACGCCTGCCCCTGCGAAGGGAGGTATTGGAGGAGAATAGCAGCGATGCGCTAGGCTACTTGGTGGTCACCAGTTTCGCGGCGGCGGTTAATAGCAGAAAGCCATCTGTGGTTGCTTGGTGTGCTGCGTGGAGACGAGAGGCCAAGGACACCACTGGACACGGTGCTCGTGATTGTATGGTGTGCCTGGACCCTTGTGGACTCGGGCTCTTTGCAACCCAGAAAAACCCTAACCCTTTCGCTTTCGATGCATGGGTGCGCATCTCAAGAAAAGTCGCCGATCATGTTTTGTACTGAGCAGTAGCAGCACGGCCGGGCACTGCAACAGCTATCCGCATTCATTCACCCACTTGCACCTTTTCAAAAAGAAAGAAAGAGCGACGCCGCGATCACGTGATGCAAGCTTGCGACACGACCCCGCCTGACATTGCACGCCCGCGCGCGCCTGAAATCCGACGCCAACGTCCTTCCTAGACTTGCTCCTCTCCACGTTTGTTTGCACCCGGCGGACGGCCTTCAACGCGCTGCACGACGTCCTGCTCACCCGCTCACTTCACACCAATACCATCCATAGCTACTCGGGCGTACACGCTCAACATTACCAGCCCCAGTCTTAAACCTGGCCAGGCCAGCTCGACGGCAGGAGCGGCAAGATGCGCACATACCCGCGCGCAACGCTGAAGCGCCTTGTGCGTGCGCACCTGCGCTCCAAGGCGCAGCCGGCGCAGCTGAGCGCCCGGGCAGACCTGTATATTTACCTCGCATGGGTCGTCTTCCTCCGGCGCCTCGCGCGCGAGAGCATCGTCGCGATGCAGATGGACGCCGACGTCGGCGTCGCGGCGAGTACGCGCACCATGGCACAGCGGCACGTGCGCTGCGCCGCGCGCCGGCTCGCAAGCCTCAAGTGAAGACTTGGTCAGTGGGAAGGCGAGCGAGGTGCGCGACGCGATGCGGCACTACAAGGCAGGGATGGCGCGGCGGAGAGAGCGACGCTATTGATTTGGAGCCGGGAACGCGGGTGCAAGAAACACTCGTCGGGGGATCCCCGCAGGAAGCACAGCTTTTCAGCCTGCAGACTCGATAGCACACAAAGTCAAACGATTCGCAGCTTCATCGCCCCGATCGGTAGCGACTATCGCAGGACGTACACGATCACTTCACCTGGCGTCACTCGAGCAGCAAGCAGAACGCCTCGCCTGGACTCGACGTGCTCGAAAGCAGGGCACGCCTCAACACTCCCACATGTCCACGCAGTGCAGCTGTCCTATCGCACGGGGACAAACGCTTAAGCCGCGGCTCTAGCCCACGACCGCATACACGCAGATGCAGATGGGGCTACCACCTTCCGTCGCTCTGAGCCTGCGTCTGCCTGCGCACCTGCCGACCGGGGCACTCCTGACAGCAGCATATCGCGGACGGGACACCGCACGACGGGCAGGCCGGGGCGGGGCGTACTGCGCGGTGGAGCGCTGCAACGTTTTGGTTTCGAGGTTGCGCCGGGACTTTTGCGCGCTGTAGATGGAGGGCGGGGGTCGTTCTGCAACGACGCAGGGGGGCGGCCGGTATCGAGCGGCAGCAGCTGCTACTATGTTCCCTATGTATCCAATAATAGTCTGGTGCGATGGCGCTCCACTGTGCATGCGCCGCTCTGTCACCGCGAGCGCTAAAGCAAGGCGGCGATTGTCATTTTGCAACGGTGTGGTACATACTTAGCGATCACTTGTTCACGCGGGGGGTCTGTGTCTATGTAGCGCTAGCATGTGCCTTGTGCCGGCAGTCCTTGCTCCTCATTCTTCTTTCTGCTCGTTGATAACGGCGGCGATGCACTCGACTTCGACGGCGACGTCGAACGGCAGGCGGGCGACCTCGACGGCAGAGCGCGCTGGTTTGTAGGGCGCAAACATCTGTCCCGGGGCCAAGGGTGTGAAGTCAGCGCAAGCTTTTCTCATCACTGGAGGCTGCAGGCGGCGGGCTCTCACCTTTTCATAGACGGCATTGACGCGCTGAAAGTGGTTCATGTCCTTGAGGAAGACGGTGGTCTTGAGCACGCTGTTGCGGTCGGCGCCGGCGGCGCGCAGTACGGCGAAGAGGTTAGAAAGGGCCTGCTGGGTCTGCGCCTCGATGGCGCCGGGTGCGTCGCTGGGGGCGCCGCCGTCAACGATGCGCATGGTCGCGGGGTCAAAGGGGACGCAGCCGCTAATGAACGCGAGCCCGTTGTGCACGACAGCCTGCGAGTACGGGCCCAGTGCGGCGGGCGCGTCGGTCGAGGCGCATGTCTTGTAGACTGGTGCGGGTGCGGACGAGGACATGGTGTGTGAGGCTCTGCTGAACGCCGACTGCTGCTTCTGCGGGAGGTGAGCTGTGCGGGCGCGGACGAGTGCGGTGCTGCTGCTGCTGCTGGCCAACGGCGACAAGAGGCGGAGGGCACGTGGTCGGAGACGGTGTGCGAGCATGTGCTGCTGCTGCTGTATAGCAAGGATATGTGTGTGTGGCGATGCCCCTCTTCTGTGCAAGGATGACTAAGAAAGGGAGATGAGATGAAATGAAATGGATTCCATTCCAAACCACGTGGAATATACACGGAAGAGAAGCACAGAGGCGATTATGGGCGGGGATGATCCGTGGCAATGGGCAAAGGGGCCAGGTGGGCACGGCGCCAGTCTTTCTTACCCGTTAATACCCACCCACCTGATCACCGCCTCACCACCACCAACTAAGCCGCGTGGATGAAAGGAGATGCATGCATCCTGCTGGGTTAACACTCCGCCAGCTCTGCCAGACGGGGTGCTCGAGAGAGCGTGTGTGTGTGCGTGTGTATGTGTTCTGGTGTGTCAGGATACCCATGGACGAGCTCGCGCGCCTGGTGTAGCTAGCATCCCCGCAGGGAGACGCGGTTCTCTTGGCTGCACATTCCATCCTCGTGCGCCAGGCCTTGGAGCAACTCACCGCCCTCGTCGACGATGGCGGTGATGATGATCGCGATGGCCAGCCGGCAGGCGATCTCCGATTGGACCGGCACCGCCAGCTTTACGGTCTGGCTCTTTGCTCAGTCTCCGTGCGTGTCTCAGTACGTGTCTCGTTCTACCGCTGGGCTCCTGCTGATGCTTCGTGTATGCCAGCCAGGCAGATCCTCGAAAACCATCACCGCCAGAGCGTAGACGGGCTCAGCGGCCTCTTTCTCGCCCAGTGGATGCTCGGC